CATGTCTCTGAAACCCCCATGACCCCCCCCCCCCCCGCCCCCCCCCCCCCCCCACCCCAGTATCCTCGCCTCATCGAGCAAGAGCCCAGCATTCAGTCATTTTTGCTCAATTTTAGCCTTACACCCTTACTAGAATGACTTCAGCCTCACCCAAAAGGAAGCGGGGCCCCGCTCTCCCCCTCGACACCAAACACCCTTCTACTCGCCTACTGCATGAGGATGAATATGAACCTGGAGATGCAAGCCCTCGCACGAAAGTCAGCAGGAAGTTTGGGGAGTTGGCTATTGATGGAGGCTCTGGTCTTAAGAACGTCGATGAAGCGTCATTCTCCCAATTGACCCCGTCTGATCACCCTGAGCTGTCGGCTCTATCTGCAGCCAAAACCGAAGAAGAACCAACGACTGTCGCAAATGATCCAGCGCCAGAGCGTCCGTCAAGATCAGCAACGTCAACCTCTCCGTTGGCATCCTCTTTTTCCGAACAAAAGCCGACCAGGCATAAGTCTCCTCCTATGGACACCAGCCTGTCAGATATTTTCTGGACTGACTCGGAAATCACTGGTCACAATCCAGATGATCCCAATGACGATGGCTATGGCATTAACGGAATCGGCTTCCGCCCTACCCCAGCAATGGCCTGGTCGAGGTCACAGAAACGCAAGCAACAGCTCGCTGAGCTTAAGAACCGTGAGGCCCGCGAAGCAAGACAACAGAGAAGTGAGAGGAGAAAACGTCCCTATAATGAGAGTGACGACATAAACGCCATCGAATTATCGCCGCGAAAGAATGCCCGCGTCCATTTCGAGCACGGCTGAAATGACGGCAGGATTGAACCCTCTCTTCTACCTGTACAGTATGTCCGTTTCCCGGAACTCGCCAAGGGAGATTTGCGCCAACGTCCGTAACAGCAGCACGACCTTCGGTCAAGGTGTGGCAGAGGTTCCGCTGGGTTTGAACAACCAGCGCTAGTCGCCAAGGAGTGGAACAGTGTGATTCCATGCTTCACGGCTTCTTTTACCAAAACTTATACCACGAACGTCTTCTGGCCTCTTCTTCAGCCTTTCTCGCGGCTTCCTGGGCCGCCGCAGCTTCGGCTTTCTCTCTGGCCTTCTTTTCGTGCAACAGCTTCATGCCAGCGACTGCAATGGCCATCCCTCGACTTTCTTCTCTCCGCTTCTGGTCGCACCAGTAATACATCACCCCTGATGTAAGGACGAATGTCGCAACAGCGTAATTCGCTGACCTTCCAATGGTAGAAATTCCTGAATTTGTGATAAACGTTAGCAATAGCCTACCAAAACGTCCAGCTCTTCATTTTGACCTCAACTCGTGTGACGCCTCCTCTTCTCTATCCGGTGTGGGAATGTACCTTTTAAAATGAATCTGCTTCCGCCGACAGCACCTCCAGCTCCTATTCCCACCAACAACGAATCTCGCGAGCATTGTGTCTGGTACCACGCAGGGCCACCAGGGCCATATGAAAAGTTAAATGCATCTCTCCATGTCACTTCCTTCGGTTTTCCACCGGCACTATTGTATGTACCGCCGGGAACGGTATTGATCGGTTCGTCTGGATTGCCAAATGCATCCCAGAGCTTGCCGACTTGAGTCTGGGGAAAATCGTACTTGGGCTTCGGTCTGCGAGGGCGGCGAGGTTCTTCAGCATCTGGGGCCGGCGGTGAGCTGGGATCGGCCGTCGCGGGAGGCGCCTTGGTATCCCTTGTATCATCGGCCATTCTGCAAGGATGACGAGACTGCGATGGAGAGTACGTCGAGGCTGGACGATCAGATAAAATAATTGCAGGTGGAATGATGGATCATCGTCGAGGATGGGATCGTATGTTCCACCCTATCTCTACGCTAGTGTTCACGGTCGAGCACAATAGTCTTTGCGCATTTTTGTCGCGCCCCCGCGCCACTTTACGCGTTGGTGTGGAACCCACGCGTCAATTGATACCCCGTCGTGTTTACGACTTTGGTCGACATCCATATTCGCTTTCAACCACTCGACTGCTATAGGGCATGAATAACGCTTCTATTGTCGCATGCGTTGCCTGATATCATGAACAGCAATATTCGATTATAAAACTCTGCGTACGACTGCGCATCGTCGCCGCTGATACTCCACGATGCCCGTCCGAAAGCCGAGCAAATATGGCTCTAATGTTCGTTTCGCCAAAAACTCTTCCCAACGACAGCAGCGAACAAAGACGGTTGATGCTTCCACCCTCCGAAGTAGCGAAACAACCTCCCAAGATGAAAAGTTCGAGGCCATACGGCTGGCCAACAGCATCGATGAATCAATGGGCTTCGGCCGGTTCGATTCCGGCAAGAAGAGAGTCGGATGGCTATATAACATGCACAGTACCACCATACAAGACCCGAAAGTCCCTGGTGGAAGGGCAGGTCTTGACTTCTACTTCATTGGAGACAGTGGAGAGAATTTCAAGGCAACACTCGAGTATGACCCATACTTTTTACTCGCGGTAAAACGAGGCAAGGAGCCTGAAGTCGAAGAATGGTGCAAGAGGATGTTTGAAGGATTGGTCAAGACAGTCACTCGCGTGACCAAGGAAGACCTGAAGATGCCAAACCATCTTCTAGGATACCGTCGCACATTCCTCCAGCTCTCCTTTGCCAACGTCTCCGATCTCTTGTCCGTCCGCAAATTCATCATGCCTATCGCAGAGAAGAATAAGGAAAAGGTGAATGCAATGGACACATATGCCGAAGTGGCGAGCGCGAGTGCAGGCTTTGACGTCTACGATGAGGAAGAGGCCAATGTCGACAAGGCCAACGCCATCACCGAAGCGAGCGATTTCATCGTCGATATACGAGAATACGACGTCCCATACCACGTCCGCGTCACAATCGACAAGGATATCCGGATCGGTAAATGGTACACAGTCGAAGCAAAGCATGGAGTAGTCTCCATGACATGTCTGGAAGAACGTCTCCAAAGAGCAGATCCTGTTGTTCTCGCATTCGACATTGAAACAACGAAGCTGCCCCTCAAATTCCCGGACGCAGCCATTGATCAAGTCATGATGATTTCGTACATGATTGATGGTCAGGGCTTTCTCATAACAAACAGAGAAATCGTCTCCGAGGATATCTCAGATTTCGAGTACACCCCCAAAGCTGAATACCACGGACCCTTTATGATCTTCAACGAAGCCAATGAAAGGGCAACCCTCGAGCGATTCTTCAGCATGATCAAAGAAGCGCAACCCACAGTCATCGCAACTTACAACGGTGACTTTTTCGATTGGCCTTTTGTTGAAGCCAGAGCTAGTGTCAACGGCATCGATATGTATGCCGAGATTGGATTCCGAAAAAATAGCGAAGACATCTACCAGAGCGACTATTGCGTCCACATGGACTGCTTCGCCTGGGTCAACAGAGACAGCTATCTACCTCAGGGGAGCCGAGGTTTGAAGGCAGTGACCGTCGCCAAACTCGGCTACGATCCAGACGAGCTCGATCCGGAATTGATGACACCTTATGCAAGCGACCAACCTCAAATCCTGGCAGAATATTCCGTCTCTGACGCTGTGGCAACCTACTATCTGTACATGAAATATGTCCACCCCTTCATCTTTTCACTCTGTACCATCATTCCACTCAATCCGGACGACACTCTTCGCAAAGGTACGGGTACCCTATGCGAGATGCTTTTGATGGTGCAGGCCTACCAGAAAAACATTGTTTTGCCAAACAAACACAAAGAGCCGAGAGAAGCGTTCTGGGAAGGTCACCTTCTAGACTCCGAGACCTACGTCGGCGGCCATGTGGAGAGTATTGAAGCTGGCGTTTTTCGTGCCGATATCCCTGTCAACTTTGCCGTTGATCCCTCAGCAATCGACGAGCTGTTGAGGGATCTCGATGCAGCATTGCAATTTTGCATCACAGTCGAAGAAAAGAAATCGCTTGACGATGTCACGAATTATGACGAAGTTCGCAGCCAAATTGTCGAAAAGCTAAACAGTTTGAAGAGCCAACCAAACAGAAATGAACGGCCACTGATTTATCATCTTGATGTGGCTTCAATGTACCCTAATATCATGACCACCAACAGACTGCAACCTGATTCGATGATCTCGGAATCCGATTGTGCTGCATGCGACTTCAACCGTCCTGGGAAGACATGCGACAGGAGGTTGCCTTGGGCCTGGAGAGGCGAATTCATGCCGCCCAAACGAGACGAGTACAACATGATTCGGAGGGCAGTTGCCAACGAGACTTTCCCAGGCAAACACCCAAAAGCAGCAAGACGCACATTCCAAGAATTGTCCTTGGACGAGCAGGCCGCGACCGTGCGAAAGCGGCTGCAGGAATACTCGAAGAAGATCTATCACAAGATTCACGATTCAAAGACGATACAGCGAGAAGCGATCATCTGCCAACGTGAAAATCCCTTTTACGTCGACACCGTCAGCACTTTCCGAGATCGTCGTTATGATTTCAAAGGTCAGCAAAAGGTGTGGAAAGGTAAGACGGAAGCCCTCAAGGCTTCTGGAGCACCAGCTCCGGAGGTTGAAGAGGCTAAGAAGATGATCGTCCTCTTTGATTCACTACAACTAGCCCATAAAGTCATTCTCAACTCTTTCTATGGCTACGTGATGCGAAAAGGATCCAGATGGTACTCCATGGAAATGGCAGGTGTTACTTGTCTCACAGGTGCTCACATCATTCAAATGGCGCGGGAGCTTGTCGAAAGGATTGGTCGACCATTGGAACTGGACACAGACGGTATCTGGTGTATGCTTCCAGCGACCTTCCCAGAAAACGTCGTCTTTACATTGAAAAATGGGAAGAAGATGGCCATCTCGTATCCCTGCGTGATGTTAAATCATCTTGTCCACGCCCGATTTACGAATCATCAATACCAAACCCTAGTCGATGCAAAGACCTTCAAATACGAAACGCACAGCGACAATTCAATCTTCTTCGAAGTCGACGGGCCGTACAAGGCCATGATCCTGCCCACGTCCAAGGAAGAAGACAAGAATCTGAAGAAACGCTATGCAGTTTTCAATCACGATGGTAGCCTGGCGGAATTGAAAGGCTTCGAAGTCAAGCGACGTGGTGAATTGAAACTCATCAAGATCTTTCAAACACAAATCTTTAAATTCTTCTTGGAAGGAACGACACTTGCTGAGACATATTCGGCCGTTGCTCGTGTTGCAAACCGATGGCTGGACGTGTTGCATCAACATGGTTCGACCCTGGCAGATGAGGAGCTGATCGACCTGATTTGCGAGAACAAAAGCATGACCAAAACACTTGAAGAGTACGGTGCACAAAAATCGACATCCATCACCACAGCGAAACGACTTGCCGAGTTTTTGGGCGATCAGATGACCAAGGATAAAGGCTTGAACTGTAAATACATCATATCATCAAGACCACGCAACACCCCTGTGACAGAACGAGCGATACCCGTGGCGATCTTCTCCGCCGAGCCGAGTGTCAAACGCTTCTTCCTGCGAAAATGGATGCGAGACGACCCTGCTGATATGGACCCGAGAAGCGTTATTGACTGGGAATACTATCTCGAACGCCTTGGCTCTGTGATTCAAAAGCTCATCACAATTCCGGCAGCTCTGCAAAAGGTCCGGAACCCTGTTCCACGCGTGGCACATCCAGACTGGTTGCAGAAACGAATCGATGCCAAAGAGGATAAATTCAAACAGAAGAAGCTGACAGACACTTTTGAGAAGAAACCTCTTGCTGAACGGTCTGTAAATCTTCTTGAACACCGGCTACCCGTCACTGGTGATATCGAAGATGCCCTCAATGCAGAATTGAAGTCTCCAATACAGCTTCCGAGGCCAGCCAAACGTAAAGCCCAGGAAGAAACGGCTCAAACTCTGGTAGATCCCTATGCAGAGCTACCCGCCGATGTCCCAGATGTCGACGAAGACTATAGTGATTGGTTACAGTATCAGAAAAAGAAGTGGAAGATTCAAAAACAGGCACGCGCTCGTCGGCGTCAGCTCTTTGGAGAACGGCCAAACGTTGCAACAGACTCGATCAGCAATTTTTTCCGCAATCAAGCCGAATTGTTGTTTATCAGCACTTGGCAGGTACTTCAACTTCGTCAGGGAGATATGCCTGGAGAGGTCAAGGCTTTTGTGTCTATTGGAAAGAAAATCCACATTTTGAATATCAAGGTTCCGAGAATCTTGTATCTCAATCTGAAGGGTGAAGATCTTCCTGACGTCGAAGTGCCGGGCTGCGAAGTCGAAAAGGTCAACCACGTTCTCCCAAATGGGCATCCGTCAGTCTATCTTTTCCAACTGACCATGTCCGAAGACACATATTTGAAAGAGGCAGAGTCGGTTGCCCTGCTTTGCAACCATCAGAGTGTTGAAGGGGTCTACGAACGCAAACTACCTCTCTATACCAGGGCCATGCTTAAGCTGGGCAACATGTGTTCATTTGATGAAACGCAAAAAGGTGTTCTGGGGAAGGGCCTTGAACATGGGTTTGACCTCGACGCTTTGCTGCGGAGTAATTCCCAGTCAACATATCTGGAAGACCCAAGTATGATGGCCTATACCTACCTCTACCACACGACATCGGGCGATCGAACAGTATTCGCCCTCTTCTCCTCCGCCGGAACGCAAGCCCATATTATTGTTCTGAGTCGAAGTCGCGATGCACAGTTGCCAAATGCTGACAAAATGTACTTGGAGCAACACCGATTGAAACAGCAGGAAGGCAATTCCCCATCGACTGTGTTCGCATATCAGTCTTCCATTCAGTTCAAGGTTAGTCAAGTGACTACGAAACGGAAGGCCTACCTTGAGATCGGTGATATCCTCAAGAAGTGGCGTAGCGAGGAATCGAAGCCCACCATGTTGCTGCTACAAACGAACTCCAACAAGCAATTGATGCACGATATTCGGATCATCAAGGACTATCCGGTGTTATGTTTACCTACGGAGCAAGCAGACACCGATTTACCATCTCTGGGATGGCAAGGCTACGTGTTCAAACGGGTGATCTCCCATTATCTTAATGTCACCGGTTGGCTGTCTCACCTTATTGAACTGGCGAGGTATGGAGACGTACCAGTCTGCAATCTGGAGAAGGACGATCCTCGATTCTTAATTGACTTGGCCTACGCTCGGAGACTGAAACGAAACAATGTCGTGCTTTGGTGGTCCGACAGCCCACGTCCTGACCATGCTGGCCATGAGCGCGATGACATTTTAGGACCTTTGACCGAAGTGGTGGAACTGCCCTCGATCAACAACCCCGGTGTGTATACCTCAGTGTGCGTTGATGTCTCGGTGCAGAACCTTGCAATCAACACGATATTGACCTCATCAATCATCAACGATCTCGAAGGATCAGCAGAATCTGTAGCGTTCAACCCTGCAGCTGGTGAAGAAACACCACTGAATTCGAGCATGGTCAAACCTAACGCTGGATTTGCGCAAACAGCATTAGAGGTTCTGCGAGACATGGTCAAATCTTGGTGGGCAGAAGCTTGCCGTGGCAACCGGCTGGCGGACGTCATGGTTCAGCATCTCGTACGATGGGTTGAAGCACCGGCATCATGTCTATATGACAGACATCTACACTACTATGTGCAGATGATGTCCAAGAAGGCTATGCAACAGCTGATTACTGATTTCAGAAGGGTTGGATCTCAGGTTGTGTTTGCATCCACAACGCGTCTCCTACTTCAAACCTCCAAACAGGAAGTTGGGAACGCATACGCATACTCGCAATACATCTTAAAGTCCATTCAGCAGAAGCCACTTTTTCACTTTTTGGGGTTGGAGATCAAGGACTACTGGGACATCCTAGCTTGGTATGATCAATACAACTACGGTGGAAAGGGCACATCAACTGTGACGGAAGAGACCAACAATTCAAATCTCGAAATTGTTGTGCACTGGCAGATTGCACAATTTCTCCCTGAGCCATTGCAACCAGTCTTTGACGATTGGGTTATCACCTTCATCGAGATCATGCAGAATCTCAAGCGACCAACCGCAATATCCGAAGACGCATCTTCAACGCCCCGACCCACACAACTGGCCTCGGGGTTCATCAGCCTCACCGAAGACCCAACGAGCACCGAAGTGACCAGTGTCCTGCAGGAAGATTTCTCCAAACCCTTGCGCAAGCAGATCACAGGATTGATCCGACGCCAACGAGAAGAATTGCTCCACCCGGAACTAGCAAGCGACTGGACGTTTCCCAGTCTTGCAGGTGGCAGTCTCGAATCGAAAGACCCGCGACATCCGCACGACCCAGTTTTGGAGCTAGTCAAGTCGCTGATGCAAATTGTGTCACTATCGAAGCCTCTGCAGCTTGAGGCACGTCTACTTCGTAAAGACCTTCTGGCGTTGTTTGACGCACGCGAGTTCAGTAAGGAAGGTCGGTTTGAGAACCCCAGCTCTAGCCTTCGGTTCGAAAACCTCATTTGTGACACATGTACGATGACTAGAGATCTAGACTTGTGTCGCGATGAAGATGTCCTACCCGATGCCACAGCCAAGTCCCAGGACGATGCATTGACGAAACCATGGCGTTGTCTCAGCTGTGGAGGCGAATACAACAAGATTGTCTTGGAAGAGAAGCTGATATCGCGGATCCAAGCAAGTTTGATGAGCTGGCAGATGCAAGATCTGAAATGTAAGAAATGCGGTGTCTTGCAAGGCGACGATTGTGTCTTTACGGATCATTGTTCATGTGGTGGAGAGTGGTGTGGCACGACAGACAAGGGGGACATTACGAACAAAGTGAGAATCATGGAGAGGGTCGCGTCTGCGTATGGTTTGAGGATGTTGGAAGGTGTGGTGCACGGTGTCAAGTCAATGTGTATGATTTCATGAGCGATGAGGGACGTGGTTGGTGGTGAAGGACGTTGGATTCGTGTCACTACAATAAAGGAGAAGATGTGGTGGAGTCTAGGAGTGTCTTTTGCACAACATTGCGAGGTGTTGGTACAGGACATTTGATTTGATGTGGTTGCATGCTGCCTTTGTATAGATACAGAGCAGCCTTGAGCATGACAGCATGTTTTTCAGTCTGGTAGAAGATAATGTAGAAGTCAAGAATGCTACTACAAATATTCCCTGATTCATGGTATTTGACGAGGCTGAAATTCTTATGTCAGCCGCACTTGGCCTCGTTCCGTCACGTGTGGAGCGTCAACATCCAACGACTTCTGTGATGGTTTGAACCAGAATTCAAGGTACAAACTCGACACCATAATCGGCCTGCGCTCTCTGTTCACCAGTCTTTAGCCCCTCCATCGCAATGAGATATGGAGGGACTCGGATACTACAGCGATCAATTGCGCTGAGGAGGTGTTCTCAGAGTTGTGGGCTCCCTCTAAAACAACTGCAACAACTCCAGAACAGACAGTGTCTAGTCAAGCGCAATTTGACACGATGGTCAAGCACACAAGCAGGACGAACTAGCCCTGAGGCGTCCAAAGATTCCGTAGCCCAACCTGAGACCACCCCCTCGTCTCCTCTCACAGATCTTCCATCACGACAATGGTCAACACCGTTAGCGAAAACCATTGCGCAGGCAATCGAGGTAACAAGTGCCAACCACACCAAAGATTCGCGCCCGGGTTTTTTACTAATATGACATGTCGCCTCCAGGTAACAGGCCCAATCTCGATCGCTTCATACATGCGGCAATGCCTCACCAACCCCGACGGCGGCTATTACACCACGAATCATACCTCCTCAGACACGCCCGATCAGTTCGGCAGGGCTGGTGACTTCATCACTTCCCCCGAGATATCCCAAATCTTCGGCGAATTGGTCGGAATCTGGTTCATGACAGAATGGATGGCACAAGGTCGGCCAAGAGAGGGAGTGCAATTTATTGAAATGGGCCCTGGACGAGGCACCCTCATGAGTGACATGCTCCGCACCATCGGCCAATTCACCACATTCGCCAATGCCATACAAGCAGTCTGGCTCGTGGAGGCAGGAGAAGCTCTTCGACATAAACAGAAAGATACCCTGTGCGGTCAGACGGCTGAAATCAAAGAAGTCACAGACGACACAGGCAAGAATAAATGGTGGGAAGCTACAAGTAAGCAGGGAATTCCTGTAAGATGGGTCGAAGATATCGTCTTGTTGCCGGAAAGGGGTCAAGAAGCGCAAATGCCATTTATAATTGCCCATGAGTTCTTCGACGCTTTGCCTATCCATGCATTTGAGTCTGTTGCGCCGAAACCCGAGGATGTACAGGAACAAGAGGTCGATCGACCACCCCTCGACAGCACATCTCAACCACCACCGACGACCAGACCATCGTCGTCGTCAAGCAAAGTCCCTCAATGGAGAGAACTTCTCGTCGCTCCAACCAAGCCGACAATTGATCTAGGACTGGACCAAACAACATCATCATCAGATAATGGCGGTCCACCCCGTCAGGGGAAAAAAGACCCAACTCCAGACTTTCAACTCACACTTGCTAAATCCAGCAATCCAGCATCGCTAGTAATTCCTGAACGAGCACGATACAAAGCATTGAAAAATCAAGTATCATCACGGGTGGAAATTTCGCCCGAAAGTTCACGATACGTCCGATCATTTGCTCGACTCATCGGCGGCGACGGTCTCTCGTCACCATCACGGCAACAGCAACAGCAACAAACCCGGCAACAATCAGCCTCTACTACAACCTCCAAACCCACCACTCCCTCCGGCGCCGCCCTCATCATCGACTACGGACCACTCGACACCGTCCCTGTGAACTCTTTACGAGCTATCCGCAAACACCAAATCGTGTCTCCATTTGTCCACGCCGGCGCCGCAGACATTAGTGCAGACGTCGACTTTGGCGCCCTAGCCGACACAGCACTCGAAGCCAGTCTTGGTGTCGAAGTCCACGGTCCCGTCGAGCAGGGGATGTGGTTGTTACAATTGGGGATTCAAGAACGAGCTCAACGATTAGTTAAGAATATCCTGAAGACGGCGCCGGCGGGCAGTGGGTCGGTAATTGAGACGGAGCAATTACAGAAGAAGATCCAGGATCTTGAGGCTGGGTGGAAGAGGTTGGTTGAAGGAGGGCCGAGAGGAATGGGGAAGGCTTATAAGGTGATGACTATCTTGCCAGAGAATGGTGGGAAGAGGAGACCGGTTGGGTTTGGTGGGGGTGTTGTTGGTGGATAAAAAAAACAAGAGGGTTATGAATCAACAGGGTGGGTGTATGTTGGTTTATCCGTCTTGTCTGTTCTGTCTGTCTATAAAAAGCACGACTCTCGCTGTATGTCATGTACAACAATAATTATGTATAAACATGTGTACAACAACACAACACCCATCTTCAAAAATTTCCATTTCTTAAACATGAGCATCCAAATCCCAAAACCTCACCTCCATTTCCGCGGCCCTCAGAAAAATCTCCATCAACTCATCGACCCTCTCTGGACTCTGCTTGACAATCTCCCTTTCAATCAACTCCCTGCCCACATCCACGGCCTGCGCATAATCCTCCGCCACATAATTCTCCACCCATTTCCAATACCTATTCCCCTTTTCCGCCGTCACACTCAATGGATCCGCGTACAACATCCTGGCCGCCTCGCCATACCCCAACAAACACGGCGCCAGGGCCATTTGCAACGCAAGCCAATCCTGCGAATGGCCGATATCCAGCACATAGCGAGAATAGGCCACACAAGCGAGACTTTCGCGACGATCGGGGGATTCGAGATCGGTTTCGGAAATGCCGAATTCAGCGCAGTAGGTCTTGTGCAGGTCGGTTTCGCGTTGGATGTGTAGGACGATTTGAGCGGATGCGGCGATCGACGACATGGTTTTGGATTTGTAGCCCGCGAGAGAGTGTGTGCGGGCAAAGTGGCGCAGGTACAAGTAGTCTTGGATGAGGTAGTTTTTGAAGATGGTTTCGTCGAGCGTTCCGCGTGCGAGTTGGAGTGTGAATTCGTGTTGGGTGTAGGCTTTCCACACGGGTTGGATTTTGGGGTGCGAGAGGAGATATTCGATGAAATGGCCGCGTGAGAAGACGTGGTGTTGAACGTTGTGGAAGTGGTTGATGGGGCCGGAACCTTTTCCGAGGGTTGGGTCGGCGGAAGAGATTCCAGATGTGACGTATCGGACGGCGAGGCGTGTGGCGGTGGGGAGGGAGAGAGACGACGACGACGACGAGGATGATGGTGATGATGATGATTGTGATATCTGTAATGCCAGGTTTGCTGCAATTGCACTCGCCAATGAACATCCCGTCCCGTGGGTGTTTCTCGAATCGATATACTCGGATTCAATAATCATATAGTTATCACCGTCACCATCATATAGGATATCAACAGTGAGTTGCTTCTCATCATCGGAATTGGCTTTCTCATATGATTTAGTCAAAGGCATGTGACCGCCTTTCAAGAGAACAGCCTTTGGTCCTAGACTGTAGACCAATTTCGCCAGAAGCTTGAGATCATCGAGATTAGAGGGTGATTTATATTGGATGTCGGCGTCTCGTAAGAGAAGAGTAGCTTCGGGGATGTTGGGGGTTAGTATGGTTGTTAATGGTAAGAGTAAGTCACGCAGATTTCGGACGGCGTCACCAGGGAGGAGTTGTGCGCCGCTAGTAGAGACCATGACCTGGAGAGAGAAGGAGAGGACGTTAGATTTTGATTCAGTTTAATTCATTTGACTTGATTTCATGGTCGGTGACTTACAGGATCAAGTACAACCGTCGAAACACCATGTCTTGTCAGGGCGTCGGCAATGATCTTGATCGTCTCGGCTGATGCAAGCATTCCTTTTAAAAAATACGTATGTCAGTTAGTCCTTGGAAGAGTAAGAGGAATCCCCATTCCCAGAACACAGAACATCAAAAAAGAAACCTACCCAATTTCACCACGTCACATCCAATATCACAGAGACAAGCATCAATCTGCTTAGCCACAAAAGCCGGAGGAGTGATATGAACGTCCTCGACGCCCAGGGTATTCTGGGCAGTCAGTGCCGTTGTTGCAGTCATGGCATAGCATCGGTGAGCAGCTAGGACTTTTTGGTCTGCTTCGAGGCCACTAAGTAGATTAAAGAGGTATTAGTTTCTTTGATTTCCTAGCTAGACCCTGGCGATTTTCGAGTCCTTGGGATATAACTTACGCTCCGCCTGAGCTGTCTGAGCCGGCGATGACGAGCACCCGTGGCATGGTCATAATGGCCTTTGTAGCGAGAGGGCCAGCTGGAGGATTGATACGACTGTAGTTATTCTATCAAATTGTAAACCGTCTGTCTCTTTGGGTCGAGAATCTTTCACATGAGATTGTGTCTGGTAACCACTAACCAGGTTCCAAGGCAATGTTCGGATAGTACAGGCTAGGCGAGGCTAGGCGAGGCTGATGAATTCCCCGCTCCGAGCCAATGAAACGTCATCAGGCTGCGGGGCAAAATGGCATGAGATTTCTCCTCCGAAAGAAATCAGTCAGTCAGTTATTAATAAGACAATGAAACAAACAGGTGGATTCAATATTGATAATCATTGTACCGCACAGTAATGCAGAGAAATGCTCCATGCGCGCCACGCATTACTTGTTCAAGTCCTGGTCAGGTCAACCAACACTACGACACAACTCCTATTTCAATGCAAAGCCGAACAAAGTGTCCATCTCCACCCATTGGCGACCACATTTCCTCAGGTAGGCATCCACCACAGCTTTGATATCGGCAAACCTATCCTTGTTGGTCTCTGCCAGAACAACAATTCGGTCGGCTCTATCCGCATACTCCTTTTCTGACCGGGCCTTGGCTTTGGCTTTGTCGACGTCAAACAGCGTGGCAAGGTATAGGAGCTGGTTGTAGAGTTTCTTCTCTGGATATTCATAGCCCATACGACCCAAACATCCTTCTGCTCTTCCGTTCGGACCCAGACATCGGTGTCCATAGACTGACATCTGTCTGGTGCGGTTCCCACACGATGAATCGTCACAGACAAGCCAACCTTCGTAGTACGCACTGGTTTGTGATCGGATCTGTGAATCCAACTGCATCACGATTGACATGGGCGAGAACACTTTCCCGCACGCGCTGTTGCTGCAACTGATCCCATTGGGACTTGAGATCGTTGTCGACTCACACAGTCCTTCAAACACGGTGACTTCCTTGCAATCCCTGCAGCGCAATCGAAGTCTGGCAGCGTCCTGGAATCTGACGCTGTCGGGAATCTGTGACTCGAGAGGAAAGATCTCGGCGTTCTGACGGCTTGACGAGGTGTTGGTGTTGATCTGATACTTGCGAACGTCCAGACCGAGACATTCTGCTAATCTCACCGAATCGGTTCCCGGAATGGGCGCGCATAGACGCTCGATAGGTGGTAAGATTTGCTTGTACAAGTAGTACTCGATGTCTGGGACCAGGCCAGAGTCGGCTTTCTGCACGTCTTGAGGTGTGTATGATCGCTTAGGCGCAGGTTGGCTCTTGGTCTGTTCGTCTCCCATGGTGACAATGTATGCCATGACATCGTTGACACGAACTGGTTTTCCCCTCGCGATCTCGCGCAGAGCCACTTGGACTTGTGGCATCGAATCTGCATTCGGGTACTCGGTTGGATTTTTACCCAATTTCTAAAATTTGTCAGCCAATCTTCGATTTGCCTCTCCCAGGGCTGTACTCACAGTATAGATGACATATTTCTGCGCGTTGATCTTGCTTTCCCTCATGTTGGTGGCCAGCTCTCGTAGGTATTCGTGGATCTTTTCCAACACGACTTCAGAATCCTCTCCAGAAAGAATCTCGTTGAGAAGTCTTTGGGACGCCTCCTTTGATAGAGCACAATACTCCCTTCTCTTCATATCCAAACCCTTGACCTCAAGCTTCTCAACAAACTTGCCATCAATTTCAGCCATATTGATAGCGGCGTACTTCTTTTTGGCGTGAAGCAACAGACGTCGGAACACATTGTCGATATCGATCTCCAACAGTCTGTAGCGTTCGTTGACAGACTTCTTGAATTCATTACCCACTGCCAATGCCTGTGCAATGGTGTCCGTGTTGGTATTGATCATGACCGAATCAGTATCACCATAAATGACCTGCAGTTGATTGCTCTCTGCGAGTTCCTTTGTACTTCTGAGAATCTCTCTTCCCTTGAAGGTGGTGAGCATGGCCAGCGGTCGGGCATAGAATCGTGACTGTGTGTAGCCCAAACAACCGTACATAGAGTTGGCCGTGAGCTTCAGGGCCATTTGCTTCGTGTCGTACAGAGCCATCTGCTCGGCGGTGGCTCGTTTATCCTTCATCAATTTCTTGACTTCTCGCCGACGAGAGACGAGGGTGGCAATCAGCTTTGGTAAGATACCCTGGTTTTGATCCATAGGTACTTCTGGCACCTTCTCTTCGTTCTCATTTTCTGCAGTTGTTGTTCGGTCCACGGTGGTGAAGCAGATGTTGTACTCCTGGATGATGCTGGGGTACAAACTGTTGAAATCCATGACCAAGATGAACTTCTCGTACAGGCCTTTTTCGGGTTCGAAAACAAGACCACCCTTGTACTTGTCTTTCTTCTTGGTATCAGCGCCCTCTTCATCTTCATTTTCCACTTGTGCCTTCGCTCGGCCTTTGCCATACTCTTTGTCTGGACAGATGTATTTATTGCGATGGAACTCGTGCAGCAAAATGTATTCGTTTCGTTCAGCACGGGTGCCACTCAATGTTCGAGCCCACGAGTTACCCGCTAGCTCGGTCAGGACCTTTGTCAAAGGAAGCATTTGCAATTTCAGAACAAGAGCCGCGATAAAGAAGGTGTCGGCGTGGCAGTGGTTGACATAATTCATCAGACCATCGCGGGTTGTGGCCCACGTCTTGAGAGCAGATTCGTTGTCGAGTTCGCGTCGAGGATTGTCAGGACCCAAGTAGAGTTCACACATTTCCGACAAGCTCCACTGCTGGCACTTGGTCATCAAAGACTTGCCCATATCGTTGGCGAGGTCACACATCAGACGTCCTGCTAAGAGTTGTCGCTCGGCGAAAAAGGAAGAACCGCCCTTTCCAAAGGTTTTGGGCCATTCTGCGCGCTTCATTCGTCCAATTCGATGCCATCCAGGGGTTTTCTTCTCCTTGAGACGACTCAGCAAGATACTGTAGTCGACTTCTTGCAGCTGATGTCCCATGAGACAATCTGGGTCCACCTTCTCGAACAGGGCAAGGAATTTACTGAGGAGAAATTGCTCACTCTTCTCAAGGAAAAAAGTACCCTTCTGCTTCTTGGTCTCTGCTTCAAATCCTACAGGATAGGCCGATCCTGAGGGGCGCATAACCGTGAATGTTCGGGATGGCATCTTTTCTGGTGGAGTGGTGTCGGTCAACGAGACGTTCTCATACACTCGAGCACTAGCCATCAGGATCTCTTGCTTGTTTTCCTTGACGTTGAGTTGGGTCCGGAAAGACAACGACATCAAAGTGAGTCTCGGTGCCTCGGTTTGATCAGACTGAGGAAGCACGCTGATGCTGGCAGGTTTGGAGACGGCGCATTCCAGCTTGCACCAGGAGGCATTGTTGACAGCGGTGAAGTCGGCACCCTCGATGTTGAGCCAGCAAGGGCCCATGATGTTCTTCCACAGAACAAATTGCTCAAACAAAGCAGTGTTGGTGCCAAAGACACGCGAGAAAGTTTCGCCCTTGAGATCCATTGGAAGTGGAGTTTTGTCGTATGGATACAACAGCTTCAGATACTCGGCCTCTTTGGGAACGTCTGGAAGTTCAAAGGCATACTTTCTCGTGCATGTCTTGACTTTCCTCGTGCTGATTTTCATCTTGGACATGAGAGAGTCCACTTCTGTAAAGACATCCTCCCATTCGACGGGTTCCTCGGTGTCACGGCCATCTGAGTCTTTCCGTCTCCGTGGCAAGAAGTACATCTTTCGCAAGATGTTGTCAATTTTGACAAAAGCACTGAGATACTGGCCGGTGACCTTGTGTTTGACCTTGCCGAAGAGACACAAGCTGCCATTGACCTCGGTGTAATCGAGCCAGAACATGCGAAGGCTCCCATCTTCCTCGACGGCATCTTGAGGTTTCATTTTGCCGAATGTCATTGTTTCCGAGGAAGGACTGCTTTGAATACTTAGTTTGCTGGTGATGTTGTTCCACGAGGCTGCATCGACTTCGGTGGTTGCAGGGACTGGTGGTGAAGAATTGAGTGGCGTTGGAAGAGAAGTTGCCTTGATCTTTGGAGGTGGTCTGCTGCCTGTCATGTTGACGCTCGTGGAGGTTGAGCCTTGGTGCCCAGTGGCTTGAGCAACCATCATCATGTCGTCGTCGTCTTCCTCCTCCTCTTTGATGTGGATCTTGGCCTTGCGTTCGACGGCTTTGACAACGGGCGAAGATGGGAGGGGGTCACTCATGATGTTATCATCGTCACCCTGCAACAACATGTTGTCGTCTTCCTCAAATGCGGTCTGAGCGGGAGGAGTATCGACCAGTGCGGTCTGCGGAGGCTGGTAGCTTCTCTTGGGCCTTTCTTGGGTGAGAGGAGGAGAAAGGACTCTGACTTTTCGACGAGACTCGGTCTTGATGGTCTTTTTGTTGAAAGAACGAGCGGGAAGAATGTTGGCGTCGACTTCACCAAGAAGATCTGCCATGAAAGCTTCATCTTCTGCCGTGGTTTGAATCTAAATTGTGTCAAAATGGGTGCTCGCAGGCGTGGTGTCCATGGACTCACCTTTGGCTTTGGTGCAGCGGCGACAGGGCCACTGTTGAAGTAGTTCAAGATTTTATGGTTAGTCTTGTCCTCCTTTTCTCGTTCTTCCTCGCGTTTACGCTTCGCAGCTTTTGACTTTGGTCGAGCATCTTCTCCTTCGTCGCTGCTGTATTGCATGCGCTCGTTTTGCCATTCCTCTCGGCCGTCGTCGGCGTAACCCTCGCCGTGGTCGTCAACAACAAAGTCGTCCCTATCGAGGCGTCCGCGGACCACCTTTTTATAACCATCTTCATCGACCTCGTCGTAAATGGCACCTTTGTCTTCGATCTGGTAAGAATCGAGACGTGTCTTACCGGAGGCACGCTGAGCTCGAAGCTGAGCGAGAGCCGCACGGTGCGACATGTTTGGTTGTCTCGATACTTGGAGAGATCGAGGAACAAATCGTAGGATTTCAAAGTGAAATTGATGGAGAGGTGGTGTAGAGAGGTGAAAGTGAGTGCTCAGGTAGGTCGGGTAATTGATTGACTACACGTCGCGTAGTCCGACGCGCTTTAGGCGGATGCCCGTGACGTGACGTGTTGCCTGAACGCGTTAAATTAATATGGCAGGAAGAATTGGAGAAGTGCCCCAGCCCCCACCACTTCAACGCACCTTCCAATGACTGAGCATTACTGAGCAAAGTTTAGCTTCTTATAGGCTTCGGGCTGCTCTTAGGCGGTCGAACCAGTGATATCCCCGCGACTCTAATACAAAAGTCCGACTTACTACCAGAGCATTCAGGTTGTTAATGACAAAAGCATCAGGGCTCATATTCTATTCGACAAGCTTTGAAAAGCATGTTCTAATCTTCAACTCCAGTCGTACACGAACTCGTTGTCATGTTTGGCAACACATCAAATGACCAGACCACTGCCCAGGGCCATCACACAAGCCTCAACCCTCGTCCTTCTCTCCATCGGATCTTCCTTCAAAAATCGAATCTGGCTAACTTGGGCACTCTTGTGAATACGTAAGCGTCCATCTCTTTATCATATTTCCCATGTTCTCCGAATCTTCGTCCCCTCCTGGGTTTCCAGTCAGTATTCTGCAAGTTTATCAGCGGATGATATTTCTCATACCTATGCAATGGTTTGTGCTCCTCAAAATCGTCATGTCCTTCCCGACGAACACGCTCGACCTTGACCTCTTCCTTGATCACGGGAATAGCTTCGTACTCGGGCAGACCAACCACACGTACACGTTCGCGCTTGGCCGGTTCATGAACGGGGACATGAGGCTTGGGGGAACCTCTGTGTTCAGAATGGTTGATTGAGATGCGGGTCTCTCGTGAAGTCCTTGAAGTCGATGACCATGAGCCGAAGATTGTGCTGAAGAAGGAGGAAGACGAGGACGAGTGGTGCGATACACGACGTCCACTTCTTGATCTCTGCACCTCGACACTGGATTCGAAGTGATCCTCGCTCACAGGAATTGACACCTGATCGTGAGGATGAGAATGGGAGGCATGTTGAGTTTGGTGACGAGGGTAGTCCTCAAGCGTTGTGGTCTTATGGCGTGGCAATGCTTCCAGGATTTCGTCTTCGCTATCATATTCGGAACCAGAAGAACTGGTGGAATCGACGGTGGAATCGGCTCGGGATCGAACTCTTTCAGCTTGCCGGTCTTTAACCTTGCGCACCACCTGATACCGGCCAGGGGAGACTTTCATGATATACATGACTGTTCTTGTCGATATATGGGAATTGTTCTGTAATGAAGAGATAGATTCCAGAACAATTCGAAGAGTTCTTTTCGCACGCTGGAGGGTTATTCAAGACGGCGGTTCTGGTCTGGTGTGGTAAGTAGAGGAACGTTGAATTTGCAGGCTGATCAGCTTGGACAAGTTACCACAGCCAGACTTTGGCAGAATACTTATTGACAACAGAAATCCCTATCTCATCAAGAGTCAAGATTCCGAACAAACCTGGAAGAAAACACCATTCTTTGATGGCAAGGAAGCAGCCTGGATCCATGATCCAACATGTCTACAGCATTGTCAACACACACAAAAGACCAGGTGTGGCAATCGCGGCATGGCGAACATCCTCAAGGTCTTGCTAGTTTGCCAGTCTCATCGACAAGAACTGGTCACATAGGACACAATGAAAGTGGTGTTGGATGGCATTGTGATGCATGATTGCCTCCTGGTGGAGGTGGTTGTAGGTCTCAAGCCACAAAGGTTGAAGGTCTCACGAGGTTAGAACAAGGTTAGAACAAGGTCATGCGGACCAGCACAGTGGGTTTTCCAGTCTCAAGACAATGCCAGAAGCATGTCAGATGTGCGTGATTCAGTATAATGACTTTGGCTATTCTCATGTCATGTACATATTGTACATTGGTATCGTGTGAACAACGTCTGAAAGGATTTCGGCATGGATGTTGTTGATTGTGGCTGTCAACAAACATCAAAGGTGAAATGGAAGTTGTGGTCATCTCCTCTTACTAAGTGTCACGTGGGAGTGCAGAAATGCGCTTCATGACAATTTGATCTGGGCGATTTAAATATAGTGCGCAGTAGTGCTTCTCCAATGGCATCCTGATGACCAGAGAATCAGAGAACACGAGAACCTTTCATAACCATCCATATCCTAGAAACAAAAGTGTGGGATTTTATCACTTTGACCGGGTCCAGCATCTGCCTCAGCAGCCTGCTCACGGCTAACATCCGGACATGTCTCAAATATCAGGGGTTCAAATCAAAACAAGTTGGCAAAATGCCCCAATGTGATCCTTGGACATAGATTTCCAACGCTTAAATATCCCTATCTATCTGGCCAGCTTCAAAGTTTCGACTTGATCTCTCCGCTCTGTACCAAATGAGTAAAACTACACAGAAATCACACACGGAGATCAAGAACTCACCTGTGAGCCCTCTTGATTCTTCGCGTGCGATAGAACCCACTCAGCCACATCCTTTGCAAATTGCTCCCCAACTCCATCTGGCTCGGCATGCAGTTTATGGTACGCATCCGGGTAATCACACCAAGTTTTATCTCCATCAGGAGCCTCCAACACATCAAAGACTCGTCGCGCAGCCTTAGGTGACACAACTCCATCCGCCGACCCGTGTGCCAACCAGACCGGACAAGGAAGCTTAACCTGTAGACCAGCAATTTTATGACCGTAGCCCAGATTGGAAAGATCAGCCGCTCGTTGTAGAAGGCCCTTGAGACCTTCTAGAGTGCCCGTGTCATGGCAGAGTGGATCGTTGACCCAATCATTTCTCACCTGCTCTGAGTGTGACATATAGGTAGGATGCAGCTTCTGCTTTAGTTGTGTCTTTGGGAGGAGAAGAGCTGCGAGTTTCCCGGCTGCGACTTTGAGATATGTGGGTTGTTCTGATGGATCAAGTTCGACGTAGGGAGCTTCGAGGAGAAGACCTGAGATGCTAGGACGTTGTTGGGACAGTGAGCTGGATGTTGATAGAAGATAGTGAAGAACTTCTCCGCCGCCCATGCTATGACCCATTAGAAACAAGGGCACGCCTTTAGCTTCCGGTAGTGATGCGACATGGAGGATGAAATCGTGGATATCTGAGAGGACAAGAGTCGTTGGTCCTGTATTACCGCTGTCGGCGGCCTTCTTGACCGAACGTCCCCAGCCCCGTTGGTCGAAGCCATACACGGCGATGTTGTGTGGAGGCGAGCTCAATGTTGGGAAGAAGTCATAGTACGCTGGTAGATGTAAGCACTAGGCGTCAACTCCCTAGACTGAGATTCTTTACCGTTGATGTGATCCGAGAACCCATGCACGAAGACCAGTAAGGCCGCAGGGGTGCCTGAATCTGGCTGTTGGGGAGGTTAGTTAAGAGACTCGGTTTGAGCAAGAATGATCAACATCTGGAGGAATCCAGTTGCGACCAATGAATTCATCGGTGGGAAACTCACCTTCCACGACTTGATGTATAGTTCCGTGCCATCTGATGTGGCGAAGACGCCCTCGCTGGTGACAGTCATGCTGCTGGAGAGTATTCGCCCAGGGGGTGGACTGGTGCCTAGATGGCGGCGAGTCTGCCTTCAATCGACGCGATGGGGCTCCTGGCTAAGAAAGAAACTCTTCGTAACCTATATTCCAACTTCAATGGCTCAGATAGTAAATAGTCATAATCTGTAGGAGAAGTGGTAAAGATGAAATGGAGTTGGTTGTAGGAATTGGATGTCGTCAAATATCAGGAATAAAAATACCGAGGCTGGACGCCACAGCTGAACATAAAATGACACATGTGCGACCACGTCAATTGTCCAGCCAATTCTTGCTACAATCATACAAAGCTCTTAATCTGCTCCCTTGCTAAGAAACATTAGGCATATGTACTAGCTTGGATGTCTTGAATGCATACTCCGTACTTACGCTATCATTATCTCATCGTGTTAGGTAATCCTTGGTATGGCTCCCTCCGCAGGCACATCTACCTATAACGCATGGCATGTCTATGTTTCTAACGTCTTATTCCCACCTTGTGTAGACTCAGTTCCATTATGATCCTAGACTCTCCATACAAAGACCTTCTTGTCGAATCCACCACTGACCAAGATCTCCCTCTTGCCATGCTCGCCAGTCTCAAAAGCAGCATGAAGCGTTCGGATCTTGCTGCCCACTTCATGCGCCTTCAACAGACTTACCACTTTGCCACTCTGGGTGTCAACTCCACGAATGACCCCATCGTCGGCATTGACGAAAACACCATTCCCGCCAGGTCGCCAGACCACCTGCGGGGTTGAGTACGGTGTCTGCGGTGACATGGTGGAAACCTGGAGTTTGATCGCACGGTCCTCCTTGTCTTGTACCGCCAATTCCGCTCGTGCCTGTGATGCTTGTGTCTGAGACACTGGCAGCGGGTCGCTCGTAGTCGTAGGGAACAATAGCCGCACGATCAGTAGCTTCATGTGAGGAAGATGTGAGGTCGCAACAGCAAGGAGGGTGGGATCGGCTGGAGAGAGGGCTAGGCATGATGGTGTAAATGCAACCCAGGCGTTTGAATGGGGTGCCAGATTCTGACGCCCAGTCTCTTGGACGGAATAGCTGATTTGGCTGCTTCGTGACGACGATGACTCTGCTGATGTGGGCGTGACTCGGTAGTAATACAAAAAGGAAGAGTCCCGCCGCGAGAGAACAAGGTATAGCTCGGTGGTGTCTGGGTGTCGGACGAGAACCAATGACTCGGGGTTCGTCGGTAATGTGATGGTATGAATAGGGTCTCCGAGAACACCATTGATATGGGGCTCGTTGTCGGCAGGGATTGCATCACCAGGCTGGAAGTTCTCCACCAGGTCATGCTCAGGAGCATACAAGTGTACTTTCTGATCCCAGCCCGCCGTGGCTACGATCCACCGCTGGTTCTGCGCCACTTCTGTTGTCACTTGAATGGCATATTTGAGATGATCTCGAACCTTGTCCAGCAGCCGGCCATGGCCATCATGAAGCATCAGTTGTCCTGACATGGATGTCGAAAATACGTAGCCTTGGAGAGTACTGATGGACAAGACTGGACTTCCGTGAGCATTGTCGATGGACCCTTGGTGCTTGAATGGAACTTGCGTCGACACTTGAGACCATGACTTGTCCGCGGTGGTGATTAGAAGCTCTTCATCGAGACCGTCCTTGCCTCTACTGCTCGCCACACAAAGGACGTTTGATTTGATCTGGACGTCTGGTTCCACTGGCTTGGACGGTGCTGGCTCGGCCCACCCAGTCAAATGTTCTTCTCCCTTTCTTTCGAAGGCAAGGCTGGTGTCGTATTGATGCTTCTCCTCCAGTATCTTTTCTATGGTCCAATCCCCAGGGTTGGTGCTGGCAGCATCTTCGGGCAAGCCCGCTTCCTCGAGGAAAGCCTTGAGCGTCTACGATAAGAACGGTCAGTATCTCAACTCCGCTGTCATTATGTAAGCGAATATACCTCATAGTAATGATTCGCCTTGAGGAAGCGAGCTACAATGATGCCCGGCGAGTCTGTTGAGGGCATGGTTGTTAGTTTCTGATACAATCTGCTGCTAAAGTTGAAGGCTGCCTTGTAAGACTCCATGACGGAAGAGCCAGTGACGATGATCACGTGATACCACGAATGTCGAAGCAGCTTACGGAGTATTTCAGACACAGCGACAGGACCAAAAGGGATAGAGATAATCACAATGGATAGAGGGTATGAATCTCTTTGATTTATGCTCTCCCGGAAAACGCCTTGCTAACAGGAGACCTCCTATCGTGATTCATGCTCATTTAGACTCGTCCTGAGGGGCACCCATCCCATGTCGAGCCTTATACTCTCTGGGGCTTTCGAAATCTTTCTTCCTGCCACCCCACATGCCTTTCCTCTTGGTCTTTGCCCACCACTCTGCCTTGCGGTATTTGCTTTCCAGCCCCTCACCAAACTCGACACCAGACTTTGCCTCGTAGACGGTAGCCATGCCGGCTCGGAGCATCTGCAGGCCCACATCTCGTCGCCAGAACCACTTCCATACATATGCCGTTCCCACCACTCTGCTGTATTGGTCTATTTTGTACACATAGGCGCGAACGCGTCTTCCTCCAATGTATGATGTTAGCCAGTCCAGGGCTTCTTGTCCATAAGGTTGGGCGGGTCGGCCGAAGTGGGCGAGCTCAGGTGCGTCGATTCCAGCGATGCGAACGTGAATCTATCATACTGTCAGTACATATGTCCCACTGTTGTAGGAGGCATGGTCTGGTACCGTCTGGTCTTTCAACTCTTTCTTGTCCGACGGCACATGGCGTCCTGGCAGCCAACCCCAGCCTGCCAGTCGCCCACCTGGAGTGTGATAGATTCTGAAGTTGTCCCCATCCCCAACGCTCGTCACTTTGCCTAGGAGGCTTCGTCGTCTGAGGAAGGCGGGGTTGATGTTCGTAGCTTGAGGTATCCGCCGCAGGTAGCTTTTGTAGAATCTGAAGAATCCCAACGAAGCTGTAGTGAGAATGACTGTAGCGATCACAGTCTGAGGCTCCATGAATGCTCCCAGCGGACTGTTCTCCTGGTCACGGGTGTGCTGGGTCGTAGAGTCGACTGCGGAACTGATTGCCTCGGTCGCACTCTTTAACGTCTCACTTGCTTTGGAGCTCAACGATTCTGGCTCGGAGGCCTCATCCTTTCTCGAGGACCAGAGTTTTGGCCATTGCATGGCTGTCTCGGCCCTTCTCAGCTTTCCGAGATAGAGGGTTCGGCATTCATCAACTCGAGGCTTGTGGTTCAACTCACAGAAACACGGTCTGGTCTTGTTTGTTCATTCGCGTAGTCATTATGCGTCAGGATGTTAAATGATTCACCGCATTTCACATAGCCGTCTGGCCGGCTTAAACACGTGATAATTACGGTGGACGTTTCACTCTTATGCACAAAGAGGTTTGGGATTTGTGCCTGTGAGAAGCTCGATTCTCCTTTTGCTGTAGTCGTCTCTCTTATTTTAGACTCTGTTCCTGCAATTGTCCTTCTCGCAGTCAGATCATGTTGTCGTCAATTGAGACTATTGATTTACAATGATGAACATGATGAATATCTTTATAGCTGAGTTCCCTGGAGCCTGCAGAGATTATTGACTATCACTCACCATGCGCTTGAACCCAGGCGTGTCCAAGGCAGTCTTTGCAACAGAGCAACATCATGCTTTGAAGATAGGGCATGACCATGTCGCAGAGTTCAGGTTGGGATGTTGTTATGGGGTTTCTGTGAGCGGATATGACAGTCTTCATGAATCGGCAGAAACCAGATATGAAAGAACATCAGTTTGGCACATGTCGCCGCGACCTATTCAATGCAGGAAATGCCGTTGTCTTGAACACTTTGAACACCTGAAACCCGTTTATGGCAATATTTGTGCGTCTTTGTGCGTCTTTCATTTCATATTTTCTTCCTAGCCAACCTGTGCTACTGTCGTTGTTGATGCTGAGCACTTGAATGTCTATTGACCAGCGTGAAAACGCCATGCAGCTTCTGATCAATGCCCACATGGGCTGCAGATGCAGATGCAAAAGGCATTGACGACGCGTCTTCCATTCAGACCGTGTCGGCTTCAATGCCGCTAACGGCGCGAATAGAGCAGCGTGTATTCCGATTTTTTCTCTCAATATTTGCCATTGTTTATTGTGGGCGGTCTGCTACCTCACTGTCTTGATGGCAAGTTTCTTCCTCCTCTACTGACTATCCCCCTTGGCTATCAGCTGTCTGTCTCCATTCTTCCACCATAGCTATGGCATTGGCCGATTCGTCCCTCGGAGAGCTTCTACCTCCCGAAACTGCTGTGCAGTGGACTGAGACTGGCCTTCGAATCATTCCATTTGAGGAAAACATGGTCTTTCGCTATCTGGATAACCATCCTGAAGCCCTCAATACATACCTGTACGAAAGACCAAATGTTTTTGATTCGATTCTTCGAAATCATAGCAATACACAAATCCAGAGCCCCAGGCCCACCGTGGAGGCGTTGCCCAACTATGCCCAATTCATGGGAATGGACGATCCTCAATTGTCCAATCTTGGACTGTTCGGTGGTGAATCCATGGGTTATAATGAACAAGAGTTTTGGATCGCGAGCGACGGTGTGGGCGGTGATGAGGGTGTTTTCATACCAAATGGTGCGTTACCAGGAGAGGCGTCGGTTTGCAAATGTTCTCCGTTTGCTAACTTCGTTTTGCCCACAGCTGCCCTAGAGCAAGGAACTCTAGCCTCACCCATTCCCTCGTTTGACAACTCATCAGAGTCTGAGGTAGAGTCCATCGCTTCACCAGAAAACGCCCGCACAGAGGAAGTCATTAGCTCTCTCGAGCCCATTGCTTCACAGAATACTTTCGTCGCTGAGGCGTTCATTAGCTCTCGAGAGTCATCGCTTTCTCCAGCGATCATATCATCAGATGAGTCCGAGTCCGAATACGAGGATGAAGACTCCGACTTTCCACCTTCACCACGAAAGCGCACGGCAGTCACAACTACACCAAAAGGCAACACCGAATCGGGAAATCAGGCCATCGACCCCTTCATCCCCTACCCGGCCCCAGCCCACCTCATTGAAGCATCTCGCAACGAGCCAGCACAAAAGAAATGGCGATTGTTCGAAGAAGATGCATGCATCAAACACATGCTGGACATCCGTGACGAAGGAGTTCTACGAGGAGAAGCCCGCTTCGCTGAAGCTCAACGCCGCATGAAGGACTTTGACGGGGTCGAAAAACCTGCCACCCACGCAGTCAAGAATTTCTGGAACCGCTATGGACGCGCGAGAAGTGGATACGACGAGAGAAAGATCAAGAGCGACGTGCTAGCGACATCGCAACAAGCCAAGGGTTACAAGAGAAAAGCTGCAATGTTGCGTAAACAGCGACGTGACAAGGCCACTGGTGAAGCCCATCAGTCAAGCCCTGTCATCAAAAAGCGCAAGAATGACAACAGCGATACCGACAGTGACGACAGCCAGGATGAGTACCGACCAAGTGCCTCGATCAAACGTTTGTGTACTGAGGCTTGATTTCAACGGCGTCCGGTCAATTTGGGCAATGGGTCTTGATTATTGGCTGGTTGGATGTCACTACGGCGTTGCAAATGAAACAAGCACTGGAGTTGGTGGAACAAAAGCAAGCATTAGGAGTTACACAGGCATTGAGAGCGAAAAAGGCGGGTCCTTTTCATTGGCTTTGGCTTAACCAAAGATTTCTCCTTCTGAACGGTTGGATTCGACCAGGGATGTCCACACTTCAGGTCCTGACTTTTGGACTTGGTTGGATCTAGCTACCTGCGTCTTGACCAAAGAGACGAGCTGGAACTTGATGCACGAGAGAGTGCGTGACTTAGAAAATCCCCCCAAAAAGAGTCAATCTGAACCTTCCCTTGTCCAGTAATCATCGAGGCTTGTCACCTGCTAATGTAATGCGCAGCATACTCCTTCTATAACCGTGATAGTCGTTGATGGGATTATGCTGGACGCACCTATTGTCCCATAGGGCAATGCTGCCCTTGGCCCACACAAATCGGCAGGTGAATTCCGGCTTGATCTGGTGGGAATATAGATAGTTGAGGAGAGGAGTAGATTCATCCTCGGTCCAACCTTCAAAGTGGGAGGTGTGAGCTAAATTAACATACAATGCCTTCCTGCCTGTCTCAGGATGAGTTCTGACCACAGGATGTGATGCCTCCAACGTTGAATTTGCTTGAGTGTGACCACTGTCTCGGATACGATCTTCTCTAGTCTTGCTGGCATCTGCCTTGGCTGAAGTGCTGATCGCCCTCAACCCATCGAGCGTTCGCTTGAGACCATCGGAGAGGGCATCATAAGCAGCATACTGGTTCGCAAACAGTGTATCGCCGCCAAAGGGTGGCACTTCCTTGGCTAGCAAGATGGATGCCATTGGGGGTTCTTCGAAGTAACTTGTATCACTATGCCAGACGCCACCAAAGTTGACAGTTTCATGTTCCTGCTTCAAGACACGGATGATCTCTGGGTAGCCATCAATGCCACGCACAAATGGGTATTCCGCAGGCTTGCCGAATTGTGATGCGAAGGATAGGTAATCGTCATTGGATAAGTCTTTATCTCGGAAGAAGATGACCTGATGCTCAAGAAATGCATCTCGGATTTCCTTGACGGTTCCAGGATTCTTGGCGAGCGCAGCAGCGCTTATATCGACATTGTGTATCTCGGCACCAACGGAGCCAGCAATGCGATGGACCGAGAGGTGCCTTCTGGCTAAGTAGCCTTTGCTAGGGGTTGCCTTGACGGCATTTCTGAGGTGATTACAGTAGCCCTTTGGCGTGAGGAGCCTGTAGATTATCATCAGTATGATTGAATAGCCTGTTGAGGTCGTAATGGTGAGAACAGAATAGGTATCACATTGTCAACTGGTGAGAAGACCATTGCAGTCTTCCTCTATACATTACCGAGGAGACTTGCAGACTAGACTCTCGCCATGTTGGAGATCATCTTACGGCATCAGGGCTATTCGACTCCCCACCCATTAAAAGACTGATCAATAGGGTCTTCAAGGGAAAACGGTGTCCATTGAGAACATCGATGGCCTCGGTGGAGATGAGGGGTAAAGTCTTCCTACACCGCAGACTGTCGGTATAGACTTTTAGACTTTGATAGTGCGTCACTAACTTGAACTCCGGGGTTGGGGTTCTTGGCACACTAAAGCAGCAGTGCCTTACCTGGAAGGTGGCCACAATCGTGCAAACATGCCAAACATTCCATCCGAAGCCGCTTCACATCAGTATCACAATTCGAGTTCCACGCCGCATCCAGAGACTGAGCACGTCCAAACCTCAACTCTCTCAATTGATCTTCACTCTCTTCTTGGTGTACCAACATTCATAAACAAGACCAGACATAATGTACTACCATTGACTTTGCTATGTAGCAGCCACCGCATGTCTGACTTTATAACGACTCATCTTCATCTATTCTTATTGTCTTCGAGCGAATTTACCTCCTACGTTAAGGTCACTCACCTCACTGCGCTCACTTAACGCGCCAGTTAAATTCGCATTCTTTACACTGGTGTCACCTCACTCTGACTTGTCTTGCGCCTACTAAAAACGCCTGACATGTGCTTTTGAGCACTTTTGAGTCATCAGACGTCTCTTCACATTCCTGAGATCATCTTGAGTTCTCTTTCAACCTGCAATTCTCCTCCCTCCTCTTCCCTCACCGCAGACAAGCGTTAGATCCTGCGGGACAATCTCCAACAATATGGCTCTCACAATAGAGTCCTCTAGGACTCCTGCACAGGACATCGACATGATGGACATTGAACTAGACATCGATGGGGAAGACTATGCGGCTCCAATTGGCGAGGAATTCCAGTTGGAAGTATGCTTGCTACTGATTTCCATCATCCTCACTTCAACCTGCTAATCACTTCCCATAGGAAGGCGAAGAACCCTCTTTTGTGCCCTCAAGCACCGCCGCCAACACCAGCACTGAGGCGAACCTAATTCCTGCGATCTACACCGAAGACCCCAACGATGAAGCGCAATGGAACAAGATACACATTCGAGGCGTGGATGAATTCTCAACTGAGGACATCATCACTTTTGCCAACGACCATTACATCGCCTCACTCCCAGAGCCTAGGCCTGAAGTTCGTATCCAATGGATCGACGACACCTCGGCCAACATTGTCTTCCGAGACGGCAATACCGCCAGAACGGCCATCCTCTCCTTCCTCCAAAACCCAATCACTCCCACTGAACTGGCAAATGCGCCATTCGAACAACGCACCGCCAAAGCGTTCTCCAGTCGTCCCGCATCCATGCTAGTTGTTCGTATCGCTCAGGTCAAGGATCGAAAACAAAAAAATGCGCGGGACGCCTCACGGTATTATCTCCTTCACCCAGACCAGGATCCCACGGAGCGCATGCGCCGTGAATTCGCACACAACCGAGGCGGACGAGGCGGAGACTATGGAGACTATCGCCGGCGACGATTCGATGATCGCGAACACCGGCGTCGCAGGGACCAGGATCACGATGGCGGTGCAGGAGAAGACTTTTCAGCCGATATGTACGACGACAACCCCAAACCAGAAGCATCCTCATCCGGGCCTGGGAGAGGAAGAGACCTGTTTTCAAAAACCTCCAAATCGCGAAGACGCAGCGCCAGCCCCAGTTCACGAACCATCAATAGCGATGAGATTGACATTTCCTGTTCCGACGACGACGAGTACGAGCGCTCGAAGCGACGTCGCCACAACGGCTACCGCGACCGGACTGAGCGTGAAAGGCCATACAACAACCGTGTGACCAATGCTGGCAAAGAACTCTTCTCGTCGACGACCTCTTCTTCTTCTGAGCGACGACGCAACCCAACCCAACAGTCAGACCCAGTCGAGTTATTCCCTACAAAAGCGACCACCACCTTGAGCGAAATGGACACCAGCATGTCCATGGACGCACCACCACCCAACAACAACAATACCAACAATGGCACGCGCCCCAACGATGCCGCAAACCTACGCGCCAACGCCGCCGCCGCCAAACGTCTCAAAGCCGACCTCCTCAACGCAACCCAAACATCTCCCCGGTCTCACCACCGACGCAGCCACGCGATGGACGCGAAGAATGAAGAAGACCTCGCCGAGCGATTCGCGCGCAAGAGCATCTCTCTCGATAGCACGAAATCGCTCCGGAACGACTTACCCAACAAAGGCGTTGAATTGTTCCCGGCAAATGACGGCGGCGGCGAAAGCAACGGTGGATTCAGGATCAAAGGAACCGGCGGCCTGAGTATCAAGGGTCGAGCGGAAGTCAAGGAATTATTCCCCGCGCAATACCAGCGCAGCGGACGGAATCAAGGAAAGGAACTTTTCGATGAACCGGTTAGAGAGAAGAGGGAGAGGAGACGGGCGGGGGATCTCTTCGACTGATTGATCTGGCTGATGCACATAGACGCAGGTGGTGGTGGCGGTGCAGAGAAGTCAGGTTGGGGACAAGTACACACGGACTTTCATCCCATGGACATGATGAACATACTTGGTCTTGCTTTTCGGTTTCGGTCTTTCTGACACGCAATGGAATGATCACGAGAGAGCGAGAGAGCTCGGTTCAGTTCTGGAACTTGAATCTCCGAGAGTTTCATTCTTTGCACTTTCTCAAGACAAAATGCTTGACAGATGAAATACCCAACAGATGATGATACAGATACGCACGCTTGCTTCCTTCCTTTTCTGATATATTCGTAGAACAATGCCATCTCATTCGGACGAACATCAGCAATGAACTACCTGGAGAGTTCCAATATCGAGCCTGGGGTTTGATACTAGAGTAGCCTAGCACAAATTCAGATCGTGATTTCCAGACGCGCGTCCACCATGTCCTAGAAGCACAGAGTCAAACGAGAATCCACGGCTTCAATGTCAGTCAGCGCCCAGAGAATTCAAGGCTCCTCTCAGTTCTCTGATGGCAGTGGGGACATCTTCAAAATTTAACGCTGAGATGGCCCATCTGGCGTGCTTCTGGGCCTTCATTATAGATTCTTCATCAACCACCACATCCTCCGACTGTAGCTGCTGAGCTGATACGGGAGGGTGGATCGGGCTGGGAGAAATTACTTGTTTCCCCTGTGGGATGGGCGGCACTGGCCCATGGTGCTGTCTGAGTTGCGGAGGGTTGACGGGCATTTGAGGAGGGGGCTGTTGTGGCTGGAGGTTGGGGGGGATTTGAGGTTGTTGCCCTGGCGCTACGGGTGGGAGAAAATTGCCATGTCTGTGCGCAGGGGGCGGTGGTGAGGCATGTCCTGCCTTGTTCAAAGACGCCAGAGATGCTCGTGCAGATGTTGTATCGATGCTGGAAGGTGCGGGAGGGTGACTGGGACCTCGACCTACCAAATCACTGGGTGCTGAGGGAAGAACTGGACCTCCAGCGGCAGCAGTTGGAGTTGAAGGTAGATCAGGAGCGGCTTCTGAAGGAACCACGGGGAAGTAGTTACCCCCGACAGAGGGCTTGCGTTCTGGTGAGTCCAAGGGAGAGACGTCGACAGGATTCTGTTGATTGGTATAAAATGCTGCAGCATCTTGAGCGGCGATTGGAGATACGCCATTATTTGGGGTGTCTGGCAAGGAGGGTTGCCGGGAGGGATGGAGCGATTCATCCAAAGATGATTGCTTGGCCAGGTTATGCTGCAGCCGATCTGCTTCATCTGGTACTTCCACAACTGACGGTTGCCGCTCGGTCTTCCGCTTCGTAGGTGGGATCGATGTTTCTCTTGAGGGGTGTAATGATTCATCGAGAACTGATTTCTGGGAGAGAGTCTTCTGTAATCGGTCTGCCTCATCTGGGATCTCGACCACCGAAGGCTGTCTTGGTTTCGCAGATGCGCCGTCCAATGCCTTCACGTCGGCATCGTTGGGGTCTAAAGCAGGCAACTGTTCTTCTGCGTGTGTTTCTTGGCTTGGGTTGGAGAGGTTTGGGTCTTCGCCAGCTTTGAGAGCCTTAGCGATTCGTAAGGCATGGTATTTTGCATATTTGACCTTTGCGGCAATCTCAGGGTCAAGAGCACCGAAGATCTGCAGCAGATCAAGGAAGGTCGCGGCGGCCTGGTAGGTATCCGCAGTCTGTCGGGTGGCTTTGTTGGCTTTGACGGCGTTATCAGCCCTTTCGAAGGTCTCGAGACCAAATTGCTCTATGTATGCTTTGCCAACCATGTCATCGGTAACTTCTGGCTCATCGGCGTGCTGTGACTTGAACTATTGCAAGGGTCAGACGCGGAGGGAAAATGACGGGTATTGACGCGTGCCTGTTCGAGCTTGTCCATGAGAGTCGTCGTATAGACGAGGCATTCTTGGTCTGCATTGTGAAGGCCTTTTGAGAGGATCTGGTTGACAATCCAGTACTCGCCTACAGGTAAGGTGTTAGCTCAAGTGCGAAGGCCAGGGGAAGGTGATCGTACACCAGTAGGCAACTATTGGCTTCGGCTGTTCGAGTTGCGCAGCTCTGTGGGCGAAGCGGGTGATATCAGCCGACTTGAGGGCGGTGGGAATAGTAGCTGCCATGACGCAGGGGTCACAGGGAGTGAAAAGAAGCTCAGTATCAGCAGAGGATGATTGCAAGTTGGGATAGAATTGTCTGGGTGTAGTTGAATTGAGATGAGGGACAGGGACAGGGACAGAGGATATGACGTGTGAAGGGAATTGTTGCAGTGGAAGGAATTAACGTTGCCCGCAGCCCGCATGGAGAACGGAGGACGCTGCGAGTGGCAGTTACCGACTAGGGAAGGGACATGGGCCTTCGGGCCTCTGATTACAGTGACTTGGGCGTCTACGTAAGCATACTGAGCACATAAATGGAAGTGCTAATGGGGCCGGGGTGTGTGGTAGAGGTTCTATCTCGCGCCTAGAAGCACTAATGGTTTTAGCTACCTACCTAGGTAGAATTTAGTGCTCTTCGCCTGAGATGGAGAGTTTGCCGCAGCTCTCAGCCTAGAACACTCGGTCTGTAGCCTGGTAGCGCTGTACTCGTAGGCTGTCGCCTATGTAGTTCCCCCTCGTCTCTGGATACTCCAGCCCCTCAACCCCTCAGATTGGAGTCTCGCTGCTGCACCCCGCAATATCTTCAGGCTTTATTATTGCCTTATGAGATGTTCTGAAGTCTTCTCGGGCCATCAGTTCCCCATACATCAATACCCATTCGACCATGTCAGCTTGATTCCTTCGGCGCTTGCGCTTGAATCGGCGAGTCATAGACAGCCATCACGAACTCGGACAACGACCATACGTGCATGCAACGGTACCAAGCGATGGATCGATTCTCCTCTTTCCTCTCTCTTCCGTTCAACACTGACTCCACCTCATATCCCCTCGGTTCAACCCCTCAGCCAACTGTCTGACTCCAACGTCAAGGTGAGTAACTGTCTGGTGCTCTGCCTAGCTTTAATAGATGTCATGCCTGCTACGGAGATCAAGGCTGGTCCTGCTTGACATTTTTTTGTGACACTAAACATACTCCGGTGTGTTTATTTTATAAACCTATATATCGTACTCTGTGCTTTCTGCCGCTCAACATGACTCAAGAATATGCTTACTTGACTGGCGGCGCTTCTGGCATTGGCCTTGAGGTGGCTCGGATGCTTGTGAAGAATAAGTACTTACCTCGACCTCAAGTCTCGTTCAGCTCGAGGTGAGGACCAGCTAATGCGATACCAGTATCAAGGTCTTTATTGCCGACCGAGACCTAGAAGGGGCGCAGAAAGTTGTGGATGAACTCAACCAATCAGGCCCTGTTGCAAAGGCTGCCCACGTTGATGTTGCCGACTGGGATTCACAAGTCAAGGCCTTCAGCCAGGCTGTTGCTGAGTTTGGTCGTCTGGACTATGTCCACGCTATCGCTGGGGTTGGCGAAAAGGTGTTTGTTCCCAATGACCCAAGTTTGAAGGAATATGTCAAGCCAAACTTGACCACCATTGATGTCGACCTAACTGGCGTTCTTTACACGGCCGCTCTTGCGATCCAGCAGTTTCGAAGACAAGAACCTGGGCAGAATGGATTTCGAGGCAAGAGTGAGCATATTCTGGTCACAGAGAAGAGCAGTATCTAACCAGTGACAGTCGTCGCCGTCTCAAGCATATGTGGATTTTATGCCGTTCCCACTGTTCCTATTTATACTGCAGCCAAGCATGGAGTGGTAGGGTTTGTACGAAGCTATGGCAAATACCTCCCTTCGGAGAAGATTACACTCAACTCGATCAATCCCAACGTGGTCCGCACCAATATCTCTAACCCAGCTTTCTACCAAAAGCTCGAAGGTACAAATCTCTTGACACCAGTCAGCTCGGTCGTAGATGCCTTTGAGAGACTGCTGGGAGCCAATGATGCATCTGGAGAATGCTACGAAGTCGGGCCACATTGGGAGAAAGACGGGCCGGTGACAAAGAGTGCACCTGAATATCTGGACGAGGAAACAAATCAAACCATGGAGTTGGTTTACCAAAGAGCTTTACCATTGCATCTTCCACAAAAATGAGATGGGAATTTTGGGAGAGAATTGCTAACTGTTCTAGATGAGCGTCTTGAATAGTCCAAATACATATACATATAATGTCGCTGATATCAGAACGTGGCGCCGCTCCCCGCATCATATCGTCTAACATGCCTAATCAAGCCTGCCACCCCCAATGTTCCCGCCTAACGACCCCTGCTCGTAACCCACACTCAAGGCCTGCGAGGCTCCAGGTTTCGAGCCTCGGTGACAGTGCCATGCACCACCCACCCGCACGGCGACCAAGCCGTCGCTGACGTCGCCGTTCACATCACTATCTCCGACAATCCAGGTCTATTGATCTCCACCATCTTTCGTATTCTTACATTAACTATGTAGCCCCGACTCAACAACTCCAGCTACGAAAATACTACCTAGACACATCACCAGATTCACCAGCGACTGCATCCTCGAACAACAAGTCCAGCGACCTTTAATCCCCCACGCCATTCCTCTCTCACCATGGCTGCGGTCCACCGACCCGCACATTTAACACTCCACGCCGCGAAGCTGGCGTCGGCCGCGGCGGTTGCCAAATCCAAAGAGATCGGTGTCCCCATGAACATCTCCATTGTCGATGCCTCTCTGTATCTACTACACTTTGAGCGCATGCCCGGTGCAAAACTCACCTCGATCGACATTTCCTTCAATAAAGCTTTCACGGCGGCCGGCCACCGTGCCCCAACATCAATATACAAGGAGGCCGTGTGGCCTGGCGGACCGGCGTTCGGCTTGAACAGCAGTAATGGGGGGAGGTTCATGTATGTTGCCGGTGGCATACCCATTGTCGTTGATGGCGAGGTCGTCGGCGCCGTTGGTTGCAGTACCGGCACCCCTAAACAAGATACCGTTGTCGCTCAGGCGGCAGTCGATGCTGTGTTGGAATACATCAAGAAGAACGATACGCCAAAGGCGAAGCTGTAGGTATGATTCTACTATGGCCAATTGGATCTTCATGATACCTGTATATAAACAGGAGGAGATACACCAGCTTTCTGACCAGAGCGCTTTACGTTGGATCCTGCACATATAGCATTCTTGCTTGATCTTGGAAGGAGAATTTATGCAACGGTGTAATATCACAGAGCCGCGAAACAATGGGATCGTCTTGATAGATGAAGATGCTTAGGCTCATAGAGAGCCGTTGTTCACGTGACCGTAAATTAGCGACGCGGACTCTGCCGTCTTGGCGTGTTTACAACTTCCATAGTCGGTTGCGTGGATGGACTTGAACGGCGCAGTTTGATCAATGTCATTATCTGAGCACAACATACGATCGCAGTGTTTCCTTTGGAAGAAACCAAGCCATGGATACCAGAATGTCCAACTCTCCGTCACCGCCTCCACAAGCACCGATTGCAAGCGCTCCAGGCGCACGAGCGGCGGCCCTTCATAAAGTCTTTCGCGGCGCGTTGTCGTCTTCAATTCGGGCAAACTCATATGACAACTTCAGCTCGTGTTTTCCCACGCCTGCAAAATACTGTCCTACGGCACTGGAGGGAGTGTGGAAACAATTAAATACACGGCTGGAGGAAGAATGTATGAGAGATTTTGAGAAGATTTTAGAGGAACGATCGGTGGTTGAGGGTCTGAATCAATGGGATGGGATGATTGAGGAGGCACGACGGGCGAAGAATAGAGCGGTGGAGGGCGAGGAGCCCCCGGTACCGTAAGTTGCTATGGTCAGGTTATAATTCAAGTTGCACCGCTAACACGAGACAGACTGCACAAATTGAGCGCCGAGGAACTGTATACTGCCCATCTCACACCATTCATCCAGCAAGCAAGCGAGGAACTGAATACGAAGCTGCAACAGACGCAACAAGATAATGCAAACAAGATGAACGAAATCAGTGAACAGCGAGCGGAGATTGCACGTCTGTTGGCGACACTACAAGGCGCAGTCAAAGAGGTTGAAGCAGGAGTGCAGGCAACCATGCAAGCTGACGGTGGAGGCTTTGATGGTAATAGTCTCAGGACTGAGGTATGGGATATGGAACAAGAAATTACGGCCACGCGACAATGACCGAGTGTATACGAGGATGAGAGATGAATATCATGTTAGCATGGCGTTGGTCGTGATGCTGGAGGCGCTGATGGACTATACATCCGAAGTCAGGATATGGCCGATATGAATTTCCGGGCGTTGGCACACAAAATAACGGTTTGAAATATTTGCTTTTGGTGGTTGAATTTGTGTAGATGAGGAAAGCTACGCCAATTGAAGAATATGATGGACGTTGCTTGGCCGCGGACATTGGGCAACGGACCATGCAGCCAAAGGAACAGACTATTGATGAGACTGGAGGGGTTGACAGGTGGATGGCACTTCCGCGTAGGAAATACGGAGTACGGAGTAGTCGACAGATAGTCGAGGATCGAGGATCGGATGACGGAATCGAGTCGATGAGTGGTGCAACCCACATCGAAGTTCGATTTATTAGTCCTGACCAAAGGAACCGTAGAGTGCTTTACTCCGTAGGTAGGTGGTACCTTTGCGTAATGCTATAACCACCTATCATTCCACTGTTTTATTATTTTATGATTTTATTTTGTAGATAGCGCCGACCCAACCATCACTGTAAATCATGCCAAGATTGAATAGTCGTACAGGGTACCTGCAGTTGAGCAGGCGCTTATGGCGGGCGGGTTTTGCTGTTACCCACAGGCCAGTAGTTCGGAGCCCGGGCGCACACTTGAGCTGCAGGCTGCAGGTACCAACCGACCCTCCGACCTCCACTTTGCAACATTCTCATCGGCCAGTCATTGTTAATCATTTCTGATGAGCTCTTGTTGGGGAAGCTGAGCCCTGCGTGCCTTCCTGTTGTCCTCGAACCTCACGAATCATCACACCTCTCATCTGTCTGAGATAATGTGAACTGTACGACTTACAAGGGCTGATTCATCTTAATTCTCATCTCAATTCTCACCTTCATCCTCATTGCAAAAACCAACGGGCTGGTTCGTCCGTTCTCCATTGCTTGCTTGTCGAGTGCATTGTCCAGCTGTCTACTACTACTGAAAACCGTTGGTGCAAAGGCCACCCACGTGATGGGGCTGAACACAAAAACTGGACCGCACTTGTGGATGCGTGTTTACATATATGCGAATGCAGCAGACATGCGACGATCAGGATGACGAAGTTGTCAACTACGATGATGATCGTGCATCGATGCTCGCGCAAAAGCTCCGATCTGACCTGAACTGGCATGCTTGGATTACAGTCTGGTCAATGTTCAAGCCTTGGGTCCCCAGTGTGGTCTCCTCTACGGATGGAAATTGGGGTGTTGGAGAACGCCTATTGGAGAAGGCAGCAATTTGCCCTCTGCGTCTTGGTGGCTCTTGCACGACATGCAAATAAGGTTTGATACCGAGATTACACGGCCGCCACAACAACAACATCCATCCCACCATGCTCACTCGTCTTTTTCCAAGTTGGCTGCCCTTTCGCTTCAACCAACGGCCAACGCCTATTCCAATCCACGCTGGAGTCACTCCCGGAGTTTGTCCACTAATCCTTGCCATGATTCTGGTTCGCTCGCTCGCTAAGTTTGCCACGATTTGTTCTTCAGTGGCCCATCGACCCAATCTTGGAAGCTTCTCCCAGACTCCGACCTTGCCGGCTCGCTACAGAACCCGGATCCCAGACACCGCGAACATGACGCGCCAAAAGTCTTCCCCGGTTCGACCTAGCTGCTTTTTGGGCGACCAGAAAACATTGAAAGTCGCGTGTACCACGACAATTCAACGGTCGAGATACCCTCCTAGACTAGCATGGAATTTCCATCGATGCCGAAGCGACTTGACTATCCAGTGAGTAATGTCCATACTGTGAGTGCACCAGATGCGGTCGAGCACCTCTATCTTTTTTCTCACCTTTTCTACTTCAATGTTTACATGTTCTGTTGACTGTCTCAGCCTGGCTTTCCATATATGACCCCATCGCGCATGAGAATGCATGTGAACAATTTCGGCTTTGGCACAAACTCTGTCATACTCCCCCCACCTTCTTTCATCTAGACTGGGCCTTCCTCTTGCATGCCCCTCTGCGGCTTACTTTCTTCACCAAGTTTCCTCGTGTCTGCTGAAACAGCCTTGCAGTTGACTGGGTCCAGGACAGGGTTTACCCCGATCAGAACCCTGTACCCGCACTTCTTGTTGTCGCGTCCAAATTCTCCTCACCATCAACTACCTATTCTTCCTCGTTCTCTCTTGACTTCAGCTATTGCTCAAAAGTCAACCACTTCCATCTCTTCATTCCTTCTTCTCACGAGCTGTCTTGAACCACTCAAGTTGGCCTTCAAGGCACCGGTGGCCATCCTGTTTAAATGCCCACCGTGTGAGCAAAGGACCTTGATGACGCAGCCGGAGCTTCGTCCACCACCTAATTTCATCCGCCAGCACGCGCCAACTGTCATCTCAGCCCATGGAAAAGCGTGTCACCATATGGCTTGTCGGGAGCCTCGCGGCTCTTCTCAGCCTGGCAAGCAGTGTTTTCAACGTTCTCTTCGCCTATCACATTTCGACAAGACCCTTGAATTCGGCTCTTCGAATACTTCTTTTTGTCGCCTTCGCCATCAGCGTGCTGAACTTCGCGGGCGTCATCTACTTTTGCGCCGGTTATACAAGGAACTTACAGGGCCACTCGCTTGGCCTGAAGAAGCAGACCTGGGGTCTTTTCACTGCTGGCGTCGTCATTGCTGGCGTCAGTATCGCCGCTACGGGAGTTCCTCTTGTCTGGCTCTTTGTCAGACAAACGGGCTTACGGGAGAATGTCTTGAACATGCCCGTGATGACGATGCTCGCCATCTGGGCTGGCCTTTGGGGCGCTACTGCGATATTGCAACTCGTGTTTTATACCTTGCTAGGATTATGGACTAAGAATGTACTAAGAAGTCAGAGAGCAAGTCGTTTAGACATGGATTTTGGAAGACGCGTGTCATCAATGTACGAGGTGCAGAGCGCCAGCATGCATCAACAGCGGCCCTCCTTTAACTCGCAAGACATGACACTGGCTTCACCGCCACGAACGCCAATTTCTCGTGGAGGATCCGGCGTCCGAAGATCCTCGTCGACGAGGGTTGGGTACAGTAGCTCGAGGACCAAGCTCGTTAGGCCATCGGCCAGATCCTCGCTCGAAGGCAATCCATTTCCCGCAGGTGAAGCCATGTCGATAGACAGTGCCTTTGACGACTGGGACACATCATCGGTACATCAAGAGATGCGATATGCCATTCACTCATCCCCCCCGGTGACTCGTGCGGGATTGGCCACCATTCCCGGAAGTCGACCAGAATCTCCTGCCAACGCACTGGATGGGCCCTATCTCCCTGAATCACCGTTGTCCAGCTCTCCGCCCCATGCGGCCACCTCGGACGCTGCCACGATGGTTGGATGGAGCTCTTCTCCGCGCCAGTACAAGTCATCTCCGTCTTCCAGCCCTCCCAACTTCTCCCGTCCAACCTCGTCGCACAAAAAGCCAGTAGCCGCACCGCCTCCCAAGTTCGGCGTGCCAGACTCATCCATGCACGGATTGATCCATCCATTGTTCCGGCCAAACAGCCCTCAACCACCGGCAATCAACAGTGCCGGGACCATGATCACAGCATCTCCTATGGCAGATCACCTGATTACTCCCAAGACGCTAGCAAAACTGAGAAGTGAATCGTCACTGAGACGTCGTTCGCAATCGGTTTATGACGAGGGAGCGTCCAAGGCTGGGACTCCGGAACCATCAGAGTGGGTAGAAGATTCATTACCAGACAGCCCAACACTAGGCAGCTCGCCATCGTTGGGGAGCCCTGGTCCGTCGGTGGTGGATGAGGCTGAACTGCCACCCATACTTCCAGGGTTTATTCTGTCTGCCGGGACACGCAGCAGCTTGGTGGAGTATGGAAAACGAAAAGGATTGAATAACCAACGACACAGGTCTCAGTTATCGGCAGGTGACCGGTTAAGCTAAATGCTTTGATGATGCAGGCCTATGAACTTGTTATGAGGATAATATATGGGCGGGCACTGGGTATGGGAGACGTCGTTGTTTAACTCAACAATTAATGAATGGACGTCTGTTTAGCAAGGAGTTGGACTGAGGAATATCCCTATGGCGGTAAACGGTGGCCTCGTCCTTTGACTACAGGTTTGATGATCAACACCATCTAGTGTAAATCTAGTGTAAAGTATGACACAATGAGAAGTAGTCATGCTCTGAGTACTGTTTTGACTGTGACTGTGCCTGTGATTGTTCTCGAATAGTATGACTGCTTCTCTACCCTGCCAGAACATGTATCATGCTGACACCAGACCTCAACGTCGTCGAGTCCTTGGATCCCGTGACTCATACTAGCAATTAGTAGGCTGCTAACAATTCCTGAAATATGATTGGTGCAGAAGTATCGGCGGCAATAACGACGGCACGAGCCGGAAGAAGAGGCTGAAAGAGGAAAGGCGGCTGCCCAGAAGAAGAAAGCGGCGAGAAGCTCTGTGATTGGTCGTCCTGATTCTTGCCCGACACCCGAAAATGCTTCTGCTTCTTCCCTCCGAACAAAGTAACAACGTAACCATCGTGACGAGGGTGAAAAGGTCAGCAACAGAAACAATGTGACCACACTTCACTCACTTCACTCACTATTCATCCTAATTGTCCTCCAGTCATTCACTTCATCATGAATGACTGTGTTCATGTCCAGCCCCCGGATACAATCACTGATTCACCTTCAACCACTGCCGCCGAATCCATTCACGGCCAGGTGAATGTTCATCTCCCTGAGTCTTCTAGCTCAAAGGAATGTTTCCACCTCTCACCATCTTCTCCATCTCACCAATCTCCCACCTCAGAATCTGCCCACGCTTTGCATCCTGGGCTTGATCAACCATCTCAGAATCATTTGCCTGAACCCGCGGCGTCTCCTTCAAGCCCCGTGCAAGCTGATTATCACAATCCACTAGATTGGCCATCACAGGCCACATCATCCGCACTCACAGCTTCTTCGCACGGCTCCAGCTCCATTTCAGATCGATCTCAAATATTTCGATCTCAAGTGAGCACACCCTCATCTACTCATCCACATATACCCTTTCATCGCATCAGTAAGCATAGGTAAGCTCAACCAAGCCCTCACACCACCCTTTAACACTATTCTCGCTTTTTATCTACCTCAAGATGGCTGGCTGGCGCTGGTTTTTTTTTTCAAGATCAACTGAATCTGAGCCTCTAGCGAGCCTCTTACCCGCTTGACTACCTCATCACTGACTTGTTGCGATACTAGACAAATGTCACAATCGTTTTCACAGCCGACTTCCTCACGAGGTCCAACTACTCCCTTCCAGATGAAAACCAGAAGTCGTGTGGCGAGAAGCTCAGATCCTCCATCCTTTGCTCGCGCGGCCTCATCTGCATCATCTGAATCATCATCAGTGCCAGACAATCCCACTGTCATGACTCCTGATCAGACCGCTTCAACCCCGTCTGCACGGACCATCACTGAGCCCAAGGCTCCTGCTGCGGCTCCAACATCCACCTCATCCCCCCAGATGGCACCAGAGTCTCGCGATTTCGACTCTGCTGGCCCCGCGCCAGACCTGGACACCTCCACCAAAAGCACCAAAAGCAGATCACCGTCACCAGCTTCGACTGACCCATCTTTTCAATCACCAAATCCAACTCAGCCCTCAACTGAGAAACGTAGTCTTCGGCCTCGGAAGAGCCTCGCTTCAGCAGATCAGGTTCCATTCTCAGATCGTCCAAGACGCAGCACTGCCCGTGTTTCCTCCAACCCACCGAGCACCCCAGAATCGCTCGACAGCCATCAGACACCAAGCTCAGATGTGCGCATGAAAAGCCCTCCTCCTGCTACACAGTCCATTTCTAGCGTTGAGGGGTCTCGCTTCCAGACGGCTTCTGGGCATTTGGATCCCGTAGATCCCGCAGATCTTCAATCCTCACCAATCGATTCCCCAGCATCGTTCGACAACGATACCATTCCAGTGGTGCGAAGAAGAGTGCCTACTGCCATTCAACCATTGTCTGATAGGCGCACGCTTCGTCCTCGAAACGCCACTGATACCATCGACCAGGCTGGTTCAACTGCAAAGAAGCGTAAGGCTTCTGATGATTCCCCCGACGAGCCAAAAGCCAAGCGTCAGTTGCTGGTGACACTCAAGTACGCCCAAAAGAGTAATCCAAATTCCAATGCCACCAATCATCAAGAAACTCCTGTTGATTCCTCTTTCGAAGGCAAAGTGTCAACCCCTTCCAGTGTCAATGGTAATATGACGCCGTCGACATTCCTGGAGCCTAAAGATAAGAGCAAGCCTACCAACCCCCGGATGCAAGCCATCGATGCGAGATCCATCTCGCCATCCGAGTCTCACTCACCAAGAAGACCAACAAGAGGTGGCGCTGCCGGTCGTCTTCGAGGAGGGAAGAACTTTGGGTTTCGTAAAGGAAGGCATATGGCCCATCGATACGGAGGGCGCGAGAGTCCTGATCCTCCTTTCCGCAAAGGTCCCATGTCCAAAATGGATCGAGTGGAGATCTCAATGCTCAAGAACCGACAACACGAGCTGAAGAAATTCTTCAATATGGTCGGAAATCAACAATGCGATATTCTTGACATTCTCGCCACCAAGGATATTGCAAAAATTTGTCGCAAGCCTAGGGCTCACAAGCATGCCCCTCAGTACGAACAAGTGGTTGGACAGCTCCAAGAGGTCTTGGAACGCACCAAGGAAGACGTCCGTGCCAGATACGATTTAGAACTTGAATACGAGCTCAACCGTCAACGTGAAGAACTGGAAGCAATGAATCGACAGTATCGACAAGTTCTAGTGGAGATCCAAAAAGAATATGTCGCCGGCTCTGAAGGGGATATCATGCTGTTTGAACATGCCTACCGTGCTGCACACGACGACACCTACACCGAATTTGGCTCCAGTGTTGACGTTATCCCACATTATCACGAATGCCCCGAGGCTAACGCAAAAATCCGAGGATATGTTTCCAACCGTATTGTTGATGAAAAGCCGTACAAGGGTTTGGTTGCTACCTCTGACAATGATCAAGCACGACAGAAAACCTTGAACGAGGAAGTTGTTGTTCCTTTGCTGAGAGAAATTGAAGATCGGGCCCAGCTATGGCGCGAGGATTATGCCAACAGAACAGGCCAAACCATGGACGCTTTGGCTCTGGAGGCTGAGAGAGAGCTAGAAAACCTCCACCGGCCTCCTCCTATGGAATTCCCACCCATGCAAACTGCCAGTTTCACACAAGGCAATGTGTATGCACTATCAACTCTTGCGGATGTGTCAGAACAGGTTGCTCTTGGAGAGATTGCTTTACCAACACCGCAGTACCCCAATCCTCTCAGACGTCCTGAAACTGGTTACTACCGACCAGAAAGAGATTATTCTCCACGGCCGCTGAGTCCAACAACACTACCAAATCATCACCATCCGGCCTCATTGCCGCCTCTTGCAATGCCAGATCTGTTCCATTCCAACCCATATGGACAGCCACCGCCACCGCCACCGCCACCACCCTACGTGCTCTACAGGATGTCTCCTGTGTATGGACCGCACAATGGCGTGATGCAACCAGCACCCACAATTGCTCCCAAGCAATCACAACCATCACCGATGCCAGCTTCCCTTCGCCCAGTCTCACGCAACGCCGAATCCGATCCATATGATCATATGAACCGCTCAGTATTCTCGACCTCACCAGTCAACAGACTCATCCCTGCCCGACCACAGTCCAGCACAGGATCCGCCGCCATCGCACCACTCCTATCACCTATGATCTCCAGTGGCCCAGGCCAAGCCATCGCACCAGCTCCACCCAAAGCCCGTAACTCACTCTCCGGACTCAATACATTCCGGGCACGGCTATCATCAATGAATTCGAATTCATCTTCCAACACCAACGCCGGAGGAAATACAAATCCAAGCACTAATGCACCTCCTCGATTCATCTTCACCACTCCTCAACAAGCACCACAACATCAATCAGCTCCGAGTCCTACGGCTAATACCCAAAGCGGTGCAGCATCGGAATCTGCTCCAAATTCTGTAGCAGCGACTGCTACTGGATCATCAGCATCGGAATCCCGCGCTCGAATGCCAATGATGTTTGTCAATCAAACCATTGAGAGTCGGAAAGCCGCGGCGGCGGCGTTGAATACTTCCAGCCGTGGCGGATCTCCTCCGGTTAGTGGGGGGAGTGGGAGTGGGAATAGCAACGGGAGTTCAAATGGTTCTGGCAGTGGAAATGGAAATGGAAATGGTAACGGGAGTAATAATGGTACTCCTACTAATATCAAGGGCGGACAACGAATTCTTCTACCAAAGATGTAGGAGAAGAAGGCCAGGAAGGGAAGGCTATTGTGACTTGGGGGCCTGGTACAAACCAAACTTGTATCTATTGTTTTTCTTGTTTTTCTTTGAAGGGGAAAGGGGGTGAATTGGTCGGATGTGCAGTCCGAGAGAGTTGAGGACTGAGTGATGGATTGGTTTATTGGTGGGGTTGATTGTGACGATGACCTTTGATTATGGCATTGGCATTGACCCTTGGTTGGATGGGTTGAATAGTCATGAGCCTCACAAGTCGTCGTAAATGAGGTTGATCATAGAATTGATCATAAAAGGTAATGGTCATGAGCAAAGCAATGTGAAGCATGTACATTTCAACGCAAAGAAGAAGAAAAATTACCGATTAGCCGTTGGGTAAGAAAAAAAGGGAGCGATTCAAGCTATATCAAATGACCGTTTGGCCGTTTGGTAAGAAAAAGGTGTGCAATTCAAGATACATCAAATTAGCATTACTTAGATACGATAATGGTAATGACAATGATAATGATACAGCGTAGAAGAGAAGAAGAAAAAGAAGACAGACACAGGAACAAAGCGATACCTTCCTCCCTGTAACCATCCATCCTCAGACTCAAGATGATCACCCTCCCCTAAGTCATGAAACCCAGTGCCTGAAAATGCCATTCGAGGGCCTCCATAGCAATGTATCTACCATGCTGATAGTATCTTGACGCGGAATGGAACGATTCTAGGCTAGTCGTGATATGAGAGGCGGGATCTAGATTGATACTAAGTTGTGGAGTATATCCCAAGGGAAGGCTAAAGGCACGGATCTAGGCTGGTCTTGATGTGACAGGTGGAGGGCAGACAGATATTCGATAAGCTGATGATATGGCATGGGAGAGAGTCAAGTCAAGTCAAGTCAAGTCAAGTCAAGTCAAGTCAAGTCAAGTCATGTCATGTCTGGATATGGGATAATGTGATATGATGTGACATCTCTTGGCTTTGGTTTTCGTGTATATCTAGATATCTATGGCTGATATGATTGATATGTACATACTTCAGTATATGTATATGTAATTCTAACTATATGTCCATGTTCGTACCCCCGTCCATGTTCCGCTCGTTGATATATGGATCAATGACCACTCCCCAAAATCCTCTTCACTTCCTGGACAACACCAGGCAAAATCTCTTCAGCAGGTAAGCTGGCGCGAACGGGACCGAGACCAGAAGAACTCGATCTCGATCTCGAATTCAACCCAGAATCCGAATCACCAGTCTTCCCACTTCCCTGTTCCACGCCAATCGCAAACCTTTGCGCCATAGCGCTAGTTGTTTGTTGTTGCTGCTGCTCCTGAAAAGAAGCCGCCGGAACGATATGATTGAAAAAAGCATCTTCTTTCCTAACACCGCCCATGTTAAGGATTGCAATTGGCATGGACCGATCAGCTGCTCGTTTCACCAGTCGCCAAGCACTGTATGTGGCCAGACTACTTCCAACCACTAGGATACGGTTCGCACTGTCGATGGCGGATTCTGCTTCTGCTTTGATGCGTGCGGGGATGCTTTCGCCGAACATGATGACGTTGGGTTTGAGGATTCCTGGTGCTGTTGTTGTAGATGTAGATGGAGAAGAACCTCCTTTTTTGACCTGGTTGCTTTCAATCCATGCTCCGTCGGCGTCGACTTGGACGTGGAGTTTCTCTCCTCCTCCTCCTTTTCCTCCTCCGGAAGAAGAAGAGAAGGACGAAGACCCAACTACTGGCGGCCTCTTCACACATGAAGGACAAGCCGGATATCGAAACGTACTGTACGGAGCACCTGGAACATCGGCATCACCGTCTGGATTTGTTTTGAAACCACGAGACCGACGCTCAACTGGATCTTCTGTATCGAGTGCACCGGTCTTGAGTAACTCGGCGAGAAATTCCGCCCACGCGGGATTAAGCGCGGCGAGACGAGATTGGAATTCTGCACGATCCATTTCACGACCGCAACTCAGACAAATCAATGTGCGTAGGTATCCGTGTAGTTCAACGGTAGGCAGGGAAGGGTGGGCGATCGGGTGGAATGAGTCGACGTTCTGGGTGACGACATGGGAGACGAGGCCTAATGACCCTAGGTCTCGGATGGCCTCGTGCCCGGCGTTGGGCTTCGATCGTTTGAGACCTCGCCATCCTAGGAACGAGCGTGCCCAGTATCGCTGTCGCGATGTATGGCTGTCGACGAATTCGTGGAAGTAGATCGGTCGGTAGCTCCGGTTCTGTGTATATGTGCCTCGTGGACCGCGGTAGTCGGCCAGTCCTGATGCAGTGGAGAGCCCGGCTCCGCTGAGGAGGATGGTGCGTGGCTTCTCTTGATTACTGCCTGTGGATTTATTTCCGTCGTTGATGCTCGTGTGGGAAGAGGGTAGTGGTGAGGTTAGGAACTTTGCCAACGCCGCAATCGCTCCATGTTTGGTCGCCGCGGAGGGTGGGATGATCGCGGCGCCGGGAGGGGGCCCGTATACGGGATACGGAGGAGAGGTTTGGACATGCAGTGTGCATGGTTCCAAGAGATGGACAGAGGGAGGTTAAAAGGTCCTAGGCCGTTAGGGAGCGGAGAGCAGAGAGCAGAGAGCAGAGAGCGGAGGTGTCGCAGGACGTTCTCTTTTTTGGGTTGCTGACAACTGTCGATGTCATAGATATTTGGGACATACTAATATAAGCCGAGGTTGAGCCGACAGCCTTGCAATTCCCACAGCACGCATCCAATCAGGTAGATTCTGTATCAAATACTCATATAACATTCATTCATACCCATGTTTAAATGGTTGATTCCATGCCATTCAATTATTTGGTCGAGGTAATTTGACTGTAAAACGTCCTTCTATAGGCCAACGGCCCAATTAACCATACCCGCTTGCCATGCTATAGTCTATGTTTTGCATCTTGAACCAAAAAGTCCATACATCATGCCCATTTTCCGAGCACACTCATCAAAATCATACCTGCAAACAAGCTGACCCCACCAAGAAGTGTTTGACCAATGCTGGCTTCGACCATCTCTCCATGGTCCAGAATCCAATCTCGGGCCAGCATATCAACCAAACCAACCCAGAGAAGAATTCCAGCACTCAGCGAATCCAACGTTCCAATGGTCACAATGGTTTTGGGGTCATTTCCGTTAAAACTGTTGATGACGCCAAGGCCAATTGCCATGCCAATTGGTGTGATCAATGCAAAAGCAGTCGCCATGAAAAACTTGGTGGGCCAGAATCTTGCGAATTTGGCTGGGAGAACTGCGATCCGAGCACCAAGAGAAAGACCCTCGAAGAATTGGTGGAAGACTATGACAACCAAAAGTGTCTTGTAGAATGAGTCGCCAGCCACAACAAGCGTCAAGCCAATCAGGATACTGTGAAATAAGATACCCGCCTCCATAACCATGACCGACATTGTAGAGTGGGGGTTAGCAGGATCCAATGGATTGCCATGGCTATGGCCTAGGTTGGTCAGATTGTTGGCCTGATATGCTGGCGCTGATGCTGACGCGGACGCATCTTTGCCATCTTTGCCCTCTTGGTTGATCTCGCCTTTGGATGTATCGGAGGTAGAGGACGAACTTGCTTCAATAGGAGGCACATCTCCTTGGCTGGCACGGTGTACTCTTGCAATAACAATTCGGTGACCAACATACTCGAACAAGAATGCAAGAATGATGCCAGCCATCACAATTGCCGATGTTGTCCCTTCATACCTGAGACGGCCCAAGCATTGGTTCGCAAACATGAGTTGAGCGTGGGTATAGAGCTGTAAGTGATATTAGTGGTCTGGGCTCAATGGGGGTAAACAAAGCACATACATGCACAAGAGCAGTTGACAGGATCACTCCTGTGCCGAACTGCTTGACGACGGTAAAGGCTGACTGGTTGATCCTTCGGAATGGAAGTTTCGACAGCAGCATGGGAGCGAAAACACCAATGGCACTTGTAACAAGAATGACAAAGATGGTTCCTATCCGTAAGCCTATGTCGTAGTCTCGTTCGACGAGTTCGCAGTTAAGCGCAGCGCCCTCACTTTCGCCTTGCTCGCTACCGCCAGCAGGAACACAGTGTCTGGTCAAGTCAGTTGAATGTCGTATGTTTCAGAATAGGTGAAAGGCATACTCGACTCCGGCGTGAAAGTGACAGTCCATTTCTTGCTCTTCACCATCTTCATGATCGTGGTCATCGTCGTGATCGTCGTGATCCTCTTCGGCCGTGGAACTTCCGACAATGAGTACTTCAGAGCCATCAGGTGCCATACAATATCTGCAGGTGATTAGTCTTGAAAGCTTATACAACTCCGAAACCAACATACTGGTCGGTGCCATGGGCATGGCAGTCGGTATACTGGGCGGGTGGTTCTCCAGTAGCAGTTGCAGTGACAGATATTGACACTTCATCGCCAGCACCATTGATGCAGTAACTAGATCATCATCAGACCATGTCCGCTGTCTAAGATGTGTATGCAACTCACATGTCGCTTCCATGTGTGTGGCAGCCTGTGACGGCAGTTGTCTGACCTGTCGTGGTAGCCGAAGCGGAGACAGAAACCGGCAGGGTGGCTGTGGTCAATGTGGAGGAGTCGACGGCCGAGTAGGTGACCAAAGCAGTTTCCTCGCCATCCGGACCGTAGCAATATCTATACCATTGTGAGCGGGGTTCAGAATGCGCATTCTTGAGGACGATCATACTCGACGGTGGAATGATTGTGACAGCCGGTGTAAGTGGTCTGGGCTTTGACCGCGCTGGCCAGCCCCAGTAATAAAAGTATGGAAGAGGACAACATGATGGTCTCGGTGATAGATGCAAGTCTATGTCGTGATGCTGAACGATCAATGTGTCCAACAGATGATCAGATGGTCAGATAGACGCCACCTCGTTTGAGTGATTGTAGGCGAGAAACTGCGTCTGAAGCGAGGGGATTATATCGTTCCTTCCCGCTGATTCACAGGTGGAGGGTCGTGACTGCCATTTGTGGTTCTGGTGGAGCAGGAATTTCTATGACCAAAGAAGAGGACCAGAGCAGTATCAGAGTATCACTTGACTCAACAACCGCAGGAAGATCAAGGTCTCTGTTCTTGAATCCGAGTTCAACCCAGTCTTGTCAAAAACTAGGTTGAAAAGGTATACCCATCATTTTGAGCATCATCCAAGGGCAAAATGCCCTGGTCTGGGCTGCAGCACCAGGCGTGGAGGAGAGGGCAAACACATGGTGGCCGGGAGCCAAGCCCGCAAATATCCTCAAGTGACAATAGCCAAGGATAAGGTACTCAGAAACTGGAGTAGGCCACCGGCGATGAGGAACAATAGCAATGTTGTGAGTGGCTGCGCTGCCAATGGTCTGCCTTTGTTTAAGGTACTCACTTTTGTCTGGGCGGCGAGTTCTCCAATGCTGAGGGCGGAGCGGACTTGCCTTGGCATTACCGCATCGGGACATAGTGCCACTAGCTCCCGTTGAGGTAAGCCCGACAAGCTCATCGTGTAGTATCGATAGCGATACGAATAACAGGGCCACGAGGTTGTCGATATACTTCATGTTGGTAATGAGCTCAACGTATGACATAAACCGCAACCACAGCCCTCTTCTGATTGGCCTTTTATAGTCAGTCATGGTCCTCAAATTGCTCGCATATCACAAACTATAGACGAAAAACGTGCATGACCTCGTGCTCCGATCTGTGTAGTACCTGCTGCATTCGGCTAACCAGGCACGCCATTGACTTGCTGGGTCGAGGACATGGCCGTGAAAATTTTTCTGCAAGATGCTAGGCGGAGAAAAGCGTGGAATGATGATGGCATAGGATGCTCTGGCTCGGCAATTGAAGTCATCGGTTGCGGTGGAAGACGCTGTATAAAGTCGAGGATCCGGCCCGTGCGATGACAGGAGACAGAGCATCATCTCGACATCCAATTCGCAGTCTCCAGTCCAATAAGCTGGGTCCTTTCGTTTGCAAACCATGTCTCGTCTCATCAAGGCCACAGTCTTTTTGACTGCCATTTCTGGCGTATTCGCCGCTCCTGCGCAGCTCTTTGCTCGACAAGACTCCCATGACCATGATGACCATGATCACGTTGAAGCGTGGGATGCCGGTGCCGTCACCCAATATCAGATCCATTCCAGTTGCAACGCCACTCAAGCCCATCAGATTGCCGTTGGACTGAACGAGACCATCCAATTGGTTAGCCATGCCCGAGACCATGTGCTGAGATGGGGCAATACCTCGGAGATTTACCAACGATACTTTGGTGGCCGACCTCCCTATGAAGTTCTTGGAGCATACGAGATCATCATCAATGGTGACAAAGAAGGCGTTCTTTTCCGATGCGACAACCCTGATGGCAACTGCGACATCGAAGGTTTGTGACTGGAGCTCCCCCAGTGTTGATGTGTATCGGCTAACAGGCCTCGCTTTAGGTTGGGGAGGTCATTGGCGAGGCTCCAATGCCACGTCCGAGACCGTCATCTGCGACCTCAGCTATGAGACCCGACGATCTCTCAATCAGATGTGTGCTCTCGGCTACACGGTCAGCGAGTCGCCCAGAAACACCTTCTGGGCATCTGACCTCCTCCATCGTCTCTATCACGTCCCTGCCGTTGGCTATGGGTATATTGAGCATTTCGCGGATGGTTATGAAGAAATTCTCGAGCTCGCCCAGACCGACGAGATCGGTCCCACACGCGACACTGACACACTGCAATACTTTGCATTGGATGCTTACGCCTATGACATTGCCGTTCCAGGCGTTGGATGCAACAGCCCAGAGACAGAGGCAGAGAGCGGCTCTTCTAACTCAACTGCACCAACCACGACTTCAACTGGTTCACCTACCGTGCCTGAACCCAGCACATCGACTGTATCAATCCCTGCTGTGAGTACTCACCTGAAGTTGTTGACGGAACAAGACTGACATAGTCATGCAGGGTTGCCACACTCACGAAGGCGGTGATCTCCACTGCTCATAAATGTAGAATGGAGCGGGCTGCACATGCAGGGTCAAAACAAGACCATAGACGACCAGAGAGACAAGTAATGCACGCTGAGCAGATATAGCCAACAGCATACCTAATAGTATAGAACACCTATAAGTGATAACACACAGCTTCTCCAAGGTCTAGTAATAAATGAGTTATGGCAATTCTTGAGGACGGTTAAAATGTCACTCAAAGCAAGGAAGCAAGCTCTACTTATGGTTTAGCTCATCAAAAGTCCCCACTGGTCCGTAATTATGGAAGAGTGATCGTCCATAGTAGGCTTGTAGGCTGATAGGCTGTTTGCCTACCTAGGATCCATAGAGTCAAACATGAGTGAATCGAACCATCACCACGCGGGCCATGAGAACACAGCCACTCGTACATACCCAAGTCCAAGCTCGATATCATCTTGGTTCATAACGGCCATCATTTATTGTTGTATTATCTAGAAGGGAGCTCTATCGTCCATTCTCTATTCTCTGGTTGTGTGGGTTCGTGACATATACAAGCCGTCTCTTCCTGCAAGGCTCATACACCTCACAAAACCAAGGCGCCCACACCGGCTGCCACCAGCAATAAACCTATTTGAGCTGTGACAACCCTAGCCCCGTTCGTGTTCCCCTCGAGAGATGATCCAGTATTTGCTGTGGAAGTCGACGAAGTGGTTGTCGTCCCTAGGGCATAGCTCGATGTTGTAGACGATGTTGTACGAGTCGACGACGTGGTGCGGGTCGATGACAAGGTCGCGAACAAATCACTGCTACTTGAGACGCCAGAGCATCCAGCACTCGTCGAGCCCTAGAACAGTTAGGTAATCAATCTGTCATCAGCAACGGAATTGTAATCTTACTGGAGCACAGCATTTCCCGGGAATGGTGGCGCATGTGTACCCAAAGACACCTTGGCAATGACCTGGCTATGTGTCAGTACCTTCTTAAACTTATCTTTACCTGTTACTTCTCGACTTACTGCCATCTGGACAACATTCTTCGTAAAGGCCAGGATTGTAGCAAGCGTCATTGCCACAGGGAACATGTCCGGAGCCATAAAGGCGGACACAGGTTTCGGTCGTGATGCCGCCGCTGCTTCCAGAACCGCCTCCAGTACTGCCTCCAGTACTCCCCCCTGTATTGTCGTCTGAACAAGTATCATACATTGGATCATTCGGGTCGTAGCAGTGCAGTCCATCAGGACACGCTAGGTATGTCGGCCCGAAGCACGACGTGCAACTAGCCCCAACCCGGTAGCAAGTGTCACTTTCACCTGTAGACGTGGAACTCCTTGCACTGGATGTGGCTGTGCCTGAGCCGGAGCCACTGCTCGTGCACGAGTCCAATCCGTAGACCGAATCCCCAGGACGGTAGCAGATTCTGGTACTGCTTGGACAAAGGATGTAGCCGTCTCCAAAGCACTCTGCGCATGTCCCAGTACATCGCTTTTCGAGATCCCTACTCATAAGCAATCGATTGCTGGTCACGCTTGGAGTTCGACTCAGCGCAGGCTTAACGCCACTGAAGACGGCATCCTCCAGCTGGGCCGAGGCGAGGAGGACGAAAGAAGACAAGCACAACACAGCTTTAGTGAACAGCATTGTAGTCAGAGTTGCCAGTTTCCGAAGAAAAGAAGGTGGTTGACTATGAGTGACTGTCGCGATCGAACGAATGCCTCCAGGGAATGAAGAGTGAGTTGCAACTGGATACCAGAACCTGCTTCGAGCCTCGAGGAGAAGGTGATGAAAGATATACTCACATACTGTGCTCCAACTGCCGGTGGTTCGCGACTCAGGATTTAGCCTGGTCGTGAGCACGACGGAATACGGCTACATTTTGTGGCAGTCAGGGCCGAGGATTTGATCGCTCATCCACTCTTAACCTCGTGCTTGACCCTGAAATTCCAACGTGCCGCTCTGATTAGTCGGTTATCAAGATCGACCAGAAGCCATTGGTTGTGAGTACTCCGTACATAGAAGTTCTCCAAGCTCAAAAGCCTAAACAATACCTATTCCTCTGCATTGACCAGGGATCAGCCTTGAATAGACTGTTTACATCAGGTCAAGAAGGATCAGCATTCAGCTAAAAGGACCGTCAGGCGCATAGGTGAATGGGACCAATTGATCACCGGTTGAGTCAAAGACCAGTAGGATGGGAATGATGAAATTGAGCCCACAGTCAATCAGCGATCACTTCTTATTTGTGCCTCTAGGCAAATGGATCGCTGTTGCACCTTGCATTAATCAAGCGTATGCTTCTCTAAGCCCTAGTTCGTGCGCTATGTGGCGCAAATGGCCCTCAAAGCTCCGGTTTCAGGGGCACGAGGGGCGGCAAGTCTTGGTATATATGGGGGCCGATCTTGGCTCAAGGGTTAGCCGAACCCTGATGTGAAGCGAAAGTCAATCTGAGCCGTGTTGGTGGAGACCAAGGCAGACTTGAATCAGGTTGCCTTTCTAGTGCCATTTTAGTTGGGCAGAGACTCGGCTTTGATCGTCGTCGGAGACACGAATCCAGGAAAGATCTCCTCGTAGTTAGTCATGTTGTCTGCTTTCTGTGTGGTGCAAAGGGCGAAATGGTACGCTGCAGCCCCATGTGCAGATACGGAGTACTCGTGGTCTTGCACCCAACAATATTTCCTTGCGCAGGGTTTTATTCCAAGGGTGCTCAGGCCCGGGGCGCTGGCGACCTGGCCATGTGGTCAATTGTCCAATAACCAACCAGATCAAAATTCAAGCCCGGACGACAAAGCAGGGGTACGGACGCTGGCCGGGTTTGCTAATCTTGTAGCCTCGAATATTGGCAAGGGATCTTAAACTTTGGTCGGCGCTGAGTTCAGCCTTATATCTCAGGACCATGCGCATGTCGAAGACCAGATGACCCGTTTGCATCCCTATGTCTCCTCACTACTTTTAGCTGTTGAATTTCAGAGTTTTGAACCGTCTTGTTATGTCGGTAATAGCAAGCTCGACAGGTAATCTCTCCATACTACTGGCGCCAAAGAAACCATGGACGCCGGTCGTCCGGCTGAGAACATAATCAGCATCCTTCGGCTCGGCTATGGGACCTCCATGGCAGAGGACGAGGATTTGGCGATTGATCTCGACTGCAGCATCTCTCATCGTTTGAATCAACTCGACGCATTCATCAAGTGTCTTGCCTGTTTTGGCGCCGATAGACCCGGAGGTTGTCAAGCCCATGTGACAGACTGGGTTTGGTCAGTGATAGGGTTTCATCCTCGACCACATACTAATTACTAACCCAAAACATCTGCACCAGCCTTGGTCATTTTCTCAGCCTCGTCCACATTGAAGACGTAGGGCGTGGTGAGTAAATCCAGCTTATGTGCTTGGGCGATCATTTCGACCTCTTTGTCATAACCCATTCCCGTCTCCTCCAAATTTGCCCTGAAAACTCCATCGATGAGACCCACGGTGGGAAAATTTTGGACGCCGCAGAAGCCCATGCTCTTGAGTTGTTGAAGAAAGTTGGGCATGATGCGAAAGGGGTCGGTTCCGCAAACGCCAGCAAGGACGCCTATCCTGTTGACAATTGGCAAGACCTCGTTTGCCATGTCGAGGACGACAGCATTGGCGTCACCATATGGCATAAGTCCAGCGAGGGATCCTCGACCTGCCATGCGGAAGCGTCCGGAGTTGTAGATGATGATCAGGTCTGCAACCCCGGCCTCGATGAATTTGGCGGACAAACCAGTGCCTGCTCCGGCTCCAATGATAGGTTTACCCCCGTCAACTTGGGCTCGAAGGTGAGACAACACCTCAGAGCGAGAGGAAGGAGGGGCCATGGCAACAATGAGGAGTGAAAGAGCCTTTGGACAAGCAAGATATTGGAGTTTAAAGCCCACCTGGCCGGACTGTTGAGGCTGCAAATATCGAGGACGATTAAGTATTGATACTCCGCGCCTGCCACAGGTCAGTTCAACCTCCACGTCATTGCATGAGGATTGATGCAAGGTGTAAGTGGGAGACACGCGGAGACTGGAGATGCTGCGGGGCAATCATTTATTGTCAGACTGGAATTCATTCCATTTCCTATAGCAATAACCACGTGATTTCTTCCTGAAAGCTACAAAATTGAAACTGTCAGACATCAACTCCAAACTCAATCTGATCGCAGCTTCCATGTGACAGGAGCCACCAACGACCTCTCACAAACACGAAGCAACACAGGCAGGTGGGGGAAGACAGGGAGGTGCTCTTTCCTTCTTCCATATTCTTGCGACCTCGCTTTTCGATCATTTTTATTCTCATGTTCAATTCCAGCTTAAGCTCGAAAAGCTTCAAGCCAGTTCTCTCTCCACCACATCGTCACTTGCTCATTACCATCAGGTCTTAGAGCCTGATTGGGAATACCTTTGACAACAATGGCCAAACCAACTGTCTTGATCGTCGGCACCACCGATACCAAACTCGAAGAAATCCTGTACCTGCAAGTCAAGATCCAAGAGGCAGCCTGCGAAACCATAATCCTCGATGTAAGTCATACAGCTTCCAAGAACCCTGCCCTCAGCCAGATCCCTGAGCACGGAATTCTCTCACCACTCCATGCCCACAGCGAATCTTTGAAATCCCTCTCTAGAGGTGACTACATCGATAAAGCCATCGACATATGTTCTCCAATTGTTCGCGACCTTGTTACCAGCGGTCAGATCCATGGCATCGTGTCGGCCGCTGGGAGTAGTGGTTCAGCCCTCGCCACGGCCCTGATGAGAAATGCCTCCCCAGTGGGCTTTCCAAAACTAATGGTCTCCACTATGGCAAGTGGCGATATCAAACATTATGTCCAAGAGACCGATATCACCATGATGTATAGCGTTGTTGACATCGCTGGAATCAATTCTGTCATGACTCGCATTTTGTCTAACGCTGCTGCTGCCATCTCCGGCATGGCAAGCGCTTATGCCAAATCCGCTTCTCAACAATCAGGTCCCCAGACCACAGGAAAACGCATTGCAATCACAATGTTTGGAAATACTACTCCTTGTGTTGATCACATTCGACGAATTCTGACTTCAACCCCTCATGATGTGTCCCAATACGACGTCATCGTTTTCCATGCTACAGGAGCTGGTGGTCGAGCGATGGAGAGACTTATTGCTGATGGGCAAATTGATGCAGTCATCGATCTCACCACCACCGAGATTCCTGATGAGTTGTTTGGGGGCGTGCTCTCTGCCGGACCCGATCGTCTCGAGATTGCCGCGAAGAAAGGGCTTCCAATGGTAGTATCAGTTGGGGCATGCGACATGGTCAACTTCGGTCCAAAGGACACCGTTCCCGAGAAGTACCACGACCGCAAGCTCCTAGTCCACAACCCTGCGGTCACGTTGATGAGAACATCCTCCGATGAAAGCAGCAAGATTGGACGCTTCATCACCGACAAATTGACAAAATATGCGAAAGACCCAAGCTCAATTCGGGTATTGATTCCAACCAAAGGCATCAGTGCCGTCGATGCTGTTGGACAGCCATTCTACGATCCTGCTGCCGATGAAGCGCTGGTCCAAGCTATTGATGGTGGATTGGAGGGATCTGAGATTGAGATCGAGAAGCATCAACACCATATCAATGATGAAGAATTTGCAACCCAGGTTGCCTCGGCTTTGCTCGAGGTAATGGGCGTCACCCCTCGACATTATCGACTTTCAAATGCAAGACGTCGGAAATGGTCATTCGACCACGGTGCTTCTGTCATGTTGGCCAGAAGAGCAAGTCAATTGTCAGACCCACCAGCAACGAACTTCAGCGTTGATCGTTAGAGCTGAGATTCAGCAATTTTGCGTTGTTCGCAAAGTCTCGTCTTCTGGATACTTTCCGGGATGTTCATAACGCCTGGCGGCCTCGCTTCTGTCAATCTGGCTTCTCAATTCTTGGTCAGAATAACGACATGTTGGCATACAGCGACAAGCAAATCAAACAGTGCAAGTGCCATTGTTTCAGTCATTTGTATGTCGTGACACTATTATCTCAGATACCCCAGTTTGCTATTGCACAATATAAAAATTTCCTTCCCAAGGTCTAAGAACATGGTCCTTGACTCCCGAGTCGGAATAGTTCGAGAGGAGCAAGCGTGAGTTGTCCAAGTTGAAGCCAGAGGGTATATATATTCTCTGTTCCTCGTCAGAAAAATTCAACGCAACCAGAACTGTTCTTGCTGCTGTCCGTTTCCAAAATGTGAACGTCTTCTCGTTAGACGGATTCACTAGCTCGAAGTCTCCGTATACAAATACTTGCTTCCATTCCTCGCTTTTCCTGATCGCAATGGACTTCTTCCAGAACTCCAGTACACTCCCTTCGACACCAATTTGGCTTTTTGCATTTATCTTGGTGAAGCTTTCATTCACCTTGATCCACGGTTCGGTCATGCTGAAGCCTGCAGAGGGAAGGCTGTCATCCCACTGCACTGGGGTGCGGTTGTTATCTCTGCCCATGTTCCAGAATGCATGCTGGACTTTCTTAACGTGTTCTTCATTGCCTGGCTTCTCTGCAAGAGCCGATTGGATATAATTGATCCACGGGCCGTCACGCATGTCTTCCAGCGGATAATCCTTGGGCAAGCTCGTCATTCCGAATTCTTGGCCTTGATACAAGAACAAAGTCCCGCTTAAGGAACAGAGTAACATGCTCAACAACTTGGCGCTCTTGGCCCAGAATTCTGGACCGTCGTTGCCGTACTTGCTCACAGATCTTGGACTGTCGTGATTTTCAGCAAACACCGATGTCCAGGCGTCCATGTCGCGGTCTTTTAAAAAGCCCTGAGCTTTCTCAAACCCAGCTTTGAAGTCGGTCAATTTTGCTGGACCCCATTGGTGAGGAGACAAATTAGGCCCTGAGCCAGACATGGAGAAGTCAAAGTCGAAGATCATGTCGAGCTCTCGATGTTTCGACGATGTGTACAATAGTGTTTCTTCTGCCCCGGTGCCTGTCAACTCTCCAACGAGCACGATGTCTTCGCCGAAAGGATCAAATGCCAGACTTCGTTGTTCACGAAGCCACTCATGCATACGAGGGCCATTACGGAACAGGGAATTCTCCATAGGTTGAGTTGGTTGCCCAGGTTCCACCACCGGCGTATCTCGAAACGTTTGATCCTTGGAGTAGCAGTTGACAATGTCGACACGAAATCCATCCACGCCCTTTCGCAGCCAGAATCGCATAGATGATTCGTAGATAGCTTCTCGGGTTTCCTGATTCTCCCAATTCAGATCTGGTTGCTGTGAAAGACAGATGTGAAGGTAGTATTGGTCTCGAGCGGAAACATATGTCCAAGCAGGGCCCCCAAATTGACTTCGCCAATTATTTGGCGGTACACGCTTCCCATCAACGAACTTGGGATCCCGCCAGATATACCAATCTGCTTTGGAGTTTGTACGGGAGGAGGCGCTTTCCCGAAACCATGCATGTTCGTTACTCGTATGGTTAACGACGAGGTCGAGAAGGAGTTTAATTCCTCGCGTATGGCATTCTGTAATTAGCATGTCCATGTCATGCATAGTACCATATTTTGGCCACACAGCCTCGTAGTTACTGATATCATAGCCCCAATCATGTTGAGGCGAATCGTACATGGGAGATAGCCAAATAAAATCGACCCCAAGATCGCGGATATAGTCTAGAGTACTGATGATGCCTGGAATGTCACCGAACCCGTCGCCGTTGGAATCTTTGAACGAGGCTGGCCAGATTTGGTAACCAACCGCTTCTTTCCACCATTTGGGTGTAGTCATGACGGGTGTTGGAGTTCAGCTCTGGTATTGTCAGGAAGTGCAAGTGTCCAGAGATGCTACTCGAACAGATATATGTTGTTTGAGTCATCAAGGCAGCACACTTATGGTGGGGACTCCACCGTTAGAGATGGCATTAGATTCAACCCTCGTTAGAACCCGCAAAATGCACCACCTTGTTGGTAAATTTCACCGACACGAAGTTGCGCAGGGACGAATCGCTCAGTATCATCCTACCTTGTTAGTTCAGCATTCAATGACAGAGTACCTGTGGAGCATGGGGGCATGGGATCGTCTGAAAGTGACCGAGAGTTTGGCCGTGACATGGATTGGATCGAAGTCAGTCAGATATCAATCGTCCGGAAGAAGGAAGATGGTTTATCCGCACAGGCTGCACAAGCCCCCAACACGTGACGTCCGAACTCCAACTTGCATCAACGCCCTGCATATTAACATATTCTTCCCATCTCGCCTTTTGTCAACACTGCGGCTTTCCATTCTTCGGACACTGGCTCATACATCTCATCATCAGCGCCAGTATGCCTCACGCAGCCCCATCTCGCGAAGCGCCTACCACAAACACCGATCTCTCTGCTGGGGCCGAGCTGCGACTTGGAGAGTATGCCGACGAACCCACCCTGAACACCTCCGAAGCACGAATCATCCTACTCAAGACACTGTCGACACGCGCCGCGCGAGGACTACACTACGAAGAGACCGAGACGACGACCAAGACCCGCGACTACCTGGAGATCTTTGCCGTCTTCAAAGAACTAGCCGAGGCGCAACAGGTGGAAGGAATCATCGATTCATATGGCAAAGGGCTAGAGCGGTTCGAGAAGAGTCAATTGGGAAGTCTGGTGCCGACCAGCGCAGAAGAGGCAAAGGCTTTGATCCCCAGTCTGGAGCGCAAGGTCGAGAATGGTACTCTCTCTGACGAGGAGTTGGAGGGCATTTGCAGAGAATTGCAGCGGTTGAAGAGACAGGCTCAACTTTGATTTGCTTTTGGGTCCTGTGTAAGCTAGACGCAGCTTCTCACAAGTCTCACTGCATCGGCATCATCTCTCGCGCTTTATTGTTCTTCACTCGACTGTGAGAGAGGTCCTTTTGGGCAGAAGACTCTCTGTACTATACCCTCGATCATCCTCTATCCGGCAAACCTGGACTTGGACCGTGGACCTTCTACAACAATGTCAGAGATGTCCATCAATCAATCGTTCTCCTCTTCCGGAATCGAGATCTCTGTGCCGACTCGAAGATCAGTCCTCATGTTGGGCTCGTCATCAAAGGCAATCTTCAGGTCAGACTCTGGTACTTTTCTAGTTGATGAAACTAGATTCGCATAGCCAGAGGTCGACTTGATCTTTGTCTATCTGGCAGACATGCCACCATGAATCAATGTTAGCGATGAATTCAGAAAAACGCAGTAAATACTGCAAAATGATACCCATTGAAAGAATTCATTCATGTTCGCTCCTGCCTGAGGAACCATCTTCTTGTGGCACCTTCCCTTTCCCCTCCATGTACCTTCCCACCATTTCCTGTCATCTTCTTTTCTATCCTCAACCGCCTTCACGAGACTCACACAGTGGTTTATATCCAGGTAAGCATTACCATTCTCCCAATTGAAGTCATCCTATACTGGGGAGGCATTTTGTGCGAAAATCGAGAAATTGGTTGGTTCACCCGTCCACGCGTCCATGGGCGTTTGCATAGCAGTTTGGCTCGCTGCCATCAGCAACACCGCCACGCATTCTGCTTCATCGACCGCCCACCACTACGATGACTAGACCAACCGACCTTGAGCAGGTAGTTTGAACCAGAAGCTTCTGGTTCAATCTACATCTCTCTTGTCATTGGCTTTCTGCTTCGCTCATCCTGTTTGATCCCATCAAGGCAACGACTCTTTGCCTTTTCCGTTGGAACCTTGGCGGCTTGAAGTTGATCACAGCTGGCCAAGCTTCAGAACAATGAACGAGCGGGTTATGAGATTCACCTTTGGGTCAAATCGAGGCTCAGTAGGTGCCTAATCGTCTCAGTATGCTTCCTCGAGCTAAGCGCAACCTTGTGCTACAATGGTGACAAGTTCTTCACGCTCTCTCTCACTCTCTTACGCACACATGCCCCGATCTCTCTCTTTTTTTTCTCAAATCAATGCGTGGCTTAACGGCTCACTGTTGTCACAGCACAGGAGCCAAGAGTTTTGCAAACGGATTCAAAGCTATATCAGTCGTTAATCATGGCTGGATATTCACTCTCCTTTTTTCCTTCTCCTTTCCAATTCGATCCTTCACCTTTCCAAGATATCTGTGAAATCCTGAGGTCACTGGACCATTCTCTTCCATCTTTTGACAAGTTCATCCACATTACACTGTTACAACTTATACTTCCTGATCTGCCCCCTTTTCCATAACTCATCATGTCTCAGCAACCAGACAGGAGGAAGGATATACGGAGGTCTCAAGAGAATCCGGACGATAGTCGTTCACAACACTCTGGTAAATTCTGTCCTTCACCCCTCTATTGCAAACATCCCATATCTCCAAACCCCCTTTACTAGGTACTAATATATATTCATGATCAGATCAGTCTAATCCGTTGCAAGCTCGTGGATTGGCGACAAACCCCTTAGATATCCCAATGTCACGCCCATCGACGCGTGCAGAAAGTGACTACTATATCAAGTACCCAAAGCGGGAGAAATCGTATGAGAGGGTGCGGCCACAACCGCAACAAGACCCGACCGTAGTTCAGTATGAGAAAGGTCATGTTACCATCGTCAATAATCACTCCCACTTCCCAGGCCATTACGGTGCGGATCAGCAAGATTTCACTACAGAGCGTGGCACAGGCAACTACGATGACGAACTAGACGCTCCGCTACATCTAGAGCTCGAAGGAGAACGATACAATGACGCGAAGCGGCGTGACTTGACTAGCTTCGACGAGAGGAGCTCTGGCCCGCCTCCAGATGACGACGAACCCATTCGGGGACGTCAGCCCGAACGAAGGGAATATGGATATCGTGATCGTCGTCGCCGCTCGCCTCCCCGAGACGATCCTCAGGGCCTTAACTCACGAAACCGGTGAGCCTTCTCAACCCGAAAGGCTGCAGGGTGAAGTGAAAACAAGAGTAGCAGGCCTGGCGAAGGCGATGTCGTTTTCGCGATCGCACTCTCGTGGAGAAGGTCAGAGTTTTCGTATGGAACTCGATAAGGGGAGAGGGACTTGGCTATCGTCGACTGAGTTTTATGTGCTCTTTTCGGTTTTTCCTTTCTCTTTTCAACCAACAGTGCTGGCTAATCTCTTCCTCTTCCTCTTTTTCTTTCTCTTTCACATTGACCTGGGAATTGATCAACATTCATCCCCATCTCTGAGCTGACGAGCTGGCGAGCTTGAAAGAATCACCGCCATGGCCATCCTTGGAGCTAAACGGAAAGTTGCCTGTGGTTATTGCCAGTGTGGAGGAATTGTCGGTGAGAGAAGCACCCACACAGATAGGGCGAGAAGGTGTGATGGTACGGGGCTAATGTGTGATGGCTGATTGCTTCCTGACACAATGATCCTGGTGCCTGGACAGGGCTTGTGCAACAGATCATGGATTGTGCGACATAGTTTGTCAATTAGTTGAGATACCCAGGTGGATTTGAGGAGCTGCTAAGTAGAGCTGTAATGTAATGAACAACGACATTGTGCTATTAAAGTATGAAATGACTGGCTGAGATCTCGGCCTTCATCCCAGAGATGCCTTGTCTTTGCCAAATCTTGTCTTTGCCAAATCTTGTCTTTGCCAAATCTTGTCTTTGCCAAATCTTGTCTTGTCAAATCTTGCCTAAAGCTGCCTTGTCTTACCCTTTCATCTCTTCACTTGCCTAAGGTTACCTTGCCTTGCCTTATCCTGCCGTGTCCATCAGTGTGCCTATTGCCTTTGTACATCAAACAACACGATTTGTGGACTGTCGTGATGAGCCAGGCACCTATGTGTGCAGAAATGCGATAATGACACAAAGACTGTTGGTCTTGTAGAACCAGTGTCATATGAAGGTGTAACCAAGTAAATGTGAATAATACTAAGTACCAACTCTTCTTTCTCTCCATAATCACCATCTCATCTCAGCTTCCTGGACAATCTTTCATAATCTGAATATACAGTACAACATTTGACATGCAGACTCGACTTATCAGTAATCGACCGCATATCGAGAGACCTTGATTCGACCATTCGACCAAAACCCAAGGATGTCATCACCATCCAGAATTCGACGAGGACCTTCTTCTAACGACGAGAAAGACCAAGAAGGATCGAGATCGAGATCGAAATCCATGTCCATATCTAAATCCAAATCCAAATCCGATCGACACCGAGACCGAAACCAACTCCGAGACAAAGATTACCATCGGTCATCTCATTACAAGAGACAAAAAGTATCTAGTAGGAATGCACATTCTCGACATGAGCGGAGTAAAGGCCAGGAACGCATGGCTAGAATCGATGAGAATTGTCCGAATTCTTCGGTGCATAGATTGAATCTGGATCCGAATCCGGAAAGGGACGAGGGTCAGAATCAGGGTCAGGGTCAGGGTCAGGGTAATGGCGACGCTGGCGGCGCAAGTCCAAGACAAAGGTATAAACCAAAACCCAAACCCAAACCAAGATCAATACGGAGTAATGGGTCGAATGGAGGTAGAAACCATGAAGAGGATGGCGATGATATGGAGGGCGGCGTCCAAGATCAAGATCCATCGAAATATCCGGATTCATCCTCCTCCTCCAGTCCCACCAGACCGAACGACAGGCCAAAGTCTGGGCGACAACAGAACGATAGTCTACAGAAGGAGATGTCTAACACAGCATCGCCCCCTGCTACAATCGTAGTCCGAAATCGTCTCCTCATAGAAGATGGCTCCGACATGACAAATGCAGAGATCGAGGATTGTTCATATCATCTGGACCGGCCTTTGCCTGTTTGTCTTCATCGGGTGGAGAGAAGTCGTAGGATGGTAGCCGCCATCAACGGAAAGAGTACAAATAAGAGGTGATGGAAAAGGGAACGGGGTAAGCTAAAGGGGAAGAAGGTCGATGACGGTGGGAAATAACGGTCGGTCATTTTACCCCCTTTTCCCTTTTCCCTTATCCCTATCCCTCTCCTTCCCCCAACGACCACTCAATCCTCATCCTTGACTTTTATCCTTATCTTCCAGGTTCAACTTTGCCAAAGATTCCAGCAGCGGTAACTCATCAAAGGCCACACTGGAGGGAATGCGAAAGCTCGCGCAGTACATTTTTTTGTTTGGAGCAACGTTGCGAACATATCTGATCTCCAAATCCAGAGCCGTGTCAGTTTGAGAAACTTCAGCCCCAATAAAAAATGATATCCTGGTACAGATCTCATCATGTTCTTCTTTCTCCGTCTCATGCTTGGCTTGAAATAGATAGAGGTGGATCAGGGGTAATTTCCTATCAGGTGTATGAGGTGTGAATTCGGCCTCACGACCGTGATAGATACCTCTGAAAGCATCGAGGAATTCAACTGCACTGGCAGGCAAGTTCATGACATAATGGTCGAATAAGCGTGGTTCTTGATAGATTTTGGTATCTGCATCAGCCATTTCTCGCGCCCTGGTCTTTTCGGCTTCGCTGGCATTTCGAGAGACTTTGAGTTTCGGCACGATGGAGACGGAACGAGGAGATGAAGCCAGATCGGCGGTGGCTTGGCGAATGAAGAGTCGACCGTCCTGACAGGATGCGGTGACAAAGTCGTCGACTTTGTTTCTTGTGATTGCATCTTGGAGACTGGCGTAGGAGAAGGGATTCAGGTCGTTGGCTCGTACAAAGACTTTTTTCTTGCCGGATGGAATGGCAAATGGACCGACTCCCGCCATGACGTCGCATACGGCTTCGGCTTCATGGAAGGTTTCCCATAATCGTGCGTGTTCCGTGCCGAGACGAGTGTTCCAGTAGACTTTTCCAAAGTTGAATCTGAATTCGCATTGTGATTCATGCACGGTGACGTCGAGATCGTCGGGTCCAGCGAGGACTTCGTAGGGGAATGTGCGGAAGACGGATTCTGTGCCTACGTCGTAGGTTTTGTTGATGACGGTGGTGATCATGGGGTTTTTGTCGAGGAGAACTTGGCCGATGAAGTGTTTATATGGGAGATATATGTCTCGTAAATTGATGTGGGCGACGTGACCGACAGCGGCGAATCCACCGGGAGTTTCTTTCTCGTCTTCTGGTAATTCGGGAAGAGTGGCTTCGAGAATATCATGCATCGTCCAGTCATCATATGTGAGTTTCAAGTCGTAAGGTCGTAATCGAGCAGCTTCAGATTCGATCAGTTGTGTTAGAGTAGGTGACCAAGTAGATGGGTCGTCGGTCTTGATTCCCAAGCTGAGTAAGAAGCATTTAGCACCGGGATTGGAGTCATCGTCCATTAAAGGCTTGATCATAGCGAGTCTCAGGAGCTCCCCTGAACGTTCCAGGTCTTTTCGTATCTGGCCTAGTAATTTGACATTGGATACACTTGCAGCAGACAGGGGAATGACTTTTTGGAAGAATGACCGGTCCAGAACTTTCATGGACCGATTCACAGGAGGTCGAAAGACGGATGGGGTTTCTGGGGAAGTCATTCTGAGAGGTTTCTTCTTGTTAGGCTTGAAGCAGGCGACAGAGGTCGAAAATAAACGTCGGACATATGCTGCCATGCAATTTAGAATGCCCCGGATGGCGCGAGGGTCGATATGGTCATACGGCGAACATGAAGCCTTGGTCTGGATTGTATGGAAACTTTTTCATGTGACTTGATAGACCATGAAATAAATCTTGTGGAAAATTAAAAGTGCGGCAATGTTGCTGTTTTGGGAGATGCCGCTACTTAGAACGGCGCGCCGCGCGTGTGTTGAAGACGCGACGCAAAAGGACGAATGACGATGACGATGACGTCTACATCTACTGTACATCGACAACGACAACGACCATAGTGTGTCTCACAACAAGACTTGACCACCGTCTCTCACCATGCAGATAAAACACCATACCACTCGGTAGCAGCAATGTCCAAACGAACTCTAGAAGGATTCTTTTCTCCCGCTTTGAAAAAGCCGAAACTGGATGACTCTCCCTCGACAACCACCAAAACCCCTTCCACCATACCACCCAACTATCAAAATCTCCCCACAACAAACCACCCTACCTATCCCTGGCCAATACCCCATTTCCCTCCTCATATACTCTCGGAACTCGAAACATTAGTCACCGCCGATGGCGAAGAAATCCGCGACAAACCACATCTAGATCTCTTGTATTTCCAACCATTCATCCCTCGAACAATCCAACGAGAAGTATTTGAATTCCTCCGCTCGCAATTATTCTTCTATCGAGTAACATATAAAATCAAACGATTCGGCAAAGAAATGACGATTAATACACCGAGATTCACGACTGTGTTTGGGGTTGATGAAACTAGTCGGTTTGTTAATGACGGAGGAGTAGCAGCAGCAGCAGGCGGAGCCGGGCTGTTTGAAGCATCCAACGGACCTACCACAACAACGACGACGACGACGACGACAAGAATACGATCAAACAAATACAAATGCCATCCCCGCCCTATTCCCGAATGTCTCGACCTGCTTCGTCGAGTCACCGAAGCCTGTACAAACACGCAATACAATTTCTGTTTGGTCAATTACTACGCGACAGGAAGCGATAGTATTTCATACCACAGTGATGATGAATTGTTTCTAGGGCCGGATCCCGCTATTGCGTCGTTCAGTTTAGGTGCGAAGCGGGATTTTCTTATGAGGCATAAACCACCGGCAACATCGAAGGATGATTCAAGTGATGTTTCCGCGGCCAATGCGAATCGTGCAAACGATATTAAATTGTCACTTCAAAGTGGTGATATGATCCTGATGCGTGGATCGACACAGAAGAATTGGTTGCATAGTATTCCTAAACGTGCTGGATCGCAGAGTGATTCTGGGAGGATTAACATCACTTTGAGGCGAGCGATGGTGACGGCGGGAACGGAGAATTATTATCGATACAATGTTGGGCAAGGGCCTGTGTATAGGTGGGATTCATCCAGGAGGGAGATGGTGCTGTGGAAGTCGACTTGATCTCCAACATAAACGAAAGAACAAAGGAGATATGACAATGTTCAACAACCGAAGATATGCCATTGCCTACTACTCATATCAAGTATAGCTGGAAACCCAAGCAACCTAGACCTTAGTCATCTGTTCCGGATCCCTCGGCATTTGAAATCTTCAACTTGGTTATGTTAGGTTGATACTTTGGTGGTTGGAATCATAAGCACCGAAAGGACGACCCGTCCGCTAACGTCGCAGCAATCCAAATCCAATATGCTGTTCACATCCAAGACAAGAGTGGAATACCATGGCCCAACGCGTAAACATCATATCTCTTGCACGCCTTGGTGTAAAATTAATGATACCAAACATTCCATCTTTTCCTTTTCCTTGACAACAGTGAGAGCGTGAATGTACAACTCCCTGTATACAATTTACTCTGTGCGTTCCGTTATTTCCTCTTCGGTCGGACCCTACCCCACTTGTACCAACGGTCGTGATGGAAGAGTGTTGCTGGCTTTCCTCTTCTCCGCTCCAGGCCGAGCTTTCCGTTCTGTTTCAGATGGATGCCTCAGTTCCATAGGGCTAATGGCAATGTCCTGCGACACATCATCGTAACGGTCGTGGCGACACAAGCTTTCTGCCTCTCGTTGCAACATGGCGGCGTCCACCTTGAGACTAAAATCCATGAGGTAGCAAAAGGTGATTTCCAGTCGACCCAACTCTCCTTCTGTGACTCCGCCGACCTTGCTGAATCGTCCGTGAGGCCATGACAGGTCCTCAAGAGCCTTCATGGCGACACGGAGACAAGCCAACAACAGGCGATGGACGTTGCGTGGAGTCACGGGAAGTACTCTTTCGACAATAGCTAGACGTGTAATGTACAAGGAAGAGGCAAGATAGACGGCGGTCGACATGGGACAATACTTATGCATCCGCATGAGGTAATCCTCGGTCGAGATTGGTGGAGGACGTTTTGAGTAGAACTTTCGAGCCAGGGCTCCGTGCTGGATATAGGTGGGCTGGGCGTTAGCTCCGACAATCTGTGAGACTGAGATGGGTTCGCTGGCATGGGCTTCAGGTGATCCGATCGGGGTCTTTGCAAAGATGACTCCGTCAATCTCTTGGACATGTGACCCGGGAGGTCGGAGGCTCATGTTTTCCTTCTTAGGTGTCGTCACATCTCCGGGTGTGAGTTCCCTGAGTTTGGAGAGGCCTTTGGCGGGTGAAGAACCCCGACTTCGAGCGGGAGGAGTAGGAGGAATATCCCCGGTAATCTGAACCAGGTTGTCGATGCTACGACACAGTAGTCTGAGCGCTGCCACGGCTTCCAGCTTGAAGATGTCCACGTTCTCGGATGTGACACCTTCCAAGCCTTCTAGGCTAGGACTCTTGATGTCCGGAAATATGCCCTTGTCATTCTCCGGCTCGGGAGGGGCAGGGATTTTTGGAGACGAAGTGGTTGGGCAAGCTTTCGCCTCTTGCGAATCATGTTCGTCGCCAGCTCCCATGGTGGTGGGTAGACCGAGACTGCGGTCCTGTCTTCAGCCGATGTCGAAGATATAGGAAGGCGTGAGTAAGGAGGAAGACGGTGTGGTAAATGGCCGAGCAGAAGACTGCCACATGGTCATGCCAGTGACGGGGCGATGTTGCTCATTGAAGAGCCCAACAAGAGGATATGTGTTCTTGGGGAGTGGTTGTCGTGGTGCTCTTTGTAGCTGCGAAACACTTGAAACGGCGATGTTGATGTTGGAACTGTGGGCCAAAGATCTCTGTCAGAGGTGTTGAGGGGTCTATCGGCCGGCTTCGTAGTTTGTCGTAACTCGAGGTCGAGCCTGAGGTGACAATTGGCCGGAAGGCGGGAGTGGCAGTGACAGTAGGACCGGAGGGAGGGAGGGATGGCGGGAGAAAAAGGCAGGTTTGACTTTGAGGGTTGCCAGGATCAACAAAATGAGGTCCGACCAGGCGAGCCCTGCACCTGGGATGCGGCGGATCTTATCAAAGTTCCCAGTCGCACAGGGTGGGTGCAGTGAGGTTCAGCAGAAAAGCGAATCTGGGGATTCCCAACCCGGATGGTCCTGTTGAGATGTTTTATTGTCGAGGTGGCACGTGAGTGGAACAAAGGCCCAAAAGGGAATCTTTTTGGGTATCAATTGGCAGATTCGAGGGTCTAGACGGATCTCGTCAGGATGGGATCCCCGCTACGATGCAACTAACCGGTGGGTTGCGGACGCCTGTGGCTATCATGTCAGGGCTCGAAGGCGCTTACTCCTCACGAAACGGCGCCCCGCGTAGGCTTGGGCACTCACTTGGCTTAGGCACCGTCCTTTTGCACTCCGTCTCCTACTAAGCAAAGGCAGCCACTACTAATTCTGTTCCTAGCTAAGGCAACAGTCGGAGAATCTATGCCAATAGCCACATCATATCCTAGACACACACAAACGACGAGGCTCGGAAATATGTCAGATGGAACAATCCGATGACCTTTGTTACTTGTTGCCAACACAAAACCCTACATGTCACGCGCCAGGGTCCCGAATGTCAAGTATCCACTCGACTGCGTTAGCAAAGCAAGCAAACCAGATACGTAGGACAACATAAGAGAGATCGGCACTGCGTCGACTGATAACCGGGCTGCCGACTTGGTATTTGATCGAAGATCTACCAGATCGGAGTTGGCATGCAGGGTGATAGGTCGTGTTGAAGTTGTAGTACTATTGAGAACGAGCAGCAATAAGGGAATTGATGATGAAGAAAGGTGTAGAGATTTGCGCTATTCTATGTTAGTGCCTTGCACTGGCCACGGGAGGTTCTGGGCTTGAACCACTGCTGGCACTATGTAGATTTAAGGTGGAGAGGGGCACTGGAGGGGCATTGCCCCCCTCTTCCGGCCACTGGGGGGCGACTGTCGCCTAGAGGTGGTGGATGGTGAAAGTGTTGCCTTGTGTCTGAGTCATCGTGAGTACTTGGCAATGACCTGGTAGGTACCTACGGAGTATGTACGTGATAATGCAGTTCCTGTATAGGTAACCATCGGAAGCCTGTCGGGTAAGGCAGGATGCGTCCTTGAGTCTGCTGCCATGTCTGCATGCATGGCGCAACCATCTTTGAGCCTCAATTGTTCGAGTCAAGTTGCATGGGCATGAACTCATCGTGATTGGATCATTAGAAAGGGAATCATTGGTGAAATCCCCGCACCCTAGTGCCCAACAGGATCCGAGCTGCACGACATTCTTTTCCATTCAACGAATAACAAGTTCGCTGGCAACGACATGACAGGTCTGATCTTATATGTGGAAGAAGCTGAATGGAGAATGTATGCAATGTAATGATAGAATGATAAAAATGAAAAGGATGCCCATCTAGACTTCCAACCAAACTCCAAATTGTCGAAGCGAGTGTCCTGTTTCGCTCAGGGTTGCCCTTTCCCTTTGCCTCATTGACGCCTGCCCTACTTGGAATTTGAAATTGAAAATGATCCACCAACGCCTGCCACTTTCCCCTTCCTATCTACGGTGAGACCAACAATGACAAATGTACTGAAGTCGGCCCTCTCCATCTGAGACACAAGAAATGTATAAGCTCAGCAGCAACGCCATACGCCTTTTCTTCTATCACGACAGTATTCCCAAGGCTTTGCAGCCCTCCCTCCTCTTTTGTCGTGTTATCCTGTCCGTTGTTGTTGTTGCCATGGAACTCTTTTTTTGGTCTTTTGATTTTCCCTGTGAACGCCGTTTCCTCAAACCAAAGTAGGTAAGTGATGGTGTGTGCATGTTGTATGTGGAAAGAGATGTCGTCAATGACGAGAACGGTCACCGCGACGGCTTGGAGTGTCATCAACGATGACAACACTTTGTCGGCGTGGACGAACCCCCTCTGATGTCCCCGGTCGCCGTTGGTCACGCACAGGTTGCTCAACCTGGACTCGGCGACGATAGTCATCTTGAGCTCGATCCAATGCCGACCTGCTGGCTTCTCTGCCGCCGGCAACCGATGAATGATTATGCACAATGACGGGACGGCGGGTTTCGGCGATGAGTTCAGCCTCTTGGTCTAAGCGACGAAGCCGCTCTCTTTCCAACCTGTCCTCCCTGTCGCGTGCCTCCGAGGAACGCTTGTGCTTTTCGTGGGCTAGGTCCTCTCTGAGCCTGGATGCCGTGTCCTCGACGATGTTCACTCTGTCCTCGAGGATGTTTACCGCCCTCTCAGCTTCGACCCGCCTTCTGGTCTCCTGTGCGAGCAGATGATTGAAGTCTGCTGTCAGGCGTCGCACCTCGCTGTCACTACAATGACGGTCGTGCTCCACCCGGCGAGAACTAGGACGCTCCTCCCGGTTGTGGTCGGTGAGATACTTGCCACTGTCTCGCTTGGGACGCCTCGGCGGTGAGATGGGCTCCACCCGTGGATGAGCCCCTTGATCATGGACGTGCTGGTTGCGGGCGACCTTGACCTTGATGTATCTTTGAGGCTCTCTCTCCTCGACGACATAGTCGTATTGGTCTTCTTCCGGATATTTAGATCGAGACTCATGTGGAAGCTTTGGAGGCAGGGGAACAAAGTCGTCGTCGTTGTCTCCTCGGTGAGTTGCCATCCTGAGAAAAGGCCGCCGAGGTGGGGATGGTGACGGTGTTGGTTTTGGTGAGCGATGTCGAGGTGGTGAGAGGCTGCGGGTTATCCTCTCCCGATGACGACTTCTCACAGGAAACTCCTCGATGACGTGGACTCGTCTTTTGCGAGACCGAAAGAGGTTATAGATCTTGTCACCGATGGTCAGCCCTTTTGCTGGCCTTGTTGAACGGACAGTGCGGTAAGTGTGACGCACCTGTGGGCTTCTTTCAATGACAATGGGTTCAGGTGAGTGACTATGGTGGCTTCTGCTGTTTCGGCTGGACATCAACACGTTGAACAGAGTGACGTTCTATCTCCAGAAGATGATGGGTGATGCTCCTTTATACGGACAGAAGTGTGAAGTACAGAGTGTTGGTCGCAATGATGGAAACGAACATACAAACAGATTGACTGCTTGTTTGTCGACTTGTGCGCTGGGCAGTGGATAGGAAATGTTGATGAAGATGTTGAGTATGATGATCTGGGTCTGGTTTTGGGGGTGAAGGTCGATGATATCAGTCCAGGGTAAACGTCGTCAGCCCTTGGGCATCCATGACTTTTAATACTTTCACAGGATGACTTTCGCCTCGGTCATGGTGATGATAGAATGGACGGCGAGAAAACAAAACTAAATTTGAGAGAACAAGACAAGCGGAAAGGGAGTCAAAGGTCAAGGCTCTGGCCCCGATGCGATGATAGGCTTGAGGGTTTGGACTCTTCCGGGCGTATGCAAGCGGGTCACGATGAGGGCGAAAAATACAGTTGATTGGGGACAGGCAAGGGATATACAGGGAAGCAGACCTTGTTTTCTCAATGCACGGCTGTGAGAAAACGGCTGACGCCTAGTGGTCAGAGCGTGACCAGTTCGAGGCATCTTTCAGGCTGGGTCGCGACATGGCGGATAAGGCAGAAAGGTTGGTGATTTGGGCGTTTTGCTGGATCAGTCCGCTCGACTGCTTGTCTAGTCAAGCTTTTGCAGTGGAAGCATGTAGAACCAGTGACGGTGGGCAACCAGGCCTCGGAAGAACAGTATGGCAGTGTCATTGAAAAATGTCAAGTGAGCCAATGGTGACAAGGCTACAACGATAGCAGAGTTTCCGACCCCAAAAGTGATGTTTCGTGACCGCAACCAACATCTCCAGGGTGGGTGGGTGGAATTGGGCTCCAATAAGCGATTCTTCACAACGGACAATCGAGGCGAAACAAGACAGACGGTGTGCTGGAATTTGTCTGTTCTATTCTAGCTCTTACGACTGTCTTATTTGGACACCCTCGGCTTGACTGGGATGATATGGGGTCATGACAAAGAAACCCTCGCAAAGCTGGACGTTTGACCTCCAGCCCGTTGTGTCCGCGTTGGTCCGGTGAATGAACAAACAGGGATGGTTCCGCGGATTCTGCGCATCAATCATTCGATTGAGAATGAGGTTGAAGGGCTGATGAGCCAAGCGCGTGGCGTTGTGGCTGACCCTCGAATCAATCGACCCACGAGACCAACAGAAGCAAAGAACGCCCGGAAGATTCACGAGTCACAACTCATCACTCGCCCAAATATTCCACTAAAGTTGCGGCCTGTGGGTCCGGGAATCTCCTTTCCCGCCTAGCGGCCCCCCCAGAGCCCCTCCACAGTGGCTGAGCATGCCTCCGATATCCTCGAAGGATCAGACCGCCCAGGACCGAGTGCCAGGCCCAGGCTGCCCAGGCATGCCTCGGGCGTCACCGTCACCATATGCTAGGATTGGGAGTCACCACCTGCAATTCATATGAGTAGATCCCCTGTACATACGGAGTAACGGATCCTCTGCGGGTGAGGCGTATGAGGTGTATGCGGGAGCGTATCGATAGGCTGGACGTGGTGATGTCGTAGCCCCTCGGCCAAGCCTCTCGACCTGGTAAGGGTGTGATACGGAGTAGATGCCTAGGAACCTGGGAACCTGACCATGATCTACGTGCTTATGATGCTGTACCTGCTTGCCTAAGGTACCCTACCTTTGGTATGTCTACGCATATCATGCTATAATGTCACTTTACTGTAGCCGCCCAGCCCGTACCAGCCCCAACCATGGCCATCCAAGTGCAAGTCCAATGGCCATCCAAGTGCAAGTCCAAGTGTCATATTCCCCCCAGTGCCCCCGTCCATCTTGCGTCTTGTATCTTGCATCATGCATTTCCATCTTTACATCCCTGTATCTCTTTCCCTACCTCCATGCTCCCCTCCCCGGCTGCCTTTTCATTTCTTTCTCATTCTATTACTTTCTTCTCTCTCGGACCCCAGTGGCGTGTTATCCGAGGCATTGGGTATGGGTACCTACGTAATGGACAGAGCCACAGAGCCACGAATCGCGTTACAGTCACATTGTAAGTTAAGTAGTTACATAGTACCTGCATGCGTGTTATTCTTACCCCTACCATACTTAGGTAGTCTTTCCGAGAATTCGCGACTCCGCCGTGTGAATCTTGGTATCTTGGTATCTACCCAATGCATCTATACATCTATCTTCAGCCAATTTTTTTTCGTCCGCATATAGGGCTAGTAGGTTCCGCCTGTTTCGTCCGCCATGTAAGGCTGGTTTGTTCCGGTTCCAAACAAAACACCCCTTCAGCCACTCTCTTCGGCGGTTCATGCAGTCATGCAGTCATGCAATGCAGTTCATGGCATTTTATGCTGGAATTATGGAATCATGGAATCATGGGAGTCTGGAGTTGTGGACGCTGATGGATTGGTATGATGGGATGGGATTGAATTAGAACATAGGTACCTACTTCTACTTCTGTATACTATTCCGTTCAGTTCAGTTCAATTCGGAGGCGATCTTACCTTACGCAGTGAGTATAGGTACCTTGCAGCTGAGTTCCATTCCATCATCAAATTCTCTTTCAATCTATGTATAGGTAATTCTCTCACATCCAAACTCCCTTTCTCGGGCGATGCACTCTCAGACTCTACTTACACGTATGGACCTACTTTTGGGTATGTCCCTATGTATATTGGGGTCTACTGGTGGCGACACCCAAGTCACTAAAGTTAAGCCGGTTTAACCTAGTACATGGCCACGATGGCCTGTCTGCTGACTAGGCTGTCTTCTCTCCGAAAGAAAGGAACGCCTAAAATAAAGTCATCAGAGAATCAAGCCCTCTCTGATGAATCTGGTATATGTACATACATTCATGGATGCCTATTGAGGCCCCTCGACTGGCCAAAGGGGGCCATCTTTCTTTCTGCCTTATGATCTCCTTCCCTAGGTACTTATGGTACCTATCATTCTGCCAGCCTGAGTCATATTAGTTTATCTCGTGTGGCAGAGTCATCAAACTTGGTGCTGGTCCAGCTGGAGTGAAACCGCAGATGTTGTGCTATTTGTTGTTCATCACAGTCACTTGATACTTCTGACATACATTAGCTGCGGTGATACTGTGTGGCACTGTGATATATTTTGGTGACACGCGTTGGGTGTGTTTGTAAAAGGTTTGTTTGTCATCAATGTTTGTTTCGTAGGAACTGAAGTTCTTCCGTTGGGTGCCGCGGAGCTTAATCCAAACAAGGTACTGGTGGCACTCTACGCCAACTCTTGTTGGAAGTCTTGTTTGTCTTGATTCCAAGCCACATTCATTCCTGATATGCCCCTCTATTTTAGTAATCGATGCCATGATCAATTTTCTACTGCACGCCTCGTCTCGTCTCGTCTAGCATTGCCACTATTATCATCGATCCACTTCGTTTATCTGTTTAGAGTATACTATCAATATGCAGTTTGCAATTTGCAATTTGCTAGTGTAAATGATCTCAATTATTGTATTATTCATTTTGCTGCTTTCCATATATACTAAGTACTTGACATTCCAACTCGTTAATGTTTTCAAGGTGCAGGTGCAGATGCTGCTTCCAGACATGATATTGCCACATTTTCATTTCCTTACAGACTAAAAGATAGACCGGCGCAAATCCCCACGCCGAGTGTCAGCAACAGAAAACTCGTGCTGCAACCGATCGACGCCGCTCCGGTGCTTAGACTTGGAGCTGGCCGCGAAGTTGTGGCAACGACGCGTGCAGTGCTCGCCACGCTTCCTGATGCCGAGGTCTCCAATGCTTGTTGTACATTGAGCGTTGAAGTTGCCGCTGCCGTTGGATTACGGCGGTTCAACTCCCCCGTCTCTGTCGTGTTTGTCTCCATTGTGCTTGTCTGAATCGTGCTTGTCTCCGTCGTACTTGTCTGAATCGAGCTTGTCTCCGTCGTGCTTGTCTGAGTCGAGCTTGTCTCCGTCGTGCTTATCTCCGTCGTCCCTGTTTCCGTCGCCTCTGTCTCCCTCGCCTGTGTTTGCATGGCCTGGGAGCAGTAATTGATGAATGTGGCCAGTGACGGTAATAGCACCGGAACTTCTGATATTGCTCGAGCCTTGAGCGCATCAACACAATCTTGACACCCGTCCACTTGTTGAGAAAATATTCCGTTACTAGGGCAGAGTATGGATGCCTGTAGACCACAGCTTTGACCATTGGCCGGCGCAGCATTGCAAACATTGTAACACCCATCCGGCACCGACATATCCGGCCCGGTTTGTCGTTCAACATAAACCGCTCGCGCTGTGATCTCTGGTGGCGCCGGCTTTCCACCGTGGGGAAAGCCGTTTCCATTCCAATCTTTCCATCCATTGACACGGCTGGGCTTTGCTGGCTCCCAACTGTTCCAGCCTTGGGTTTGTGAAGCAGGCGCGGGCCAGTCTTGCCAACCCGTCGATGTTGAACTAGGCTCTGGTGGGCAACTAGGGCCTGGCTGGCCGTTGAAGGCAAAGATGTCATAGTCGAGACCGAAGATGGGTGGTGCTAGATTGAAATATCCTTCAGGGGGGTAGTAAGGGGTACAGTTGTGTGGGTCCCAGTCCACAGGGAGTGGTGGTAATGGTTTGACAGCAAGACATTCGTCTGGAGAGCATACGAATTCATCACTTGGGAGATTCTGCTCAAAGTTACAGTCGATTTGTTTTGGGGTGCAGATGGTGCCAGGGGGGCATCCCCACAAATAGTTGGATGGCAACGTAGTGGGTGCTGTATAGGTTGGGTTGATCGTACGCGACGGGCACGTCACCAACCCAACAAGAGACTTGGTTGTAGAGCACGTCTCAAACTTGGTCACAGTATCTGTCACTGTCGCCAGCTCAGTCACGTGGACCACATTGGCACTGGTAACGGTGGATGTCGCCGTCTTGGTTTCAATTTGTTGCTGGGTTTCCGTGTACAGCTCCGTTGCCGTATTGGTGATATAAATGCTTTCAGTCGCTGTCAAGATATTAGTCGACGTCGATGTCACTGTGATCGATTGATTGTGCCATTGAGTCGACCACACAGTACTGTAAATCGTGATTGCATCTGGTTTGGCCCACTTGGTTTCCCATGACGTGACCAAGACAGTCTCTGGCTTTTCCCATTGTGTTTCCCACACTGTCACGGTTTCCTTCTCGGTCTTCTCCCAATCCTCCCATTGCGTTTCCCGCTCGCCCACATAACCAGCGCTGGCTCCAGCAATTGTCAAGGCTGTGAGCAGACAAGAAGAGGGCCTCATGGTGTGATGATGTCTTTGGATATCTCAGTAGAGCGATATTAGTTCACTATATGGACATATGTCGTCCCATCCGGAGCACACCAGGCAGGAGCTGAAGTCGCTCAACCACAGTTACTGCTGTGATCATCTACGGTGGCAGATAAACGAGTGACACTGAGGAGGGATATGAGTGCAAGGCCGTGGGCACGGCCGTCTCTTTGAACCTCTCCGACTTTGTCCTACCTTATTTCAGGGCGCTGCATGTCATCGGACATGGACAAACTTTGCCCGATGCCTCATTGTTGCAGCTGTACGCCTTGGCTTGACGGCGGTGTCAATAGTCTGCAGTACGCCAGAACTCCTCACGGAGAATTGAAGCATCCATCAGATGTCGGCCCCAGCCCAATGATTGGCACAGTCTCGGGGCCGGATCCCTAAAGGCCTGGGCAGGGAAGGCTGCATACTGACTATTCCCTGACTAGATACTGACCGCTATGAGAATTCTGTTAGTTAGCCTTCTGTCCAGCCGTGCAACAAGAATTTCGCCCGCAGATAACTCCCTAGCTTGAAGAGAAGCTGGACGGCTTGAAGGTTGAAAGCGTGGGCGGGATTGGAAGCTGTAGTTGGTATAGTCTGGGGTCACTGAGGCTCCGCATGAGAAAGCCTTCTCGGCCATGTGGTGATGCAGAAGTCGAAGCTCGATGAGGTTACAACGATGGCTTAGATTTATTCCGGGACAATCAGCCAATGATCACGTGCCAAGCCTCAGTAGTGACTTCCCAAAATACACAGCCATCTGACGACGTCCACAAGGAAAGAGCGGGGATGAAGCACGCCGAAGAAGGCGCATCCCAACTATTCATCTGCTCACTTTGAAGTCAAGCATCAAACTGCGTCCAAACGAGTACTCGTAACACGGCCCAAGGTCTTAATCAATAATACCGCAGTCAATGGCACCTTTGTCCTTGGGGTCCAAGCCTCGATATGTGCCTCCATGACCTGTCACTCCTCGGATAGCAGCATCCCACGGATAATCACCGCACTTCCCCTGCCTCACCTCCTCTTGATACCGCCCTTGCACCTACACGGCACATTTCCAATATTCTACAGATCGAGGACGATATCCCTGTTCTTGTACAAATTGTCCGTGTCACATGCCCCATGTCAAACAATGCTGCTAGAAAGCACCATCGACCATGACCGCAAGTTCTTGTCTCCCTCCCAGCCACCGTCCGTCATACCACAACATGTCTCAGTTCCTATCAACAGGGCGCAGCTTACGTAGCCTCAATTACAACTGCTGCTACAATGACCTTGGCCACATCTCATCCTGTCCTTTCCACACTTCCAAATCAGCACATCATGAGGTATTCCGGTACCCAGCTATCAGGGAGGGTAACTTACTGCAATTCAAGGCGTGCTCGTCTGGCAGCATGTAAGCATCAGTTGACTCCACTCATGTAGGTCGTTCATCAACACCCTTGTGTCTCTTTTGCTATCATCCCTTTGCATGAAGGCCTCGTTATGGCCCCGACCCTCGACACTAAGCCCGCGTGGCCTCCTACCACACCTCGGCTCAACGACCTCTAGAAGAAATACAACGATGTTGCCCAGTCCATTCGGCCCCTAAATGCGGCCCATAGTTCCACTATCAATGACACTACCATGTCGAATATAGCGCCCTGCAGAATCGAGTGCGCCAAAGTCGGCCGGTTTACTCTTGGCGATCTGCCATCCCTTGGACCTTCAGTAGGTTGCACGACCGTCTGGCAATCTGTGACCTGGGGTGAGACCTTTCCCACAAACTACCTCAATTGGTGTCTGTTCCAGTTTCTTTCATCCTGAATGAACGAGGACGAAGACTCAAGCAATGCCAGAGCCCCATGCCATCAATATGTCCTATCTCGTTGGCTACTCCCTCCTCGCCTTATGGGTGAGCTTGACAAACGCAGACGAAGTAACTCGAAGACTATGCATGTGGACGCAACCAAGAGTTGGCGTCGTTCGAGATGTTGTCTATCTTGACGGAGGTTGGCAACAATACTGCATGTGGGATGGCTCTGCTTGGGTTAGAGATACCCAGATTAATGGACCTGATCATATCCAAGGGCTCTTATATACGATGGCCTTCAACCGCACTTTCAAAGCTGATGCCAACTTTACGGATCTCTTCGAGGATTTACACGCCACGGGAGGTGTGAACGACAATCCGCCTTTTATGAGCGGGTATTTGTTTGCTGACGATTATGAGTTCTACACCTATGGGTAAGCATTACCTCTCCCTCGCTTTATTTTCATCATCTGACTGCTATAGCGGCCTATCCCTCCTTGGAACTGATGCCGATTTGCTCAATGGTCAACTCTTCGAACCTGAACGCGACTCACCCAAGTACAATCCTGGCATCAATTTCGCAGTCAGCTACGATAGCCACTACGAGCCCAACCTTCCAGAACCCATTACCACAAATGTCACTCACGGGGCCGGGGTCAGTGTGACAGATCTACATATGGGCTTCTACTTCTCAGGTCTACAAACACCCCAAGGCGATGGGCTGGTTGCCTTTGGGACCAATAGGGCTGAGGTGGCGTATAATCAACTGCTAAAAGTTGAAATGACCCCAACGCATCTTGCCAAGTGGCATGAACTCCCTCTTCCAGACACTGTAGCTGGTCGCGGTGGCGCAGGCCTGGCATGGGTACCGGTATCGGATCAGGGACTGTTGGTCGCCATTGGTGGTGTCGAGTATCCCATGGATGCATACGGTCCTGGATATTTTAACACGACGATGATTCTGCAGAACAACGCTACTGGCCCTGGCTTCATGGAAACCGTCTCAGTGTACGACGTCAATAATGATTCTTGGTTCAGTCAGCCCACCACTGGCAATATCCCTCCTCAGCTGACAGGATTCTGTACGGTGGTCACCCACGAGGCGGAGCCCACTTCGTATCAGATCTACCTCTATGGCGGATACAACGGCGTCGATTTGTATGGAGACATCAACCCGGATCTGTATATCTTGTCGGTACCTTCTTTCCATTGGACGAAAGCAACGCCACCCAGGCCAGATCCGCTGGGAGGCCGTTGGGGCCATGTCTGCGTAACCCCATATCCGGATCAAATGTTTGTCATAGGTGGACAAGGGAGCTTTAATACTCCGAAACTGTCCGAAGGTAAAATCGTTGAGTTTCTGAATATGAGCAGCCTAACATGGCATGACGAGTATAATCCCAGAACGTGGTCGAATTATACAATTCCTCAGGCGGTTAGGGATGTTTCAGACCCTGCTCGTACTGCAGATGACATGGATGCCGCTTTGGCAGAACTGTTCACAACGAGGTACACTTTCGATTCTTCACCTTGGTATCCATATCCGCCAGCCTCGAGTGGCGGCAAGAAAATCCCACTGGCAGCCATATTGGGTGGCACGTTTGGCGGTGTCGCCCTGATATCAGCATTATGTGCTTTGTGGCTGTGTCGACGCAGACGTCAAAGGAGACGAAATCGAGAATCGGAGATTTCCAACATGACATCCACGACCATGGTAGACTCAAACCATCTGGTTAACGAATGGGTTCATGGTCAGCACAAGCAATCAGTATCTACAATTGCCATGAAGGCTGACGGCAGTGACACCCAAGGATCAGATGTGGTCGAAATTGGAGGTCGAGCTGTACGGCTTGTGGGCAGCCACACTAACTCGCCTTCCCTAATGCTTCCGTGGAGGATACCATGGGCAACTGCCGAAGTCAGTGGCGAGTCACGACAGGTGGAAGAACTACCCGACACTTCGACTGGACCACACGGGAAGTTTGACAGGGGGATCGATGACCCTGATCGACGCCCTGGTGGCACCTCGCTTGGTCCTGTGGTCAGCAGTGATGGTGCAAGTACGCCCAACATGACAGAAGGCGAGGGCACACTGACCACTCAGGGCCACTCAACGCAATCTGACAGGATCCTTTCAACACTGGGAGGAGATAAAATAGCCAACGAGCTAGAAGAGTCTGGGTCAACAGCAATGCGGAGCAGTGATTCAACAACATACAACATTGCATCGCCACGACACGATTCTAGCGTCAGTAGTAGCCTCGCTTTGTCACCATTAGACACCATGACATCGTTTTACGCGCAGCAAGTCGAAGGAGGCGGGGTTGCGAGACAATATGGCGATGCCGCCGATGGGAGCGGATCAATTGCCACAGTCAACTACTCACGACCTGTGCACCGGCGCCACGCCAGTAGCATGAGCAGTGGTGTGCAGATTATTGAACAGCATACAGCGACGGTAGCGTCCTCAGACCCCTCCATTCCTTCATCGAATCCAGCATCACCACGTTCCTCGATTCCTAGGAAACCGGTTCAAGGGACAGTATCGACATCGATCTTGGATCAAACGCAAAATTCAATGCCGAGACGAACATGATACGATAGGCGCAGTTGGCGAGGAAACGACATAGGAGGGATGCCAACGATTGTGTGAAAAGATTTCATACCCGGACTTGGCCGCACGGGTTTAACGGATGAAATAAAGCGCCATGTCACAATGCAGTATATCTGGGATCATCATTTTAGCATTTCGGATGCTCTCGTTGGAGTTTTTCTACGGAATATATATAGTATGTACTATGTATGTATATATAAATGACCCAAGTCATGTGAACCGCTCACCATTGCCTATCCGGTGAATCTGTGAATCTCTAACCAACAAAAGCTTACTCCGTAGACAAGTTACTAGGTACTTACAAGTAGATAGGCTGAACTCGTGCGCATGCTCGTATACACTCCGTACTGTACCTAACCTTTGAGGGTCGGTTCGGCCCGCTAGACTCCAGCCGTATTCCCCCTTCCTCCCTCACTTGCTCTCTTTCTCTTCCTCTCCCCATTAGCAAATCGGGACTCGTCAATGGAAAGCCGGGTCGTCTACAACGAATGTAGGGAGAGCAGACTGGCCGTCAAAACGGCAATCTCAAGGCGTTCTGTATGCTGGAAAGGCATCGCAAATACCATGGGGCGGGGCGTGGCGTGGCGTTTTCACGCGCTGTGAACTGAGCCACTATCGTTAGCCATGATGATCACAGACAGTGTTCTGGAAGACTGGGCACACATGTAAAACACCATCAACGCCAAAACCCCATAAGTGTGGAATCGGTAAAGGTACTTAGTACTTACTACGGAGTAGGTAGGCAGGTATGGTTTACGGAGTAAGTTGAGAGCAGTACAGGACTTCGTCAGTAGTACTGGCTTCACCCCGTCCACCCCAGCATTCTTGGCATATCGGCCCCAGGGCCCACTTTGAGTCACGTGTTGTACGGAGTACTATTAATACTTGAATGTGCGAGCTGCAGAATCTACTTCGTATGGTACCTAATATCCATGCAGCCAGTAGATGCGTATTCCAGAACCGAATATACCGAACTCAACATGATCACTAGATAGAACTGACCGAGCTTTGAACACTAGGAAGATATCTACCGACCAGTTCTATTATTCCGTGTTTCTACACACAAACATCCCGCTTCGAATAAATGACCGATGTTGTCCAGTTCTAGCGACTCACATGGACTAAATTTTCTTGGAACTTCCATCACAACTTTGTCTTCTTTGAATTGTTTGTTCTTCCTGTCTGCTCTGTCGAGGGCGATGATGAGGATGAAGATATTTACGTCTCTCAACCATCAAATGTACTCTACTCTCGGTCCAAATACTGACACGCACTTGTACTCGCGCTCATCCTTGTGTGTCGTCAAGGCCACTTATGACCTTGACATGGAATGCATGCAATTGCTTGATACACTCCGTCCCATTGTCAATTTCAAGTCAAGCTGGATGCAAAACCACCTGTCCCCCAAAACACGTGCGTGCAGTGACACAAATCCATCTTTCTTCGGATATTCCTGCAGACCAATGCAACGCCATGCCTGTGCCGAAAATCCTCACATCAATATAGCAAGGAACGACAAAAAGTTCGCAGAGACCAGCCCATACCTCACACACAATTCAATGACCCCAGCTGCCTTTTCGAGCACCGGCACCCCATTCTGCGTTGGCTCCACCGAGTCGCCGCGAATGGTCGTCTGCGAAATTGGGGCTTTGTCGTGCCCATTCCTTGACGTAGAGCTTGAGAGCTTCCCATCGTTTACATTTGCCAATCACCTCGCTCTCATCTGCTCCATTTCCTTCCGGTGCTCCAACGTATCCCTTGGCATCCATGTTGGCGTCGTCCTTTCTCAGTTCTTCGACGGATATCCGGCTGATCTTGCTCAACTCTTCGTCAAACATGCGCGCGAGGGTAGGGTATCCTAGACTCAAATAGTTATAAATCTGTGTGATGACACTGTTGGAAAACTCGTCGTCAATCTGTTTTTCCAACATGAGTTTTCGGTCAATCGTGTCCGTAAACATGTCTCCGCCATCCTGGCTGCGTGGAGGGGTCAATGGGACCATGTGCAGCCCCCCGAAGAAGCGCTTCCGACTGGGTGTCTGTCGACCGGGCGTCTGGTTCCCTCGGCCCGGAGTGGCGACCTCAAACGGATTGCTTTTCTCCACCACTGGAGTCTGAATTCCACTTCTGAGGCCATCCTTGGAGCTCGAGGTCTGGCTCTGCGTACCCTGGCACAAGCCCATCCATAAACCTACTCCCGCATTGTTCCCCCGCTTCTTTTCCGCGGACCAAAGATGGGGGGATACCGGACTCGAGGCCTCATCGTCACTGTTCTGACTGCGAGGTCGTGGCGCCTGGTCTGGATCACACCGGGTCATCTTGGGTGAAATGGTATAAGGGAATACAATGTCGCTGCCAAGCATGGGAGGCGCTGCAGCAGCGCGCATCCGTGCAAGTTCTGAATCTTCGTCGAGACCACGAATCTTCTTTGCTTTCTTCACCCCCTTAGCCTCTAGATGATGTCTGGTCGCCAATGCAGCGGCACTAAAGCGGCTTTGCCCAGCAGTATCGGCCTTGAGGTCTCTCTTGGCTCTTTCAAGCTGTTCGTGATGCTTGCGCATGTTGGCCATTTCCAGATCCAGCTCAGCAGCCGATGACCGACGAAATGTTTGGACGTCGACACCTTTTTCGCCTTGGAACATGGGAACGGGCAATGGTCCGTCTATGTCTTCGTCGTGGGAGATGGCGAAATGATCCACTGGTTCGTGGGGCCGTTCGTTGATATATGCCGCCATGGCTTGTTCCTGCAATTCCTTTTCGCTCACCGTCTCAGCGGCCAACCGCAGCACGTACTCTGTGTAACTTTCTTGAGGATCCGCTCGAGTGATCCTACTACTCTCAACCTCAAAGGAGGATGGGGTGTCGCTCAATGAGGGTGCGTCGGAGCTTTCGTCTTCCGTGTTGGACTCGATCATGGGGAGGTCAGGAACGACAAAAGAGTGCTGTCGAGTGGCCTCGGGGTGCTTGCGAGCCAGAGCCGCCGCAGAAAAGCGTGACTCCTCTAGGCCGCCCACTGTATCTGCTTCTTCCTCTGATGAGACGGATAGCGGCTTTGGAGGCGGAGGACTCTGTACTTCCGGTGACTGGAGATGGACCCGACGGTATGACCCTTTTGCTGTCTCAAGTAATTCGGGGGAGAATCTACGTGGACCGCTGCCTCCCCGACTAGAAGTGGAAGAAACGTGAGGAGAGGTCTGGTCGGCGTCTTCGTCCGAGTCTCGACTGTCAGCTTTCCGCCGCCGTCTGATGGTGCTGGTCTCGACGGGTTCGACGGCGAACTTGCGACGTGGCTTAGGAGTGGTCTCAGAGTCGTCCCCAGAGTCTTTGGTTTTCTTCTCTTTGCTGCTCCTTGTGGATGTTTCCACCGGCTGAGCGGCGAATTTCCGACGTGCTTTGGGAGGAGTGGAGGGCTCGTCGATCTGTTGAGGTTGAGGTCTATCCTTACTCGTCTTGAATGTGGTCTCAATTGGCTGCGCAGCGAATTTCCGGCGTGCTGGTCGTGTGGGCAATTGAACGGGCTCAGCAGTATTCTGTGTGGGTGTAGAGTCAGGCCTGCTGTTGAGCATTCCAGGAGAGGTGGGATCGTCGGAGTAGGAGAAACGAGACTTGGAAGGTCTGGTAGGGTCGAGGCCGTTCACCATTGTGGTATCTCCATCATGGTCTATGTTGTTCTTTTGGGACGACCGTGAGCTTTCCTCAAAGGGCTGTGGGAGGAATTTACGAGGTTTCGTAGAGGAGGGCATGGCTGCTGTGCCTGAGGAAGAGCGGGAGGCTCCACCTGCCGGCGTCTCAGCTAAAGTCAAAGAGAGAGTATGGTGATCTTGCGTCTCGGAAGCCAGGGAATTCGAGGAAGGCGGGGGAGAAGACATTGTGTGGGTTGATCGGAGGGGAAGCTGGCATGTTCTCTCCGATCGGTCGATGATTGGCGAGTTAAGAAGACATGTGAGGATGATTCTCTTGGATGCGGATGTCGAAGAGTATCAAATGCGGGGGAAAGGCTGACCAGGGATATATCGGGCGTATACGGAGGAGGAAGAGAGTGGTGATGTTGAGGGATAGAGGATCAGAGGTCAGGAAAGGAGGTTGCAGTGGATGAGAAATGTCAGGTATGTCAGGTGGAGCCTCTGAGGGGAGGGGAGGGACAAGAAATTATGAAGGACGAATGAATCGCAAAGAGGAAGAAGAAAACGACGCGTGTGTGGTCTCGTGCGTGTATTGGTGTGAGGGTGTGAGGTGGCGGATAGCAGGGGCGTTGGATTGGAATCGAGATAGAAGCAAGCAAAGGGCGAGTGGGATGACAATGGAGGGACAGAATGAATAGAGTTGGGTGGAGTTGGAGTTGGAGGAATGGTAAGAAGGAACGGGCCAGTAACTGTGCTCGAGCTCTAATTCCCTTTCTCGTGGTGACCTGTAAAAGATCAACTGAGGATGTAGAGAAATAATGGTGAGTCGATACAATTTCCAAATGTGAGGAGTGTTCCAACTCTGATCAGATGCAGATGCAGTTGCAGTTACAAGCCACTCCTCGCTACCCACTACCCAAGAACGAACGCGAACAATAAGCACAATTGTGGGCGATGGAGCCACTACACAAGAACTACCAGCGATGACATCGACAAGAAACCTGGTCCTTAAGAAAGTGGATCAGATCGTAGTGGATGGAGAACAGACGAAGGACTAAGCAGAGTTCTGACTGGGCATTGACTAATCCTCTAAGGAGGTTAGGTAGGTAGGTAGCGACCTACTTACTCCGTAGATAGTCTTGGGGCGTCACTCTTGGCTCACGGGCCCGAGAGGGCTTCTACGGAGTACGTTCCTAGGGCTTTTTATTCTACTTACATACCTAGGCTATAGGGTGTTTTGGGGCAAAAGAGGTTGATGCATGTGCAAATGCTTTGCCACTGCCACCTATTCCTACAGCCTACAGCCTACAAACAGTAGATTGACGCCCTGCAGATGAGGCATACTTGCATGGTACCTACCTACTTCTAAGAGACTGGTAGGTACTCTAAGTAGGTACTGTCAATACCTTGACTCCTACGAGGACCCAGGGATCAAGTTATGTCCTTCCAATAGGTCGGTACCTAGGTAGGTACTACCGCATGTCTCAACCATCACCCATTAATGCCATCTCAAACCGAACCCAACCCTGCGTGCTCTGTGCCCTGCCTAAAGATCCACGACAAGACGCCCCGCCCAACGCACCATGGCACCAATGCATGCATCAGTGGTCTGTCTTGACTCAACCATCATTACGGTATACGCCGTCTCCCATTCTAAAAACCCACAATCATATCACAGGCACACAGGCGGTGGGAGTCATATCAAAGCCACCCGGCAGGCCAACACAGTCAGTTCCGAATGGAATGTCTGCTGATTGGACTTTTGCTCGTCACTGGCTGGAACGTTGATCATGGATGCCTGCATATCAACAGTTTTTTGCCTCTCAGGTCTTCTTCTTCTGGAGAAGAGGAACAAACAAAAAAATCCAACCAAAAGGAAAGCCGCCGACTGCCCATTCCCATTCTCATTCTCATTCGCATAACCCATTTCTCCGCTGGGCCTTTTAGCTTTTGGGCCTTGGACTTTGGACACCGCAACATGATCGTCGTCATCACTCCCTCTCTTCTCCTTCTCACCTCCGCACTCTTAGCCCATGCCTCATTTCAGTTCAACCGTGTTCAACCGTTCTCAACTCCAATTTCAAGTCTTGACTCATCATATTCGGGGTGAATCACCCGAAACAACACTCCATATGCATCTCGCAATAACCATGTCCGGATCAACGCGAATCCACACCACAAGTAGAAATCCTTGCTGATTCAGGACACCGCCTTAAAAGGACAAGTAACTACTAACCATTAGTCCCATCCACTAGACCCCTCGACCCATATTCCCTACTGGACTCGCAGATTCTGGACCCCCGGGACGAGCGTGCAAGCTTATCTACCTAACCGGGGCCAACGGGAGCCACTCCCACACCGAAAGATAATCATGTCGGATGTGCAAGACATGCTTCCCCAGATTATCGTTTCCTGTCCTTATCCTTATCCTTATCCTCCTACAGTCATTACCCGTCCCTAACTCATACTTCCGTACCCTGTAGTCCGTAGCCAGTACCTAGCCAATACCTAGCCGGCAACCTGCGTGCCTGTCCATCTCGTATGCCTGCCTAGGGTACCTACGATACGCCCTTCTCCCATTCTGATTCCCCCTTCTCCACTCCTCCGATCCGATTGATTCCAATATCATTGTCCATGCTTCAAATCTGATTCCCTCCGACTCCTCCCGATTATCAAACTCAAGACAGACATACGGTCCGTTCACTGTCAGCCACGCAATTGCACTAATCAATCAATCAATCATCATGCGTGGTACTTGGTTGGCATGCAGGCAGATCAAAGGGCGCAGACCATCTCACTGATTGAATCAGTCCTCGAAACCAAGCCCAGCCCAGCGCAGCCGCCTCCCGTAATCCGTCATCCGCATTCCTTCACGTGAAACCCATCCAACGCTGTGATAAGCCTGACGCGACCGCGACCGCGACCGCTCTTGTCTCCGCTTCTATCCGTCCCTCAAGCTGCAGGTCCAAGGAGTCGGGGTTGGGGCCAGGCCAGAGCCGCAATTGCGCACATGTCATCAACAACCACTGGAACAAACCACCCCCCTCCTCCTCGTAAACCGTAAACACATCATCAATCCGAATACTCCATCTGAGCCAACTCCGAGTCCTCTCTGACCAGAATTTTAGCCAATCCCGGTTCCATCTGCAAGCTAGACGACATGGTTCCGGGACCCGTACCAAATCCTGTACCTGACCCCGCAATGTCCGAATGACTCGAGCTGACGCGAAGACTACGTCGACGTTCACGTTCATGCACCAGTCCGGGGAAAGCCCGTGGTTCCTGTGCTGAAATGTGGGCGTCGGCCTGTCCATGAGCGACAGGGTGGAACGCGTTCGACATTGTCCGGGGTCGGACGGGCGATACATTACCCGCACTACGATCCACCAACGCGCTGGTCCACGACGTTGGTTGTCCTCGTGCCGTCTGCGCGGGCTGGATCGAATCGGGCACCGTAGCATAATACTGTCGTGGGGATTCTAGTGCTTCGATCGGCGTTTCTTCTTCTGCCGGGTTCGGTAGATTCGGCGTGCATCGGTCGAAATGGCTGAAATCTTGGGTGTATTTGGCGAGGAATGCGTGTTCTGCTCGTAGAGTTTCGTGTCTGAATGCTTCGCGCACGTCCGGGACGTTGCATTTGGATACGTCGTTGCCTAGCACGCCTGGAAGGTAGCAGTATTTTCCGAGCCAGCGTTGTTTCAACGATAATTCAAATCCGCATTGGTCGACCGAGTGTTTTGCCAGCTCGCACATGTCGATCGAGCTTAATTTGTAGATCTGTGCGGCAACCGAGTATTCTTCGATTAAGGGTTCCTTGGTGAATGCGAATTGCAACGGGTCATCCGTGGACAAGGACACGTTCAACCCCTTTTTGAAATAACTGATAAATGGGTTTCGGTCATAGGTCAAAAACAGCGCATTGTTGCTGAGCGGTGACATGGCAATGCCAATCTGCTCCAGGTAGAACGCATACTGGAGCATAGGCACCTTTCGTAAGGTGATGCCGTGACTGATGCTGTGGCAGCACAACAGCGCCGCTGCCAGGTGATCTGTGTCTCCAGCTTCGCCGCAATGGGGTCGGAGCAAAAACGTGTTGAAGCCACGTTGCTTCCGCCATGCGTTCAGCGACGTCATGTTGGCGTAGATGAAGTAGATCCAATATCCATATGGCGGATTCTGCTTGGTGTTCCACTCCTTGGGTGCTGGGAATTTGCGGTACAGTCGTCTCTCCACCTTGCTCTCATCATCAACACTATCAAATCCAATCACCCGTTGGAGGAAAACGTGGAGTTTGGGGTGCGATGCAGGATTCTGTGTCACCTCGAACAATGGTTGAAAGATGTTTTTCAGTAACTGCTCGAAATCTCCCATCGTCTTCATCGATTTGTACAGGGCGTATAGTCGGGGAATCTGAATCAGCCAACGAACGTTGTGGGAGAATAGTCGATTGTCCACAACCCATGCTGCGAGCGTGTCCCATTCCTGGAGGCTGCGCCCGTATATACTGATTCGCCATTCAACCTGTGTCGTTTAGTTAAACCCATGCCATGTGTATGCCTGGAAACTCACCATCTGGTACTTGCTCGACTCCAGATCCGATATCACCTCGCGCGTTATCTCGGCTAGGTATCGACCCTTGATGTGATTGTCCGTCTTCAGGAAGATGTCTCTCAATCTGGATTGGCCCACGGGATTGTATTTCAGGTTGAATTTGTCAAATCGGTGGAACGAATCGGTGTGAGCATGCATGTCCAACGTGTCGATACTGAGATCGTACGCCGTGAGATTGATGCTCTCAAACACCTCTTTCAGAGTCAACTCCTTGTCATCACGAACAATGACCGGGTCGTCTGGACATTTCTTCATCTTGCTCTTGATGAATCGCAACAAATGCTTTTGATTCATACATGCTGAATGATGAACGTGAGTGTCGACTTTTCTGACGTTGTAGAAGTCTCGATGAGGCACCTTCTTCGTCTCGGCGACTTCTTCGTACTCATTCAAGAGAGTGTAAAGGTTGTATCGACCTTCCAAGTATTGAAGACGGCGATATGCAAAGCTCTTTGCCGGGCCATCCGAGGCAATCTCCAGGATGGTGTCCAGATCCATGTAATAATCTCTCAAGGTAGGCACTTGAACCAAAGATTTGCCGTCACGATCATAGACCTGGTATACGCTCCCCTCATCCATTTCGAAGCGATGGCTACCGTCTTCTTCGGGAATGTAGCATTCATTTAGGTCGAAATCCTCACCAATTGCATGACCAGCTTTGCGAGCCTTTTTGGGGAAAGTAGGCGATGGAGGCCCCCCCTTTTCTGACCCAGCAACACTAGCACTAGTGGGCCATCTGTTGAGCTCGCCTGCATTGGTATTGGCATGTGCCCTGGCATCGGCCATGTAGAAACTGCTCGAGGTACTGTTGGGAGGTATAGGCTCTGTGGGTCTGATCTTGTGTTCATTCCAAACTGGATTGGGGGGAGGTGGATAAATCTCCCATAACTCGTCGTCCTTGGGATTAGCGCCTGGATTCTGATGAGACGCTCTCAAGTACTTCTGTCGCAGGTCGAGAAGAGTCTTGATCTTGTCACAAATAGCCTGGACTTCATTGATGATGCTTTCGTCGTTGCTTGCAAGTCCACCAGGGCCGGACCCTAGTCCAACCCCGGCGCCAGCCCCATGAACGCCCTCATGTGCTAGCAAGGGGTCCTTGAACTCGTGCGGAAGATGTGGATGCTTCCTATGGCTGCGGGCCGCTGCATCAGCAAGCAGGGTTGGATCTCCCTGTAAATCCTGGAAACTTCCAAGCTTCGCAGTGAGGGAAGGAAATGCCTCTTTGGATTGAGAGATCTGGATTCCACCTGGTGGAGGTGCTCTGTGACCGTGACCGTGATGGCTTGGCTTAGACGCTAGGCTCGAGGTGCGACTCAACGTCGAACCATGATCCAGCGATGTAGGCATGGTAAAGGACTTGCCCAGAGATTGAGGGGGTTCAAAATCCTTTTCTGACTTTGTGTCCATTCGATGGCGTTGAAAGATGAGTTTAGCATCAGCATATGAATCTCGTTTTTCAGTGCCGTAATGATAGAATGGATGTGGGATATGCTCGTCTGCTCCGAGTTCATCAGAAGAGTTGGAGTCACCAGTCTCGGGAGTATTTGTTTCTTGCTCATCGTCGTCTTCTGGAATTTGTGATGAAGTCTTACCGCTCCGCTTGGACGAGCGTGGCTCCTCCTCTGTTCGGCTCGTCACCCGGGCTGTGTAGTCATAGATGTCGGCCTCTTCGTCCGAGTCCACAGTATCACCGTGCGGCGTCTGGGGTAACGCAGAACTGCGGGTATCCATTGTTTTGATGTGTCAAACCTGGCTATTATAGTTCATAGGTTGTTAGGGGAATCAACAGAGGGAGATGACCATTCACCGGTGAGTGAGACGGTTGATAAGGATACTCTAGCAGATAAGCAACAAAATGAGAACTAATGGAGAGAGGGAAATGATGATAGCACGAAGGAGTCTAAGGAGAGAAGCACCGACGACGCCAAAAGAGATTTCGATGCCCTTGAAACGTCTGGAGCTTTTGGACGACGTTCAGAAGGGATGAATATTGATGGTGAATTTGTGGTACAGAGTCGTAGCGCTAAGGATGCACGTGGCCAATCACGAGTGCGGGCACACAGGAGTCGGCGTCCCCCGACTGGAGCTTAACTGAACATTAGGCATCAGAAGCCGCCAATTCCGGTGCCATTTTCTCTTTTGAGCCCTGGAGATGACGCTAGGTTAGGGCTTTCTTTAACCCTATGATATCACTCTCTGAGAGTCCTTTTGCCCCAAGCTAAGCTTTGCTCTAGGTGATCCACCGTGAATACGAAGCTACTGTTGTCTTCTAGAAAACACAACAACAACCTCCCACTCTGATCCTTTCCTTTTAAAGACAAGAGAACCTGTTAGTGACATTTGTTCTTTTGCTGGCCTAAGACTCGACATGGGAACAGTGCAATCGACAAGGAAACTGTAGTGGTAACGGTAATGGTAGTGGTATTGATGATGACCAGAGTGGCCCTAGTTGAGGTTTTGTCTGGTAATAACAATGAGCAGGGGATGAGGAGACGGCATAATTCTCACAACTGCCTAGTTGCCCACCGATCATTCATCCACCACTAGCTGAATGACATGACACATACAGCAGAGAACTTCTAGGGCGTGGTTTTGCAACGATGCAACCATGTTCGGCCTCCCAACTCTCGCCTTGAGAAGTTTCTTCCCTCCCCACACCCCAACCAAGCCTTTTCGATGATGGTCATGTGTTTGGGGATCCGAGAACCACAGCCAGGCATGAAATTCATAAATGATGCTCATGTCCATGCTTGCGTCAAGTCCTCAATCCCTCGGGCTGCTCCATCAGGCAAGCCCACCACACCTCGAGTCAAAAACATCCACACCCTTGATGTTGTGCCGTGCAGCAGCAGAATGGGCTGGGATGCAGAACGAAAAAGAAAATATGTGCAAATGGTATATCTCAAGTGACAGTCAAAACAAATCAAACCCAGGTGTCAAATATACCCAAATGTTCATGGCCCGTCATGTCTTCAGTACGCATATCCACCCCTCATGTCTAGAGCCGTGCAAGACCTTGTGTCCGATCATAGCGTGTTGGAGAAATCGCCTGGCATGTGGAGTCGTCCAGGCTTAGGGCCGCCGAAGCTGCTGAAGGCTGTTGTTCATGCTTTGAGGAGCGTCTTCTCATCCATAAAAGAGGAGATGGGAACCGATTTTGATGAAACGAGGTTGGGTCTCTTGACGCGGAGTACAGCATCTTGGTCGGTCATCCGTCGACCAAGGGCTCTCTCGACCTTGGCCCCCAGACTCAGCTTGGAGAGATCGTCGGTCTTCTTTTGGCTGGGCACAAATCGTTGCTGTTGTAGGTGTTTGTTCTCGAGTCTGTCCAGGCCTTGTGTCAATTGTCGGATTTCAGCCATACCGGTGTCAGCAGACGGCAGAGAGTTGGCAGTATTGGTGGTGGCGAAGGAGGGGGAGGCAGAGTATGTCGAGTATCGCTTCGAGGTGCGTTTGGACGAATTGATCTATAGAAGTCAGTGGTTAGGTCAAGAAACATCAGCGCCTAGAGTGCTTCGACTCTGGTGTCAACATACACTTGGTGCCATGATTGGCCTTTGGGATTCGAGGGATCGACGAGACATCATTGCGAGGTTATAAGTATATTGGGATGGGAGACCTCTCCTGGTGTTGTTGCTAGGTTGACTGGGAGCGCCAGGCAGAGGAACCGGAACTTATATGGAACTCAGGCTTCTTGGTGAACCGTGCTGAGTGATAGGCCGGTGGATGCAGGGACGCAGTTTATCCACGAACCACCAAGCTGAAGGAATATGCGGTTGGAGGGACAGTCTTGAAAGTGGTTGAGAGAGAAAGCAGGTCCAGAAGTCTAGGACGGGAAGTTTGATGATCAGCGGATCGATCGAGGTTGGCGTTTGTTTGACGTGCCGTCCAAAGTCCGTTGTTTGGTAGTCTTGACGTTGTGTGAAGATGATCGGCAGCACTTGATTCGACCCGTTTGCAGGCAAAATGACCTGACAGGCAGTCGACAGAAAATGACGGTAAGGTGTGACGGCGACGAACAGGTTTGCAGGAGGTGGTGTGGAAAAGGGAGCCTAGGTAGCGTGACAAAAGGCAGGGTCGGTGAGGGTCGGGTGAAGAGGGACGAGTGCGGTGGTATGGGCCGTGCCGGTTGCTTGGGGCGGAAAAGAGTGTTACGCGATGAAACTTGTAGGATGTAAGTTTATGACTGTGACTGGAGTTAACACCGAGGTGGTGAAGTAATACCAGGTCCAAGAGAGCGAGATCTTGGGCGCTGGTGAAGAGATGACCCCAGTATCTATATGTTCTCGCTATCTGCAGCTGTAGTCTCGTGGCAGGCACCCAGGGTGAAGGAAATGTTGATTTGGGCAAGGATAGCAAGTGGGCGGCTTGGAGGTTTACTAACGAGGGTGGTTAATACTAAATAAGGTTGCAGACAAGGCATCTGCAGCAGTGCAGCAGTGCAACACCATCAACCTTGATGGTCAAGGCGCGATCAGGCGAAAGCGGCCCCTTGCAAGGTGCGACCCGAACGTGGCTACGAATACTCGGTCATTCGATCGACGATAATAATAATAATAACACTTGGTAAGAGCTGGGATGACAGTGGAGTCGAGACAAGCAAATCAGCCCCAAAAGTCGACCTGCCGTGCTAGTCAAATGGGCACCAGAATGGGGAGATCCAGGGCATGCCCGGCCCAAGGACAAGTTAGCGGGGCACCATTTCCCTCTAGGCGGGTGTTTAAAATGCAGGTTGGCCAGGCACGTCTGGAAGGCCCCGGGCCATTGGCCTGTCAAACCACGAGTTTCAACCCATCAAAGCCTAGCCTGTGGGTCAACTGGAGAGGAAAGAAGGCCAAGAGTCGAGTTGCCCGAGAGGTTTCCAGGCCCCTCGACTTCGATCCTGACTTCTCGTGGATTGCCCCTGGGGGATTTGGCCAAGGGTTTCGACGACGCGGAGATGTCCTGGCTGGAGGCTTAGAATGGCAGTCAAATAGTGTCCGTAGTCGCTGACTTGACATAAGAATGCTCAGGATTATCCTTGCAACTCTTTGGGTTCTGTGGGAGATACTTACTGCAGTTTTAGTTGACCTCGAGTTGAGGCGTGCGGCGTGCGGCTTGACTGCTCCAGCGACAGCTTTTAGCTTCCGAGAAGTGCAACGCTTCCAGCCGCTGGGTACCCGTATACATGCCTAGGCTTTTGCTTTGGTCCATTTCTTTCACACAATGGCGGAAAAAATGGTTCAAACCGGGATACAATCATAGCCACCACAGAACGTGAAGTCGTACCTAGGGGATGTTATCATTGTTAACAACCCAAGAATGCATGTGTCCAAAGAGTCAGCCATGCACCCTGAGTCTGTGCCCCCAATGCGTGGCCGTGGTGCAGGTGGCTTCCACGCTTCCAGGGGCCCTTGTCGTAGGTCCACCGCTATGGCCAGGGCCGAGGGGCCACGACGGCCACGACGGCCACGGGGGAGACTCCATTCTAATTGCTTCAACGAGTTCCACGTGGCCGAGGCCGCTGGAGCCTCTACGGAGTAGAGGGGCGGGAGTCCGTGGGCTGCGGCCCCTTCGGCCCACGCCAGAAGGACACGACATCCACCGTTCACCACCGTTTCACCCCCAAAAAAGTAAAAATATTCAGAGTTTCCAGGTGACATTTTCACTATTGGTCGAATCAACAGCAATGTTCAAGCCTCTTCACCTCAAACCACGCAGCTCCAAGTGGTTTCGTTTATGCATGCAGCTAAGCTCGAGGTTCGTGATTTCCGAGGCCAGAACATTTTTGACAGCCAGCCTCAAACTCGCTTAACTGTACGGAGTAGTGTCAATGTCTTGAGTGAAAAAATCGAGTTGTTCTTTTGTGCCATTGCTCGCATGGACATTCCTTCGGAAGGCGTTTCTGATGCAAGTAAACCATGCCACGTGTGGGTTCTCTTTCCCACGAGATCAATAGCCGTTTCGAGCTTCAGGTTTTGACAGCCGTGGTTTGGCATGTCTATCTAATGCCATTCGTCGAATGAGGTATCTACGTAAATGCCCAAAAGTTCATGCCAGGGACCTAATTACTCGCATCGTCGATGCAGCACGTCAGATATGCATCTCGGCTAACACCACCCTCGGATCCCAGGCTTTTGAAACGTCGGAAGAAGATGTGAGTGAAATAGGGATACTCCGGACGGGATGAAAGTGCGACAGTAACAAAAAACATATGATCTTTTTCTGGCCGAGTCCTACCTTGGCTCGCAGCTTTACTATACTTGAAGTCTTAGTGACTGGACACCAGGAAACAGACCATGTGTGGTATAAATATGTACCATCTGTTGTTGGATCTCTCAGAAGGCTGATCAATTCTTGGTAATTCGTAAATAATATCCCTTCGTAGACCCCATGACAAGTTTTCGACAGACAACAAGGGGCCATCGTAATAACAATAATGCCTGTGCTTGCAGGAAACATCGGATGTAAATATTCCAACACACATCCCGGTCAGTATGGAACCTGCCGCGCCGTGTGTGTCTGACTCGGTCATCTCCCCGCTGTCCAACCATGCAGTCTCAAATTCCTAGGGTCAGCACAGAAGATTTTCAACGGAACCATGTACTTTGTGATCTGGAGATTCATTGTTATAAACACTGCCTGACTGAGGCTGAGGCATTAGTGAGAAGCCTGCAGCTGCATGGCATGTATAGCCCAGACATGTGAGTAGACGCTTGGGCAGCCTGGGGCGCCACTGAGATTCAACTCTCGCTGCACGAGGGTAAATTCCGGTGAGGGACGATTCGAGTGCCCTCTCACCTTTACCTGTGCCAGCTCTTCAACGCAACTCTGACATTGTCAAGTCCTTTCCACCTCGCTCTTCCAGATCACACCTCGGCGAATCCCCTAGTCAATCAAATGACAAACTGCTTGTCCTAGGCTCCGGTCCTGACTCGAGTGCTCTGTCTCCAAACCTTTACTCATCGCCGAACCATGATCCATGAATTCCTTGAGCCCAATCATTAATGGTCATGGTGAAACCCCAAGTTTTTGCAAGCCAAAAGGCCAGCCCTCCAACAACTCCAAAACTTCCAACAACCTGGAGAGCTATCCAGCCCCTCGTCCGCATACTATCCTGCCACCGAAGTAGTCCAAGAGGATCATGCATCTGGTAGGTCGGTACGTCGCCATAGCCCATGGCCATTCGTGAACCCTTATGTACAAGCGCCTGTTGGATTTCCGGTGTCACAATCTTACCGTCTCGAATCTCCTCGCCCATCCTCTCCACCAGCCAAATCGCTCGCTCACCTCTTGCCATTCTCTCATACCGCTCTCGTTCACGTTGAAGGCTCAACTGCAATTCACCTGCCCATTTAGACAGCCGGACTTGGGCAATTCTCTCTTCTCGCTGGGTGTGATCCGCTAGCTTGGCTAGTGCCCAGCTGTTGGACGTGTTGAGAGATACCTCTGAGCCTAGCGGCAAGAGCAGGCCGGAGTTGCTCAGTGAGGTTTGTATCGGTGAGGCCAGAGTAGAGTTGTGCACTGAACGAAGAGAGGGGCTTGAGATGCTTGTCAGCTTGGGGTGCGCTGCGTGCCATGCAATCAATTTTTTCGCTGCCGTGTGTCGTAGATATGCCACAGTCTCGGGCTCAAACAGCTGCTGTACCAATACCCCAAGTTCTGATGGTAATAGCGGTTGAACATACTCTGGTGACATCAGAAGGGAAGCGTCCATGGTGTCTAGATCTGGCCCATTGACAGAAGTCACTGTGTATGGAGCGGTGGCCTCAGTTCGTTGTTCAACCCCTACCCCAAAGATCATGGGCACCCTCGGCAGACTTGCAAGGCCTGCATCCAATGCTTCTTTTACACTGGCTTGTTCCTCGGGAGAGAGAAGATCTGATCGGGCGACGAGTGGAATGACGTTACACAACTCAGATAACTGCTGAACTTGATAGCAGTCGTTTTTGAGATTGTCTATCCTTGTCAGTAGAAGCTCAGTCAGGCAAAAGTCAGGTCAGTTACCAACCTTTGGATATCAGGTAGAGTATTACATCAACATGTGAAGAACCCCTACCGCTCAATAGTCCGGAGAGTTCACTGCCAAGTTGTTCGACCGAGACCATTGCGTTGACGAGCTGTTGCTCGACATAGTGCACGATTTTGTCGAGTTTGGAAGAGTCAGGAGTGTCCACGAAGCAGAGGTTTCGTTCCAGTACGGAATCGCCAAGGCTCTTCCTTCGTTTCAAGATACGACTCTCCTCGATATTGGACCACCATGCGGGATATGGTTTCGTACTGGCATAGATCTCGCTAACTTGACCATGAGAGCCCTTTAGATCTCGTTGAGAGCTGTGAAGAGTGCTTGAAGGGGACAGTGGGTCGACATGGACGATATCTTCGCAGACTTGAACAATCGACTTGATAAGCGAGGATTTACCCACCCCTGCCAGATAAGTCAGTAGAGTCTCCTGTGCGATTGGGCATTGACAGACCTTTGCGTCCAGCAACGAGAATCTTGAAGCGTCCCAATTGCTTTCCCCGACTTGTGAATGGGCGTCGACTGGGCATCTTAATGCTGGGCATGATCAATTCAGGCTGGCTATCTTGCACCTTGGCAGGACTCTCATCCTCATCGTCCTCATCACTCGAAGCCACGGCTTGACTTCCAGTATCGTCTATTGTCAGCTCGTCATCGGATCTATGTACTGATTTGGACGATGCAGATTTCGGGCTAGCAGGAAGTGAAATGTCTCGTGACGGGATAGGCGAGGGGGTGACATCTCGCTGCCGGGCTGGCATGTTGTGCTCATTGCTCCCTGAAGAGGATCTTCTTTGCAGAGGAATATTTGTACCAGGTTTAATGGTTGATCTTCTCCGGCTCCCGCTTCTTGGTTGCCCTGGCCGGCATGGTGTCTGCTTAGAGGGGCGCTCGGCTTCTTGGATAAGATCTTGTAATGTGCTGACTGGGGGAGACGAAGACGAAGCAGGTGTGGGGGACGAACTACTCTGGCGTTCAGAGGAGAGTTTCGAGGAATCGGATTCTCGAGTGAGGAAGAAGGTCGTGGGCGTAGGGTTGGGTCGTTCGCCTGGGATGGAGGGAGACTCGGTGAGAGAGGGTTTGCGGGGACGCGGATCGCCGTTATCAAGGCCGACGCTCGGTCTCATCGTGGGACATTGATTATCAGTCTGACGATAGAGAGGCCGTGGAACAGGATTGGCAAGTTGAGAGGGATCGAGTTTGTCCTGGTCGTCCACAGGCTGGGGTGTTAACTTGAAGGACAATCGGACTGGTGGAGGGAGGTTAAGGACACCAAGTGGTGAGTGACTGACGTACGGACAAGATCGGTGCAGAGTGCAGGTGCAGGGCTTACGGCTGAGGAAGGCACGGATGGCCGCTATCAGGCCGACTTAGTCACTCGTCAATCAGGAGCCACCCCACCATTTCATTGGCTCAGATTGGCCTCCAGCCTGCCCCCCCCCCCCCTCCAAGATCTGTTGTGGTAATAATGATGTGCTGCATCTCTTACCCCACGTCTGCCTGGTCTGCCTTGACTGCCTGGATTGCCTGGGGATTGATGGTTTGTAATAAAGACCTCCTATCTAGAATACCCTTCTCCCTACGTACCTTGTATACATAGAACTCCGAGAAATCAACCTTGATGGGCATGAGCACCAAGAGCTACTAGCCACCATCATTATTTCTCATCTAATTCGAGCTGATGTACAGTACAAACTTCCACCCCACCAAGGGTATCCTGGGACAGACGTCTGCAAATAACCCTGATGGATACAAAAGTACATGATTCTGCTGCCAGACGTCGCTGTGCCCCGACCCTGTATAACCTGACTGAGATAGAATGTTCGAGGCTGAGATCCCTGCTCGAGCTGCACTATCAGCCTGTTTCTGTTCCTGAAAAAAATAATCCCACGTCGGTATTGCTCCTTCCACCCGAGAGCTTGCTATGCGAAAAAAATCCTTGCATGACGGGGAACATGAGTCAATCAACTTTTTTCCAAATGCGCCGGCTCAGGAAGTCATGGAAATCATCTCCTTTACTTTTGTGAATTCTCCAAGGGGTCTGCCACTTGCCTCATTCGCACGCAGTCCGTCTGGGAGATGTAGCAGTCGAGGTCGAGAGTGGGACGAGGAGCACTTAGACCGATGCAACAAGTCTTCCTTGAGCATTTCATGCGGTCGGGGCTTGACCGCGTCCTTTGGGGGTAACATTGCCAGGCTTGCCTCCACGGGCTTGGAAATTGCCACGACCTCCATCTTTGGCAAAATTTCCACCACGTCCACCTCCACGAGGGGTGTTTCTCCCTCCACCGCGAGCAAAGGCTGTGTTGGCACCGCCATATGCGTCAGGTCGGGGGCGTCTTTCTTCTACATAGACCAGCTCGGTGCCGATCTTGTGCGGGTTTGCAGCCGAGGCTGCTGCATAGCCCGCTGGATTGCTGAATTCAGCAAAGGCACAATTCTGTTCATGTCAGCGGCTAGCCAATACGGTGAAAAGGATGGACTCACCCTCTGCTTCGAAATATCAAAATACTTAATCTCGCCATATCGTTCGAGCGCTTTGCGAAGAGCCTCACCATCGACCTTGTCGGTCACATTCTTGATATATGCAAGTGTGATTTCTTCGGGTTTGTTCTGTGGCTTGGCCTTCTTGCCATGGTCAGCTGTTTGCCAACCGTTGCTCTGAGCCACAGAGGCTGCGCCAGCGTCGGAGACAGCGGCCGCCGGGGAGGATTCTGCAGATGTCTTTGCCGGCTGTGCGGGTTGAGCAGGACGTGCAGCCTTGTTCGAGGTGGTTGTGGTGGTTGCTGGAAGTGCAGGGACAGCTGGGGCTTTAGCACCTCCACCCAACATACTTGCCCAAGTTTTCTTTGCAGGTGGGGCCTCTGGAGCAGGCGTGGTTTCAGCGGGTGCAACAGCAGCAGCAGTGTCTTCGACCTTCTGTTCAGAAGGCGCAACAGGTGCAGCTTGGACATCGGCATCTTTGGTAGATTCCTGGGGAACCTCGTCGTGGGAAGCAGGTTGGTCAACCTCGGCGGGCACAGAAGCACCATTGACTTCGGCATCGACGGCTGAAGGTACTTCTTGCTTTTCGAGCTTCTCATCCACCTGTTCGGCAGCAGTTTGGGTGGTGACGGCCTCCTTAACCTCAGGCTCTGCTGCAGCAGGGCCATCAAGTGGGGTAGGCGGCTCCTCTGCAGGAATCTCTTCTTGAGTCTGCTCGTCTTCAACAATCTCATCTTCCTCATCCTTGAGATATCGGAAAATATCGTTCAGAACAAAGTAACCATTTGGCTGCTCAGCGAGAACAAAAGTTTGGACAAATTTGTGATGAGGTTCGGATTTGTTTGACATCTCGCCAATGACTTGGACAACGATGTTGGAGAAGGAAGACTGGGAATCGACATTGAGGACGCGAACTTTGCACTCGTGAAAGTCGAGGGTTTTGATCTTGTCGCTAATAGCCTGCCATATTGTTAGAATAGGGTTCATCGAGGTCACCAAGAGATCACAAGACATACCTTGCTACCAACGGCAGGGATCACTTTATCAGCTTCGACGCCAGAGACTAACTGCGACTTCTTGGAGTAGAACAGGTGGATCTTTTCGGGGCTCTTTGAAAGGGTGGTATAATATTGCTCAACAAAGTACCAACCGATCTCCTGGGGATCTGCCTTTTGGGCAGAGGTGGAGGTGGTAGTACTTTGGCTGGCAGACGGAGCATGCGCTGGTGCAGACGGCGTTGATGCGGCAAGCTCAGCTGGCTGGCTGAACTGGTTGTTCGCATACAAGCCATTGACAGGAGTAGCGTCGTTGGCCATGGTCGCAATCAGAAGGAAACGGATAGGAAGATCGGTGGTGCGTCAAGGGAGTCGAGCTTCTGGTTCGAAGAAGAGGACAGCGTCGAGGCTTATCTAGAGGATAAGAGGATAAAAGAGCCTTTGTGTTTGAAAATGCCCGACGAAATGAAGACGGCCAAAGAATGTGTGTAGATGAAGATGAATGCTGGCCGCAAAGATGGCAAGGTCTGGTCAGGAAGAATTTGGAGAGTGGAGGAGAGATGCGCGTGGGAAACAAATCAAGGGAAGAAGAACCACTTAAGATTGGTTAATGCAGCTGTGTGAGGACGAATCAAGGATCCTAAGTGGGATTGTAGAAAACACTTTTGGATTGAGAGTGTGGATGCAGCAATAGCAGCAATTGGGAATTAGTGGATGAAAATAAAATCGTGGAGGTGGAATTACTTTCAGAATTGAGTGCAGCAGTGGCAGCGGCAGTGGCAGTAGCAGAATGGAAGGAGCCGTCGGTCGCAGGGCGAATAATCGCAGAACCGAAGAGAATCAATAAGGTCACGCTGCGGGCTATTCAGATCCTGTGATTCGCCGTACTTTGAATTTCCGAGGTCTTGGAAAATAGAGCGGAGTAGGGGTGCTGGGGAACGAAGAGCCTCATGCGGCCCGAGCATTGCGGAGAAGGCTGCGACTGAGGTCTTTATTACTGGAATAATGACTGATCATCGTCTATAATCAAAAGGGTATGATTCGTGTCAATGTACTACAGGTATATAATTTGAAGCTTACTATCAAGCTTCTCCCATCACCAGCTCTATGTCTTGTCTGAAGAAAACACCTACTTGCCCAAGCAGGTAAATGAGTAGAGAGATCTCGTTGATGGAAACCTGTGATCGAGGTGTCGAGAGCGACACATCCCTGAATCCCATCTTAAGGACGAAAAGCCGCTCACATAAAGGCCGCTGTCCCGCCAGAGGCTGAAGTGGCTCTTGCAATCAAGACTGTTATGCACAGCCGCATCCTGTTGCCATATAGCTGGTTCGTGAGCTTGAGCCCCCGACATTAGATGTCGATAGGCCATTCAGTTCTTGCCCACAAATCTGCAGAAACAGATGGCAATACGGGCTGCTGCCGACACAAGCACGGGATGGGATAGAGGTGAGATTGCAGCCAGGATCAAGTCCGCCAAATTGAACATTGTCCTGCGCGATGACGTGCCTTTTTGTGTCTGCTGAATAGACGCAGAAGGCCATCTAAAAGATGAGAATCTGGCCTTAGAATCGACGTTGCTGTTGCACATCGTTGTAGTGAGGTTCGCTGAAGAGCTGAAGAATAGTGGACAATAATGCCATCATTCTAAAGCTATTTTCAGTCGGCAGATCTTCAGTAAAACCCTGGAGTACGAGGAGGGAGCTCTGTCGGGACTGTCTGCTGTCCTTGAGTCCTGTCGACAGAGTCATTGATGGGATTTGCGTCTTGCTTTTCACGAGCCAACCGTTCACTCTCTTCCCTAGACTTCTTCTTATTGTTCTGCCATATCCTGTCTTCCTCTTCAAGCTCGCGCAAGGCATCCTCCCATTCACGCTCCTGAATCTCGTCTCCAGTTCCAAGCACCTTTTCAACGTCCACCGGTTCACCTTTTTGCAACTTCTCTACCACCTCCCTTAATCGGTTCAGCTTGAGGTCGGCCTTGCGCATGAAAGTGTTAAAATCCTGTTGCACTCCCATGATCCGGATTGACTGAGAGCCAATGAAGAGGTAGATCCAGATAAAGTAGCTTGCAGGATTTGTCTTCTTGACCTTTCCACCCGTTTCGGACCGTCTCGTCAATCGATCACGCAGAGGCTTGGGTACGATCGAGTGCCAGAATGAGGATTGAGCCATCTTGGGGACGTGAGATGGTTGGGCGGAGTCATGCTGTAGTCGGCGGAAGGAATAGCGTTCGATAGGGTTGTGACGCCGACATGGTCTGAGTACACCGCCTCGAAGAGCAGGGAGAGCTAAGGTTCTCATTGCGCAGTACGGATCCCCAGTATCCCATGGGTTGAGTTCCTCGTTGTCGTCGATCCTGCATCTTCTCTCAACTTTCTTCCGCCGATGCCAAGAATAACCCAAAGTGGAAATCCTTCCGAATATTTACGTTTCTACTTCTAGTGAATCCCGACTGCTTCTGAACGCGTCGTCTGCGACATCAGTGATCCTCGGATTCACACAATCGTGGGAATACACCAGAAGAAATTACCATTCGAAGCATGTGGCGTTCAATATCTCCGCTAGCATAGCCGAAACGACGACACAATGTCCGCTAAGGTGCCTTCCCTTGAAGGCTTGCGGAAAGACCTGAAATCGGGAGCCCCCTCAATCGACACCCTCAGATATCTACGTTCCATTCTAAGCCCGAACCCACAGAAAAAACAACATGCTGCAACGGTTCCCTCCAAGGATAAATCTTCCAAGATTACAGCGTCCACAAAGCCTGCGCCGCCGAAGCCAAAGCCAAAGTCGTCTCGGGCTGGGCCTCAAGCCATCCCAGTCCATAAGGATTTAACAACCTCCATACCAGACCTAACGTCTCAAGACCGGCGAAAACTAGCCACTGAAGTGTTCAATTCGACCCTTAAACAGCTTGGTGAGGCGGTTAAAATACAAAAGGCAAAGCTTCAAGTTGGCTTAGAAGCCGAGGAGAACAATGCCTTTCAGCAAGAACCATTACAGCAACGCTCGCCGAACAAGGGTAAAGGGCGGTCGGCCGACACCAAGAGTAGAATGAAGAATACGACTAAGACTTCGATCGCCTCACCTGAAGAGCTCTGGGCCACACAGGCTGGATGTGCCCTGACCGCATTGTGTTGTTTGCGGGTTTGCGACACTTCAGAAATCAGCGAAAAGGCAGCCCAGAACCAAAGCCTCGTGAATGGATCTCTTATTCTCTTGGACCGAAGTATCACTTTAAACCTTGCAGCTGAGGCTGAGGCACAAGCAAAAGCCATCTACGAGCTTCACTGCTCTCAGACGGCGACTGCGTCTCAAGACCTGTCCCATCCTTCGACGACATTATCCGATTATCTTCTCGGCGGATCGGATGCAATTACTGCCAAAAGAGACTTCAGTTTCACTGTTTCTTTCCAAAGCCAAATGCTGCGACTCGCCCTCCTTCTTGGTGCACAGTGTGTCAACAATAATTTGGTGCAGTCCCTCAACCTGCAAACTGTTGGAAGCCCTGGGTGGGTCACAATTCAAGGATTGCAACTTGGACATCAAACTCCAGAAACAGCTGGCTCTCAACTCCGAACAATATCATTGGCTATCTCGAAGCTACACTCGATCGCTGTTAAAACTGAACACAGCATGGTGCAGCCTGATATCGCTTACTCTTTATATTGTATTGGCCTGCAGATCAAGTTTGAGTCTTGGAAATACCTCCATATCACTCCGAACCCTTACAACGATGTCTGGCGACACTTTATCATTGCCATGAGGAAGTTTACAGCAATGAGCAGTACGCCTGGACATGCGGAACTAATCTTGATATCAATCAGAAGAGTGCAAGCGTCCCTGAAGTCTCTGGATTTGGGCATTTCTCTGCCTCCAGAACTGCTGGAATCATTGGCCCGCGCGAAGGCTCATATATCCCATCACAAAGGCATCGATGAATTGATCAGGGATGCTGCTGGAACATCAGACCCCACAACCGCGCTTATTCTTAAATTTGAGAGTATCGTCTCGTCTCTAAGTCAAATGCCCACCGACGCCGCAGCGGCTATGAAATGTTTGGCTGAAGATATGGGAACATTCCCAGCGACGCCGGAATTGAAAATGGCCCAGCTTCAACGTTTACTACTTGCTGCTGCTCCACTTCGCAAGGCGTTGCTGTCAATGGTCTCGCCGAGTCTGCCGACTGACGTGCATAAGCCTGTGACTGAGCATTTCCAAAAGAGCTGTACAGTCTTACTCACCACTTGTGCGGACTTTCTCTTCCGAAAAGTGAAAGCGATCTCAGAGGCATCTTCGACAGATATCAGCCTAGAGCAGACTCGTGCATACTTGGCAACGTTATTAAAGAACGCGGATGTGTTGCTCATCCTAGAGAGGATGCCTCTTGTTCACAAAGACAGGCACTCAGATCATGAACAAGATTTCCTTGAACACAGCCGAACGATCCTTTCGTTCGTCAGTGCACAGTCTGCAGCCTTGGAGAGTAATCAAGCACTTCGGACAAGTGTTCACCAAATGCAACTTCGCATTTCTCAGGCGTACTGGTTGAGATATCTCGACGCCGTTGAATCGAGAAAGCCCACAACAGTGCATACTTGTCTCTTGCAGTCCAGTTTAGATGGCCTGGATGGATTATCAGTCCCACAGAAAATAGCCGCACATGCTTGCTTGAAGTATCAGAGGCTTGCTTCGTGCTTCATCGAAATTAACGAGCAAGATAAGGCTGTGTCCGCTCTGAAAACGGCGATCAATTTAGATATTCAGAATGGTTCCTTGGACATTGCTGTGCAAAGAGCACAAAATCATCCTTTCCATCAAGTCTGGGCTCAATCAGAATCAGCTGCTTGTGTCGGTCTTGGTAACAACTTGGCCACCTTTGCGCGGGTATCTTTCTCATCATCAACCAAGCTTACTACGGACGAAATGTTCTTCGACCCTCAAGAATCTTCAGCTATCCACCGGGCCGTCGTGATCGACAAACAGGTCTACACGGTGCTTTTGCTCGGAAAGACTCTCAATACTCAACAGGTGCGATGCCTGTCTTTACAAATCAAGTTCTTACTTGAGCTACTGTCGGAACCGCAATACCATGTTCTGCAGCTAGGCTTCCTGAGTCGCCTTTTACATCTGCAACTGAGTAGCCCTATCAAGGTTCTCAATGATCTGATCGACCCTGGTCGTATTGAAGGATGCCTTGCATCGACAAAAATGCCTCACAAGGATGTATACCTCCACCCGTATTGGACAGTCTTGGTGCACGTCTTGAACCTTCAGTATGACATGGCGACTGGACAAGTTCTCTCCCACCGGTTAGAAGAACATTTGCACCGATTAGGAAATGCGATCCTACATTGCCAAAACCTAGAGAGCTTCTCGAAGATCGTGGGAAACGCTGACGTGCTATTGAACGTCCTTCAGCATTGCGTCAATTACGCGTATCACTTCGAAACCCTTAGATGTGGTCGGGTTGCTTTGGAAATGATGCGAGTTATCATGGATCATGGCAACCCAGATGTGGCAAGGTCAAAGCCTGACGTCCTCCTACAACTCGCTCGACTTCATATCCGTCTTCGTGATGTGGCAGCTACTAATGATGCCTTGTGCGCTGCTGAACTTGCAGTGGCTGCACAGGGAACGGATCCCGTGGCTAAGCTTTTATATGCAATATTGCAGTCAGAGCAACACTTGCTCCTCGAGAACTTTGCGAAAAGCTCCACATATCTGGCTCAGGCTAGGTCGGTTTGGGAGACCATGCAAATGTCTACGAATACTTCTCGCAAAGCTCGCTTGAACCTACAGACGTTACTGTGTCAGGCTACCAATATTGCATCCCGGCTTGCGTTTCAGATGAGAGACCTCCCAAAAGCAGTGATATACGCGCGCCAATCAGTCAAGATTATTGCTGGGATATGGGCATCGATCGAGAGAAACGCGGGCCAGGTTCAGGATGACAGCAGTGCAAGCCCCGACAGCTCGTTAGGCAACCTAGCGACTGAAATGTCAAGACTTGAGATCTCAGACAAGCACGAGATACGTCGAGAGAATTACAATGTCGCCATTCATTGTCAGCACGCAATGCTTTATTGTTCCAGCTTTGAGAATTATGCCTCGCTGACATCCCATTGTGGATCATATCAAACGGCAGTTTTCTTCTTGGAGCAATCTTTGACCGTTGCAAAGAAGGTTGGACTACTATCGTGTACTGATGGTATAAACAGCTCGCTTGCCTTGCTCCATGCCCGGGCAGACAAGCACACCAAAGCTAAGGAGAGCATCCAGTCTTGTGTACCGATTCCACAGCAATGTGACCTCAATCTCGAGAGGATTTGGATCATGATCGATCAAGCGGACACATATCTTCAATTAGGAGAGTATGAGACGGCCAATAAAATGTTAGAGGAAGCTCGTCAGCAGCTTTCTCCCGGCCAAAGCAAGGGAACGGAGAAGAGTATTGGGAGAACTGCGCCCAAACAGCAGACGTCTGTCGCTCCCAGAAGAAAGGCGCCCTCCAAAACCGCACCACCGAAGGCCTCCAAAGCCATGGTATCAAGTGAGAAGTTTCAGACAATCGGCACTCTAGGAACAAAAATTGCCCTGAAAAGGATATCAGCAATTCAAGGCGAGCTTTCCCTGCGGAGCAACACACTGGTTTCGTTGCCGTGTATCGGTGGTGACGACCCAGACCGCCGCAATCCCCGGAAAGCAATCAGTGAAGCGCAGAAGTTGGTGCACGCGGCATTGGCACAATTCTCAGAGGATGCGGCAAACAATGTTCTCGTTGAAACAGCGGTGGGGGTTCCTGTAAGATACAAGTCATCCGGTAAGGGTGGCAGAGTGTCGTTTGTGCAGACTGCCGGCCCAAAAGCGGCCGGGGACAAGACTGTGTCACGAAAGTCAAAGGAAGCAAAGCCTAACCTGCCGCAGGACCAGGTGGCTGATGGAAGGAGTCTTCTTCTCCAGGCCTACGAGCAAATTTGCAATCTAAAGAAGGAAAGTGGATGGCTGCTCCCATCGGATTCGGTGCACGCAATTCATAGGATCTTGTCCCAGATCACGTTGCTCTCCAGTGCTCTAGGAGAAGCCCAGGTTACCTCATCAGCACAACTCTTGAGTGTTGCCATGTGTCCGTTGGACGAGATGCAAGATCGGGCCACCGCCCTGACAAACGGTGAGGTTGCAACGGCCGATGTTGCCAACATGCATCAGTGGCCAGCTCTCCTGGCAGAACAAGCTGGTGCCACGCATGAATCTATCAGCGAAACTGTGCCAAAATCTATGTTGGAGTCAATTCCATCGACATGGTCAATTGTCTCAATAGGTTTGAATGACGGTCAGAACGAGCTCCTAGTGACCAGAACGTCATACGGCCAGTCGCCGTTCGTGCTAAGAATCCCTCTCGTCCGACCAGATCCAACCGAGTTGGATCATGAGGACCTCAGTTTTGAGAAGGCAAAGGACGAGCTTCAGAAGATTGTGATTGCTGCAAATCGATCGGCTCATGATGCAAGGGGTTGCGCACCAGACAAGAATACCAGGAAAGCATGGTTCGCAGAACGCCAGGCATTAGATGCACGACTTGCCGCTCTCCTGGAGAACATGGAGAACATCTGGTTTGGAGGTTTTCGAGGATTGCTTTCCTCGGGCGGTCGCCATCCAGCTGCACTCTCGCGCTTCGCCAAAAGCATGACGGGCATCCTCAATCGACACCTACCATCGCGACAAAAAACGGTCAAGGGGCAGGTGACAACCAAGGTTGAGCTACACACTCACGTGTTGGAGTTGTTTGTGGCTCTAGGTCACCCTCGAGGACAAGACCTTGAAGAATCCATCACGGACCTCATCTACTTTGTGATTGACGTTTTGCAGTTCAATGGAGAACGCAATGCGTACGATGAGATCGACTTCGACAGTGTGCTTGTTGAAGTTCTGGATGCATTGCACGCGTATCACGATGAAGTGTCAAAGGCAAATCACGAGGATGATTGGCATGTGGTGTTGATTCTAGACAAAGAACTACAAGCATTTCCGTGGGAGTCACTTCCATGCATGAGATCGCGGTCTGTGTCGAGAATGCCTTCACTAAAAGCAACATGGACGAGGTTGGAGAGTATGCGCAAACAAGAGAAGCACAAGCAAGGCTTAGTCGCATCGTCAGCCAAAGGAACATTCATTCTCAATCCGTCGTCGGATCTCAAGTCGACACAAGAGACATTCCAGCCCATCTTTGAACGTCAACTCTCGCACTTCAAGGGCATCATCAACCAAGCCCCGAGTGAAACGGCTTTTGAGAATGCGTTAAGGATGGATGATGTGCTACTATACTTTGGGCACGGCGGAGGAGCACAGTACATTCGAGGTGGCACCATCCGCAAGATGAAGCAGTGTGCTGTAACGCTCCTGATGGGATGCAGCAGTGCTAAGCTGACGGAGTACGGAGTATTTGAGTCGCAAGGGATGCCATGGAACTATATCAGCGGAGGCAGTGCTGCAGTAGTAGGGACATTGTGGGATGTGACAGATCGAGACATTGACCGATTTGCCATGGAATTGATGACCGAGTGGGGGTTGCTTGAGAAGAACGGGGAGACGAGCAACAAGACGGGCAAAAAAAGATCGGACAAGCAGGACACAAAACTGGGAAAGGCATCTCTCAGTGAAGCAGTTGCAGGAGCACGAGACGGCTGCCTCCTGAAATATTTGAATGGGGCAGCACCTGTGGTTTATGGAGTGCCAGTGTATCTGGAATAAATAGGGACAAGATGTTGCCCTAGTTGAACTATTGGACTTTGATTTGTTCGTATTCTTATTCGCGACCAAGACCCAACAGCAACCTCGGAACAATACCCGTGTTCGACCCGCTCAGGGTGAGGAGATCATGATGTTGATCACCTTGAATAAAGCCATCTGATATACAGATGTTGGGCGTTGAAGGAAGCATGAAGTATCGAGGTCGACGTGCCAAGGCTAGATGCTAACATAAAGAGGTTAGCGTATGTTAGTGTAGGTTAGAGAAACGCATTAGGGAACCCGCTTAGGCCGCCAATCATCGTAAAGCCCTGGGATGTCATTCGCGCTTGCCTACTCGTACTCGTAAGGTTCGCACCTACCAGCCCCCCGAACCCGAGGGCCCCTCCAACAACGTCAGGCTCGGCAGGACCAGGCAACCACTTTACAGTAGCTCCTGCCTCTCATTGGAAACCGTCATATATCATCTCCATCTTCCTCCGCTGCACTGCTTCTCTCTGGTTCTCTCAATCATTTGACCTTGGGTCTATCAATAACATCTGCAACCAAAGTACACGAACCATCTACTAACTGCTACTAACAAGCAATCCATTGGAATCATACATATATACTTTCTGATCCACTGCAACAAGTAAACAACGCGTCTCGTCCTCGCCCCTATATAACTCACCGTCTCTCCCAGTTCTTCTTCTCACTTTACAAACTTCTCCATTACCAGAGACTACTTGTTCCAAACAGCTCGACCGTGACAGATTCATCTTGTTCGCTCGATCAAAGCTACAAACCAATTCATCACAATTCCATGCAACTCGACTCTCATCGTTGTCAACCAAGCTTCGCAGAAATGCATTTTCCACTCTTCCGCCGCTGTGGCGCGCTTCCCACCGCAACTTCTACTCCTCATGATGCTCTCCCTGCCACTGACCCCAATGGCCCAGTCGAAGACTGGCAAACTGTCCGCCGCTTCCATTTCAGGATGATGCGAAAGCAAGTCCGCAGTGTCATCTTTATGATGGCACTCATGGAAGCTCTTCGCCATGGCCCTCTCCAACTTGCCTACTCTGGCAAACATGGCTACCCTCAACCTGGTCCAGAGGACTTTGGTGTATGTTGTCCTCTGTCTCGTCTTGATTGTGACTTGAATGCTAATGTCCCATTCGCAGATTGCCTACAATGTGGGCTACTTCTTGAGCTGGCTCTATGTGTGCTTGTTCATGATCGTTTATGTCCCCCTCTTCAGTGTATGTTTTTCTCCCCTGCACACTACCATATCAACCTGCTAACCTTCGCAAGTGGTGGGTTCCAAAGTCTGAACCATCCGACTCCACCGACCCCTCTGCCACCGACAAGCTTGCCCATGTCCTCAAGGTTATCAACATGTACCTTATTCCGTTCACCATTGGCATTGCCCTTGTCCAACATCTCTTCTACATTGTGTCATGCTTCATCTATGTCGACTCGCGAGCAAAGAAATCCTGCGCCTTTCCTCCCAACACACGCAAGAATTGGATTGTCCGCGGCTTGTTCCTCCTCGGCATCGCCATCTCCACTATCTCTGGCTACTTCATCTTCAAGATGCTCGCAGCACAAGATCTCGCTCATGTCAAAGACATTGAATACTACATTATTGTTGTTCCCTTCCAGATCAACTTTGGCATCTTCCTCGGAACCATAATGCAATTCCGCATGGAAAAGATTGCCGCTCGTCGTGCTGCCAAAGCTGCTCGCGCCGAATTCAATGCTTCATACTCTGAAAAACAAAGACTTCTCGACGTCTAGCTTACGATTGGGAAATCAGTCAAGAACAAGACTTCAAAAATTTTTACCGAAGTGGTCTATAAATCAACTCCAATCGTTCTTCCTCCTGTTCGGTCCAAGAAAACCACCACCAAGTCTACTGCCACTGCCTCTGCCACTGCCTCCAAGACGGCTACTACTACTTCTGCCGATACAATTGCCAATGACACTGCCACTACAACCAGGAGACGACCTGTAAATCATGCCACGATTTTACAGATCGATCCTAGTCAGCCAAGAACGTCAACGGACCCTCTCTCTGTCATTGCGACAACCTTCGAGGACCACAAAGCGGCCCAGGTCCTCGAAGCAAAGTACATTGTGGCCAACCAACGAGTCCGAATATGGAACAAACTTGTTCGGGCTGGGGCGGGCATCGGCGGCTTCGACCCGGCGGAGCCCCGGGTCCTCGACAAACTAGCCTGGGAGCTAGTTGTCGAGGGCCAGGGCCGGAAGCCGGTCGTGCCTGTGGGTGCCCGCCGGCTGAGGCGGACTGGCCGCCTGTCCGATTATTCGGGCAGTTGGTCCAGAGGGGGTGAATAGGGGCATGGGGGGAGGACGACTATCATTATATATATTGTTATGGGGGAGGGCACCACTATCATCAGGCATTATTAGGCATTATTAGGCGGGTGGGGACCGGGACAACTATATTCATATTCATTGTTAGGAAGGGCGGTCCCTTAAAGGTATTAAATAGTATTATTGTTATAAATGAATGATTCATGCAATAACTGTTCTGTTTGTGTTGCCAACCGTGTGTTTCTGTTTCTGCTTCTGTTGACTTCCTTAAAAACTTCGAGTCTGTCATAAGACCTTATGGTTAACGTCAAACGAGTAAGGCCGGCAAGGAAGACGGGACATTATGTCTCATTGTACGCAATGAAGGACGTCAGATTTATATACGTAATTAAACCACCTCCTGGGTGGACAGGTAGGTACCTAGGTAGGCAGGTGAGGAAAAACAATCGAATTCACTCATCCCATCCCCCTCGGGCCCCTCGGTCTACTCCTCTCATCATTCTCCTTTTGTTCCTGAACTCTCTTCGCCGCGCGTCTCGCCCTCTCTTTCTCTCTCCTCATCCGTTCTCTCGCAGTCATATCACGCGTCGCCGAATCCTGTAACGCACGCGGTCCACCCACAATCTCATACGAATATGTTTTACTTCCAGGACAGGGACATGCATCCCAAGGGGCGATGTTGCCGTATAATGTGTTGCGGTTGTTGGTGACATCCGTCATGGCGGCGGAGTTGAATGTGGGTGTGGGAATGGGAGATGAGGAGAAGGTTGTGGATGTGGATACTATGGATGAAGAGGATGAGAGGCGGGGTTTTGACGGAGATTTAAAGGATGGGGTTTTGGAAGGTGATGATCTGGCAGGTGACATGGTCATTGGTTTTAATGCTCGGTCATGACTCTCGTGGTTATGGTCATGATCATGAGATTGATTGCCACAGGCTCCTTTACTTCCGCAGAGTGTTTTGCCGAGATTCGACATATGAAAAGGCGACGACGACGACGACGATGATGATCCATTGCTGCCGCTGCCGCCGCCGCTGCCGCCGCCGCTGCCGCCAGCACTGCTTGAAGACTCTGGGATACATGCTAATGGTAGAACAGTCCGTGGTTCATAGCGGACTTTATGGCTTCGCATTGTAAAGACATGTGATCCAATGAATGGTAATGGTCGTGGTCCGGATGGTCGTGCTGCTGGGGCGGGGAGAGTGGGGAGTGTAGGGAGGGGTTTTTCATCATCGTCATCATTATCAATATTGTTAGGGATTTGACGGATTGATGGAATGCGTGTGATGGCATCGACTGGTTGTTGGGATTCGATGTCGAAGAGAAATGATGTAGGCGTGCTGGAAGGGTCGGTGATGGATGTGATGGAGAGGTCGGGGCTGGGTTGACCGACTGTTTGGTCATTAGAGGAGGAAGAGGGAACTTCAAGGAGGTTATTGGTGTTGTTGCTCGTGTGGGAAGTAGAGGTGTTGCTGGTGGACAGACTAGGTCGTGTGATATCCGGAGAGTGAAATATGGATTTGGAGTTCTTGACCATAAAGTGAACACTGGTATGAGATCGAGTGGAGTCTTGTCGAGGTTTTTGTCGACCGGCGAGAAACCTCGGTGTGAATTGTGTGACTGGATGTCGAAGGGAAGGCAAACAAGCACAAATGATACCTGAATTGACTTCAATGGTCGACCACAATGCAATGGTTTGACCGGCTGCGTTGTTGACCGTCGATGTGTAGACGGCAATAAGGCGAACGATGGAAGCGGCACAGATACTATAAAGGGGATAGTCAGTATATGATATAGTAGTTGGCAGACGGTGTTACTCACAAAGCTCCCAGAAGAAAAAGAAAGATTAGAACAATGGTCTGTTTTCGAGACAGACTCAAAGCTTTCAGAACCCGAATGGGAAGAACACAGATGATGATATCTGTGGCAGAGTTGAAAGATGCGTTGAAGAGCCAAAACGCCAAAAGATCAATACATCTCGCGTTGGCGATAGAAGAGTTCCAAGCGGCAGGGATGGGAGAGCATGAAAAGATTCCAACTAAAAGCGCCGACACTCCATACGCGGTAATGATGCCAGCTAATGCCCAACATGCTCTTCGATATCCGACGTCGATTGAAAATCGTAGATATTGTAAGAGCAATGAGTCCTTTAATAGTAGGACTGCTAAATTGTAGGTCAAGTTTGAAGACCAGAGTTCCTAGTGTGGATAGTCAGAGACGGTAGGACAGATGGACATGTGTCCTGGGATATCCATGGATTTTGCATACCGACACTTGAGCGCCATATGGCGATACTTCTTCTGATGCATTATCGGGAATTGCATTGAAATTCGCTTTTGGTTGTTAGTTCTGATGTGGAGAGAACGGATGGTTTGCGTCTTGACTTACTCTTGGCCGTGACTACTGTCAGAGCAATTGAGGCGGCCAAAGCCAGGAAGATGAGACAGTCATCAACACCGACATTCTTGACAAAGGTAAGTCTGACAAACAGCCTAGCTGCGACACAACATGTCGCCAAAACCGTCAAGGCGACGGCGGCAGCCGCATATGGAGCGAGGCTTGCCATGCTCGTGGCATTGCCCTATATCGAGAGACCACCAGGATGGAAGAAAGAACGCATAAGTAGTAAACAGATATCAGAGCTGCTGGGACGAATGGATCGAAATGGCTGAGTTCTTGAGTGAATATACCGTATTCTTTCTCTTTGGACGCAACGGGAATGAATATTGGTGGGACACGAGAAAGAAAACGAGTATGAGTACGGAGTAGTGGTCTAAACTGATGATGCGGAATTACCTACCTGACGGTAATAGACACATTGAGCCACATGGCCACTGCGCACGTTCTATCATGTTGGCGTCAGTAGCCCAAGTTGGAGAAACCATGGTGATGAGCACGGATGTCGTTGCTCAGACGAATGTTAATGGAGTCGACCATTCTGATTGGTCCGGGGCCCATGAACCATGCAACGGCGACTGACTCGGCCGTGTCCAGACATAGACGATATTGTAAAGTATGAGACGGCCAGACCAAAGCAGACAAGGCATTACATAACCCTGCGAGTTGAACAAAAGACAGTAGATGATCGCTCTAGATCGTCGGCGGATGAGGCGTCCATGGCCGTTGAAAGATCAACGAAAGGGAGGCGGAAGAGGAACGGAAAGGAAAAACTGTCCGGAAGCGGCAACGCCTTGGCCTTCACACCGGACCAATCACAGTTGGGTATGGTGGGCTTCACCCAAGACGACTTCATCAGGCCTTCATCAGCTCGTTGAACTATTCCTCTACAGGGTTTGCATGGTCAAGTGGTAGCCAGTCGTGTTCAGTCCTGTCAATTCTTGTCAGGGTTGTTGACTGGACAGAAATAAAACTTGAACCGTGCAAAGCTTCAGCTTTTCTCGTCGCTATACGACTTTACCTTTGGTGGTCAATCGATGGCCTGTGCTAGCTGATGCAACCGTTTAACCTTCTACTAGATTGGAAACGCTCAGATCATTCCTTGCCTCGACCACATGACCCGTCAGCCAGAACATAGGTCGATTTTTCATGTTGCCCTCGAAAATGGATGATGCTACATGTTGGTTAATGTTTATATCGTGGCATGCGTGGTTCCCGTCACGGGGGGGGGGTGCTCACGGACTGAGTGGACCCCTTCTGGAAAAAGCTGTGACATGTTCTAGTCGATGCTAATTGCCCACAGTGTACTGAGTATGTTGAATCTCTGTCGGTGACATCGCGGGACGTCTATGAACAATACTTCCTCTGACCAGTGATGAGCACAAAGGGGATACTCCTGACCTCGCCTTGTCCCGGTCCTGGCTTGCCCCCGATGAATTCTCCTTCAAACTTTTCCACCATTTTGTCCATAGCCCAGGCCCGCTCGACTTTGACGTTGACGAAGCCAACCTTGTTCATGAGTTTCTCCATTGTATCGATGTGAATGCCATGTCTTGCGACACCCTCCAGCTTGGCTTGAGGGTGGAAGGCCTTTGCTTCTGGGCCATAGTCTTCAAAATCGGTCAAAGCCACCATGCCACTATCATTTAGACATCCGAGCATGGTGGTCAGAAGTCCCTCCAAATCAGGGACATGGTGTAAAACGAGATGTGAGGTGATTAAGTCAAACTTCAAACGTGCACCGTCAGGGGAGTCTTTATTCGCTGGAGGAAGCGAGGGATCCTCGGGGTCCGTTAGTAGGACCGCTACTGGAACAATATTGTCAGGAGAGTTTGGTGCTTTTAACTTCGTTTTGAGAACCTCGATCATGCCAGGAGCTGCATCAATGGCGACCACTTGTTTGGCCAACGGAGCCGTCATGAAGCTTAACAGTCCCGTACCACATCCGATCTCGAGGACGTTGAGGCCGGTCGATCCAGCTGCGGGCCTCAAAGCGGGGAACCGTTGATTGATGGCCTTCAAGGCGTGCTTGCTCGCCTCGTGGACGAATGGATTACTGTCCCAACTGGCCGCCTCAGAATTGAAACGTTCATTCCCAGACGCAGCATCGAGGGACGACGCAGCAGTGGCCATGATCTTGGTTACTTCTGACTGAGGCAAGTGACTTTGCTGGCTGAGGGTTGGAAGGTTTGTTGAGTTGGTGGCACGGATCAGGTAGCTCTGAAAGCCTGCTTTGATTGAGAAAGGTGGTGAGATCTAGCTCGATTAGCATGCCACGTTTTAGCTTCCACGCGCATATCAGCGCAACGTGCTCGTCCCGGTGCCAAGTAGAGGTCATGACTTTTGGAGAGGGAGTTCGTCTCCAGATTCTCCAACTTGGCCAAACCTCGGATACAGGCTCCAGGCGGAAGACCGCCGAACAATCTCCACCCACTAGATGGGAATGTTGTCTTCTAATGGAAGTTTCTCGTGGCGCAAGTCTCGAACCTTGGTTACCGCTATTGAATTTCAACGTGGAAAAAAACGTGAAAACGTGGTCAGATCAATAGTATGGTGATCATGACGTGGAACATGTCAGTATGGAAAACTCAATGAGATGGGTCTACTTAGGCATGATAATTCGGTACTTCTAAGTTGTACCTGTTCATGCCTCGAAGAATCGGAGGCGTCACGGTGGAGGGCGGCTAGAGTGAGCAGGAACGTCTACTACAGGAGATGAAATCCAGAAAATTCCTGTGTGGTGTTTATCCTTTTTATCATTGTCCAAGCTGCAAACTGCGTTTCTTATGTAGTTCAAGATCGTGGATTGGATTCGTTTCGTGATTGCCTGATGAACAAATGATGCCATCGCCCAGGATCACGTGTAACCAAAGAGAGAGGCAGGAGCAAAGAACGAAGGCGTGCCTTCCTAACTTTCAACTACCTCGGGTCAATCGTGCCTTCCGCTTCTTGTTCACCGAGAATCTTACGTGTCCAACCCTAACAACGCGTTTCCGACGCATCTCCTCCCCAGTTCCCAATTCCCCGCGTTTTGCTCTTGTCGTATAACCGAGACTGAGATTCAAGCAAGATGAGACATGATCATTGTCGATGCTGATCAGGTAGGTTCTCGTATTGATGCTGTGTTGAACGAATCTTTGATGTTGTCTACCTTGATCTCCATTTTTCAGCCGCCCACAACCCATCATGGCCACTCTCACAGGTGCAAAAGTCATCGCCCAAGCTTTACATGACTTAGGCGTCACAGTACTTCATACCCTCGTCGGCATTCCAGTCGCTGACATTGCCGAAGAAGCCATTGATTTGGGTATCCGCGTCATAGGATACAGGAATGAACAAGCCTGTAGCTATGCTGCTTCCGCCTATGGTTACCTGACTGCTCGCCCTGGAGTCTGTCTGCTCACTGGTGGACCTGGAATCCTGCATGGTATGGCCGGAGTATGTCTAACCCATCAAGTTGTCTTACTGAACACAAGGGCACAATACTGAACCAACATCATTGACAGATAGGAAATGCTTCAGCAAATGCCTTTCCCCTTCTTGTTCTGGGAGGTTCCTCCGAATCCATTTCCGTCACCAAAGGTGGCTTCCAAGAACTCGATGCCGTCGCCTTGCTCACTCCACACACCAAAACTGCCATTCGACCATCATCTCCAGATCCTACTGCAATTGTCGAGGCCATTCGAACAGCATATCGCATCGCCTGGTATGGACGGCCTGGTCCCACCTTTGTTGACCTCCCTACCGACCTCATCATGGAACCCTCACCGACCAAACGATCAATTGACCAACCAACCATCGCTGTCTCTCCTCCACCAAAGCCTGCTGCTGCCGCCGATGTGATTACCTCTGCTGCCCGTCTACTCAAGTCCTCATCTTCGCCTCTCGTGATCGTGGGCAAAGGCGCTGCATATGCTCGAGCCGAGTCCACTATCCGCTCACTTGTCTCCACCCATCATATCCCTTTTCTCCCAACTCCAATGGGCAAAGGTATTGTCCCAGACTCACATCCACTCAACACCAGTTCTGCTCGGTCCGCAGCTCTCAAACATGCCGATGTCATCCTACTGCTTGGTGCTCGTCTGAACTGGATCCTCCATTTCGGCCAAGCCCCAAAATATCGGCCAGATGTCAAAATCATCCAAGTTGATATCTCCCCTGAGGAGTTGGGTCGGGCAAACTCGATAGGTGAACCGGCAATAAGCATCTTTGGCGACATTGGGCTTGTCATCGACCAATTAAGGGCGGAATTGGGAACCTGGAAGGCGCTGCCTCAACCAACATTCAATGCTGGGGCCACAAATATTCGCAATGATGCCACTGCATCCTATGTTCGCTTGCTTTCCCAATCGGCTGCAAAGAACGAAGCCAAATCGAAAAAGGCCGCCATGAAAGTGACCCCATCAGGAGGCTCGTTGACATACGAGAGAACATACCACATCATCAAGTCGGTTCTCGATCGTCTTTCTCCCCCAGACAATGGTGACATCGTGTATTTGTCAGAAGGTGCAAACACCATGGACATTTCTCGGTCTTCATTTTCTTTAGAACATGCTCGTCAACGTCTGGATGCAGGAACCTGGGGCACGATGGGCGTAGGGCTCGGGTACGCCATCGCGGCCTGGAGTGCACATAACATCCCTCAGCATAGGAAAAAGATCATCTCCCTGGAAGGCGACTCTGCCTTAGGATTTTCCGGCATGGAGATTGAGACCATGGCTCGCCACCGTATGGATATTGTGGTGGTGGTGATGAATAATTCGGGTATCTACAAAGGCGATGCAAGCTCTTCCAAACAATGGAAGGCAATGCAAGACACCATGTCATCTGGTGATGCAGCCACCACCGACAAGCTACAACGAAGTAAAAGCTTACGGTCAACGAGTTTGCTATACGAAACAAGGTATGAGCATCTAGCTGAGATGGTAGGTGGTAGGGGATTTCTCGTCAGAGATGAAAAGCAATTGGAGCATGCGACGAGAGAAGCATTCCTCGAGAAAGAACGAGTTCCCTGTGTGATCAATGTCATTATCGATCCGGGTCTGGATATGCATGCAAGTTTTGGATGGTTGGAAACCAAAGAGAAGCACGGAGGTGGCGAGAGCAAACTATGAGATCAAGTGTGGAGGGATTGAACTGGTATTTCCCGTTGCTGAAGAATCTATTTTGTCTCGGCCAGCCTCGACATCCAAGGGCCATGTCATTGATCTGAGGCAATCCTCCCATTATCATCATTCTTGTAGCAGATTATCCAATGGAACCAGCCAATCGGCCACGTATGACAACTCTGTCCTGATTTGAACGTCCAACCTTGAAGCTCATCATCTGAGACACGACTTCGTAACAAGGCCTTGACCTCATTCGGGGTTCGGGTACGCAGACAGGAGATATATCCATCATAGACCCAGATGAGCGGAACAATGGGCACAAGATATGTGAAGAAGAGATGGCCCAGGGAGTTGCCAAAGTAGAACGGAGTAATAGCCATAGCGAGCGGCCACAATAGGGTAATGGTGATGAAGGAGGACAAGTGTCGAGACTGAAGCTCGAAGATACTAAACCGGAGGACGTCAATTAGTACCACAGCCGGCAGGGGGAGATAATCACATACCAGAACCCATCTGAAGTCTTGACCGTATTCTCCAAAACCTTTACCGCCAGATCGTCATCAAAATGATGAAACGCCAAACTAAACAACCTCATGACTTTTTTCTTTTTCTTTTCCACCCTTCCTCCCGCCACACAATCCAACAACTCACTCGCCTCAGGCGCATCCGTCGCATCCACACTCTTCCTCACATAAGCCACATTATCCGATTTCTTGGTAATAGCTTCCCATGCCGAAACATGGGGATTAATATCAGTAAGGACGAATTGAACTGGATCCTGATCCTGATCCTGATCCTGGTTCTTCCTCTGGCTTTGACGTTGACGTTGACGCTGATCTCGTAACGTTCGATTTAGGTGTTGTTCGATATATGGAGTGGGTCCACCGGCTCCAGATGCGAAATCAACATAGACGTATTCGCCCACTCGTGAGAGACCGAGAACTTGAGTGAGGATTTGTGCGGCGAGGGCAGCGGGTGTGATGCTTTGGATGATGGGGAAGCGATTCGTCCAGCCTAATGTTAGGTAATCTTGGACTTTTTCGCGGAGATACGGTGGGAACCTGTAGGTGGACGGATGGATGAATTGTTGGATTTCTTGTGGAAGAAGGGGCGGGGAGGGGGGAAGGGTATGTATATAGCTTACCATGGTTGGTCGTTGACTTCGAAGAAATGTCTTCTTGAACAGAGAACACGTTCGGCTCCATCGTTGTTGTTCGTGGTGGTTCTGGTGGTGTCTGACCAGCCTGATGTTGAGGTTGATGCCATTCTGTCCTTGGGTGGCCGTGTCGTCGTCAAGCTTATCAGGATAGCTCTGACCTCAAGCTACTAGTAAGCACGCACTTCTGACCTCTCTCACCGGTTGTCAACACAGTAGATGAACTCGTAGAGTCATCATGGAAACATGGTGGGCGATGGATGAAAATCAAAGGTGGTACATACTCAGGTCTTGTGTCTCGTGAAGTTTGGCGGTATTGGTCGACGTCATTTTAATTTGCATGTCGCTAAATAAATATTACGAGTGTCAGCTTACATCTGCATATCAAACTGGACAAATATATAATTTCTCAATATCAATATCAAACTCAGGTTACACATATCTACATAGTACTGTACCTATCGACTCCTCCATCTGATACTCAATCTACCTAATAATCTAGGTACTTACTCACAGTTAACGCAACATACATCCTCGCCTCTCACAAAGCCCCCCCCTCCCTCCACCATGTCCACAATCCTCCACTACACATCCAACCTAGGTTTCCTCCTGCACATCATCTTCGAACTCCCCGCATGTATACAATTCTTCATGTTACCCTCACGACAATTAGGAATCTACACTCCACATGCACATGCACTTATGCGACAATACGCCGTTTTACTCTTTTCATCCGTTCTGATCGCCGGTATCTTTGTCACTCGTCCACCCAGTGAAGTCTCTGCTCAATGTGCGGGTGCTTTGGCGACATATCACGTGGCGCCGGCATTACGATCTATTGCTAGATTACAGAGGCAGATACAGTCGAAACAGGCGGTTTTGATTTCAGAGGCTATGCTGTTTCTCGTGGTTCATTCGGTCTGTGGAGTGTTCTTATTCGATCATATCTGGACCGCTATACAAGTTCCATAGGCCCCAGGCCCCAAGGGGCCTCAAGAAATGGGGAGGTGCGTCCCGACCGAAACCACCTTCTCTTCTCAATCGACATCTTCAGCAACCAATGTCTCTGCCGGACTCTCAGAACCACTGGCTATGGTCTTCCTATGTCTCTTAAACATCATCATTTCCACAGCGATGCCTGGTCCAAATGCACAACCTACAATATGGTCGGTGGTCTGTCCTTCTAAGAGTCGACTCATGACGCTAAAGATGGTCGCGCTCGAGCTGTTGCCATGTGAGATGTACGTCTCATAACTTGCTCGGAGGTGTTCTGGAGTCAGATGCATGACCTTTTCAATCCCCGACATGATGGTCGCTCCACCGGGGTGCAATGCCCAGTCGTAGTCGGATGCTTTGTATTTGCTCTGGTCGACCAGTTCGGGGATCCGACTCACGAGTTCCTCGAAAATGCAAGGAACAGCGTCTGACGTTAGTGCCGGAACTCGTTGTGTGAGGACTACCTTCCAGCCTGGAATCTTTGTCAATGATCGGACACAGGAAGCGAAACAGGAAACTCACCCAAAGGATCTACATCGAACCCCAAATCCTTTTCGGTATTCTCGATGATACGATGATCCCAGTCAAGGAGTTCGAGAACAGGCTCCTCGTCGAAACGGTCGCTGTAACCATTGCCCAGCACTAGAGCAGACGCACAGTCACTGAAGAGGGCAACGCCAATTCTGATATCCTGGTCTTTGTGGATCGATTCCAGCTCGGATCGCACAAAGGAGCTCGAAATCTCACAGGCCAGCACCAAGATCCTGGCAGGTTTCTGACGGAAACTGGAGCCCAGGGCAATATTGGCTGCCGTTCGTAACGCGGCGAGACCTCCTGAACAGCCCACGCCGTGTAGCAGGACTTTCTCGATATTCTGATTTATACCGAGGGCTTTGATCACGTGGTGATCGTAACCTGGATTGGCCGAATTGGTGCATGTGGTCGCAACCACATGAGTGATCTCTGAAATGTCACCGCCCCATTGGTCCAAAGCCTTGCGACAAGCGGCGACAGAGAGTTTCACTCCATGGTCGAGGAATAGTTCTGATAGTTCGGCGATGTTGGGAGGCTCAGGGCGATTGACAATCGGGTGGTCTATCGTGCCAATGGCAGAGCGTGTATCAATCCCCGTGTATTCATTGATGAAGAGCACTTTCTCGAGTCTCCAGTGGTTTGTCAGTACTTGTGTGATTCACGGGGTCGGTCCTCTGGGAGCCAATTAAACTTACGCTGGAGTGCTAGGATAATGCCGACGAGCAAGAGTTGCCAATTCTTCTGGCTTGAGCTCAAAAGGAGGGTATTCGACTCCTATCCCATGTACATGCAAATCTGGTCTCTGGTATGGCGGGGTGACCTTTTTCAGATCTGAACGGAGGGACATGTCTTGACAGAAGAGAAACACCACATGAAAATAACAAGGTCAAAATTAATGTGTCCAGATAGAGGAGTATAGCAAGCGATTGATTTAATCAGGTTCAGTAATGCTGTGCTTTGCCGTGCTGGCTGTACTTTGCTTGACTGAAGAATGAATGATGATGATGATGATGTTGGCTTGGGCGCATGGGAGATGAAACGCTGCCGAGGTGCTTGGGGTTAGTGTAGGTGGTTGTCAGTGTCAGCGTCGCCGTCAGTCAATCAGTCTTTCTGTTGGGATTCGCCTGTGGTGCTGAACAACGAGGGTGAAACGGGTAGCCAGTTAGAGATTCAGCTAGAAAGCGATCGTGGTAATGAAGGGCTTGGATAGATTGGAACAGATGGTCTCTCACCATAAAGTGGTCAGGTCTTGCGACAAAGCACGATCTAAAGGTGTCGACGAGTATGTCAAGCGGATGGATGTGGTGCCATGGCCGATCTGTACTCGTACGCACATGCTGACTCTTGACGTAGTATATCGCCAGTGGCCCGGGGATTTCCTGGACCCAAATGTGACCCCTCGACCCCCGCAGGTTTCGCAGTCGAGTAATTGTTGGGGTGCGAGATTACGTTGCATGGTAAGATGTAGCCGGAAGATCCACGAATCATAGACACGGAGATTCCAATCCCAATACCCAGAGACTGATAGTGGGGGGGAAGGAGGGATCCCTAGGGGCTCTTTAGGTGTGGTTAGGGCGCCGCGGGCTAGCCTTCGACTTGTTTTGGGGGGTGACTTGGGGCACTAGCCTCCCTAATCAGTCATTCTAAGTAAGGAAAGGACGCTTACCACTTGCTCAAAGAACACTCTCTATCTCTCCATCGTACGTAAGGTACTCTGTTGCATATTGCCACCTCACCCAACCCACATCTCTCATCCTCTCTGTCCTACACTTCAGATAAATCCTCGTCCAGTACCCCATAAATGCATCTTGAGCACTTCAATCGCCTGGAGCCATCATGACCCAATAATCCCCAAACGTGCAAGGCGGAATGCATCCAACAATGGCTTGATCCTTGGGAAGGACTTGGCCTATTCCAAGCACAATGATCACCTCATCCTTCCTGTGGACGGGGGCATTGGCAGCTTTTGTCTTTCTGGTCTACTTCTCTCAGGCCCGGACAAGAGTACATCGGGATGGTAAGAAGTTGAGGTAGGTCTTGACATTCTCAGAAGCCCTATTCCCCACGGTGACCTGACCTAACCACCATCATCAGACGACCACCCAATACTCTTCCCCTCCTAGGCAATGCCATTCACTTTCTCAAACCACGACACCAACTTTTCTCTTGGTTCGTCAAATGCCAGAAGCTCTTCGGCCATGAGACCTTTGAGATCTCCGTCCCTTCTCTCCCTCCTGGGGTCGTCATCAACAGTCCAGACAATCTCGAATATGTCTTGAAGAACGAAGCCAACATCACAAAAGGCGACTTCTTCACCGATCGATCATGGGATCTTTTTGGTACAGCAACACCACCCCACCGATCTGCTTCCATCCACAACCGTATGACTAACTTTAGAAAATCAAGGATATGGCATCATTAATGCCACGGGGGATTTGTGGAAAGCCCAGCGTAAAGCAGGTCTAAAGTTCTTTGGTGGTGCCACCCTAGACTCTATGATCGAGGATGTCCTTCCAGAAGTCTATCACTCCGATTCAGGGATGCAAAGACTGCTTTCCCAGGCTGCTGAGGACAACACTGTCGTCGATCTGCAGAAACTCTTTCTCGACTTGACCACGACCGTTGTGGGTTATATGGCGTATGATGTGAGTATTCATTTGCTCCCTTCAACTCTCACCTCCGTCATATCGAGAGCTAATTAACACCAGCTCTAAGATGGAAATACCACCCGACCACCCCTTCAGCGTGGCATTCGACCATGCCTCTAACAACATCGGCCTGCGTTTTCAAAACCCTCTTTGGAGACTCACCGAGATCTTCACCGGGGGGGCCTTCCGTGCCTCACTCCGAGAAGTCAAGCAATTCGGACGACACATCATACTCAACGCACGCAAAAGACGAGCTCGCACAGCATTCGAAAGCCTGATCACAGAGGCGGACGGAGGTCCTCCTGGCGATGGTCTTGGTTCAGGATTTGGTACCCTCATTGACAGCTTGATTGAGAGCTTTCCCAACCCGACAATCGTGGCCGATGCAGCATTGAACTTTCTCAGCGCTGGCCGTGATACAACCGCCCAGAGTCTGACATGGACCATGTACGCACTGTTGCGCAATCCAGAAATTCTACCTCAACTTCACACCGAAATCGACAAAGTCTTCGATCCTTTCCAAACTCCTCCTTCCTCTCCGTCGTCCGAACATATTCCCCATGTCGAGCAATCTGCGCCTGACTCCACAACTATCGAAGACGATTTAATAACGACCCCACCCGCCATCACAATGTCTCATCTTCAACCTGCCTCTCTCCCCACTTTATATTCCATCTTCTATGAATCTCTCCGCCTGTACCCACCAATACCCTTCGAAATCAAACAGACCCTTGCCCCATTGACTCTCCCCGACGGAACCTTTCTTCCCAAGGATGCCGTTGTCGTCTGGTGTATCTGGGCACTAAACCGGTCCACATTGACCTTTGGACCCGACGCCGAATCGTTCCGCCCCGGACGCTGGCTCGATGATTCAGGAAAACGACTTGTTAGAAGATCCGAGGCTGAGTTCCCAGTCTTCAACGGCGGGCCGCGTGCCTGCTTGGGTAAGAAGATGGCAGAAGTTATGGTATGTTGGGTTCTGGGCACCGTTCTGGCAGAGTTTGAATTTGAGCTTGAGGACGAACTCGAGAGGGAGGCAGATAAGGATCAGTCTGCGACGAATCGTACGAATGGTCAAGAGAGGACCAGCGCAAATAGTCTGACCTTGCCCATGTTGGATGGCTTACCGGTTCGAGTGCGCCGGCGTCATTGAGATATGATCTAGAACCGGTCTGAGAAAAAGACAACTTAATGCTATGGTCACGTTGTGCAGGTCTCTAGAGAACAAGAGAAGAAAATGGATGCAATGCAATCATGAGGAAAGACTGGTTTGATAGGGTTCGAACGATACAAGGAGCTTCTCACTTGGAAGGAAGATGACTATAAGTACTTAGTTCAGGACCACCTATGGAGACATTGCGATAGAGACATCTAGTTGAGCAAGATCCCTTCACTTGTCTCACTCCTTGTTCTACAGTGACTTCCTAAGTATGTCATGGCTAGTTGGTTGGTAGGTACAAAGCAAGGAACTCCAATCGCAATGATGTAAAGTTACGTTAAAGTAGACCATGTCCATGTCCATGTTACGTTCCTGTTCATGTCCATGTCCATGTCCAAACGCCTATCATCATACCTCTTCATCAACGTCATGGTCAGCCACACTCTCATAAGCCATGCCTCTCGTTCTACTCCCACCACCTCTCAACCTCAACGGTACATCGTACAGACGTGTATAATCGACAATCTCACCACCAAGATACCCCTCGCCATTATTTCTCTTCCCAAACAACGGGGCCGGATCCATCCAGAAATCGCGACAATTGCCAATACAACCGCGAGAGAACGGGTTTCTATTGCGGGACTGCAACGTCCCCTGGGATGCATCTGACGCAGTGGCCAAAAACGCATCTAGACCAATCAACTTCTTCCACCGCGTGAGACATCCATCTGGTCGGCGAGGGATGGGGTCGATTCGTGTAGATGCGGCGGCTGTGTCGTTGAGGGAAGTAGTTGCTGATGTTGCGCCTTGGGTGATTTGATGGCGGTGTTGGGGGAGAATAGGACGTGGTGAAGATGAATTTTCGTGACGTTTCATGTTTTCATACGTCGTTTGGTTTTTGGATATTTGTACAGACTGAACCACGATCAACATGGTGACCCAGATCAGTTGCAGACACGCCCACACTGTTAAGGCGACGGTCCAGGGATCGCGGAGGACGAAGCTGCAGATCGATGGGGTCAGGATGTTGCATTGGGCGGCCACTTCGTCTGCAGGTGCGGGAAGGAGGGGGAGGTAGCTGAGTACCAGGCGCACGTAGACGATGATTCCAACCTCGAGACTGAGGATGTAGATGTAAAAGTGCCGGAGGTTGTTGTTTCCCACACAGTTGTGGATCCATGGACAATGGTGGTCCTGTTTCGCCACGCAACGATTGCATCTTCGGCAGTGTTTGGATCTTAGAGGTTTGCGGACCATGCACTGCACGCAGAAATTGTCTTCGTCGAATTTCCAGAGGGAGAATAGCTCTTCGATGACAGCGCGTTGTTGGTTCCGAGATGCCAGTTTCGGTACATACCCTGGGTCGGAGTGCATGGCTGTAAAATAGAAATATGAGGTGCTTGCAAACGCCAGGGCGAAAATGAGGGATGAGAAAGGACTTGTCGAGAATGTGGTTGGTAGGATCGAAGTCACAAAGTCGAAGCCGATCCAGAACAGAGTGGCAGCGAATATGCCTGCCAAGTAAGGAGTCTTGTGAATGACATGAAAGTCGGGAGGCCCAAGCCTGGCAATCCGTTGAGCAAGGTATTGCAGTCCCAAGCATACAACCAAGAAGACCGGTCCTCCAATGTAGATTTCGAAATGCGTGATAAGGTACAAGCCAATCGGCAGGATTAGAAAGGGGTATAAGAAGAAAAACTTGGACATTTTCGAGCGGTCGCGCACAACGGTGTGTAGATTCAGTGGGAGAGTTTTGATGTTGCCAGTCGCATCATATCCGTGATCGGCTAGGGCACGTATATACGGTCTTTTGGTGCTCATTTCTTCGGCACATACGGCGGGAGTCTTGCCTTCGTTCGTTTTGGCGAATCTATCGGCGCCATATTCAATGATTTTGTCCAAGCAGGGCTTCGAGCCTTTAACCAGCGCCCAGTGCAGTGGAGTATATCCGTTGTCATCTGCCGCATTGACATTGGCTCCCCAACGTAGAAGTAAGTCGACACAAGCTGACCATCCTTTGTACCCAGCCCACATCAGGCTGGTATGTCCTTGGGGATCGGGGATGTCCACGGGAATGTTCTGCTGAAGGAGGAGGATTAGGAGCAAGGCGTTTCCGTCAATGGTCGCTAGATGAAGAATGTTGTAACCTTGGCCATCTGTCAGTAAAGGGTCGGCGCCGTTTTGCAACAGAAGATGAACGATGTAGAAGTGGCATCGTTGCGCCGCCCACATCGCTGCCGTGGCATTGGACTCTCCTCCTTTGACGTTGACGTCTGCACCTTGTTCGACCAAGTATTTGCAGACCAAGTATTGGTTGTTGATAGCAGCCCAATGTAAAGGAGTGATCCCGTCTTCATCTTTATGTTTTGCATCATATTTCCCAGACTGGAACATTTTCTGGATGTGTTCGAGAGCGCCGATTCTTGCGCATTGCATGATATCCTCCTCTAGAGGTATCTGGGTGGCTTCCGCTTGACCATTCTGCATTGGCCCGAGTTCGACATCCTCTGAGGTCAGCTGGGGTGAGGCAACATTGGCTTTCGATGTGGGAGGGTGGGAAGGTCTTTGGAGTTCAGTCGAAGACATGGTGGAGAGGTGATCTGGGCTTCGATGATCATGAAAAGAAGCATGCCGCTGAAAGGAACATGACACAGGGATGGGCCCAAAATTTGTGGAATTCGAGGGACCGGAGAAAATGGTCACAGGCACCTCCTAGGCTCCTCTCGTAACTCCTGGGATTTTGTTTAAGTTGCGTTGCGATCCTTCAGGAAGGTTGGTTGCACAGCCGCAAGTAATCGTAGGCTCTAAGGAGCCCAGTAGTGAGCGTGCGCCTGCAGAATCCCCTGTCAACCGTGACAGCCTGGCGCAGATGACAAAAGTTCGAGGCTGCTTTACACCTTTGGGCCACGTAAGGGTTTGTTTGTTTGGAGATATCCCTAGCGACTTGAGCTAACGATTAATGGGTGAAAAACCAGCATTCTAGCTGACACTAAAATACTAGGGCAATCACCTCCGTATTCGCACCTATATAGTCACGTGAATTTCTCCGCCAAGGCTCTGCTAGCGTCAATTCCTGAATTGAACTCGAAGCTCCTTCAATCTTCAACTCCCGATTCTCAAAGCATCTACATTCGATCAATCTCCCCTCCTCCTCCACTCCATCTCATCGCTCCTCTGCTTCTCGGAAGGCTTTTGTTCTAGCTTCACGAGTAGGCAAGATGATGTCAAGAAACCTTCTGCGCCAATCCGGCCGCCTTGCCGGTGCTGTCACGGCCTCCGGTAGAATAGCTTCGGTAAGCTCCATTTCCTGCTCAACCTATTCAAAAGAGCTTCAAACCACCTCGCAAGCACCTGCATGAGCTGCAAGAATCCTCTTCGAAGCTCCAACAGTGATCTAGAGGCCTTGAAAACCCTTATCCAACGTGACCAGACCACTGATCAAATATTTTTCCAGACCCGCGTGGTTGCCCCCTTCAACGCGGCCACCAAACAGATCCGATCATACGCCGCCGATGCCAAAGCCTCCCCCACTGAAGTTTCCTCAATCCTCGAGCAGAGAATCCGTGGTGTTCAGGAAGAAGCTGGTCTTGCCGAAACTGGCCGTGTCTTGTCCGTCGGTGACGGTATCGCCCGTGTCCATGGTTTGAGCAATGTCCAAGCCGAAGAGTTGGTTGAGTTCTCTTCTGGTGTCAAGGGAATGTGCATGAACTTGGAAGCTGGCCAAGTCGGTGTTGTGCTCTTCGGTTCCGATCGTTTGGTCAAGGAAGGTGAGACTGTCAAGCGTACTGGCCAGATTGTGAGTATACCCTTGGAGCTACCACATTATTCGATATACGACTAATAACATCTAGGTCGATGTCCCCGTCGGCGAGGCCATGCTTGGTCGTGTCGTTGATGCTCTCGGTAACCCCATCGATGGAAAGGGTCCCATCAAGACCGATAAGCGATCCCGAGCTCAACTTAAGGCCCCTGGTATCCTTCCCCGACGATCCGTCAACCAACCTGTACAGACTGGTCTCAAATCTGTCGACGCCATGGTACCCATTGGTCGTGGCCAGCGTGAGTTGATCATTGGTGATCGTCAAACCGGAAAGACTGCCGTCGCTCTTGATGCTATGCTCAACCAAAAGAGATGGAACAGCAGCAACGATGAGACCAAGAAACTCTACTGCGTCTATGTTGCCGTTGGACAAAAGCGATCCACTGTTGCCCAGCTCGTCAAGACCCTTGAGGAGAATGATGCTATGCGTTATTCCATCGTCGTTGCTGCCACTGCTTCTGAGGCCGCTCCTCTCCAATACATTGCTCCTTTCACCGGTATGTTGACCTTGAAATACTTCTCATCTGCTAACTTCTTCTGTAGGCACTGCTTTGGGGGAGCACTTCCGTGACAACGGCAAGCATGCCTTAATTATTTATGACGATCTTACGAAACAAGTAAATTTTGTCCATATCACTGTTTTCTTGTATTACAATACTGACTACCGACGCAGGCCGTGGCATACCGTCAGATGTCACTCCTATTGAGACGACCACCTGGTCGTGAGGCCTACCCGGGTGATGTGTTTTATCTTCACTCTCGATTGTTGGAACGTGCTGCCAAGTTGAACGACAAGCATGGAGGTGGATCTTTGACGGCTCTACCCGTCATTGAGACTCAGGGTGGTGATGTGTCTGCTTATATTCCCACCAACGTCATTTCCATCACCGATGGCCAGATCTTTTTGGAAGCCGAACTTTTCTACAAGGGTGTCCGACCTGCCATCAACGTCGGTCTTTCCGTCTCTCGTGTCGGCTCCGCTGCTCAGCTCAAGGCCATGAAGCAGGTCGCTGGTTCCCTGAAACTCTTCTTGGCCCAATACCGAGAAGTCGCAGCTTTCGCCCAATTCGGCTCTGATTTGGATGCTGCCACTAAGCAAACCTTGAACCGTGGTGAACGTCTGACCGAGCTGCTCAAGCAGAAGCAATACTCACCTATGGCTGTCAACGAAATGGTTCCTCTGATCTACGCTGGTGTCAACGGTCACTTGGACAGTGTGCCCGTCGCCAAGATTCTGCAGTGGGAGTCTGATTTCCTCGCCCACCTCAAGTCTGACCAGCAAGAGCTGTTGGCCAGAATCGATAAGGAAGGTCAGCTCAGCAAGGATCTCGAGGCTCAATTGAAGGATGTGGTTGTCTCTTTCACCAAGACCTTCACCTCATAGGTATGCTAGCTCGTACTCTAGGTATTATCTATCATACTGACCGAGACAGACGTGGAGAAGTTCCAAAAAAGAATCGCTTGTACAAATCTCCGGCTTGATTGAAGATGGACTTCGAATGCTCCCCTAGCGACATCTACAGAGCGATGCTGCCAACATGTGCAAGATGGGCCTGCGGAGTAGTTTAGGAAGTGTCGTTGTGTATTTAGATACATCCTCCCAATCCTCAATCAATTTCATATGTTACTGATGTGCATGTGGTGCTATCTTGATGTTGTGGACGCCTAAGTCAAGTAGAGAAGTCGATGGGAAAGGCTGAAGCCCTAAGCAGTCTGGAGAGATGGCTGGCATGGTCCTATCCCAATCATTTCGGGTGAGCATTAACTCGACCAGCGGAAAATGTCTCTCAAATGCATAGGTCTGTGCATGCAACTTGATTCGATCATGAGGTGCCTCGTGACAACACCGCTCTTCAATTTTGATATCGACACATTCCTGGCCCACCACAGCAATCGTTATCTTGATTGTTCCGAGACAAAATACCCGATAGAAACCCCGGCGTTTTCCTGGAGTATAACTAACCCTACAACCACCAGAGTCCCTCTAGACACTCGAATGGCCGCCTCCATCTCATCATTCAAGCAGCATATACACTCATGTAAGTCGCTTAGAATTGGGATCATTGAGGCAAACATGTCTTGGCGGCTCAAGTGTTGGCAAACAATTGGCGACTTGTGGAACTGATTTATTACTTGGTTCACGCCGATGATATCTAGATCCTTACCCCTGTCTTCTGCAGAAGGAGCTGAGTTGCTAGGCAGATCTCATTGGCAGTCGACACGCAGTACGGCTCTAGGTGTCACACCGGTCCTAAAGCGAGGTCTGAATTACCACTTTTCACCACGGGTTCCTGCGGCTGAATCATGTCTCTCGCCGTACCAATCATGGAGGATCGAAACTGGCCCAATAACGTTGGAGAGAGAGAAAATTGTATTTTACCTGCAGCAGTCGTGTCCACCGATGACAGGCCAGACAGGGTTCGGTTGTTTGGTACTTGCTCCATGGGATGTAGATATCCTCCAACGATGTGGACATCCTCCAGCAGCTGGCCGCGAATTTCCTTAGGCAGACGCCATTACCATGTTGTTCGAGGAAAATACAGCAACTCGTCAAGCCCATGTTTGACAGTATTGACCTTCAAAATGTAGCATAAGTGGACGCCTTCACGAGCTCATCCAGCACAAGATCGACAAGTCTTTCTCTTCTCGATCCTTGCCTTTTTTCGCTAGGACTAAAGCTCCGGGAAACACAATCAAGGCTAGTCTATTCTCATGGCTTCCTGGGGCATTCACACTCCCACCTCGGGCTTTTCAGGGAGGCAAGGAAGAGGAAGCAGCTGGCGTGGAGGAAGGGGAGGGGACAGAGGAGTACGCGGCAGGGGTTCAACAGAACAACGACCGTGTCGACACTTTTCGACTGGGCGGTGCAGATATGGCTCAGACTGCCATTTCTCTCACGACCTTTCCGCAGACAACAATGGTGAGCGTTGGAGGCAAGAGCGATCAGAACGGCCTGAAGAATCTGTTGAACAAATGAAGGCTAAAGATAACTACCTGTCTTGGAAAAGGATCCTCAAGTCTCCATATCGAATATATGACGAGACTTCCATGTCAGCCCTATGGAACGGGGCACTCACCATATTGAACGGAGATGAACGAGAGTGGAAACAAATGGTCCCGAGGGACCTGGATAACGAAGAATATTTTGGTCGTGATCATATGAGGCAGTTGATGAGCACACGAGTACAATCCGGCGCCTTTGACTCATTCCTTCGACAAATACAACCATTCCTCCTGGTTATAACACACTCCTCTTTCCTCGACTGTCTCTCTGTCGACACCTTCGTCGGCGGGCTATACAACTTCATTGGGGGCACAAATGGCACACGGGCAGTCCCTTTCTTCCAGCATCTTTGTGAGAACTTGGTCCTCGCTCATGTTGAGGAGACCTCTCTGACTGGACCTGCAACCATCGAAACAACCTTGATCGCGGCATCGATCACCCTCCGCGAACTTCTGAGAAGAGAGTCAAGGGCTAGATTCAATGATGACCTCGAAGGTCTCATCGGCTCCATAGAGAATGCGGTCCATCTGATCAATGGAGACGGTCCATCCCACATGACAGCCCTGGTCACGAGCCATATTAGAGAAATGCGTGCGATGATAGCTCGTGCGAGAGGCTTGTTGGCCCCGGAGCAAGAACCACAGGAAGCACATGCCGGGATCATGGCTACGTCAAGATATCCTCGTGTCATGGACATGCCGCGAGACCGTCACGACAACGATAAGGCAGATATCATGAAAATCAAGATTTTTCCAACTCGTGAGGAAATTGTGACTGACGAACCTGACTTCTTACCGTCGACCGACCGAGACGAACCTTCCTTTCTTGCTGATGAAGGTGTGCGCCACATTGACACACATTTCCGCCTCCTTCGTTATGACACGTTCGGTCAACTGAAGGACCTGCTCGGAGGTGTCGCGGATGCGGTGAAGCAAAATCCGAATCTCCCAAAAGTCGACTTGGGTGATTTCAGAGCCAACAAGTACGCCAACGCCTGTATCAGCTACGTTGGTTTTGACAGTCGACAGGGTCTCAGTATGAGCGTCACCTTCACGCAACCACTCATAATGTTTAAAATGCCCGCCTCCGAGAAGATCAAATGGTGGAAGGAATCCAGACGGCTCACTGATGGGGTCCTCCTATCATTTATTTCCTTTCAGGGTGGTGAGCTTCATCCTCTATTCTTCGTCGCGACTGAGACAAAGACAGAGACAAACAAAGACCGCCGCGAAAAGAACAGAGATGATCAAATCACGATCACTGCCAAGCTGGTAGATCACGATGTCGTGAACGTAGAGTCTGCTGTTCGACTCAGCTACGAAAAGGTCAAAGGGTTGCTGATAGAATACCCTGGGGTCTTGCCAGCCACATTTGTAACAATCCTCGAGAATTTGCAAGACATGCAACGACACAGCAGATTGCCTTTCTGCCAATGGATCCTCCCCGGAAAATTAAACGATGCTGGTGGTGCTGCAGAAGTGCATATTCCACCGCCACTCTACTCTCGGGTCCCCGGATTCCGTTTCTCGCTGGAATCTTTGCTCAAGGAAGGCGAACCTCGTGACCCTGGCATCTTTATCGATCCGTTTTCATCAGCAAATGATGCCGACCTTCTCAGTGAGATGGAACGTCGAAGGAATCTGGATCGAGGGCAGTGTCAAGCATTGCTTCAGGCCCTGATTCGAGTATATGTGCTCACCCAAGGGCCGCCCGGGACTGGCAAGTCTTTCCTAGGCATTCAGCTCATGAAAGTCCTGATGCATTGTAAAAAGACAACTGAGTTAGGACCCGTTCTCAGGACGACAAATCGCATCAATGTTCTCCTTACTCGTGCTCAGCACGGCATGTACCTCATTGGTAATGTGGAAACCTATTCGAACATACCAATGTGGCAAAAGGTCATAGAAATGCTCCGGTCTTCTGACTCTCTCGGCGGCTCACTGGGACTTTGCTGCCCGAGGCATCAAGATACAGCCATCCAAGTCTCGGAGCCCGACGACTTTCCAAGGCTCAGTCCTGAAGGAGTTTGCCGATTAGCCTGCATCTGGCGCCTACCCGACCGTGGTCACATGTGCCAGGCCAGGTGTCACTCAGAAAGCATGCACGATGTCTTCGCTTGTCCACAGCCTTGTCGACTCCTCTTTGATCCTTGTAAGCATCCATGCCAGAAGCAAACTTGTGGAGAGGATCGCGGAAAGTGTTGTATAAAGGTGAACGGTGTCCAGCTTCCTTGTGGCCATGTCAAGGATAACGTCTTGTGCCACATTTCCCAAAATCCCACGTCAGTTGTTTGCAACGTCCTGGTCGAAAAGACAGTCCCTGGCTGTAATCACACTGTCGAGGTGGCTTGTAATGTGGACGTCGCTGTGGATCACTCCCTATGTTCAACGCCTTGTGAAAAATTCCTTTCGTGCGGTCACCCTTGCCCCGGCACTTGTGGGAAGTTCAATACCAAGACAGAAACTATCTACAATTTCTCACCAGAAATGCCGAAAACTATGTGGAAGGGCATTTGGAGCATGCAATCACATCTGTCGCAAGCCATGCCATGATGGAACCGATTGCGGTCTTTGTGTCTCTCCTTGCGAAGTCCGGTGTCAACATTCTCGGTGTAAGCTAGTCTGCCACGAAGCATGTGCTCCATGTATCGAACCATGCACGTGGTCGTGCGAACACCAGGGAGCTTGCACCATGCCCTGTTCTGCTCCCTGTAACAGGCTACCTTAACAGGCTACCTTGCGACCAGCGTTGTACCAAAAATCTTCGCTGCGGCCATCAGTGCCCAGGCTTTTGTGGCGAGACTTGCCCTGACCAGTACTGTCACCAGTGTTCGATGAAACAGGATGCTCGAGTGGATCTGCTCGAGTTGAAGACATATGCCGAGGTCGATGTTGATGAACTCCCCGTGGTTGTTCTTGGATGTCGTCACTTCTTCACAGCAGAAAGTCTTGATGGCCTTTTGGTCATGAGTGAGGTGTATGCTGTGGACCACTGTGGCCGGTTTACAGGGCTCGCAGACATCACTGGCGCCTTTGCTGGCGGCGTTCCTCGATGTCCAGATTGCAAATGTCCAGTCAGACAGTACGTGACGCAAAGATACAATCGGGTCATCAACCGTGCTGTTGCTGATGAGATGTCGAGAATTTCCCTTCTTTTCTCCCCCTCAAGGTAGTAATGAGTAGAGCTTTCTTCCTAGAGTACACTTACCACCTTCCCGGACCTACATCACACCTTCCTAGAGCTGGTCTTACCTTCCTGCAGCTACACATCCCACCTTTCTAGACTCGTTACAGGCTACGTGAGCACGTGACACCACGTGATGAGGTATAGACGGCAGGAACCCCTCGTACTGGATATATCCTCTTCCTCCTCCTCCTCCTCTTCTTTCTCTTCTTCTTTCTCCTCCTCCTCTTCTTTCTCTTCTTCTTTCTCCTCCTCCTCTTCTTTCTCCTCCTCCTCTTCTTTCTCCTCCTCCTCTTCTTTCTCCTCCTCCTCTTCTTTCTCCTCCTCCTCTTCTTTCTCCTCCTCCTCCTCCTCCTCCTCCTCCTCCTTTTCCTCTCTATTTCTCTTTAGCAAGCAACCCAGAAGATCAACAACAACACCTACATAGCTATTGTAGCTAGCCAATCCCAGTCATTGAGACTGTAGATCCTTTATCTCTCTTTCCTGCTGTCCTGAGCCCTCCGGCGTGTCTGTAGCAGTCTCGCTACATGACAATGGCACTCGTCGGCGACCTCGTCAACGACCTAACCTAGACAAATCATAATATCAAGGGTCCAGAGTTGTCCGTCAACCAAGTCTTCTACTCTATTCTCCCTTCAAAGCCAGAATTTGATCAAATCTGTGCCGAGAATCCGCTAAAATTCGCCCCCGGCATGCTCTCCGTCCTTGAGTCACCCTCACCGCCCCAGTTCGCCTTCTTCGAGTCTCCTCCTACGCTTGACTCGGATGAAGATCTCTGGGCTGTCTATATTGTCTTGCTCATCTTGAGAGATGGCACGATCCAACAGAAACTTGTCTATACTGGCTCTGGCACCGACTCAATCGACGGTGCGGATGCTAGGCTTGAGGTCTATTCAACTAGAGACTCACCAAAGCTGCCAAGCCGTGTTAGAGCCGCCTTTGACAAAGGTGCCAGACTCCACCATGTTGGTCTGCTCTGCTGGTCTCCATTGCCACCAGTATCGCTGGTGCCCCGTGCCCGAGCACGTTTTCTGGCCGTCGAGGCTCTTTTTACCACTATCTTCTCCTCCAGTCAACATACCACACCATCTAACCAGATCCGAATGATTATCCTTCGACCTAAGTAGAACCGGTCCCACGCGGATTATGGTGGATTAACTTCATATTATCCTACGGAGCGCCCTAGAGAGAAGTGCTATATGGAGGGTGCCTTGGAGAGAGTGCCCTAGAGAGAAGTGCTACATGGAGGGTGCCAGGGAGAGAGTGCCCTGGAGAGAGGTGCTATATGGAGGGTGCTCTGGAGAGAGTGCCCTGGAGAGAGTGCCCTGGAGAGAGTGCCCTGGAGAGGGTGCACTGGAGGCTAGAGAGAGTGTATAGAAGTGATTTCTAGAGCTCTGTAGGCGACTTAGCGTTAGTTGCAGCTGCTACTCGCTACGTATATTTTACTAACATCTTCTAAAGTGTGTAATGGGTGAATGGTTCCGCGACAATGGGAAGCACGCGCTTTTCAAGCTGCCATTCCTGAATGCCGACAAGCTACACGTGGCGGTTGAGGAGAGTCTCAAGATACTGGGAGAGGGATGGTATGAAAGTGTGTCAGCGGAAGAGCTCACTGCCATTAAGCAGGCGACGTTAAGTGGACGGAGTGGCATTGCGACTCATTCTGGCCACTGGTATAACTGTGTCAATGGACATCCGGTACGCATGTTTCCTTTATCCCCGACCTCCTTTCGTCTTGATTTATCTTAGACCTACCCTTATCCCGACATTGAAGGAGGCATTTCACTGATTTAGCATCCATCCAGTTCGCGATCGGAGAATGTGGTATGCCAATGGAACAAGCTCGCTGTCCTGAATGCGGAGCCCCTATTGGAGGATCACATCATCAAGCTGTTGATGGTGTCACGCGCGCTGTAGACATGGAGTCGTGACATATTGACATATGGACTGAGGTTAGATGTGATGGATGAGATTGGTCAGGGGCTTGGTTGAATCACTCGACGGTGGAAAGGAATTTTGAATGGTCACGAGCTGTGCATTTTCGATGGAGGAGGAACGAGTACAGGTCTGGAACATGATCATCAGGGGATGTTCTCCTCTGGGAGAAAGTTAGGAATGATAGTCTCACTGTTGATCTGAACCTTTATATTCTCTTGGTAACCGTCCACCCCTGTTTTATGTGGCCTTGTCTGTATCAAACAATGTCTTGGCACCAATGTAGCGAGGCGAGGCTGAACGACCTTTGACCAATCAGACGGCATTCCAGATTCTCGATTATTTCTCCAACTTTCGCATGCCAGCCTTGTGAGTCAAGAATCAAGATATCAAGAAACAAATCATCTTTCCTCTGCTTGCTACAGTCACCTGTACCTATAGCATTCCTCTATCTGTCAGCCCGATCTGTACCATCTTTTCCCAGCCGCAAGGCCATTATTCGAAAATACTGATCAGGTCGTTCCTGTTGCGCCCTCCTCAGTGGAGACGGCTACCTCGTTTCAACATGGCTTTCAATGCTGCTTCTCACAACATCAGTAAACCTGCTCCACCCACCACTATGTCAAAATGGTACTGACTCATTCTCTGCAGCCGGTAGCCCGACTGGCTCTCCCTCCGGTCCTCCTCCACCTGTGTCCTCCGAAACCACCTCCAAAATCAACGAGGGAGCCAAGAAGGATTCTCTCGGTCAGAATGTGCCTGGCACGGACAAGTTGAACAACAACCAGGGACAGACTGTCATGGGCGAAGCAGGAAAAGAAAAGACTGCCAAAGAAAGTATGCAAGATACCCGCTGATCGCAGTATTGACTGGGATCACTTTGAAATTGCACTGCAAGATATGACTCACAAGAGATCAAGTACCGGATCGCCAGACATGTGGTGTATGACTGGGAAAGTGACTCAAGCTCTTATTAGTGACCATACTTGTAGACAGCCCTTCGTTTACACAATCAAATTCCATATCCTTCCCCCCATGCTGCTCTGTCGTAGAGCAATTCCATTCTGACCATCATGTCTACCGCAGTTGAGAAGGATCGCAAAAAGGCTGAGAAACTCGCAAAGTTCCAAGAGAAACAGTCCAGAAAACAAGCACCCGCTACCAGCGAAGCAAAAGCGCCAAAGGATAAGAAGATCAAGAAACCTGCGGCGGTCGACGCATATGAGCCACAGAAGATCGAGGCCGATCGCTATGAGTGGTGGGAGAGCAAGGGCTTCTTCAAACCCCAATTCACAAAAGATGGAAAGATCAAACCAGAAGGCAAATTTGTCATTCCGATTCCACCACCCAACGTCACTGGTTCACTTCACATGGGCCACGCTCTCACCAATGCCCTTCAAGACACCATGATTCGACATGCCAGAATGCAGGGTAAGACAACAGCTTGGATTCCTGGTTGTGACCATGCCGGCATTGCCACCCAGAGTGTTGTCGAGAAAATGGTCTACAAGACGGAGGGCAAGACACGTCATGACCTAGGAAGAGAAGGTCTCCTCGAAAGAATCTGGACCTGGAAAGAGAAATACCATGGAAACATTACCAATCAACTCAAACGATTGGGAGGTTCAATGGATTGGTCGAGAGAAGCCTTCACCATGGATGACAACCTGTCCCTTGCTGTCCAAAAGACATTCATCGATCTATTTGAAGAAGGCACCATCTACAGAGCCAACCGCCTCGTGAATTGGTGCTCAGCCTTGAGTACCTCTCTATCGAATCTCGAGGTCGACAATAAAGAGCTGGCCGGACGCACCAAGCTGAAGGTTCCCGGCTACGACAAGATGATTGAGTTCGGTGTCCTCACCTACTTCAAGTACCCCATCGACAATGGTGATGCCGCCACCAAGACCTCGACATCTCCTGACCGGTACAAGAACCACGAATTCATCGAGATCGCCACCACCCGTCCTGAGACCATGCTCGGTGATACCGCTATTGCCGTCCACCCCGATGATCAACGATACAAGAGCCTTGTGGGCAAGTACGCCATCCACCCCTTCCTGCCAAATCGGAAAATCATCATTATTGCAGATGAGGAGGTTGAGCAGGATTTCGGTACTGGAGCAGTCAAGATCACCCCTGCGCACGATCCCAGCGATTTCACAAAGGGAAAGAAGCACAACCTAGAGTTCATCAACATTCTCAACGATGATGGTACTTTGAACGAGAACGCCGGTTCTTATGCCGGCCAAAAACGTTTCGATGTGCGTTACGCTGTGATCAATGACCTGAAAGCCCTTGGCCTCTATTCCAAGCAGGAGGACAATGCCATGACAATCCCCATGTGCCAACGTAGCAAGGATGTGGTCGAACCCGTTCTGAAGCCTCAATGGTGGATGAAGATGACTGAAATGGCTCAAGAGGCCGACAAAGCTGTGCTGGATGGCAGAATTAAGATCAAACCTGAGAGTGAATCCCGTCGATATCACTCTTGGATGCAAAATATCCAAGATTGGTGCATTTCGCGCCAGCTCTGGTGGGGACATCGGGCTCCGGCCTACTTCATCCAACTCGAAGACGGCTCCAGCGATGATGCGGATGGAAAATACTGGGTCGCTGCGGCCGACGAGAAAGAAGCACAGTCCAAAGCCGAGAAGAAGTTTCCCAACCAGAAATTCACATTGCATTGGGATGAGGATGTGCTTGATACCTGGTTCTCCAGCGGATTATGGCCCTTCTCAACGCTGGGATGGCCAAAAGAAACATCCGACCTGCGAGAGCTGTATCCCACTTCCATTCTCGAAACTGGTTGGGATATCATCTTCTTCTGGGTGGCTCGCATGGTGATGCTGGGCATCAAGCTGACCGGCGACGTTCCATTCACCGAAGTGTATTGCCATTCTCTGATTCGAGATGCAGAAGGACGAAAGATGTCCAAATCGCTCGGCAACGTCGTTGACCCTCTCGACATCATTCGAGGCATCACACTCGATAACTTGCACAAGACACTCTATTCTGGAAACTTGGATCCCGCAGAAATCGAACGTGCCAAGGCATATCAAAAGTCGGCCTTCCCCAAGGGTATCGAAGAATGCGGTGCTGATGCTCTCCGATTCACCTTGGTCAATTACACAACCGGTGGTGGAGACATTGCATTTGACATCCGGGAAATCGAGGCCAAGCGACGATTCTGCAACAAAATCTATCAAGCAACCAACTTCGCTCTCGGCCGTCTAGGAGATGGATTCGTCCCGAACGCGAAACTCACAGACAATCAGCCCAAGTCATTGGCCGAGAAATGGATCCTGCATCGCCTCAACGTCGCCACCAAGGAAATCAACCGAGCCATGGAAAATCGAGAATTCTCCGTCGTGGCCGGAACTCTGTATCAGTACTGGTTCAACGCTCTCTGCGACACATTCATCGAAAACTCCAAACCAATTCTCACCGCAGAAGCCGCCGCCGCCGACCGAGAATCCGCACAACAGACCCTCTACACCGCTCTTGAAGGAGGTCTCCTGCTCATGCATCCACTCATGCCCTTCCTGACCGAACACCTCTGGCAAAAGCTCCCTCGCCGCCAAGGCGACAGCACCGAAAGCATCATGATCGCCAAATTCCCCGAATACCACTCCGAACTCGACAACGAGGCCGCAGCCCAAGAATACGAATTCATCATGGACGTCGCGGCCGGCGCCCGCAGCTTATTCTCACAATACGGATTCAAAGAACCCGGCAACGTCCTGATCCAAACCTATTCCGACTCTGCATACAAAACAGCATCAGCCGAGAAAACAGCGCTTAAGTCTCTGAGTGGTAAATACGCAGGGGAAATCGAAATCGTTCCTCCACCGAGTGCGGATTCACGTCCACCTCCTGGCTGTGCCCTCCAGAGCATCAATGCCGATGCAGCGGTGTTCTTGAAGATTGTGGGTAGAATTGATATTGACGAGGAGTTGAAGAAGAGAGAGAAGGCGATTGAAGATGCGAAGGTCAAGGTGGAGAAGAGTAAGAAGATTATGAGTGGAGCAGGTTGGGCGAAGGCGAGTAAAGAGACGCGATCGAAGGAACAGGAGAAATTGGCCGATAGTGAAAGTGAAGTGCAGAGACTGCAGGAGGCATTGAAGGATTTGGAGAGGTTGAAGCTGGAGGGTTGAATGAATAGAGAGAGAGGGAGAGAGGGAGGGAGTCTTTTTCTTAACAGATGGTTGTTGATAAGATGACCGCGTAAAAATGAATGTATTGCTACCACTGGTATTGCAAGAGAAGGAAAAGGGGGGGATTTACAGATCCAGATACTTTTCAAATATCACTCACTCACTGTTCGAAACAGAATAGAGCAAGAGGAGGGACGTGGAATAAGGGTCTGCAGAGTACACAAATTTCAGGTTTCAGTTCTCAATTCTCTATACAAAGAGAGATATTCTACATTCATTCCACGAGCCGTGAGAGCTCACGGACCCTTTTAAATCTTACTACTCAACCCCTCGGTCTCTTCAATACGGTAAACATATTTAACCGCCGATGCCTTCCCATCTCTCAAATTCTCCAATCCAGTCTGCACACCATTCAAACCACCTGGAATCACCTCATAAGGATGACCCGAAAACCAACCCTCCTTCAACCCCTTTGCAAACAGCCTAAACCACGCATAACCCAAATCCCCCAAATCATCCGGATTTCCATGCACACTTCCCACAGTGGTAATAGTCTGAGTAATCCCCTTTGGAATCCCCTCGTAACTCTTCCCGGGCAAGACCAACGACAAATGTCCCGCTTCGGGATCCAGAACCTTTGAGATATTTTGATACGAACCCTTTTCACTGACAGCGTCAAATGCATATTTGACTTTCTGACCAGCAGGGACAGCCGCCTTGAGAGCTTGAACGACGGCTTCATCGCCCTTGCGATAATCGATGACGACATCGCCTTTCGATTTGTCGATGAGGGTTTCCACAAATGGGATACCACGGCCAGCGACCGTGATGATCGGGTGGACGTTGGCGTGAGTGAGGAGTTTGACTGCGAAAGCGCCGACTGCGCCAGCGGCTCCGTAGACGATAACGCCGCCTTTACGTGCGTCGTCGCCGGCTTGGGAGACTTTGCCCCATGGTTCGGGGAGGCCAAGGCGGGCGTACAGACCCACGACGGCGGTCATGGCGGCAAGCGGGATGGTGGCGGCTTCTTCGAAGCTGGTTTCCTTGGGGAGGTGGAATGTGGTCTTCTCCCACGCGACGGCGTATTCGGCGAACGAACCGTACGGTTTGCCCATTTCGTGGAATGCGGCGACGCGGTCGCCCGGTTTGAATTCCGTGACGTTGGATCCGACGGAGTGCACGATTCCAGCGATGTCGTCGCCGGTGTTGAGACCGGACATCTTGGGTGCGAATACGATGGGATATTTCCAGTCTTTGGGGTTGGTTCCGGAGACGATGACCTAAGGAGAGAGAAAGGGGGGGAGGATGTTAGTGAAGATTGGGGGAGGGGGGAGGGGGGGAATGGAAGCTAGCTGATGGGATAAATTTACCTTGATCACAAGTTGATTGGGATCCAATTGAATAGGAAGCTGCTTCTCCTCAATCCTGACATCGAGGCCAGTCTTGTCTTTGGTGTAGACATGGGCGGATTTGAATGAGGTAGGCATGGTGGTAAGATGTATTCTGAGGTCCAACCGAGTTCTGATTTAGATGATATCTCGTTTCCTTGACGTCAGTACCAGTGGCAGATGATTGATAGAGAAAGTCCCGAAAAAAGGTAACAGCCAAGTATATCTCAGAGACTGAGAGAAAGTAGTATAGTATTCTATATCAACACAAACCGTATCTCTGTAGAGAGGATTCAGAGCTTCATATGGAGGAGCCCCACGACGATAGATGGCCAAGTATATGTATAAAATGACAAATGCAGACTCGCAAAGTGAGGTGGGGTTTGTGGGAACGGTGGATTAAGACCCCAAGGGTAGGGGTAGAGAGAAAGTCATCGAACGACCATGATCATGACGACTTCACCTCCATGGCGCCATAGACCAGAACCATGAGCATGACATGACATGACCCGATGCCGTGTTTCGCTCACTTCGAAATCCGACTCGGGAATTGTCATGATTGGCATCATGGAGGGGTACCTGGACTGGAGATTAGATTCCAAAGCCAATGAACTTTTAAAGTGGGACAATATAGCGTTATCCGAAAGACTCGGTATGGCGTTTGTTAGATGCCGAGGGATAAGAGAGAGGAGGGGTGGAACGGGAGGGAGGAGTCTTGGATTTTGCACAATATGGATGGATGGATGGATGGAGGGATGGATGGATGGTAGCACTGGTAGTCTGACATTCTGAACGTGTCGGTGGTGACGAGTTAAAGGCTGAGCCGCTTAAGCACATCTAAACTGAAGTAGGAAGGTTTGCCGCTAGGGAGGGGTTTCAGGGCCAGGGACAGTCCAGATAGGGGACATTTGCCGCCCGAGGACGCCTGTGGGCTTACATGATAACCGCGAGTGACACCTAAAGCCCCCTCGGCCCCCCTCGGTCCTTGGAATTCCCACCCCCACTACGCGACAACTCAATGTAAGGTACTTACTCGTGCCATGCCATCCGCATATCTCGATATACGAGGACTCGTAGTTCACTGCGTTGTAATCGTACTCGAATGAGATCGTTCAAATTTCCAGTTCCGAGAAACTAGTTCGATTCATAGACAGAAAGGTAAGCTGACAAGGTACTTGTTGAGCATAGCTGTCCTGTTGCGGCGGATATTCTCATTTCCCATCTTGTGAGACGAATCACCCGCGTACATTGGACAGTCAAAATGATCAAAACTTGAATTTCGTTACAGTTGGAGATGGAGATTGAGTAGATTAGGACTAAGAGTTGGGTGATAGAGTCTGCTGCGGAATACGCCTATTTCCTGGCGTTTCCCATTGCTAACAACAGCAACAATGCCTGGTTTATGGTGATGGCCCGCCCATGCCCATACCTCTATATCCTCCATACAACCCCGCAAGCAGTCCTGATCATGCTTGCCATGTCGGATTCGACCCGGTCCTGGACGTTATCGGTCGAGATTAGCTTTGGGCCGAAACGAGACCATACGATGCTGTGATCATGCTCGGTCGCTTTTGCTCATCGGTGGTCATGTCATCCCACGCCAGAGCGGAGCATCAGTTCTGAATGGTGCTCTCTTTCAAGTGGTCGAATTCGGTTCGATTGTCGTGCTGATTGGCTCGATTGTCGATGCCCAAACATCACCGTCTCAAGAAACGTGGTTTTGGGCATTCGCCTCTTGAGCCATTGATCGGACTGGTGCAAAATATGGGTGTGCCATGGCCTCTTGTGCGGTGAGACGCTCCTACAGACACAAACGTCAGTATCATTTTGGTTTCCGTACAGTCCGACAGACTACTTACCTGATGGTCATATCTCAGTAGCTTATCCAAGAAGTCAATAGCTTCTGGAGTGACGAATCGTTGGTTGTCTGCGTTGACGAAGCTCTGCCATGGCTTTTTGGGGAACCGACCCAGAATATCGTCGTACTGTGCATCCAGCTCGATGTCGTATTTGTCTAGGTATTCAAACAGTTCATCGGTGCCAAGAACCTTTGCAATTTTAACCAATTGGTCCGAGTTGCTTTGTCCGTGGAAAAAGGGTTCCTTTCGGAAGATCATCGAGGCAAACATGGCACCTAATGACCACATGTCGAGTGAATAATCATATTCTTGGTAGTCAACCAGGAGCTCTGGACCCTTGAAGTACCGAGAGGCGACCCGGACATTGTATTCTGTGCCTTGGTGATAGAACTCGGCGAGACCCCAATCAATCAGTCGGAGCTGTAGTATGTCAGTCACCATCCCCATAGCATTAGCGGAAGATCCAAATCAAAAACATACCTTCCTCTTTGCATGATCAATCATGACGTTGTGGGGCTTGACATCTCGATGCATGATTCCTTTACTGTGACAAAAGTCCAAGGCCTTGAGCAGCTCGTTGATGTAGAAGCGAACATCCAAATCGACAAAACGGGGATACAATGTTCGAAAATCCGTGTTATCCACATTTTCGAATATCAGACTCGGTGTTTTCGATTGGCTGTCACGCACAACGTCCAAGAGTGCGACAATGTTGGGACCTCCCGACAAGTTCTGTAGAATTTTGATTTCTCTCTTGATTTTCTTCTTCTTGACCGGTTTGAGGACCTTGATGACACATTTCTGATAGTTGGCGACATTGATGCCCTCAAACACCTCTGAATATTTCCCTCGACCTGGAAAACCACGCAGCAATTCTTAGTTTCATGTTTTGTTTCAAGCGGGGCAGAAATGGACCGTCGCGAGAGGGGGAGGAAAGGATGGATTCCTGCATCACACGTACCAATCTTGCGGACAATTTCGTAGTTTTCAAGAACCCCCCAACTAATAGCCACCGAATCATAGTCCCAGTATGATCGGGGCATGTTGGCGTTGACATCGGCGTAGACTCGCGCCATGGCTACGAGATGCGAAGGGTGGTGAGGGTCGTCAATGGAGGGGCAGGCTCATGCGACAGAAGTGAGCGACCAGATGTGCATTGGTGGGAGACGGGAGGGCGCGGTGAGGATCGAGGTGCAGACGTTCAGGCGCCTCCAGACAGGACAGGTAGAGAGTCACTTGAACGACAATGGAAGGATTCGAGGGACCGGAAGGGTGGGTTGTTGAATGTGGTGGATAATGACAAGTACTTGGTAGGCGGTGTTGGGATGCTATGGGATGGGTTTCGAGGTGGAGTTATATTGAAAGGCGCAGATGCGTACGTAGTACTTAGTGGTGGTAGTAGTCTACTAACTTAGTTAATTTTACTGTGTACCTCGTACCGTGGCAGTGAGTGAGTGCTGTGGCCTGCTTCTCAGCCTTTCCGCAGCCTTTCCGATCTGCTGCGGCCAGATTAGGGTCAAGTTGTTCGTGCCAATGACACATAGCCTGAAGCTGCCCAAGCACCCCCAGGGCACCCAGGGGCACCCTTACAACGCCTATGCGTTCGGAATTATTGGGGTGCTTCTAGGCTGGTTCTGCCACATGTTAGTCAGCCTTTTAAGTAACTCCAGCCACAAGAGACTTGACCAAACCAGGTTAGAATCTGTTATTGGTGCCTTGCTAACAACATCTTTTTCCCCAGGCAAAAACAACTTTGTTCGCGACCTGCACCCGCACTCACTTACTACTCACTCACATTGTTCGTCACAGTGACTGTTCTCAGTCTGCACCACCATCTAAGACCACTTCATCCAACACCAGTATCGGTTTCACGCGATATCTGGTCACAGGTGGCACGATGTTGAATGTAGTGCAGTGTCTGGCATCTCCATCTCATCTCTCCCCTTCTCAAACACCCTAAAATGCCCTTCCACGATCTAAACCTCTTGTACACATCCAATCATGACGAGCTACACAATACACTTGCCTTTGAAGCCGAGCTGGGCTACACCATTGTCGCTCTATCTCTCTCCGTAACCGGAAAACTCCCATCAACGCCACAACTCCTCCCAATATCGTCCCTCACAGTCCCCAAATCCATCACCAAACTCCTCTCACGCATCACCATCACCATCAGCGATGCCACTCAGAACCACCGCCTATCTTCATTACTCCCTCACTATGACTTAGTCGCTCTCCGACCAACAAACGAAAAAGCGCTTCAACTATGCTGCGGCAGTCTCGAATGTGATCTCATCTCCATCGATTTCTCTCAACGTTTACCCTTCATTCTCAAATTCAAGACCGTCGCTTCTGCTCTTCAACGAGGCATTCGATTCGAAATCTGCTATTCCCCTGGTATAGGTGGTGGTTCAGGTGGCCCTGGTAGTGATGCAAGGAGGAATCTCATCAGCGGAGCCACGGCGTTGATCCGAGCCACTAGAGGAAGAGGTATCATTCTCAGCAGTGAGGCCAGAAATGCTCTGAGACTGAGAGGTCCATATGATGTCACGAATCTGGCTCAGCTGTGGGGATTGGGTCAGGAGAGGGGGAAGGAAGCTATATGTGAAGAAGCGAATAAGGTGGTTCGTCTGGCGAAGATAAAGAGGACGAGTTTTCGAGGCGTGGTTGATATTGTTGATGGGGGAAGACGAGAGGAGAAGCCGCAGTCTAAGAATGTCGCTGCGAGTTCCCAGATACCTGCTTGGGGTACATCTGGCGGTATGAATACCACATCTGATCGACGAGACGGTCAAAAGGGACCAGCACCTGCTGCCTCCTCAGGCGGGACTAATGGTGTTAAGAGAAAGGCGTCTGTCTCGCTCCCTACGCCGATGACTTCAGTCACAGTCCAAGACGAGGGAGATGACAAGCCCATTTCTAAGCGTGAACAGAAACGTCGCGCAAAGAGGGCCAAGTTGGAATCTAGGGAGAGTGCAAAGGCTGGCAAGGCAGAGAAGGTAGATGGAGCATGATCGATATTCAGCGTTACATTCAAGACAGTTACAACTGTTCTTGACTTTGGGGTGGCACCCGCCCAGGCACTGCCATCTTGTTTTTGCAGAAACCTCTGTCCCACCAATTCAACTACATGCAAGCTTGCACATCGTAAGGGAAATGGAAAACGTTTTTTTGAAAAAAAGGTGGGCACATGTTTGATTTCGTCTGCCCCAATATCTATTAAACTACCACCCGATGAACACATTATGACTTTCAAACCCGCTCCATTCATCCATCTCTCCCTCCTCCAAATTCTCTTCCCATCGCCAAAGCGATTGAGAAAAAAGGAGGCACAGAAGTGACACATATGTGGAACGATCGACTCAGCCACCAGTCATCCAGGGTCTCGAGGAATACTCGACCAGACAAAACCATCTCCATGTACCTTTGGGCTTTCCCCCTTCAAGCACAGCCATAGAAACAAAAGTCCATGCTGGCTCGGTTTGCCTTTTGCTGACTCCAGACTGTTCACACACGTAACCCCCATGAGGGATCCGTCAAGTGATAGTCGAGTAAAATATAAGCGTGCACCCCAAAAACACATTCCCGGTCAACGTTTTCGTTGTTCGTTGTTTTTTCCCCCGTGGGGTGCTCTCTCTTCGTCAAATGCCTCGCTGTCTAAAAAAGTTTCTGTCACACGTTCCCAGTATTGGTGTGCATGTCCAATATACCATAAAGGAAAAGAAAAAAGAATTGGAGAAAAAAGTATTGTTCTAGTGTTCAAATAGTTTGAGTCTTTCCGTGTCGAAGGGCTGCCTTTCACACCACCACCTCGTCTAGTCAACAAATGAGGGGGGACTGGAGGGAGTTTGACTCTGACAAGCTCGATTGCCGGGTATCATTGTTTCGAAAATAGTACAAGATCACCAAAGGGGTTAGATTCCTGGATTTGCAAAGCCTCTTTTGGATGTTAGGAAGCTCTTTCCAAGACCATCTGCTTCACGTCCTGCGTGCCCAGGTCTTCAAGCAACAACGGTCGGTCGTGGAGCCCGGCGTCCAATGCCAAGGGTGTAAGCGTTCTTCAGATCGAGAGTGGCTGGATCGATACTTGACGGGCGATCCACATTGGGAAGTGGTCCAGGTGGTCCTTCGGGTCCGGCAGAGGATGTCGGAGCTGGAGCGGACGTTTCCAAGGCGGCGGCGGAGGCGGTAGTAGTAGAAGTAGATAGGGTTGATTCAGCTGCTGAAGTAGTGGATGATGATGAGGATTCTACTGCTGCTTGGGCGGTGAGAGGTGGTAGAGGGGGAGCAGGTCCGAGAGGTTCAGACGCGCTGGAAGAAGCAGCAGCAGCAGTTGTTGTCTCGGCTGCAGGTGGAGGAACACCCACAGGCGGCGCATCGGGGATCGAAGGGAAACCCGCTATTTCACTAGGTTGGGCCGAGTTAGAAGGTATATCGCCAAAACTCGAAAAGGCCGTACCAGATGAAGCTAAGATAAACGTTAGTATTGAATTCAACTGTATAAAGCATATCAAGGCAACTTACTAGGAGCGGGTGGGGGTGGCGCTGGCCCATCGGTGACCCCAGTCACCACGGCCTCAGAGGCGGGAATCGATGATCGACCAGGCATGAAGTCTGGGATGTGTGTGGTGAAGATGGGAGCATCTCCAGCGGGCCATGGCCACATGGGAGCACCGTCGTGGCCGTTTGGCGGTGGCATTCCGGGCCTGCCGCACCAGCACCCTGGAGGGGCCTGCTGCCACTCAGTGACGTGCTTCGTCGTGACAGAGACAGAAGTGCAAGGGGCAGTGATGGTTGTCTTGTAAAGTTGAGTTAGCACACCAGTACAGTCACGAACTGGTCATGGAAGGCCTACCGGGTGCACCGAAGTAATGGTGATCTTGTGCTCCTTGACACTCGTGACAGTCACGGTGACTGGGGCTGGCGGTGGAGGAGGCATTCCTTCCTTGGTGAGGGTAACGGTCACGGGAGGAACAGTGATATGGTTGGCGATGGTGGTTGGTTCGCATGTGATAGGAGCGACAGGCATGTCAGGCACGTGTGGTGGAGGAGGCTGATGTTCGCCGCCTGATGGCCAATCATTCCATCCAGAGGAGCCATGACCGGAACCTTGGCCACCTTGCCATCCGCCAGGAGGACCGCTTGGGGAACCACCTGGGCCACCACCCCATTCACCACCTTCACCACCGAGATGGCCATCAGCCACTGCCTGTGTCGAGAGTCAGTGGATTTGAGACAAAGTCAGTGTTGGCAGTCATACATGCGCCAGGCAGGCAGCCAGAACGGAAAGACTCAAAAAGGAGCGGATTGCCGGCATCTTTAAAATGTTAAGTTAATTTGTTTGATATCTTGTTTTTTCCAGGTTCGAATTGAATGAAATGAAAGGAATTAGTTGTACCAGCAACAAGAACGAATGACACGCGATGGTGGAAGAGAGAGAAGATGCAGATTGTCCAAACCGATGAGCGACATGATGCCCGTCTAAATGTACCTCTCAAGTCGGCCAGAAAGGGATGGCTTATCGCACCAAGATTGAAGGGAGGAAGCTGTTCTCGGTGCGAAAGCTATCCGGACAACGGGTTCAGACGGCGACTGCAGACAAGCATCCAGAGGAGGGAACCGCCAAAGCAGCCAGATTCTTGGCAGTCACCAAGGCTAGTATGGCAATTGGGTCGATGATCCATCTCAAACAAATCTTGCGACGCAAGCTCCTTCACAAGAGTCTCAGACCCAAGTGTATGGAGGTTGGTTGGTATCACCATGAGGTCCAACTGTGGCAGAAGTGCTTCACGAGACACAGCGTGTTTCAGGGCGGGAAATTCTTGGCACCCCTTGAGTGGAGATCGCGCGGTTTGACCAAGCTTCTTGGATGAACAAGCAATGGACTTGGCAGTCTAATAGTCGGGCACTAGATCTAGGGGAGCAGGGGATGCCCGCGAGGCCCCTCGGCCCGGCGTGGCATTGATGATTGATGTTGACAGGCGATAGATTGGCAACAAGGTACCGGAAGATGGTCCCGTTAGGTGAGTATGTCATGCCTATTATTGACGGTGGAAGGTTATGGCCGTATTTCACCTCTATCGCTCCTGCAGCCTACAAACAATGTCGCACCGAATAGGTAGGTAGGTAGGAGGCACTCGCACTTTCCTCGTCCAAATCGCCCATCCCACTTGTAAGCAAGACAAAGTCATCCCGTGGTCACCTTCCTCTGAAATCGCACTTTATGGGTACCTCTCAATGACCTTACAAACAACACAAACCCATGTACCAGAAGAGCGCTTTGGGCTTGTTGGCCCACTGACGGAAATCAGACGCTGACCGCCGATGTAGCCATGCCCAGACATGCAAGGCTGCCCCTACCTTTACCTAAAGTGCATGCCCAGCTAGTCACCGACCTTTCAATTCAGGCAGCCCATCTTGGAAGCCTGTGGCCTATTTCGGCTCGTTCAGCGAGTTTCATTGTCTCAGCCTCTGCTTAGGCAAGCGAAGACGCTTCCCCATCTCGCCTTCGAATTTTCAAGCGAGGTCGAGGCGCACTTTCGTGGCTTTCCAAGTTCACAGTCGAAAGGCTTGACCGCACTCAGACTCAGCTTCAGACAATGGCCTCGACACTAGTCTGTAATGGCTCGATGTCAACAGCGTCCGCCAATAATGACAACCAATTGAACAATAACTCTACAATTCAACATGTGCAGTTTTGGCAGAAATCAGGTAATATCGACATTTCTACTGGATCTCTACTCCGTATGTATCATCTACAGCCACCAGCTCGGCGAATGGCTTCATCTACAACCCAGCCCACATGGCTTCCACAATCCGTGGCATCGGTTTCACCCCCAATATTCAACCCCCTCCTCCACCATGGGTCCCATGGTAGATGACCCTTTTTATTTGGGGGCTGATGGGACATGCTGGCAGAGTAACCCTACCCTAACCCTTGCGTTTTCTGGAGACACTCCATGCTGACGATACATGATCCACAATACTGCTTCTGTATAGGAGATTGATACTTGCAAGTGGCAGTCATCCCAATGTTTTCGGATCTTTTTACGACTACGTTGTGGGTGACACGTTGCTGAAGCACATTCATATTCAGGCACGACTCTTTAGGTGTCAAAATGACTTGTGTTGGCTCCATCAGCCAGGCTCAAGTAGTCGTCATTCTCGTAGTCGGTCGCTTGTGCCATTCTTCAGGCGAGGATGTTCGGCAATGAGGTTAATAAAGTTCATGCTACCTCCAGTATTTCATTTTTTGATGGTTGAGATCTTGATTCAACTATGATCGGGACTTCGGACGACGGCGAAACGGTAACATCATGAAACCATTCTCCTCCCCTGACCCCCGCCGCCCCATGACCTACGGAGTACAGAGTAGACCAGCTACTGACAATGCAGAAGCCAAGAAACCCCTTCAGGAAACCACGCGCATCTCGATAACACAAAATGCCTGGCCACCTTCTCGACACAGCCTCAATCCATCGAGATTGGCATGTCCCATGTTATGCAGAATCAGGGACCAGGATTGACATCAGATACACATGCACGCATGGTTCATGGTTTGATGCGGGTATCTCTAAGAAGCACAACACAACGGTCTACTTGCTTCTCATACTCTAGTGTACACACACGTCGAATAGAGCACAACTCGGAGCTTTCTTCATCAGCCAGAATGCACAAAATGCAGCCGGGTTCCTCTTCTCGGCTTATACACTCAGCTGACTGGTCTTTGCCTCATTGTTTCTCTGGTCAATGCGTGTCTTGACCTCGCCAACCAGATTCTCGACCTTGACCAGGACACCATCCTTCTCAGGGTGACCTTCTGGCAAGCCCATCTGCTTCAAGCGGACTTCACCTCGCGCCTGCTCTTCCTCACCAAGAATCACCGCAAAGGGGGCACCAGCCTTCTCACCACGCTTGAACTGGACTTGCGGCTTCGGTTTCTCCTTTGGTGCCAACTCGGCAATGTAGCCTGCTCGACGCAGTAATCTTCTGATATGCATGCGCTCTTCAATCATGCCGCTGAATTCCTTGCCGCCAAATGCCATGACGTACACGTCTGTTGCGCTGGATGTAATGTAGCTGAACTTCTCGCCCTTGGCGATGCGGGCTTTCGTGATGCTGAAGATGCGGTCGACGCCAAAACTGACTCCAACGCACGGCATGTTGGCTCCAGGCAGGAATCTTTCCACCAAGTTATCGTACCGTCCACCTGCAGCCACTGAGCCAACTCCCACGGAAGGATCGTCTGATCGGTCGTCGTCCTCGCCCAGCTGTTTCTTTGGTTTGCTCGATTTTGGCTTGGAATCTTCTGATCCACTGACCGTGGCCGGTGCCGAGCCTTCTGTCACCACTTCGTAGATCAGACCAGTGTAATAATCCAGGCCACGAGCCAAAGACAGGTCAAATGAGACCTTATCCAGCGATTCCTCCACGGCGAGATATTTCATCAACTTCTCCATCTCTTCCGTCCCCTTCTTAACCTTCTCATTCGCCTGAAGAACCTCATCCTTCTTCAACTCCTCCAACAGATCCCTGCCCCCCTTCTTCGTGACATACGTTCCAATCTTATCCGCCACCGCCTCATCCAAACCCTTCGTCTCCACCATCTCCTTCTTAACTTCCTCCCACGGCATCTTATCCAATTTATCCACCGCACTTGAAATCTGCCTAATCTTATCCTCTGGCACACCACACACTTCAAACAATCCATCCAATATCCTCCGATCATTGATCTTGATAGTATACCTACCATTCCACTCCAACGCCTCAAAAACCTCCACAATGACCGAAATAATCTCAGCATCAAAGATCATGGGATCACAAGGCCCCGCAAAATCAATATCACATTGATAAAACTCCCTCATCCGACCTTTCGCCACAGCCGGTTGATCTCGTCTGTAGACTTTATCGATAGCATATCTCTTGAATTCCGATACGTCGGGGTTAAGAGCCAACCAGCGAGCAAACGGAACTGTCAGGTCATATCGTAACGAGAGGAGCTCTCCGCCTTGGTCTTTGAGATCGTAGATCAGTTTAGAGTCTTCGCCGTATTTGCCTTTCAGCACTTCTTCTCGTTCGAAGACCGGAGTGCGGAGTTCTTGACCTTTGTATTTTCGAAATACTCCTGTGATTTGGCTGGTGATGTCGCGAAGCAGGTCGACGTCTTCGCCGTACCAGTCTCGTGTGCCTTTGGCAGTTTTGACGAGCTCTTTCTTCGCTTTGTCTTTTTTGCTGGGGGCCATGGCGGCGGCGGTGGTGGCGGCGTCGATGTGGTAGGGTTTGGCGAAGGTGGTGGAGGGGGAGGAGGTCGAGGTAAATATGCGTCGAGTGAGTGGTGAGATTGTTTGGAGGTTTAATCTGAAGTGGCGCATATGATGGGAAGGATCGGTCGGATCAACTCAATCCTCTGGGTGGTGATTGCGGGAAAGATTGTCATGCCAAATTCTGTGGTTGTTACTTGTTGTCGTGCATGCGGAGTGTCGAGGTTGGGCCAAAATGTCCAAAATTATTTATGAGTCATGAAGGTTTCTTCTTGGCGTTTGCATGACACACACATGATCTTGCTACGACTTCGGCACTATTTCCAACAGTACGCTACGATTCATCAAGAGACACAAGGGAAATAGAGTAGTAGACCAAATCAAAAGACTTTTTGTGTGGCTATCTGATCAGCAGGCCAGAAACGTAACCGTCTTGTCCATGCAAATAGGCTTCTAAGCCCTGTTGACACAATGGCGGCCTAACTCGCCCTCATGCATATCACACATCACCAAGTAGTCGAGCCTGGCATTTGAGCTGGGCTATAGCTGCCTCGCTGTGGGCTAAATGCAATGCCCATTGCTCCCGTTGCCGGGCTGCCGTTGTGTTGTCCTCGACTGCTCCCGCTACCCTTTCTGTCTGGCACATCATATTCCGAGTTTGATAGCATCGGAGGAATTGGGTCGGCATCTTCAAACTCGGCAGAGAAATTGCTAAGTCCTCCAATGGACCGGTTGGTATCAGACCTAGGTCGACGTGCATCGCTCGATGGAAGGGTCTTTGCATAAGCAAGGAACGGAGAGCTGTTAACCTCAGGGACAACTGGACTATTAGGAAATGCCTGGAAACTACCGAAGGCATACGGTCGTGCATGTTGTGGCTGAGGTCGAGTTCCAGGGAGGTCCCCTTCGGGCGTCAATGGTCCGCTGCTTTGAAGCATGAGTTGTCGTTGTTGCCAATCTTGCTTCTCAAGTACTTCCAACTCGCGACAGTTGGCTTCCCATCGTGCCCGAGCATTTTGTGCCTCGGTCTCCATCACGCGAATCTGTGCAACCAGCTCAACCTCGCGTCTTTGATGGTCCAAGTCTTTCGCGTTGGAGTCAGCAGCCTTGCGCTCTTTTTCATTCAAACCTTGCACATTTGCATGGGTAATACGATCATGCTGTTCTGTGAGCTTGGTATTGCGCGCACTCAGGCGTTCCTTTCGCGTAACAACAGTGTGGAGGTCGTTATTTGCAGCTGACAGACCATTGCTAGCTTCCGAGCGAGCTTTGGCCAATGACTCGTTTGCCTCAGCGAGCAGTTTGATTTGGTGTTCGTACGCCTCTTTCGAACTGGCGTAATTGTCGATCGTCTCATCCGGTTCAGCCTTTAAGCCTTCCAACTGAGCATCAAGCGCACTGATGAGCTCATGAGTCTGCTCCTGGCTGCGCTCGGCTTGTAACAGCTTTTGCCTGTGCTTATTGTCGTCGTTGGAGCTCTTGAGTCTGGCTTGCAAAGCTTCGATTTCCTTCTCGAGCTTAAGCTGCAGCGTTTTGTGCTGACGTCGTGCTTTGTGGAATCGATTTCTCGCATCATTGGTTTTTGCCTCTGCAGTGGATATGGAGTTTTTCAAAGTAGTGGTGGGGGACGATGGACGAGTTGATTGACGGACAGGCATAGAAACCAGGCTGGACGGCACATCTTTATCGAGCAAGAGCGGGGTCTTCACCATGACAGAGGCAAATTCTTCGTCTCCTTCGCCACGGAAAAATGTACAGGTGTAGGTGCAATTTGGAGCGAGCCCGGATATTACACCAGACCATTGACCAACCATAGTGTCAGACACTGCATTAGAGTCCAGGGCTTCAAGGCAGACTGAATGCCACTTAGCATCATTGATTCGTACATGAAATGGTCGTGATTCAGATGATTGGGTTTGATCGTTGGCTGATAGATAGATGGCATCGAACGATATGCTTGACGGCCGGACCTCTGTAATCCATACTCGATCTTCGTGTGCCACCTCAAACGGGTTGCCTTGATTGTTTGTGACTGCTGGCAGGCCTTTATTGTGCTCGACCTCTCTTAAAACATGTACTTTGGTACTGGCAAGGGCAGCCCAAAATGGTTGTCTGCTTCTGATCTGATTGGCATAACGTCTTCGCTTTTTGGCGGTCAAAGTTCTCTCTTTTCCATCCTTGAAACCTGGGGTTAGTGGAGGCTGAAAATCAATGCTGGAAGACATCCCGGTTGCAACACTATTATCGAGGCCCGAGGTATCTGATACAGAACCTGCGAGGGCTTCAGTGTCGATGCGCTTCGATTTGACGGTCCCGATAGGTTGGTTACTCGAGGTGATCTTGCGGCGAGCGAAGGCCATGATTGCTTGACTGACAATGTGAATTGCAAATAGACTGCGAATCTTTGACGGATGACCAGGGCTCTGACCAAAGTCGGCATCAGACGGCAGGTATCTAAGATAATCGCCAAGACCGATTTGGGAAAGAAAGTCCACGGGGACGAAGTTGGAGAAGAGGAAGCGACGCACACCTCTGCTTCGCACCGAGTGTAGCACCAGGATTGAAGCGAAACAAAAGGTTGTTATACCTCCACTTTTCCCGGCATTTCCATTGCCCAAGGTAATAGCAATCTGAATCTGAGCCAGGTCCAGAGCAAAGTTCTGAGCCCAATTCCAAAGACAAATCCAAAGTGCGAAGCCGAACACATCGACCACGGCAATGGTGCTGATACTTGGGGCGCCAGCAGGGCCTTGGAAGATGTCGAGCAGGGAGAACAATGAGACCGGAGCGCCGCCACCAGGCATAAGAGTCAAAGAGGCGAAAAGAGCTTGGACGATGGTCAAGATCATGGAGGGCAATGCCAGGAGGACTATGAGTAATGAGATGGTATCGCAAGCAGGACGAGATCTCAAAATTGTGTTGGCAAGTTGAAAGGCATTGAGGTCATAACCAGATCGAGGCCTGGCACTGGGCAAATCTCCTCTTCGGTTTTGTAACATGGTAGACCCATTCGTGTCGCGCCTCGGGTGGTGGTCCAGGTCCTTCGCCGCAGAGAGATCCAGATCGTGCGGTTTGCCACTATGCAGGGATGATGTCTTGATGGGGTCGTGGTCTGCCTCAGGATGGCCGGAAGAAGAGTCTTCGTTTGAGGGCGATGTTAGAGTCGGGTCTTGTCTTGGTAGAAAAGGAACGGACTCGGAGGGGCCAGCACCCTTTGCGGCGCCATTGAGATGACCATTCGACTTTTGTTTTGTAACACGTTTGCCTGGCCCTACGAGGCCGTTCTCATGACGATTGTTGCTCTTCTTCGCAGCAGGGTTTCGTGGCATGTAGGTAGTCCTCAAGAGGATCGAGCTCAGACCCAGTCAGCTTGGTGACTCTTTTCAGGTCAGCAAGCCAACTGGAACGAGGCTTCGAATGAAAAGCTGATGCAGGGAACGATGCAACGTATGAAAGGACGTGAGGTGCGTCTCGAGGGGTCGAAGAGGGGGAAGGTAGCGGAGGCCAGCGTGTTCGGGGGCGATCGACGTGGTGCTTTAATGCCGATGATGTCGACGTTCGATCAGCGATGAAGCGGACGAGAAGGAAATCAACGTCAAGATTGTCAACAGGATCAAAGAAGATGCGAGAATATGGACGGTGTAAGGACCGTATGCAAAGAAAGATTTTAAGATGCAGAAGTGACTAATGGAGGTAGGTGAAATGTGAACAGTCGGTATGGAAGAATGATGGTGGTGTTGGTAAGTGGTGGTGAATCCTGGAGAACCTGCAGACAAGCCTGAACGGGGTAAGTCACGACAGACTTGGGGGAATGGAAATGGAAATCTTGGTTCCGTTCGCTTCTTGGATGAAAGTGGGCGGGTGCGAAGATTTTGGCAACGACTAAAAACTGCAAGGCTCCCATTGCCTCCCGGCGCGCTCCCACTGGTTCCTTAGGCTTCCAGCATCGTGCCCGCCTGCCACCGCCCTGCCTACCGTCTCCGTGCCCTCCCCTGTCCGTCATTTTGGAGGTTTGCCTAGGTGTCGGGGCGCCTAGGCACGGCGCCCGAGCCCGCTAAAGGGATCGGGCAGAGTTTGCACTAAGAAAAGACCAGCGGCCTCCTGCTTGCTCCTTACAAACAAGACTCAGTCGTGTCAGTCTATCCGCCACTACTCGTGTCCTGTGACATGGCCAATGCATTGTCGTACGTACAAAGGAAGCCAGAGCTGCTGAATACCAGTCTGAGCGCATAGCAGGATCTGCGCTACGTTTTCAAGGATGGTCTCTTTATTATGTCAATTCGCCAGGTGCCACGTCAAGTCTAGTCAGACTTAGGATTGTGCAGCCTATGACAATACTCTCCGGTCTGCATTGACCAGAACTCTAGCGAAACCAAGGCCTAGAATGATATATCCAACCTCGTCAGTGCTCATGCAAGTATGATTCGTTATATGACTACACCATGTCCCTTCGGTTACTCAATTCTTGCATGTGAGCATGTCCATTTCGGCCAAATGGCAGAAAAACAGAAGCCGCTAGGTGGTTGCATCTTCAATCACCCATCCGATCACAGCCCGGCGCAGACTTTTTACCTGTGAAGGCCCAATCACAACAGTGTAGGCGAAGATCTTCAACAAGGAACCACTGAAATTGTGGGCACTCTCCTCGTCTCCTAACCTAAATGGGGGTCCCAAGGCCATTCATGTTGCACGCAACCCGCACTGCTGCAGCTGCTCTTCCTTCTCATATGACGGCAGCATCCTTGCAAGATCAATTTGCAAAGTAAATCCAGGTTGACCAAGTACGGAGTATGTCTCCTGGAGCTGACAGGTTTTGACTTTTTGGGTATCATTCCACGAGAGCGCGAGCACTGGAGTCCTTCAAATTACCCATAGTACCATGGCAGATTTTGATAACTTTGTAGCAAGGATGTCGTCGTTATATGTTCCTACCTGTTACTGAGACCGTTGAATGTCGAGATCGACGACAAGGGTGGGTAAAAGTTTTGAAACAACGAGACTGCAAGTGTGCATATCGCGAATCGTGATCATTCGCTAGAGAAACCCCGCTACTGCTACATGGCCTGACGTGGAAAGCAGACGGTGGTTAGCCAAGGAATCTCGTACAGAGAAACTCTGCTAGAAGAGGCCCGAGAGAGGAGTCCATCACCGAATCTGGCTATGTGATCGTGATCGGAAAAAAAACCATGAAAGACCGCCTCCTCACGTAAGAGACGACTTCCAGTACGAGATAGGTGCCGACGAGTATAAGCACCAGGATAGGGACAGGGTTGGAGGCCGAGGGGGCTTCGGCCCCTCAACCGATGAAGCATCCTCATAAGGCTTATGGCGCCCACAAGCATTTGGTGGCTTCCGGTAGAGGGGCGTCAACCATGTCAGGTAACTCCTTCCAGGCTCCGAGACGCCTCGGGCAAGAGCCTCAGCCTGTTTTAGCATGCCAGTCAGCCTCTGACCCTGACTACGGTACGCCTACATCTGCACGTTGTGGGTGGCTATGGTATCTAAGGAGAATTTAGACTAATTCATTACCTTTTTAGGGGCTCGATCAGTCAGCATGCCGTGTTGCAGGACGTTGACGCCTAAAGCTTCTCAATCATGGGATGCAAGATCATGACCTATAGCCTATAGGGGACATCCAGCCAGGCACATTGTAGGTCACGCAATCCGTCGAAACGCCCCACACACCATTGGAGAAGCCCCTCGGCCCCTTGGCTCCCCCAACTTCGTCATATCCAGTCGTGTCAGTATGCGTACTCGTACGCATACATAATGTGCTCAGGTAGCGTAGCAAGGACATGTTCATGAACGTTTAGGGTCAAAGTCTGACCGCATGCTTTGCGTAGACATCATCATCGCTCCCATGGCTCCCTCATTCGCTCACAATTGCAGAGGATGACAAGTCTACCCAGAGAGCTCACTTGTCAATCTCTCAGTCAGCTCTCCAGGTCTGAACCATGGCCAACGAATTGTTAGCAAGTTCTGGTCACGATTGTAATGAAAATTGATCTCAACAACCGTAAGGACAAAGCAGTCACCGTGATGCCATAGAGGGATCAAATCGCACCATTTTCCACTAAGGGGGTGACATTATTAGGCCTGCTTCGAGGTGAAATTTACCTGTGTTCATTTCAAGATAAGCATCAATCGCACAGCCAAAATCTATAATCTAAATGAATTAATTGAGGTCATTGTCTTCGATTTCATCTCGTACATGATACACTGTGCCCACTTATAAGGCAATATCATACTTCTCTCCGCCTTTACCGTCTGTGGGGATATTGCTAAGGATCCTCAGGCACTAATCTAAGCGCCCTCGCGCTACTCGGGTGCACCCAAACGGTCTCCTTTAGGTATGGCCTTGCCTCACCTGCGATGGCTGCTGGTGCTGGGTAATGGGCAGCTGGGAGCATCCAGCCAACTCACGTGTCTGGACTCGGGATATCTCGCCCAGCGTTCACTTGCTCTCGGTGTTTCGCTCTCAGCATTGAAAAAATTGTAATAACCTTCACTCTGTTGGACCCCATCTAATTATTATTATGTGGGCTCCGCGTACCTTGTGGATTACACCTGCAAGACGGTCATCATGATACATTCTAGTACTCTGACCTCTCTTTAAATCACTACCTCTTAACAGTCATGGGCTTGAAAAAGATATGGGTCTACGTCACGAATTGCGCATCTCGACTGCGTCTACGCGGTCCCTAAATTCTCTGTACATTCTTTCACGCGTCAGCCCCCAAACCACAATCCAATTGCAAATGCCGCTGACGCACCCTCTCCGCGCTGAAACGCGACACATATCCCCTTTCGTTCGCTTCAACAATCAACAGCTTGTTGTCAAGCATTTACACATGAGAGCATGCAGAAACCCGAGTAATTTGATTATACACCGTTTCCCACACTTATCCTCGTCTCGACGTCCAAGACCTTCCTTACAGATTCTATCCCCTCTCTCCGCAATGTCCGCAACCTCCACCTTGTTACAACCACGAGTCCAAGCACGAGCACACGCAGGACACTCTCATGGCCACGGTCATGGGCACAGCCATGATAATACATACCTCACTTCGAGTAATAGAAATGATGCCGGCGTCAGAATCACAAGAATTGGGCTGTTCGTCAATCTAGGAATGGCAATTGGAAAAGGTGTTGGCGGTTATATGTTTCACTCCCAGGCTTTGATAGCCGATGGTTTTCACGCCTTGACGGATCTCGTCTCTGACTTCATGACTCTGGCCACCATTTCCTGGTCCCTCAAGCCTGCTACCGACCGGTTTCCGTCCGGCTTCGGCAAGATCGAGAGTCTAGGTGCTCTAGGCGTGAGTGGACTACTACTGTTCGGTGGCATGGGCATTGGTCTCAACGGCCTGGATGCTCTGTACACCCAGATTTTTCTCGATACTGTTGAACATGCTCATGATCATGCCGAGCATTCACATGGCCTTTTCTCCTTTCTAGGCCATAGCCATAGCCACGGTGTGTTACCAGATCTCAATGCTGCGTGGCTTGCCGCAGGCTCAATTGTGGTCAAGGAATGGCTTTATCGATCCAGTAAGTTTACGTCTACGTGGAAATGGTGGCACTTAACGTTGACAATTCACAGCCATCAAAATCGCCCGAGAACGAAAATCCTCTGTTCTGGCCTCCAATGCTGTTCACCACCGGATCGATTCCCTGACCAGTATTGTTGCACTTGCTACTATCGGTGGTGCACACGTTTTTTCAGATGCATCCTGGCTGGACCCGGTTGGTGGATTACTCATCTCTGCGATGGTTGTCAGAGCCGGCTGGAACAATACTCGCACGGCCTTACTAGAACTCGCAGATACAACCGTGGACGATGAAATCAAGTCATCTGTGAGGAGATCTGCAAATAAAGCTCTCGTTGGGGACGAGGCAAAGGGCGTTCAAGCTGTACGATATGGCGACGAAGTTGAAATTCGAGACGTGCAGGGGATCAAGTCCGGTCAGAACTATTTAATGGACCTTGAACTAGCCGTTCCACAGTCTTTCACGTTGTCACAACTCGATGTCATCGAAGGCGCTGTTCGGGAACGGATTGGATCAAAGGTTCGAGGGGTGCGCCGGGTTCGTGTCAAATTTGTGGCATCTGAAGACACCTCTTCTAGCCTCGCCAGTGACTTTATTCAGACCAACGTGAGTCCACGATCGAGCCCAGAGCCAGAACCAGAAGACGAGCACGAACACGCGCATGATCATGACCACCACCACCATCACCATTCTCACGATCAAGACCGGACCCACAGCCACGCAAATGGAAGTACAACTTTACATCAAGTACGGAAGGAAAAATAGAACCGAGTTCAATACGAGTATAAGTTGTGGTATTAAATTAACTCGCATCTCAGTCGATCCAAATAGGATGGTTGGGCAAGGTGGTGCGGACTAAGACGCTGGATATGATATCAGGCTGATATCATATGCCAAGAAGACTGTTGACCACCGGGCCTTTCCCTCATTTCCTGATCATATGAGAGTGCCTTCTCCGCACCCAAATCACAACCCTACGAACAACGTCGTCAATCTCAACACCGTTTATCCGCTGGGAACTGAACTCGATGTCAATTATCATCTATTTTCACTCTTGACCGCATGCTGGAGTATTAATTCCAATTGTCTGACAATGGCGTCGGCTGGCCCTCTTTACCTTGGCTTCGACCTTTCCACTCAACAACTCAAAGGATTAGTGGTTGATTCAAGTCTGCGCAAAGTCCATGAAGCGAAATTCGACTTTGATGCCGATTCTCAAGGCTTCGATGTCAAAAAGGGTGTTCTTGTCAATGAAGCCGAGCGTGAAGTCTTTGCTCCTGTAGCAATGTGGCTGCAAGCCATTGATACTCTGCTTACCAGACTGAAGGAAAATGGCTTGGACTTTGCACGAATTAAAGGAATCAGTGGCTCCGGCATGCAACATGGAAGTGTCTTTTGGAGCGCCGATGCCGAGCAACTCCTCGCTCAACTGCAACCAGAGAAAACATTGCAATCGCAACTTGACGAAGCATTTGCTCATCCTTTTAGTCCTAATTGGCAGGACGCAAGCACACAAAAGGAGTGTGATGAGTTTGACGCCATTCTGGGCAACCAGTCTCAACTGGCGGATGCCACAGGAAGCAAAGCTCACCATCGATTCACCGGACCGCAAATCTTGAGATTCCAGCGAAAATATCCCGACAAATACCTCAAGACATATAGAATTACACTAGTCTCGTCATGGTTGGCAACAATGTTTCTGGGCAAGTTTGCTCCATTCGACATCTCAGATGTCTGTGGAATGAACCTTTGGGACATAAAAGCCGGCAAGTGGAACGAGAAGTTATTGGCACTTGCTGCTGGTCCCTCTGGAGTCAAGGTATTGCAGAAGAAGCTCGGAGACGTGCCTGAAGATGGTGGAATTCATCTTGGTTCTATTTCACCATATTTTGTCAAGCGCTATGGCTTCAGCTCAGATGCCACCATTATTGCCTCCACAGGGGACAACCCTTCGACGATTCTAGCACTGCCACTCCGCTCAAACGACGCTATGGTGTCACTTGGCACGTCCACTACATTTCTCATGTCGACAAGCGAATATAAACCAGATCCAGCGACGCACTTTTTCAATTCCCCGACGACGGCAGGGTTATACATGTTCATGCTCTGCTACAAGAACGGCGGGTTGGCAAGAGAAAAGGTTCGCGATGCCATCAACTCGGCCTCATCCAATATCCAAGATAAGAATTCATGGGAGGCATTCGACAAGCATCTCCTCTCCACCGCGCCCTTTGCCCAGAGCAACCCATCAGAACCGCTGAATCTAGGTCTTTACTTCCCACGACCAGAAATCATCCCGAACCTCCCCGTGGGTGAATGGCACTACTCGTATGACCCAGAAACGGACAAACTCATTCGTACCAACGGCGTTCCAGAATCTCCAACACAGGATGCACGAATCATTGTCGAGTCACAATTCCTCTCATTACGCCTACGGTCACGCGAGCTTGTCTCATCGCCCGCACCGTCTCTCCCACCACAGCCTCGTCGCATATACCTTGTCGGAGGTGGCAGCCGCAACAGCGCCATCGCCAAGGTTGCTGGCCAAGTGCTGGGTGGCAGCGAAGGAGTTTTCAAACTCGATGTAGGCGAAAACGCCTGTGCTCTCGGCGCTGCATACAAAGCCGTTTGGGCTATCGAACGTGATGGATCAAAAGGCGAGACGTTTGAAGAACTCATTGGCAAGAGATGGCGTGAAGAAGAGTTTGTTGAGAAGATCGCGGAGGGTTATGATCCAGACGTTTTTGAGAGATATGGTGCGGCACTCAAGGGGTTCGAGCGCATGGAGACTGAGTTGCTGAAAGAGTATCAACAGCATTAATTCAATAGAAAAGTTTGATCTACCATGGAAAGTTGAAAAGTCTTCCCATCTTTACATTGTGTTCTACATTTCTTGCTGTAGCTGATCCCTGAGCCCCTGACCATGACCTCGAACGTAAGTGATACTTATAATGCCATACGATAAGATGGAAAGAAGCCGAGAACGCATTTTCTATCAACGCCGGGCGAAGCAAGGACTCTCATTCAAGCCACCCGCTCCCCAGCATATTGTATAGACCCATGCATACCAAGCAGCCTCAATAGTGTCAGAATCAACCTCATTCACCACCATGAACCCCATTCCATCCCCATCCATCATTGACTCATCAACAAGAGACCAAAGATATCCGATTGTCTGTTCCATAAGATTGAAACAAGAACGCCCAGCCAGTCACACACACAGTCCTCCAAAGTTCAGAAACCCCCATGATCCATGGTCCGTTCCATTCATTCGTTTCACTCCCCCATAAACCCAAAGTACTTTACTTTACACAGGAATTATATCCTGAGATTTCTAATTTCACTTGAAGAACCGTCCGACCATATTACTAGCCAAACCACTGGCAAGACCACCGCCGAAGAAAGCGGACCCAGCGAAATTCGACGCTTGACTGAATTTGTCGCAGCGGGAGAATGCCACCGTGTTCGTGAGGGTTAAGATGAGTGCGATGACTATAAGGGAGATACATATCAGCCCTGAGGGATTTGAAAAAAGGAGACCAGGGCTAGATTTCTCTCAGAGAGAAAGAGAGAGGGGGGATGATCAACTCACCAACAGTAACCAACCAAATAAGATTCTGCAGCCTGACAATGGCTAAAATGGCCAGAGCGATCCACAGAGCCGGCGCCACGTACATGGTCAACCAGAAGAATCTCTTATCTGTCTTGTTGACCTCACGGGACTCCGGCGGGGCGGATTCAAAGACCCAGTGAGAATCGCCGGTTGATGTGTTGACTTCATTCCACCAACGCAGACCAACTAGACGTCGGCCGGCAATGTTCTTCAAATAATAAAAGTCGATTGAAAGGAGGAGGAGCGTTAAGATGAAGACGAGGACGAAGTTGTTGATGAAGAGAACGCCAAATAGGTACATTAGAAGAGAGCCTGGTGGATGTGGAATGATCGTGTTAGTCAGGAGGTTCATTCAGATTGAGTTGCTTTTGGGACAATGGCGTCGAGTCCGTTCAATAGAAAAGGGTTCCAGGAAAGAAGGAATATGCGTGCGTACCTATTCTGAATCCCAGATACGTGAGGAGCGTGATCGGGTGCGCACTGAGGCGCCAGTTAAGACTGCCTGGTTCGTCCGCCATGGTGTGAGGATGAGATGACTGAAGGAGATGATGCAGTCACTTTTTGAGTAAAGATCTGTTCAGATGTATAACCAGTGCATCCTTTTCGAGTCAGGGCAGGCCGCGAAATGCTTTATCGAGTATGTATTGACGTGTGCGCCTCAAGAGCCAGACAGGCATACACGGAGGGAGTGAGGGAGAGGATACGTCGAGCGAATGCACGACCGCGAATGATGTATCCCCTAAAAGGAAGTTTGGCCGAGCCACATAAGGTAGTGGTGCAAGGCTGGGTCCCAGAATCTATGAAGATGATGTAGTATAATGTTCAGGATTTGGACAACAATTCACATATCAGTTGATAAACATGGCTTACCTTTAACATTGAGAATAGACACTTTAAAGTGAGACAAATCAATGACAAGTTGCATTTCATGGTCCATAGGCAAGTATATGACCACCCCGACCCATCGTTCCACCCGAGAACCCTCAGCCTTGCATGCCGCTCGACTTGCCCCTCTGGGACAATGACCTCGATCTTGATGCTGCGGCGACGACGTCAAAGATAATTTCACGGCAGCACCACTCACCAAGATCTCAAGTCCCTCTCCAGTAACTCAGCGGGCGATCCTCGGAGAGATACTTCTTTTAATGGCGACACAACAGGAGCAATAGCCATGCGCCTCCTCACACGCCCCGGCCTACCTCTGGCTCGGCCATTCCTCAACCGGTGCTTTTCATCACGACGACGGCCTCCACCACCACCTCCTACAGCTAACTCTCGACCTACACCCAATCATACCTCCACTCCTCCTCCCATCCAACAACCCAAACCCCAATCCACAGTCCCAGTCGGCACCGGGCGACGAACACCACAAGCCCGACCTTTGGTCTACTCGTGCGCCATATTCCTGATCATCGGCTGCGGTGCCATCACAGGAGCCATATTCCGAAATGATCATCAGGTAGAGGCGGAGCGGGCGCGCCAGGAAGCAGGTGGCGAGATTGATTACCAGAAACATATCGACGAATTGCAGACAAAACGGGCGTATTTGGTCGGTGAGCAGATGCAGTTGGAACGAAAGATTGCGGGGTTAAGGGAGAAGAAGAGGGCAGTTGATGATGGGGGAGAGGGAGTGGGAGTGGGGAACAGTGTGGTGCAGCAACAAGGAGGGGTGGAAAGATGAGATGAGAGGATAGATTAACTAACTACCTCCGTCTGACTTATCCTCTGCCTTGGGTTAAGACTTCCAGCCTGTGAAGAGAGGGATTGAGCTTGCGCTAACTCTCAGCTACGACCTGGCCTGGCCTGACGTGACCTGATATCCATGGATGAAAAGCTGGCCACTGGTAAGTAACCAGCCTTACCATTGTCACAATCTGTTGGTCAATGTCCTGGGAAAGGCTGGGCCGAGCCATGCTCCAATGGGCGGTCGCTTGCTCATGGGATGTGCGTGAGGCTTGCACATGCATATCTTCGGACACACAAACCACCACAGGGAGTCTCTTCTCTGACCACTCAAGAATCGGCAAGCAAGGGGAAATGCGACCAAAGGTGCAAGCCCTCCATGGAAGGGATGAACCACGTGTTAGGTCTGAACTGCCTAAATCCGGATCTCTTCAGCCTCGATACACCCGAGCAGCTATCGAGAGATTCCAGGACTCGTGTGAAGCCGTGAAGATTGTGGAAACACATATAAAGGGATATATCTCCACCAGGAACCCAACGGAGAAAGGAGAAATGTAATTCTATTGTATTGTTCTTTAAGCACAGCAATTTGGATCACCACTTACTTGTTTTGTTAGCTAGCAAATGGTGGAAAAGGAATGCACTGAAAGGCAATCTCGAGTGCACATGTCCAATGACTGACTTGACGAACAATAACAAAAGACATCTCCCATGTGTCAAAGACAGTCAAAGCGATAAGCGCGCGCCCTGCCATGACATGACCTGACCTGTCCTGACCTGACCAGACCAATTCCGTACAAACCAAGTGATAATTTGACCTCGCTTTGGATCCGATCCGCCCCCCCCGTGTCCGTTCGTTCCTCCACTCACACACGCCGCCCGTGTTTGTTTGTTGCCTAGTGTTCTACCGCCTCAAACCCTACACAGAGGAAAGAGGAAATCCATTCGTTTCAATTGACCCTTTCATATTGCCCGCGTGCAATTCAATTCGATTCGTCCGAGAGATATGCTGGCACACTGGATAATCTGTCATCCCATGGTTGCGTTTTGTTTGAACAAGATTTGGGCAAAAGCAGGAGAAGATGGAGCAATTCATTCTTAAATTGCTAATCCTTCTGCCTATCCCTCACCACCCGCCGTCTGAACTTTTCATTTAGTTCACCCAGAACCAACAGAATGGCCCAAGATCCCCCAATCTACCGTCGCTGACGTGGGCACATCACTTCTTGCTTGAAGGACCAAAGTCGGCTTCAACCGCTTTCTGTACATTGCGTTGTTTCTCGACCTTGAATTCTGCACATATCGAGATGTGATCACTCGGGTAGTGGAAGTTAGGAAGACCGGGAACCTGCTTGAGGTATTCGGGATCAATCTGGCCAAGAAGACCAACCACCCGCAGACTGTTGCTCGAGTACCAGATGTAGTCGAGAATATCCACATAGTGCGGCACGTAATTGGTGAACGGCATTTCGTCCTCAATTTGTGCGTATGCCGATTTCAGGGTGAATTGATGAGACATGCCGGCTCGTGAGAAAGCGCCATAGTCCCGTCCGATGAGATCCGAGTGGTCAGCGCCCATTCCCTTCTTCGTAAAAAGATCGTAGACTGCCGTACCGGTTGCAGCATTGAAGTCACCGGCGATGATCAACGGAATCTGGTTACCTTGAGCGTATGATAATGACGGACCTGGTTCTGGTGCAGGTTCGTCTTCCGAGTCCGAGAATCGAAACACTTGCTTGTTAGTTGCCGGAGGGAACTTGGTCCATTTCTCCGAAAGCTTAGTGATTTCTTCCATCATGACAGCGGCTTGAATCAATTTCACGTCTTTGAACGCAGGATCCCAGTAAAGATGGGTGTTGGCAACGATAAGTCGTGCGCCCGTCACACGATTTTCCAAAAAGACCACTGTAGCGATGTCGTCACGTTGCCACACCCGATTCAACATATCTGCCGAGGCCTTTGCACCTGGACGTTCGACTGCTTTTCTTCCGAGAACAAGATGGTGTGAATCAAGTAGGATGTACTTTTTGTCTTTCCAGAAAGTTCCGCAACCATCCACAAACTTAGCGCTTTCCCCCAGAGTTTCAGCGCGACCCTTTTGACCATAATATCCTTTGAAGCCGGACGCGGCCAGTTCTGGTCGGAAGAAGTCGTCGTAACTTGTTCGATCCAGTTCTTGCAAACAAATAATATCTGCTCGTAAGTCTCGTAGCTCTTCAATGATGAGTGTCTTTCGATAAGACCAGCCCAGTACACGTTCGGGCACCCAGCCGTAGTATGAGGGTGTTGCGTAGCGGTCACAGAGAATATTGTAGGTGATGGTCTTGATGGTATCTTGATCGTCGCCACCGGAAACGTCCTCCAACTCGTGCCATTCGCGATCTCGGGGGGCCTTAGGTTCTGGAAGATGTCAGTTAGCGTTGTGCTTGCGTAAAGTGGGATGGGGAGAAACTGACCAGGCATCGATTCACGCAGATACTCAACCAATTTTCGGGTTCCGCCTTCCGAGATCTTGTCCCGCTGGCCCTGTTCGAGAGGATTGCCATAGATGCCGAGCATTTCCAACTTGAATAAGAAGCCAACTTCATAGCAAAGAGACTGAATGTGATTGTTGAACAGCAGGAGATGCTTCAAGTTGGAGAGCATGCCGATTTCCTCGGGAAGCTCAGTCAGTTGATTGAACGAAACGTCGAGATGTTCCAGATTCTTCAACTGGCCAATCTCTCGTGGTAAGGTCTCCAATTGATTGTAGACGAGGTCCAAGCGCTTGAGAAAGTTGTACGTCGGGTTGAAGAGGACGGGGGAAAGGGCACAGAGACCTTGGCCGCCCAGGTCAAGTTCGTCCCAAGTCTGTTTGCTTGGGGCAGTGCCGTTGGTTGTGGCCACAGTTCCACGATTGTCGGCATGGATCTCTTCCGCAGCCGCTCCTAGGGGAACGTAGTTGACTCCTTTCGTCTGGTGTGCCACTGATCGAGCTCTCTGATTAGGACCATTAAGTTCTTTGCTCTCTTCCCAGCATTGCTTCTGTTCGCGCCAATGTTCGTTATCGGGCTCTTCGGGCTCGTCATGGGGTAAACCGTTACCGTTACCGTTCTGAAGATGATCATGGCCGTAAGGAGGGAGATGGGGGGTCGAGGATTGGAAGCCACCGGAGGAGAGGTTATGCTGATGTCCTAGTTGGCCGGCATGATGATGCTGAGGATGGTGCTGATTGACATTGTGGTGGCCATGGTGTGGTTGTTGATATTTAGGCATATGTATATTGCCATATCGTTGGTGATTCTGCGTCGAAGTCATCAATCCATGTTGGTTTTGGTACCCATTTTGTGAGTACATGTTAAAATTGTTGTTTTGAGAAGGGTTCACAGGCGAGCGGGAGGGAGACGGGGTGTCTGCGTTGAAAGGCCGTCGGGAACCAGGGGGAGGGGAAGTCGGGCGGTTGAGATTTCGGTGTGCGGTGTGTTGCTGATTGGGATAGAATTGTCCGGCGCCAGGTTGATGGAACCGGAACGCACCATCTGCCATCTAACCTGGCAGATAAGAGAGACTGGAAGGGTTCAAGAGGGTAGGATTGGACGCGCGAGCAACCGGAGGAGGATGGGTGGTGGGAAGACTGTGGTGGACAGGTGTGCGAGAATGGGGAGGGCTGCTGAGTTTTCGTTTTCTCAACATGAGAACCCTCAAGGAGCTCGACGCGGTCAAAGGTGAGGAAGTCGATGTTGTGTTAGTAAACACGTATCGTCAATGTCGGTCGCGCTGGGTGAAGAGTTGAGGACAAATATTCACAGGTTTGGCATTACTGCAACCTCGGGGGGTGAAATAGGGCTGAAGCTTGGACAAGGTTTGGACAAGGTGGCACAGGCGCAGGTCGTGAAAGGTGGGTTGCGGGGACAGGAGTAACAGTGAAGATTTCGACTCTGTGGCAATGAGAGGGTGACAATGTCGGTGACAATGATGGTGGAAGTGGAATGGATATATTCACAAATATCGATGGAAATGAGTCAAGGTAAGGATTGGTGTTGGTGTTGGGTTAGTCGGGCAATGCTGGATGGGATGGGATTGGAGATGGAGGTCAAGCACAAAGACTAACCTAAGACTGACTCTTGACCTTGCGGAGGAGAGGCGCAGAGACGCAGAGGGCAGAAATGCGCGAATTAGTAGACTATTCTACACTAATTCACACTAGAGGACACTAGTTCGTTTGGATGTTGCCCAAGTCGTCGCCAAATGCTCGATCTTGGGGTAGGAAGATGGAGGATTGTGCCAATTATTGTATGGCTTGGCTTTGCGTCAGACCACTAGCTCGGTTCCAAAATCCACTAGCAACTTCAAATTGACATCACTCGTTGAATTGATGGGATTCACTATCATTATTGGACATGGGTTGTTGTCTTGCCTTGGTTTGATCGCATCAGGATACTTTGACCACTCTTTTTATTGTTGTTGCTTTGTCTCGAGACTTGATATCAATCACGATGAATGTCGAACTTCGTCGTCAGGTCATTAATGTGTACAAGGGTGAGGCAAACCACACCAAGCTTGAAACCTGTCAGCTCAGGGACTAACTTCTTTAGAACTCCTTGAAATGGGCAAGCATTACCCTCTAGGTTATGAGTATTATCGGAATCGTCTACATAAAGCTTTCATGTCGCAAGCCAATCTGAGAGATGAAGAAAAAATCCGAGAAGGCATCAAACGCGCCGAGTTTGTCAAGAAGGAGATCGAGGCATTGTACTTTCTCAAGAAATATCGAGCTATCAAACAGCGATATGCTTGATAGAAGGAACCTTGTTCGATTTCTGATCGGTGACACCGTCCGTGGCAGACAGCATCATATCAGAGGTGTACCAGCCACATGCCATGGTGGCGATGTGAACTACGGAAACGCAGATTACTTCACCTTAGTCGCAGCCAGGCCGTTGGGAAGAGGACTACGAACCATCTCCATAGCAGTACTAGAAGGGACGGTCGCTTCCGAGTCCTTTGGTCACGGGTTCGAGACACTCTTCAGAACGCATTCAGGGAAGTCACCTCAACCCGACTTAGCCACAGAAGGTAATGAGCTTTCTCTAAAGATCTTTGAGCCTATGGAATTCCCGTCATGGGTCGCGAGAATACTGTGGCATGTCACTGTTCAATTCAGCAACGATATGAACAAGTCTGATTTCGAGACTAATCTTGATCAAGAGCCCATCTCTCTCGGACAGGATTAACCAGAAGACGACAAAACCATCTCACGACTACACCCTAGCTACCACCGATGCCAAGTTTCTCCCTCAAACCACTTCACTCCTTGATCTTCTGCTTATGGAAAAGCCCTATTCTCAGCCTGAGATTCTGGAATCAGTAATGGAGATCGTCCACCCAGTCTCAAGGGAACACGTACCGGGAATCTCAGGCATCCAATTATCCCGCTTACTGCAGCAGAATTGGCCTCTAGGGGGTAAACCGGTTGCTTAATCCAACGTGCCATAGAAGATGTAGGTGAAGTCGCCGGCATTAGCCTATTAGGGGGGGGAATATCTTAAAGATCGGTCTTATCAAATGGAAATGAAGGGAGACAAAAAGAAAAGGATTGGATCTGTCCGTCTATGTGACTTACGCCATAGTTGTTTTTGGGTGGGCAGTAATTGGATTCAACCAATATATATCCTAATGGACTCAAAAGAGAGAGTGAATGCTAATTTACCTTACAATTCCAACTGGGACATATGCTTGTCCTTGCTTGATCTTTATTGTCAAGTTCGATTTCACATTTTATTGCTTAACAGTAGCAACTTCCAGGGAACTTCATTGTATCGTATCGGTTGAGTCTCGTAGACTCGTAACACTTGTTGTGGACAATGGAAGTATAACTAGGTCTCTTGCTAGTCGTAGAATGTTTCGTACACAAACCAGACGCCCTCTCGTATTTCTACAGTAGGTGCTACTGTTACATAAACTAGAAGTGCTATAGTGTTTCTCCCTCCCCTCGATCTCGACGTCATGTTGCCATCTCCTCATAGCACGGGCGTCATTGAGGCAAGAGTCCTAATGACGAAATTCGAAATGTATTGTGATTGGTTATTGGGTACGGCGCGGATGCTTTGTCCGTTTGAGTATCTCGCAACGTCTTTCTGTTCTTGTCGATGTATTCACGAGGGGGTCGAGTCTCGCTATTCTCATCCCTTAGCTCCAGGCCAATCACCAAGCCAGCCGTGACAATTTCAATGTCATAGTCCGAGTGCCGCGTCGTGTTGATCTCTACAACAGAGCGCTGATAAGCGCCCATTGGCTTCTAAATTCTGTTATACACACACACATCCGACCATGTCAATCATCTCGAGTTGAAAGAAGCATGTCATTAACTTGAATCGTGGTCAAGAGTCATGCTGCGTCCATCATATGCCTTAGCTCTGTCATCCACCATCCTACAGCTTGAACTTCTCAAGATACTCCGTCGCTGCTTTGAGTGCGTCATCAACCTTGGACGAATCGGTTCCAGTACCGACAGCGACGGGAGCTCGGCCACCTGCCTTACCGCCAACGAGTTTCGACACGACGGATGACCATTCAGCAGACGAAACGCCGGCTTTAGTAGCATCCTAGAACAGAAAACATTAGCTTGATATCCCAACATATGGTATGGATCTGCTGCATGGATGTGAACTTACCGCGCTGACAAAACATCCGTGATACACCTTGCCCTCTGGATCTTGTTCGTCCGAGACCACAATGTACACACTCTTGTCCTTCAGTTTGTTTTGGACATGTTTGGTCACATCAGGAACAATCTTAGCGCTGCCCCCGACTGGCAGGCGTAAAACGGCAGAATGAGCCTCAGGATTGGTTTCGAAGTACTTTGTAACAGCATCGACCGCCTTCTTGAGTTGCTCCTTCTGCATCTTCTTTTGATGCTCCAGAAGTCCTTTGCTGATCTTCTCGGCACGATCCCGCAATTGCTTCTTCTTGACCGCAGAGATCGAAAGGGCGTCTAAATCAGACTGTGTCGCTTTGGTTTCTTGCTCCTTCTCAGGTCCATAAGGCAGTTTTTCTAGTCGGTCCAATCGTTCAGAAAACTCTTCTGCCACACGCTGCACCTCGTGTGCGTCGTCTCCAGTCACTGCAATGATTCGTCGAATACCTTTGGCGATTGCGTTTTCTTCGAGAATGATGAGGTCCTTGATATCGCCCGTGCTACGGACGTGAGTGCCCCCACAGAACTCAATGCTGACAGTCTTCCATCGTTCGTCTCCGACATTCTTGAGAATGTCATCCACCTCAACGCCGACAGAGACCACTCTAACGGGATCTGGGTATGTCTCTCCAAAGACTGCCCGAACTCCGCTGATCTCGAGAGCAGTTGCCAATGGTACGTCCTTAGCATACACCGGGCAAGCCTGTCGGATATATTCGGTGCATATATCTTCGATCTTCTGTAGCTCGGCATCTGTGACGCCGCTCTTGTGGCTGAAATCAAATCGCAGCTTCTCCTGGGCAACAAGTGATCCTCTCTGATCAACTCCATCACCGAGGACTTCCCTGAGCGCAAAATTGAGGATGTGGGTTCCGGTATGATTGTTCCGTATTGGCGACCTTCTAAACTCATCATATTCGGTGATGACCTCGTCGGCAACAGAAAGCTGGCCATATTTCAAGTAACCCGTATGCAAGACGTAACCTGCGTATAGCTGGACATTCTGAACGTCAAGCTCAGCCTGACCATCAATCACAATGCGACCAGTGTCGTACTCTTGACCACCTTGTTCCGCATAGAAGCAAGTTTTGTCGAGAAGGACTCCCAATTGATCACCTGTGGGAATAGACTTAGTATCCGAAACAAATTTCTTTGCATGGTAGATGGCTTGGATTTTGGCGGTGGTGTTGGATCGACCATACTTGGCAGAGTCGTCGGTTTTGGTGACACCGGGCATCTTCTCGAGTTCGCCGAGATCATGTACGTCGAGCTTGACAAGATCGCTGGCAGCTTTCTTCTCGCCCTTGCTAGCCTCCCTGGCCTGGAGCCTTGCGGTCTCGAATTCATTGTCATCAATAGACAAACCACGTTCCTGGGCCATAAGTCTTGTGAGATCGACAGGAAACCCAAATGTGTCGTACAATCTCCAGACGTCAGCACCGTGGATGCTGTTGATTCCTTGGCCTTGACTCTTTTGGGCATAGACTTCAAACTGCTTCTCGCCACGATCCAGTGTCTTTGCAAAGGAAAGTTCTTCCTCCTTGAGGATTTCTTTGACCTCTTCCTCTTTGGAGACGATCTCCTTGAACATACCTCCCATCTGTTGAACGAGGTTTGGAACAATCTTGGCGAAGAAGTCACCAATGTCCACATTGAAATACTTTCTGGCATATCGTGCTCCTCTTCTGAGAACTCTTCGGACGACGTACCCTCTTCCTTCATTGTTGGGATACCCACCGTCAGAGATGGCGAAAGTCAGGGTTCTGACGTGATCGGCAATGACTCTATAGGCGGTGTCGATACCATCTTTGTCATCGTCACCAAATTTGCCAGAATATGGTCTGGCTCCTGTAACTTCTTGAATTCGCTCGAAGATAGGTGTGAAGACGTCGGTGTCGTAGTTGGACAATTTATCTTGCAAGACGCTGACCAAACGCTCGAAACCCATGCCAGTGTCGACGTGCTTGTTGGGCAACGGACGCAGGCTCTTGTCGGGCTCTCTGTTGAACTGGATGAAAACATTGTTCCAAATCTCAAGCACATTGGGATCGTCCTGATTGACAAGATGGGCGGCGTTTCGACCTCCAATTCGATCGTAATGGATTTCTGAACAAGGACCGCAAGGACCTTGGTCACCCATTTCCCAGAAATTGTCCTTCATATCACCCGGGAGGATGTGGTCATCTGGGACTCCAACGGCCTTCCACAGTTCTTTGGCCTCAAGATCCGGCTCCAAGCCACCCTCTGGGTATCCCTCAAAATAGGTGACGTACAGGCGATCCGGGTCAAGTCCGTAGACCTTTGTCAACAACTCCCAGGACCAGTTGATAGCCTCTTTCTTGAAGTAATCACCAAATGACCAGTTGCCCAACATCTCAAAGAAGGTATGGTGGTAGCTGTCCTTGCCGACATCATCGAGGTCATTATGCTTGCCACCAGCACGTATGCATTTCTGAGAGTTGACAGCACGCTTGTACTGACCCTCTTTGCTTGTGGGGTCTACTGTACCCAGAAATATGGGTTTGAACTGGTTCATTCCGGCATTGGTGAAGAGCAAGGTGGGATCGGATAGTGGGACGACGGGAGAGGATTTGACTAGACATATTTATTAGGTGGGCAACAGTGTCAGAGGGAATTGCACATACCAAAGGCATGTCCTCTCTCTTGGAAAAAGTTCAAGAAGGTATCTCTGACCTCTTGGGCGGTCCACTGTTTCGTGGTCGCCATGGTTGCGGTTGTGCGCTGAGAGCGGAGACCGAGAAGAGGCGAGGAGGTCTTGAGACCCAGATAGGATTGATTCAAGCTGTGGGATATCAGACAAGGTCGAGAAATAGACTGATTTGGATCGTCGGAGGGAGTATGCCTTGTTGTAGAAGGACGAAGTGAGTGAATGCGGCGAGGTTGTAGAAATTGTGCGAGGGTTGGAGAAGTGAAGCGGCGGGAATTGTGAGTCAGTTCGCTTGTGTGGATGAGAATGCGGCGAGGGGAAGAAGTGATTGCTCTCCAAGTCGCTTCTACGAGCTGCGATTGACAGCTTGTGTGTCGCATCCAAGTCGATAACGGCTACTAGAACTTGGTTATATCGAATTGACAGTAACAAATGATCACAACTTCATTTGAGATCCTTTGTTGACTCTGACACGGTAAGTTCTAGTGGGTTGTTACAACGTCGCAGGTGAGAACTGTCCATGATTTTTTTTGATAAACCTCCATACCTCCAACGCAACTGATAGAACGCCTAAGTAGAGGCCCCCTGTGTCGCTCTAGCTCCTCCAATGGGACTGTGAGGGATCACGGGGACCAAGAGGGGTGAGGTTATTACCTAAGCTGCCCAAGTCTGCCCAGCTGCGTAGCCAGCCACCGCCTAGGACTTTATCTATCCGTTGAACCTGCCTCATCCTTATGGGGGTCCATGGTGGTTCTCTAGGCTTGGCCAAGGTCATATGAGGCTTGTCTCTTGTTCCATGAGATTCTCCAAGGCGGGGCCCAGCACATGGGAGCTCGACGAAAACGGCCTGGACTCGAGCCGACCGAGAAAATGCGTCAATTCGCATGGTAAGGGCCGGGACCACAGGGTCCAGGACCTATCGTGCCTACAGTATATCTACTAGCACTTACTAAGTGCGCATGCAGAACTCATGTTCTATACCGCCCTCGAGAGAACCAGACACTCGTTCACCTCAACATAAGCAAGTCACTCTTCTCTTTGACTGCAGCTAATTACTCACATACTCTCGTACATATAGTCAGCCAGTTCCCATCCCTGTCTGACTACAATTACATAACTGGGATCAACGGTTCAAAGAGTCAAGTGGACGACTCTGCGTCCAGGGTTACCCTCGTATTCTTCAACGTCTCTCCCCTTCCCTTTACCTCGGCCAGTACCAGTCCTCAGGTAGGGATCATCAGAGCCAATGCACCAATGATGGCATCACCGTCCCCGTATACGACCTATCCGCCATCGACGCCTACACCACCATGGCCATCAGCGATGACATCGTCGTTGAATCAACATCGAAGCAACCTGAGTGGGAAGCGGAAAGCCACCAACATCGATGTCGACGAATACGACCCCCTCTATCTTTCCGGCGGGAGCGGAAACACCACCAGCAGTAGCAGCATATCCTCTCAATTCAAGAAGCTGCGTCTAAACAACACTCGCAACCATACTAATCACTACCAGTCTGGACCGGCAACAACAGACGAAAGTAATATCAACACCCACCCCTCCACACATGTAACACCAGTTTCCTCCACATCAACCACCTACCTCACCACTCCTCCCCACTCACCCGTACGACGCCTTCACAAACCACACGGCAGTCCACGATCAAGACCACCGTCACCAATCTACACATACCACCCAAACAACCCTCAGTACCTCTCCTTATCACCCTCCATATCAACCCCTCCCATTCCCCCGTCATCCTCCTCATTCATGCCCATCGACGACACGCCCCACCGGATCGTGATCCACGATCTTGACGCCGAAATTGCACTGATCGAAGCCGAAGAACTCGCTCAGAAACAGACCGTCTTCCTTCCAGACATCGATAAGAAAGTCTCTAGCATTCCACAACAACTCTTGCAAAACCGATCGCCTGATCAACCACACATTTCCCCTCCGCAGAGCATCGCTCCACCTAATCACTATCAGCCATACGGCACATCTTCTGCTACATCTCTGGCCCCATCACAGAATTGCCCTTCAGCTTTGGTCCTATATAAAGACCCGACGAGCATCAGCGTTCCGGAAGAAGAAGACGTTGTTCGCAAGACGATTATCGAGGCAAGGAAGCGGGCCCGAGAGAAGGCAGTTGATGATCAGCGTGAGAGGGACTTGGCTAGACAAAAATTTCTAACGGAATACCGTAATCGCTCTTTCGCGGGCGATGGAGATGGAGATACGGATTTCGACGATGCTATGACGGATCAGTCGTCCATGGGTGGCGATGACGACGATGCAATGGAGATTGAATAGTCTCTCTCTCTCTCTCGTTACACTATTCTCCAGCAGGGGTCAATCAGAGGATGAAAGAAAGCAGCGTGGATGGCTTTGGCGAATGATTCATATTCCCTTCGTGTCCAATGGAGATACCTATGGACATGATGTGGAAAAGTCAGTCATTCATTCTGTTTTTGGCGGCTCGATTAAACAGTTTGTCTCCGGCCTCAACTCAAATATCAGCCATCACGTGCCAATGTCACGTGTGTGAAGGGATTGAACAAGAGTGATGGAAGGAAATGCCAGCCAAAAAAAAAGACTTCAGGAACACAGAAGGACTTCAACCTTCAACTCATGAATTTTCTCAATTCGAGAAGATACCATAGCCCGACGTGGGGGTCGAACCCACAGCCTTAAGATCACCAGTGTGGTAAGAGTCTTACGCTCTACCGATTGAGCTAGCCGGGCTTGCTTCCTGATTGTGGGCTGCTTCCCGGCTGTCGAAAAAGATCTGGGAGCTTTAACAACTTTTGGACCATGCTTGCGTTCAAACAAAACAGGCGTTTCCAGAGTTTAATTATAAAGATACAGTATGAGGCGCCAGGTGCCCGGCGCCCCGATACGATACGAGACGGAGAGGAGACATATATGTATATATGTATGTATGCACCAAAATTTTTATGAATCAATCAATATTTTAGCAGACGAAACCGTCGCTCGCCGATCACCACCAACGCCTTGCATGTATTTGCCTTTGTTTCAATCCATCCCCTATGCCATGCAGAGTGGGTTGGAGTAACTCCGACTCGAGATCTGTATCTGCTATTTTCTGACTACAACCCGCTGGAGTGGCGTGGCTCCAGCATGCGCAATCCACCTGTCAACAGACAAGAATGCTCATCTTTGACCCAACGCTGCTGCTGGCGGAGGCTGACTAGGCCCAGCCCCGTATGGCTGCGACCCGTCGGTGGCGGGAGGTGCAGTATATGTCTGATTTGGATCTGTCTTATTTGGCGCAGCAGGTGTGTAAACAGGCACGTATTCTGGTTCGTGATAGGCTGTAAGAAAAACCATAGTCAATATCGAAGCCCAAACAAATCGAATCGGTCTCCTCGTCGTAACAACTAGACTTACCAGGTGGCGGCGCCCCATAATGTCCCATCTGATAGGTCTGGCCGGGAGCATAGCCATATTGACCGGGTCGGGCGTTGCGATAGAAGGAGAAATGATGGGCATGTTCAGGATGTGCTTGGGCAAAGGCATAGCGTGACCGACGGGGAACGAGCCATCTATGGTACCGTAATGGTGGTTGTCCTTTGGCCATGCGGCGTCGTGCGTGCAGGTATGCTCCGAGGAAGAATGCCAGGCAGGCGATGACTAGGAAGGCAATGACGGACCATTTGATGATATAGGCTGTCTGTATAGAAGGGAGAGAGGTTAGTTTCGTGATCGGGGATCGAGTACAGAGAGAAGGAGGAAATCAGGAGTTGGAGTTTCATACATCTGAATACCACCAGCCCGGCCCATCATCGTAATATTGCCGTCGCACGAGGGAGGAGAGTTCCATGTTGGAGTTTATGAGGTCTTAGAGGTGTGTGTTGAGGGAAGTTCTGGTCGAAGAGAGCGAGTGTGAGTCGACCAAAGAGGCCCAAGTATGAGAGTGAGTCCAAAGTCAAGCGGAGAGTCGAAGTGAGTGACTTCTGCCGCAGTCGGAGTTGAGGTGGTACAAGCTGGTGACCTTCTCACTCAGGCGAGCGATCGAGCGAGCGACTTTGACGATAATCACTTGGTCCAAGATTCCGAATTCACGATGAATCGAGTTTCATATGTAGTAGAAATAAAGGTGAAGGCAACAGTGGTAGTAACAAGCAGTGGCAGAGTGGACAGAGGATAAGAGGATTCCGAAACATTGAAGTCCAAGCCTCGAGGGGCGCCAATCCAAGCCCAAATTCGGCTAGGCGTACGTGTACATACCAAGTTTCCAAGCCTCAGCCTCCAGGTTTGCGAAAGAGCCGTTTGAGAAGATGGGGGGTGGGGGCTGGCTGGTTGGAGCTTTCTGCTACCAATCCTTGCGCCATTTCCAGTGGCATTTGTGGTGGCAGGTCCGGGTCCCTGTCGTGTCTGCTTCCCCCCAAGTGGCTTAAGGTTCCTCGCATGGACTTGGGTATACGTACCTGAGGTGGTGAAGTTACTCCGTATTCGTCTCGTCTACAGCCTACGCAAGAGGCGCAGTCAACAAATTGTTGTGCAACTGTGTTGTTAGTCTGTACTTTATCTCGACTAGTTTACTCTACTCGTATACAGTCGTTTTTAATTGCTGCTTCGTATGCGAAACACACTCCAGATAATTCACGGCCACGATATGCCCATAATTCTATAATGAGTTTGGCGCCTCCTTACTCACCGCCAACCGGCAGAACATGTTGCCAGTCGTTCTTTTATAGGGTTTACAGTACGTGACGAACTCGCTTAACTTGAAGAGGATAGTATGTTTCACGCTTCGGTACAGCAGCAACTTATCGCCTAACTACCTACTATAATTTAAATCCCCAGCTATATTTTTGTGTGGCTACCATTGCATTATGTGTCTAACTTACAAGCCACTACAATTCGAGGACGTCGCGTTGCATAGAAGCAGGTAGGGGTTTTTGGCCACAACTTTCTCATAGGGCACAATAGTAGATGTTTAGCTCTATACGATGGGAACGATGCAAGGCACAAGCCGAATTCCCTACGGCAAATTTTAAAACTAAGGACCTTGGTTGTCAAGTGCAGTAGTCCAATCTGCGTACTGGCGCCTTATCTTACGTCTTTGATACAATACTCAGTAACTTGTTCCTCCGTTCTTTGCATCACTATTGAAATGGCATTCTGTGTCCTGCATTGACTTCTGTATTAGAGCTAATGTTGTGCGAAGCCTCCCACATAGTCCTTCGAAATCTAACCGCCCGATCCGCTAAGCCGCTTAATCAGTAGGATCGCAATTAGCTTCTCTAAGGGCTATTTGAGAGCTATAACACTATAACTCACCTAACCACTGCTGGGCCGATCCGATTGCGGGAGTGCACCGTAAGCTCGATGGCCCTCTGCTCCAAAAGCTTATTAAATATGCTGAGGTGCGAAACGTCTTGGAAACTCATAGTGACGTCCCGGAGGGCCTGCGCGAAGAGATACGACGAGAAGATTAGCAACGATATGACCGTAAGAGAAAAGCAAGAGCAGTATCTCCTTAAGGTTATCCTCCTGTCAATATTACTAATTATATGCCTAGCTACTCTAAGTTGACATCACAATCTCCACGGATGAAGGCTAAACTCGTAAACGCAACCTCGACGACGCTGAGTGCGCTTAATATTCCAGGCTACCACGATGACGCAGTGAAAGATTACGTCAGGTATCTGCAAGGCCAAGTTCGTAATGAACGTCATCAAGCTGAATTCGAAAAGGCCGGTGATATCGTCCTGGAGGACTTCATGGATCTTGATCAAGTCTAAAGAAAATATACTGCTGACTTCTTTACCGCACGAGATATAAAACAAAACCCAGCAGACTAATTCGTCAGGGATATTCCCGCCTTCATCGAACACGAGAAAGCGAAAGAAGATTGATTACAGTTCTAAAAGGAGTAATTGAATGTGCGGTAGGGTGTTTATTATTTTATATTGTACTGTACTAGTTAAGGACCTTCTAGATCCAGAAATCATGTCTTTCGCGACCTATTCATGATGGTTGAAAAACAATGCCAGTATTTCTGAAATGCCCCTTCGCACTGACACTGTCATTTCTGACCTCGTCGATACAGACTTTGAGGAATTCTTTCATATCCATATTAGGGTCTATAGTCCTCATCTGCCTCCAGATATACGCTTTCAACTGAGCAAAAGACTCTTCGATGGGATTCAAGACAGGCGAGTATGGGGATAGGTATATCAACCGTAGTCCGGCATTAGTATATAAATATTCAACCATTTCCGTGCGATGGAACGATGCGTTGTCTATAATAAATACAGGTCCCTCGTCGTAATGACGAAGGAGCTGGTCAACAAATTCTTTGAAGACCTTGCTATTCGTTATATCCTTGAACATACGTGGGAAAATAATGCCATTATAGGTCATCGTAGGCAGGATTTGGTGTCTTTATCCGCCATGAAAGCGACTAATCTAAACGGGCGTGACACCACCAGGCGACTATGCTGTACGTCTAAACCCAACCCATCTATTATAACCTGATTCGTCGATGAAGACGAGCTTCTCTAGGTCTAGAAAGGATAGGTTATATTAATAGGCATCTCTTAAATCACGACACTGTTCACCTGCTCGTCGTCGAGGGATTTTCTTCGACTAGCTACTTGACTTCAAAGTCCTGCTAATAGTCGGGAGCGAAACTCGACACTCGTACTTAAGTAAGAAAAATTCAGCCATGTCGTCGAGGTATAGATCTTTCTGCTCATCGAGAAGTTTATGGAGAGCCTCTAGCTCACCCTTTATTCATTGGTCCTCAATGGAGCACTGCGTGAGACCACACATGTGAGAGGACGCATTAGGCGCCTGCCGGTTTAATAACGTTGCCACAAATGCAGAATCAGAGGATCCAAATATATCAGTAGCGTGGCATGGTGGAAAAGAGAAAGGGATCGGTATAGCTCACGACGGGCTCAAATCGAATCGGCACCGACCACGTTTGGGGGGGCCAGAGTTTGCGTCCTCAATGCGTGAGTTTATATTGTATACGAAGCCTAGGTACTCAAGTCTGAAATGGTCTCATCGTTTTCGCCCAGACAGCTTCTGTTAATGACAAACAGATAGTGTAGTGATACGTAAGGATCCAAGCGACTAGAGCAACAGGGTGGATTCTTTGCACATCGCATATGGCTTTTACCCTCGTTGCGTAGAGGTTGGATGCACGATCGAGTTTGAAAGATCGGCGACCTATATTTTGCCTTCATTGGCGCCAATCCAATCCCATGGAAATAATAGGCGAACAAGGCATCTAACAGTGTGCTGATATTGGTACCTGTGGCCTCAACTCAAGCTCGGTCATGCAGCTATTAACTGTCTCACCATCTGAGGCTTCCTCCTGGTCGTCTACCTACATTGGTGTTTATCTACCGAGACATAGACTCCAGATGAGGGTTTTGTCTTAGGCTACGCTATTTTCTACATCGATCAGCCCTCGTCGTCAAGAGGAAGCGCAACGCTCACTCCCAAGGACCCAGAGATGCTCGGGGGCAGGCATTCTGGGTCCGGGAGGCTGCCCTACAGGACTGCTAAGTAACATGTTGAAAGCCAACACCTTTGGATAAGGGTTGGTAACATCTCCCAGCCTCCTGTACACTGTAGAGCTTTGCCTTTGGCTACAGATAGATGGGCTACCCCCTTAGCATTGAGGAAGCTCATTCACCTCAATCTTTGACATAGCAAGGCACTCCTCTCAGGGCCCGAGTGCCTCTCCAGGAAGTCGCGAGGGTGGTTAGTAGCGTGGCCTTGAGAGCCTCGCCGGGGACAACTGCCCACTACAACCCTTAGGTCGTGTTACGAACTATCTTTTTGCTTTGGAACCATTAATCAGATGGGACTCATAACATCATGAGAGCAACGGCCTGAAGTAAGGGTTTCCAAGGCACTGCAGGTGGACTCCGCCTGTCTGGTCAAGGGGAATCATTTCCCTGTTCACCGTTACCCATAGTGGGCTAGGTTTGACCATCTCTAGCTCCAACTCTGTCGCATACACGCCCAGCACCCGCCCCCACCTTTTCCACCTCCTCCAAAGTCTACATCCACATTTTTAGTCAACACCTCGATTGAGTTGGGACTTGCGTCTGGATCACTGCTTTGCGTGTGTCTTTCAGTCCATCGCTCGTAGTCGGTCTCCGCATGAAAGAGGACCCTCCGAAGCCGTCTTCAACCAGAAATAAACTTGTGTAGCAGAAATGATGCAAAAGAGGGACGTACTCCTCGAGCTCATACTTTCAGCGGGTAGTTCTAGATGTCGACGATGCGATCGTAGTTAGTCGAGTGAGATGGACCCGACCCCACGTGGATCTAGGAAATACAAATCCTATTGATTTACGAGCTGACGCCACGCCTCCAGCACCAGCATGCTTTACCTACTGATGGATATCATGATCGCCTCATAGTGGGCCTGGCTGTTGGGAAGAATGAAAGTACAGTGCTCTGTCCGTTCGAGGACATGCTGAAGATGGTCTGGGTCGATCACTCCACTCAATACGAACCATATATATGACGCCAGGCCCAGAATAGCTTGAGTCGTTTCATACTCGCGGCGCTGCCTTCTTGGCTGTTATGACAGCTCGGCTAGAATTCCTCGGACAATGCCCAGATCATGGCACGAAACTTCCCTTCTACGCAACGGCAGAATACCTGGCGATCACGTCTTCGCTCCAAACTCAAGTCGTACCGCTTAATCCCAGCTTACTTCTCAGACGGGGTAGATATTGAACGTCCTCGTTAGAGCGCTAGCGCTGTGAGCACAACAGTACCACCCATGACTTGGATAAGTATCGAGTCTGGCTATCTTGCAAACTTCAATTGCACTCATGGTACGCTGCGAAGCTGTGGCGGATACACTGTTCATCCGTTCGGACATTTTACATCCCCCTCCGTGGACAGGGGCTAGCAGCATTCCGAGTTTGCGGCCCCACTCGGGCCTATATACTTTTGGCAAGCCAACACTCTCGAAATTCAATCCCTCTCTGATCAACTCTAGGAGGGTACTTTTGACATAAATTTAAACCTAGAATACTTACTAGAAATGAAGTTCTGTTGCTCAACTTCCTAGGGTTTCCCTGCTAGATCGAGCCATAATTTAAAGAAATTTCAAGCTGTGAATTGAAAGGGCTTTTTCCTTATCATAGTTGGGTCCAACCTTTGATCTACCATGAACATATCATCTTGTTCTGCGAGCTGCCTAGTCGTAGGCCACACGCCGTTTCTCGGGTAAGCCGGGCATGGGCTTGTAGAGTCTTTGAATTTATACTGCAATCATACCTTCTTATCGTTTCGAGTGTAGGCGAAGAACGTATATACTCATCTTCTCACGATCAAAACAAGAATTTACTAAGACACGGTCTATAACCCTTCAAAACTGACTTAGTTGATCGAGATGGAACCACCTATCGTTCCAAGAGTCCGAACGCGGCTCACTCAAGACTATACGAGCGATATAGAGGTCATTAGGCCAAGTCCGCTAAAGGGCATGCCTCAGGGTTTCATCGATGAATCATCTCCGAGAACATCAACTTCAAGGTCGCAAGACCGGAATGCCGCAGATTTAGAATCGCCTACAGAGGCTAGACGCAACTTCCTACTAAGCCATGGAGCTCATCCTACGAGTCCAATCGACCGAAATACTTCAGGTGCCACCAGATCAGGGATTGGCACCTACTTTGAGAATGATAGCACTAACACCGTGGAAGAACTCCGAAAGCTAGACTTCAGCCTTGAGTCAGCGGCAGAGGATAGATCTTATGATTCATCCATCAACACTGCATCACACGCGACAAAAAAACCTACTACTACCACCTCTCACTCGTCAGCAACAAGACTTCCCGACTTTTTTGCTCCACAGATTTTCCAGGTTGTGCTCCATAACCCTACAACTGCGTACCAACTCTTGATTTTCAGTCGGTCCCGGCTCGCTGGAGAGAATATTGAATTTCTTCGGAAGGTTGAGGAGTACGGTATTTTGTTGGATGAAGTGGCAAAGAATATGTCCGAAATTCATCGAGAGTATCTTTCTGTCAACGCACCCAGTAAAATCAATCTCGAAGATGGTGCTCTCCTAAAAGTCAATCGGGATCTGAAATCGGCACTTGTTTCCACACTGCCTACACTCGAGGTGGTTTTTAACGACTCCCAGAACAAAATGGAACGTGTTGTTGCTGAGGACATTTATCCTCGCTTTGTACGACATCAGCTCACGGCGAGTGCGGTCAGGGCACTTGCTACCGATCGGAGCAATTTTGCTGGGCTGGGAGACTGTTTCGTTCTATCGGATCCTAGCAAGGCCGACAACCCTCTTGTTTTCGTTTCCGACGGATTCGCCAAAGTGACGGGATATGACCGCAGAGAGATCATCCCTCGTAACTGTCGATTTTTACAATGTCAGGAGACGGATCGAACGGTTGTGCGCAATATTCGCAAGGCACTCGATTCCTGCGAGGAATGCGTCCAGTTACTTCTTAATCAAAAGAAAAATGGGGAGCCGTTTTGGAATCTACTGTACATGACACCACTCTTCGATTCCCGTGGGAAGGTTGTTTTCTTCCTTGGAGGGCAGATTAATTGTTCCACCACAATTCATAGCACCTCGGATGTGTTACGAATTCTGGCAATGTCAGACGAAGCGGACGAGGAAGGCGACGCTCCAGCAAACCCCCCAGAGGTACAGAAACACAGTTCTCGCGCGAGCAAGATTCTGGCCCCTTTCAGAGGAAGAAGCCAGCTGCACACCCCACAGCGGGCACCTGGGATGGAAAACGAGCTCCTCAACAGAATCGAGAAGGAGAAAATGACATTCCAACGACAGGTGGACACCTTCTATACGGCTTACTCTAAAGTAAGTACTATGTACATCCCCCTATTTAAACTTTCTATTACTAACCTTCCCGCAGTATATTGTCATTAACGCATCGACTCTTTATATATCGTTCCATTCCGCGGCCATCGCTACACTCCTCCATCCGGCAAAGCCTTCGCAGAAAGCCGATTTATGGACAAGCCCACAGATCGTAGGGCTGGAAATCTTTCGCTTTTTATCAGTATACTCTAAGACGAGGCTAGGAAGTGACTTCAAATCCCGCGTCAGGCTTGCAATTAGGGCTGGTAATGCGATAAGTTTAGACCTGACTCTATGCACTAAACGATTAATGGGTTTTGAAAAGTTTGCCTCGCACTGGACACCGTTGAAGAATGAGGTCAACCAAGTTGGATGGGTGGTACTGACTCTGGGTAGTCTGAATGATTAATCGGGCAAATTTGACGTGGAGAAGGATACGGCGATTGATCAGCCACGGACCTAAATCGACATAAAGATCCGAAAGCATATGATCATTTCTCATCAGCAGAATATCTTGTGCCAAAAGCACTCGTTTTATTGCTACGAATTATCTGAAGCGCCCGCCACTCCTTGATAGTAAGTTAGCTTCGATTGAAAGATGGTCAGCTCTAGAGAATGGTTTCAGCCTTTCATAATAAATCCCTATTACAATTATCTATCTAGTACGGGAAACGACATTGTCATAGACATGATAGGACTATTAACGGTGAAAGACTATATAGGCTCGGCCTCCGCCTTCTACTAAGTCATAGATAGATTGATCCTTAAATCGCTCTAACTATCTATAGCTGAAAGGGATGCGTATAAGGTTATAGTTGGGAAGATCATACTTAAGAGATCAGGAGAACATCCGAGGATCGTCGAGTACGTTGGTGTTCACTCCACGGTAGCGATTCCCAGTTGCCTGACGAGGCTCCACTTTGCTTTCCAATCATTTCACCGTCCTACGTCATTTGTACTGTAGAGGAGGATATACACGTTTTCGGCGCGCGGGAACAACGCCAAACCAAAAACCAAAACAAGAGAGAATCGATGAAGTTTTCGTCGCTAGGAGTGGCTATTGAGATAGACTCTCTCTCTCTCTCTCTTAACTCGTTTTGCTCGCTGAACTCACTGACTAAACTGGATAAATGACTCGACTAGGGCTTGACTTGAATGAATGACTATTGTTGAACTGCCTGATGGATGACTCGCTTACTTGTTTGATTGATATCTCTCACTCCTCGATATCCTCCTATTGAAGGAGGTGTATGTCCTCGGATGATGACTCAGCATCGCCAGTCTTGCCTAGGTAGTCTAGAACGAAAACAAACTAACTAACCAATCCTCCTATCGCCTCACTCCAGTACATACCAGGTTAACAACCAGGACTACCCAGTGCCGCGCTAAAGCCTCCATTCCCACTAGCCTAATTCAACTAAGCTTGTAAATTTCATACCGTAAGTGACAAACAGATGGCGACCCTACTCCGTAGAGTGAATTTGTTGGTCTTGATCTAGCTAGCTTTAGGTGGGGTGGAACCTAGAAGTGGTCCCTTGATATTTTAGACCATGTCTGCAATGCGAAGCTGCAATCGAAAACGCCTGTAAGTCGTTTCGAGTCACTCGTCGAATAAGTTTTCAACCTGAGACCAGATGTACTCCGTATGCGACGTATGCGAGAGTAGTATACTTTTCTCAATAGAAGAATGAATGAATGGTCTTGATTTGTCGATCCCTGCAGCTCTTCTCCACTCTGGGAGCCAAAGTGTGAAGACGGTGACGCAGGGGTGACATGCAGCCCTGCCAGCCTGTCAAATAGCAGAGGATAATATCATTGCTGACATGAGGCTGTGGATGCTCATTTCGGTTTCACCAATGCTCTCGGCTATATTGAGTCTATCTCCTTAAGGCTACAGGAGGGTCTTTACTCCAGGCTCTGCACCCTGAGTTACTAATTACAGTACCTAATCATATTGTTACAGGTACAGCTATTCAAGCCACGTGACAAGTGTCGAGACAGGCATGTTTGTACGGGCAGTCTCGCATCATGTTGGAATCACTCATGCTCATCTTATGAATCCAATTTCATAGAATTACGTTGAAGGTACTAATCTGCTACATCGCAGATGGCTAGGTATCCTCCAACGGACAGGCCAGCTTTGCCTTGAAAATCAACTTTTAATCTGGGTCTTCCACCAGATCTTCCACAGTAGCATGTCTCTTTTTCGGGTCTGCTGGAGAATTGTCTGCTGCTGAACTGCTCTCAGCCTGTTGTTCTCCATTCATCTGCTGTGCGCTATTTCCATTTGAATCTGCGTTGTGAGACGAGCTAGAGGCACCCCATTGTGGTAAGGGGAGGCTCGACACTGGTTCGGTAGCGGCTAAATGAGGTTGTTGATCTTGATGCGACTCTCCATTGGAGTGTCGTGTAGCCTCTTCTGTGGATGAGATATCAGCTCGGATCTCTGGTTGCCCTGAACCTGCTCCGTTTGGAAGAGATGCCAACAATTGGTCGAGTTGCTGCAGATCATGCTGCTGCAAAGAGCTCGAAGAACCTAGCAATGGATTTTCTGTGTTGATAGTTGTGTCTTGTGTAACTGTCGTGGACGGTCGGCTGTGTGCGCTTGCTGAAGGTCCGTTATTATGAAGAGGCCCAGAAACTCCCACGGCTGCCCCAGCTGGAGGTGTTGGGCCACCAGCAGCCCGCGGCAATACCGGAGGAGGGAATTGGCCGACAGGCGTAAACTGAGGGAGTTGTGGGAAGCCAGGAAGAGGTCCAGGCATAGTCCCAAGGAACTGCCCGTTCGACCCAAAGTGTTGAATGGAAGTCGCGGGCACTGAGAATGCAGAGACTTGTTGTATCTGGTGACCGGGAGAGACTGATTGCAGTGGTAACATGGTCCAGCCTTCTGGCAAAGTGACCCCTGGCGGTAATCTGTCACTTCCCGATCCGACCGGAGGCTGTTGTGCATCAGCCATGAGGGTTGCTGGGGCTCGATGGACTGGTGGAGGGGGGAGTCCAGATTGCAAATTCGGTGCTGCTTGTCCTGGAGCCTGATTCCTCAGTCTTTCCAACTCGGCTTGAAGTGAGCGGAGAACAGTCAACTCATTGGCGCTCTGTGTCAATGTCTCGATCTCCTGGCGTATCTGGGCCTCGACAGCGTCAAGTCTCTCTCGAGTGGTCAACTCTTGATTGTCTCGCCGTCTTCTGCGAACACCAGTCCATCGAACGCCCAAGCCAAACTGACGTGGTGCATTAGGGTCCACATCTGCTGGGGGCTGAGGCCCTCTGACTGCACCAGCGACACCACCAGCATCACCCGCTGCAAGTCGTTGCTGAAGATCTTCAAACATGTTCCCACCTCTGACAGCACCGAGTCCAATGCGGAGAGGACCAAATTGATACACTCGAGGCCCAGGTCTTGCGGCGGGCGGATGGGGTCCTGCCTGGCCTTGACCACCGGCGGCTTGGGCGGGCGCGCCGGCATTCGCCCGAGCACCGGTAATCCCGTTGGCACCCTGCCCAGTTTGCACGACATTTGCGCGACAGGTTGGACATATCTGCTGCCGCTCCAACCAACTCCGCAGGCAAGAAAAGTGTAAGACGTGTCCGCAAGGGAGCTTCTTTGGTCTCATTCTTTCAGCAATGGGGTTTGGCGGGGGCCGAGGACCGCCGGCTTCAATGACAGGTGGCTCGTATGGTCTCATCTCCTCCCTGCATATGATACACACATCCTCTCTCCCGATATCTTCTGCGGTTGCATCGGGATATCGCTCATTCATATCCCGGGTTGCCGTACGGTACTTCATAAAATCCGAGATTCGTTTGATGAAAGATCGCATGGTGAGGAAGACATCGCGCAAGATGTGAATTGGAAGGCCATAAAATACAAGAAGAATGAAGAAAAAGGCAAGGTAGATGACCAGTTTGAAAAAGTCGGTGGCAAGATCGAGGTAAAAGACATAACGCCCTTTATCTTCCCAGCCTTCAACTTCGACTTCGTTGTCGTCGACCGGCTCATTGAGCGAGTCTCGCATCACTTGTTCGAGTGTGCGCCGTGTTGGGGAAGGTCTGAGTTGGGTCGCTTGTTCGTCTTGTGGAGGAGTGCTGGTAGATGGGCTGGATTCTTGAGCCAGGTGTTCTCGGTATTCCGTAACAGCAGCGTGCATTCTTTCTTTCTTGATCTGCTCAATTCTTTGCCGCTTTTGTTCCCGGACGATACCAATCTCGATCAGATTGATTGCATATCTGACGGCCGTGCTGATACTAGTGATGGACAAGACTCCGAATTCGAAACCAAACATGACCATCATATCCGGCTTAGCCTGTCTCGCAACCTGTTTGACCACATATTCGAGCATGGACATGTCAAAGGCAACACTGAGGCCCAGACTGAGAGCGAGCCGGGTGTGGAAGAGTCGTGGATTTCTAGGAGGTTGTTGTTCCAACAGTTCTACACGACCCTCGCCAATCCAGCCCCAGACTTTACCGGCAAGTAAAGAAAAGAACATGGAAAGAAAGGTGAGGCCGATCTCGCCTCTGAACACAGTCATGGCCAGACATGTTTCGGTGACGGCGAACCAGGCCTTCTCATAAAGTTGTTCCACTTCGATGGGACGCAAGTTGCCATAGAGGAGTTTCTGTAATCCGAGCAATAAGGTGGAGGCGATGACGAATAGAAGATTTGTGAGGATCATCAAGTTCGCGGAGGACTGGGCAAGGTAGACGGCGGCAGAGTAGAAGTTGGGACGTTGAGCCAGGGCTTTGACCACGACGCCTGCTGCAAGGGCAGTTGATACCTAGAAGCAGCTGTTAGTCTATGACAAGTAGGAAAGTTGGAAGAGCGGTGGACTGACCCCAGCGTACGCGGTCCATCTCAACCTCAACCTCCCAGCCATGCTGTCGATGTGTGGTGGAAGTCCAAAGACGATGGTTCAAGTCAAACACAGGGTGCGGAGGACTGAGAAGCCATTATTAAGGCGCCAGTAAGGGAATCCGACTACACACTGCGCGTGAACATGAATTGAGGGTGGTTAAGGTGCAGTAGACGAGGACGATGACTGATCAGAGGGTTCCTTTGCGAGGTCGTCGTGCAGAGAGGTGGACTTGTGAAGGATGTAATAATCGAGGCGAAAGGTGTCCAGTTTCCGGGATTCTGATGCTGGGAGAGTAGAGTTGCAGCTTATGTCACCAAATTGGATCAAATCAGGTGCGGGCGTACACCTACGGAGTAGGTAAGGCACCATGGCACGCACCGCATGTCAGGGTGCCACGGTGCACACGCAGGCGGCGGCCTGGCCTTGGTGCAGCCTCCGCGTGGATACCCCAAAAGTGGCGTCATTTTATGCATGAGCCTGCATACCAGTCAGGCCAGTGCTCCCTATGATTTCTGATAGCCAAGGATCCATCTGTTTGCTCCTAAGGTCACAACCCTTTAGCTTTAACATGTCCACTCCATGCACGGACGACGTCGTCCGTCTAAGGGCATTCACAATACATTGATACATGGAACTGCCTACTAGAATTCTAGTACCAAAAGAGCATTATGGCACCCTGAATGCTCTCAGCCTTTAGATGCTGTTCCTATGCACCATGCCTAACATCTGTTCTCCTCGGTCCTCGGTAGGTCTGGTTGATTGCGATATTTACAGCCTTTGTGAGTGTGTATTGAAAGGCATCTGTTATGAAATTCTCCTGATTTTAGGGGTACATCCGATCCTCGCGCCGTCCTTATGCTCATACTGTTCTGCTGCCATGAGAGATTGAGTTCCTGCTCCTCCTGGATACTAGAACTAGACCTTTTGGGAAGGAGCGAGTGGGAGATGCTCTTTCCCTCTGGCAGGGCGATACTACGTGTCTTCTCACCACGAAAACTTCAAAAACTTCAGACCATTGCTTTCCAATCTACTCATCGACGAGCGCATGATGCTGCCTGTCTTACAATGGCCAACTTCAACTTGACATCAATGAGCCTGTCGTCCTGCTCTCTTTTACATTGCTGGTCGAGGCGAGCTGGTTCAGTTCTGCTATCTTCGTTCGACATGGATCTGATTCTCAAGATTCAGGCTCTTCTGCCCAACCTCACTCGACTTCATGTATGTGTCTTTCGGTCACATCGTCGTCATTCACTAACCTCGCTTGTTCCAGTCGAAGAAATGATCACCCAGCCCCTCCCTTACCGCTTTTTAGTGAAACTTTTCCGCTGGTCAATGTGGACAGATGAAATGCGCTCTGATACGTCGGTGACGAAGAACGAACTTATGGCGCGTGGAAGTCATGTGTCAGATGCTCCATATGGAGGAGGGGACCGACCAACTCGCCGGCCTCCTGTCGCGACTGTGACCATCACAGTCACAGAAAGCATGTATTCCACAGGCTCTTCCCAGTCCAACAGTCGAGCACAAAACAGTGACACGGACGTGGAATCTTCTCACACACCTCCAACTCTCACCGTTGTCGTCACCGTCCCAGCAACCACTGATATAACCCTCTCCTCTCAGTGGACCGGTCAGGAGCAGAACAGCAACACAACAGCAACCGTTGTTACAACTACATCTGTGCCTGACGGCATGATTACTCGGACTGATACTTCCTTTTCTACCGCCCCTACTGGTTCTATGACAGGTTCAAACGGGACTACCGACTCCACCGACAGCCAGTCTAGTGGACAGGGTACTATATCGGAGCTATCTTCTGCAACAAATAGTGCTATCACGGACACACCAAACTCCATCTTTGTCCCAGCTGTAGCTTCAGCCGCATCTGCTGCTTCCTCGGCTGCATCAGCGATCTCCGACGACCATGGCGCTAATACTGATGCTTTGCACACTGCATCCTCGATTATGAGTGCTCTTGCCTCCTTGGCCAGTGGCTTCTCATCCACTGGCCCTTCAGACAATACTGAAAATTCTCTTGCACAACTCTCCTCTGTCGCAAGCGCAGTCTCGTCCATTGCAGAGCTTGCATCAGAGCTAGGAACAAAATCTGAGGAGCTTCCGTCTGCTGCTCCGTTCATCGCATCTGCTGCCTCGATTGCATCATTGGCCGCGTCCCAGGACTCTTCTTACGCTAGTGCTCTGTCCGCCAGCATTTCGAGCCAAACCAGCGCCTTGCGCTCGAGCACGTTCTCCACGATTGTAACAACGGTTCCAACAACAATTGTTGGGTCTGACACGACTCTTACTACCGAGACTACTAATGTGACAGTCATCCAGATCTCCTTGTCCGATAGCCCTTCTGAGGCGGCAGGAACCACATCACTGGCCAGCTCGGAAAGTCCAGATTTGCTTACCACGTCTCTGTCTTCATCCCCTTCTTCTTCCACTTCTTCTCTCACATCAACTATGTCTTACACTTCTTCTCTCACATTAAGCACATCTTCCGCTTCTTCCATGACCACAACAAACGCCCCTTTGACTTGCCAACACGATGTGAGCCCGTAGTGCGGGTTCGTCTCGAGATTTGAACTGTTGACCCAAGAGTCTGGCAGCACTCAGAATTGCCTCTGTCCTATCTGTTTCGATCTCTCCCAAATATGCAGCGAGACCAAGCCTGACCTTTCAACTTGTCCAATTGATGCTGGCTGGCTATGCCCTGTCATCACGACAGGAGATGATCCAACTGTGAGTTTCAGCCCAATAGTTGGCATCACTTTCCCAACTACCACGCCAAGCATCTGGAGCATCTTTCCCGAGATGATCACGCGAACAGACAGAGATACGGACAGGACCAGCGTCACCTGGAGTGCCACGTTGTCCACAAGTATCAGGTCGTTGGACCATGGAGTGAGAATCAGATATTTCACCTGGACTTGGGAATGTCCGCATCCATTATGTGCTGCTGTCAGGCATGGTGAAAGACTGCTCCATCTTGCTGTCGATCTACTCAAGTGTCTCTTCCCAGGAAGATGTAAACCTCCGGGTAACAATGGTTGGGAGTGGCCACCGGTTTGAATCTTCGTGTCATCGTGCCGATTGGTAACTGACCTTTGGATAAGGTGCCTGCACCACCTCCGTACCCGCCACCAGACTTGGAATGGATGACTGTACCAGAGACTTATACAGAGACTGACACCGACCCTGCGGTAAACCCTGCCACCGAGCCCGTCACGCAGCCCACTACAGAGCCTACCGTCGAGTCTGCCACCGAGTCTGCCACCGAGTCTGCCACCGAGTCTGCCACCGAGTCTGCCACCGAGTCTGCCACCGACTCTACCACGGGACCTAGCACAGGACCTAGCACAGGACCTGCCACAGGGTCTACCACCGCGTCCACCACCGCGTCTACCATCACGTCTACTACAAGACCTGCCACCGAGTCCTCTCCTAGTAATCCAACAACTACTACATCTATCGAGTCTACCACCTCAACCTTGTTGACCTCCGCCACGTCTTCTTCGTGTTCATCGACGGTGTTTTCAACATGTACGGAATCCTGTGTTAACATGAATGCGTCCTCTACAACAACCGAGACGTGTTCGATAACGTGTACAACCCTTACAGGATGCCTTGCTAGTGTTTTCTCAACAGCCACAACATCAAGTGCGACGGTTACTGTCGAAGCCTGTCAAGCCACACAATGGTACAATGGCAAGTTGTTTTCTGGTGGTACTCCCGACCGATATGGTAGCTGACTCATTCCTAGAGCCTGATGTTTCCTCTCAAATTTTGTCTTGGTTTACCCAATTTCCTGACTTTAATTTACCAGATATGGGTTCAAATGATACGATATGGTCGGACGCAACTGATCTGTTCAATGGAAGTGGTCAAGAGAGGACATCCACAACTAGAACCGATTCGACTATAATGCCTCCCTCAGATGCACCGACATCAAATTCTGACTCGACGTCGCCTTTTACGCCGGCCTCAAATTCCACTTCTGTCTCGGCCTCAATAACTACCTTGACATCAACAACGAGTTCAAACCCGACAAGCTCCACCTCTGTTTCAACGTCGATGACCCCTACCTCAACTACAACTTGGACGTCGAACTCGAGCTCGACGTCACCTTCGTCCTCAACTGTATCACCAAGCTCAGGGTCCTCTTCTTCTACCGTTTCAAGCACTAAGCCTTCCACTACCTCTTCAATTACCTCATCTGAGGGGTTTCCAATTCTACCAAGTAAGCCAACAAGTTACACCACACTTTCGACCTCGGCAAATGGAGACGTCTACAGTGGCGTTGCTGGATCGCAAGCGGGACACCCTTTCTGGCTTTCCACAACATTGCTAGGCCAACGATTCACTGCGACACGCACAGAGCGAAATGGAATGACCAAGACGATTGAAACATGCGAGGGATGGAAATTACCAGGCATTACAACCTGCACGAACCAATGGGCGGTGTCGACAGTCATGCCAATTCCACTGCCTGAGCAAAGGATATATTGTCAACAGTGGAATCCCGTTGGGCCGCTACCACGAAAAGGTCGGGTAAGATGCGCCACGAAGGAAGAAGCAAACGACTTATTTCATACATTTCATATCTTCCGCAGGGGGACGATGAGGGAATTTGCAAAGGACTTCTGCAAAGAACTCATTGAGAAGAAGATCTTCTTTTCGAATGATGGTTCTCAGAGGACTTTAAATGGACAGCAGAATTCGACGGGAGAATGTGGGAGTTATCGGGTCAAAAATACCAATTACCAGATGGGCATTGGGATTACATTTGACTCGGCTGCATGTAACCGGGATGGCAAGCATTCCGATGACAAGTGGCTCAGTGGGGTTGGAATGAAAGAGTTTGGCCTGAAAGCGTGTGTGAAGGCTATTGGAGAAGATATTCCAGGAAGTTGCCTGCTACCGGTACCGCCAGTAGTCGGTAGCTTTATGATTCAAGATCTAAGCCACGGAGGATCTTCGTGGCGGCATTGTCTGCGCTTCTCTGCCATTGGGTACAACAACAACAGCGGGCAATCAGTTCCAGATACCATTCATATATCTACATAAGAGGAGGTGTTTGCAAGGTGTGAAGGGCCGAACAATGGAGTCGTGTCACAAAGAGGTGGGCCATGAGGAATAGATGAGTGAGGACAGTGACAGTAGACTAGCTTACAAGGGCCATGGCAAAACAAGGATGTTTGTTCGATCATAACATTAGTTGTGATGTGTATGGACTGGTGAATTATAGAGGCTCTTCTATATATATGTGACTTAACATGGAAGTCATACAGTCCCACATGACATGGATAATTGACCAAAGTGAGATAGTTTCCAACCGCCGAATAATATGCTTCTCTTGAAAATGGCGTCTATACATTGCGTCCGAGGATATATATGCATGAAAACTGGTTGTGACAGTGTTGGTGACAGTGGTGGTTGTGGTTGTGGATGCTGTGATGATCATAGTTGCAGTTATATGGCGATATAAATATTCTAGTTTCTGGGTATCCGAGTTCATGTCATGTTTGTTTCTCCAAATCAAAACCCATCTCCTTCTTTCCAAACCCTCCCGGCACTTTCCGCTCTGACTCTCGGATCCGTGCCAGCCTTGATTGCATTCAAGCGACGATACTCGAGATCTGCATCTAGCTCTCGGATCAGAGTCCTGAGTTCAGCGTCTTTACCCGGTTCGGGGATGTCCAGGTCGCCGATCTCGACATCGGGTTTCCATCTCCAAGTAGATAGATCGAGCATAGATCTAGACCCAGATCCGGATTTGGCTCCACCAGACTTATCGTCAACAATGCGAAATTGTTCGATTTTATCCGCTTTTTGCTGCCACTCCTTCAAGGCCTGTTCATGGACACGTTTCTGGTAGCGTAATTCAAACCACTTGTCAAACGCCGCTTCATCCTTGAAACACACACCAAACCCATCACAGTAACAAGTCCGTTGATTCGGACAATTGATGGCCGTGTCGGCAAAGATAACCTGCCAAATATATTCAAAGATCCTCCCGGACATGGTATCTCGAATCGGCGACTTCCGCATCCAATTACGATAATGTTCATACTCATCCTTGGAAATCCGCTGGATTCGTTCCCTCGACAAAGCGAATTGCGAACAACACGGTTGGGCCAGGACTTGCGGAATGGGTTTTCCGGGGAAGATCTCTGCCCACGCTTCGGCGATCATGGATTGTTCGAGTTTTTGTTTATCAGGTTCGATTTTTCCCGGGTGGATCCAGTCGGGACAACCGGGCTTCCAGTGACAGCGGAGATTCATGTATCCTTCGCGAAGGACACGTTCCGTGGAGAGACGTTTGATCATTTCGCCGGCGTCGAAGTTGAGAAGGTCGTCGTTGTGCCATGCCAAACGGTGTGAGTGCATGAAGATATTGACGTCGGCGAGATTGTCGTAGAAGTCGAGGATGTAGGTCAGGTAGACCATGACTTCGTGGCCTTTGTTGACAGGTGGGTGGAATTCGGCGGTGGGGTCGTCGGCGACGTAGATTATTCGTGTGGGTGGTGAGGGGCCTAGGTCGACTTGGTCGAGCCAGGTGACGTTTTCTTTGAGGGTGCGTGCCATAATGAGGTTGCGGGTGTGGTTTTGTTGTTGGTGATGATGATGGGGAGAGGGGGTCCCTGGGGTGATGTATGGGCCTAGGGGATTGGTGTTGGAATGGTTGAAGAGGCCTCCTGGCCGGGCTCCTCCTTGTCCACCGCCGTGAGCGGGGGTCGGGAGGAGAGGTGGATTGGTAGGTCGCTCAAATCCATATTGGTCTTCTTCGTTGTTGAAATAGTCGCCCAGACCAATGACTTGAGGGACTTTGGTCCGGAGTGATCGGACGGTCAGTAATGATGTGGCGGTTTTATAGTAGCCGAGGATAATGATGATGATTGATATGGATCCCAGTAAAACGAAGCTGCGTTTTATGTGGATCATGGTGTAGATGGGGGGAATGAAGGTGGTTGTTGTCGTTGAGAACTCATTCGATGTATTTTGTACTATTGATATGGTGGTGGTGGTATCCAAGTGGTGGAGGTCTGCCACGTGTCCGGCAATCGGCTATTGAGTGAATAGGATACAATCGATAGATTACCAGAATGGAGAAGTGGGTGGACTCAAATGCAAGCAGTGTTTCATGTCAGTCGAATAGATGGTGTAGAAATCCCTTGGAGAAAGAAGGCCAGCCCTCAGCGAGATAGATGGATATGGTGTGTTGATTAGTGAAGGAGTGATGCGAAGAATAGTTGGCGAAAGATGAAGCAAAACTCGTGGTTGGGCTCCAGTAAATAGTCCTATGCAGGAGTAGCGTATGTGAATGCGGGAACATATGGTGTGGAGTGAGATGGAATCGAGGGGAGAGAGGGTCGACGAAAGGATTCCACTTGTGATATAGCGTCGACCGGGGGAAATAATGACATGTAAGCACCGAAAGAGAAGAGCAACAAGTACTCGTGGCACTTCAAGGTTGATGATGAGTGTGGAAAGCGTGCGCAGCGTGTTTGGTTCTTACGGTAAGCCGATAACTGCTCCCGACAAGTACTCCGTAATCAACATGTGAATATTTGATCAATGTGGAGCAGACAATGTCGATGAAACAAGGGACAAGGACATTGAGTTTTGATGACGAATGAGGGTGGATGGGTGGATGGGTGACCTGACGACGCGTCGACTTGACCTGAATTGACTCGAGTAGACTTTTGAAGGAAATCTGTCAATGGCGTCGTGTATAGTGGTTCCAAAGGTTCCAGTGTATCCAGCGTAGAGGTACGGTATCCACTGAACTACTCCGTACACTGATGTACAGTTTGCATTCGTATGACCAGGAGATAGACAGCCACTCCGACCGCCACCGAGACAGCCACCAAAAGACACCGAAGAACGGTTACGATTAGCTGTCAGCCGTGCGTGCAATGTAGTCTGTGCAGTCTGTCAGTCTCTGAATCGACTTTTCCGTCACGTGTCTGTGCGTTTTTATTCCTTCTGATTACGTCGACAAGTGGACCAGGAGAATGTGAGAGAAAAAAAACATAACAAAGACAAAAAGATAGGAGAGACACACGAGATGGGCATGGCATGGTAACGGTGACCAAAGTGGATGGATTTGGCCCCATTAACAATTCAAGTTCAGCCGGTTACACAAAAGTGTAAACATCAGTACCATAGGAATCACGCCCAGTACTACTTACAAGCACTCGAGGACTCCGTAGTCGGCCTATCGTATTGTTATTGGGACACACGCCCCAAGCACCCATACCAACCGGGTGCGGGCGGGAGTGGCATGAGTGGCATGAGTGGCAGTGGCAGTGGCAGTGGCAGTGGCAGTGCCAGTGCCGGTGCCAGCTGACTGATTGACTGCCGATGAACTTGGGCCCCAAAATTGGCTGGATCCAAGGAGCAACCAAGCAGCCACAGTACGGAGTAGGTGGGTAGGCACGTACCCCGTAAGTAGCTCCGATGGCGCCCCGGGCCCTGAAAGCTTTTGTTAGGTGTCACGAAAAGCTTAGCATTCACGACGGAGCATTTGACCCTGACGATCAGAAAAGATCAGCCTAGACCGTCACATTCAGGGCGCCGGGGCATCTCAAAGGGGGTTGCCCTGCAGCCAGTGACGCCTGCGACGCATATTCAGATCTAGGAGGCCTTCAACAACAACAATAACAACATCGTACGCATATCAAAATATGTTTCAATTACATATCACGCATATCTGTACATACCTACCAGAGGTATATCGTCCCAACTACACATTTATCCACATGAATTAGAAGAAGCTCAATATATCGCAATCCATCCATCCATCTCACTCACTGTACATGCTGTACACAGTGCCCTCTCTCCAAGGGAGGTTTCTATCCACAGAAAAAAACCAAGCCAAAAAATCCATTGATATACAAAAGTTCGTCTCTGTGGTCCGAAACCGCAACTGTGCTTCTTCAAGTGAATCATGAGCTTCCTATCCAATGCGAAGACTCGTGACACTCCCATTACCACTGGCACTGGCCGCACCATCACCTGGATATCCCCTCACGTAACTGCCATTGCCCTCACGTGATCCACGTTGATTATAATCGCCACTGTTGTGTCCATTCGAAGAATGCCAACTTCTCTCCGTGGATCCAACCTGTGGCGGGAGGCGGCCAGAGCCTGACCACCGGTCGAGGCCTTTGTCATCGTCGACAATCACCACCATCCACACCCCAATCTGACTCTGAGCTCCAACTAATGGTGTGCAATGGATCCATTTGTTCTTGCCATGATCGTCGCCTTTGGTCACCCATCGCACTTTGGCTGTTACACCACGACCTTCTGCAAAGGCTGCAGTCAATTCCTCTCGAACACGGTTCGATCCTCCAATCTTATTCAGGAAGGGCGATTGAAGAATTCCCGGCAGCCTTTGCGAGGGACTGGCAAACAGAATTCGGAGAGATGGATATGGCCTCACAAGAAGGAACTGGGAGGCGGTAGTTAGTAAAGATGCTCATGTTGAATCATGGTTCAAGTTCGACACTCACATTTTGATAGATCCCGCTCAATCTGCCATTCATCCTTTCCAACGGAGAGGCCCGGGCCACGGGGTCCTTGAGGAGCAACCTGGGTTGCTGGGAGGTGACACTTTCGAGGTCCTCTTCAACTACTTCCTTGTGCATTCGGCCACCATGTTTTCGAATGATATTGAGCTCGCCTTGATTGAGCATTTCGCTCAGCTCTTGCAACTCGTCATTCTTCTGTGGATTTGGCTTCTCGGGCACTGGTGGATCTTCGCCTTGGGCTCGTAGGTCCATCAACCTTTGTAACGACTCCATTTCAGCACAGTCCTTGACGAGTCCACTCACGTCCACCTGAGCTCCAATATGGTATCGAATCACACCTCGACTATCAGCCAAAGGTGCCGTCATCAAGAGATTAACAAACGGGGAGCCGTCGCGGCGACTGTTCTCCTGTCAGTACAGGAGCCAACATCACATCGTATTGACCTACTAATTGAGAAGCACCTCCTGATGCTGTTTTCCCGCTTTTACTGCTTCTCTCAATCTTCGCACACTATGGGGATTAGTCATAGGGCCTTGTAGGAAACGACAATTGCGACCAAGCACATATGATAGGCCATATTGTGTGGTACGGTTGAATTCTGTATGACCGTCAGCAAATCGGTACGAATCCACTCTCCATATCTTATGTACCTTCGGAAGTGAAGATGATTGGATTGTCAGGCCTGGATGGGTCGGTCAGACAAAACACCTCGGCCAATCCATCTGACAATTCTCGGAGACGCGGCGACAATGCGCCCGTGACTCGTGCGGCAATGCTTGCGCTGACTATCTGGATATATTCATGTGTGACAAATGCGGGCAGCTCTTCAGTGACCAGGACATCAAACGCTCTGGCCGCACGATCTTCGAGGAATGTGTTGATGGTGGGCTTGACCGGTTTCTGTGTGAATTGCAGGCCTTCAACGGGATCGAGGCCGTCGCAAATGGCATTCGCATAGTGAATAGCGCGCAAAGACTTCAGGGAGTCGAGGTAGTGGACGAGGATGGGGACGGATTGGGGTCGCTGGGTACTGAGGAAGGATGTAAATCGGAAGAGAAAGGCAGGGTCGCTGAAAATAACCTGTAGATGGCCCTTGGAGAAGAGCGCTGTTGTCTGGAACTCGAGAGAAAAGGGTTCGCCGTGGTCAAAAGCTGGCGGAGCGATGAGGTCAAAGGATAAGGGGTCATCATCGACCACCGGCTGGAGGTGATCGCTGTTTTCCAGAGGAACGTTGGCCTGAAGACGAGGTAACTCCCGATCTCCACTTTGACTCGTGCCATTAAGCAGCGACGAAGCCACGTCTTGCGTAGTTAGGGGATCGGATGGTTGCAGAAGTGCTTGGGTAGAGTATGAAGTCGGTTCATCGTGCGATTCGGTGGTGGTGGTCACGGGTTGAGTGGAAGAGGTTGTTGTCGGCGACTTGTCATGCGCACTTTGCGAGGTTGTCGTTGGAGCCACGATAGGAGTCGGGTTGCCATTGTCATTGCCGTCGCCGTCGGTGACAGCAGCAGCAGCAGCAGATCCCATGTCCACAGGAGGAGTCACGGTGGCAGCGAGGAACGATGAAGAGGCGCGCGGTGCGCTGATCGATAATGAGTTCAGCCTCTGCACATGCACCACGCAGAGTTAGGGACGCACAATGACATGCGCTGGAAGAGGTGGGCAGCCGTGACGTTTTAATTTGGGTCGAGCGCCGCAAGCCGTGACTGACTTGAGGTGTGGAGCGACTGACTGTGGGGAAACGGTGGTTGACCTGTGGGAGTTGCACGAGCAGAAGCAATAGGCAGAGTCGATCAGTGGCCCGTCATTGGTCTTGTTGACGGCAAGCTTGAATAGACTGGATAGACGAGTGTTAACCGATATTTGAACAGATGATGTCTGAGGTACACGGGTGATGAACAAAGAGGAATAGACGAGGAATAGACTCATGCTAAAATCACCCAAGTACGGAGCGATCAAGACCGGCTGAGAGTCGATCCTGGATGAAGGTGGGTTTTACACAGTCTAGGGGCCAGTTGTACCAATGATTAGAGGTCGTAGGCGAGTGGAAGCACTCCCCCCCGGGTCTGATGCAGGTACGGCCAAGTGCCCCGAAGTGCCCGAAAGGCTCTAGAGGCCTAATAATAAACCCTCTCGCCCTCGGCCCTGTTCTTTTGCGGCGCCTCGGGCTTCTTGCAGAACAAATCTTCCCCCTCCCCCCCTCAGCGGCAGACATGGATTGCAAAGTATTGTAGTCGCCTCGATAATCATTTTGCGATTCCTTCACACCACTTCCTCACACCCATGCCCTTGATTGGGTCCAGGGAATGCCAGTCTTTACCTTTGATCGACTAGGCTGCTCATAACCTTCTTGAAGTGGAACTTCATACACCCATGATATCTTATCCGATCTTCTGCAAGATGCACCTTGCCGATCACGACAGGCCAAAGTCGCAGGTCATGGGTTGTCGTTAGACTTTGCCGTTGTAAAGGTAAGTACTTAGTGCTTCACATTACATGAAATTGGCACACAGCAGTAAGAGGCAAGACGCAAGAGACAGCTACGAATTCAATGTCACAAGGTCGTCTCTTTCCTTTTCATGGTGAGTCGTGACATGGAACCACGTGATCTAACATATGGCATTGACGTCATCTACTCACCTCTATCCCTCCCTTTGCCCCTGCTTTAGATACGATCTCAACTCGATTCCTCAACTCCATTTTATATCTTTTCTGGCACATCTCAGATCTCAGCCAATTGAGATCTCTGTCAAGTCCAAGATGATCAATTCTTTCATCGCTGACTAGTTCCAACTGTGTCCACACCATGTTCGACATAGAGGCTGAGCGGCAAGCCAATCTGCTCGCAAAGCAGAGACTACTCGAAGAACTCGAGATTGGCTCCGGGATAGCCAACGCTCAGCCCGATCAGCCCATTGCTAGGCCAAGGAAGAGGAAGTTGGGAATCTCGTCAGCGCAGCCGCTGAGATCATCGGCCAGAATCGCAGCGTCAGCTAGCATTCGTACCGATCAGGACGACGAGAGATCCCAATACAAGCAAAACACCAAAGACACTCGATCTCGACCAAAGCAACCCATAAGGAAGAACCCACGCACCACCCAATCTACCAAGCTTCCAAATCCACCCGTATCTAACAATGTACCAGCTTCATCTTCACTCGCCGATCTCATGACCCTCTGGAATTCGTGGGCGCCATCTGCCCGCGAGCCAACATTGACACCTGATGGCACATACCACTTCCCCGACTTCCCAGAGTTCACCCCCAACAAGTCACCTATATCGATGCTGCTTGAAGGCGCATTTGGTGGTACCTTCTTCTCCCCGTGGTACTCACGTACTCTCAGTTTGGAGCTTCGAGACGACTATCTCATGACACTCCCCAAGTCATGGCTCGCACAACTACGACCACCACGCAAGTACATCACCTCGCCCACCTACCAGCCAGCTCTGAACAAATTCCAAGTCTCATCCGGCCAGAACCAGTCAGAATGGGAGGCTGCAGGCTGGATAAACTTCAACCACGATCCGCGGGGTTGGTATGAGTGGTACATTCGCTTCTTCCTCGGTCGACGATGTGATGACGATCAGCGACAAGTGGGAAGATGGTCACGATGCGTTGGGGTTCGAGGCCGCTGGCGACGTCTTTTACTTAAGAAGTACGTGGAGATGGGTGTTAAGACCGTGGGAGATGAAGGTGGGGATGACGATGTCTGGACTGACGACCAAGGCGATGTGCAATCAAAACAGATCAGTCCAGTCATGCATCAGACTTGTCATCATTGGGCATATGAGGTGCGACAAGAAGATCTTGATCTAGCCTGGGTTGAGCACGAGCAACGCTGAAGATGGAGGCCGTTGCTGCAATGGGGAAAGGAGTGCAGGCACTCTCCACCATAAGCTTCTCAGCTGATCAAGATTTACAGCTCCCCAGTACAAGATCGCAATGACGCTTGATTCAGAACTGGAGCTAGTGATTGCAAGATCCTCCTCGACACTCCTGGGCTGGAACCAGGGAACTAAAACTCTCGGGATAACCATGTGGTACACAACAACCTCTCTACAGAGATATCAGGAGCTCATCGTCGCTGAACGAGACGATGTTTCAAACGCCAAGCCAGGAAAATGCCGCTGGAACGGCGATGGACATGCACTGACATTGGACTAGATGACCACGTGCGAATGTGAGCGGACAAATGAAGGCAATCATAGTTGTCGTGATCATCATAATGAGGAGAAATTTTATGAATGATTACCCCCATTCTCCTTGCTGACCAGGCCATCTCCCTCCCTGTTCATTAGTTCCTGGCCACGTTTTCCTTCTAACATGTCATTAACAAGATAAGATTCATTAATTGCGAGCCGTTTCATCGACTCTTCCTCACCATCCATCTCAGCCCATCATCACTAACCATCCTTAGACCTTGATCTGCCTTTGTCCAACTACCACATCATCCCAGGTTCGAGAATTGAAGTGGACAGATCCTGGCAAAGAGTTTGGTGTCAGCTCAGGGTCAACTACCCTGACGAGTTGTGTGACATTTGTCTCTTTCCCGGCCAATTCTGCCGGGGCTGGATTCGCTGTACCCTTCCCGGCTTGTTGCAGTACTTCTTGTAAGGTGCAGAGCTCATCGCTTGCTGGTGTTTTCGGGTCGGGTCCACTCGATGCGCTTTTATCTGACCACTTGCTTCTCACTGATGCTGAAGATGACTCTCGCATCATCTCCGGCGGGCTTTGGCAATGATCTCGAGAGGTTACTTCATTGGTGTCGAGCTCATGTGCCTGCTCGTTCGGGGGACAAGTGACAGGTTCGGGACTCCTTTCCTGACATTGTGGGAGATCCGCCACACTGCTGATGGCGTGCAGCTCAGTATCGATCTTCCTAATGCCATTGCCATATCCTTCGACGTAGATTTCACGGAATGGCGGACGTCTAGTCGGAGCCTCATCTGTAGTAGGGGGCTTCCTTCTGGTCACAAATCGCCTCAAGGATGATGATCGTGATCCTGGTCGAGATTTAATCGACAAGGAGGATTTCAAAGCCTCTGGCAGATTCGCTGGCAGTGTGTTCCGTCGATCTTTGCCCGGCCTGGTGCGTTGAGAAGGACTTTTCAGAGACAGCGTTGATGCGTTGGTGTGTGAATAACTCAAGTCTGGAGCCAACATGGTACCAGGAACTGGAGCTGTGACCTCGACATTCGAGGGTCCTTCCCATGGCATTCGACTCGGAACGTGGCAACAGAGAGAATATACCAGATCAGTGGTGTCACGGACCTGTTTGGCTGGCTGAGGAATCGAGTTGAGCACCTGAAGAACAGCATAGACCAAAAGCCAGCGGATTTTGCGCCCTTCTGTCGTGGAGAGATTCTCGAGTTCGTCTTCGATGGTGTGCGACTCGAACTCGGCGTATTTCTGTACTAAAGGACAATCCACTAATCCCACTTCACGATTAGTTGCAGCTGTCAGTGAGTCTTTTTCCTGGCACTTGCGCCGTTCTTTGTTGGCTTTCCGAGCATGAATGGGATTCCAGGATATCCTACGTTGAAGTTTTTGTGTAGGAGCGGTGTTGGGATCCTTTGGTTTGGGTAGAAGAGGCTGAGGTTGAGCGAGTGGCTCATAACCGTGTTTGGAGTCAAATGCTTGAATGGTTTGGAGGGTACAAACACCTCCAAACTGCGCAACATCGTAGGAAGCCAAGCTGGTAGAAGAGCTCGGATCGACCAAGTACTGATATAACTTTTGGAAGTCGGCCAAGACGGTAGCATAAATGGTTTGACACACAAATGGTTGTTCAAATCTGACTGGAGGCCATCGACCATATTGGCCAGTATAAGAGGACCTTAAGAAGGAACGCAAGCGTTCGAGATGTTCCCTAGCGACATGGGGAAGCCCCAGAAAGCTACCAGAAAGCTCAGTCTCGAAGAAGTCAGCGAGCGCTCTAGTCACTCGTTGGAATCTCTGATCCATATCTTGCCGAGCTCTACTAATGAGGATCTTGGTCTTTGGCGGTAGAGCCTTCACTCTGTTAGAGCTTCCCACAGGAGTTGCGCTTCGTTCTGACATCGGAGACACTTACCGAGTATTCGAGGCTCGAACGCAGGCCATCATGAGCCATTCCGACGCAGTGTGCGAAGGAATCAATCCAGAGGTCTTTGGTATGCACTTTTTCGGCAAAATAAAGTGCTGCAATGGCGTGATCGACACAGTCCCGGAAGTCGAGATATTTTTGGCTTCCCGCATACGCTACTACTTCGAGGATGTTCTGGGTCATGCTATCACGACGATAAAAGTCGATGCGTTCCTTTAATCGAATCAATGCTTGCCCCAGTGTTCGACCAACCAGTGGTCTGTCGTAGAGGTAGGCAAAGAAGTTTCTCGTGGTAACAAGATGGTCGAGTGCCTCTTCCACACCTGCATTACGGGGAGCTGGAAGATATAGTTCTTGAAAGCCGGTCATAGAGTCGCATCCAGGGCAATTAGGTAGAACGCAATGAGACGCAGCTTGGACGGAATTTCGCACCACACAGCGGTCGGCGAGGACATCGAAACCCTTGAGCCTCAAAAAGTTTGTATGTACACGAAAGGCAGGAGCCCGACTTGTTTGACCAGGCTGCCGAAGGTAGACCAAGCAATTGCCAGTAGGCCAGCACAGCTCAGGCTCCTAAAGACATGGTCAAGCTTGGGTCGATGCGTATGTAGATGTAACTTACGTGGAAAAGATTGATCCAGTCCGTTGTTATGCGAGCTTTGCCATCCCATCGCCTCAAACCAGCTGATCTCACACTGTCACGAAACGTACGACTGTGCGAACTTTTCATGATGGTTTGGAATTGAGCAAAGAGGTAGATCAAGGTTTTGAATCGAGGTATAAGTGTGTCGAGTAAGCCAATGTATCATCCCTGCAGAGCCCAGGGAATGGGTAATCTGAAATGGTGGACACTGCAACGGGGCTTCGTATATAAGCAAGTGGTGGGGTTCGAGTTCCCGAGGCTGCGACAAGGATCGACGCCAAAGGTCTCTCTTCCTTGTTCAATTCAATGGAGAAGAGTTGGGACAAGTCAGCGGTGCAGCAAAAGGCTTACCACTGGCAGCCAAAGAAAACAATATGGACGAGTAAAACCAGCAAAACGCCGGAGTGGCATGAACGTTGACTGGGTGAAAGAAAACAGTATTATCGTGAAGGGTCGGTGACGAATAGCTTGGACTCTACGACGTGCGAGGTGTGAAAGCAACGAGAATGAAAGAAAACCAACCCAACCATTGATTGATAACAAAGGAGAGGCATGATTTGACAGAAAACGCCCAAAGTGACGATGGGGCATTGAAGTCGGGGAAAGGAGTTTCCGACAGAGGGGGACACAGTCAATGGCGGCAGCATCTCTGCATTCGAGTGAAACGATCAAGTCGGTGGAGCACAAATCTGGTAGCTGGAAATGCAACGACTGTCCAGGAGAGCTCCGTGCAGTGAGCAAGACAGCAAGGAGCTGCTGTGATGCTCGTGCCTTGAATGGTTTTGGAGCTTGGGGGCCGGGGACACCCTGGTCCGGATTTTGGAATTTTGACTCTGGCATGAAGCCACCCGTCAAAACCTCAGCGATCGACGGAGCTCTCAGTCCGTAGAATGCATTTTGATTCACCGCGTTCAACGCGTTTGCCGTGACGCCAAGATACTGTGGCCGTCAGGGTGAGAGGACGTCCGTCGAAAGAGAATGTGAGTTCAAGTCCGGAGCTTGTCACGCCACGGGGCGGAGGGGATGTTCATGGCTGAAAGCCAAAAAGAGAGCTGGCTGCAAGCTCATAGCTACCCAAGAACGGTGCCGTTTGCAGATTAGCAGATACGAGTACATGAATGCAGGATGAATCCAGGGAAGACGTGCCTGTGAGAAAAAAGGTGGCTGAAGGAGATGAGCGGTTGGGATTGGCGTTGAGGGAAAGTTGCCAACAACTCTACGGAGCTTGTAACAAATGCAAGAGCGCGCCTCCTGCGTTTTTTGCAGATCTCCTCCATCTGGCAACCACGAAACCCGCTCCAAGGCTCCTGCTGCATTTGTTGTCCATTTACGACGTCAAGCTAGCCGCATCGAGCTGGCCGTGACCGCCTATCTTACCGTCGTCCTCGCTTTACGGAGTACGTCTTCGCCTCCCTGGTTCTGACCAGATTCGCGTCCCTGGTCTGAGCCAGTGTCGTGGTTGCTCATGTCGGCTCGTCCAATCCCACAGGACGCGATATCTGGACCACAGTATATCGGCATATCGATCACCGGCCAAGTACGTGTTTTTTTCTTGACTGCATGGGATCGACCTGCCGACACAGACCAGGGTTGCGTCGTACTCCCATAAAATCATCAGACGACTCAATGCTGATTCTGGCAAACGGACGTGTGACGGCCCCGCCACAGCCGCAATTCGCTGTTCTATCACGCTTTTTGGCCCGCCATCTCACTGTTACGGCGAACGTCAGGCATGCATGAGGTTAGCTGAAGGTTTGCCCGCCTCAACTCAAATCCCAGTCAAAAACATACTCCAGCCTTCTTGATCATCCGATCCTACACTGATACGCACTAACATGATGTGTTCTTCTACAGATGAGGTTTCCTGATTGGGTACCATTTCCACATCAGAGAAATAGTTCCATTCTCAGTCGGTCCGCATAATTGCCAGCGTTGATTAACCTCACCTTTTTGCTGCCCATCGGCTTTGATGATCAAAAATAAACACACGACAAGCTACGATGAGAGAACTCTAGATGGCCACTCCCGAAGTGATCCTTTCCACACTCTGATGATCATCTCCTGAATGATCGGCCAGGTATCTGTTGGCCTCCTGTGCCAACCCGCATGCTGGGGTAGAGACTGCATTCAACGTCCCTCGTGGCGTTTCTCCTTGGCCAGTGTCATAAGCATGATACATCTCTGTCGTATTGAGAGCCTTCTGCAGTGTCCGGTTTGTTGAAGCAGTCATGCTCCCATCTTACAGCCAGCCCCTCTCAAGTGCGGGCCAAGTGTCTCTCAAAGAGTTTTATTCGGGAACCAGGAGCGTCAAGCGTGGGAATAATGGCTGCCAGAGTTCACACCTCAACAAGAACTCTAACTTCGCCGTCCATCCAATCAACCACTCCAGCGCTTAGCAATGCTACCATCCATTCTCTGTCATCTGCAACGGTTACTAAACCATCTGGGAGCCAAACTTTGACCACCGGCATGCTAGAATCACTTTCCAGCCCTCCCGGGTGTTTCCGTTTGGCGTGAGAGATCAGGGCTGACAAGTTAGGCGTAGTCTCGGGCTGCAACGTGAAGCGAGGAATAACTCTGCGTCGAGCACCTTCAACGTTAGATGACACCACATTCACATGGATGGCAATTGAAGGCTTAAATGGAGGTGATGATCGAACATGACCATTGGTCGCTGAAATTGGGCTAGGTGTAGATGGTAGAGGTGGTCCACCGGTCCCTGCAGCTGCTGGAGCAGGAGAAACGAGAGGGCCTGTCCCTGCTGCATCCAGTCGTGGGGATTCGTCCTTATTTGGACTGTTGGAATCGGGTTTTTCATCCTCTTTTGTGCCTGTAGACTTGCGACTTTCGGCCGCATAGACCCTCTGACGCTCATTGGTGACCATTTTCCGCATGAGTGGCATCATAAGTTTGATGATGGTCTGACGGTCTGCGGGCCATGACAATGTCCTGGCAGGAGCATCGGGTATGTCACCGCCTACACCGGGCGCAAAGTACTTTTCCCCGTAGCCATGTGTCGACAGGAAGTCTTCCACACAATTCCACAGATTCAGCTTAGCCACGTCGGCGGCCCCAGACTGCTTCTGATGCCCAACGACGTCTCTTCGTTCTAGGTGCGCCTCGTCCAGCATAAATGCCTTGGCAGCAGTTTGCAGGCGGAGGAAGTTCTCTGGGGCCAGTTGTAAGGAAGTGAAGACCTTACCGAGCGGAGGTCTGCTGTATTTTCGGCTCGTCATTGACGGCTCTCGGAAGAGCACGGAGGCGGAGCTGTGCAGCGAGGGGCCGTTGGCAGGAGCGGTCTGACTGGAAGTTTGGTCAATGGGATTCTGGTAGTAAGGGCCATCAAGGTGAGTCTCTTCGTCGTCGCGCCTGCGTTTGCCTTGGGCATGGGGGGTTCGGCCTTCTTCATCAGCGGCTGCCGTGGCAGCGAGCACGAGTCCGGCGAGATGGAGATCGTCTGAATGCAAAGAATCACTCATGGTGACTGGGCTCAGATCCTAACAGGTGGTCCAGTGCAGAGCGCACACAGCACATGGGGCTGGGGTGGGACAAATCCCAGCCCGATGGTGTATCTTGACCGATGGTACAAGTGTTGCACGATCTCAAGTATCTGGATTCATGATGGAGAGGAGTGATGGTCAATGTTGCAAAGGCTACAAACATGCCAAACATGAGCAAACATCTCAAGTCCCTGACTTTTTCGTTTGATGCGCGATGTCGGACTTGAAGGTCGTGCGCGATGGCGCTATTCCTAAATAGGATTGGTGCCTGCTGTCAGATCCTCTCCCCTCCAATTGATGAAACAAAGTGACAACAACATCCTCGCCCTCACCCACCCGCTGTTTGCTGACGTTTTGAATCTGGGCATCAGGAGGCCGGACAACTTCGCAAAGACCGCTCCATAATGAATTTCTCTCGGATTGGATCTTGACCAGCTGCCCACTCATCCAAGCTTGGGGCTTTACAGCCATGTTCACGGCTACCCGACTGCAGGTAGCCACCTACTTGCTAGGTGTCTGCCCGTTCTCCATTGCATTTCTTGTTTTTCTCAATTCTTCTGTCTCATTCATCATCACCGATCTCATCGGACAGACTGATCGTGTCGGAGATGCCGTGGGAACTTTGGGCTTCGCGGACGAACTCCTCGCTATCGTTGCCTGTCCTTTGTGGGGGTTGCTCTCTGACCGGATTGGCCTCCGTTTTGTACGACTCGCCCACCACGTCCAATATGTTTGACATCCGGCTAATTCATCTAGGTATCTGTTGCTGGCTATCTGATCATTGGTCTTGCTTTGGTTGTGTTTGTACAGACAAGCAATGTATACCCACAACTCTTGTTTGCGCGGCTCCTGTTCAGTATTGGAGGAGCAGCCGCCTCCACCATGGTCACCGCAATTCTCCCAGCTGTTGCCGGTCCACCTACTTCCCTTGGTTCCACAATCCCTTCAAGCAGGGGTCACACGGAGGAAGCCAACAACCGCAATTCATTCAGTCCTTCAATCGCTTCAGAGTTGACCATCACTCCGGCCCGTTTCGCCTCCATTTCGAGTGGTCAGGAGCGACAGGCCAAAGCCGCCGCCAAACAGCCAGAGTCGAACATCGCCCGATCTACAAGTCGCATTGCTGGTTATGTCGGCATGTTTACAGGGGCTGGGGCCTTGGTCGCCTTGATGGTCTTCCTCCCTCTTCCAGCCAAATTTCAATATTCTGGATACGACCAAAAGGCTGCTCTCAAGGCTAGCTTTTACATCGTTGCGGCGGTTGCATTGATACTAGCCTCGTGGTGTTTTATCGGCCTCAGAGGCTTGCAGAAGGGGCAAGAGCAATGCAGAGGACACTTGATCCAGTACAAGGAGCTGTCCCTGGCCTCCAAGACGATTTCTGCTTTGAGAGAGATGTGGGCCAGTTTCCAGATTGCTGTGATAACTGGCTTCAAACACTCAGAAATCGGTATTGGTTACGTTGGAGGCTTCGTGGCGCGAGCATCTTCGGTGGGCATTTCACTTTTTATTCCGTTGCTGGTCAACGCAATGTTCCTAGCGTCAAATCTATGTGACGAAGGCCAGAATGAGGGCGATCCAAGCGGACTGCCAGACCTCAAGAGGAGGTGTCCTCGCGCGTATGTGGTGGCAGCGGAGCTGACTGGCGCCACGGAGACGGTTGCCTTGATCTTTGCTCCGATTTTTGGGTATTGGAGCGCCAGAACATCAAGGAAGCATTTGCCCCTTCTCTTTGCATCCGTGTGCGGGATGATTGGCTACCCTCTTTTTGCCTATGAGTTTGATCCTGACGGTTCTCACACTGGCAAAAGAGTTTTGGTCTTTTTTGCTGCCAGTCTGATTGGCATCAGTCAGATTGGAGCTATTGTTTGCAGCTTGGGAACTTTGAGCAAGGGCATTCTCGAGGGAGGAGCTGACAAAGGAAAAGACGACACGATTGCAAATGGATCTGGTGAAGAGGAGGCTGAGCCTCTCTTGGAGACGGAAGATGGTCCTGCGCGAAAAGATTTGCGCTTGTCGGCGCTGAAAGGGTCATTTGCTGGAGTTTATTCCCTATATGGAGGTCTTGCAATCCTGATCCTCACAAAACTTGGAGGGCTACTCTTCGACAAGGTATCACCTACGGCGCCATTCTGGATCATGTCCTGCTTCAATGCCATCTTACTAGTCTCCTGCATGGGCTTAACTTTGTGGAAGTATAACACTCGAGGCTGATGTATTGTGGTGATAATCATCCTCACGAACCCTCAGAATTACTGTCCTCACAGTTTTCCCCGAATGTATGTGGCTTGCGCAAAATGGGCGGTGCACTTTTAAATGACTGCACCGGCACGACCGGCTACTACAATGACGGACCACCAGCAACAGGACTGATGCTCAGCAGCATGATAGTCGACGTGGCAAAGCTATGTCTACAGTACTGGGCCCGTCCAAGGCCTTTATAACGCGCAATCAAGCAGCATTGAAACATACCAAGCCAAACGCTAGCCCTGATGGCGAGCTAGACGAAAATAACGAATACAAGGTGGTTGTTTGGTGGCAATTTGGAGCATTTCTGGCAGGACGGCGCAGTTGAAAAAAGACAATAGTCTCTCGCTGATGAGAATATACTCTTCTGAACAATCAAACAATGCATTTTTCGCCCGACTACCTAAGTTCCTAGCATCATCCTACAACTTCGCCTTCCCCTCCCTCTTATCCACGATCTTCAGATCCTCATGCTCAACCCCCAGAAATTCCCACATGAAATGAAACCGATCACTCCCAAAGAACGGCTCCACCTCCCCCTTGGAATTCGTCACCTTAAACCACGGCGCTCCAAAAGCACCCTGTTTCAAAGCCTCATTCGTTTTCGCCGTCAATTTATCCTTGTACTCCTGCGTCTTAACCAGACGCAAAATCTCCTTAACCTCAGCCTCGTCGAGAAACTTGGACAACAAATCAGCCAAACCCTCGGGCTTTTCGATGTTGACGTGAGTGACGAAGCTATATCGCCAGGTTTCGAGAAACACCTGTTCGAATTTTTCGTTTGAGTGGCGGTCCTTGACGGCGATCATGGCCCGTTGTGGCACGACGGATAAGATGGGGAAGAATGGAGCAGGGCTGAGTTGCTCGGTTTGGAAGTATTTGATGGCTCGTTTGAGCTCGTACGTGCCGAGTGTGGCTTTCGCGGGAAGCGTCCATGGCGGTTTGTTGCCGGATCCGACGTTGATGCCGCCGAGGAAGACGGGGTGGATTCTAAAAGGGTTATGGGGGTTAGATTTTGGGTTGGTAGGAGGATTGGATATATGTACATATATTGATATGTCTGGTTTTGTTCGGGGATCAAAGGGAAGTTTCTGAGTGGGGAGCCAGGACTGCTGGGGGAACTTACTCGAATTCAACTCCATACTGTCTTAACAGTTCTCGATGTTTTCTCAAGTAGACAAAGGCGAAATAACTATATGGCGAGGCTGAAGAGATGATGATTAGTCTGAGGTGTCGAGGGTTGAGGGTTTAGTCACGTGACGTGTTTCCAGCAGCAGCTCACACATTGAGGTGATCTGCTCAGATGTATATGTCGCTTCAACTGGAATTGGAATTGAAATTGAAATTGAAATTGGACTTGACTTGAGACTCACTGCAATCGAAATACCCATCAATCTTGCCCCCCATCTCGAATAAGCCGGAGATGTAGTTGTTGGCGTTGACGGTCTGATTGTGTATTGTGCTCTCGGTTGTCTGCTAAGGTTGTTGCTTCCCGCAGAATGCGTGACACACGTAGAAGGAATGCAACGAAAGAAGACGCTTGACAATACACAGATGCACGGATGGCGCCTTATTCAACAAACCAGAATCAATATTTTGAATATCCTCAATAAAGAGTCTAGATAGCCATCACATCCAAAAGCATGTGTTAAGCACTCAATCGAGGTCTGACCTTGATATGGCTCGGGGCCATGAAACGGACCGAGGTTGGTTGACCTTGGCGAGCACGGCTCTCCAAATCCCTGACTTGGACGGTTAATGATGTGGTTACTCCGTCGCACTACACGTCAGCTAGGTTTGAGCGGTTGATAAGTAATCATGATCGAAAGCAACGAGGTGCCGACGTACGTACGTGCGGAGGAAATCCATCTGAAAGTTTACCTAAACGTTCAAATCTTCCCCAAGGTTTCTAACCCCCAGGCCCTACCTCTCCCCAGTTTACTCTAGCTTACTCCAGTTCCTTGTGGTTTATTGGGTCGGCCGAGGGACCTTGAGGCCGGTAATTAGTGATCTCCCGTGCATGGCCGTGCCGACTTGGTATTAATTATTAAAGTCTTTTGTCGGTGTTGAAGGTGGTGTCGTCGAGACTTGGATATCTTGAACTTGAGAACGGACGAAATCTCACTTTCGATTGATTTTACTTATAGCTTTTGGCCTTGTGGATTTCTACACCCTGTACATCTGAATCATGGCTTCTGAAAATAAGCAAGTTTGTCTCGTTATTGGTGCTTCCAGGGGCATTGGCCGCCAGGTTGCTGTCGACCTCGCAAAACATGGATATTATGGTAATTCTATCCTCAAGCCTCAAGCTCCAACATTCTTCACCTTCAATACCTGCCCATTCCTTCTTCTAACACAATCTAGTGGTCGTCGCCGCCAAAACCACATCCGACGCTTCCACAATCCCAGCATCAGAATTCCCCCCTGATCCAAACTCACCAAAATCCACAATCAACACAGTAGCACGTGAAATTACCGAAGCCGGAGGATCAGCTCTCGCCTTACCCGTGGACGTTCGAGATGTTGAGAACGTCAAAGACCTGATCGATGAAGTGGTCAGGAGGCTCGGTCGCCTGGATGTTCTCATTTACAACTCCGGCGCCATCTGGTGGAGTGCCGTCGAAACCACTCCCGTCAAGCGGTTCCAATTGATGCAACAGATCAATCCTCAAGGTCTTTATGCCGCTGTATCTGCAGCCCTGCCTCATTTTGGCAAAAATGGATGGAAGGGTCGAATTATTGTCGTCAGTCCACCGATTTATTCCCGTTTCTTCAAGGGAAAGACGGCATATGCCATGGGGAAAGTCGGTATGAGTGTTTTGACGAAAGGTCTTGCTATCGATTTTGTTCGGCAGGGGAGAAAGGATATGGCTATCACAAGTATTTGGCCTGCTGCGGTAAGTCATGTTCTTCCGAATGGCTTCAAGTCGACGACCAGAGTGCTGATATCCGATGGGCGTGATTAGTCGATAGAGTCTGCCGCCACGTATGGAGCGGTGTCGACGGATCAAGAATTGTTGAAAGATCTTCGCAAAGCGGTCAGTTTTGGAACTCAATCATTCAGTCATCCCAACAGTCGTTCTAATGCCTGGTGAACAGACCATATATTCCGACGCTATCCTAGCCATGCTTCAATCCCCTGCGGAGGAAGTCAATGGACTTTTGGATCTTGACGAAGACTTTTTGCGCAAAAAGGGTGTCACGGATTTTTCAAAGTATAATGTTGTTCCAGGAGCTTCGCCTCGAAGGATCATGCCGGCAGTATTCCCCGATTTGACTGTTGCAGAACAAGATGATGAGGGTAGGAGAGTTGACAGTGTCAAGTTACGAGAGGGGAGAGAAGCGGATAAGGCGAAGTTGTGATTGTGCATACACCTACACTCTGTGTGTGTCTACTTGAGGGACATCTTGAGACGATTGAATGTAATTTCAACCCGAGGGTCGTCGGTCAGAACACCACCCAGAGGAGTATGTTATGTCGAAATCTTCATTGGATGCCTTGTGGCTCAGCAGGCGTTGTTCTACCTGCTCAAGTTCGAAGACTATACGTTGATCAGGACGTCATCGACGTGAACGATGGGAGCGAGGTATTCTTAGCTCCATCGAGTCGCCTCCCATTACACGTTTACATATTGAGGACTACCTTGCCTCCCCATCGCCCCAGCCATAAAAAGCCATAGCACAAGAACCCGCCGAGCGGACAGCAGCGACCTCGTATTCTCCTAGCAGAGACCACCTCAACGCTTAAAGTGCTAGTATATATTCTTTAATATCTATGTAATAGCATACTCGTGCTAGTCTTCACCCATCTACGAGTACCTCGGCATGATATCGCACCTAGCACACGGGCACAGGGCCCATGCCAAACAAGAGTCTCCACATCGCATCATACTACCAGGTGTGATCACAAGTAGATCCCAACTAGCACAATACCGCCGTTACAAAGACATACGTTTTTGAGTCAAATAATGTACGTAAATATCTAGCAGAGCCCCATGACCCTAGCCTATCGTGCCTATGCCCCTTGAACGCCTGAACCGTGCCAAATCCCCAATCGGTCGATCCACAACAACAACGCCATGGCCGATCTTCCATACTATTACTATAAACCCTGCCAGCGTGGGGGCAGTATCAGCACCATCGTTAGCGGTGGCACTAAGCAACTACGCCGCGACGCGAACAGGACGTTTGCTGAACGGATATGCATACGCATGCAAACTCGCGCGTATGCAGTACGCATGCACATGTATCCTTTTTTACTTTTATGTGTACTTCTGTACTTTTACCTTACACCGCATAATGACACCGCCGCATAGTGGAATCCTCGCGATTCATCCAACCAGCACGGCCACAAGGGCCATGAACACCCCTGAGGGGCCAAGATCTAACGGTCACGGAAAAGAGACCGCTTCATACCTACCCTCGGCATGTGCTATAAATCCCCGAGACACTTTCAGCATGACAGGGTAGCAGTGTTAACTACGGAGTACATATTCCTACGAGTACTGTAAGACTTACTGAAGACTTCGATGCAATGACACTGAAACTCCGGAAATCCGCGTGTGTTGACAGTACGGATTAGGTCTGATGTTGGGGCCGGGGATTTGATGAAGAAAAGGGTAAGTAATGTAGATCCACTTTCACGATAGGGCGAAGCGATAGATGGGTCGGTCCTTACGCATAGATGTGCATATGTCGGTGTGCATAGGTAGCAACCAACGCATAAGCATGAGTTACATAAGGCCTTGAATTTTGTGGGATTGTATCAATTATACGGAGAATGGAGTATGGGAATATACTACTTACGTCGTTTACAATAGGGATGAGGTAAGAGATAAGTATCTACTTGCGTTGACTACCGACCGTGAACACGTTTGGAATCGTCATGAACGCTGACTCCTGTGTGCCCGTACGCCATTTACTCATTGTTTTGATTATGATCTCACCATACATCGATGATTACCATCACATCATATCACATCACATCACCATACTGTACTAGTACTCCGTATGTATGTAAAAGCAGAGGCTGCCAATGCATACCATAGCATAGCCACAAACACCTCCACATCCCATCTACAGTCCCCACCATTTCCGGCCACCGATTGGATCACCTAAGTAAGGAGGATATTCTTCGGGCATCGGTCACAATCCCAAATAGGCACTTCTATGCTGGAAGCGAAGTTTGAAGAGAGATCCTACAGTACGGAGTACTTTCAGGCCCTATGGTAGGGCTACAGCCTACCGTGCCCATACATGTTCAACCTACAGGAGCACGAGCCCTACACGACTACCGTTACTCCGTCTACATTCTGTATGCATCAACATCCATGTCCATGCTGAATTACTCGATACCGACACCGATACCGATACCGATACCGATACCGATGCCCGTGACAAAAGCAAAGCAAAGCCATGCCGGCCGGCATTTGAGCAACAGGCAGGCGGGGGACGGGGCCGTTGAGGTAGAATAGATGCCCACCGGCATCTCAGCGATCCACTGGCAGACTGCAGTAAACTCTATGGGAACATCAATCCTTGTAATGCCGTAGGATGTCATCAATCTAACCCTTGAGTGCCGTGTCGAAATACGACATCGCTTAATTCACATCTTGGCATAGCTACCTAGAATGTACTGGTACGGAGAGGTGAACCACCTAAATGGAGAATGGAATTGTGTATGTACCATGGCTTTTTCGAGTTTATAGCAGCTTTTACACATGGATTTGAGGATACTACAACAAACCTCGACATGTAGATTCAAAGACTCCAAGTGTCGTATATGCACAGAAGTACTGTACTCTATGTAGGCAATAAATAAATGCCAATTGACCCCGATCATTGTGGATGCATTACGCGACCATTCATGACTTTCCTTCATTCATCTACATGCAACTTGAAGCAAGCCAAAACTGCCCCAGATGGGCCAAATCCTTCTTCCTTCCTGACGTAGGTACAGCAGACCTTAGGTGGGTAGTCTAAGTAGTCTAAAACAAATGTAAACACCAAACATCTAAGTACAGGACCCATAATAGATCTGACCAAGGCTTCTTCATATGTATGTACCCAAATACCCAACCTCCACTTTAACGTCGGGTCTTTCTCATGCAAGTAAGCAAGATACGAGCCAGCCACCACGACCTAACCGTAGCGCCATTACCTTAGGTAACCACACTACGATCTCACCGTATGAGTAGGTGCCCCAATGCATGCACGCATGCATACGAGTACCAGGTAAATAAGTATTTAGGTATGTAACCACGCAAGAAACAGGTAAGTGGCCGCAAGCGACGCAAGCCACAACCCCAAGTTCCAACGGGTTCCAACGGCTAGGCATATAACTAACCACTATTCTGGAATAGACACCGCACGACAAAGTGCCGGTTAAGAGGGACGAGAGGATAGACATGCCCAAAACATCCAAGTATACGGTCACAGTACAGTACCATCCCATGAAGAGGGCAGGATGGCACTCTCCGGGGGCCGGGGTCGAGCTTGAAGAAACGGATTTACAGTACATGACTACTCCGTACTATAGCCACTGTACTGTGTCGTGTTCGTGTTTATCTCGTTCATGCAGATGCAGATGCAGATGCAGATGCAGATGCGTCGTGCTGCTTTCGGAGAATATACCCAAAGGGACGGGTTTGTGGCTTTTTTGATCTACGCCCACCAAACCACCACCGCCATCACCACCACCACACGACAGCACAAAAGGACCGTTTTCCTGCACGTGGGGAACTTGTATCACATCAAATCGGGTCCAAAACAAAACTGCCGACTTACGATATACGAGTAGGTTCTGTAGCTGGGGCCTGGTCATCACCCACCGGAGTGTGCTCGAAAAGGTCGAAGCTTTGGTCAGCCCTAAGGGGTCAACTGTACGGTTTACCGATGATGCTTTACCTGCTCGGAACCATGCCTCCATCGTAGTACATCCTCCGATGGGATTCAACTACCTGACCTAAGCTGGGTGCTATGACCCTGTGTTTCATCTACTATATTGTCGGTAAGCATAAGAATGGAGTCAGGTATTTGATGCGCCCGTCAAAGACACCTCCGGTACGACTGAAATAGGTATGCTTTTAACGTAACTGTTTGGCTACAATAACTAAGATTCTATCGTCTTGGATGCTGTAAGGATCGAGGTTCCTGGATCTGACAGGAACCATAACTCGTTAGGAGGCGGTGTCTGAAGTGGCGCTCCCTCCGAATCCAACCACAAACAACCACATCACACCCATCATTTTGTGGATAGCAAAAGACAAGCCCAATAATTACCATCTTACTTGCTGTAGGCAAGCCATGCCGAGTGATTTGGACCTTGGGGCCGTGAAGCGACAATGACCCAGTCACGTTGGTCAGATGTCTTGACAGATTGTCATTGGCGACGGTCTGTTCTGTTTCGCTAGCAAACCATGACCTTTAAAGAGACGAATGCTTGCTAGTAAATTGTCAATGGCCAATTGTTGCGACCCGACGTCCAATTGATTCTCGTGTTGATCCTGCATCGAGGATTCTCGAGGATTGTTCCAGCTGGCTTCTGTGAGTCGGTGGCGTCACCTGGATCTTCTGCCCATGGAAAAGCTGGAGATATACAGTGCCGACGTCTTGATTGGATTGGTTGTTGTCTCTTTTCCAGGACAATGCTGTTTGGATTAGTAGGCCATGCACGATCGTTTCGCATGTGATTGATACTTCTATGGACCTTGTTACCCATAGGCAAGCGTCAGTAATCGGGAAATGTATCCTGATGGTAACGAGGACAAAAGGCTGCAAGAATAGCATTCCTCACCAATGCTTCCCATCTTGAGAGACCTAGGACAAGTTCGTTTTCTGTCTCTTGTGTGGCTGACACTATCCGACCTTTTGGGAGAAAGATTGAAGACCGTCGCCGCCGCCACTAGTAAGTCCAGATTGGCCTTGGGAAGCATTGTCACCATAACCACTCAAATCATCCTCTGCGTCCCAAGTTCGTTGTTTGCGAACTGGAAACTTGACCTCCAAACCTGCAGTCAGTGCTTGCAACCGGATCAACTTCAGTCTAGCCTCCCGTGTAAAGGCATCAATCATGTTGAGAGCTTCTTCTTGAGCCTCTGCACGAGGGTCACGCTCAATGGCATTGAGAGTACCGTATTCGAGATCAATCAGCGCTTCAAGTTTGCCAGTCTCGATCAAGCTGATAATCTCCTCAATAAAAGTCTGTTGCGTAACTTTGTTGCCCGTCGGTGCACGAACGGGTGCAGGACTACCAAAGATTTTCTCCATGTTTGCCAGCGTGACCTTGCTGAAAGGTTGAAAGTATTGAATGATACTCTTTGTCCGCACCTTGTTGTAGAGGTCCGTGATGACAGGCTGCAGGTAAAGATCCAGTAGATAGTCTGCACGGTAAGACTCCAGAATCTCGAGACATTGACTGTACTTGCTGGCGCAGAAGTAAGTAATGGCACGGCGAATATGAGGTTCCAATTCGAGGAAGTTGCGGAAATTGGCATTTTCGAGAACCTTGGTCTGAAGCTCGGCTCGAGACATGGACGCCAGAGCACACAGCCCACCATAGACTGCGACATCATTGCTGGTGAGAACATCATTGTAGCTGTCGCCCAGAGATGAATCACAGTTCAAGAAGCTGTTTGCAGCAAGTCGATACTCAGCCGAAGCCATCTGATTGAGACCCATGGCTGCATAGGTTTTGGGAACGTTGCGTGTATTTTCATCGGCCTTCATTTGCAAATTTTGAATCTTGGTGACTTGTGCATTAACAGCCAGCCAGCTCTTCTGTTCGATGGAAACCGAAATGATCCGGAATGCCGTCGAGGCAATATGGGCAGGGGTTGTGCAATAGTCTCGCATGCGTGAGTAGGCTTTGAGGGCATTGTTAAGGTCCCCAATGGAGTGATAGTGTGTTCCTAGATCTTCATTCCCCATCTAGAAGCGTGGTTAGTAAATTGTAAACACTTAAACACTCCAAAACATCTCTGATGGGGCTGTTCTTACTCTGATGCTCTCTTTAATCAGGTTATTCTTATAGCCTTTCAGCTCATTCTCAAGTCTGGCCGTCTCTGCATTGTTCTTCTTCTCCTGTTTGGTCGCCCAGGTAGGATCTAGCACATCGGTTGAGGAGTCTCTTGCGACCTTCTTGTAAAGAGCCGCGGCTTCAGTGTAGTTTCTAACATCACTGCCCTTTTTGGCTTCCAGAACTGCCAATCGCGAGGCTTCTTCGGCGAGGACGGGCGAGCATGACGCTATAAGGTGTAGTCGTCTGAAGACTGTTCGACCTGAATTTATGTTAGGTCAAGACAGATCAATTGAACGGATGCGGTCAATTACTACCTCGATAATTGGAGATGTAAGATTGAAGATCAAATTTGGGGGTTTCTGGAGAGATTAGTAGGGCGTGCATTGGGCGTCAGGGTCAGTATCATACCGTTCACTATTAAACCGCCATAAGGTGAAGGCTCTGGACGCTGCGAGTCGTTCGCCATTTTGAATGGAGTCTACCAGCAGCGTCTGAGGGCGCCGGACGGAACTGGCCAGGAACGAGGATTTGAATGAGGGGTCAGGTATATCAGATGTGACAACCGGGACAAAACTGATCTCAGTAAAGGTCAGGGATGCATGGAATGTGATGCAGGCGACAATAAAGTGTGTTGGGCTTTGCGCATCATGCCTGCTTAAGTTGGACAAGGCGCTGATGCGGTGACGCTGGCGGGAGTCACTGACCAAACATGCGTGAAGTCACAAATTCTTGGCACCAGAGAGAGTGGGAGGCACCCCTCGGACTGTGCGGGGATGTTGGTGCCTCAGGCGTGTTGGAGATACCTACAGGTCATGGTGCTAGGGGCTCCGGGCGGATGTCTGGCTGAACATGACACCCCGGAGGGTTTTTATTAAGCTCCCCGAATTCGCCCCCACAGGGAACTACGCGTGTACCTCAAGTGCCCTAATCGCCCACCTACAACACGATGCAAACTTAGGTCAAACACCAAAGAAACACCACCAATTGAAAACAATAGATCAAATAATGAGTTTGTTACAAGCGCTCAGCGCTGTATATTGCCTCCAATACCCAATTCTGGTCTTACACAAGCTGTTGTTCCATCGAGGAGACACGCTTGATGGGGATCTTGAATGATCTCCCAACTTTTGGTGTCCGTCACACATGTCCAACCCAGGTACATGTGGTTTGTACTACTCACTTTCCATAGATATGTAAGAGTATAGATCCACTTCCATCATATAGATTGGTATGCCTTCATATGTCCTGTGCACGGTAGACATTATTCCAAGACAAATAATTGTCGTATGAACAAAGAGATATCCCAGGTCCAACAGTATCGCTCAAAGTACCATCGACAAAAGAATCAAAACGAAAAAAAATCATGCCATCAAAGCGTTCAAGTCAAAACCTTGAATGTCATCTTCGGGCTGAGAAAGCCAAGGGCCTTTCTCTTCCTCAGTGGCATTGTGAAAGACAATCGCCCTCTTCATGGTTTCGACATCGAGATCTGTCACGTAGTTCTTGCCATCGGGCAAGTTGACTCGGACTTCGAACTCGTTGTGAAGCATCATGTCGTCCTTCCATAGTCGGCGATCGCCGTCGTACACGCAGAGAACACGTTTCTTCATGCGCATCTTCTCAGCCGCCATACCCCATGAAGGAGGATAGTGCTTTCTCTTCTTGCGGCCTTTGCCCACAAGAGCAACGCCGCCTTTAGACCATGTCATGCCTTTTTTGCCAGGCTTTGATTTGGACACGCCGGCACCAATGATTGCACGGGCGTGGGCGGGATGTTTGATGGTCTTGATGTGACCCTTGCCGGATCGGCCATTGACTTGGTGGTCTTCCTCGTCGTCGTCATCGTCGTCATCGTCGTCGTCATCGTCTTCATCCTCCTCATCGTCGTCTTCAGCCTTGACGTTGGAAGAGTCCTCCGTCTTGATCATGTGGAGATCGAGAGTCTCTTGAACCTCGTTGTCACCAGAGATAGCTGTCAGATGGCGTGCATTGATAGCTTCACTGGGCTCCTCTTGTTGGACAACACGAAGCACACAGTCATCAAGATGCTCATAGAAGTCTTGAGCATTGGTGAAGGTTTGCGAACATGTGGAGCACTTGCCGGTGGCATCTTGACAGTAGCTGGAGAGTTTGCGGTTGCTGGAAGTGGGCGAACGCTTCCGGCTGTTGGGGGGTGTCTGCTCCACTCCATGCACAGATGTCAGGTGTCGCTTGAAGACATCGGCCCTGTTAAAGCTCTTCTCGGCTGGCGACCCAGATCCTGGGCAGAAACCGCAGACCATGGTGCCTTTGTAGTGGGTCAAGGTGTGTCGGTTCTTGTCGTACTTTCGAGCAAAGCCCTTCTGATTATATTCACAGGTCAAGATGGGGCATTTCTCGGGCCGTTCGGCTTGATGTGTTAGCATATGAGCTTTCAAGTCCTTGAAAACTTTGCCGCAGTCGGGGTGGGGACATCGTCCTTTCTGGCGACCTTCATCGTCAAACTCGGAGGACGCAGGGCTTGACCTCGAAGCCGCCGACGCGTGTGATGCATATGAGACCAGGGACGGCCTTCGACTTGGCTGGGCTTGGTGTGGATAAAAGTTGGCATTGGCGACAGCGCCAGAGACCTGGGTTGGAGCCAGTGTGGTGAAAGGTTGAGGGGAAAGAGCGGGGGAAGCTCCAGGTGATAAGGATGTGAACGAGTGAAGATTAGATTGATAGACGCCGTCGGCATATGAAGGTTCTCCGAAGGATACCGACGCGTGTATTAATGAAGGGTCTAGAGACAAGGATAGTTAGCAGCCAGTCTTCAATACGACGTGACGAACAGAGAAATATCGAGAAAGAAATGTAAGGAAAATGGGCAAAGGACAGTGAAGAGACCAACAAGCTGTTTCAAGTGGCTGGACAAAATTGCCACTGCTTTGAGCAAAGAAATGGGATTGAAAACGAGTAAGAGGGGGGGTTGTGTTGTGACGATTGTTGTCGCGAAAGTCATGATCATTCATGTGCGCGGTGCGGGTGAGGGACGGGGATTTTTGGTGCGTTTTGGACTGGCGCGTGGCATTTGTGTGGCATCGGCGAGCAGAAGCTGGTGTCGTGGGCGATTTAAACGTACGAGCGGAAAACAAAGGTGGAGTTGGGGACTGAAGGGTATAAGGGACGACCGAAGTTGAAGCCACGGATGCGGATGCAGATGCAGATGTACCTCGAGTAGAACCATTGTTGAGAGATGTGTCAAGGGTAAGAACGGGAGATGGGGCCAAGGAAGTATGGCGTAATGCACCCGAGGCTCGAATGGCTGCATTGGGTGCAGTGGGTGCATTGGGTGCTACGGATAGGGATGCACACAGAGCAATAGTCGATGACTGAGACTGAAGATAGGAAAGATCGGCACACTCACCCACAAAAGTATCACGAAGCTTATCATGGCTGTGAATGACAGCTTCCGATTCCAGGGGAATGCAGTAAATGTCCTGTAGAAAGGAGACGTCAGGGTTGAGGATGGTGGGCATGACTCCCAGTCCATATCGAGCATTTTGGTGATCAAACAAGTCGTGGCTGGTCATAGTGTGGCTGGGGCCTGAGTAGGGTGAGCCGACAGTGGATGAAGAGGCGCTACCGATGGAGGGTATTGACCCCGAGGGTGGCATTTCTTGCATCGGATGCAGATCTTGCTTCATTTGCAATGAGGCAGAGGAAAACATTGGCTGATTGTCATAATAGGAATAGGGTAATGCGTGGAAATTGGTGAGATTCTTTTGATGTTCGTATAGGCCCATGTTGAGGCCCGGGTACGGCGCGTGGGCGTTCTGTTCAAAGGCGTATTCCTGGTCAAAATATGGTCGACGCTGGTGCTGGTGCTCAAGCTCAAGCATCGTGGTGAATTTGTGGTACTTGTTAGCACGAAGACATGGGCGTACGCTTTGCAATAGTGGTCAAAGATGAGAGAGATTTCTGAGTAGGCTTGGTTTTGAGGATTGCGGGCAGTCTCGGTGATATTGGATTCCAGAAACCTGGGTCTGAGCTTATCGTAGAGTTGAAAGCCAAATGGAGGTCGCCGGCCGATTCGGGAAATCAAGGTCTAGATGCTGCTTTGGCACTGTCTTGATTCAGATGGCAGTTGGAAGGCTTGCTGAGAAGTGTCGATCAGTGCTGCAATGGGCGTGCAAGTTACGGCGGGGGTGGCGCCGAGGTTCCCTTTACTGGCAACCACAGGAACAGGGAGGGCGTCAAGTGGGTTGGGCTGTTGGAGTGTTGGCTTGGTTTAAATCACCGTTGTCGCGGTCGTCAAGGCCACGTTTGTATGCGTAGGAGGCAGGCTCTGAGGTTGATTTTCTTGAGAGATGACCTCTGATCGAGGGTGAGGGCGAGGGTGAAGGGGGGGCGAAATCCTGAGATATAGTCTTCTGGAGGACAAGCACACAAGATGCACGATGCCCACAAGAACGGGTCCACACTAGCCCTACAAGTCTGGGTGGGTAATCGCACCCAGGATTTAGGGCAGGGATTTGGGACCGGGGGTACACATGTTGTCCTCAGTGAGGCAGAGACGGTGGCTGTAACCGTGATACGGGTTCCAATGCCAAAATAACCACTACTGCACCCGCTAACCAGCTAGCTTTCGGGGATGCCTAAACCCATGCTGTCACTCGCTTCCAAACAAGAGAGTCTGTGCCGAATTGGGCTCTGGCTTTGCATGTGAAGGGTAGCTTTGTTCAATTCTGTTCAGAGGGGGACATGGGGGCTTCTGACACTCCGGATCTGACGAGATCAAGACCAGACAGGCAATCCTCAAGCCTGATGCACTACTACGAGTATACGCGAATGGCATCGACAGCCGTCACGATCGACTCGGGCAGTCGTTGACAGGGCTAGAGTGATGGCTTCGCATCGGCCCTTCGACCTGCCAGTCCTCCGTGCTTGGGACTGTCCTCATCCCCCGCCCAAATCATGAATCATGACAAAATCACTCTCGGGTATGGAAAGGCACTGAAATTAGGTCATCTGTGCTTTGATTTAATTAAAGAACAATGTCGTAGTGGATGTGACGTTGAATGGTGAGATCAATCGGCACAGATGCTATGCAAAGTCACAGGACCTTTGAGGACCTAGGTACAGTTGCATCCGTAGTCGGAAGGCATGTTGCGGAAGCTTAGAGAGTGCCTACGCAGTAGTGGTAACTTACCAGTGTAGGTAGTGACCTGCACTGTGGGTGCCCCCAGGGATAGGCCCCTCGGGCGTTGTTGATGAGAAAAGAGGAGTACTCTAGGTGCAGGTGGTTACGAGAGTTTCAACTTGTCAAGCTCCTCCAACTGCAGGTGGATGGGTTCCAAGGAGGAGAAAGTCAGTTCGTTGACCCAAGTCAGTGGGCGTGGGTGGGCAAGGGAACACCCAAGGATTGGGCTCTGCCATATTAATTAGACTTCCTAGTGGGCGGACCATGGGCTAGACATTCTGTGTTGGGAAGGGCGCCAACCAAAGAAGAAGTAGCAAAGCACCAATCACGAGTGCCCAGGGTCTCTCCGGGTGCTCAAACTGCCCCTTTGAGCGTGCCCCTGCTCATAGACACTGCTTTGGTGTTCGGATGCTTCAACCAACAGGGTTGACCAGCGTCCTTTTGCGATTCTGTAACCTGGGAAGCACTAAGGCGAAAGCATGACCAGTAACACGCCCTGAAGGTTCGACCGCCGGGTCCTGTCCAGACAAGCCCCCAGGCTCAACCCGTCGTTTGGTTTCAATACCGTATTTTCTGTAGGCGAGGCCGATGCGATTGGCGCCATCGTGCAGATAGTCGGCGTAGCGGTCTGGCAGGGACCTAAAAACGTGGGAACGACAGGGACAAGACCCCAATCTCACTCGGAGTCGCCATGGCCGCTGAATACTCGGTATTTAATTGGCCAATATCTTCTAGTGGGGTCGTCTAAGCCCTGGCTGTGTTCTATTTTCACCGCCTGCTGCGCCATTGAGGCTGGTGCAGTGGTGCTTTGCTTGCGGTTGCTGCCACACTCCACCGACTTTTGTACCCATTTCACCCAAGGATTGACGACATGATGAAGTCACTCTTGTTCTGCTTAGGGTGTGTTCGTGACTTTCTACACCGAGTTTGTTATTCCTGCACAAACATGTTCCTGACGATCCACTCTGGAAGATGAGACGTCATGCACTCGAATACCAGGGTGTGGGGGGCAGACCACCAAGGACTCAAAACAACGCGGTCACCGACATGTGATATGTCATGGCCACGAATACTGCCTTGTCTGCAGGGTGTACACAGGTTTCAATAGGCAAGCTTTGTCACTCCCCCGCTGGTCAATGCGCGGTCCATGTTGGATCCAGGCACCAATATCTATGGGGTAACATGTGCCTGATACGGGAGGGGCAGAGGGGTCAAGTCAACTCAGACATACATACGGAGTACATATGGAATTCCATTGGTAGCCCACATGATCTCATGTACTCGAGTCTTTGTCATTTTCATCACAGATGGCGGTTGGACCAGTATCTTAAAAGTATGTTCGCCGTGCTGGGAGAAAGAGGGACGGTAGTCTCAACCCACAGGTCTCCCCAATCAAGATTAAGCACGGCCATGCTTGAATGTACAGACAAGTAACCTTAAAAGCCAGCAACCTCCCGTACGTCGACTAGGGAAAGGTGAAAAAGATGGCCCCAAAGCTTTCCCATCTGTAGAGTATTGTCCAAGTCGAGACCTCAGGAATCGACGAGAAGAGCTGCAATAATTACCGCCATGGTTGAGATAATCTGTTGGAGTCTTGGTTGAAAGTGGTGAGGCTTCTGGTCTAGGCATGTCTAGGCACCATAAGACAGGCATCAAGCCCCTCCAAGCTCGTATAAACTTTAAAAGAATCAAAAGAACCACCCAGAAATGCATGGGGAATGATGAGATTCGTCTCCTCCCTCCCCTTCGCTTCTCGAGAGACCCTGCAGGTCACAGGTCACCACATGTCTTGTTTCAAGGATGTGAGCATCCTCTCAGACAACCCACACCTTTGGACAAGGGGATCGGGCAGTTTTGGCTGACTTGACTGATCTAACGACGTCTTGGTCTTTTCTGCCCCCAGGTCGAGTAATCACCATGCCAGCCTGATTGATGATTCCTTTTCCTGGCCCCTTCATCAGAGTTCAAGTTTGAGCGGATCGTGGTGGCCTGATTGACCCGGAAAATCTTTGGCTTCCGCTTGTCTGGGTCGATTCTTTGGATCCCAACTCTGATACCCACACAGTACCGACTTAGTCAGAGGAATTCTACAGGTTCCTAACCCCAACGTCATGTACGGAGTAGTCACCTACAAACTTATCTTAACTTATCTTGCAACCATGTCTTTCTCCATGGGTCTAGCTAATCGCCTCGACCCGCCTTTACCACTGTATCGGAGGTTCCCTCGGTCTCCAGGCATTGCCTAAGTTCTTCCTCCAGTGTTCAAAGCTTTGGTATTTGATCTTCATTCCTATCGAACCACATGATATCTCGAAGTAAAGAAATCCATGTCTCAGTGACGACCACTCCGATACCCACCAGTATTAGGTGAGTCACTGGACAGGTACGCACTACTCCGTAGACATGTTGTTCGCAGTGACCAACTCAAGCCTAAGATTCTCGGTGGTCCTTGATGATCTCCATGCTGAACTCCCATGATCCATGGTATTTTCACAAAGGCCTTTAAGAACTACCTTTCTTATTACCTCGTGCCCCGTGGTCAGTGCCAAATCCACTTGATCTCCGTTGGAACCTTCACACATGCTGCATTCTCCTGTCCCGTCCAATAATTGAATTGATCTGACATCGACAAAAGCCTTTATCGTGGTTGGTACTCCAGCATCATTACACTGACCGTGACTTTCCGCCCCAAGACCGTGGTGGAAATGCACGGATCGCCTAAAGCGGCTCGATTCTTACAGCCGGTTTGTAAAGGCCAAGGTGCGGGGGGAGAGGGGGGGGGGGTTCTGAGTCCGACTCCTACCTTAGGTAGAGTATCGGACGCCTTCGGCCCCTTTAGAGTCACCAGGCCCTCTGGCGGCGTAAAGCGGCTCCTAGCTGCTAATAACAATATACCACAGGTTTTACTTGTAAAGTTGTTTGGGAGCCATCCAAGCCCCGCACCTTTCCCCCTCTTGATCTTTGTCTTCCCAAGTTCTTCCACATCACATCTCATTCCAATTCAACGACGGAGAGCCCTCGGGCCTCGGGAAAGTACGAGTACCTCGACCCTCTTTTTCGTGGTTGAAAACAAGATTAGCAGACGTGTCAAGTGGCGATAAGCATTCCAAGTCCATTGAAGTTATCCCTTCAGGCTCCCCATTCTAGTCACTACCCGGGTCTTGTTCTAACCATCTTTACATAGACTTGTATGTTTTGTTTGGAGTCCGTTCGGATCGTAGGATGTTCTAAAAGATTGTCGGCGCAAGCCGGGGTTATCTGAATCGATGGAGTCGGATGCTGCAGGACGCTAAGTGCTCTAATGGATCGATGATCTTGATTCTCGTGTTCGCTTGCCCTGGCCGTCACAAATCGATATCTTTGGGCGGGGGCCGAAAGACCGTCTCTCTGGACCTCTGCCCTACTCCGTAGGTTGATGCTAGCAGGCTAGGTACGGCCTGCTCCGGCCCCTTCACTCGGTCCTATTCGGCGCCTCGGCAGGCGCAGATCTCGCGGAGTTGGGATTTGGTTTCGGAGCCTCAGGGCGATCAATCACTCAATTCATGCTGATAGCTGCCACTACCGCCTAGCATTTGCTGTCATTGAGCCTGATCCCAACCCGCCCAGGTCCCAGGTTCAAAGCTCCCAGGCGTGCAAGGACACTTGGATACTTGGGTACTTGGCCCAGCAACCTGTGCCCAATTTTTACATACATAGCGTGATAGCCCGCGCTTGATGAATCCCAGTCTGATGATCTCCTCTTCTCCTCCTTCCGTGCTTCATTGATAATTCGTATCCAGAATTGGGAAGTTCATAAGACATTTGAAAACCTTTTTTGTCTGTTTCTTGGGCCAGATTTGGCCTTGCAGCCCTATAGGCTTCACGGGGCCGTCCCCTCTTTGGGTTTCTTCCCACTCCCACATTCATTCGGGTGCCAAGTTGGGGGTTTGTGGTGCTTGGGTCAAAAGCTGTGGCTTGCGCAGCGAAGCGAGAATGGGAGGTCTCGACTTCTCAACCCTTGTCAAATTTCTTTGGCAGCATCGCCCATATTGGGCATCGTGCTGTCCCAATTCGCTTTGTTTCGTTGATTGTCCGCAGCGGGGGATCCAGTCATGCCAGTTTTCTTCTTTTCCCTTGCACTTCACCATCCCAATTCGCATGTTGTAGCGTCCTGTTCAAGCCAAATCTATCGCTAGGGACAGTACAACATGTCATTTCTTTCATGTCATCGCGCCTAGCTCTGAAGCAATCCTTTTACCTATTTTGCTCCCATAATTATCGAATCCTGGTAACTCAACAAGGTTCGTTCGTTCCTTTTGCTTGTTGTCTAGGTAGGTACTACTCCGTAAGGTATTTGTGTTATAGGGCTTCGAGCCAAGCCCAGTCTTGCCCTTAGCTCCCCTGCTTGGTGAGTCTTGTTCCAAACACTCGGACCATTTTTCGCCTCTCGTGCCTCTCTACTCCGTATGGTCTCGATCAAAGCCTGGACCCATATTTGTTGGACCCCTCATTATCGTTGCCATCTGTGACCAAAGACTTTCCTCCAAAGATGCCCAGTCGGCCAGTCGTAGAATTTCGTCATGTCCCATATTTGTTCTGTCTACCGTGGCTTGTTGTTCATTGAAACTTATTGGACAATGATTGTCCATACTTCGACACTCAACGATGCTAAGGCCTTCCTCGAAGCTCTAGATCTCAAATGCGATAGACTCGTGACTTTTTTGCCTCCCGACCTGGTTCCAACCTTCCTTGCGAATGTGTCGAGACTGAAATTTGGAAATTGATGCGCCAGAACATGCCTGTGACAGATTGGCGCAGGTTGTTGTTTCGACCCCAAGGTCATAATTACAGACTAGCGGTTGGCGCCCCTCGACCGTCAATCTTGGTCCCATGTCCATGCTAGCCATGAAGACAATCGGTCTTGCCATGCTTCATGGATCGAAAACATTGTGGATCCTCGATTAATCGGCCAATAAACGTGTTTACGGTAGTAATTTTTTCATGATCCTTCTCATTCCGCTTGAGTCCACGCTTCGAACTTGGGCCTTGCTGATTATCCTCGTCAATGTTTGGTTCCCAAATTGTGGATTGAAGGCACCCATGATCGTTCTGTCCCCTGTCTGTACAGGCCGAAGGAAATGGTGACCGGAGTGTGCAAACCTTGACCAGGGAACTTGGAGGCTGTGCATCGCATTGCAGACCGTGCAGACCGTGCAGACCGTGCAGACCGTGCAGACCCAAGGACACTCGCATTGGCGTCGCGGATGATAAGGGCATCACTACTCCGTACACCATGCAGCTTGGCATTACTCGATCCCATTTCACTATCATCTTCTCTTTGCTAGTCAACTAAGTCAACACAGAGTGTACATGATATGGCCAATCAATTCGATGCGTCGCCTGCTCCTGCAGCCAACATGAAAGCAATGATGGTGATTGTGAACTTCCCCTGCTCCGTGGTCCTGGCTAGCCCCCAAAACCTCCGCCTGCCACATGGCACAAGCGTCAGTGAATGCTAGAATGCCAGCCGTCTCGCCACTTTCTGTGGAGAGACGGTGACCGAGCCTCTCGCTAATTGCCGCTCAGCATTGAGATGGCTGCATTCACCGACCAACATCGCAAGTAAACCTGAGGCAGGTCGTGCGCCAAGGATTGTGCGCAAGCCCCTTGAACTAAAGGGAGAGGCTGCGCAGAAAGATTTCGCCCCTGCCGGTGATCCATGGCTACCACGAGGACATGGGATATCCAACCTCAGCAACGAGGCGGTCAAGGATCGAGGGGTCTGTTCTAAGGGCATCCCATTCAGCCTTCTCCTTGACCATCAACGTTCCCGCTAGTATCGTTCCATTCAGGGCGACAGAGCTGTCCGGCCCTGCGAAGGGAATCTGAAACGCCTCTTGTTTTCTTGGACAGATTGCCATCCTGTCCGTTGTCAACGCAAGATTATAGCTAAAGACCGTGGATCCCTCGCTTTCAACGCTAATCTGGTCATTGAACGGCTGACCTGGACTACGCGAGGCAGATAATGCAGCCTTCAAGAGCAGTACATACTTGGCATGTAAGTCTTCTGGAGATATGTCTCGCTCGAGAGGAGTCGAGAAATGGAGGATCGGGAACGCAGGGTCTTGATAAAGCGGTAAGTTTGGGTGCGCAGGTACAGTCATCCGATGAACCAGCAGACGAAAGTCTGCTTGCTCTTGTTCGACCATATCTCTGACAGGGAGGAATTGAAGATGACGATGGGGTTGACTGGCTCCACTATGCTCCCCAGAGTTGAAGAAAGCAAACAATCCTTGATCGGCAGGAGTGTGACTGTCCTGGCCCCACGCGCGAAGGCAGGCATGAGTCAAGCTGAGGTCATCCATCTCGAGGACTCCAGTTTGGGGTTTATATTCGCGGGTGGCGATGATAAAATGTCGCTTGATCACGGGGAATTTGTTCAACACCAAGGTGTGGGTGGCTGCTCGAGAAGGGACGGCTGCGATGAGGAGCTCTGAAGCTGGATTATCGAATGGATCAAACTTGGACCCTTTCTTCGAGGCCTGGGAAGGGGGATCCTGCTTCTGGGGCTTCTTGGCTAGCGCTGGGCAATATCTCAGTTGAAACTGTGGATCGATGAGCAGAGGTCAGACTGTAGGGACGAGAAACCCACCGAAAGCTCTTCCTTAGGTGCCAGAATAGCTAGGGAAGTACTAGAGAAAACAATGTCCTTTGCTTCATATGCTTTTGAGAACTTGCTCGATACTAGAGCCTTCAGAGGCTGTGTGAGATCAAGGATGGCGTGTGACATGATCCTGTGATTATTGGAGCTGCAACGAATGCTCGTTTAGTTCTTCGTTGTTTGAGCAAAACGACGGAACCCACAATGAAGGAATCACCGCAAACCCATGATATATCTGTCTAGGATATGGTTGATTGAAGTGCCAACTTCTTGAACCTCGGTGGAAACTGATGGAGGTCGTCAACTTTATCATCGCAAGCTTCCGTCTCCACAAGGTTACTATGCCAAGGCCGACGGGGATACGGCGACTACATCTCTGATTGTTGCAAAAGTACATCGCCGTCTATCATCAATTATCCCCGACAAAGTCAAGTCCATGCCTCAGAATGTCATCTTTAACCCAGAATAGAGACCTGGCGATGTCTTGTTGTGGTCTCCCTCGACAAACTTGCCAGGTTCCATCTACTGCATCATGACTAAGCCGTCATCTCATCTCCTTTGATCGATGCTACTCGAGTCATGCGATGTTGATTTCCACCGTTCGCTCTCTTCGCGTGTGACTGTCACATCTTAGTGACTGTCTGACTATGGATTGTCGATTGATATAGCTATGGCCTGATTGCATTCAGTCCACAGTCATCAGTCTGCACTTTCAAGGTTTGTGTGTTAAAAACGGCCATCTTTCGCGTATAAAAGACACTCTTTCCTCTCTCTCTTGATCTTCATGCGCGAACCCAGTTCTGGTTCTTGGACTAGAGCTCCCTTTTGCGTCTATTAAAAGACTACTACATCATCCTTTAGCAAAAATCGCAATATCAGGTACGATCAATCGACCCCTTCCCGAGGGAACTGCGGGCTCCCGTGCTCTCCACACTTCTTCAGCCAGAAATAGCTGACCCACTAACAGGAGCATACAAGTCCATTCCAGCAGTGCTGAGAGCGGATAGATTAGCTCACCTGTAGCCCCATCCGGATGCTCTATTACTCGCCTATACTCCCATTGGCCATACACCTTGTCACAGCCTTGGACAGAGCCCGCGGACCATGAACGCAAACATACCTTCAGGCTCGCTCCTCCCTTCAATGAAATTACAGGCTCCTGTAGCACAGTTCCTGCAATGTTTGCTACTACTTATCCGTTGCTTCCCGGCCATCCAGCACAATGGGTGTCTCTCTATGTCTTGACATGTTCCCAAAATCATCCTCTCTCTCCCTCCTTCACGGCTTTTGACATAATGCAAATCTTTCGGTCGAGGATTGAATGCTGATGCGACAAGAAATGGACAAAAAGAGGACTTGCGCTCCATTCCTACGATCTAGATGGTCATGCGTGTCCTATCGCCTCAACCAGATTCCGTTCAATTGTTTGCTATCCTCTCATGTGTCTATCGACCTATTCTCAGCTTGACATACTGTCCTCAGCATTGGACAGGGGATTTCGCCAAGCCTTCTCCCAAAAAAATCGCGATGTGCATGACTGTGAGCCAGACATGACTGGGTAGAGAGTGACATAGGGTGCGATTACGCGCGTCAGTTATGCGTTAGGATCAGGCCCAAATATGGATGCTGGCTAAGGCCATTTGCTGGAGGAGGACGAACCCTCTGAGCCGGATCCACAGTTCACCGGGTTCCAGAGTCCAGTCTCTCCGATGATATCCCACTCAAGCATGAGTGTGCAACATGATGTGATGCTTTCGGCAGGTCAGAATGTCTTGTCTTGTCTTCCTCCCTATCACCGCGAAGAGCCAGATTCATGGGTGGCCATAGCCCGCGAAACGTTTTTCCATCTCACCCCGCGAGCAATATGGCTAATACATGGAGGATACTGATTCACCTTTGGGGTCATGGAAGGCCTGTGTTTGCATGACGAACAGTGATCTGTTGGTTTCCAAACGCTGGGGGGCGATGTGTCGTCTGATTGTCTTCCTCGACGCATTGCTCACCACCCATCGCAGCGCTCACACCTCCTGGACTCCCGAGTATCGAGTCATCCTATCGCTTCGCTGCACGCATACTCGGCAAACCGCTCCTCCACAGCGTTCCCAACTTCAATCACCGATGGAGTCTGACTTCGAATACCTGCACACATGGCCGTATGACCCAGTTTCCAGTATGGATCAGAGTCATGGACGATGTGACAGCCTTGCCCATGCGGTTGACGACGAAGTCGGCCATAACAAGACTCAGTCTTTGCCAGTCTTATCTTCTGACACACATCTCAGCTGTGACATAGATGTTCCAACCTCAATGCCTATAAAAGACGACGAATTTCTTCCTAACCCTCTATCATATCCATCAGCATCAAAACCGGATTTGTTATCAAGAATGCAACATCATACCACGAACATGCTCCCCAAGCGGAGACCAGAGCACCAGTTCAATCAACCTCAATCTTTGGAGTACAGCAACATGTATACTCCTTCAAACTGGGTGCAGCAGCCAGGTACAACAAGCGGTTCCTCGAGAATGATGGAGTCCCGGAACCAGACACCGCAGATGAACTATATCTACCCACAGTATGGCCAAGTCGACACCATGAAAGAAGCGCGCCAGCTTCTGGACTATCCAGATCTGCCGCCATTACGAAACCTCCCTCCCACAAGCCAGTTCCAGACGGCTGGCACTGAACATGTCTTGAGACCTCCCCAAGCCCAATTGCAGACGACTGGCAATCCACAAATACTTCAGCAGTATCCTGCTCCCTCCGACATTTCACCATATCAACCTGACGATTTCATCTGGTACGAGAAAATCTTTGGTGAAAGCAAGCCCATGGAAGATATAGCACCACCTTTAGGCAGTACAGCACCGACGTTGGTCAATCCAGCACCGACGTTGGTTAATCCAGCACCGACGTTAGTCAACAAAGCACCATTACAGCGGGACACTTTCTTCTCGGCAGGTCCCGAATCGCGACCGTTATCTGACAGCGAAGTCCTTGATTTGTTCCGACCAGAGCCGTCGCCAATGATAACTGAGGAGATGCTTGCGCTGTTTGATGATGAGGTGGATGAAATGCTGATAAATACGCCATATCCTTCGAACATGCCGCAAGAGATGGTGACGCCAAGTGCAGGTACTCCCCCAACCTTGGTCACCGGCCAGACTAATACACCAAGTGCACAGACACCTGGTCCATTTACTGTGGACTGGCACACATTGGATAATGATGCATTTCTCGAGCAGAGTGAGCGAGCAGGAAGTGAGGCGGTCACGAATCAATTCATGTCTACTCCCATGACCAATGCAAGTCCTACTTCAGGTCTACCAAGACCCAATAGAGTTTCAAAGGGTGGAAGATATGGGTCAAGAAATACATCCAAAGATGATTACCTTGTACGGGCCAAGCAGCAGGGCATGTCGTACAAAGAGATCAAGCAGGCTGGGGGCTTCCAGGAAGCAGAGTCCACATTGAGAGGCAGATATCGGGCCTTGACCAAAGAGCCAGCTGCCAGAGTCCGAAAGCCTCAATGGACGGATGGAGACGTGAGTAAGAAATTTACATATCCGAGATGATATGCTGACATGATTATTAGGTTACGGCTCTCTTTGCTGCGGTCAAGCAATGCTCAAAGTCGACTGATGTTGATCTGTCAAACGGTACACCCATGGCCACAATCGCCCTCCAACAATATCTGAGCAAAATCCCTTGGAAGCAGGTGTCTGAGCACATGCATGCACATGGCACATACAAGTATGGAAATGCGACGGTGAAGAAAAAATTCATGGAAGTGCTTCGACTTCGTGGACAGTTGAGTTTGAATGATGTCGGCAAGGCTCAGTATGATTAATTGGGGTGATAGTTGAGTTTCACGTTGTTGCAACATACAACAAGACTATGTGTGGATATGGGCGGATATTGTGTTCCACGTTTGAGGGTATTTCGGGGCCTTCTGGGGCGCCTCGGGCTTTCATCACCATGATCATCAATCTTATTTGATGAAGAGTATCTTGGGAGCTGCTTGGATTTTACGAGCCACAGTTTTGTCTTTACGTTGGGATCAACAGAAAAGGCCCTTCTGTCTTGAGGCAGGGGTGATTGGCAGTCTGATCCACAACCTGCCATGTTGTGAGGCTCTATTTGCGTTTTCTCTTGGAAAACGTGTTTTACTATCGGAGATATCGATCTTGAGAAGATGCATCTAATTTGGCATCTCTTGACTGTATACAGACTTGTACGCATAAATCAGACACAATGTCATAATTTCCAGTCTGTATGACCCGTCGTGCAAAAATCGTCTTCCATGTCTCCGGGTTCCGCCCATGAAAATCCTTGACTTACTCGAAATCGCAGAGTCATCCAGCGCGGATCGATTTATCTCCGTCCGGGCCAGGCGCCCCTTTACCCCATGGGCTCTCAGGCTTGGGGTACAGATGTCTTAGCTCGATGAAGGGGGAAAATCAAGACTTTCCCTGACTCTCTTTTCACTGAGTCAAGACGCACACAGTCAGAACCGAGGCAGCTTTCTAATTGGTTAGAAGCCAGCCTTGCCCAATCAACTCCTCCTCGGCAACTGATACATGGCCTTCCCCTCCTGATCCTTTTCTTCTTGTCTCCAACCAACCTGTTTAAAATGTCGCCTAGCGAGCCTTGGTATCTGGGGAAGGCTGTCCCAATGGTAGATCAATCCCACTTTTGAAGCTATACCAGCACACTTGGCCCTTTGACAAGCCCCTTCAAGGGCTCGTGGCATGGTGGGCCAAATGTGGAACTCCGATGATCAGGCCCTCTCTGAGAGGATTCAAGGCCATGTATTTAAACCAGACGTGACCTCCTTCATGCGTCGAGCCCAGCATCGCTGCATTCGACGACATCTTGCTATTCTCGGTAAAAATTCACCTAGTAGTTGCCCATCATGGTTTTGGCTTCCAAGAAGGAAGTGGGCGTACTGCGCAAGCAGAAGCTCAACATGTACAATGTTCTAGTCCTTGTTGTCTTGGGCTTGGGCTCATTGACTTATGGCTATACTGCGTCCATCATTGGTACCACACTCGGTAAGTGGCTTCATGCTCTCCTGCCTGCACTTTTATTGATTCTTTACCAGGTCAACCTTCTTTTATTCGGTATATGGAACTTGACACAAGACCCAATGGAACCGATCTGCTTTCAAGCATGAACGGAGTCTTCCAGACAGGAGGCGTCATTGGCACTTTGCTACTACCTACCGTAGCTGACAAGTATGGTCGAAAATGGGCATGTGCGGTGGTAAGCAAAGTTCCTTCTACGACGATCATTGAATCGCTACTGACAAGTTTCAAGCCTGCAATACTTGCCATAATCTCTGGCGCCATCATGTGCGGCGCTGTCAACGTGGGCATGTTCATTGCCTTCCGTTTCTTCGCTGGCGCTGCTGCATTCATGGTCCTTGCTGCTGTCCCTATCCTCATGAACGAAATCGTCCCAAGCCATCTCCGTGGTGCCTTGGTCGATGTCCATGCAGTGATGCTTGTTCTTGGTTATACAATCCAGGGTTGGGTTGGGTTTGGCTTTTTCTTTTGGACCACCGGTGGCTTAAATACATGGCGACCTCCCGTTGGACTCCAGATAGTCTGGCCTGCAGGCTTGCTCATTGGTCTTTTCTTCGTCCCTGAGAGTCCTAGGTGGCTCGTGATGAAGGGCAGAGACTCAGAAGCTGAAGCCATCCTGAAGAAGTTGCACGCCAGTGAATCTGATCCTGATCATGAAGTCGCCCAGGCAGAGTTTTACCAGATTCAGCGCCAAATTGCCATCGATAAGACTCTGGGCAACACTTGGATGCATATCATCAAGAAGCCTTCGTATAGAAAGCGTGCATTCTTGGGAATGGGCGTCACAGGTATCATTCAGCTCAGTGGGGTAAGACACTCTCCTACGTCTCGACGAGTCTCTTTTTGCGGATTTGACACTGATATATAAATGAATAGGTCCTTGTCATCAACAACTACGGCCCGTCTCTGTACGCACAACTCAACTTCTCGCCCACCAAACAACTTCTATATCCCGCCGCATGGTTGACCTTTGCTCTGGGAATGAACGTCTTAGCCATGCCTCTGGTCGACCGCTTCCCGCGTAACAAATTCATCGGTTTCGGAGTTGCGGGATGTATGGTGACCTTGATCGTTGAAGCCGCCCTAGTCGCCAACTTTGTCCCGTCCGATAACACCGCCGCTTTAGAGGCCGCTGTTGCTATGTTCTTCATCTTCCAAATCTTCTACGGAATCTGCTTAGATGGTACTCAGTTCTCCTATCTCGGCGAAATCTTCCCTACCCATCTCCGCGCAAAGGGCGTATGTCTCGGTGTTGCAATGATTTCCTTCATGAACATTATCTGGCTTCAAGCAGCTCCAACTGGTACGTTCTCTATCTCCATCTCAAATTTTGAATCTAATCATATGCAATGTACTAACCTAAATCCTATTAGCATTCCAAAACATCGGCTGGAAATTCTATCTCTGCTTCATCATCCCCGGCAGCATCGGCGCGGCTGTAGTTTGGTTCTTATTTCCCGACACCAATGGTCTCCCTCTGGAAGAAATCGCTGCTATTTTCGGTGATCAAGATGAAGTGGCCATCTATCAACGTGATCTGGAGATTGATTTCGCTACACACACTATCAAGGAACATGAGACAGATGCCAAGCCTGGTGATTCGGCACATGTCGAAACGGATCCGATTCCAGGGAACGAGAAGGTATAGAAAGTAATGAGGTGTTCGGGCTGGAGCTTCTAGAGAAAAAAAGGAGAGGGGGGGTCCTGGTGGTCTTGGGCATAATACAGACGAAAAGAGAAGAGTCGAGCCTTAGGTACCTAGGGAGGCATGGGTTGACGAGCATGGGCTAAACCCTGGCCTACGGTCAAGAAAGATTCTCTCGTGCGAGGCACGTAGATCGAGTCTCAAAAATCCAAACTTCTCGTTCGTTCTACCGCTGCTCAATAATGTAAATGCTCGTTTGGCCTTGCACATCATGCGCTGCAGTGCGAATCGCCCTGCGATCTAAATGGAGAGAATATTCCGAATTCCATGGAATCGCAACAGTAGTTTCGCCTCGCCTCGCTTCTCCCCCCTCTTTTTTCATTGCTTACCGAAGCACATCACATCACCATACCTGACCTGACATGATCTCATAGCGCATATCTGAAATACTTGCTCTGTTTATCAGTCAAGTCATTAAACCCATCAACCACGGCACGAGGATCCGCCGTTTTGCCATCCCAAGGAACAAAACTCTCCCTCTCAGCACACAATTTATCTCTCGACCTATTGTCCCACATATATGTAAATCGCAATGCCACCGCAATGACGATAATACCCGCATACGAGACAAGCAAACCAGTCATGGCGCTAAAGTATCGTGGGGCTTCGCGGGCAAAGAAGATATTGGCGCCGGCAATGTTTCCGGCCGCGTAAATGGTGAACCACATGGCATTGGCGTAGGAGCGTTTCGTGTGCCCGGCGACGTTGGTGGTCAGTAAGTTCCAGGAGACGATGACGGGGGCGCCGATGATGTATTGTAGCCATGTACAGCCGACTAGAGTCCAGCGATGGTCGAGGCTGGTGAAGCGGATGCCGAGTAAGCCGCCAAACGGTACGAGGGAAATGACGGCGAGGACGATGCAGCGCATGTCTTTGACGTAGGTGGCGATCAAGCCGCAGATGGGGACTATGGCTAGTTCGAATGCGCCCGTGGGGAGTTGTAGGAGAGTGGCGTTGATGCCGGAAAATCCATAGCCTCTGATCAGCGCGCTGGCGAAGTTGGACACACCGCCGTTGATGACTCCGCTGGCGAGTCCGATCAGGGCAATTCCAATCACTTTGATGTCAGTGAGGGCTTCCCAGGCCTGGGCGGGTTTGAATTGCTTGGTCTTGACACCCATCATGTTGTCTGCGACTCTCCAGACTGCGACCACCCGTTGCTTGTGCGTCAGAAACTTGGCTGCCGCGGGCGAGTCTGGCATGACCCAGAGAAAGATGATTGACCAGGCAAAGTTGATGAGACCGATGGTCAGGAAGATCAACTTCCACGACGCGAGAGACGCATTGTTTGCGTGACCCAGACCAAAACCGAGTAGGGCACCGACCATGGTAGCAGCACCATTACAGGCCAGGAATATGCACATTCGAAGGGGCTGCTCAGCCCGAGTGAAGAACATGGAACAGATGTTCATGATGGCAGGTGAGATGGAAGCTTCGAACATGCCGAGCAGAAAGCGCAGCGCAAGGATGCCTCCGTAGTTGGTTGCTCCGATGTGTGAGACCAACAGGATGGCCCATACGAAAATCATAGTGCCAGTGTACTTGGCCACCGGCAATTTCTGGATGAGAAGATTGGCAGGAAGCGCCTGGGGTCCGGTCAGTTTTGTTTTTTGTAGGGTCTTATGATTTCTTGCTTACCCAGAAGAGGTATCCAAAATTGAAAATGGCAGCAACCCAGCTGTATCGTTGGCCTTCGAGACCCAAGTCTGGGATCAAGCCATACGCCGAAGCATAGTTGAGTGACAACTTATCGAGGAATTGGATCATGTATGTGAAGCAAATCTTTCGACCTGTCAGCGCCATGTGATGTCATATGCAAAGAATGAATCTGAAGTTCGGAGCATGCAGACGTACAATGGGCATGATGTGCCAATCAATCTTTCTTCTCACAATGTCCTTCTCTGCTTCGAGTTCCTCCTGGGAATAGTTCTCGACCTCTGCAAAGAGATCAGCGCCGATATCGACACCTTTGCTCTGTGTAAGTTGTGTCCATGTCGACTTGAGACCATTCAACAGGCCGCCAGAAGGTTTGGATTCATCGGCGATATGTCCCTGGGACTGCTCTAGCGAGGGCTTCTCGGTTGGAGTGGTGTCGCCACTGTTGGCTGGAACCGCAAGTTTCTCAACGTCAACCATGATGGAACTCAAATTGGTATAATTGTCGAGGAGTAGATGAATTAGAGAGCGCAGGACTTGTTTATATAATGTATTTCGGTCTTGACAGGTGGATGATCAAAACCCGGCTCTTAATCCGATTGTTTCTTGTGATCCACTGATACGATGGAAGCCGATTGCAAGGGTCCTTTGATTCGAAGGACCCCCAACTGAAATCTAGAAAAATGGTGCAAACGCGGTAAAAGTGGAGGAAGCACATGGCAGGGTATGTTCTCTGAGATATCGCTTAGGGTAAGCAGTTGTGCGGACACAGTGTTGGAGGGTTGTATCCTGGCCTGCCATGCCTTCTATTCCCCAATGACGTTGGGAGGGCAAGGAGATAGGCACTAGTGGATTATATTGAACCTATCTTGATACGTGGAGTTGTACGCACCCGTGGAACCCTGTGATCTCCATACAGACGCACGGCACCACAAGACAGAGCCTGGTAGATCACAGCGATCATTCGCCCGAACAGGGGTGATTGTCTTATCAACTTCACCGGCCCGGCAGATGCGGTGTTGTGCGTCGGCGATCTCTCCACCGACAGAAGGGTTAAAGATAGTCATTTCCGTTGAAGGATTTGGCTGCAGGACGAAAGCACTGTTGCTGCTTGCTGAAGAAATCAAAGGCCTGTATATCAGACTATGGAAACCGTTGACTTCGCGCGCCAGGCCTGAGAAGTGCATTCACTGTATTCATTGTACACTTCGGCTTTCTCTCAATTGCCACCGAATGTCGTAATATCAGAATAGAGTGATGATCGGCCGAGCCGAAGTAAGTCTTTTCTTGGCGATGAGAAGCCGTATCAAGAAACAAAATGAGGTGGATTGTATTAAGGCTGACTCGGCGCAACGACTGTTGATTGGCGTATATTCCTTTATCAAGGTCGCTTGGCGAAGCGTAGTATGCCCCTTGGTTCAATCGTTTAGGGTCATTCCCCCCTAGAACGGTATATGTTTAACGGGCTTTTGATGGATGAGATTGGTCAAATGTTGCTAAGAGATGGCCCCTCTCTGCGTTCATGGGGAGAATTCCGCAATAAGTACGTATATATTGAGATATGGATGCTGGCGCTACATCTCTCCAATAGTCAGTCCACTTTGAGCGCACTTTCGCTTCTTCCCGTCCTCCCGTGATTTCTACCGTCGGGTGCCACCTTCGAACTTCCTGTGGGTAGGTATGAGTACTGTGAGAGCGTATCGCTATGATCTTGAGAGACGTTGCTTCAAACGGCGGTGTGAGGGGTGAAAAGAATGAGAAATAGTATGCTCAGTAATATGAAACCTAGGTCCTAAACGGTGGCATGTCAATGATAGAGGCAAATGAACGAGGATTTGGGACTTATGAAGAGTTGACAACAAATGGATTAGTGACTATTTCAAGACGCAGCAACTACAGACCGGTCGTGCGTCGTGTCGCTCATTCTCATCTACATGAAGATGATGTCACGTGATATCACGTGCGCAACACCCTCACCAGGGCACCTGTTGGCATTATGGATCAAAGCAACGGCCCTCCGGTCTCCTCTGGCTTCGTGCAAACTTTTCGCCATGTAGGATGTCTCAATATTGACAAATATGCTATGTAGGTTTCATTGTTATTGGATGGCTGGTAGGGCAAACATTAGACAATTGACCTGCCACCCGTGTGCCACTGGACAACGGCAGAGCATTTTCTGCGCAACCTAGGATGGAACAAAGGCAAGGTCCAAGACAAATCTGTCAGATAGACTACTCATATAGTCTGGCCATCAGGGGTTTCAGCACAGAAAATATGAGAAAGTGTAGAAAAGTTAAAACACCAAAAGTCAAAAAAGGTGAATGAGCGGAACGGTGACATCGGCAAATGAGTCAGCCAAAGATGGAGAAGGCAAATGATGATTGGTCACGTGATGAAATGTCGACTGTGGCTGACGAGGCAGTTGCCGCAGTTCTTCAGCATGGACGCACCTGCCGCAAACTCAACTGGTCCTCGATTTCGCCTTCGTCACGCCCCCAACCTTCTCACTCTTCTTCTTCAGCCTCTTCCCCTTCCGCCCATATCATTTCATATCACAGTACACAACCCATTGAACTTCCTCTACGGCCTGAAAAAGTACACCTCAATCCAGGTCGGACACCAACGTCCCTGGAATCGCCAGCCTCGGCGTCTTCCCTCAGTTTCAACGAGTGCTGCGCGCCACAAATCCCTCATTCACCCCGCAACCAAACAATCATGGGTCTCACCAAGACTCAGAGAATCAGTGTACTGCTGGCTATCGACTCTGTATTCTTTCTGATCGAAATCGTCATTGGTATGCCAAAGTCCACCTCTGCGCCGCTACGTTTGTTCATCTGCTAACAATTGCGCAGGCTATGCCGTTCACTCTCTTGCCCTGGTGGCAGACTCCTTCCACATGCTCAACGATGTCCTATCTCTCTGTGTTGGTTTATGGGCCGTCCGTGTTGCAAACACCGGCAACTCAAAAATGTACACATATGGCTGGCAGAGGGCCGAGACTCTTGGTGCCCTAGTCAATGGTGTTTTCCTCGTCGCTTTGTGCTTGTCCATCTTTCTCGAGGCAATTCAACGTTTTGTCGAACCTCAAGTCGTCAAAAACCCCAAGCTGGTTCTTATCGTGGGTTGCTTGGGTCTGGCTTCCAACGTTGTCGGTCTTTTCCTGTTCCACGACCACGGCCATAGTCATGGTCATGGCGGAGGAGAACAGTCTCACGAGGAAGATGCCATTAGGTCTGCCGAGGAAGGCCACGGCCATGCCCACTCGGACGACGAATCTGGCCAGATTACAAACGAAAGAGGTAATGTCGAAGATGTTCTGCCCCAAGTCCGAGTCGCTGGCTTCAAGGGTTCAGATGCCCAAGACTTTTCGAAATCGGACGAAGACAATACCACCATATCAGCCCATTCCTCGAACAAAGCCCACCGCAAGTCTGGCGACCTACACACTCGACAAAGAAGAAGAGCATCTGGCTCTTTTGGTCGTGGATTCGGTTCCGTCGATGACATTCTCGTTCATCCTGCATCTTTCCGCCACGAGATCATCCAAGCTGCTCGGCTGGACGAAGAGACAGAATCCGATGCGACTGAGGAAGACGCATTGTTGGATGAATCCGACTCTCCAAATGAACAGTCCAAGATTTTCAGCGACAACCACAGATTTTCGTCCAAGGGTGACAAGCGATTTTCTGGCTACGGAAGCATCGGCAAGAAGAGGGCCAGCGTCAACTACAACCATCACGACCACAACCACAACCAATCCAGGGACTCGCACAAGTCGCATGGTCATGGTGGTCATGGACACTCACATGGTGATCTTAATATGCGGGGCGTTTTTCTCCATGTCATGGGTGATGCACTCGGGAACATTGGTGTCATTGCTTCTGCGCTGATAATATGGCTCACCACGTTTCCCGGACGCTACTACTTTGACCCCGCCATTTCACTGGTCATCACAGTCATCATCCTCTGCAGTGCCGTCCCACTCTGCAAGGCTGCTAGTCGCATTCTCCTCCAAGCTGTCCCCGTGGGTATGTCCATCGACGAAATCACGGCCGATATAGAGTCGTTACCACGTGTGGTTGAAGCCCATCATCTTCACGTGTGGCAGCTTTCCGACACCAAACTCGTGGCCAGCTTGCACGTCAAGGTGGACTGTGACATTGAAGGCTCTGGATCGGCCAGCTACATGCACCTTGCCCGTGAAATCCGCAATTGTCTCCATGGCTATGGTATTCATAGCTCCACCATTCAACCCGAGTTTTACAGTCCAGAGAATGTCGACTCGCCATCAAGCTCGACTGCAGTTGCTAATGGCAACGGCGGTGTGACTCCAAAGAACGATAACGGCAGCAAGGCTGGAAGCCTCAGGAGCGAAGGAAGAGTGTGTTTGTTAGATTGCGGCGATAACTGCGCCGACAGCAAACAATGTTGTCCGCCAGGAATGGAGGCTAAGCCGCCCAAGAAATAAAGGGCGGCTGAGCAGATGCCGCACGTTGTCGAGTAATATCTGGTTTTTAGCCAGTTGTGTTTGCCAGACCCATCAAAGGAATACCATGGTATCGTATCAAGGCGTGTCGGAGTTTAGGTTGGCGTGTACAGCACGCCAGCGTCATCGTCATTGTCATTTTTGTTACACGAGCAGTCATGACTGCGTCCGCGGACTGTCTTTTATGTATTCTACCATGGTCAGGAAAATGCAACATTCTTGGGGAACTTCCTCTGTCCAGAAAAAGATACTGTTCTACACTATTTTCATTCCAATGTCCTTGCTTTCCAGTCGTTTCTGTGTTCTTCTCTTCCATATGAGTCGGGGGAGCGAGCCCTATGGCTGACCTATATGTCCACCCTTCAAGTCATACCCAAACATCAATAGCCATGTCGATGGGTCGTCTATCGATACGTCAGGAATATCCCAAAGTCTGTACGTTCTGTCAAGTCCGTGAATGACACCCTCCAATCAATCATTCTTTTGATACTTTATTCAACCTTTCCAAACCAACCAAAGATACAAACACACAACAGGCCATGAAACCTGCCAAAGAGTTTTGATAAAATACCCCAGCCGCGTCTTTGGTCCTCGTCGTTGTGAAGCGCTGGCTTTCCTATCGGAGGCGGTGGCTGATGGCATGCCCCAGTCATCGTCATCGTTGAACGTCAATCCTTCGAGATTCCGGTCAGTACCGGCGGCGTATGGATAGGGTGGTTTGGATGGAGAAGAGCTGCGGCTTGATGCAGGGATGTTGCCATAGCTACTTCCGTTGCCGTTGGATTTGCGGGTTGAGAGATAGGTGTCGCTTTGGTGATGACTGAGGACCGAGGAGGTCGAGGATGTCGAGGATGTATTGCTCGCAGGGTGACGGGAGGGGTAGTCTTTGGTCAATGGGAGGAGAGCATCGGACTTGGGATGGCCTCCATGCCGGTATTCGGCCGCTGAGGAGGGCTTGTATCGAATTGTGGCGGTAATGATAATGATGAGTGTGAATACTAATGTTTGGGCGTAGCGGATGAAAATGCCCAATTGATCAGGCAGAAGACATAGATGGTTCTGTACTGTGTCTCTGGGCACTGACATCTCTTGACCTCCCATCATCTGGTCACAATTGACGGGGTTCCAGAGACTCACGAGTTGAACTCCCGGTATTCGAATGCCCATAGCCCAACTCATACTTTTGACCGTAATTTCACGCGGTCGACCGGTAAATTCATTATGTTCAATCTCGCAATAGTCGTGGTCATCGCCTGAATAGATCATGGTGACTTCTTGGTGGAGATGAGTGATGATGTCCTGGGAGACGAGTGGGGTCAGGACATTTTGATATTGATAGCCAGCTTGTAAAGGGATGGCAGTGTCTCGTTCTCGGTGAGGGCCACAATGTGTCCCGGCAGCACGGAAGAGGGGAACATGAGTCAGGACAACTGTTGGAATTCCTGACGAGGATATTTTATTGGGTGGTGCGGACTGAGCGTCTGACTCTGCACGGCGGGTAAGGTCCTGACCGTGGTTTCGGATCGAGTTCTGTCTCATATCCATGCCGGCATCCCTTTCGTCCACTTGCTCTGTGTCTTTGTTCTGGGTGTTTTTGCGTGCACGTGGATAGGCTTTGAGCTCAGGAAAGAAGAGCTCGCGCGGTTTTGGGTCCCTCCAGCCAAGGTTGTTCTCGCAGGTCTGGCGAATGGCTCTCGCTTTGACATCGCCGGCCGTGGTAAGGAAATCTTCGACAGGTTTCCAGATCTTCTGGGCCTTTGTATCCGGGGAGGTGCCATCACCTAGTCCAGAACTCCCTGTAGTGTATTCTACCTGATCCATAGCGCTCAGGGAAACGGAATCAATGGAAATAAAAGAGTGATTTCCAATTATGTCGAGACGGTTGAGAGGACCAAAGTATGCATCGAATCGCTTCTTGACTGCAAGAGAAATTCCCTGGGCAAAGCCTAGATCATGATTGCCTGGGATGGAGGCTATCAGCCTTCGTCCAGCAGGCTCACTCTGACTGGTGGCTTGCCCATATGGCCAGGGGCGCAGAAAGATATTGGAGAAGCGCATATACTCTCTGAGCCAGAATTGTTTTCCATATTGTCTATAGCGTTCCTCAGGAGAGGAGTATTTGGCATCTCCCCATTCTCTGCCACCATCAAACAAGTCACCGAGGAAGAGAGTGCTGTCAGGCAACAGTTTCTGTTGTAGGCGCCGGTAGGAGCGGTCGAGGTATTTGTCCGTGTAGAAGATTGTGAGGGTGGACAAGGGCCAAGGGCGATCAGGGTAGGTATGAGGATCAACAAGCTGAGGGTCGGCCACAAGCAGGACGTGATGAGGCTGGGCGTATGAAGGCTAGACAGTTTCAGTAGGAGGAAGTCGACATTGCGTCTTGGTTTCCACATACCCATTTCTCCCAGCGCTGCCACTGACAAGCGGTGACGCTACGATCGAAAACCACTCTTTCTCCCCAAATGAGTACAATAGCCCAGAGGAGGACCAAGAGAGAGGATATCCTCCATAGATGAAATGTGACACTGGTGGAAGCGTGCAGGCGACGGAGAGTCTGGCCCAGCATGCTCAATCATGTGATGGGATATGACTGTGATCTCATGGCTGGGTTTGTCGCGGCTGCGGATGGTGGAAGCAGCAAGAGGTCGTGAGGATGGAAGCAGCAGGGTTCAATGAGAGACTCAAGGGCTGCTCATGCGTCTCAACGACATTTGTTGAAAGATGTTGCTTTGATCATCGACTGAACGATGTGGGGATGGCATTTCAAGCGGAGTGGATTGATGATGGTGAATTTGACAGGCACAACAGGCCAACGATAATTAAGCTGTCAGGGGCATCAAGCAATGGAAGCCACAACCGTGTGGTAGCTACAGTTAAGATTTCTGGGCGATAGTGGAGAGCCGAGATAAGGGAGACATATCAGCTTGTAGGCTTCGAATACAGTGGCTACAGTGGCGACCGTAGGCATAGCCTGTATGCATATGCGGAGGCAGTTGCTTGCGTGCTTGCGTGCTTGCGTGTGTTGAGGGGCGGAGCGCAGGGCGAGGGGCCGCTGGGTCTAGCCGTTACCTGAATTAGGGGAGGGGACGAGGGGTGACAAGTCAGCTGGGGGCATGTCTACCTACAGAATTCCTCCTTAACGGCCCGAAGCTCCCGTTATAAAATCTTCCCAGGGTGCCTAACCCCGCCATCCAACCGTTATTATGTTGCCTATAGGCTATATTCCACGATAGACGTAATTAGCATTGTTTCAAATCCAACTGTGGCCGCTTGATCGGCCAAACATTTATCAACAAGTCGAGAAGCATGTCTGGCCCGACATTTGTCACGTTGTACTGTCCATCGCTCGTCGTTGTCGACGGAACTCATTCATTATCCAAGCATGCCGTTCTCGATTCAATGCCATCTCGATTCAATGCCATCTCGATTCAATGCCATCTCGATCCAAATCAACTTTCCCCTACTTCCAGATGGACAAGAGTCAGCCCCAACAAATTGTTAGCAACCTGAACACAATCACCAGGTCGGCAGCATGAACATAGCATCTTCTCTCTCAACTTAGTTTCAGCATCAGTCTTTGCCACCTCTCTTGCCAGTAGTTTCGATTGACTGCTCGGCTATATCAACTTTATTAATCCTACGAAATTTCTCTGCTGAACACGTCCATGGTTTTCTCTTCACGATTCTTGTGTCCATGTCCATCAGCCTCGATGCAATCTGTTTCAGATGGACCCGATTTCTATCTCCAGTGGCATTGCTGGCCTCATCACTTTGGGCTTACAGGTGAGTGCCACGCTTGCCATATATATCAACGCCATCAGAGAACGAGACAATTCCATCAAAGAGCTCCGCGATGAATTGATTTTACTCGGCGAAGTCCTCAGCCAACTACGGGACTTCCTCACCACCGACGAGGTTAGATCTCAGTCTTTTGACCAAGATTCTGTCCTCCGCAACGCCATTCGAACATGTTACCAACGCATAGAGAGAATTGGAGACAAAATTAAGGTCACTGATGGAGGCAAGATGGCCCGCGTTTTGGAGAAGCTGAAATGGCCTTTTGAACAACGTGAAGTCAACCATATGGTCGAGACCCTCCGTAGTTTCTCCCAGACCTTTCAGTTTGCACTCAGCATTCAAGGATGCCATCTCCTGTCAAAGACTGCCGACTCGGCGAGCAAGAGCCTTCAAGAATTACACGACATGTCAAAGAAGATGGAGGCTTTCTCCAGCTCCTCGGTTATCGTCACCAACCAACTCCAACAGATACTCACTTTACTTCCCATGTTGAGTGAAACAGTGGACCAAGTCAATGAATTGACTCAGACTGCCAGACTCGCCGAGATGCGAGAGCAGGAGCGAAGGACATCAGATATCTTGGACTGGCTGGCCCCAGTGTCAGCCCTACACAAGCATCGTGACATGCAAGCTAAACAAGCACCAGGAACTGGCAAGTGGTTTCTTCAAATGCCACAGTTCTTGCAATGGATTCAAGATGGCTCAGCACAGCATGATCTCTTGTGCGTTGGCGGCCCGGGTGCGGGCAAGTCAGTCCTGGCCTCCATCATCATCGATCATCTCAAGGCACATGCCAAAGATACCGATATCGCTGTGGCCTATTACTACTACGATTACTCCGAACAGCAGTCTCAACATCCTTCAAACCTGGCTCGATCGTTATTGCGACAACTTTGCACCAGACATCGAAATTTGCCTATAGCGGTAGCTGACTTCTACCAGCGCACAAGGAACGACGTCAAAGATCAGACCTGGTTTCATGACTTACTGTCCATCCTCTGTCGAATCATCTTGACTTATGACCAATGTTTCATTGTCATCGATGCTCTAGACGAAGCGGACAATCTCACCCAACGTACGGGTTTCTTTCAAGTGCTCAACACTATAAGAAATGTAGCCGCCAACATCAAAGTTCTTGCCACCTCTCGACCGCATATCCTTCGCAACGGTGGCAAATTTAAAAATCCAGTCGTAGTGGATGTCGTCGCTAACCCACATGACTTGCGACAGTTCCTGGAACAGGCCATTGAAGCGCACTCCGACCCGGATGATCGCCTTGAGCCTGAATTCAAAGAGCAAATTATGTCGTCTCTGTGCGCCAGTTCAAACGGCTTATTCCTGCTGCCTGCTCTCCAGATTCGAATCATTATGGACCAGACTTCAAAATCGGAAATGAAGAGAGCTCTTCACAATGCATCCAAAACTCTGACAGCAGCGTTCCAGTCCACCATGCAAAGAATTAATCGTCTCTCGGAAACAAGAAAAGATCTGGCTTTGCGATCATTGATGTGGATATCCCATGCTCGAAGACCCATGAGCATGGTGGAACTACAGCACGCACTGGCAACTCGACCTGACGATGTCGATCTTGATCGTGACAACATGACCTCTCCCAGAACCCTCCTAGACTGTTGTTGTGGGTTGATTGAGGTCGACCGCGACAACAGCATCGTGCGATTAGTGCATCATTCGCTCGAAGAATACCTACGAGATTATAGCCATGGACTCTTCAAGGACGCCGATATGTTGATAACTAGAACTTGTCTGAAATATCTGTCCTTTCATTCCATCGATCAACTTCCAAGCAAACACCGCTCGGAATTTAACGCCGCAATAGCCAACCTTTCATTCATTGAATACGCATCGGCGGAATGGGGCCACCATGCTCATGATGTATCCGCCGAAGCAATCAAAGATCTAGCTCTGCCATTTCTTCTCAACCCCCCAGCCCTATTCACTATGACCAGGGTGCGTGAGTCGCGGACACCCGACTTCCGGAAATTCATTGGGAAGAGTTGGAGTTGGGCGAAATCTGGGGGCGCTGGTATTTCCGTCTGTGCCGAGTTTGGTCTTGTAGACATGCTCCAAATCCTGATCGAAGAACAAGGCAATGATCTTTGTCTAGATTCTCGCAACAGCTACGGAAGCACACCTCTTCATGAAGCAGCCATGAATGGACATGTCGCAACAGCAAAAGTGCTCATCGAACACGGGTCCAGTGTGCTGTGGACCAACTATGGACACAGCACGCCGTTGTACTTGGCCGTCACCTTTGGCCAAACTGCCATGATCAAGTTTCTGCTCGAGCATGGCAGAACTCAACTCGACCTGAAAGGCCCCAATGACTTCACACCCCTTCACAAAGCCGTTGAGCAAGGAAACGAAGAGATGGTCGCTCTCTTCCTTGAAGCTGGAGCCTTGTTAGCATCGACCGACAAACAAGGAAACACACCCTTACACTTGGCAGCCAAACGTGGGTATAAGTCTATTGCAAAGTCGCTGGTGGAGGCCGGAGCATTTGTGCACGTCAAAGACCATGACCAGCTATGTCCACTAGATCATGCAGCCACAGGCGGGTTTGCCGACCTGGTGGAGTTTTTCGCCAACAACGGTGGTTCGATCGGACACAAGGGCAAGGAAAAATGGACTTCTCTCCATCGAGCTGCACGAGGAGGTCACTTTCAGACGGTGTCGTTGTTGCTCGACCGGGGCGCAGATGTTATTGCCGAAGATTTCAAGGGAAACATCCCCCTCCACCTGGCAGCCCGTTCTGGCAATATGGAGACGGTAAAGATGCTACTGGAGCGACGACCCAATCTCAAGAGTGTACAACTATTCTCAAAAGATCGCAAACACAGCACTCCCCGTGAAGTGGCGTTCTTCACCGCTCACTATGACATCCACAAGTATCTCCGTGCAGCAGAATGGGAAGTCGTGGGCGGTGAGCGCAGCAGGTCAAGCCTACTCACAACAGCGATCGAAAGAGGAGAAGTCAACAAAGTGCGAGAAATCCTGACCAAGCAACCCGAGTCAATCGACCAAGTTGACGAAGACGGCCAACCTCCATTACACGTGGCAATCCAGGAACGACAAACCAGCATCATCCATCTCCTATTGAAATACGGTGCTTCAGTCGAAAGAAGCGGATACCACGGGTGGCGAGCACTACACATCGCAGCCTCACTAGGCGATCTAGATCTAGTCAACATCTGCCTTGCACAGAAAGCAGATGTGTCGGCGCGCACCGACACAAGTCAGACGGCACTACATAAAGCGGCCTCAGCGGCGTCGTTGGACGTCATTCGTCGCCTCATCGAAGCAGGTAGTGACATCAACGCCCGCAATAACCGAGGTATGACTGCCTTACATATCGCGGCCCATCAAAACCGAACTCAGGTTGCTCGCTCGTTGGTGCTTGATTATGGTATGGATGTTCTGGCGAGGGATAGGCAAGGCTTGACTCCTGTGATGTGGGCTGAGAGGTCGGGTCATTTCGAAGTGCGCTCCTTTTTGAAGAAGATGCAGAAACTGGCAGCGGGTAATAGAGGTGTCGCTGTCCCTACCCAGGTTCCTGTTGTTGGAAGTGTCGCTGCCACCGATGATGGGTTGGATGGGTTGGATCATGATATGCATGGATTGGAAGTTGTTGCGTGATTATTTGCAGATATGACATCTGGGCATAAAACATTTAACGATTTCACGATGACGATGAAGAAGAAGATGACGATGACGACGACGACACCGATGATGAGAACGACTGTTATGGCACGAAAAGACATATCAGCATACATGCATGGATTTGAAATCTTGAGGAATAGAACCATCACGGCATCTAGTGTGCAAGATTGCTCAGCATTATGGCCGTATATGAACTCTCTACTTTTACTATCGGACAAGACCAACACTGTCATTTACATTTCCTTTCGGCAGAGCAAGAGAGATATATAGGTCCTCTATTCAAAAGCATCATTTCTGATTTCATCTATGCCTAGCCCTCTTATTCTCATTCTCATTTTTATCTCATGATAAAGCCCAGAGACATAGCTGTTATTTCCCTCCACCACAAGAAGCCCTCACTCAGTCATATCCAATCCAAATCCCTAGATATCCAAATACCTAGGATGGTGATCCATCTATCCCGTAATCCCCATCGCCGCCACACCCCCTCTCGCCTTATCACACGCACTCCGGAGAGCCTGCTGCTCAACATCCGTCCACTTCACACTAAGCCGATCCCAATTCTTGACCTTGAATTCCTTACGATACTGGGCGTGTAGTTGTTGTAACTTGAGATATGGTCGCATATCGCCCGTGCCGCTGTAGATGATTACAAGTGTTCTCGCCGGGAGTGTGGAGTAGAGTTTCTGGATACGTTGGAGGGTTTGAGTTATGGTTTTCTCGAGGGTGTTGGAGGCATTAGTGTCTTCGAGGGGAGGATTTGCCTTTGGTGAGGAGGTGGAGGTGGAGGTGCAGGTGGAGGGAATGGAGGGTGTGTGGTTTTGGGTTCCATTTGTTGCTGCCTCTTGTTTGTGATCTCGACTCGGTAGTGAGAATGCGAGGTCCGCTGAGGTGGGATTTTCTGGGAGAGGTGGAGGCGGTGTGTTCCAGCCTCGAATGGATTCGAGTTCGTGGAGACGTGCCCAGATGAAGTCGACCCCGCCTGGAGGGATGACCGTGGGATGTTGTTGGGGAGTGGCAGATTCTGGTGATTCGTCCTGTTCAGCGTTGGACGAAGGTTCATTCGAATTCGGTTCAGTCGTCGTCAACGTCGCGAGCGCTTCCGAGGCCGCTGTATCTCCATGTGCAGCTCTCAAAACTCCTTGGATGATTTGATCGTCGTCCTCACAAGCGATTTTGAACGTAGCTTCACGTCCCAAGCCCCTCTCTGGAGTTCCATACTCAATGAATGCGCTCTGTCGCTCTCTACCGTCAGGTCTCTTTGCTCGAGCAATTCGACGGAGTATACTCTCCCCGTTGGCGTCTAGAGTTCCCCATTTCGAACCTTTTTCGCATTTCAAACGGACCAAGTCAAGGACAGCGCGGGCATCTTCCACGGAGTCATGGCCATTGGCGCCTCCCTTTTGGATCTCGCGTTTGAGGTAGCGATTAGCGAGGAATTTCAATGATGATCGAAGAGGGAGGCCTCGAGGGTGTGGGTAAATGATGGAGGTGTCGATGATATATGGATGAGTGAGTTTCAGGGCGTTAAGATCGGAGTCGAGAGAGTGGCCAAGGAGGATGGAGTCAGGGGTGATGAGAGATAGGAGTTCGGCTTGGATGTCTTGGAGGGTGGTGTGAACGTCGGCGAGATGTTCAGGAGTGATGCCGGAATATTGAGTGAAGTAATTTTTGATAGGGAGGGAGGGTTTAACGTATTTGTCGAGGATGGTCTTGCCGTGCCAGTCTAGGATGGAGATCCGAGCAAGCGAGTATTTGTCGTCATCAGTAAGTACCATTTCGCAGTCCAGAGCATAAGGCTTGAGTTCGTCGACCAGAGATTGGGAATGTCTGACTAGCTTTGGGGAAGGGGGAATTCGAGAAGCATCGAAATGTGGGACTTTTGTATCTACCCAACCAGATGATGCAGACTGAAAAGTACTTTCTCGTCGATCTTGCTCCAATTGTGCATCTCGCGGGTTGTCAAAAGCTGCTGGATGGATGGGATACTCAGCTTCGCGAAGATCATCGCTAGACTGAATGAAGCTGGATATATGCGTTCTTGACGAGTGAAAGGGCCTATCATCTGTTGCATTATTTCGTTGCTTTTGCTCTTGAGATGGAGAGATGAGTAGAGCATGCAGGGGTGAATGGACTTTGCTGGTACCGGAATCCCCAGGGCCTTTGACTGGAACAATGTTCTGGGCAAACCATGATGTATGGGAGGCGTCGGAGCTCGAACTTGGCACGTCGGGGGGTGATGATGATTTAGGTTGATGCGAATAGGCTTTGGTAGACCCAGTGGTAGGATCATCATGGGCGATTGCTTTCGAACGCTCCAAAGTCTGTTTATCCAGACCTGGGACCATGAGAACAACGACCTTGTCGATGTGTTCTTTGTTCCTGACAGCCAACCAAGTAGGGGCTACACCATCTGCTAGAACATACAAAACGAGTTCTTGTAGGGCTTTTGCCTGGATCTGGGAAGGTTTACTGGCATGGAATGAGATACCAGGCTGGACGGTTCTGATGGGGGTTTGATCATTCGATCTATGGTCAAATGGAGCATCATCAATCTTGCGTCTTTTACGCGATCTGTTAGATTTTGATTCGACCAAATGCCAGTCTCCATCGGCGGTGTCATCTGGCCCGTTGAAGGTCGGCTCTAGTTCAGTCATCTGGAATCTGTCTGTGATTGAAAGTGGACGAGAGGTGGATTTGGTGGTAGCAGATAGTGATTGTTTGTCAAACCAGACTTGTCCATTTAACTTGACTTCTGTGGCATTCTGATCGTCCTAAAACGCATCAACCATTCTAAACGGTTGAATGATCAATCGAAACGATCACCAGAGGAGGAAACGAGTGCCTTGAGAGTGTTGGATAATGTTGAGGATTTCTTGATGTATCAAAGTTAACTCGGCAAAGTTGCCCAGGGTCACGGTGCACTTTTATAGTCGCGGACTAAAGGCTTGGCGGGTCCCTTGACGAGACTAAAGCGACGTGACTAGGGCGCAGTCTGTAAAAGGCTGCGCTAAACTTCTTTCAGCGCATATGCCAAGGTGAGTGAAAACTGCTCTCCGCTTACGGAGGACCCTCCCCTCCAGTATGCATGGGACAAGGATATGGTGGCGTGTCCCGTCCTCTCCTAGGCTGAGGTTCTCTTCACGCAATGGCGTCAAGCCCCCCTCGATGGTCCGAGAAAGACGGGCAAGTCAATGATTGTCGAGAGCGCAAGAAAACGAATGTTCATGTATGAGGTTGAGGGTTGGCAATGTCACCTGCCTGCGACCGCTGCCGGGCGCTCAAAACAAAATGCACCTTGATTCAAGGGACGACCATCTGTTCCAAATGCAATCGCTCTTGCAGGGAATGCCGGTGGACACAACACCGTCCAGAAACACATGGCCCTCCCAAAAAACGCCAGACACTCGATAGGATCGTGCAAAAGCTCAATCGTCTCATCAGACTGGCAACAAACATCATCTCCGAGCAGCCGTCTCACGTGGCCGTACAGTTGTCGACAGAAGCTAACGGCCAGGCCGATCCAACAACTGACAATAGTGGTGTGGCGGTCTGCCACTCCCGGCCAAACAGCAAGCGGTATCCTGGAACCTATTTTCCCACTTGTACGACCAAATCCCATGATCTTGGCCGTAATTCCCTAGGCCAGCGCTCCCTCCTCGTATGGGACGTTCTTTGTCTGCATGCCAGAGTAGACACAGCAAAGACCTTGTTGACTTTCCAGCAGGGCCCGGAGCGTTGTTCCAAGTCAATGTTGAGACAACGCTACGACTTCTTCATCCGATACACCCAAGAGCTTCTTCCACGGGTGAGCACGTTATACTCGTTGGCAAAACGGAAAAGGATCCAAAGTGTGTCTCTCCACCCGTTGATGCTGCTCGACAGCTGCATAGGGTTCATGATCATGTTGGCGACCATACTAGGAGACAACTTTGCCTTGAAGCACCATTACGGGGTGTGGCAGTCTGAAATGTTCACTTATCGTCATGCCCTAAAATCCACAACGCGATTGGCGTCCCTCACCAATCCTTACGGTGTCAATATACACATCAATCCGTTTTCTGGAATCGTCGAAAACAATCAGCCAGGGTCCTCGTCGATGGTCACTGAAGATTACTTCCAGCATCTCAAGACAATGTCTGGCTGTCGTGAGGCAATGGATCTTCGGGCCGAGGAGCACTTGACTCCACAATTACACCCGCTTGACGGTGGGTTTGAAGTGCTCGCTAGATTTCTCGTCTTTGTAAACAAGTTCGACGGCTGAGACACATGTTCTCTTCCCTTTTCCGATTCAAGGGGCAAACCTATCTTAAACATGGCCAACCGCTAGGCACATGATGGATTCTAGGAAGTGGCTTAAGCCAACACATTGTGGTTGCTCAAGCTTAGGGACCAGACCAAGGCCGATTCCACGACTTGAAGGAACACATTTTCTCTGCTCATCTTCTCCTCAACGAAGCCTCCTCTGGCTCGCCGATTTCAGCCACGGCTTCCCTTTGACAGCCAGCGTCCAATTCATGGACAACAAGATGATGTGTTTTAGCCTCGCCACCTGCTTCATACCTATTGTCTCCATCCATTCTAGCCTCTTTCTCTAGTATGACTCGTTGCGACCGCCACTCCTGTGAATTCCTAACACTCCCCTCCCTGGATCCTCCTTTGTGTTTCTTGCGGAGAAATACGGTGACTGTGACTGCGACTATCACCAACAGAACGACACCTCCGACAGTACCACCGACAATTGGACCCAGAGGTGTCGAACCGCCAATGGAGGCAGAGGTAGTGGACGAAGGTGATGGTGATTCTGCAGTCGAGGAGGGAACAGCCTCAGAAGGAGCAGAAGGCGCTTTTGTGTAGGAAAAGTTGAACATGGAAGCCATCGACTCGTCTTCCCAAGTAGGTTCGCGGTAATGGTTGGAGTAGTATGACTCTATCACATGTGGCAGCTCATAGGGAGCTGCTTCGGCGTCGTAATGGTCGGTCCAAGCGAAGGAGCTGAGGTCAAAAATCCCAATGCCTGATACCCAGGGATCCTGAGCCACCCCAAGGCTCTGCCGTGAGGACGGTTGATATCCACCGATGGAAATCATCTGTCGATTTCCGACCAAGGAGCAGGCATGAGCTGCCCGCCGGACGGTGGTGCTTGAATTGGACTTGAACCAAACAAATCCCGGTAGAGATAGGACAAAGACATTCAAGTAGCCCTCATGGTTCGGTGCCCCCCAATCACTTGTTTGGTTGACGGATCCGCCGTAAACAAACATCTCAAAGGTCTGACCTGAAGAGGCACCTACCATACAAAACTTGGAACGAGGGGGAGGGATCTCACCTGTCGCCGTCTGCGTGTACCACCGAGCTGTGCCAATGTCGCAGATGACAACTCTCGACATGTCGGCCATCGAACGGCCCTCCTCATACCTCAAGTCCGGACCGGATGGATTTTCACCACCCACAACCACGACGATGCCCGACTGCCCAAAATTTGGGATATAGCTGGCGCGAGAAAAGAGCCGGAATCCGCTGTCGTTTGGAATGGACATTGTCTCATTGGTCCAAAGCCCCGTTGCGAGATCTTGAGTGATCAAATTTGCTTCAAGACGCATGTTGGGCCAACTTTGCGGTAGATGATTGCCACCTCCGATGGCAAAGTAGGTCCTGTTGCTGAAAGCAGAGGCCGGTGACCAGGGTAGAGTGAGATTTGTCACGAAACCCTCACCTGAAAGGAACACATCTTGGGTCCATTCGATACTCAACGTAGAAGGTGTGAAGACAAATGTATTTGTGGCCGCACTCAACGAATCACTCGAGTATCCCCATCCGCTGGCCCATCTCACAAGGTTGGACACACTGTCGTAGTACAAGGTCGGATACCTCGATCCAAGCATCCCGACCGGATTGCTGCTTAAGATGCCTGAGACGGTTGCGTTGGTCCAAGACTGAGTTAGGTCGACCGCGATAGTCTCTTCAACTGTGTTTATCAACATCATTCTGGCATTGCCCCATCCTTTTGACTTACGCAACGATATCTGCGGTGAGCCACTGATTGATGTGTAATATTCACCACCAGCGATGTAAAGCACATCCCCAACGACAGTAGCTGGCAATGTCTGTATTAGAAAGATTCTCCAACCGACAGATGCAAAGAAACCGACAAGATTGCCAGAGCCACTGAGTGACTTCGGGGCCCAGCAGTGCGCAAGTGGCCCGCTCAAACGTCAAGAGGATCGAAAGGAGGGAGATTAGCGTCATCTTTGCTTCGAAACGAATCAACCTATGGTCAGGGACAGTGAAACCTTGACGAGAAGGGTTTACAAGTATGTCGCAGTGAGGCAGATTTCATATATGGATCATCTTCTGGAAGAGATTTTCCTCTTTCAAATTTCTTCTTTGCCCAAAGAAGTAGTGCTGTGGCCGAGGACCAGATTTACCTGAGGATGCCTATGTCTCACAGCCACAGCCAGGGCATCGATGCTGGAGCCATGCCGAACGCCTGAATTAATGGCGTCATCCGAGGCGAGAGATTTGGGATTCTGGACCGCTCGGAGAAAGCAGAGATCATTCAAGCCTAGATACTAAGTTCTGGGATTCTGAGGACGATGGAAGGAGGCTTGCTGTTTCTCCACTAATAACCCGATTCGGGCAAACAGCATGGGGAGGGGAGATCTGCATGTTCAGCATAGCCTAGACCTCTCACAGTCTTGAGCTCGCTTATGCATTCATATGCAGTGCCTAGACAACAAGGAGCGCGAATTGAGGGCTTGAGGAAGGTCAAACTTTGCGATGAGGAAGTCAGAGCCATCCAAGCAAGAAGGTCTGGTCGGATACCAAGCATTCGCTAGACAACTTCAAGCGAGTAATATGACAGGGATTTAAACTTCGAACCCTGCGATCATGCCGGTAGACGGAGAGCATTTATCGCCATTGCTGCGCATACGAAGTTAACCAAACTCTCGACCGGTCCTCGCTTTTGCCGAGTCCTGGACACAGCATCGCCGGGACCCATGCTCCGCTGCCGGTCTTTTGCTCAGAGGTGTGGTTATTTGACCATCAGAAGAGTGTTGGGTTGGATGCTGGACAACTTGGCGATTGCATGATGCATTCGCCAAGCTCAACGGCGACATCGATAGCGGCGCAAGCAACATGTCACCAAGTCTGCCTGGACGCTTGCCGGCTGAGTTCACCAGGCTGGTTGGCCACGTGTTTGTTGAGGGCCGTGTCTCAGAGATTAACATGCTCCTTGAAAATGGTATAGGTGAGTTCTGATAACCACTGCTCTAGTACTCAATCATTCATAGCATTGCCCGACTTTATCACGCCATCTAGAGAGGAGATGGAGGAGATGGACGACGAGAAGCGTCCAATGGCGATATCAGCCGCTCCCAGAGAAGATACAAGAAATCGACCTACTGCACCAAGAATCCGCCAACCCACCATCAATGTGGAGTGGAGATGCGACCAAGCAGAAGAGGCGAATACTAGAGATCGTGAGACGATGTCCAAGCATAATGAAGGATGTTTGATCCCTTTTCCGGTCCGTTGCGCAACGTGTATTCAAAATTAAAGCGGCCCAACGCCTGAATTCGAAGCTGTTTGGCAGTGCTCACAACAAGTCCAGCTCTCAAGGATTCTCCTGAAATCCTACCATGAGAACGCCGGCCATCCTGAGGAGTCGTGATGTCGATATGACCAACTTTGTCACGTCTTGGGTCATTTCCACTCTCACTCTTGCGGGTATCCGGACGTTGTTCTCGATCTACGTCTTTGCCACTATTGTCTACTCATTCGTCTACTTCTCCCGACATACAACGGTCGTGACACTGACAGACATCGGTCTGCCAACCGTCAGTATAACCCAAGGATCCAATGCCATTGGGCGGTCATTTTCGTATTTTACATATCTCTCCTTCTGGGGATTGGGGTTTTATTTCTTGGTTGGTGCATGTCATGGATACTTCTTTCATCGACAGCGAAGCACGGTACTAGACGGCCGAGGGTCTTGTCGGTATTACTTGCGCTGGTTCCATTCCCTGTTTTACACAACAATTACGACATTTCCTTTCCTTGTAACACTCGTGTACTGGGTCTCGATGTACGTACACGGGCATGGATTTCCCACCACCTTTACACGATGGGGAATGATATCCGTGCACGGAATCAATTCCTTTTTTGCACTCTTCGAGCTGGTTGTTCCTGCTACGTCTGCACCACCGTTGGTTCATCTGGCATGCCTCATGATCATCATGATGCTGTACTTGGGGTTTGCATACCTTTCCAAGCTCACGACAGGGGTATATGTCTATTTGTGGCTGGATCCTCAATACGGCGTGGCGCAGATCATCGGGCATATAGCTGGCTACGGGGCTCTCCTCGTCATCATTTTCGTCGTGGTGGTTGGACTAATACGTGGACGGGTGGCAATCACTGATCGATGGTTCGGGGAAAAGGGCCAGGAAGCTAGACAGCCTACGTGTTCGATGGCTGCCGTTGATCGTGTCGAGGTTCCCAAACGCTGTTCCGCTATGTGACATCCTGGACCAGAATAATGGGCATAAACAAGGTCGGTTCGTGTGACCATATCTACGATAGAGCAAAACAAACCCATGAGCACTGTTTTGTTGGGAGGAGCAAAATTATCTAACTGCAAAGTGCCAAATTACTCAGATTGTAATTTGTCAAGATTTCAAGTCTTCCTTTCTGATAATGTGTCCAACAATAGCTCAGTTCGAGTGCCACCACTGTTGGCAAGTGGTTCTCCTCCAATGCTTGAAGATGATCATTCAGAGCTCCGACATCGACATAATCCGCACTTTCCTCCCATTCCCAGACTCGTTGAGCCGAACTCGGACTGGCTGAGCTGCTCTTGGTTTCTCTTTCCTGCTCTGAATCGCATATATGCGGTCATGCAGTGTTTCGACAGAAATAGAATGAGATTCGTTGTTCAGCACCTCGCATATTGCATCGGACATGCCTACATATGTCGAGGATTCCCAGCTCGCTGCTGAGAGGAGTTCCTTGGGGTACTTTCGATCTAGTTTGACCTTCGTAGCTGTTTTCTTCACTGTGTCGTTGAACTCCTTCAAGTTTGGTTTCACTGCCTCTGGAAAGATTGCCGCCGCACCAGAGTGACAACAGTCGAGGATCATGGCGAGCTCGCATGGGGCGTCCATAATGAGTTGTTGGATGCCTGTCCAGCTTACCCAAGCGGTTGGTCGATAGATTTGACTACTTTCGTAAGCTCAAGGACTATTAGGTGCGAGACATGAGACTCAATCACTTACTATTGTTCCATAGCATGATGTATGTTCGTAATGCAGTTGTTGATGACCGAACGAGTGCTTTCAGAAGAGACTTTGTCATCTCCAGATGCGCCAGATGTGCGGGATGTTTTGGATGCGTTGGATGTCTTACCCTTTGGATCAGGAGGCAGCTTAAGATTGCGTAACGTCTCGCCCACATCGAAAAGAGTACGCGAAAGAGCCTGAGCGTCCATTTGTAAGACCGCCTTTTTGTCAGGGAGATTATGACTTGAGTAGAGTGAGTATAGACTTTGGATGAGAACGGTTCTAGACTGGAATCAAGTAGTAGTTCTCACCTGGCTAAGAACAGTTCCTTTTCTTTTGATATTCCTCCATGGCCAGAATAGTAAATGAATCTCCCGGTGGTACTGTGTTTTGAAGGCAAGAACTTCTTCATCGCCTCCTCCAGGGCTCTCTGAGAGTCTTCCATAGGGATTTTGAAGGTGTCCACTTTATACCCTCGGCGCTCGAAGGTTCTTTTGACCTTTGCGACCTCTGCATCTATTTCAGGAAAATCACAGAATTCGAACGTGACGATCAGAACCTTTCCTGCTGGGCGTTCTGGTGCTTTGTTAGGTTTGCGACCGGCTTTTACTTGCTGTTTGTCTGGCGGTGGTGGTCCACGAGATCGTAGTCGAGGAAGTGGTGTTTGAAGAGGTTGTGACGCTTCGGGATCCGCCATCGTTCGCTCTTTGTCTTGGTGACGGTGCGGTGTAGTTCAATAGCTTTAGTTGTTCGGTGAGAATGAGTTCACTCTATGATTTCTATTCATCCAATTTTTGAATTCCTAGAAACAGAGCAGTAGGAGGAATAGATTGGGAGAAAGAGAAGGGTTGATGTTGCAGGCAGGGAAGGGGGAAGAGAGATGGGAGGATGAGAACTCAAGATAGTTAGATCTGGTAGAATAAATAGAAAGCCCTAAAGTCAAGAGCAGCCGGACTAAAGGACTGTAGAGCTGCCTCCTTAGTCATTGTAACAGTATAAAGAAAAGTCTGGTAGCGCGGCAGCCATGCATCCCTTCCTAGGTAGTTGGAGCAAACTTGAGCTGCAATAATGGCGCTCTATGGGATGAAATCGATTGCTTACACGGATTGCCTGGATCTGTAAGCGAGCATATGCGAGCGGGCTGTACGCATATTGTAAACTCAGACAATGCGAGCATAGGCCTAGTGAACGTGAAAGATATCTGTGGACGGAATCAGGCTGAGATCTGGTGTAGAGTTAAGGTCAGCCGAGTGGGTGTGTGAGGAGCAACTGTGGTCCGTTTTCAGGACGAGTAAACCGCACCTACATCTACCAAATGTGTCAATGTATTGACTGCTTTTTTTACGCTTATGAAATCTCAGTTTTCTACATAGGTGGATTAGTGGAAGAGGTGGCAGGGTCTGAAAGGGTGAAAGATAAGGTGAAAGGCTCACGAGGAGAGGTGATTGCACGAAACATTCCCCTGTCATAAGCCGGCGTACATACAGGCAAGCAAATGCAATTCTTTTAGATAGACGTTTTGTCTAGGATGTCTCTTTGTGTGCGTCGTGAGCTACAATACGTTGGTTAAAATGTGAACATACCACGAAGTCATCTATGATCGCATTCAGAACTATATACAAAGTCGTTTCCAACCTCTATCGGCCACGATAAGTTTATGCGTACGGATATAGAATGATGCTGATCTCATCCAGCAACTTCCATTCCGCACCCATCTTCCTCCTATCTCATCAAATAGTCATATCCTCCCTGCTGTCACCCTCGACTCCCAGCATGCTACTCCCAGAGACTGCCCTGTTCACCACCTTCGGTCCGCGGTAGCTGCCCGACCCATCGCAACTTCAGAGCTCCGCGCTGCACCTCATCCTGATGACGCTCAAGGGTTTCGACATCCCAGTTCACGCTGATCAGCGAGGACTTGAGAAAGTCAGCCCGATTCGTTGACAAATACAAGCTCAAAGCACCAGTCAGCTCGACCGAATCCTTCGCATATGGCAGTAGCCATTCTTCAAGAGCCTCTGTCGCAACGATGCCGGGTATTGTTATGAATGTTCGAATCTTGGGGTATTCTGACATTATTTGGCCTTCATGTTAGTACTGATACAGTAGGTAGATAGGGACTCAACGGCAGGATTGCCACAGATATGAATGAACTCTTACCCAGACCGAGATATTCGACATATCGATGACCTGCCAGTTTCGAACTACCGTAGCTACTGCCCCCAGGAAATGCGAACCCACCTAACGCTGAACTCACACTGATGAATGTTCCTTGAGGTTCCTTGGGGTTGTGTTGGCTGCGAATCCATTGTACCGCAGTGTTGTGCAGTCCTTTGACATTGACTTCCTATCGCTTGCTTGTCAGTCTTTTCAATGTCCCTAGATGGATGAATCATCCATCACCCAGCGGGTAGCTTCTCATCTCACATAGCCTTGCCACCATGTACTGATATCTTGCTCAGCAACCAAGGTTGACGGTGGAACATATCCAGCATTTGCTACCACGACATCTGCAGTGCGGCCAAAAGTGGTCTTTACTGTTTCAAAAAGACCCTTCATATCACTTTCTTGCACTACATCTGCTTGCACGCCGAGGACTTTTGTGCCTGCGGGGGCAATTCCTTTCAATTCTTGCACGGTTTTGTCGAGAACATCTTTCCGTCGGCCGGCGATGACGACTCCTTCAGCTCCAGCTTGGATCCAGATCCGTGATATTGACTATTTAAGACGATTTAGCTTGGGCTTACCAGAAGTTTGTGAATCTGGGATGAATACATACTGCACCAATGCCAGTTCCGCCGCCAGTGATGACAATGATTTTGCCGGATTGTTTGTTTAATGGGTTTGAGGGCGATATGTATTCATACACGTCACGTCGAATTTGTTTGGTTATTTGAAAGGGATGGGTATAGAATAGGTCGTCGATGGATGCCATGGCTGTAGAAATAAGTCTAGTCAAGGAAGTTGTGAGGTCTGTTTGAAGAATGAGTGAACACTGCTAAAGACGACCTTTATGATCCATGGACCATGTGGTTCTTATATCTAGTATCCGTTGGGTAAAGAAAGGCTTGTGTTTGGCTATATCTGTCCACTTCTGGCATTTAAAATAGATTCATAGTGTCAAACGCTTGAATTGTGGGACGGTTGTCCTCCCATGACACGCAATCCTGGCTCCATATTCAAAGCTAACCTCAGCCGATGGTCGAAGTTCAACTATGATCCAACCCTACGACATTGTCGAATTCTATTCCAAGACTTGTTCATTCCAGTAACCCAGTCTAGTTTGAATCTGACAGAATGGTCCAAAATACATATGTATGCAAGACATAACCTGCTCTTCCCTTGCGGATACAAGTACTGATTGCACATTGGACAGGTGCCCACCCTGTGGAGGCAGCAGGCTTCAACGCTTACCAGCCCTATTTCGTATACCTCTGAGACCCACATATCAGGTTTACCGCATCAGCCGCAATATCCGCCCAACATCGTACGGCCTAGGCGATTCAACGATAAATATTGACGTCTACGGTGAAGATCAATCAATAATGATAGATGATTTTATTCTAGGTCTATGCGTCTTCAGAGTGTATCTACATGAACGAATTGTCAGTAGAGGTTATGGGGCCATGAGAAAGAAGTCTGTGTGAATAGTCCAGTGGGGGCGTGGGGAGGCTGGAGCTGACATGCTCTAGGGCGTGTGACAGTCATCATTGTAGCACCCGTTCCCTGGTCGAACGATCGCTTACATGTAGTCATGCTGACAATGGATGTTGTTGCTCTACATGCTTACACCATCAGACCCTCCATTCATCATCGCGGCCTGGACGCTTGCTTCTCAGCACGTGCTTTCCTCCCGCCGGCAGCCTTGAAGGCGGCACCACGACGGCTACTCCGCGTGACTGGCCTTTTAGAATTCCTCTGTTTCGATTTGTCTGACTTCTTCTTGCTTGATCCTTTTTCCGAGGTCGCTCGATGACCCTCGAAGATCACTCGGCGGCCACCACCAGCATCTCCAGCATTTTTTCGCCTCATGGCCTGTTTCCTTGATGACGTGCTGTCGAGGAAGCCCAACTTTCCTCGCCCTGACTTCTTCTCTGCTCCGATGCCACGGGAGGGGGCTTTGGGTTTGGTTTTCTTGGCTCGCATGATACGAAGCTTTCGTGGCAGCATCGGAGGAAATTTCTTTTCGTTGAGCAGTAATGCCTTCTCGACGCTATTTTCGTCGGTGAACTGCACATAGGCGAACCCCTTACTCACACGCGTTTCTTGATCGCGGATCACACGCACGGATTCAACAGTGCCGATCTTGCCAAAGGTACGCCACAGACCCTCCTCCGGATCGGCAGGAGTTTTGCCTTTGGGACGGAGAGTGCCATCGGTCGGGTCCGTCGACGGGGCTTCTTCATCCACAAAGCTTAGATTGCCGACAAAGATACAGCGGCGGTGGTTGTGCTGGGTGGGGGAACCAAGCCAGTCGGCGCGAAGATGCCGGTCGAGCACAATGGTGCCGTTGAGTTTTGGAGCCACCAGCTCGGCAGCCAGAGTCGTGGTGAAGACGGCATAAGCATTAGTACTGCTTGTTGTAGCATCGAGAAGTTCCTTCTTTGCGAAGGTGGCCTTTTTCGGACCCGAACTGGGTGCGTATGCGGTGGAGCGGAATCGGAGCGATTCTAATTTTCCCACTCGCTTTTTGCTGTCGGGGGATTCTTGCAGCGACTTGACGACAGAACGGAGATACTTGGTCAGAACACGTTTTGCTGCCTTGGTTTTGATGGCTTCTGTCGAAACATTGCCGAGAAAGACGGTGCGTTTGAGTTTGTCGGCGTCAGTGCTGATACGAGATAAAGACTCGTGGACAGGGTGGTCGTCGGAGGGTTCAGAATCGACATCTTGATCAGAGTCTTCACTGTCGGAGCTAGATGTAACGTCTGCGTCGTGGGGCACGGTTTCCTTGCGCTCCTGTTTCCTCTGTTTGATTTCTTTCTCTTCTTCTCGCTCCAGACGCTTAAAGTAGGCGGCTTCGAGATCCTGACTGTCTCCATTGACCAAACGTCTGCGTTTTCGAGGGGGTTCAGTCGAGGTCGGCGGGGCAGACGCCTCATCCGAGTCACTTATATCATGAGATCCCTCCGAGCCAGTGCCTTCACCCTCATCAGAAGTATCGTCATCTTCGATGGTCTCGACTGGTTTTGCTTTCTTTTTTAAGGGCTGGACAGCCTTGGGGACAATTGTGACAGGGCCCGACTGGGGGAGGAATGTTAGACATAGTACGACAAGAGGTCAAAGACGGAGGATTTATCTTACACTGGAAGCGAAAAGTGAGGCGAGGGCAGGGTCTAGAGACTTGTTGGTATCGAAGAGGGATTTGGAAGTGGGCTCTGGTGCGGCGCTTGAGGTAGGTTGATCGGAAGACTTTGAGGACTTTGATTTTGATTTGGACTTTGAGTCTGATTTTGACATGATGAACAGACAGATATAGCGAGTTCTAAGACTCGATCAATGTCCCGTGGTAGAATAATAGGAATTTCAGCATCAGTTGGCGCGAATTTGGGATTGCCGTTGCAAAAATTAATTGGAGAAGTGGTTTGCTCTTGCCGCTTTGGATTGGAGGTGACGGAGGCGGTGAAAATAATACCGAAATCTAACCAGGTTGGGCGAGAGGGACTTGGCGCTAAGTAGGTACCTGAGTCATGAGGCTCACCAGCAAGTGCAATTGCCGTTCTGACTCGCGACGATTTGTTCATCAACAGCCTTATGAATGACGACTAGGAGTTCAGAATGAACAGAAGAAAAAGTACAACGTAGGGCATTGGAAGAGTGGAGAGGAATTACAGTGTTGGACATTCAGCGAGTACTATCAATCTCTCGAGTGTCACATATGTACACGTGATAGAGAATGTTTTCAGGTGCGGAGGTCGACGACTTGTCTGCACGGGAGTACTCCGCAGTCGGTAGAGGGCCACTGAAGTGAGTCTGAGGTACATACAATACATACAATACCACAGTACCAATCCCTAGGTACCTATAGACAGGCACAACAGGTAAAGGTATCTTAGGTAGGGACCCAGCAGTCAGGGCCTGTACGAGACTGTGACTCCCCACTCTTTACCTCCCGTCAATAACCAGCAACACCCAGTCTGTCAGTGTATGGGCACCAATTCACCTGCGCCAGGCCACCCTGCGCTTTGGCTGTTCACTGTACTCTCCCTGTCTCGTACTGTAATCCGTTCCCCAAACCGCATCATCATCGTATCCTGTCTGCGTCTCTTGCGTCTCTTGTGTCCTGTTTCTTGCTTCCACTTTCTCGCCCTCAACTCTTTTCAATATCCTCTCACCATCCACGCCACTTTTCTGACATATTCTTTGGTCATTGCATCCAGCTTCATTCTGTCTAGCGAATGCTCAACCAGTCTTTCTATCTATCCTCCACGATTCCCCTCTACACACCACTTTTCACCACGCCAATTCCCCTTGCCCCGCGACGCCAGTCCTCGTCTGCGCCCACAATCTCTCCTGCGCGACCTCTACAACTCCTTCCCAGAAAGACAGTCGACCAGCTTGATATATTGTATTCTTCTATTTACACGCCTCTCATACAAGACACGTCTCCCCTGCTCTCCCTCTCTTCACCCCAGTCTCTTCATGTGTTGGCGCCAAAGCTCTCCACCACCACCGAGCATGCCACTGTGACCTCCGCGCATCGTCCTTTCTGTACGTCTCCCAGCTCTTCTTCGCTCCTCCTCACCCCTATATACTCCTCTCCGCTCCTCGTTTCTACTTGAGACTCTAATAACTGACCTTCAGTGTTAGCGCCAAGACCACTCTCCTCGACCACCTCATTACCCTCGTACCCCAACTTCGCACCCTGAAAATCAAGCTTGAAACAAAACCATGGATTCTGCTGTCGATTCTCTCCTAGCTCTCTCCAATACTGCTGCCGCTATTGCCGCGCAGGACGATCCTGCCTCTGACGACGATAGATCAAGCAGCTTGAGTGAGCTAGACGATAACCTCGATGGTGATTCTCAAGATGAAGAAGATGACATAGACCCCACAAGACCAGTCGGTCACGAGTCCGAAGCCGAAACTGAACGTCTTCAAGTGACTCCTGACAACCTCCAAAGGAAAAAACCTGTCGAAATTAGTCCCTCCAAGTTGGCACATTCACAAGATGTCGACATGCGCCCAGAGATCGAAAGCTTGACCGAAAGCCCTCCTTCCTCTCCCCGATCCTCCCATCCTGACTCCGACATTGAAAGTGCCCTGAGTGACGCTCCCGACGGCGATGACGACGAGAATGAGCCTGCCCCAGAAGTAGAAAAAGCGGAGAACCTCTCCTCTCCTAACAAACGAAAGCGACAAGAGTCTGAGTCGGACCCTGAACATCTTCGTCGATCTCAAAGGCGTCGAACAGGCTCGATCGACTCGGATGAGGAAAAGTCAGAGCCTGAATCGGAGATTGAGGACTCGCGCCAACCAAGCCGTGAAGCAAGCGCAGAACCACCGCAACCCGAAGTGGCTGGTGACGACCCTCCAGATCACGAGGAAGAGCCCGAAGATCCACCTGACGATGAGCAAAAAGAGCCTGAAAAGGACGAATCGAGTGAAGATTCCAAGGGCAAGACCAGGACTCGAGCCAAACGACGAGGCCAACCCGCCGTTCAAGACCCGCAGCCTACCGAAGAGGAGGAAGGCGACGGCGAAGTAGCCGAGGAGAGCGACACCGAAGAAAATGACGTGGATGCCCACGCTAAGAGCGAGGAAGAGCAAGCAAATCGAGTAGCGGCCATGGATGCCCTTATTGGTTTGGAAAAACACTTTGCACAGCTACGGGATCGCCTGTATGATGAACGGATTGCTGCCATCAATCATGAACTCGCCTTGTTACAGGCCAGCAAACCGTGTCATCCAGAACTCCTCCGTCAACTCCAAGTCGTTCAAAAGTACAGAGATGACAAGTTTGAGGTCGAACAAAAACTCTTGGTATACAAGATTGGAGCTTTGAAGAACAAAAGTGTTGCAGAGCGCAGTCAGACCCAGAGCGCATACTTTCAGACCATCCGAGACGTCAGAGAAAAGTATCTGGAGAAGATCAGCGAACACTTTTATCGCATTCAGCGAGACAGATTCAAGGCCGATTCGACCATACCAAACTTTACCATTCCTTTCCCTACCCGACGATCACAACAAATCCTTCAACAGACAGCCTACAATAAAGAAGTCTCCATTCTTTCCGGCGTTGCCAAGTATGTTGGATTTCCCGCCGCCCCAGAATTGGCGCCCTCGAAACAGAAGGACATCGAGGATGACATTCAAAAGATGGGAGTAAGTGTTCGCCGCCGCTCGCACAAGATGTTTGACTAATCATGACAGATCTCACTCCCGCAAGTTCGACCTGTACGCCCAACTCAGCGGCCCATGCAAAGTAACACATCTCAAATGTCGGCGCCGCAAGCTGAAGAACAATTTCTGGAGCAAACACCGTGGGCGAACCCACAACATCCCATTCACCGGCTAGCGAGTCAACGCCAATCTTCGAATCGATCGCCCTTCAACACTGATGTGTTTGTCACTCCGGCCAACCAACAAAGGACCACTGACAATCTTCAAACGCAAGGATCTGCTTCCACCATACCAGATCCATCAGCTCAACTTTCATCGTTAGCCAACACTCCCCAAGAGGGTATTTCAAGCACGACCAAGCTAGAACAGCAAGGCTCCAGTGTACACAATTACCGCCTTCATTCGGCATCACCTCTCGACCGAAGAGCGGTTCCACCATTCCACGATCGACATGATGTCGACAATAGTCAGTCCGGGCCGGCGCCAAAAGAACACATTCGCGACTTGCCTTCATCACCACTCAACGCACGTGCTAATGTGAACGTGGCTACATCCCCTCCCCGAGCACACAATGCCAGGCCAGAAAAAGTGACTCGAATGGCGAATAACGAGAGCCCATTTCTTCACAAAGACACGGGTATCACCACAGGCGGGTTAGGTGGATTTGCTGCAGTCACGGGGCGATTCAGTGTGAGATGAAGCGGACCGAACTCCGGGCACCCGGCTGAGAACTCTTGAGCGATTCGGCAGAGAACGCTACGACTGACTATACGCATTCTGGATTGGAGTTGTAATTGATGTCTATCTATACATACATGGATCATGGTGTTTTAATGACAATCTCTTCTTCATGGGTGGATTATGGTGGCGATGGATATTATTATACATAATGAAGGCCTAACTGTCTGTCTATCAGTCACTGTTGTGTTCAAAGGATGATGTAGAATGTACAATGTCATCGAAAAGATGTGGGTCTTGTTCGATAGGGATCTTGTAATCTTGACCCTCATATTCCAATATCCACAGAGTAGAATTACCATATCATCAATTGGTGAATGTATGAACATTAGATGAGATCAAATAGTTTTTTACATATATGTGTATATATACAGATACTGGTTGGAAGCAGGAAATGGCTGATGCCTTTTTCCCTTGCACGCCGAGTTATGGCCGACATATTCGAATATCTCCCATTACCAATTCTCAAGTGTCGAGGACATCGTCATTCAACTTGGAGGAGTTGAATGTGAATGTCGAAAACTTTTAGCCCCAGGCACTTAAGCATGTTTCATAACGTCAGGTCGGTTAGGTGGGATTGAGATCAGACATAGACATAGATACCAGTGTGTGCTTGACGCTTAGGCAAGAATGATATGATATGATATGAGATGTCGAGGTCGAGGTCGATGAATGAGGTAGGTAGCCTAGCCTTGGTGGGTGATTGGGCTCTCGTTTGTTCGCGAAGTTCTGTGACATGAACAACAAACATCGAGCAAGGCGGAGGGTAGGGTAGGGTAGGGTAGGGTAGGGTAAGTCGACTTTTGAGGTGCTGTGATATGGTTTGGTGGGTGGAATTGAGAGGAGAGCGTATGGTAACTCCGACTTCCGGTCCATCTATCGACTGAGAGATGGTAGGTAGGGAGGGATGTGTGTGGATGGGTCGAAATCGAGGTAGGAGCCACATCTCCCGGACAAACGAACGAGCGCAGAAAGCAGGCGGGCGCGGGAAATCAACGGGCATTGAGTTCGTTCTCTCCATAGCGAGCCTCGCCTCTCCTCTCCTTGTCCGATGAGGTAGGGGTGTACCATCACACCCGCACCCACAACCTCTCTTCATTTCTGTTTTCCACCTCTTCCCCTTCTGTTCCCTCCCTTCCTCCCGCAATCAATCATTCCCCCGAGCTCTTTTGTAAGATCGATCCCCTTCTGTTTGCTTCCCCCCCTACGACGTCTTCACCACCCCCGCCTAACTCTGACTCTGACTCTGACTCTGCTGCGGCGCATCAGGTACGACGACATCTTCAAATTTATCTTGTCCAACGGCTTTGAGTGTGAATACGACTAAACAAGAAAAAGGAAAAGAATTCCCGGCGTTAGGTATTATATTGAATTGAAAATCGTTGTAAAGAAAGGGGGAGAAGAGAGAAAGACATACAAACTCCAACGGCAAACATGGCGATTCCAGTACCGGTTAAAATGTTACGGAAGAGAAAAGGTCGTCGGGCTCGGATCAACGCCGCGGATTGTCGGTAGTCGGAATCATAGTAGGATGAGCGTTTGAGACTAGTAGTTTGAACAAGGGAGGGTTGTTAGTACAGGTAGAAGGCAGAGAGGCTGCATGTGGGCATGGGTATGGGTATGGGTATGGTTAACGTGACGACAGCTGGGAGTTTTGCACTTACAGGCCGCGGAGGGCTGGTGAGGAATGCATTCTGAGATGATGATGATTTATCTGATCGGTCGAGGGGTTTGGTGGGACACAAGTGGTGCTGGTGGTGTTGGTGGTGCAGTTGGAGGCTAGGATGAGTGAGGAAGGCTATTAAACTAAAAGAAGTCTTGTAGTCTGAATGCTGATGTTGACTCGAGAATAGGTGTTACAATACATCTCCGACATCATTTCATTTCAATGCAAAGAAATATCACGAGAGGTCAGAGGGTCTGTCGCAGATGCGGAGAGCTGCCAGATTCATAAAGGGAAGGTTTGCCGGTATATATATCCTCGTAAGTACCGAGTACTACGAATAGGTACTCCGCATGTACGGATAGTACCCACTGTATGTCAGCATAAAATTCCGCAATTCGCAGCCTTGTCAAGTTTCGTTTCTTTCGTTTCTATATTATTGCCTGCTTACACTCGTATATATCGTTGCACTTGTACTTGTACTTTCTCACAGAGAAGTTTAAAATTGTTCCCCATCTTGTCAACGGTTGCATGTTTTGTATGTCATCAGCGTTATCAGCACATCAGCATATCAGCATGCTCTTCATAGTAATAAACATTCCTGTTGTTTTCCCTTTTGGTTTGCAACCCCCGGATGAGTAGATTGTAGTATATCGCGGTGAATCTGAGATACATGGTGATCCCTAGGCGCTTGGTCCTCATATACCCAGTGGTTCGTGGAAGGTGGAATTGGATTGCTTAGACTTAGTACAACTAGGACGATGGTCAGCGATGATTGATGATTAATAATTAATAATCGAAAGGATCGAAAGAGGGGAAATATTTTGGATCAGATCAGATCAAACGTACCCCGAGGAGTTTGTTGTTGTCTTTCAGTTCTCGCTGATATTCGTGTTATCGGTGGTGGTGGACTTGGTTCATGCGATGATCAAGCTCGTGGAGGTAATGCCGTCCATAGAACGATTCTCGCGGATGCAATGTCTATATGACCCCGTTGATAGGCTTGATCAGCTTATACCGACGTCACACGGCTTTTGATTTGCCTCTGTGGTGTTTTGATGCGCATCCACCATATTCACACCCTGGAGATTTGGAAAAACTCAAAAGAGTGTTCCATATGAGAAACGAATCCTCAGTCTCATGAAAAGAACGAGTTCTTCCTGGCATAGCTATGAAAATGTGAGTATAGTTACCAAACAGCCGGGAAGGAAAAAAGCACTCACTCCATGTGAGTTCGAAGACTTGCACTAAGACCATCACTCCACAAGAATCGATTCGCATTCTCAATCATCTCATCCACGGTATATTGTTCGAACAAGTCGAGAAGCATATTTGCCACTTGTTCACGGGGCTTGGCTAGCAATCTTTCGCAGTCTGGCGTAGCGACTACCAGACAAGAACCCCAAAGCACCCATTCCGACTGTGCTTGGGATCGGGTACCTTGTTTTGCACATTCCATGGCAATTTGAGCGAGTTCCTTGCAATCAGAGATGTATGTGGAGCTTCGAAGATGGAAGACCAGGACCGTCAACCAGGCCATGCGTTCGATCGGGCTGGAAGCTCGCATCAAAGCTGCCCATTCGTAATCCGACTCCTTGCTGGGAGCTGTGGCCATGAGATGGACGATCTGACTGCGAGTGATGTTGAGTCTGTTTATGAGTTGAATGGAAAGTTGACCTGTTAATGCGAGTTCACGAAACCCCTCTGGCATTCGGGCAATGACGGCGCACATGTCAGGAGGGAATGGGTGTCTTGGATAGACAGGTGTTCTCGCATATTTGCCGGGATCTCCTGTCGGAGAGATCTTGGGGATAGGTTCGGAGGAGGAATCAGAATCGCCGGGGGCGCCAGCTAAGGCTTCGAGACTTGAGGATGCTGCGTCAGTCGGAAAGTTCGGGGTTGAGTCAATATGGAGGAGGGTATTCAACACACGCTGTGAGACCCGATTTGACCCAGTTATCCTCCTTTTCAAGTCCATCAACACCACCTCGCATTTCCACCAGTCTGCGAATACCTCTCAAATGCGTGTCAAATCGCTTTGTGTCTCGACAATAAGCCTGGGAATATGATCAGTACCAATCGTTGGGCTCAAAAGGCATGGTCCTTAGGGTCTTGGGCGTACGCATATGACGGCCAGATTGGCGATTGCCAGAATAATGTCGTCACCGATTCTGCGACTTGGATCTGAAATGCTGAGTCGAATGTTTTTGAGAGTGGAGCCATAATGATGCATCATGGCGACTTTGGTTTCGGGGGTTTGACGAGGTTGAACGCACAAAACATAAGTGACAATGGCCTCGAACAGGACTTCATGCGACAGGATGAACTGGAAATAAATGGGCCCCAACGCGACGACTTCTCTGCAAAAATCAATAATAAAAGGAAAGTATGTCTGGGTAGAGATGGGATAGTTGGCAAATGGATCGGCCCTCATACCACTGAATAATATGTCATTGAGTGGAAGACGGGGGTTGGGGACCGAGGAATTATCTCTCTGGGACTCGTATATCAGTCGAGTCGCAGTTTTGAGGTAATCGACAGTGGCTGACGAGTCGAATGGTACGTTGTCCATTGTTTGGACATCTTGTCTGGTGATGACGGCGTTGGCGTCAACGGTGGGATCGACTTCAGACTCAGGTGTCGGAATCTGTGAGTGCTGTTCGGGCGGAGAGACAGGTGGATCTTCCGTGGTGTCAGACCGAGACGTAGTGGGAGATGGGATGTTCTGGCGATCGGCGAGGTCTTTTAATCTGATGGCCTTTTCACGCTTTGCTCGGTGAATCTTTTGAGATGTGAAACGTCGTTGAGCAGAGAAGGTGACGGAAGTGTCGAAACGCTGGGATTCGCCATTGTAGGGGACAAACATGACGACAATAGGCGGTCATGGTCAGGCGTGCCACAATGGTACAATGACTACCTAAAGGAAGGAAGGTATTGTATACCGGAGGAGTGATGGAGGGGGCATGGCTGGATGGTGGTTTGGTATGCAACAAACAATGAAAATTTGAACACGAATCTGTTTTGATCAGAGGTGGCTAAACAAAGAGGCAAATCTTACGAGCAATAGATTGATCCCAAGATGGAGAATGTGAAGAGATGTGAGGTAACGGTGGGATGAGATGGTGGCTGTAGAGCTGAGTACCTATGTAAGAATAAAATGGGGCCAGAAGAAGTGCGGGCTGCAGTTGCGCGCAGCTGCGGGTCAAAAGTGAACAAGAATGACAGACAAGATTGAAAGGATTAAAGCTTAGGGGGGCTTGTTGAGGGGGGGCGAGGGGCCCGAGAGGCCCTCGCGCCTGAGTCGAAGGGTCTCCTCGTATCAGGTTTCTTACCTAAGCCTCTGGAGTTGAGGTCCATCACTTAGAAGCACCTGAGCATATGGGCATTGGGACACCTAAACACTTAGACACCTGTGACACCTCAGGCATCCTCGACTGTTACACTCGACGTTTACTGCAAAAGCCCTACCGCCTGCACCGTACTAGGAATCAGTCATCCGTCTTAATCCATGCAAAACAGACAAGGTCATGCTTGACCATCAGCCTCAACCAATAGGTGGTCGATGCCTAGAGAGACCAAGCACGGCTTCTTCCTTACTGTATGAGTGATTCCAGGTCCAGACAGACACTCTCACTCTTTACCTAAGTACTTACTACTCTTTTCAGCTCTTTCCAGGATATCCGAGGGGCCTTTCGACCGGGACGTGATAGCCATTGGGCCCACCATGCAAGGTACTTACTTTACCTCATACAGTAATTGGTCATCTAACATAACCAATCACTTGATCCATTGAATTATGATGCGAGTCGGCGTTGCTCAGATGAGTCAAGTGGCATGAAGAGCTTGGCAATTGATCGCTTGACCAAGAATGGGATGCGATTGTTCCTTAGCCATTTGTTGCATAGGTATCTAACTGTAACTTGATGGTTCCCTACGTCCAGTACTCGAATACGAGTGCTCGCAACGTCGTCCATCCTACTGGCTTTATCCTATTTGGAATTTATGTCAGTCGCAAGTCAAGATCAATCCGAGATTAGATATGACATAAATCGATTTCACATGATGTCGATTCTTAGTCATGCTTGGTTTCGCATCGAATCTTGGACCCCATTGCTCCATATATGATCGACAAAGTACTCTGTGCCGCATGGATCAGGAGAGACGTACCTTAGACGGACATCGGCACGGTCATGCAGGGAAAATGGACCATCCCATCCCATCCCATGCCATTCTATATATGTCAACTAACACGGCCTTATTACTTACTACAACCTCACATTCTACACATCCTCATCACCTCACATTGCAGGAACATGCTAAATTTCCTATCTTCTCGTCCGCAGCACCCCCTCACCCGCTCAACGACCGAATTTCAGACCTAGAAAGGAAATATCCTTCCTTATCTCAAAAAGGAAACGAAGGCTTACGTAGGTATTTTCAATTACCACGTGGCTTAGAAGCTACGTACCCTAGTCTCTAATCCAATCCGAGTTGTTTTCACTATCTTTTCCAGTCCGATGAATGGAACTCGGAACTCCATAGGTATTTATTATAGGCAAAACTTGTGATATAGTTCCAAAGTTAATACACTTTAAACCTTCAAGCAAAGGTTACAGGGTTACCTACAACAAGGAGTGTTCATTGATCGTTCCATCTATAGTCCGGCAGCACGAGACAAGTACCTCAGTCTTAGCTGTCATACCTTATTACTCACCACCCCACCCCACCTTTCCACCCCCGCCTCATCTCGTCTCTCAAAGATCTCTATCATCGTTCACAGTACAGTACAGTTCCACAACACAGTCACACAGTCATAGAGCGGTGTCACAATGGCCAACCCATCCATTTTCACCCCCAAATTCACCAATGAGCTATCCCAGCATCTAACTCGCATACCAACCATACAAATCGATTCCCTGTCCCGACTAACCCCCGACCGACTCCGCCAAACAGCATTTCCACACATTGGCTCTATCGAGCTCGTCCACTCCCAGGATTTCATGCCCCTTTACAACCAGTTGTACGTCGACATGTTTCCCAAACGAACTGAACGCGAATCTTCCGCCTTGATCGTCGAGCGTTTGGCCGCTCAAGCCATTGGAGTCCGTGACGGTCTGGCTCCCTATCATATCGTGGGCATTCGCGATCATGCCGGAAATGCCATTGGTGCAGCTCATTTCTCCGTGTTGTGTCTGCCGCCCGATGTGAATGGGAATAAGTTTGCGGTTCCGTATCTCCAATATATATATGTGCGACCGGAGAATCGGCGGCAGGATATTTCCGAGGTGTTGCATACGATGGTTTTGGCGGTTGCGAGTGCGGATGTTGGGATTGAGGGGCGCACGGTGCCGTTTACCTTGTTTGAGACGGAACCCGCGGGATATGGTGAGGATGAAAAAAGTAGGGCGGTTTCTTTACAGAGGACGAAAATCCATGCTTCGGCGGGGAGTGTGGCTTTGGTGCTGCGAAGGCATTCGGATGGAAAGGTGCTCAGTGCTCATGTCCAGCCCGGTCTAGAGGGGGATGATCAGCCTTTGACTCTTACTTGGGCGATTCGAGAGTCGCCGAATCAGAATCAGGGTCCAGGTCCGGACTATAATGTTGCAAGCATTGGTGCACACCTTGTTGCTGCGTATTATCAAAGTCTCAGAGATGAAGGGTTTCCTTTAGACAATATCCGTCTCGCTGAGTCTATCCTACAAGAGCGCTGCGTTGAATCAACCTTTGAGACAATGGCCTTGGGAGACGTTGTGGCCCACGTGAACTAAACTTATCTTATAAACTAAACCCACTCCTTTAACGATTTAGACTATAGAATCATACTATAAAAGTACCTAGCTCTGATGGCTGGTCTGTCAAGGAACAGTGGTGCCGAGGAGAGAAACGAGGGGAACTATAGGAAAGTGAAACAGATAAAAGGGTGCAGATAAACATAGCGTGACCATCGATCAGAGACATTGTCTCGGGCGGTAGAAAATACCAGCCATGTCCACATCATCCATGTGTCGTAGTCGACTCAACAGCCACATACACTGCTTCATTGTGAGTTGAATTAGTGTCTTGGTGGCGATTTCCTTGCTGGGCGTCTGCTGAAGGCGTCTCCGCCATTGTGTGCGACCCCAAGCATAGTTAGAACATTGATAGCGGCAGTCTCACCGGTCGCAAAAGCACCATGTACACATCCGTTTCCGGTGCGTGCACAGTGCTCGCCGGCAAATTGCAACTTGCTCTGTTGTCTGCTTTCTATGGCATCCATCCAGAGGTCGGGTTCGTCGCCAACCTTGTCAGCAGAATACGTGCCAAACCCTGCATATGGATCCTGTGTCCAGTGTGTCGTTTCCAGATTCACTACTGGCGGCAGTTTCTTGTAGGGTTCAGTCCGAAAGAGTTTGAAAAGAGGCTCAAAGAATGCAAAGATCTCTTGATCTGATTCCATTGCCTCGATGCGTTGGGTCAGTGGCTCAACAATCTGGACGGACAGTTCCTTGACGCCGTTCATGATCCAGTTGTTGCTGGTGACCGTCATCTTTGTCAAGTTAGATCCAGCAAACTCATGATGGGACAAGACACTCACATATGATAGAATTGAGTTTTGGTCGACTGGCTCGGTGGTAGGATCAGGGTAATAAATGAACTGATCGTTGTCTTTGGGCCAGAAGACGGATTCAAACTCGAAAAAGACCTTTCCGAGAGCACCGTAGCTGAGCTTACTCAAACCCAGTCGAAGGTCGTCGGTCAGTGGGGGGCTAAACTCGACGAGGTCGTGGTGTAGCACTCCAAGGGGCAGGGTACAAATGACCGCCTCGGCTGAAAAGACGGACTCTGCACCACTGGGGGTTTTGGCACGAACGATGCACTTTTTGCCCTCATCCTCGTTCCAGTCGATCTTAGTGACGACGTGACCAAGTCGAAGGATGTTTTGATGACGAAGGCTTGAGGCAGTCCAATCAACAATAGTGTCATAGCCACCTTTCATGTACAGATTTCGTTCAATGGCAAAGTAGGCTAGGTGCTTGGATGAGGCTTGCTCGAGGCTTGTTCCTATCCAGGCTTCCACCTCACGAGCAACCTGAGGAGCCCACAATCTTTCATCTTCAGTAATCAGAGGGTGACTAGCAACCCATTCATGAATAAAGGTGAGGGCAGACTTGTCCTCAGCGTCAGGGTTCTCTTCGTAGTAGTATTCGAGATAGTCAGCGAATTCATCAGCAACCTTTTTAGCTTTGAATTGTGAACCGAGACGACCGTCTCGAGTGAAGTACAAGGGAGTACCATCGTCATAGTAATGCTCGACCTTGAGCTGGCCGATGAGGGGGAGTAGTTTGTTCTGGCTGGTCTCGTGGGCCCATGCAGCTCCTGCAGACAGTTAACGGGAGATTGCAAACAAATGAGAAAACAACCCAGCAATGGACGTGGCCGTAAATGAGCGCTTTTAACGACATCATCTCAAACGCCTACGGCGATTGTTAGTATTGCCCTAGGCATAATTACCAATGTCTCTTGGTGCTCTTCCTGGCTTCCTACTGGTATAGATGCGGCCTCCGATACGGTCGGGGCGGGCTTCTAGGACGATGACTTGGACACCATGAGTTTGGAGAACGGATGCAGCGCGAAGGCCGGCAATTCCGGCACCGACTACGATGACTCTTGTCGGTTCGGACAGTGTATCTGGGGGTTTGTTGAGACCCGTCTCACTCACAACTGGTTTGAACGTGTAATCTTCTTTTGGGTTTCGACCATCCTCCAACTCTTTGCACAGGACTGACTTTGAGGTGAGTCCATTGGCGAGTTGAAGAATGGTCGAAAGACTAGATGTTTCTTTGGGTTTATGGGCGGAATGGTGCGCAACATGGAAATGTTGAGCCATCATGAGCTGGCAAGTTGACATTCGCTTATGCTATTGTGTGGGGGAGAAGAGGGACTTGGTCTGGAGGGGGACGAGAGGATCCGTCCAAGATGTGTGAACGCAAGTGTAACGATAGGATTGTTGCAGGTTGGTGAGGTGACAAAGAGGCGAGAAGAGGTCAAGGATTGTAGATTCTAAGGCAATCAACTGTAGAAGATGGGGGAGTGACAACGAGTCACAGCCAAGGAGAGCCAAGGGGGAGAAAAGCGTGGGAGAACCAGTAAGAGGACGAGGGGCGTCCTTTTTTGACGAATTGGAGGGGAGGCAAGTCCGCCGAGGAGAGGCATTGAGGCAACGACAGTGACAGTTCTAGGCGGATTGGAGGGGTAGGTTAATGTCCACTTCAGTGAGAGTACCTACCTGTAGGTAGGTAGTGAAAGAGGGCCTTGAGGGCCTAGGGCTCGAAGCTTCAGGCGCCCCTCGCCCCTCAGACTCGTCACTTTTCTGGTACTTGACCCAATAATACTCCAATGCGCCAGCCCCGCCCATGCCTATCTACGGAGGACGCATACGATTTCTGCATCTGGAACTGCGGGGCTTGACCAGCGATCGATCTCAAGATTCCTTCCTCACGTTGGCGACATCTTTAGAGGAGCACATTCTGTTTGCTATGCACTTGTGGATATCAAAGTACGTAACCAGATAGAAGACATCCGTAATTACTGTAGGTACCCAGTAAGAAACCTGCTTGCACCCCTGGCTCGCCTTCGTTGTTCCGTCACTGCTGATCCTTCTATTCAGATGTCACCTTGTCAGGAAGTAATCCTGGCAAATCTCTCACATTACTACAAATCAGGCAAAGCGCTCACGTCCTTATCTCTCCTCTCCAACCAAGCTTTTCTTTAAGCACCCGCTTTCCGTTGCTTGGTATGCCGCACTCCATGAGTGACGAGTCTCAATGCACTCTCTCTCGCGCTCTCTCTCTCTCTTCTCATCCAGTGTCTTGCTGCTATGTCTACATGTTCGATTGACGAGATTGATCATTGAACTACAAGGTGTGAACGCAGACTTGTTGGTGGCGGGCCCAAGAACTCTTCACCCTCATCGTTGCACCAAAGCCCGCTAAAATAACGGACTTTTCTCCTCTCGCTAATATGCGTACGTATTCAACATCTTGATGATAAGCTTTCCCCTGGTCGACGGGGGTCATCTCGCAGCGATCCCATAATGCAATTGGATCCACACCGCGGCATGACCGCCACAAAGTGCCACCCTCTCACCACCCGTGTAACTGTGATCTGTGCAGTCAGCGCAGTAGGTAAGCTCCCACGGCTTTTCTGATCAAGGTCCGTACCCCATGTGCCCATACAATGCCACCTTGGTTGAGCGTTTTCAGCTAGCCTATATACCCACTACACACCTCGTCATTGCCTTTGAACTCCTCGGGTTCAATCTCACCTTGATGCTCCAACACACATTCAGCACTTGGTTCAAAGTTGATGCATAGTGCCATCTCTGCGAATGGAGTTTAACCAAGTCCTACCTGGTACTCGTCGAATTTATGACACCAATGGAAGCCCACTCGACGCCGAAGCCGGCTTGAAAAGATCAGGCGAAATTGTTCTGGTGCCTCAGCCTACTGAATCGCCAAATGATCCATTGCACTGGTCTCTGCCACGCAAGATCTGGCACAGCTCTTTGGTCTGTTTTGTGACTGCGCTTACTGCTGCCACGTCTAATGACGCAGGGTCGGCACAATACGTACGTGAGAACCTCTTTCGATGAAATCTCAGCTCGAGAATAGCGCGAATGGGCTGAGGATGCTTTTCACTGTTGGAAATGCTAGGCTTCGCTGACGTTCCTTATCTCATGCCAGAATGAAAACCTCGAGCTGGGCATCAGTTATGCCTCCTTCAATACTGGAGCTGGCATCCTCTTTCTAGGAATCGGATACTGGTGTCTCCTATCTTCACCTGCAGTCTACCTTTATGGTAGACGTATCTTGTACTTAATTTGCATGTTGTTCGGCCTCATCGGTGGCATCTGGTTCGCCCGTGGTCAAAATACGAGCGATGCTTTATGGAACCAACTCTTCGTTGGGGCGTCCGAATCAGTGGCCGAGGCAACTGTCCAGCTCTCTTTGATGGATCTGTGGTTCCAACATCAACGAGGCTCCGTCTTGGGTGTTTATATTCTCGCAACGAGTGTGGGAACTTTTCTGGGTCCCCTCATCGCAAGCTATATTGCCGACAGTGCCATCGGCTGGAGGTGGATTGGTTGGTTTGGTGCAATCTTTTCTGGCTGCACTTTTGTCCTTCTCCTTTTCGGACTGGAAGAGACCACTTTCCGCAGAGATCGCTATCTGACAAACGATGGCGAGACCTACCTGGTGGATGGTGTTACTGAGCAAAGCCAGGACACCAGTCAACGTTCACCCTCTCCGTCACAAGATGCCTCTGGGAAAGAAAAGGATGATGAAAACTCAGTGGAGAGGCAACCTTCGTCAAATCCAAGCCCTGGGATACTTGCCCGAGATGAAAAAGCAAAGACGTACTGGCAACGAATAGCCATCATCACACCAGCTGACAATCTCCGAGGCACCGGCTTCAAACAATATTATCGACGGCTCTTTCACACTCTTCGGGTTTTCACGTTTCCAGCCGTCATTTACTCCGGTATCCAGTAAGTTTTGCGTGTGAGAATCTCACTTCAAATCACCCTGCTGACACAGATGGTAGATGGGGAGCGCAAGATGCTTTTCTCACCTTCTATTTGACCGTGGAAGAAGACACTTGGTATGGGCCACCATGGAACTATACCGACGCCGCAGTGGGCAACATGTCGATCCCAAGCTTGATTGGCGCCGTTATTGGCTGCTTTTATGGTGGATGGTTCAGCGACAAATTCGTGCTCTGGATGGCCAAGAGAAATGGCGGCGTGACCGAGGCAGAACACCGGTTATGGATTATGTTCCTGGCCACTGCATTGTTCCCTACCGGCATGTTCCTGTTTGGCATCGGAAGCAATGATGGATGGGCATGGCCAGCACCATATGTTGGACTCGGCTTCATTGGATTCGGCTGGGGTTGTGCCGGAGATCTTTCAATGACATACTTAGTCGACTCATATCCTGACATGGTCCTCGAAGGCATGGTCGGAGTGGCAACAATCAACAACACCATTGGTTGCATCTTTAGTTTCGTGGCTTCCAAGTGGCTTGATGCTAGTGGGATCAAGAACACATTCATTGTCTTGGGAGTCCTAGCATTTTGCGCCATGATGCTTACCGCGCCGATGATATTTTTTGGAAAGAAGGCACGTCTATGGACAAGAACCAGATACCAACGCTTCTTGGAGATTCGAGATGGATTTGGTCAGTGAGGGAGCCGGCTGGTTTGTCCAATACCTTTGATCAGATATCAATATCAGTACACATGTTTGATACATAATAATGAAACTGGTCGAGTCAAGGCTGTAGAAATCGAAGGGGGAGTCATATGAAGCTAGTCCATCTTCAGCTAGTCACTATATTCTGTGCTACGGTGCATCATCCGAACTGCGCATCACGTCATTTGTTCCTCCGAGTCACCCTCAGCCACTCTTAGCCACCTGTCAGCCCCATACAAATGAAACTGCAGACTCGCTCTGGATATCTTTTATTTTTTTCTGATAACAATATAAAGTCGCCCACTGCTTCATGCGCTGAACCGCAGGACGCTCGCTAGTGACATACTCACCCTCATTATGATCACCCCTTGAGCTTCAACAAAAACAGTGCTCTATGTCCGCCTGAAGTCTCAGGCGTCCTCGCCGCAAGGTGTCTTATCCTCATCATAACCACCATGACGACTGTTGGCTGTATCCGCGCACCCACCCTATTTACGCGGTCTTTGGTTTTTACACCGTCTCATCTTAATCACCGTGCGGCAGAATTCTCTCGAAGCGATCCAACCCTAGCTTACCGTGTCCTTTCAGACCTTCGCCCAACGATTCGAACAAGTCTTGATCCTTCCAAGACACACTCCAGACCTTTTCACTCCTCATCACAACGTGCTTCTACCGCCTCTTCAGCAATGTCGGCCATTCCTCACATATCTCTCCATATATCGGCCTCTTCCAGCGGCAAAGGGCGCAAGTACCGTCCTGAGGCCAGCACGTTCGATTACCACCCAACTCAAATGGACGGCTTGGGCTTACAGCGCGGGTCGACCCAAGAGGAGAAACGAGCTAGGCGCCCTGATAGCGGACAGGACTCGTACTTTGTGGCTCGGGTAGGAAAAGATTCCAAAACGACCGCATTTGCCATAGCCGACGGAGTAGGCGGATGGGCGGAACACGGCATCGACCCGGCAGATTTCTCACACGGCCTTTGCAGTCATATGGCCGAAATCTCACTTTCCTGGCCCGCAGGCGAGAAACTTAGCCCTAAGCAGCTATTGAAAGAGGGCTATGAGAGGACTCTGCAAGATCCTCACATTCGGGCTGGAGGCACAACAGCATGTGTCGGCATCACTGAGCCTGACGGACAAATGCGGATTGCCAATCTAGGAGACTCTGGTTTTCTTCTCCTTCGACTTGGCACAGTACATACCTATTCCACCCCACAGACTCACGCATTCAACACTCCCTACCAATTAAGCATTACGCCCCGCGAAATTCTAGAGCAAGCCATCATCTTCGGAGGCGTCCCGCTGAATGACTCTCCTGACCGAGCCGACCTTTCGGATCAAGTTCTTCGACACGGTGATGTTCTGGTGCTAGCCACTGATGGAGTGTGGGATAATCTCAGCCCCAACGATGTCTTGAGCGTGGTGTCGGCGAATATGCGTCAAGCTGGAGCATGGCTCCGATCCCCTGATCAAGGACTGTCCATCTCACCCGTCCTTCCCGAGCTTGTGGACAAGTCTCTTGGGCCACAGAAGCACAAGCTTCCGGGAACTCTACAGAGCTGTATCGCCGCCGCCATCACCGGGGAAGCCAAAACAGCGAGTCTCAGTGCCAAACGAGACGGACCTTTCGCAAAAGAGATGCAGAGGTACTTTCCATATGACCCGTGGCACGGGGGCAAAGTGGACGACATCTCGGTGCTGGTCATCATCCCAGTTGACGAAAATAAAGTTGCCGCCAGCAAGGCGAAGCTCAAAGCAAAATTATAGGCGCCGGCTTGTGAGAAGCGACTGTATCATCATCATTCATATACACGACATTTCATATCAACATATCTAAGGGTATTAAGTACAGCTCGACATCATAGCGCTGGAGTTTCTGGTCAGAATGTTGTATAAAAAGTACGAAAGCTTGACATTGACATGCAAGTTTTACGAGGGGCCAAGCGTGGAGATGGCGACGACGGCAACGTCATTCATTCATCACAAATATCATATGCATATCTGCTTGGGAGGTGGTCCCGCGTGGAATGGAGGTAGAATTGCCAGATTTCTCGGATGTAGGTCTAGTTGAGACAGGTGACGGTGTGTATAGACATATGGGAGACCTGCCATTAGATCGACACAACCGGACAATGAGTATTCATAACATGACAAAAGGGGTCATTCCACTGATTATAATTCACTTCTTCAGGACATCTCAATTCACTCCTTGCCTGATAACTACAAGAGACAGATGGAGAGAATTGAGGACGAGTAGGAGCTGTACCTATTCAGGCCCTCTGCCCTTCCCCATTAGCTAAGTTGTATAGGAGGGAGGAGAGGAGCATAGTTGTCACAATTGATCTCTAGTGTCTTGTGGTAGCCTAACAAGGGGAAGATTATATGGAAGACTGAACGAAGAAGAGAGGAGAGAAGAGGCAAGTGAACAGAAGAGACGATAGTGAAATGAAAAGAGCAGGCAAATCGTTCATCGTCCTATAAAACTGGGGAGATTCAATCGCCTCAACCCTATCTAGCAATCAACATACATAAAGTAGCATCGCATCATATCTGCGAATATATACCATCCAAACATGTATATATCCACCCATAGTCATCGATATATCCCACCTGTTCCAACCACAAGCACACTCATCATCGCTCATGATCATGACCACCACCACCTCTTAAGTTGCCCTCACCCTAATCCCAACATTATACGCCAACGGCTTCCTCAAAAACCCCTCTCTCGTCTCGAGTGGGCCCTCATGTTCATCCCTGAATTCAAAATTCCTAAACACAGTTCCCACAATACACTTCAATTCCATCTCGGCGACATTCCTGCCCACACAAGCCCTCGGTCCATAACTAAACGGAATAAACGCATCTTTCTGCCGACTGGTCAATCTCTTCTCACTCCACCGTTCCGGCACAAAGTCATCTGCATCGGAGCCCCAAATTTCCTTGCTGTGATGAATCGTATAACTCGGCACCGACAACGCCGTTCCGGGAGGGAAGCTATAGCCTAGAATCTCCACTGGCTTGGGATGTGGGTTTTCAGGCGTCGCACCGGGCGTTAGACGAGGGAGACCGAGTGAGGAAGTCGAATGGATGCGCATGGTTTCATTGATGACCCATTGAACATACGGCAAGTCGCGAACTTGTTCGTAAGATGGAACACCGGGTGGGAATGCGGCGTCGAGTTCCTTTTGGAGGTTTTCCAATACACCCGGTGTGCGGAGCACGTAGTACAACAAAGCGCATGCGGTATTGGATGTGGTGTCGGATCCGGCGATGAGTTGAGTGAGTGCTTCGGCGGTGAGTTCTTCTCGTCCGAGTTTCTGACCCTGAGCGTCTTTTCCTTCCATGAGACGAGCGAGGAGATCGACGCGGTCGGGATTAGGGTTTTCAAGTCGTTGTTTCACGCGTGCAATGGCAATACCAGCGAGGTTCTCAACGGCTTCGGCTCCCTGGCTGAAGAACGGGTCGGGGAGGTATTTCGCATACGGCTTCAATGCGGGGAGACAGCCTAATGTACCGGAAACTTCGCCACGGCGGTTAAGAACTTCAATGGCGGAAGCGGTCGTGGGAGGTGCGTCGGGTGATTTGCGGATTTCGGCGAAATCACGTTCGTGTTCAAGCATGCCAAAGGGAGTGCCGAAGGCGAGGTCGCCGATGATGTCGAAGGCGAGGTAGTTGAACCAGTGGAGAGAATCGATTGAGGCGTAGCCCGTGGACGGGTTTTTGCGGTTCTTGGACATGTCGGTCCATTTGCGGGCGAAGAGTTCGAGATTCGCGTGGATGTATTGTTCGAATTGGCCGATGGATTTGGCACTGAATGTGTGGGAGACGACTTTGCGTTTCCGTGTGTGTTCGGCGCGATCGCGCGTGTTGAAAAGACCACGGCGGATGGAGACGAAGGCGTCGTAGTATTCGCTGGAGATGAGATGGTTAGATTAGGTCCGGTGAGAAGGGAAGGAAAGGCTCACCTCTTCAAAAAGCCATTTCCATGCCCATAAATGATTTGAATGGCATCCATATCGGCGATTGAGACATGGTTAGGCTGTATCCTGACCACCTTGCCATATTTCTTATGAAGAGCATCAACCTCGAGATATCTGCGACCACGACGAGCTTGATACAGAAGCCATAAATTGGTCAATGCAGGAAGCAAAGGACCGGGGATTTTGCGAAGACTCCAGTTTCGTAGATATGGAAGTAAATAGTACAGAACAGGGAGGAGGAGGAGAGCATAAGGTGTGAGAAGGGTGGAGAGGAACATGATGACGATGCCGGTGGTTTACTCTCGGAAGAAACCCCCAAGGATCGATCAAAGAAATGAAAGAGCAAGGTGGAGTGATGGACAATATATTGATAGAAACAATTAGGAGATGAACAGGGAATATATACCATCCATGAGTCTGGGGAAACAAGGACATGAACACATCAAAGCACGTCAAGAGCCGAGATATGTTCGTGGCCACCCACTGGTAATTGAAAGAGAGGGGATTGGTGCCCACACGATCCCAAGCAGCGGCGACGAGCCTGGAGAACGGCGTAGCGTAACGGATTGCCCTTTGACGGCCGGAAGAGAAATTCGGGAATTGTGGTCAGGATGATGATGAGGGTCTGGGTTGAGGGTGAGAGAATTTGATTGGTTCATGTTCGCCATCTCCAGATTTTGCTCAACCCCGCCCTCGGGTTGCTCTCCTCATCCCGATGTAATGGCATATCTGGGGAGCAGGGTCATTGATGATGGTTATGGGTTTGGGGACTAGTGATGGTGCTGTTTTTTGGGATTTGATCATGATTTGGGTTAGAGTTAGACGACTCGTTCATGATGTTGTGGTCGAGATTATGTCACTTTATGGTAATATTCCATTAGAGCCTCATGTTGAGCAAGTCACGTGCCTTGGCTCTCTACGCATCCATCCCGAAAAGCCAAGTTAACCAATCAGTAAAGGCCGGGATCAATCCGGTCATGTCTTCGCTTGCTGTGGAATAACCCCATGCTTATGCCCATGTTACATGGACCTCGGCGGAATTTCTTCCGAGTTCAAGACTCTTTCAGATGCTCTCTAGTCGTAGTACACGACTTGCCCCGGGTCCTTCCATGGCACTTGTCTTGACGTGCCTCTTCAATAGCCCTAATGATAAGGGTGGTTTGGTTGGTCTATTTCGTCTTGACTGGATGTTGGAGCCATGTAGCTCTGAAGCCGGCCGATACTGATAATTACCATGGTTAAAGTTGTAGTCGTGGAAAGCAGTCTATGCTATGCTTTCAATGCACTGTCTGTCCAGCACTAAAACCCTGTGTTCGTTAGTTTTCAGACCGGAAACTCGTCCACCAACATTCTCACTCACGGGAAAAGCTTCAGTGATGCCTGTCACACAACGTTCGACGTCTTCCACCAGTCCTTGGACACCATGGTCCCATTGTCGGAGGTCACGACTAGGTCCTCCGAGCGCGACACCAGGAACACTCTCAAAGGTGATGATTCCAGCCATTTGGTCGATTTCTCCTCGTAGCCGGTCCTGTTCCACCATCCGAGCCGCATATTGCTCGGCCTTTTCTGCTGCAGTCTCGTCTGTGCTATCCTTCAAGCCCAAAATGTGCGCCAGCGCCGTCGTCGTGATGTTTTCGTACAGGCGACTGGTCGCCAGTAGATTGTGCTCAATCACTGCTTTGCTCAACACTGTACTGCCGTCGGCGTGCGGGGCCAGCTGATCGGGGTCGAGAGTTGACGCAAAAGCTTCCACTTCAGTGCGCGAGAGCAAACGATCTAAGAACATATTTTCCAGGATTCCGTATTCTTCAGTCTCGGCTGATCGTTCGTCCTTGTAGAGCTTGGCCAATGCCCGGCTTCGCTGAGGTCCTGCTGGGGCTAGCACGGCGGTTTTGATGGCAGCCGACAGCGCCTGCTTCCTATCCTCTTCAGCCGCTAGGGTGTTGAACGAGACATTGAGATATTCCGCCGATGCGTTGAGGAAATCTCGGCGGGAATCTAAAATTCGTGCCTGCGACAGTTGATAGAGCAAGCGAAGGTCGGGTGAGTCCTTGAGCACCTGAGCCGCGGACGCTGAGTTCTTGATCTTGTTCAGCGCCATCTCTGCTGCCACCGTGTCATTGTCCTCGAGGAAATTTCTCACAATGCGAATTCCAATCTCCACTTTGTGTCGGTCGGAGATCTGACGTTGGGTTGAATCTAGTTGGATTCCCTGCAGCGCTTTGGCTGCGGATGTGTATTCTCCCTCCGCCTCGTAACCATTGGCTAGGATCCTTCTGACCAAGGCATCTTGTTCTTCGTACGACACGATCTGAGGTTGAAGTGCTTCTAGCATATGGGAACCGACCTGCACCTGGACATCGGCTTCATGTTTCTCCAGTGACTGGATCAGAGTGTTTAGGATTGGCCGGATGGAGATGATTCCGACCGAGGAGTCAAGGACGGCGTCGACATATTTGATGATGTTGAAAGCGTGTTCGGGGTCTGAGGTGGAAGGGGGGACGGTCAAAAGCGCGAGGATTTCGTTGTAAGTCTTGACCTTGACTGGTGCCGGCTTGTCTGCGACGTCTTCTAACGCCGATATCAATCCTGACGAAGCCATGTCAAGGATGGGAGATGAGAGGTTGTCTTGAACGGTTTATTGCTGAACATCTACCAACATACGACAGAGACATTGGGTTAGCGACTTAGAGAAGGCAGAATGAGAAAGGGATGTCACCTCACTTGGTTTGCAATAAATTCACAGAACAATTGCCTGGGTCTATACACTAGAACGCAGACAGACGCAGCATATACGTAGGTACTCCTCCAATGACAGTGGGGGAATGACACGTGACTCATATCATTACGGGTCACGTGGATGAGAAAAGGAACGTGGGGGAAGTAGTTTTAAGATCCACCGTAGTTTAGTCGCTCGGGTGAAGTGTAAAACCGCGATATGCAACAGATATGCATGTCTTCCTCTCATTTTGTTCCCTCTCCATTTATTGTGGTCATCGACAAGGGATTCACCTGAACTGCTGGGTGCCAGTGTTTCTTGGAGCTGTGACCATATCGTGTTGTACAAGTGTTACACAAGAGAGACTTTTGTAATCCACAGTGGTTGCATGAGATTGCGCCGTGAATGACAAGTCAACAACTCAGGCCAAGAATGAGCCAATTCAATTCTTTCCTGACATCTTGTCTGTGCAGATGCCTTCTAACAGATATCAATCGTCCATCTCATATGCTAGTCCATTGGTACGAAAGGCTGAGGATTCTCCAAAGGCTACGTGAACGTCTCCTCATCCACGTTGTATAGATCCGACGCACACAGAAAAAGGATGTAGAAGCTAAATAGACAGGGGATCCGCATCTCAAGTCGCACAATCCTTATAACTATTCTGCTTAAACTGTCTTGCCCCGCACACATATGCATATACGCATTAACACGCTGTCCTATCGTCGATAATTCTGTAGTTGTGAGTCGCCTTGCCTGTTTCAGACTGTACGTACACTCCTCAGTAGCCCAAACACCTCACTTCCCATCAGTCTGTCCACTCAACAATCTTCTTCTTCATCCACATCTCTTGCTCCCTCCAGGGTCCCCACAACTCATCCTCATTCTCAAGCCAGTGGCTCCTTGGTCTATACCGACCGATTCTTGCATTGTCCAAACCCTTTACCGTGGCCGTAAGGCCTTGCCAACATGCCTTATCCAAACACAAAGACCATTTACGTGGGCTCCTTCTACGAGTTCACCGATCTTGGGGTTTGTATCTATCTCATCCTAGTTGCTGGCCTCCACTGACAAGTCTCGGCAGATTGATGAGTTTACTTGCAATTTTCGGTATCCTCATGCCCTCCTTCGTATTCAGCATCAAGACTGACCGTACTCTCCTACAGCGATTCTCACGACGACCCTGATCGGGCACCCTTTCTGTCCTACGACAGAGACCTGCGAGTATGGATTTACTCCCACCCAGCCCAGTTCTTATGCTAATCTGGCATATAGTGTTTCGTCGCCGAAGTCGACAAGGACGATGATGAGACTCTCGCAAACCTCTGCACTCGTCTTGAGGGTGCCATCGAGGCTAGCTCCAAGATGTCCTTGTACGATGAAATCCGTTGTAAGCCCATCGATGGTATTTGGGTCGACGTTGGGATGAACAACTCAGAACCCGACGGTGGCGATCTCATTGATCACCTTGATGAGGCTGAAGACGACGAGATCGGCAATAGCCACAATGTCCCTGACAGCATTGCTCATCTCACATCATACTGGAAACCTCGCGGCGGAGACATCACTATCCTGCCCCAAATTTTGGCATCTCAACTCACTGAGCACACAAATTGTCAGCTGTTCAGTGAGGTGGAAACAAAGAGATGTCGAATCCTTGGTGCCAACCATGCACTGGCTAAGGACATGCTCCAAAACATCGAGCCCCTCCTTGAGGTTTTCAAAGCACAACAAAATACCACCTCCATTCCTGCTAATGGCAACATCCTGATACTGCCACCTACTGGTAGCACCACTATCCTCCAATACCCTCGGATCACAGCTCCCCATCCAGCCTTCAAACGTGTCATCACCCATGTCCATGATCACGATGCCCTTCCCACCAAAGCCCTTGGAGAGGTGCGTCAGTATGACCATCAAGGCAATTACGTTACGCCTGACAATCTCCTAACCATCGGAATCTCTCCCACCAACACAATTCGCAGCTCTCGTGTTTGGGATGATTACATCTATCAGACCTTTGGGGATCGCAACAACTTGCACCCTCGCTTGACCCAGCCTCCACCGAGCTCTATTTCTAGCACAGGCATTCTCCACAATCAAACTCAGGTCAGAATCGCTGCCTGGACCGATGAGGTGGTCATGGGAGCGGATCCTGACGTCCCCCCGCCCACCCCGAAAGAGCCTGTTGTCCTGCCTCGAAGAAGAGTCATTGCTGAAGCAGACAGCGAGAGTGATACCGAGTCTGAACCACAGGCTGAGACCAAAAACCAGAGCACCATCCCACAATCACAAGGCCAAAGCCCAAGTGAATGCTTGCTTACATCTCCCTCCTCTCCGCTTCCCTCAGCTGATTTTTCACCTGCGATTCCAGGAGCAGGCATCATCATCACCCCGTCGATCTTGCCCGCCTCGACCACTTATCAGTCAGTAGATGTTGAACCAGATGTTGGCTTCGAAATTCCCGAGGACTTTGGCTTGCTGTCAAGCCCTTTCAATCCAACTCCAGACCCAATCGAGCATGGAACAACATCCAAGCTAGGAAATTATTCAGCCGATCAAGGTGTCCAGACACTAATTCAACTTGACGCGGAATCACCAGAACCACCATCCTATCCCCGAGGAAGGGGCTATAATGCAAAACAAGGCCGCTCTACTACTCAGAGAGGTGCTTCCACTGCACAACGAGGCGGTCACAGAGGCGGCTCTACTGCATCACGAGGTGCTCACGGAGGTGGCTTCGGTTTCCAGAGAGGCGGCTCTGCTTCCCAGAGAGGTAGTCAGAAGGGAGGTTCTCCTGGCAAGAGAGGCGACCCTGCTACTCAGAGAGGTGGTTTTACTACACAACGAGGTGCTCAGAAGGGTGGCTCTCCTGGCAAGAAAGGCGGTTCCACGGCTCCCCAAGGTCAGAGAGGTGGCTCTGTTTCTCATAGAGGCCGAAGCGCTCCTAGAGGTCCGGTGTCTTATGCTACAGCTTTGTCTCACGGACATAAACAGCTGTCGACTAGTGACATTCTACCCACTGGCTCTGTGAACCCTGGTCCGAGAGATAGTCAAGCGAGAGAAAGTCCTTTGAGCCATACAGCCACATCAACAACAGAGGTCTCCCTCTTCGATCTCTCTCAGTCACCAGAGGACCAAGTTCCAGGACAAGATACCAACTATCGCCCAACTCTCTTGCCCGCAGTTCCTCCAGGCTTCGAGAACTCTAATCATTCTCGAACCTTTGGAGTTGTAACGCAGAGAGACGGTACCCAAGATTTATCCACGAGACTCGGAAGTACCTCTATCCATTCTGCCAGTGGGTCAAGTGCCACAAATTCCGCAACGTCGAATGGTGTGCGATCTCTACGCTTCAGCGAACAAGGCGCGAACTATTCTCAACCCAACCTTCCACAGAAAAACATCCACATGCTCAGAGAGCAGAGGGTGAGAGAGTTACAACAAGATCAAAACAAGAAGGCCCCCGACACGCCTCCGCAGATGTTGCGTTCGACTATGAACCAACAAGCAGGGAAACCTAAAAAAGGACATCAGAGAGGTGACAGTAACCATTCACAGATGAAGCCGACAACTGAGAAGCCTACAGCCAAACCCGAGTCCGATCCGTCTCGAGCGGCCGGTAATAACGCAATGAGCGCTGCTAAGCTTGCTCAGATCAGGAAAAACCCTCTGCTAGCAGAGCTGCATGCCGATACCCTTGAGGCGAGGTTGAGGGAAGAGCAGTGCCGCAAGCTCATTCCTCAGCTCGAGAGATTGTTTGAGATTTCACGGGCTTTCAATGGAGAGCTCTCCTTTCAGGCTCAACTAGGCCAGGTACTCGTCACATATGGCTCCATGCTTTCGAGTGAGAAGCTCATCGATCCGGAAATGTGGTCTAAGATGTTTGCCCCTCAGCAATCGGGCAATAATATGGTACAATCCTCTTTTACACCAATTCTCACTACTAACGGGGCCGACGTCGATCGCGCGTTGGAGATGAAGATGCTGGATGGCAAATCCAAAATCAAAGCATTCGGTGCAAAACCCATCTCCTATTCAGTCAGCTATCGTTTCTCGTGCCAAAGTCGCAGCAATGATGACTTTTGGATTGTCGTCGATCAGAACGGAAATTACGAGCTTGTACGTGAAGCTGTTACAACGGGTATGGTCAACGTTCACTGCCCGAACCATATCTGGGATGCTTCATTCGTGCTCTCAGGCCATCTGAAGTGGTTGAATCCGCCACCGGCTCTCCAAAACAGTATCTCTGCATTTGTGGAATCTCTATACGTCCTTCCAGGTCGGGAAAAGTTCATGATGGTTTTCCGTCAGCCTAGCGATCACGAAATGGAGATCCGAAACATGGTGGTCAAGAGAACTAGCAAGCATGGCTGCAACATGCCCAAGTGCAACATGCTGCAGCTGCAGGTCACAGAAACCAAGACCCTCTTATTCAAAAAGCATCCTGAGGATCTAAACCTCTGGCAGGCCTATGAAAGTACGACCGATGATCACCAGAGACTGATGGACACTGGACGTGTTCATTATGAAATTTCTGTGATCCATTCTGACATCAGTAAAGCCTTGGCCCAGAACGTCGACTTGCAGTTTGGACGTCTCACCGACGAACAGACTACAGGCAAATCGCTCGTCAAATCGCACCGAGACTCGATCTGTTCCATGCTTGACATTGTCGTTCGCATGGTGTCTAAGCTCGATTTCATGGGTCTGTCCAACATTGGCACTCAGCAACGTAACACCGCGGCTGAGGCCGCTCACAGACTCAAATTAACACAAGCCGCTGCGTCACGAGGAGGTCCCCCCGCCCCAAGGTCAATGCCTGTGCAGACCAAAGACTCATCGAGCTTGGCGCACGATGACCATGGTCCAGCGGCAATCGAGGTGGTTCCTGGCATCAGGACAAACACTCGGGCTGAGATTTTCTCGAATCCTGATGGATCCAAGTACAGATTAGGTCTGGGAGGTGCCAAAATCCCCGTCTTTACCAACCAGGATATGTCTGCTTTCTCTAATACCGAAGATTCCATGGCACCAGATGACAGTGTGAGCCAGGTGGGCGGAGCGTATCGAAAGCCTCAAAACCCAGGTATACATGCAACCCCGTCCGTTGTTACAGACATTGGTCCATCTCGCCAGCTCTCCAGTGTCAACAATCAGACGAGCGACAAAGACGAGCCCACTTTCTGGTAATGGGTTTAATTTGGAGATATGACAGGGCTCTTGAATTCATCAACAGCCAGATTTCTATCATGTGGTGAACATTGCAAGGACAACGAACGGGTCGAGAGAGAGTGAACGGTTCGGTGTGCATACCGAGAGACCGATATTCTCAGCAACGCCCCTGCACCTTCGTCAACGGTTGATTAACCCGACAGAGACGTGGAACATATGGAGTTTTACGTCCTATTTTCTTCTTCTTTTTCTTTATTGTACAAAAGTTCAGCGTTCAATTCACCATTCAGACACGACGCGCCATTATCATGAAAGGCATACTGAAACGAAGCAAAGCAACGTCAGAGCAAAAGTCAGTTGACCCAAAAACGAGCAGAACATGCAGGAAATGCAGCAACGTCGACACGATGTACGAGCTACGAATCAACAAAAAAGGCCAATATTTGTTTGTCAAGGACATGGGAGAAATGGCACGGCTAGGCATGATTGATTTTCCAATGTACAACTAGAAGCTTTTCTTTTCTTTTCTTTCGAGGGGGTTTTCCCTTCTTTGCCTCCAGATTGAGCTGCACACAGATCGATATGGCGAGATTCACCATATCGCATGGCCCCACCAACAAAGTTCCAAAAAGGGGTTCTCTAGAGTTCAATCAGATAGAGTAAAATGTATGAGTAGACCAAAAATCCTCACCCTCACCCTCTAACATGGAGATCATGACTGGCTGAAAATGACGTTTTGTATGAGGTAGGTACCTATATTCATGTCTGAGATTATGGATGCATGGGCTTTTGATAAAAACACTCATTCATACAATGCCGGGATCGAAGCTTCCACGCCCCCTTTTTTTTCCCGGCGACGGTGAAACCAACTCCAGCCCCAATCCCAACTAGATGACAAGTAGGTAGCTTTTGCTTTTGCTTTTGCTTTTGCTTTTTTTATTCTACCGTGGTGCAAACCCTACCAAGGAACCAAGCAACCGGCCAACCGGCCAACCGACCATGTCATGTCTATAACATAACATCATCGGGGGATGGGAAAATGCAAATGTTCTGTTACATGTTTTTTGACCACACTGAAACAACGTGTGGTGGCGGATCTATATGAGTTTCATGAGGTTCAAAGTGTGTGATAGCCATGGAGGATTGGTGTCGTCCAGATCATGTCATTTCATCACTCAATCCTCTCGAAGAACTCTGACGCCCTTCTTACCTGCGCCATGAGTGGTCTTCCTCTTCTTCTTGTGGCCCTTGTCAAAGGCCACGGCACTTTGATGATCTCGGCCCACGTTGTCGAGATCCTTGACCTTGTAGATGCGGATGATCCAGTTCTCGCTGGTGAATGCCTCTTCGAGAACGTTAAGCTCAGGACCTTGTGCGGGAAGAGCAGAGCCGCGGACTCGATCTTGTGCTTGCCCTGAGGGGAAGAGTTTGTCGAAGTTGTAGTAGGACATTTTGTACCTAGAAAATAAGCTGGTTAGTAATCCTTGGTGCAAGGGGGAGGGATCAGGGAAAATGAATCGGGATGGAAAGGCTTACATGAGTGAGTTTCTCATTGTTGGTGTTGCTTGGTCGTCAACACGATACTCGCCTCGTGCTGTGAAAAAATCACGCTCGCGGACTTCTTCGGGCCAGATGCCCTCGGCAATTCGCACCATCCACAGAAACTTGTTGATATCGTCACCACTGTAGCCCAAAAGTCCTCCAAAGACGACGAGGACATAGTCGACGTCGTGTGCTCGGAGAATCGGGTAGCTGACTTCTTCTCGGGAACTCATGGCTTTGCCGACAGTGGCAATGTGGGTGTTGTTCCAAGTGTTGTTGTCCACAAGGGTAGGTCTATCAGCCATGCCTCCAATCTGATATCCGTAGTCCCACCATGACATGATTTTGGCGTCTTGGGGAGTATTCTGTCGTAGCCAGTAGTAAGCCTCTCGGTAGTCATCAATGATGTGTTGAGAACCGTCTGGAAGGCGAGACGCGAGAACGACGGATGGTGAGGAGTATGCGTTGGACGTCACCCAAGTGCAGTGGGCAACGAAGAGGAGCAGAAAGCCAGTGGCCAGGGAGCTGACCAGGGACTTTGAAACTACCGAGTAAATGCCGACCAAGGGGTTTCGCATGGATCGAAGAGTGAGATTGGCGGTGGTTTTGCTTGCCTTGACGGGCCCATTGCTTCCATCGGTAGCGGCATCACCCCGAGGAGTGCCCAAGAAGAGATATGTGTCCAGGATGTGAGAAAGTGCAAGAGCTGCTGCACAACAGACAACAGGAGTCAGGGTGAGCATCAAACGGACCATGACACCAGCAAAGTAACTGGCCAAGACGGCGTAAATAACAACAAAAACATGCTCATCCTTGAGATTTCGGAAGCACATGTAGACACCCGCAGGGAACAGCCAGATGAGCATGTTGAGGTCGAAGAAGAAGGCAGGCCAGGCGGTTGGCTGATGTTCCGAGACCGAGGCGATGATGGGAATGTGTATTTTGGCGTATCCTGTGTCCCAAAGAGAGTAAAATCGGCCGCTCCAGGGTGCAATGATGCCAGAGACGGTGAAGAAGACCAAGGCGGCCAACAAGATGGCGAAGATGCTTCCACCTAGAGCGACTAGGAGAGTCTGGAACTGCTTTCCAGGGAGCTGTTCTTTCAAATAATTGAAAAAGCCGACAAGTTGGAGAAGTCCAAAGATGCCGAGGGCAGCCATATGATCACTGCTTCGAATGGGCAGGAAGCCAACAAAGGGGACCTGCATACTGGCGAGCGTTCCAAGGGCGTACCAAGTTGTATAACTGATGTATAACCTTGAGCTGTATCGACCCATCAAGATCAAGGTGAAGGCATGCAAGGGGATTAAATTGGTGATGAAGACGTAACCTCCCCAGGCCGATACCATGTAGCCGTAGAAAAGAGCGGCCAAAGCACCCCACATGATGGAGCCATTCTTGACTGCTTTAATCCAGAGATAGAAGGTGAAGACGAGCAGGAAAATGGCAATAGCTTCGTTGTCGTAGCTGCCAGCCACGGAACGTGAAATGTAACCTGGAGCGATGCCCATGAACGCTGCCGCCAACAGACCAGCCGATGGCGAAGATGACATCTCCGAGGTGAGAAGGTACATGGCAAAAGCTGTCAGGCCGGAACAGGCGGGGGCCAATAGAACGCAAATGTTTCGAATGTCAACGGGTAAGGAGAGAAGGTTGAGGAGATGATAGATGACGCCTGATGTGACCATGAGGCCGGGGTATAGGGTACCACCAGTGACTCGACCGAGGGGATGCCATGTTCCTAGAATATCTGGTCAGTCGAGGTATAGGTTTGGAGGTAGAGGGAAGACGGACGGTCATCGAACCAATCCCAAAAGCTATAGAAGCCATGCTTGACTAGGTATTTTGTTGCTCTGAAATTGAACCATGGATCAACTATAAGAAAGGTTAGAACGAGGAGGGGAATGCGGTCGATAGGTGTGGCTGCGAGGGCTTGGACGGGTCGTCGACGTACACTCGTGAATGATACTCTCGAAACCTGGCAGAAGAAGTCAGCATATGTTGACATGAAGGGTGTCTGTCGACTTAGGGTTTGATCGTACGGATCACACTGAACAGTCGGGAAGAGACTGCGGCTGCAGCAATGGTGACGAGGATGATGATGCGGAGCAGAGCTCTCGTCTTCTTGCTGGTAGTGCTCCGCAAGAAGGGCTCTAGCGGAGTCGACGTAGTTGCGGCCATAACGGCCAAGAAGGGGAGGAGGAGGACAAGGTGATGGCTAGGCAAATCAATGCAGCATCAAAGGGTTGAAGGAAGTTGTCAAGGCGCAGGGCAGGGTATACGAAGTCGAAGTCGAGGCATGATGGACAGGGTGTTCTCCAAATCCATGCCAAGCCAAGGCTACACCTCAGCCTTGTGACTTTTTTATGCATACGAATAGACATGTGAGAGGCACGGAGGGCTAAGCACGCATGGCGCTGTCAGCCTGCATCGATGGTGGATAGAATGATAAGTCATGTGTCGACAATCTAGCATCCTGTGCAGCGACTTGTCTAGGTATGTACATATGATTGACAGCTTTTCTCACATCTCAGCCTCTTTATCCCATCTATCTAACCAAGAAACGACATCTGTTTTGTCACCTTCGACCTGCGACCTCTCAGGCTCATCATCCCAGTCGAGTAGCTTTTCTTCGCCGGTCTTTTCCTTGTTCTTGCGGTTCACGACTTTGCCTGCAGTGGCCGTATAACTTCCCGAGGCGAGCGTCTCTTCTTTGGTCTCTGGTATGGTCTCCAACTCGTGGGTTTCTAAACCGCGAATGGCGTTGGGTCCGACCTTTGCTTTTGACTTGATGTAATCTTTGCGGACCTGCTCGCCTTCTTCGATATTTCCAGAGGCGAAAAAGCGTTTGGCAAGCTCTTGAATGTATGGTCGTGCAGTAAAATACAGGAGAACGAAGATAAACAACCAGACATAGTCCTGCTTGTCCAGGGTGCCTTTTTGCATGTACCGCTGGATGGGGTTCAGCCGGTTAAGGTCTTTGGGTGGTGCGGTATATTCTACCATGGTGTCGGTAGGGGTGGGATGGCTGCCTCGATGTTGCTGTAGAAGAGAATGGGTAACGCCCCGGGGCGAGCGGAAGATGTAGTCGCGTAGTGCTGTCGCCGGGTGGTCGAATGGCTCTTTCAGAATTACAAGCGCGGGAAGAGGAGACTAGATCGGCGTTGCAAGGGATTTATCCTGCAGAGTATCCCAGAGATAGTGTGGGTGGGTGTCGACAGATAAAAAGGAAAATGCAGAGGATGTTGATGCAAAGGATGCTCAGGAACGATGGTAATCTGTGAGGATATACGGAGTAATCGCTGGACACCCTCCGTAATTAAGTTTAGCCGAGTGGATGCTTGTGCGGGAATTAAAATGGCAGGCGCGAGGGGGGGGGCGAGGGCCTACAGGGGCTACTACTACGGAAGGCCGAGCGGCGTGGGAAGGAGAGGACGAGAGGACCTTCCTGAGGGGCCGGCCTGCACAACTCGAGGGATGCTCTTGCCGCCACGTATTTGAATCAAAGTACTTTTTTTTCTTTTATTTCTACTCATCGCTCAGTGGTATCGTTGTAGACTCTGTCCATCGTTTTCCCCTTGTCGTGATAATCCTGTCGTTCCATGTCGTTTCAAGTTACTGGCCCTCAGGGGTTCCAGTTTTGTATGCTGTCTGTTTCCTTTTGATGATGCGTCCACCGCAATTTTCCTGATCTATCTTCCACCAATCTGACCCTTGGGGATTGGTCGCACCCAGCAAAAGATCAGATTGAATCCAATAACCATGATGCCCAATATCCAGAAGCTCTCCTGGTAGTCGGTGCCATGGAAACGGAAAAGGATGGCAAAAATCACACCACCTAGGTTGCCCGCCGCACCTGTATAACCACTGATGATTCCGTTGGCATGTGGAAACACATGAGGCACCAAAGAGAACGACGCGCCATTGCCAGCTTCCAAGAAGAATGCCATTCCGGCGATCAGCCCAAACATGGTCGCCTCATCATGGGGGTCAGCCAACCCAATCGCAATGTTAAATGCTCCAGAAACGATTCCGACAAAAACAATCCACCACTTTTTGACCCACAGAGAGTGAGTATAGTGATACAGAATATCAGAGATGATTCCTCCAAGCGGTCGCGTGAAGACGTTCAACAGACCAAACATGGAAGCCCATTGACCCGCTTTTGTCTGTCCTAGGTAAGGAAAGTTGCGAAGATAGTAGGACGCCAGGTATGAGTTGATGGCCAATTCTCCACCGAAGGAGCAAATGTAGACGCAAGCATGAAAGGCCATCTGCAGTGAAAAGAAAACATTGAGAGCCTCTTTGAATGTAGGCGGCTTGATGACTTCGCCTCGAGCAATTTCCAACATTTCTTCTCGCGGAAGGCTGACTTCTTTTCCTGCCGAGGCTCGACGAATACTTCTCCGTTCGATGTCGGGGTGGCGTGATGCTTCCCTTTGTCCCATCTTCTCCTCTTCTACTGAAGTGGCGGTGCCGCTGAGTCGCTGCGTAGGTGTTGATGAACCGGTATCAGTGTCAAAGACCGGACCTTGAACGCCATGTTCGTTCAACAATTGCTTGGTGGCGTTGTGTCGGTCGCTCCACCGTCCAGTTGGAGTGTCAGGGCAAAGCAGATACATGCCCAAAGCTGTGGCGGTGATGATGATAAAGGGGACCACGAAAGAAACCCGCCACGCCTGGGAGGAGGTAAGACCCATGTCATTTTGGAGACCTGCGGGAGAAGGTTAGCTCGAGACTGGCCAAGGATTGTTAATACTTGAACATACTGTCATAGATCATAGGCATCACAAAGTATGTAAATCTGTCACAGTTAGCACGTCAACACGAGAGTGCAGAGGACACTATATCTCACCCGCCACCTGCATTGCCCCAGCCTCCAATGAGCGCATTGGACGATCCAACAACGTTCTTGTCAAAGAAAGCAGTCGACCAGACCTGGCAGGGTACGAAAGTCCCGCCCAGGATACCGACAAAAAATCGAATGGCAATGAGGCCAGAAACAGTTCTGACAAGACCGGACAGAGCAGTTGGAATAGCGCCCATGACTAGGATACCGACATATGTCATGCGGGGACCCCATCGATCGCAAGCAGGGCCAGCAAGAAACCGGACTAGTAGTGTGCCAGTGAGGGCTGCAATATTGGAATTGCCCACATCCGCACTGGTCATTTCCAACTCTGTCCGGATGGTCCTTGTGAGGAGTGGAGGAAAGGCATCTGTCATAATTTATCAGACACCATCATCCTATATCAGATAAGAAGATAACTTACACCAGGACCAGAAGGCAATAAAGAAACCAAACCAAGAGAAGAAGAAGACGCGCCCGTAGATATTGATCACATTGAAGACAGGAATGGAGCGAGCTTTGTAGTTGACAGGGTTGATATCTGGGGCAGCCCACAGCAATGAGAGCTTGTCCATCATGTTATGAATAGAAGGACTCTCGAATGCAATGCGATGGAGGAGGTGGTGGTGGTGGTAGTTGGTGAAGGCTTCTTCAGCCCTGAAAAAGCCTGATTTTGAGGCTGAAAAAAGAGTTGTGTTTAAGATGACCGGCTCGTGCTTTGAGGATGATCACACTTTCCATCATGAATCAATCGAGCCATCAGTGCCTTTTTATCATTTCTCTCTTCCTCATTGCCAAGTCATGTATTCCTTCCAAAGACCATTTCAAGGGGGGCGGAGAACATAGTGGTATGGGTTTTCTGTAAGTGAATGATTGACGCGGAGATGGACATGTCGTCCACCCACGTCTCGAAATGGCCAAGCCTGAGATCTGGGAGAGCTTATCACTTGGCGTTGAACCCTCGGACTTGCATTGTATTCTCATCTCCCCCAAAGCTGGCTTGTCATCGACTTTGTCGGCCAGAACCACTTCTCTTGTGAACAAGATCTCACGTCACCGAGGAGGTAGTTAGTCGTATGCCGCGCTTTTCTGGCCATGGACCCCAAGGTATATCGACACCCATCGTCCAGTCACAATCGTCTAAATAGCCAGTTCGTCATTGTCTGGACACTATCTCGTTGATCGACCTTGCAGGCGGAAAGTCTGTTTCGACTCCACAGATAGGACCTGATCTTAGACTTGCACGATTCTTTATTGGGTCGAGAGAACATGGACTTGAGAGGAATGCTCCCCGCGGAGAAAATAGTGAGATCCTGCGGGGCTGGCCCTGGTGGATCGGTCTGATAACAGTTTCGTTATAGATAAAGAAAAGGCAGGGATGTATAGTACAATGCCACGGTGCGCCTGTGGGCGAACGTCCAAAATGTGTGCACTGTAAGTGCCATGGGATGGCGAATCTCCCTGCTGCTAGCAGTCTTGATGTCTGATAATGCATACAATGCGCTACCAGAGCGCCCTAAGGTGAAGTTGTGCTCCTTCTGGATTGACCACATCTCCACGGGTCAATCAAACGTCTGAAGTGGCGGACAAGCACGGAGGTAAGTTCTCATGTTCAAGGTGCTTCACGCGATGTCCATAATGCAGAGATGGATTTATCAACTCTTTGAAACGTTTGGGCTCCGAGGCGTTGCCAGAATGTACCCAAGCGACCCCTTTCCAGGAATGAGATGGCTATATGGAATCGGTATCCAGGTAAAGGAGGATACGATACACTTACCAGAGCCAGCCATATTCAGGAAGGCATGGACCCAAGACCGTCTCAAGATAGGGATTCAGGTTAGTCATCATGGAATCGAAATGGGCAGCATGCAGCGAAATATTCGCAGAGGCTCGGGTGACAGCTTGCTTCTCCCAGTCTACCCATGCAACATGCAAGTCCCTTTGCCGACCCTTTGAACAATCAGTCTTCGAAGACAAACACAGTCAGAAGAACAATTGTGTGATCCGGACCAAATTCCCATCGACTCTCCCGAGATCCCGAGATCCCAAAGTCCCCACAGATCAGTTCCATTGTTCTTTTGTAAATCAATTGTCTAGACGGATCTCAACGGGACATGGTTCCGGGACCACCACCACTCCTGTCACTTTACTCTCGGGGAATACAACGCTTTGGAATGAAACCAGACCACCAGACCCTCCATACCTCCATACATCATATCATGTCTTGGATCTCGTCCTCCATCTTCTGGCGGTGGCGTGGCGGATCGATCGTCCCCCAGATCAGACATGTCAAAAGCACACCCTCTCTATCCATGATTTCTCATTCCGTTGTGTCTTCTAGAAAAGAAAGACATGGAACTCTTATCACCTTCGGACCCTCTTGAAACTTTACACAAGTAGCTATTCATCGTCCTCGACGCAAACAAGCAAACTAAAATAGCTGATATCAAACATTCTTTAAAATATCGGTTTCCAATAAAACTCACATCATAGCGACGATTACTACCTAGACACGCTACGCAATTACTGTAAGTCGAAGACGCGACGCGCTTGAAATACTTCACGCGCCCATTGGGAAACACTGGCCTGGCTGGAGCATTGCATTGCATTGCACGACCGACGGGATGCACCTGCCCGAACCATGCAGCAGAGAGAGACCCTACAGACCTTACCTGAGCCCCCAAAGGCTACCTTAGGTACCTACTCACGGTACTCCGAGTGAGTGTCTCAGTACTGTACCAGCACCACGGTGAGTTTAGGAAGGACGAAACCCACCCAACCACCGACCGACTGACCGACGGCGCGCAAGGGGCTTGGAGACGTCGCCTTTGAAGACAAGACATTGGCGTTCACGCTTTATCAACGTCCGTTTCTCCCCAAAACAAACGCATTTATCGTGTCTTGTCTTTTCTTGTCTTGACTTTTTTTCATCTTCCTGGCTCTCAGATACGGTGGACATGGCACTCGGCGGAAAAATCCCAAGCCCGTTACTTTGGCTCATGCTGATCTTTTACACCGATGTGTCGTTGACATTCAAAATCACGGGTGCAACAGGTGGAATTGATCCAGAGACTGGAGCTCGACCATTTCGATACGAGATCTCGGATTTTCAATCTCATGGTGCAGCTTTCGATCTCTACATTCTCTCGTTGAGTTCTTTTCAGAGTGCAAGTCAATCTGATCCGTTGTCGTATTTTCAGATTGCAGGTATGTTCATGTCATGTTAAGTTATGCGCTGCAGATCACTATGTATACATTTTGTACGATCGGTTCTGACATGGTATCTAGGTATTCATGGATATCCTCGTGGACCCTGGGACGGAGTTGAAGGGACAGGTGTATATCCTGGGTATTGTATGCATGCATCAACGCCCTTCCCCACCTGGCATCGACCGTATCTGGCTTTATTCGAGGTAAGAAAGAAGAGCATGATTGATCTATCTCCTGGATTTCTGTCTCACACTTTCGTCAAGCAAATGATCTGGAACTACGCACAACAGATTGCCGAAATGTATTCCGACAGTCAGCGAGCAGAGTATCGGTCGGCGGCGGCAAGTCTGCGGATTCCATACTGGGACTGGGCGAGTAGTCCTGCCTTGCCTGCTGTGGCGATAGAGCCATCGATTCTGGTCAATACGCCTGAAGGCCGACGCACTATTCGAAATCCTCTTTACAGTTATCGATTTCAATCAGACGCTGCGGGCAATGGGTTTCCACAGGGACATCCGGTACGATACGACCACGCGGCGCAAATAGCGATCGAGGCTGACGAAAGCCCCTAGCTGGCAAACATGCAGGAGACTGTTCGTTGGTGGGATTCTCAAACACAATCGAGCAATCAAACAGCAGCGACTGCTGCAATGTATGCAAGTGCTGCATCGTATGGCATGCCTATGGATTGGTTCTGAACTGAATACACTGGATTGTGAGCTAACTGATTGGCAGCGTCCTGGCAATGACCTACCAGCTCTTGACTTTTACGGCCGACTACACAGATTTCTCCTGTACCTGGCCCGGAGGGGTCTGGACAGGAGCCAATAATCTTGAGACCATCCATAACAGCATCCACAACGCAGTTGGAGGCTATGGTCATATGCAGTTCCCCGAATTGGCCGGGTTTGATCCCATCTTCTGGCTTCATCACGCCAATGCGGACCGTCTGTTTGCCATGTGGCAAGCGTTGTATCCAGATAGCTACATGGTATCGACTGTGAATGCGTACGGTTCGTATTACGAGCCCGCAGGGACAATCGACTCGGGAGCCACAGGTTCGCGTTGCACAATGGTGGCTGTTTGAAACATTGGTTGACATTTGGCCAGGGTTGGCGCCCTTTCACTCGGGCGACGATGGCACTCTTTTTACATCCGACCAGGTCCGTGGAATGAGCATCTTTGGATACAGCTATCCAGAAATTCCAGACTGGCAAATGAGTCGCGAACAACTGACTCAGCATGTCAAGGAGAGGGTCAACATGCTGTACAATCCTAGCACGAATACGACCCGCCCGCGCTCGCTGCCTAGTGCACAGAGGCGGACAACGAGCTTGGCCGAGTCTTTTAGCCATGTGAGTTTCGACCTGGCTCGAAAGCTCCGAGTGAATAATCTGGAGAGACAATGGTCGATTACGGTTGTGGTGGATCGATTCCCGACCGAGATGAGTTTTGTGATTGACTTCTTCATGGGCGATGCGCCTGAGGACGTGGCAGGCTGGGCATTGGCAGACAACTTGATCGCCACATACTCACAGTTTGGACCTGCCAACGCAACGAGTCTAGCTGCAGATGGGGAGTCTGGTGGTCAAGTCAGTGGCGAAATATCCATCACTCACACCTTGGCAGCAGGAGTGTCTCGGGGCATCATCCCTAGCCTTTCACCGCGACATGTGATCCCGCTACTTCGAAGGGCTCTGACATGGAAAGCTCGAACACCGTGTGGAATTGAAGTCAAGGTGGAAGAATTGTCTGGGTTGTCGATCTCGGTCTCGAGCAAATCGGTTGTGCCGACGAATGCAAGGAATCGATTCCCATTGTATGGGGCAGTGGAATGGCAAGGGTCAGCGACCGAGGGCAAACCTTGTGGAGCTAGACGACCCGATGTCCGAAAAGTGTCATGAGTAGTGCAAGGAGGTAGGTACAAAGAGTGAGGATACTCATTATTGCCACGATAATTGGAAAACGCAAGGGCGATTGTCAGATTTGGCACGAGGCAGAAGGAAGGTCTTGTGCTTGTTGATGTGTACCTGCGTCTTGAACCTATCTTGAAGCCTGAACCCGATGGTGGCATTTCCAGAGCATGCAGTCTTCGTATGCGTACGAGAAAAGGTTGGACAGACAGTGCAGGGATAGATAGCAGGACCACCAACAAGGAAGCGGTCTATCGAGAGCTGGCGAAATCAAGTGGCTGAGTAAAAGACAGTTGGAAATTGGTTCGACGGCCATGATGGGGAACGGCGCAGGGAAGCTTTGGATCGACATCGATAGTCATTGGCTTGCAGAGGAATTCTGCCAGATGGATCTAACCGTATTAGCAACCCGAAGCATCGTGTGCAAGCCTATCTGGTGCTTGTTTGTGAGTTCTAAAATCTTGTCATGTACTGGAGGGATTATTGACAACTTATCTGGCCAGACACCAGATACCCACAGGGAAACCTGGTCGATGTTGTGCTGTCGGTGGTATCCATCAGACTGTCGCGTCTCAAGATGAAGCCTGCAAAGCGATGGAAGGGAAGGTTCCAGACTGCAGGCTCCAGACCAAAGACTTCCTTCCTGTTTCGTTCCTTGCTTGCTTCCTTCCTTCGCTCGACTACATCTCACCAGTTGTTCTTGCCTGGACGTGCCCTGTCATGTGATTCGTACAAATGGCCTTGCTTTCTCTCATTCTTTCTCTTGACGCATAATATATACACTCGTTTGTGTTTTGGTGTTGACATTGCTGCTTGCCACGTTCCAAGGGTGTGGTCTGTGTACGGTATCCAGGACGATCGAACCTTTCCTCCCTTTTGATAGATTTGGTTTCAGAGCTGTTCTATCATCTCGACACTGGTCTAAAGATGCTGGCCAAAAACTTGTTCGTTGTGGGCGCAGCTCTCGTCGCCAGTGCTTTTGCTCAGGGTCGACTTGCATTTACATCCACTCCAGGAACTGCAGTTCAAGGCTCGACATACAATATTTCATGGAGTGGTGGTGATGGCTCAGCGGTGACATTAACCCTTCGAAAGGGTGATCCCAATGATTTGGAAACGATCGGCATTTTGGGCCAGAGCATCATGACGGATTCATATGTGTGGGAGGTTTCGGACTCGCTTGAGCCTGACGAGTATGCACCCACAGACCGTATGGCATCCGCAGACTGACCTTTGTCACAGTGACTATGCTCTTCAAATCACTCAACGTCAGGACGTCATCAACTATTCGGGACTGTTCTCCATTATCGCAGGTAACTCGACGGCGGCGTCGACGACTACACCTCCCTCCAACAGCTCTTCGAGCACCACCACATTCATCGGCTCATCGGCGGGCACGGGTACTGCGTTGCCACGAAACACGACTTTCAGGTATGACTTTCAGACCACTAGGCACAGTGATTAGTGGCTAACAAGCCTACTCTTCCAGCTCTCCAACTATTTCACCCACGACTAGCCTCGAGCCCGCAGTCACCCAACACGAGACCCAAACCGAAAGCGTAGCCACGACCACTACACCCGCTGCCACTACTGCAGCTGGGGCTTCAGCTACGACAAGTGCACCCGTGGGTGGCAGTGCCGCACAGCTAGCCAGCTCAATGGCATTGGTCATGGGTGTCTTTGCCGCCATCATGTTTAGCAATTAGAGATGAAAAGTTGGGCAACATCAGACAAGCGAAAAGAGGTCATGTCTGTCCGTACTGTCTTCTAGGTGGAGTGGAATGCAGTTCTTGGAGTTGAATACAAGGATATGGATATGATAACTCACAACCATGAGGTGTTGGGGTTGATTCTGCATACTGGAAACATATCAAGAGATGATTTGCATTACGGTACATTGAGCTAGGTTGGGTTACGGGCTGTATCTAGTAATAGGATAATGTCTGAATCTGGAGATGTTGATCTCAAGTCAAGTCGAATTGTATCGTGCGTGTCGTGAGTTGTCACATGAATGGCATGAGCTTAACAGATAGACTTTGGTCCCTGAAAGCAAGTAGAAAGAGTGCCAAATCATTGGAGCTTGGAGGCATCCAGGGACCGTTTAAGCGTTGGTCTTTCAGGTACCAAAAGCAAAAACGCCGCACAGGCCATAGTTAAAATCCCCTCTTTAAGGGCCCGAGGCTCTGAACGTGCAGCGGTAAATCGGGGATTTAGTTGAGTCTTGGGTGCACAATTCCACCATTTCCAGGCTGTCTTGGAGGCTCTGTAGCCCGCAAAAAGTACTCGTAGAGTAGCGTTGACACGTCGTTCGTTCAGTGGTCCCGCCCGTCACGTCCATCACGTTTCCCTACCGTGGATCCCCCCGGCCGTGATTACTCTCTTCTCCTTTGGTACGTCTCAAACAAATAATGCCATCATCTCCATCGCCAACTCCCAGTTACCAGCTTACTGCCACTTGGTTGGTGTCAAAGGGGAAGCCACAATCCATCATCTCGAATCTTTTCTATCCAGTCATCGTTGCTGTCTGAGTTGCACACTCTCAACTCCCTCTTTTACTTTCTTTGTCGACAACCTCACCGCTGCTTGCATCACTCTTCTCCCTTTTCCATGGTGAAACCTTCATCCACGCCTGCTGTCCCAAATCAACAACGACTTTTCGATATCCGACACTTTGCACGCGCCATCATTCCTCTATCTTCCTCTCTCCCTTCCACCGTGCACCTTGATCTGTGTGCTACATCATCCACCGTGCCCTGAACCCTCCGGGCCATGAAGTGGAAGTCCAGACTCTCCAAAACTGTTCCCACGCCGGTCTATTCCTCCAACCCTGAGGTTTCCGGCGCTGACTCTGGTATGGATGCCTACAATCCTACATCTATCTGCCCAGTTCAGGCCTTGTCACTTTTCTCTTTTGCACCTGCCCTGGCGTACCAATTGACACGTCTCTCCGAACAGGAATCGACATCTCCATCACTACTGATGACAAGCCCAATCCAAACATGTCCGAATCAAATGGAGTGCTTAAGGAGCACAGTCCTCTCGAGCCCTCCCGGCCCACCACAGGACGACTTGTGAGCGCCTCCATGATGCGATCCGGTACCACCCTTATCTCCTTCCGATGAAAACGGTTGCACTAACACCTCCCAAGTAATGTCATCTTCCGAGTCGTCTCCGTCCTCCGAATCAAACCAGTGGTCGTCCGCAATTGGCCATGCAAGCACCGGAAAGTCAGGGAGAGTCATTGAGCGGTTACAAGGTGACATTGACCGCTTACGACGGGAAAAACATCTCCTCAAAGTTCGACACGAGGAAGCTGAGAAAGCGAACGAGACTCTTCTGACCAGAAATCAGTACTTGGAGGATCGCAACAGTAATTATGAACAATCCAACGAGGCCAACCTGCGACAGTTGGGCAGGAAAGAAAGACAAGTCGAGGAGCTGAGAGAAGAATTACGCAAAGAAAGATTAAAGACCAGCAGGGCCGAGGCACAGGCTCAAGCCGCCGCCACAAATGAAGAGTCGTGGCGAGACCAGGCCAGTCAGGCCAAGAGCCTCGCTGCCCAGAAAGAGGTAGAATATGAGACTATCGTCGCCTGTCGAAAGACCGACTATGACAGACATCAGCTCGGTCTGGACAAAATTCGGAGCGGCTTCACTAGCCTCCTTCGAAGACAACAGGATGATGTGGAGAGGAAGAAAAAGCTGGAAATCCTTGCCGAACAACAACGGCAGACAATTTCCCAATTGGAAGAAATCAACAAGAAACTCACTGTCAACTTCAGAAGTTACCGAGCCGAAATCGACACAGCGATCGCTGACTTACGCCGAATGGCAAGCTCCAACGATGATGCCATGACTCAAAAGTTGCATGACATGACAGAGGTGACTGGTCAGATGAGATGGGTGATGAAAGTCGACGAGGTGGTCAATGGCAATGTCCCAAGTGGGCATCCTCCTATAGCAGCACACTCATCACGTCCTCCCTCGCAACATCAAGACCAATTTATCACCAACGGCGACATCGACACACGAAGAGAGAAAGAATCTGGACGACGCAGCCCTACGAAAGGTTTTCTGACCCGACACCTACGCAAGGAATCGAACAAATCCACAAAATAAAAACCAAAACCGGAGCATATACTCTGAGTATTCCAAACGACTTGTACGAAATGGCCACGAAAGAACCCTCTCAAATTACAATTACAATATATCAATACCCTGTAACTACCTATGTACCTAGGACCCCATCATTTGTGCTCCGGAGTTGCTGTACTAGACCAAGACCGACACTGGAATCTGAAGAATCTGGACCTGAAATGGGTCTTACTCAATGATGAACTGACATGAGGCGTTTTGATTCTGGTACCATGAAATCAAAGCCTGCTACCATACATGCACGGCACGGCACTACATGGAGGACGTGGGCAATGGGCATGACATGGTGGATTTGAAATACATAGCTTATGTAATTAGACCAAAGAAAGATACATAATGAAAAACAAATACATAAATGACGACCTGAATAGGAATAGGTTGGCAGTTGGTGATGGTTTATGTATATATTGAAGAAAGGAGTAGGTATTGATATGGCTGGTGACCTAAGAAGTTGACCTCGATCCTCAAGGTAGGTAGGTAGGTAGGTAGATTGTATGGACCGACCTACGAGATACCGTAACACACCTATTTGTAAGTCCCTAGGTAATTTGTCATTAACAGATAGATTTGTTGATATTAACCAGAGACATGACATGACATGATCATATGATATATATATATACACAGGACATATGATATTGCCGCTTCTGTCAAACCCTTTCGGAGTGTTCCTTTCTTTCTGATTGTGTAAGGTAAGCAAGGTACCTAACCTAGGTATGTAATATATGTGAATCAGGGTCCTCCAGCCAAACCGGCAAGAGAGAAAGACCTCCAAGCTCCATAGATGAGAAGAGGAAACAAAACGCCCATGAGCGCCTAACATTCAAAAGTGACATACATAACGCCTTTGGCTAGCCCCTCGGCCCCCATAATACACATGACCAAGGTCGTCTTGACCTTTGTGGTATCCCCAAACTCCTGAGAGAGAGAGAGCTCCATTTGGCTGATGAAGGAGGAGCCAAAGTAAAGCAAGGGCATGAGCAAAGACAAGGTTTATTACAGATTGGCTGATGGAGAAAATGATGCAAGATAGAGATAGAAATATCAAGTGTACAAAGACAGTAGGGAATTGACTTTGCATATGTGTTTTCTCATTCGGCATTTACATCATCATCATCATCCTCGTCGCTCTCTTGCTGCTGAAGCTAGGTCTGGGTGAGCTCTCGCCTTGAGCCCAAGGCTTATGGAGGAATGGCTGGCCATCGACATTGTCCCAGTGAGCACCTTCCATGGTTGCTGTGCTGTCTCGATTTCCGCCGGCAGTACGTGCCTTGGGCATGGGCATCAGGTCAATGGTGCTACCCCGGTATAGTGGACCCATCAGGCGGTCCTTGACTGACTTTTGTCGTCGCATTCCACCCCCAGTTGCTGCAGGTTTCTCCTCGGGCGGTGGTACTTCAGCGAATTTGTCGAATTTGTCTGATCCATCGGCGTTCTTCTCTCCAGCGAGAATGGCTCGCTCTTTGTTGATTTGGGCTAGATGTCGGGATCGCCGAATGTGAATGACAAAAAAGATGATGAGACCACACAGCAGGATGGCTGCCACGGCAATACCAACACCAAGTCCAGCTTTGGCTCCTGTGGTCAAATCTCGTTTGCGTAGAGAGGGTAGGGGTGAGGCTACTGTTGATGGAATGGCGGAGAGAAGGATGGAAAGGAGAAGAGTGGTGGGTGGTGAAGGAATCATTGCTGCTGCGTTGTGTGTTTGGCAAACTGGACGAATAGGTGGTAGGGTGACTGTTGCAGTTGTTCGGTGATGAAATTATACTCCGGGTATGTCGATCGTGGATCGTTGAATAAAGCGAAGGCGGATGAAGGGTATTCGAGGACAAGTTGTGATGTTGGTGAACAATGGGGTTGGAATAGAATTGAATGATCGGTGTTTGAGCAAGACGGAAGACGCGATAGATTGGAGGATCTTGTCGAGATAGGTATGGAGTATAACAGTCGGCGTGAAATGACACCAAGTCGAACCAGGCTGTGCTGAGGGTTTATGAAAGGAAGCGAGACATGGGAAAGCAACCACACATCCACAAGGACTAACCAAACGGGATGTTCTGGGCTGGGAGAGGCTTGTCTATCTGAAACGATGGATTGGCCCGACCGGGGCCAGGGATATAAAGATGGGTGGGGAGGGCATTGAAGGTTGCCGACTAGGTTAGCACGGTTAGTAAAGGCTCGAGAATAGAAAAACTCAATGGGAATTGTCGCATGACAGGACCGAAAGGCCACGGTGATTGGAGTGACCAAGGCGGGAGGCTTTTACATTGGCGCCAGGTCCGGGTGAGTGATGGTCAAGGATCAACTAGAGCCTCTGCATCTCCGTTGTTTGATTTTTGACAGGAGGTCTTGGGAGATGGCCTTGTTTCTGTCTCATTGGGGCTTCAAGATCTGACATTGGGTGTCTTGGACCACCTATGGTTGGATATTTCAAAGACAATGCAAAATAGGTTACGCATTTCATTTCTCCGGGGTCGTGCGAGGAACAACACTTTTCCCCAGTATTCCCATGAGACATGTTGTCAGAGGCGGGCAGAGTAGATTTCAGGGGACCGAATGAGAAATGAACCAGTTTCAGCTGCGGACGAGTTCTCATGGCATGTAGCCACCCGTGTTGGATTTTGAGCTTGTGGAATGGGAAAGGCGGTGATCACTGTGGTTCGACTCTCGAGCACGGGCGAATGAGACTGGGGCTATCAGCGTCCGCAACAAGACTTGGATTTCGTTGATCACATTGACCTTGGGGCTCACCTCAATCAGGCTTGAAGGCAACGCGTTCACTCGCCGGGTTCATGGTGTTCTGGTTAGATGGGCCTCCATCATCGGCACAGGTTCAATTGGATGATGATTCGGAGGCGCTGGAGTGGAGAATCACAAATGGACACTTGGTGTGTACGGAGTAGCGCTTTTCCTGTTCCTGAAGTAAGCGTCCAGCACAAGAGTCCGTAGCGGCGGAAGCAACATGGGGGGGGTGGCAGTGGGAGTGACATTTGTGGATTCTCTGGGTTGCTTTTGCATGCACCATGGCCCCTGGTTCCTGCCTTGTCGGCGCCGATCTCTCCGGCCCTTGCCCCTTCTGGGAGATTGTCCCTGGCACGTGACGATTTGGGAGTGAAACCCTTGCCCGTCCCTCCCTCGCCAGTGGCTGCCAGTCCAATCACACTTGATTTAACTCAATCCAGCTCCTATCGAGTGCAGATGAAAAATGGGATGCCTTGTCATCAGACTGCGAGGCTCTTGTCACAGTACGGATTGTGTCGGACAGAAAAACGTACCATACATACAGTATGACGACGGAAGTTGTCACAGGCGTGTGATGAGTCAAGCAACGAATTGAGGTTGGCATGGCTGGCTGCACCTGCAACTTTCGGCTCCTCAGTCGTCATCATTTGCCATCTGCGGCGTCCTTCCTACACGGCGACATGAAGCCCCCTTGTCCGCTTGACGCGACGTCGCAATCTCTACAAATCCTGACACAAACGCTGATCCACGAGGCTCGGTGAAAACCAACCACCGCAGTCCGTTGGCCCTTGCGCTGACACAAACAGATCGTCATCATCGCATCTTTCTTCTACAGTAACAAATACGTATGAATCGTGGTTGGAATCACCATAGGTACCGACAATGGATAAACACTGTGACACTTCAGCCATGGACGACATTTCCTTGATGACATGAGTCCACATGCTTGGTCTCCGCTATTGAGAAACATGTGGCGCCGTCAGTCTCTTTTCTGGCAACAATATTGATGGCTCTACTCAGAGGACTTTACCTATGTACTGATGGTACCTTAGGTATGTAGGGAATGGAATTGATGAATCGCTACCGACATTCAGGGGCCATGACTTGAATACAATAATACTCGGTATGTGCGTCATTCGCCTGGAAGTGCAACCGCGACCCGACCAATACCCCTGTACAAACTTTGTACCTACCGCTCTTGCCACTCCGATCCTCTACCCGCGCTCCTACCCCCACACGCGTCGTCGCGTTTGTCCATGACGCGACGTCAAAAAGCTTCTCACTGATTATTGTTGTTGAATCACAGGCCACCATGTGCATTGAGCTGCGAGGCTGTGTACAGAGTGACATGCATGACCCTGCCGGCATTCGTTTATTATGTCTCACTTCTATCATTCTCGGTTCGGAGAATACTAAAATGACAGCATTGAGGTTATTATTGTAAAACCAGACCTATGGGTCCGCTTACTCCGTACTTTGCAAAAGTATCCATGCCAAGGTCATGTCCGTAGAGGACTTTTATATGTGTATATCTAGCATGCATACGGAGTACATATTCGTACTGTGGGTATGCTGACACCCCACCGTGTTCTGGGCAGGTTGGATGAAACAACCAGGTAAAACGATCATGTGCTTCGTGAACTCTACCATGATTCTAAATGTCCCCGAGCAAGAAGCTCAAGAGACTGCCAACGGTGAGGCCACCCACGAGCATCAATCCCATAAACCCTCCCGCGGCCTCCCGTTCTTCAGGAAGTACCCATTCACCCGAGCCCATCATGCATTCACTTCCCAGGTATCCATTGCTGAGCCCGAAGAAGAATTGCACAATGGCCAAGTAGAAGAAGTCGCTGCTGATAGCCGCACCCTTTCCCTTGATATTGCACAAAAAGTACAGGGGAATGAACAAGAGCCTTGCCATCGCAATGCAGAAAAGGGCAAAGGGATAATGAGTCAGTGAGATTGGCTTCCACAATGTTGACAGTCGACCCAGGAGATCTCCGATGTTCCAAATCAGAAAAGCTGTAGGGATGAATATGGCCGAGTCGACTCCATTGACAGATCGGATGGATGCTGTGAAGACTGGGAATGTCATGGTGACGGCAAAGCAGACAAACACTGCCAGAGCTAGGAAGGGCATCCTGAGGAATAGTGTCGTCAGGGCCACGTTTGGACGCTCCTCAGGACTGGGGTCTTGTTGTCTGCCGGATATGCGAACATTCCCTCTGAGGGCATCGCCTTCCGACGTCTCGTCCAGTGTAGGTTTGGAGGCAGATGTAAGACTGTGCGAATCGCCCTTGCGAGCCAACAGATAGAAGAATGCCAACAAGGCCAGGACTGAGATTCCTGTAGCAGTCAGGAAGTAGATGAGCGCAGAAGTTGGCGATGCATCTGCCGTTTCTGTCCCATCTCCTTTCTTCGCTGGGACAGCAGCGACGGAGATGATTTGTGCAAGTGGTGGAAGGACACCTGCCACGGCCTGGCCTGTCATAATAGCCTGTGTATATTCGCTTCTCCCGAAGCCCGACGAGAAGGAGAACAATCCATTTTGGATCAACCCAGTCGAAAAGCTGGCTACGAGTATCGCAACCAGCAGAAATCCAAAGTACACCCCTGCGCTTGTCTTGAACGCCGTCGATGCAGACAGCACAGAGAATACAGAAATGTTCAAAAGCAGCGATGTAGATATACGCTTTGGATATGAAGCCCCCTTCTGTAGTTTAGAGAGGATGATCATCGAGGTCAGATTGGTGACTGTCGATACGGAAATCTCGGCAGCCTGAAAGTGGTTGAGAATCCATTCGTCATTCCGGAATCGATTCTGAAAGTAGGGAGCTGCGGCAAGAAACATGTTCCTGGACCACCCAGTCAGTACTCGTATTTGTTATCCTTCTCATTCAGTAACTCACCAAGCCCATAACATGGCAATCCCAAGCAGGAAAAAGACACTGTAATTGATCCATGAGAATGGAGGTTCGACGACCGATTCGCCAGAGTCAGATGCCACACTTTCATCATCATCTCTTTCTGTATCATTCTGCAGCGGTTCATACTCTGGGCGTGGCCGGAACAGGGCCTTTATCCGATCCATGTTGGACAGCTCTTGTAACTCGATTGTCTGCGGAGGTGGAGGAGTGGTGTTCATCAAGAGTCGTTGGTCATTGCTGTCGGTTCAGTCAATGGTCTATTGTGCCATGGCAAACTTCGGACAGACGCTCTGCCGGGATCTTTGCTTAAATTCACAGCTGGCTGCCTTGAACTGTGTCAAGGAGCATGAATAGGCACGACCGAAGGGTTTGGAGGTCACGGCTATCTGCGATGAGTTGAGACACGCATATTAGAATGACGCGTGATGCGATTGGACCCGTGCGTTCGCTGCCCCTTCAGTCCTCTGTAATGATCCGGCAGATCTTAGAGCAATCTACGCACTCTCCTTTCCGCAATCGTGAAAGTCAATTGATATACCATCTTCGAAAATTTAGTTGGTCAATTCATCGTCATTCATGAGATCGTCATAGCTAGACTCAATTAATCCGCTTGGATGCTTTTGCCTACCAACACACCAAATGCCAAGTCAACAATTCGTCGATCGCCCTCGACCTTTTCTCACTCCTCCAGCAGTGCCTTGCACGCTTCAATATCAGACTTGGACAGCCAGCCTTGGTCCACCGCCGTTTCCAATAGATCGCCTGCACTAGTGGGCATCAACTCGGCGGTGGTCTTGTTGATATATGCATCAACCTGCTCCAGCCTCGTCCACATATTGAGCTGCAGCTTCTTTGCAACTCGAGAGCTGCCCTGAAGATAATCCCCTCGACCTCCACTTCTCCTGAGAAGCAAGTTCATCACCAGATACCCCAACCACATGACATTGGACTTTGGAAGAAACCTCTGATACTTGTGAGTCGCCTCTACATTGGTACCGTCCAGCTCCGCCATCGCTGCCGCCGACTTCTCTGCCACTTGTGCCAAGTCGCGGACTTGTCGATAAGTATCATACTGTTTCTGGTCCGAAGGGTTGTCACTTCCAGCATCATTACCGTCCCAGAACTCGATCGGATCGTAAACCACAATATCATCGTCTCCATCTTTGAGCTTTGCTCGAGCCAACGTGTAGTCGATGATGGTGATGCCAAGGTCTGATAAACCCACGCTAGCTTCCGGAAGCTTGGTCATCTCTGTGATGTCTTCTTCTCTTTTGTCATTTTCTCCTTTCGGCAATCGTTGTCGATAGCAGATATTGCCGTCATGCAAATCCCGATGCTCAAACTCCAGACTCTGCTCAGCTTGATGGAGAATCATAGCGGTCATCCAGAATGTGTCAAAGGCCTGAAAAGCCGATAATGATTTGAACTTGCAGATCGGGGATCCAGCGTCATTCATCTCGATGATGACATACATTTGATCTGGAGGAAACGCCGTGGTAGGGTCCGGATTGACTGCTTCCGCTGTATTCGTGGTTTTGTACAGATTGAAGGCATCCAGCAGAATGTCGGGATACTTGCCACTCACAACATGTGCCCCTCTACACCGAACAAAGCCAGGAAGTGGGTCGAGAGCGAAAAGAGTCCGCACTTCACGACTGACGGATTCGAGGTCGGCAATATCGTCGCTGCCAGAGTTTTCAAGGTTGAAGGGAATCACTTTGCACACCAAGCCGCCATAACTTTCGAGTTTAGATGCTTCAACTGCGTCCTTGGCCGTGAATTTGAAAACATCTGCAAATGCTCCTTCGCCCAGTTTGACGCAATCGTATTTCTTGCCCATACTTTTGCCAAACTCGAAAAAGTCTCGAACTTGGCCTTGGACCAGTGATAGCAGTGGCTTTACAGCCTGGAGTTTGTCCTGCCCAAGTGTCTTGCCAATAATCAAATTAGTTTTGCTGCCATTTCTTCGAGCACATTTGGAATATCACCCAAATACTCACCACTACCTTTCGAGAAGCCGTAGCCTTCCGCCGTCCTCTCAACCTGGGATTCAAATCCATTGACTTGTGCGGCCTTGACATGTTGGTTGGCAATTTTTCTTTTGTGGCACTCTCATCATCCACATTCACATGCACAGGAGGCTCCATCACGGTCTCTTGCTCCGTCACCGTCATTTGAGCCGTTTTCTTCACAAGCTTGTTGTCGTTGTTATTCTGATTCCCTCCACCAAAGAGATCGAAATGCAATGCCATGGTGTGAGCCATATTGGGTTTCTTCTTGCCATAGGTCTTTTCCCCGCGACGACCCGGTCGCTGCGAATTGCGGATCTCTCCGAGAGCAACAAATCCGTCCGCCATCTTCCTGCAGACACGAGAAATTTCGGTGAGACATGAACGGACATCGCTTACTACTAGTAATGGTGCTGAGCGAGAATGGGGCGTAGAAACAGGGGGTTCTAACGCGTTTTTGGTTAGTTTGACAGGGTCGAGGCGTGTCACTGGTTGCTAGGTGACGATTGGTGGAATAAATGAAGTAATAAGTCACGTGTCTAGACTCCACCAATGGTCTGGCCCAATGTACGGAGTATGTACGGGTAGAATGATGCCACTTTTATACGGAATCTCTCACGTGGTATCTGAGGACTGGACATCGATTACTCGTCCACGGTCATGATGATGTCTTGAGTTAACAACCTAATGACAAACTTCAGTTATGATTCTCTTCTGTACGTCTTCAGTTTGTCGTCCGGGACGGCCCGCGGTCCCTATATAAAACAGTTAGATCTTCCTTAGTCGACTCGTCGAACCCGCTTTCCTCCGTTTCTTCTTGTTCTGCGTCTCTTGCTGCTAGGGCCGCTCGAATTTCCGCAGGTCCAGAGACATGCTTCCTTGTATCAGACAACCTCTGCTGCCGCAGTTTGTACCTGCGTTCCTGGCGGCCCGAAGTGAGTAAGCCTAGCAAAAGGAAGCTCTTCTCATACCGAAGTGGCTTGGATCGTGGTTGCCACCTCGCATCGTACAGTGCCCAATAAAGCCAATAAGGGTGAGGATTACGTTCCCGTTGAACGTTGTTGTATTGCTCTTCGAAGCCATAGTTGGATATCGAGAACAGCATTCGGACTCTGTCCAAGTACCATTCCTGAATCTGTTCCTCATCGACAGGGACGTTATATTGGTCCCTGAGTCGTTTCAAAATAGGAGCCCATCTGAGGCAGCGCTCGGCAAATAACAGCTTTTTAGTCTTGACCGCCTTGGTCTGCCAGGATCGTGGGCGGAACGCCCAGGCCATCAGTCCCTTTTGGTAGTCGGGAGTGAAAACCCTCCTCAGGTCAGTGTCGCGTGCAGGAAGTCGTTTGCCTTTGAGATCGTAATGCGCAGCTATAGCATTTGGTTGATAGAATTCAGCGAGCCAGTATGAAAGACGTGCCAAGGCTTCCAGTCGATCCAATTTTCCGAGGGAGAATAAACTATACTGCCACGTTCGCAATGGGATCAGCGCACCAGCACCCGCCAGCTGCTGCAAGATTCCAATGTGTGCTGTAGTCAGATCCCCGGAATCGCGTTGTTTGTCAAGGACATGTCGGTGAATGTCATCCCTTAGGCTGGTGAGCACGTCGCGTACAACTGCATCTATCATCGGGGTCTTTTCTCGATGCATTCGCATATCAGACAGTAAGCGGATCATACCCTGATAGTGTTTCAACTGCGCCATCGCCCGCAGGAGAAAACCTTGGGCCTGTCGATTTTCTTCCTCTCCGAAATTGCCAAGATTCAGAACGGCGAGCGTTCTATTCAGTTTCGGCCACTCGTTGGACCGATAATATTTTAAAAGGAACTGAAGCTGGGTGTTTTCGTCTTCAAAGACTTGGTGGTGCATGTCATTATCCACCAAAGATCGAAGAATCTCCCATCGGCCAGCAGACGCGGTGTTGCGCAAGGTGCGGACATAGGCCGACGAGCCTGTGTCAATCCCACGGTCCTGAAGAAGTTTGAAACGATTCTGGACCGTTGCGAGATCTGGTGATGAAGACACCATTTCGCGCACCGATTGGGGTCCCACTTCGACCAAACCCATAGGAATTAGACTGTTTACAGTGAACTCGAACGGAATAGCGCGCGTTGCAAATGCTCGTGCAACAAAGGTATCGCTGAATTTCCGAGGACTTTGTCTCCGCTGTCGGTGTGCAACGGTGTTGAGCGTCTCTGGAGAATGTTCGGTGAGCTTGCTCGCTTCAAGAGCCCAAAAGCGCCGGGTTTGAGCTTCAAACGAAGCGCCTGCTCTTTTTAGCGGGCCAAGGAATGTGTTCAATCTTTGCTCCTGACTCTGCCCATTTTCCTCCTGATGAACCAAGTGCACAATCAGAGGTTGAAGTACTTCAAAAGTCGGTGGCAGATCACCTTTCGACAACAGAAAAAAATGCAGATCAAAAGCGTCCGAAAATCTTTCCAGGCTCCAAAGTTGAGGAATGACGTCGGCATAAATGTTGCCCCTAGGCAAGTGGCTGTAAACATTACAGAAGGAGGTTAATGCTTGAGGAGAACTCGAACGTGTCATGCTCAAAAAGATATGCGAGAGATCTTCTTTTCCTCGAAAACGCGAATAGAGAAACTGAGCAAGCTCAGTTGCTCGAGCGGGCGTGTCCCCCTCTAATGCCGCACCCACAATCTCCCTAAAGATATAAGGCCGGTGAAGATCATAGCTCAGAGCCTCTCCGGCAAGGGTTCGTAAGAATTCGAAGTCAACGGAGCCAGCAGCAAGAAAGACCTGCCATAATGCTGACACACTCGGGTCGTCACCTTCCAGCCTAACTAGCGTACCACGACTCGTGATGCCATGGTAAATGGCTTTGATGCCATCATGGCCATTATGTAGCGCTTGAGCTCGAAGCAGGACAAGCCAGAGATCGATATTCTGTCTGGCTGGGGGTAGATCGGTTATTCGAGTGTCACGGTTCTCAAGGTGACCAACGTCTGACTCGAACAGCAACCGGGACTTTGAGCGGATGCCGTAAAAGAAGGCATCCTCAAGAATACTTTCCCATTTTGCTGCCTCTGCAGCCTTTTCATCCGAATCTACCGAATCAGCAGACTCTGGAGCGGCTGCATCTTGAGATGGAGTTGGCTCTGGCCAGAAGTCCACATTCTTCAAGGTCGTGGGACTTCCAGACGATTTGTTGTCGGTGACTGGGGCTGAAGCAGAGAAGTGTCGACGTAGCTTGGGTGTATATATCCTCTGGCGGGGGATAGCGTGATGAGGTGATGATATCAATGGAAGCAGGTATGGCGTCGAACAGTGATGGCTTTGCTTTCGATAAAACACAGCAGTTGTAAGCCTTTGCGGAAATGTCGCTATGCGCACTTGCATGTAGTGACTGGCAATTGGCTCCAGGATGACAACAAATTCACCCTCTAGGCCTGATGCGATATTGAATTAGACATGGACCATGCAGGCTTTTGTGATGATATTCACTGGCTGGATGTCGTTAGTACAAAACTCGAGAAAGATCAGGAGACTTTTGAGGTGGTCCAATACGTAATGTATCAGCCAATCACAAGCGACGTGATGTGAGAGCGAAGGTCTTGGCAACTAGCTCTACCTTGAACTTCACTTTGGACGAGAACGACCTGCGCTAGGATTCTCAAACCACCTCGCCTCGTTGTTGTCGACAAAGTCTCATAGCTCTCACGTCTGATTCATACCGGCAGCGACCTCAAAACGAATCTACTCTCCCCTCATCGTCACCATGGTCACCCCCACTGCTGCCCGCATGATGCAGGCCACCCGAGCCATGCGGTTCAGACAAACAGCTTTCCAACAGAAGGGGTGAGTCAATCCAGGCGACTGGTCCGACCAGGATACAAGAAGCTTCTCTTTATAGAGCTAGAATATCACTTTCAAAGTGGACAGGGCTAAGATGTGGTTACAGTTTCGTCTTCCGTGAGAACCGAGTTCCTTATTATCAACGCCTGTTCCAGAACCATGACGGAAAGCGACAATGGTGGAAGGTCAGTACCCGTGTGTTGTTTGTGTTTTCTATAAAGAGGAGGTGAAATATGTCCGGTGATGGAGAGCAACGACGAGAGAGATTTGCATCGAACAGCACGCATCACTATTTTATCAGCTTTTCAGACGACTCCAAACTAGGTCGACTCGACCCAATCAAATCCTGGAAACTCTTCTCAAGATTTTGTCGCAGTCAATACAGCTAGTGGTCAACGGACAGGGTGGAACGGAATCGTGGCATTTTGGTCTTCATTTGAAGTCGCATCTTTAAGAGAAGTTATGCTGACACCAACCCCAACTACAGACCCACCGAAGCCCATACATCCTTTATCCCTACTATGTGATCCTCTATGGATCACTTGTCACATCGTTCTATGGCATGGTTCGACTTCTATTCGGCCACAAGACTATGTGGTAGATGGGTGGCCTCTTGAAGAAAGTGGACAGGACTCCACGACGATGCGATATTAAGGCGAAGAAGTGAAACTGTACATATGTCAGTCGAATCAGAATAAAGAAACAGAATTGCAGCACCTCAAGATCACGTTTTTGCTTCACCCTGGATTTCTTTCATTTCTTGGAAACTCTCCGCGATCCTCGTTTGCGCTGCTCTTCATTCACTCTCATCCAACGACTTGATGGCTTCCTGGGCTTAGATCTGCGAAATGGCCAGGATCATGCCAGGAGAGCACAAGGTAAGAAAGGAGCAAACCACAAAACCCTTCATAAGAGATCAATGCCTTGAGCAATCGGGTCACGCCTCATCTCTATTCGAGGAAAGCAAAGTTGGTACTGGTGGAAGTCACCAGTTGCGTCTCGAGCTGTGATTGGTCAGAATCAGGAGATTGCAGACCAGGTCATGGGCCATGGCCTCCTTTCGAGATCCAACGACAGAAGAATATTTCCCTGTGCAAATACTACTCCATCTTAACTGACCGGCAGATCGTTGGGCTTGTTGGTCACCGCGGGCCGACCAATATCTCCAATGTACCCTTACCGGCTCGCTTCAGAGTCATCCCTATTTCTACACATGGTATCTGAAGTCCAATGACTGCCCTGAACCTTCACAGTCATATCAACACTGGATACACTGGATATGAGTGAATCTCAAATCAAAGCTTAACTGATGGTCCTTTTGTTCTGGTTGATGATCTATAAAGCTCGGCTCCTGGCCGCGCTTTAGCCTCGAAGGAGGACAGAAAGGTAGGCGACATTGGGTGTTTCGTGCTTTCGATCTCATTTCCTTCTCTCAGCATGTTGTCATTATATTATTGCACCGTCATTCTTTTACTTGTCACTCATTCACTATCATTACCCATTGGCCGACGCATCCAGCAACGTGATGTACCCGACTTTGTTCGCCGATATGGTATGTATTTCCATCCCAAACACAACCACAACCTCTCCATCATCAGACTAACCCTCTTCCCTCAGCTCCCGTGGCATACCTCTCCGCCACAGAGAAATACTTCCCCTCCGACTTGACCACCCACCTCGCCAACTCCCACCCGGTCACCGGATCCGGCGATCCCATTCCCTTCACTAGCCCCTTATCCCTCACCAACCTCAACACCCTCTCCGACCAAACCGACATCTACACCACTTCCAACACCGGCATCCTCTCCCTCCCACCCTGGTTCCACGGCACAAAACCCTCTCCTGACGGCACATTGGGCACGACACGCGCGTCGGTAATAATCACCGTCTCCAAACCCAACAACATTCTCGACGTCTTCTACTTTTATTTCTACACCTACAACCAAGGCAACTGGGTCCTGGACAATCCAGCTCTCGAATTCGGCAACCACGTCGGCGACTGGGAACACACGATGATCCGGTTCCAAAACTCGCTCCCGCAATCCGTCTACTACAGCCAACACAGCACGGGCCAAGCGTTTTCATATTCGGCCGTGGAAAAAGCACCTGATGGACTACGTCCTGTCGTCTACGTCGCGCGCGGGTCGCACGCTAATTACGCCGTTCCAGGACCTCATGATCATACGATTCCAGGGTTTAATTCTCCGGTGGGTCCGTTGAAGGATCATACGGATCGTGGCGTTTATTGGGATCCGAGTGTGGGGGCGTATGTGTATGAGTATGATGTGGCGACGGGGAAGTTTCGGGCGTATGACCAGAATGATCCGGTTGAGTTCTTGGGCTTTGAAGGGAGGTGGGGAGATAGGCAGTTGGGGGATAAGGAAAAGGGTCAGATTAATGTTTTTGGGGCGAGGAAATATACAGGTGGGCCAACGGGGCCGAGGGATAAGAAGTTGGCGAGGGAGGCCGTTTGTCCTGATAGTAAAGGGTGTTGGGTCAGGCCGGTTTTGATGCCGAGAGAGGTGGATGGTGACGAGGGAGGGGATGTGAGATGAGTGAGGTTGGTTATAAAGCTGGGGCAGGATGATGAGGATGAGATATTCAAGGGAGGGGCTGGTGGGCGATTATATTATATCGCCATTTCGCAGCTTTAGGACTTCAAAGGATAATGGACACCGCCGCGAATGAAATTAGGGTGTAATTATAATACAAGACTGGACGTGAGCCCCAGCTCAATTGAATAGAAAAGATCACATAGCACGACACATCATCATAGTAGTGCGCTTCCTACTTTGAATTTTTGAATGTTTATACATTTCTTCTAGAAATGATATGACAACGACAGTCAAGAAAGTATTTATGGCTTGTTTGTTCAAATAAAAGAACCCGGACCAAGACCTTGCTGATACCAGTAGTAATCAAAATTCCGCCCATCTGTTAAGACAGAATTCAAAAGGAAAATTCGCTAAGAGACATAAAAATATGATACCTTCCCATATGTCACACTGCTTGGAAAAGGTCAAGGCCACATCACAAAAGGGGTTCTCACATGACCAGTGATCTCATTTCCGAAACCTCAAATTGAAGAGTCCGAATATGTCCACTTCTGGTCGGTGGGCTCTGCCCATCGAGGGTCTCGTCAGAAAGGAATATCTCAGACGTGGAAAATATCGTGAATCATGCATGTCGTAACCACCTGTTGTTGTTTGTCTCGCTTTGCTTTGAAAAAGACAGACCGTGCGAAACTTGGATATTGCCTGACGGTGTCGATTGACCCAAGATGCAATTCGTCCGAGATCTCCGCCTCCAGCACCAGGAGGACGAACATTGAGCACCAGATTTCCAGGCGATCAGCTGTACAGGTCTAGACTGTCGTTCGTTTGGTCGCTTGCGCAAATAAAAGTCTAGTAGCAGAATCTGCTCAGAAAAAGCCTCAGTCGAGTCTGTCAGATGAAGTTCCTGGTCATTGCGACCGAATTTGCCTTTGTTCGTGCGTCATGTCGACTCCAAGCTGACCATCCCTCCTCTGTATGGTTTGTTTGATTGGTTTGGGGTTGGACAAGCTCATGACTCTCCTCACTGAAAGCAGTCTTTGGCGTGTAAGGGGCAGTGGTATCTGATCGACCGCCAGCTGACCTCTCACTGGGGCTTTTCTCGACTAAGAACCTCTTAAAGAGCGGTTTCAGGCATGGAATGCAAGCGCAGACGATGCCTGTTCCAATCTCCACCACCGACCATTTGATGGTGGATACTGATCCCATGGTGACATCGAGATCGTTCACCGCTGGAAGGACGGAGATCCGAAGAGCTGATGCCACAGTAGCGAATAGACCAACGCCGAACAGGATTGACACAATATACTTTTGCCTGGGTGGGAGCTTGAGTCTCCAGAACACGGGCAACGGTAAGGTACAGAGAAGAAAGTCTGTGAAGATGGAAAAGGCAGTGGTGAAGTAGAAGAACTTGACGATCGGTAGACAGGTACGTGTCAAGTTAAAGTCCCAAGCTCCACGGACTGGATTGCATTGGAAAATGGTGACCAGTATACTGCAAATCCAGACGGCCACGATGGCGGCGCTGAGAGCGTACATGATCCTTCGAAACGTGACGGTGGGGAAGACACGCAGGTATGATGTGACAATGGATATCTTCACCAGCATGAGAGCGGTGGCATACATGATCTGGCATGTCCATAACGTCTATGGAGGTCAGGCATTGCTGGGAGCATCTTGATGGGAGATGGGAGATGGGAGAAAGCGAGGCGTACCTGAATCACCTTTTTGGTCCTGTCTACCAACTGCAGGTCCTGTGGTAGGTCATAGATATGTCGACCTAGGCCATAGCGTATTCCTTTGCCAAGTAAGCATCAATCTATATCACACATGCGTCGGCCAAACTTACCGACAATGACCATGACAGAAAAGGCGGTGGAAAAGAGCCCCGCCCCCACCATGAGATAGTCATCTACTGCGACATGCTTGACGGCAAAGACGCGGACTGCAAGACGCAATCCAATCACCACAGACGTGACAGCGATGAAGGAGATGTTGACTTGATAGATCTCTGCTACTGCGTTGTCATGGGGCAGAAAGTCTGCCTGTGATTGACTCATTTCGGTGCAGGAAACACGAGACGCTGGCTCTGCGGCCCGACAATTGACGTTATCGGGTATCTATTTTGACGTCTGTGACGTGGAATCTCAGGTTTCAGTCAGCGGCAAAACAGCAAATAAAACCTAGGCCAAACAATAGATCGATATATTCGACGGTTAGTGAAAGAAGAGAGATATGCACGTTCAAGCTGGGAAAGACTGAAAAAGGACGCCATCAGTACTATATGACCAAGGGATCATCTGCAGCGCGAGTTCCTCGAGGGGCTCCAGACCATCCTTCCAGGCCATAGTTCCCACAGGGTATGACTTGAATGACCAGGGTGGAGTGGAGGATGAGTCTCCGAGTTTTGGGAATTGTAGCCACTTGAGGACATGACAAAGAGTTACCGTTTCCCCAACACGTTACCTGAGAGGCGAGATATATTGACCAGACCAGCTCGGTCGGTGACCATGGCTTTGTGTGGTGTGAAGGCGGCTGAGTGATTGACCAAAGATATGCAAGAGATGAAGAATCTCAGTCTAGCGTGTCATGGCTGCAGCCGAACCCGAGCGGTTCATTGGGGGCTTGGCAGGGGTTGGAAATAGAAAAACTGATGTTGAGGCTGTGATAGGCTGTTGTCTATCAAATAGTCTGCAGAAAAAAAGAGACAATCAACAAACCTTTGGACGAATGCTGCTCGTCCTGGTGTTTTGCTGTCCAGGCAATGGTCAATTTGATCGTTCTGGCCACATGCACTCCAGGAGTTCACCCCAGATAATCACACCAACTCGGATCATGACACCCGCATGCAGACATGGATTGGCGAATTATCATTGTATATTCCATCATGAGAGGATATGGTGGGGGCAGTGAGGATGAAGGAAGAAGGAAGATGAGATAAAGAGAGGTGTAGTTGATACAGGGGCTCTGGGGTTCCTGGCGTCCCTACCATGTTCAGTTTTGGCCAGCACCTTCCGTAATTATATTTCCGCATGCGAAAAACTTCAACGGCATCTTTATAGCCACAGTGTAATCGATACTTTGGCTGAGCTGAAGAATGGCATGGTGGCTCATTAAGGGGACTCCAAAGGTAAGTTTGATGGAAATGTTGGAATGAAGAGTCGCAGATGCCTTGATGAATGCCAAGACTCAGACGCAAGTCACGTGTGGCCAGGTCGCGGTGGCCGCCCTTTCCGTTTTTGTCTCATTTAGGACCTTCCCCAGATGTCACTTTGCGAATCATGCAACCACGCGCCCTCAAGTCAAATTCACACTTTTGCTGGGGAGTCAACGAACAATCCTATTTATTTCTTCCTTTCTAACTCTCTTGAACATTCAACTTCAACTTATCATAATCATCATAATCATCATCATTTTCTCTTCAGCAACCGCTTTCTCAGGCATCAGGCCTTCTTCTTTCCATCTCTAAAACCTTGCCCAAGATGGACTCCTCCTCACACGCTCCCATTCCCCAGGCAGTCGACATGCCTCTTCATCGTAATGCCCCGCTGGCGCCAACTCAAGAGCTTGCCTATCGGAACAAATGCATCCAACTAAAGAAGCGTTTGGCAGAGATCGAATTGAACAACGACGCTACCCGCCGGAAAATCAGCCAAGAGACTCAGCACGTCCAGAAGATGCGCCTCCTCCGTTCCATCCTGCTCAATCATCTCAAGAACATAATGGAGTCTCCTCCGAAGAAGTTGACTCCAGAGCAACGCGAGAAATTGGGTGCTTTGGCCAATGGAAAGGGAAGCCTGGCAGAGTTGGCTGGCCCTGGAGTGACACAAGATCTGCCACCCTCACGGCCAGAAGGAGAAGGTCTACTTGACGATAGCTCTGAAGAGAGCGACGAGGAAGAACCTGAGGTGGGTCCTCATCTTAGCATGCCCAAACGAAAGCAATAGTGCTCACGAAGCTGCAGCCTCAAGAACGACCCGAAAGACGGAGAAGAGCAAACAACAGCCTTCGAGAATCCATGTTCCTTTCGACGAACAATGCAGCAGCATCTCCTGCTCCTTCCCAAAACCAAGCTCCGTTATCCACATCCGCCCTTCAACAAGATCACGCCCAGCAGGATTCGCCCTTACCCGATTCTACATCCAACCCTCAGCAAGCTGCTCAAGAGCAACGAAATGATGGTTCCGATCCATATTACGGCCAGTCTTCTCCTGTTACATCGACCCATCATCAGGCAGGCGCGTACACTGATAATGCGGCTGATGAAGTCAACGGTGTGAGACATGGCCCCATGCCACGTCCTGAGAGACCTTACCCTCCCTTCATGCAATTCACCAATCATATGCAACCTCAACTTGAAGCAGATAACTATCCACCCTCTCTGATCGCGGATCGAATATCAATCGAATGGGACAATTTGAGTGACGGCAACCGACAATTATGGGAGGACAGGTACAAAGAGCAAATGAAAGAGTACACGGCGGCCATGGATCAGTATAAACGAGCGCAGCGTAGCAATGCATCTGGGTCAGGGTTTACGCCATCAAGCTCATAGAATGTGCCTAGGCTTAATCCCACGACTCCAGCTTACGCAACGGCAGCACATCAATTCAATGCGTCTGGGTCCGGATGTGCGCCATCAAGCTCATAGAATGTGCCTAGGCTTAATTCCACGACTCCAATCGGCGCAACGCCAGCACGGCAATTCAATGACTTTACGTGGCACCAACCTCACACATTAACGTCCTATGGTCCTAGTCCTAGCAATACCCTATCGATGGGCAGTTACCACTTCCAATGAGAGAGCGGCGCGGCAGTTCGAACCGGATGCTCAGATCTTCATGGCTGGAGAATATCCTTTTGTGACCATGCCTCTCTGCTCTCATGTCAGAGTCATATCTTTTCACGACTATACCAGTTCAACTAAGCCCAATGGAATGGACACACCGAAGGCTCTGATGCTGTTTTCATAGGGCAATCAAGCTTCATTGTTCGAGTATGCACACGGATGTGCAGACGTGCAGATAGTATAGAGTTGCGAGCAAGTCGAGAACCCTGAATTGAATGCTTCCGGGGATAATTCCAATCTATTTTCAAAGTTTCACAATTATAGAGATCTAGCCCTCACCTCTCATATAGATTGCTGTGCGTCTACTCTGAGCCATAAGCCCTGCTTTTGAGCATATTCTGGCATCAAACTCATGCAAAGACACATTTATGAATGATTGAAAAATGTTGTACAATGGATGAATCATTCAAGACTGGAGTTATGGCTCCAGCCCCAGTCATCGAGGAAATCTATACCTATGGCTTCAGTCTATGTAAGGTCCACGCGGTTGTCGATATCAACCTGCTGAACAATCCATTCAAACGCGGGTGTACAAGATTCAGGGTCTTGGACACGGGCGCATGATGAATCCCTCTTGATGCCACATGTTTCTCAGCAATCCCCTCACCACTTGGCACATATTGAAATGTATCGAGGATAGGATGGGTATACTGTTCACTCTGACTTCTTGCATGCCGTATCATGTCGTCCTGTGGCATATTCCTCACCCAAGCCCAGTCGAAAGGTTGGTAAGGTGGGGAAGGATGGAGGGTGATCTGTCATCAAGGTAGATGGGAGGACATCCCATTCAAGGATCGTGTGAGGCATCACATCACATCACACCTGACATTAATCCTCTTTCAACACATCACACTACTTAGACCTTAGACTCAGTCCTCAGTCCTCATCCCAGTTAGGATTCGGGCCCGGCGGTTTCGGTCCGCCCGCCTGTCTCGCGACGATGATTTGATCGACGCTGAGCACAGTACGTGCCGCCTCGGTGGCAAGTCGAATACCCCAGCTCTTGACACTCATCAAGTCGAGGATCTGTTCCTCCACTGCGTCCAACACACCAGTGGCGTCTGAAGTTTCTAGATCCACGCCAGTTGTCCAGTACGGATCTTCTGAGTCGGATGTTCCAGACGTGTCTTCTTCATCTTCTTCATCGTCGTCTTCCTCGGAGTTTTCGTCGCTGCTTTCTGCATCTTGTGTTCGGCGTTTGACTTCGCTGGTATTTCGCTGGTGGGCGGTGTATAGTCGTGCAATAATTTCCGTGGCATCCAGACCGGCTGACTCGGCTAGAGTGCGTGGGATCACTTCGAATGCTTCCGCGTACTTCTTGATTGCGTATTGAGGGAGGCCTGGTGTTTTGTCGGCGTAGTGGCTGATTCGTTCTACGAGTTGCATCTCGGTGGCGCCGGCGCCGGGAACGAGGCGGGGATCTTTGGTGATGGCTTTGATGGCGTTGACGCCGTCGTCAATAGCTCGTTCGACGTCGTCGAGATGATTCTGGGTGGCTCCTCGGAGCACGATGGTGGCGGTCCTGGTGGTTGCTGTCTCTGAGTCTTGTCGGAAAACAGTGACTCGGTCTCCGCCAATTTCGGTGGTTTCTACCACGTCGATGCTACCCATCTCGTCGGGCATGGGTGCTCCCAAGCGGGCGAGTGGAGTGGCGTTGCAGACACGACAGAGGCGGCGGAGTTCGAACTTGGAGAGGATCTTGATGACAAGGATGCCGAAGCGGTTGAGGTAGTGAAGGGCGAGTTCGCCGACGGTGGAACCAGCGACAACGACCCGGAGCCCCGAATCATAGAGTTCCTTGATTGCGGCCTCTAGTTGACTTTCCTCGCCTTTGCTGAAGTCCATCATCTCTTGTGCGTTCTTGAGGAGAACGGTGCCTTTGGTCTCGGTCTGCGAGACATCAATGGGGCAGGAGAAGACGCCGACCTTGGCTTTCTTCGCTCGCTTGACGGTTCCATCAGGCTCACGTCCAAGTACCATGCCCTTGATCACGCGAGAGGCAGAGAGGTCGCCACCCATAATTTTAACCACCCGGACATTATCAACATTGAAGTTAACGGGGTTTTTCGGTAGGACAACGAGTACGGCTTCTGCGATGAGTTGTGCAAGGACGTCTTCCTGGCCAGACTGTTTCGATGCCACAACAGTGCGAAGTGCCTTGCTGAGGTCTTCCGGGGATCTGAGGTTTGATAATCTGTCGACCTCGAGGTCTAAAAGTTGTCAGAATAATGAACAGGACACCGCAGGAGAGACCACGAACCTTCGAGTGTTTTCAATGCAAAGGCCTGTGCCTTCTCGTATCCTGACACAATGTCACTTGTCTTGAGACCCATTCGTATTAATTCTTCCGCCTTTTTCAGTAATTCGCCGGCCAAAATAATGACAAAGTTTGTTCCATCTCCCATCTCGGCTTCTTGTTGTTGACTTGCCATGACCAACAGTTTGGCAGCGGGGTGAACGACTTCCAACTCTCGTAGGATGGTAGCGGCATCGGACGTCAATACCAGTTTTGAAAGGTGATTAATGACGATCTTGTTGCGACCGTATGGGCCCAGTGATGTTTGCACTGTCTGAGCAATCGTTCTGCAGGCATCAATCTAGGATTTGTCAGTGGAGAGGAGAGGGACAGGTGGAGGGGTCTTTACATTGCGTATGACTGCACCATCTTCTGCATCGTAACTATTGTACCCTGGCTTGAACAACCCTGCCTGCGAGGCTTGTGGGATCGTCAACGACATCTTGATCGGTTTGCGAGGACGAGTTGGGAATTGGTGACGAAGAATTGTTGGTTGTGGTGTCTTCAGGATCCTCGGTGCGGAGCGACAATTAATTTCTAGACGCCTGCTTGTCTCGCAAGGCTGTCGTATGCCAAGATATGTATGGCGGGCCAGAGGTGGTCTTTTCGTGGGTTTCGTCTGACGAGAAATTTTGGTCAAACTACGAGAGAATTATGGCCGAAGAAGAGTAGATCAGAAGTCAGACAGAGAAGTTCTTACCTCGAATCATAACTTACTGAGACGTCATCTGGCGCATGTCAACGCGAGTCCGCATCCAGGAGGGAATCCTGTGCCTGGATATTCAACATCAACTCGAAATTGACAAAGCTCTACCCTTCGCTTTGACGTGTATTGCCATACGCAGATTCTGCAAGCAAATACGAATCGAAGCCGTGGTTGAGAATGACACAACCTGCTCGTCGGTCCCTCCAGAGGTGAGCCTTGGTCGCAATGTCAGGATCCGCATCCAAGTCGAGCGATCACTCCGATCTAGATCTATTCACCGCCGACGACGCGGGTGACATTTCCTCAAGGTATTGCACCTGGCTAACTTGATACTATATGCGATTAACCTGTGTAGCAGACCAACCCAACATTCAGACAACCGACAAACCGGGTCATCATCAGCAACTTCTTCAAGCAGAGCGCATCCCTCGACACCGGCAACATTAACACCTTTGAATACCACGGTTGCAAATGGCACCTCGGATGGTGCCTCACTGTATGAAGAAACCATTGGGAAAGAAGGAGGACCACCAGATTGGTACATCGAAGGCCCGGGACGTCGTGTAGGATATGATGACTTGACGGCGATCGATTGGATTTATGAATATACGAAAGAAAGACAACGTTTGAGGAAGCTCATTGCAAGCAGTCAAGGCTTTTCTGGCTCTCTACGACAATTCTTCGATGCCAGCCAAATCTGGATTGTCCTTGTTGCGACAGGGGTCTCTGTAGGATGTGTTGCCGCGGTCATCAACATTGCCTCTGACTGGCTCGGCGACATCAAGACTGGATACTGCAAACAGGGAAACGGCGGTGGTCAATTCTACCTCAACAAGCAATTCTGTTGCTGGGGTCATGACGATTATAGCCAATGTCTTGACTGGACACCCTGGCCAAAGGCCATGGGCATCAGATCGACTGGTGGAGGCTATATCATCAGCTACATTTTCTTCATCTTGTTTTCTGTATGCTCCTCGACTTCCCTTTCGAGCTTATTGCTAACGTCATCTTGAGATAATTTTTGCTATTTCCGCCGCGGTGCTTGTAAAGCATTATTCGCTTTACGCTAAACATAGCGGCATACCCGAAATTAAGACGTTGTTGGGTGGATTTGTGATGCGGCGTTTTCTGGGTGGTTGGACTTTGGTGACCAAGTCGGTCGGCTTGGTAGGTACACTCAGACCAGATTTCTGTTCCATCCTTCTTACAATCACAGTGTCTTGCAGTTTCCTCGGGCCTTTGGTTGGGCAAAGAAGGCCCCTTTGTCCATCTAGCTTGTTGTTGTGCAAACATCATCATGAAGCCCTTTGACTCGTTGAGTCAAAATGAGGCTCGAAAAAGAGAAGTCCTTTCAGCGGCTGCCGCGTCAGGGATATCTGTCGCTTTTGGTTCGCCTATTGGCGGCGTCTTGTTCTCCCTGGAACAACTTTCCTACTACTTCCCCGACAAGACCATGTGGCAGTCATTTGTTTGCGCCATGATTGCCGCGGTGACCCTGCAGGCACTGAACCCGTTCCACACGGGAAAGATCGTGCTATATCAAGTGACATATTCCGAGGCGTGGCACAGTTTCGAAATCGTTCCATTCGTCTTACTCGGCGTGATCGGTGGGATTCACGGCAGCCTATTTATCAAGCTCAACATGTTTGTTGCACGCCTGAGAAAATCGGATCGGTATCCTCTCCGCGAGAAGCCCATTCTAGAGGTGCTGATTGTGTCGGCCATTTCAGCCCTGATCAATTTCCCCAACCTTTTCATGCGAGCTCAACTCTCAGAACTCGTCTTCTATCTGTTCGCCGAATGTGCAAGCATCGGCAACAACGATATCTTCGGCCTTTGCAAGGATACTACTCTCGGATCGTTGGCTTTGGCGTGGCTCTTGCTTGCTGCTGCAATGCTTGGATTTCTATTGGCGAGCATCACCTTTGGTCTGCAAATCCCAGCAGGGGTGATTCTCCCAACCTTGGCCATCGGCGCATTATATGGCAGGACAGTTGGCGCCCTGGTCGAATTGACGCACAGAAACTTCCCAACCTCGGTGCTCTTTTCTGCTTGCGACGCGGACGTACCATGCGTCATTCCAGGGACCTATGCTATTGTCGGAGCGGCTTCAGCACTTGCAGGGACCACGAGGATGACAGCTTCAATTGTGGTGATCATGTTTGAGCTGACAGGCGCACTCACGTACGTCCTGCCTATAATGATATCAGTCATGCTTGCCAAATGGATTGGAGATGCACTCAGTGCTCGGGGCATCTACGAGTCATGGATTCATTTCAAGGAGTATCCCTACCTGGAGCAGAAAGATTCAACCCAAATACCACATGTCTCAGTGGCCAATCTCATGACCAACATTGAAGAAATGAAATGTCTGGACGCCACCAAAGTCCACACTGTCGGGTCCTTGCAGAAGACCCTTCGCTCAACGCCATACCGGGGCTTTCCCGTGATCGCTTCAAAGAGAGGAACGGCTGGAGACACCAACAGACACCGATCTCCTCGTGACAATACGTTGCTAGGATACATATCAAGAGCAGAACTATCATTCGCTCTTGAACGATTCTCCCAGTCAAACCTGGGCTCAGAAACAAATCCACAAGAAGCAGTCACGCCACAAACACCATGTTATTTCATCTATCATTCAGAAATAGGAGCCGCCCGCGGCATCGACCTAAGACCATGGATGGACCAAACACCCATCACATTAAACGCACACAGCTCGCTTCAACTCGCAGTCTCCATGTTCCAGAACCTCGGACTAAGGTATTTACTCCTAGTCGATCGAGGAGCGTTCCGTGGCATCCTGACCAAAAAGGACGTATGGTGGATTTTGTCATCATCGGAGGACAAACGCAAAGCAGGGGCCTTTGTCGCGGGCGCAGGTGCACTTCGCGAGTCGGCAGAAGCACAGGATGATGAAGACGGACCTGAGGAATCCATGGGTCTGCTTCGAGAAGATTCGGGCGCCAATACCACCAATCTGAATGCCTCTTCGTCAGCATAGAGCTGGCATGCCATGGCATGCCATGGTACATACATATATGCATGCAAACTTGGCACTGTATGCAGAACTATTGAAATTTTTCCAAGATAGAGACCAAAAGGAGGAATCCATCTCGACGTAGGAAATCCTACTCGTATACGAACAGGATTCCCAGAGATTGGATTTTTTTGTTCATTTCCTTTGGTCCGTCGCTTGTGCATTGCAGACAATATGACTAACTGATGCCTACCTAACGGACCTACTGCTGCCCATTCGTATAAGAAATGCTACCTACCTACATACCTAGCTAGCTATATGTAGTACAAATCACGGCTTTTTGGCCGTGGTGTTGGGACTATTCCCGTTCCTAATTCACCGACCTCCACTGATGAAATACGTATTACAGGACACCGCTCACCTGATCCAGTACGGGGACCTGTGATCAGCTAAACCCAGAAAGAACGATTCCACATAAGTACATATGTACTTCATACATGCATGCATTTTGCCCCTGCAGTGCCTTGCTTGGTGGGCATTGAGCATTGAGCATTGGGCCATTGAATACCGTTCCTAACGCCATGTTCATCACTCGCTCATCACGACCCATAAGTCCAGAAACCCACAGACCCTGTCTTTCTGTGCGACATACCATAGACTCCTCTACGAAATCCTGTCTCTGGTCCCGATCTTGTGATGACCTTGTGATGATGTTGGAATGATCCTGAATCTACTGACTGATGTGATTATAGTGATAACACTCAGTTCTCATGCATCAAGATTAACCTACCACCTTCCTATATTCAACCCGTGACCAGAGATAGAGACATGATACACACGATGAGACAATGGCACAATGCAAATATGACGATCGGATCCATTATGATGATGATGATGGTGATCGATCCTAGGGTTGATTTCTGATATTGAGCAAACGGCCCAGGTGTCTAGCTAGTGATATCACATACATACTCCCACATTCGTGTAATACTTAGTACCTCCCTACAAGTACATACCAAGTATCTATGTGCTTTACTTGTTATAGCATTCGAGTTGACGCTCGAGAGTACAAACAAATGAAACGAATGCTTGTGGATGGATCTACAATTGGAACTACTGGATCTAGGACCATGTAAAAGATGTACGGTACTCCTCAACCGGGGTTATTCGTTCGCCTGTTCGCTCGTTCATTCGCATAAATCTTTGTTTCTGGATCCGAACATAGAAGAAACATTGGCTTCCCCTTGCAATAATAACAACAACCTACGGAACTCGTACAAGTACATTGATCGTGATGATCGCGAGTTCACAAAGTCCCATCCAAATCCCCAGACCTAGGCCTAGAATCAGAACGCCAAAAGATGTCATAGGCAAACACATACTCGAACTAACTGACTACCTATTTAGGAACCAATGCACTCGTGACTCGCCCACTCATTGTCACAGAGTCAAGGACCAAGACTCACAGGACCCAGCCCCACAAGTCGTGACCCGATCCCTACGGTTAGTTTTACAGTAGAACAACCCCCGAAACAGCATCTATGGATACATACCCACGGAGTACAGTCCCGCGATTGATTGCCATTCAGTAAATCCGGCAGGCTGGTAGAACCTGTTAGCCACAGTTGGATGCCTGAAACACCAAGGGTGGAATCTCCGCGGGCTGAGGGGCCGCGAGCGAAGTCTCTGTTGATCATCCCCGAAAAAGGGATCGTCTACTTAGACGATCGGTTGGGCACTTCCTAGTAGTCCACGAGGAACTAAGTATTCCGTAGTCTTTTCTAGCGAGAGGAGCTATGTACGTTTACGGACGACGAAGAATTGGACTGGAGTACTTTTCTGTAAATCTATGACAGCATGCAGATATGGGGACATGTGAGTCTGTGGACTATATGGATGGATGCAGTATGTATGTATGGGCGGGGGAAAGAAAGAGGCACGTAAACTCCACTTTGTGAGTAGAATCAAGATTTCCTGTAGGCAAGTAATGATGTAAATAGGTGTTTGCAGAGGTACAAGTGCCTAGGTACTCAACAGAGTAATGTGACCGCTGCCCAGAGTTTCCTCGCTTGATGAAGAATGATGGGGCAATGGGAGCTCGGTTCGACGCACTCTCTAAAGGATCAGAAGGGGGGCGTCCGGTGTTGGACGCCTCGAATGTGGAGGATTCAAGTCCACGAGAATCGAGAAAAGAGCCAAAAAAAAGTACCCAGTTCAATAATGCCAGCTGCGCCCAGGCATCGCGGGATCGGGCATTCTTCTACCTTAGGCAAATCATCTTTCACCGCGGTTCCGTTAGTTCAAATCTCTTTCTGCAGTATACGAGGCATCCATTCTCGAAGGACCAGACGGGAGGCACGGGTGTAGTCCCTACAACTCCCCGTCTTTTCCTGGCGATCACACGTCCGTGCAAGGACTTGAGGCCCCGAGGGGCCTCGGCCACAAACCATACCACAATTGGGTTGTGTCAGCGGCGTTGTCACCCTGTTCGCACCGGTAGCTACGACATACGTCAAAAACTGGTGACAGACACGTGGTCATTCTGGACCACGGTGATGGATTTTGTTAGTTTGTTTTTTGGAACCAGGCCACGGTTTCCATTATCGGAAGCGGAATCCCTCCTTGTTGACAATCTCGAGAAGATTGGGAAGACCAAGGCTGATTGTTTACCTGTTGTGTCTGGCCTTGCAGAAAGTTGACAAGAGGGACACAAGTCGAAAAGTTTAGTGAGAGACGGTGTCAGGGGAAAAGCCCCATTCAGTCTTCACAAAACCCTGCTTAGGGTTGACAGCCACACGTGGAATTGGGTGCTCAGGCTCCCGAGCCAATTCGCCTTTTTTTACGCTTCTAGAGGCTAGAATGATGTCCGAGGCATTCCTTTGGCACGATCGTCGGGATCGGCATGGGCACATGGTGCTAAGCTCTTATGCTGCATGATAATAAGCGAGACGACGGTGCGTCGTCAGCCATTCATTGGACAAACTCGGCACCGTTCGTTATCGTGCAAAGTCCCCAAGTGTTGGAATTTTGTGCGTGCAGCCCCCATAAATCGAGGAGAAGGACTTTTTTCCCTGGTAGGATGAAGGGTCTCCTCTCGTGCGAATGGAATGGGTCCTCTGCTGTCAAACAACCGACACAAACAGGCACGACAGGTCAGTCTAGCTTGGAACTAGACAATTGCTAGACACAGGTCGAGGCGCCAGGCCACGCTCAAGTACTCCGTACGTCCAGCATAATCGGCAGTAATGTACGCAAATGGATCCTGCTGTCGATACGCATCGATTTGCACATGTAGTGCCTACGCACCAGGAATGTGGACGCAAGGTTGACAAGCCAAGTGCGAAGTCCACAGATGATGTGGGATTGTCCAGGTTTCCGACCCCACGCACGTGTGAGATGTCTCCTTTCACCTCAGAAGCGTCCCGTCCAGGAGTGAGATCATGACGGGGGCACCGAGACCAGTAGTTAGTCGCCGTTAATGAGATTAGTTTTCTATGTGGTCTGCGTCGTCCAACATCCGTTTTGACTGCAGATCTCTGTCGATCATTCACGTAACAGTATGCATCTTCCTCCAGAAACATGAGGTATACTCGTGGCTCGCATAACCGCCACAATTCCCAAGAAAGTCTGTGGACGAACATGCAAAAGAGGGCAAATTTTGAGAGGCACATTGTCCGGAGCTAGTATGATGATTGACAGAGGTCTCGATGTGCAAGTGACAAACTTTTCCTGCATGACTGCTGCTAAAATTTGGCTGTCGCTTCTGATGTTGACAGAATAGAGTCCAAAACCCGCCACGGTAGAGGATCCCTCTCCCCGGAGGTTTCCAGCCCCTCAGCCCGCTGGAGTCTGTCAAGGCCCATCCACACGACATCTATCTACGGAGTACTTGGTGTAGAAAGGATTTCTTCAAGTGCTTCGATGCCAAGTCAAGGCACCGCTCCACTTGGTACTTATTAGTGAGGCAAAGACGGCTCGGGGAAGTTCTTTTAGCAGTATTAGTGTCGAGGATTCAACTCTTTGGTACCTTATGGTGCTTCTTGTTATGGTTAACACCAGTGACAGCAGTTTGGAACTCCCTGTTGCCGCGTGGTGTCAGATCCACTTGCCACCTGAGTACTGCTCGATCAGATTTCATACCATCTGTCCAATAGAATATCAACCAGAGCACGGCGCCCATTGCGAGGTCATCATTGTAACCATGGAACAAAAGTTCCACAATCATCGACGACACTTGACACGTCAAGGTCTTTGTCCTTCTTATCGCCAGTCCACCACCTTAGTCTGAAGTTGCTTCTTGACATTCGGTGTTGGTAGCGCGCCACTTATGCCTCTGCTGCAGGAGGTCCCATAAATTGGTCGCACTTGGTCAATTGAGCATGACTGTAATGCTGACACCCGACACCATGGCATGACGCTGAGAAGAATACTGGTCTTGAGATATTGGTAACTCTGAATTGGAAATCCCCACATTGCTGGGTCATGCTCTGAGATGATCGAGTATGAACCCACTCTGGTCGCCAGATCTTTACACCCCCGGAGCTGATCAACCTACACACTGACTCCAGTGAAGATGGTGGTGGGGATCTGGGACGATGGAGTACGGAGTAGTCAAAGTTTCTCCTCCGCAACAACCTTCTATCGGCATCATTATGTCAAAAGCTGACACTCCAGAATGCGCGACCAGAATAAGTACTAGACCAAGTGATGTCTCTGAAGATGGCCTCGCTACCGCCACTGGAGACAGTTATCCTTCACGAACACAGTCCTCATGTCTTTTGAGAGGCAGGAAGCCCACCAGACAACTCGTGCCGTAGCAGGAAGAGTCGTTCCAAGCTCTATCCCAAACCTCCAGGAAGGACACCCTGTAGGCTCTTACTGTACAATAGCATTCTGTTTGAATTTAGAGATAATACTTGTCGTTCCTGGAGGCTGTAGAGCTTTTAGAGAGGTTGTTTTCTGCACAATTCGCGCCTAACTGGTCCAATTGTACTGAGTACTCACATGATGACCATATCTCCGAAAGGGAGACGTTGTGCGCGCGGGATGTGGCCCAAGTTACTTTTAGTTGAAAGCCTGGTTCCCACTTACCCACTCGACAGAGTTGCGAGATGCAAAGCCCTAAACCCCCACTAATACCTGAGGGCTACCCTGTACTCCGTAGATGATCCTACGGATACTCATATGGCTGGTGGCCATGAAGTGAGTACGGAGTTCTGCTCAGGGGCCAGGCTCCATTGTTGGCCATCTTCAGCTCGTTGCTTGCAGACCGTCAATGGAGGCAATGTCACGATCACGTCAACAAGCTCTTATTGGTGTTTTCCATATACAAGACCAGAGCTTGTCCAAAGCAAGTCTTTGTATCAGGAGAATGGGCTCATCATGTCTGACTTCTGATCCATGATGTTGTTACCAAGAACTTGCTTATGGCTTCGTTAGGGCAGCACTGAGCAACTAGCCATGCAGACTTTGGTACCTTGCAGCGTTGCCCATTTGTAGCCTGTGAAGAAGAGGACGAAAGCGAGATCCAATATTTCTGATTTGACCGCGATTGAGTGTCAATGTAATCATAGGGTCTCTTCAAGTGCTACAAGAGGCCTCGCCGAGGGTTTCCAAGACTCGTTTCCAAGGGGTCGGGGCGCCATCTCGAAGTCTCCATAACCGGAAATCAGACAGAACACCGACATCCGGAATGAGTGCAGGACGAGAGCACATCTTGTAACGCCCAGCTATCTCGAGCCTCCCTTATGTAGTGTAGCGACAGTAGTGCGAACTTTGTGAATGTCGGACCATCTTTGGATGACCGTTTGGATTGATGAGTCTTTGTGGAAATCATGGATATCTCGACCATGACCCTGGGAAGATGCACGTTTGGGCCTAGCAGGAATAAGAGTTGAATGACAGCGGAAGCGGGTGTGACTCGTGCGAGCCGCGACAGCCATCAGTGAATAAATCGCGTGGGAGACTTTGACACCTGACACACGCCATTCAACGACGAGGTCTGGATTGTCTACCCTGCTCGTGCCAAGGGTGCAATGCGTGCCCTGTACGGAGTACATTGGAAGGCATGAGGCCTGATGAACTGCTTTGTGGTCAGTGAGGTTCACTGGTGAGATGATTGATGAGTATGCGGACCTTCTGCGTAGCGATCAAAACGCATTATGCGTAATCACGACTAGTGGGGGGGAGAGGAGGCCTTCTCTGCACCAGGGGTCTCCAATCGTTGGTCTTTTCCATTCCAGTCACTCTCAGCCCTCAGCCAAGTCCCTGAACGACTGGTGGTGCAATTACCCCTAGCTGGCACTCGGAATGGGGCAAGTAGAAGTAAGGCCTGGGTGATTTGCCCATTGTGAGAATGGTAGTCAAAGTCAGCTGTGGCTTTGTGGCTAACCCGCCGATCCCTCAAGGATCACAGGTTATGTGGCCCTCCTCTTGTATCACTTCAGTTGCAAACTTATCATGTGGAAACGGAGGCGAGATAGAGAGGACAGTGCATGAATGTGATAAGCCGAGGACAGTGTCCTGACACTGGACAGTGAGGGTGACATTTCTCGTTGATGGAGTTCTCATCAATTGCGAGGCGGTGACAATGGCGCAGGGGGATCCTCGAGAGTCCAGCTTTTCCAAGGCGAGATACGCATACAGAACAACAGACTACAGACTACCTACAGGCTACAGCACCTTCCTTGAATTCATGGCTACGTAATCATCTTAGGGGTGAGCATCTGGAAGGAGCGACGAGTCTATCCAGAAGCTCCTGCCTCTGTAGTACTAGCACATGAAAATCTCCCATGCCTGCCACTTTTCTGCAGAGGGTCCCACTGCATGATGCCACCTGGTAATGTTGGTAATATTTCCGATGCATAACCTCCCGTGGTCCAGCGCCGTGAGAACAAGTTTGTGATACTCTGGCCGACATGCCATGTACCAGGTTCGGAAGGCTGGAGGATTTCCACGGCTGGCCTAGTTGACGGAACATTCTCCATTGGATTCGGTGCGGCGGTGCGACCCTTCTCTGCTAGACTGATATACCTAGAGCAGATGTTGCTGCGAGATATGCAACAGCAAAGCGATCCAGTCAGCAAAAACTACCTAAAGAAAGAGCATGGTTAAATACGCATACTGCACATTAGGAACGTACGCATCAAATCTTGCAGTAGCAGCATCCTCAGAACCTATCGCCTATAGGCTTCGGTCTCTCCATCGCCAGGAACAGCTGCCGGACACTCGAGGTAATGAAACACGATCCTGGGGATGCCTGCCAATCGCTCAAGTTGGCTCGATTTGACTTGCTAATAAACTCCTACTACTGTAGGCAGCCTCGACTCTGCAGTTTCCCATGCTTAATCTACCAGGAACAATCCTGACACTTCCGTTGCTCTTTTAAATTTTGAAATGCAACTTGAACCATCCCCGTGTCCAATCGTGAATAGCATCACTATTACCGAGCTTCTGGGCACCCAGTGGCAGCTTTCAAGCCTGTGACAAATTGGCACTACCCTCAAAAGGATCCCACTTTCGTCGACCCACAATCCGAACCGCACTACACCTGTACGGAGTATGCGTATGCATAAGCTGTAGGCATGCCACCTCTCAACATGTGTGGTTCGTTCCTGTCTCGAGAATCAACGCGAAGATGGTCCCTTGACCACGGATGTGCATCTCATCTCTCGAGGCTGAGACTCGGGTAAACCCGTTTTGCTGCTATATTTACCAGCTAGCTATACCTGTTATCCTGATTGACTGCCTGTCCTTGTTTGTATCCTGCATTGAAAACCCACTTCTGTAACAAGTTGTACCTTTTATAACCCATCCAGCTGGCCGGAGGACTTTAGAACCGGTTTCAAGTACAGAAAATTCCATCTTTATCCGTCTCCGCCACCTATCGTATCTGGCCCAGCGATCGGTGAGATGATGACACAAGTTGAACAAGGTCTTCCTCCAGATCTTCTAATATTGCGAACTGCGGAGGTCGGCTCGCCAGTTAGACCAGGTGCATGCCACCATGCCACCCTGCTTGCACTCTTCTCTTTGGAGCAGTGTTGAGTGCTGATCTTTTGCCTGCGCGTACCCGGATCGGGGCAGGCCACGAGGGTGCTGACATTACTATTGGTAAACTGTAGTGCAAGGCTAGCTTAGACTCTAGAACATCACGGGCCACGGGCTGGGTTCTTGGGCCTTTGTTGAGAAGGTTTGCGCCTACAACGCCGGGGATCATTCCGCCTGTACGCCCAGCATCCAGTCACTGCCGTGCAACAATGACTAGGCCCGAGGGGCCTACCAGGCACTCCAGGCTTCCAGAGCTCCGGCGGACGGGGTCGCGGATGCCACTCGGCCATACTAACCCGCGGCGGGGCAAGCTTCAAAAGCCCAGAGGGGCCCAGAGGGGCCCCCCCCAGCTGTAAGTTAGGTGGGAAACCCCCCCGGTGCGCCGCTGCGTCAGCTGTCAATGCTATTATCCAGGTGCCAGGTGCCAGGTGCCAGGGACCATCTTGCGTGCCAACGTGCATTGTTTGGCACTACTCGTTCTTGGATTCATGCCCATGATCTTGCCTCCTAAAGGTGCCAGCATAGCCCTGGCCAAGGCATGAACTGCTCGCCGGGGGCCGGAACAAAGGACGAGAAGGGGCCCTAGGGCCACGAGACCTTGCCAGGTTCCTAGGTTTACGCAGGTCCCATGCCCCAGGCCCCAGGCCCCAGGTCCCAGATCCAAGGATGTTCGCAGTTTGTGTTACCATGAACATCGCTTCTAAAAGATTTGCCGTGCGTGTGTGCCTGGGGGCGTGGCTTCACACAGTCTCTCGCACTCGCAGACACCAGGCAGCGAGTGCAACACCATCCTCACCCTGGCTACCAGGGTCATCCTGAACTTTTGACCCACCGCCATCTGCACGTTCTCCTGTCCGCTCCATGCCCCAAGAACAAGCCACCGAACCACTTCCACTTGTTCCTGATCCTCTCCTCTACTCCGTAAGTAGGCACTAGGCTCTTGTCAAGCAATGACAGGTCGGTGGGCCCCCATCCGCTGTTGCGCCATGACATCTACCCACGGCGCCGGTTGCACTCTAGCGACCATGGTGCCATGTCCTTTGACTCGTGGGTTCTACAAAGTTTCAAGAGTTGGATCAAAATGTCCCCACCGCCGTTGGTCGGCTTCTGTGAGCCCAACTACTACTCTTCCGCCCATGCACTAATATCGTCGCACCCACAAATTACGGAGAACTGTACTGCCAGTTCCTTTGCTCTTCAATTCTCTAGCATTCCCGAGTCCCATTCAAGGAGACGACCAATGTCTTACGGGTCTTGGTTGCATCTTTGATCTCTCCTTGGTGCTCGACTCATACCGAAATCCACCAGCTCAGCCAGCAGCGGAGATAGTAGTGGACTGTCCCCACGTGGTCCTCAACCCTCGACCCTACCTGAACCTACCTGACCCTACCTGACCCAGTCCTGCCGCCATCTGCTCAGGTCCAAACCTCATCTCTTTTGTTGCTCCGTCCAAGTCGCCTGCGATCCGATCCCGGCGTCTCTTCTATGAGCAAACACGACCTGCCTTCAAGCAGTAACAAGGAGGAGGGAGAGATCACGGAACAAGCCCTCTACGAACTTGGTCTTCTCAATCGACATCCTCGCCCAGGTTCCAGAGTCACCAGACCACCAGAGACAGACAAAGTGGCGCACTGTAAGACAGTCTCCCTGCAATACATCTCGCCCTCCAGCTGCTCGAGATTTCAGTCTTCGTTCTTTGTTCAAGTTGTCCATCAAGAGACATGAAAGAGAGAGAGCGCTGACACAATGTTTGACCATTCCTCAGACCAGCCCTCGCGTGCGAGGAACGGTAACTATAACTCGCGCACCCTTTCTCACAGCGGTTCTGTCCAAACGCCAAACTTCAAACAATCCAGCATATCATCGGGGACTCTGGGACGGCCGCGCACCCCCACCGATCCCAGACCTCGAACCAGAGACCGTCGTGGTCCCCCATCCCCCTCTACCAGCATCCCAGGAGCGGGACACCCTATGGCCGGTATGCTCGACTCGGATCGTTCCCGTTCTCGTCGAGACCGCACCTTTGTCGGCGGAGAATGCGCTGCCTGTGAAGAGCTGCTGGAGCATACCCTTCGAGGTGAAAGAGTTCTACAGTTTTCGTGTGGACATGTTGCCCACGAGGCCTGCTTCTATGAATACATAAGAGATTCCGACACACAATACTGTCCGACCTGTGAGGCCCCGCTCGGGCTGGATTCGTTTCGAGGAGGAAGCATTCTTGATCTGAGTATTTCTTCACGTCATCCCCGCTACTATTGACAATACTGACTTCGTGTAGCCAAATTGAGTAACCTGGTACGAGCGGTTGCACAGAAAGAAGTCACCTCTCCCCGAAGCACCGCCACCACGCCCATGCCATGGGACCGACAAACTCTACAGGACGACAGTGTGAGTGCTCGTGAGGGAGGCCAGCGACATAGCAGAGACAACTCAAATCGCAACAGTCGAGATAGCCAACGACTCAGAATTGAACGCCTAGGCGTTGGACTAACAAGCCCACCCGCCCAACAACCCCAATCAATCCTGCCGCCCCGAGAAGGGCGTGAAGGGTCACTGCAGAATGGCTCGCAGCACGGTCCCCTTTCTCATATACGCACAGACAGCGGCAATACGTCAAACGACTACACGAATGATCACGCCCACTCTCGCAAGCATGATTATGACCTACACGCCATGGAAACCACCGTCCCCAGTCCTCATATGAGACAAGTGACACAGCCTATCCCTTTTCCCACTGTTACCGTCCGCAGCGAATATCCGACCTTGACCAGGTCCCATCAGCAGCAAACGTTGACCTGCCTGGTCACGATCGAAGTTCCCGAGAGCAAGTGGCAGCCACAATTCGATGAAGTCCAAACTACTCCTCCCGTCCCTGCGCTCCCTTCCGATCCAGGCCGGGGCTCATCTAAGACAAGACAAGATATCCCCCAGCCAACAGCGCCTGTTGAATCACCCGAAGTTCTGGAAGAGATCACCGAGGAGCTCAGAAATCGAGTGGATAACTGGCATGGCCTCGAGTTTCAAAGATTTGGCAACCTTCGCCTCCATAGTGTTATCCGTGTGGGCAAGGATCGCCACTCATGGCAAGAGCTGGAATGCTATCTTTTTGGCGAAATGTTGATTTGCGTCAAAGAAAAGAAGAACGGCCAAGGATCTGTTATCTCAGAGTCTAGTCGCAAGCTTTCGAGGTGTACCCTCAAGGGTTCCATTTTGATCAAGAAGCATTTGCGTCAGGTTCATGCGTCACCAGACGAGAATATTCTGACATTAAATCTCTCGGTTGCTGAACTGCCCACCTTCCATCTGCATTTCTCTGATAGAAGTCAAATGGAACAGTGGCAGCGGTCTCTTCGCAACCTCCACTCCTCGGAACCGGTGTCTCAATTACCCACCGACTATGAGCAAGACACTTCTGGGACAGATGATGAAGAGTTTGGTCGAAGACACCAGGGCGAGAGACGAATACCATCTGTCGCTTCATCGTACGGTGCACCGAAGTCAGCCACAACCGCAGCCACCGAGTATTCCTTGCACAGGCCACCCACAGACAAGCGAATGCCAACTTCTTTGCATGTTCCCGTGGATCTGGTGGTTGTGATCCCAGTCTCATCATCCATGCAGGGTCTTAAGATCACGCTACTCAAGGACACGTTGCGCTTTCTCGTCAACAGTCTAGGCGATCGTGACCGTATGGGTTTGGTCACATTCGGCTCCAGCGGAGGTGGAGTTCCCGTGGTTGGCATGATGGGCAAGCAGTGGTCAGGCTGGAACAAGATTCTCAACTCTATCCGTCCCGTAGGCCAGAAGAGTCTACGAGCAGATGTTGTCGAAGGCGCCAATGTTGCTATGGACCTTCTCATGCAGCGCAAGGCAGAAAACCCCATTGGCACCATCCTTCTCATCAGCGATTCATCAACCTCGGAAAGCGACAGTGTGGATTTTGTCTCCCAAAGGGCGGAAGCAGCTAAGTACGTGATCACTTTTTGATATCTTCTCGTATTCCGCATTGACTAACTTTCCCTCCAGGGTTGGAATCTACTCCTTTGGCCTAGGCCTCTCCCACAAACCAGAGAGCATGATCGAATTATCGAGTCGCACCAAGGCGTCCTATCTGTATGTCAAGGATTGGATGATGTTGCGCGAGTGCGCTGCTGGAGTCCTTGGATCCCTGCAGTCGATCTCGCATCAGAACGTCAAGTTGAGACTCAAGCTGCCAGAAGGGTCTCCCGCCAAATTTGTCAAGATCAGCGGCGCCCTTCAAACGACCAAGAGAGCCACAGGAAGAGATGCAGAAGCCGCTTTGGGTGATCTGCATTTCGGGGATAAACGAGATATTCTCGTTCAGCTCGTCATCGATCCTGACAGCTCGTCGCAAGAACCTGCACCACAAGACCCTTGGGAGTCCATCGTGTCCGGATTGGAAGCACTGGGAGGTCCCTTGGACAACGAGGATGCACGCGTGCAAAGCGTAGAAGAACTTCCTCTCTTGCAGGCCGATCTCCACTTCGGTGACTTTTCGCGCGATGGATCTGTTGCACACCTCTCGCGTCCCTCATTGCTTGCAATAACAATGCTACCTGCCAATCCCAGGGCTCGGCAAAACGGCCGTGCATCGACGCCTCCTATCCCTCCCTACCCACATATTGTCCAACGAAGGATGGAATTACTAACTTCGGACATGTTGAGTCGTGCCCTGACACTGGTGGCTCGCGGCCAACACGATCGGGCTGCTCACCTTTTGAACGAGACCAGGACAATCCTCAAAGGACTTGGAAAAGGCGGACTTCCTCCTCTTCCTCCCGGAGCGGCACAACCAGCGCATAAACACAATTCCCCGACAGTGAAAGCGAGAAGCCCCCGAGCGGCCACACCAGATCATGCACGCGACCAGAGCCCTCATTCTGACACCAGTTCGAGCACACCGATCCCCCGCAACGCTGGCGTCGATCAGAGTGTCATGAGCGCTCTCGACGCCGATATCGAGTCAAGCCTGGAGTGGATCGGTCATCCTGCCGTGTTCTCGCGAGACTCTCGTAAGGCTGTGCTTCAAGCGATAGGCGTCATATCCTCTCAACGGGCTTACACCTTTCGATCTGCTTCCGAGTCCATATGGGCTGAGCGAGTTGCTGGCGTCAAGCGACTTACGGAGCTCTCACGGGAATGGCGAGAAACGGTCGACGATGCACTGACCGAAGAGTAATGAAACCCACGATCTATTCAATTGGTTCTTGACCTTGTCCATAGGTAGTACATACATGCATATGTACATCCCTTTTGTATAACTTTGAGTATAACACGTGATATGACGAGCTTTTGTGACAATTCAGCAATAGTTCATTGCGGTTTAGCGTTGCCAGGCATATAAGCCAACTCCTCATATTCTTTTAGGCTATTATTATATTTAGTTCAACCAGCATATTCATTTCATGTCCCCAGAAAGCAAGATTTTTTCCGATCCTAAATTTGATGGAAGCACGTGACTTCAGATCGCCCGCGCCTGTCATTAATGGAAAAGCTTTGGAACGCGCCAAGATTCAGCCTCGCAATAAACACTAGACCACATTAGTATTGGTGCAGCCTTGTCGATCAAAATGTGTTACCGCTTTTGGCCACCAACTTTTTTCTCAAGAGATCAACTTCTGGTGGTTCAGTTTTTGCCTGTCAACCTGAATTGCAAGTAACTCGAGATAAAACGAAGGTTTTGTCTTCGTTTTGTGTCAGTTTTGACTCCCATGGAAGACATAGCAGTATACTGCTCATGGGCTGACGCACAACTCGATTCGAACGACGAAATCATCAACATTTTCCCCGTCGAACTTCGCTCCCTCATTCTCCAATCTCGCGGGTCGCAATATTTTGAGGCTTTGAGCGAAGCTGCCCGCCTGGATCGACTCACGGACATATTATGTCCTCTCTACAGACCGCTTCTCCCAGAGTTGGTTGCAAGATGGCTCGTCGATCCCATATCAACCACTCAAGACCAGAAAATCCGAACTCTATCTTCGCTCGGTCGAATATTGCCTCTCGCCACATATCTTCTGCCTCATGTTCGACATCTAATATTGTCCGATGACATCCAGGCTCTCTTTCGTCTCTCCTCTAACCAGTTCGCACAGCTTCATGAGGATCAATTCCATTCACTTCTGCTCGCTCTCTTCCGTATTCTATCCTACGACCGTGATGTACTCACTGGGGTGGTAGACCCAGCCTTCTTCCTCCGAGCCTGTCGCTATGGTTCGCCATCAATTAGATATCTTGCGGTACAATCCCTCTCGAGACTGGCCCACTTTGCAGATGCTCTGACCGAGGAGCATATCAAGCTGAATATTGGCAACGGTGCCATACTGGGCCAATGGGAGGGACGCTCGATAGATTACAGGATACTCAAGCTATGGGAAGAGCAAAGATGGAAGTCTCTGTTCTCCGCTGCGCAGACGTTCGAGGCCAAATGGCAGCAAAATTCATCTACTTCTGTTGAGCGAGTCTTCAGTTTGGATGATCTTTCGCAGAACACTGCAAATGTGGGAGGAGTTCTACTGCCTCGCCATGGGCCCATTCCTACTTCGAACTCTTCTTTCGTATCAACACCCACCGCGAAGCGCAATTTACAGAAACTTGGCACATGCTTGCTACAGTCTAAATCAATCCTTCTCAGCGGACTGCCGAGTTCTGGAAAGACACTACTTGTTCACGAAGCGGCGAGGTTGCTGAACAGGGTCTCATCGATGATCACACTTCACCTCAACGAACAGACTGATGCCAAAAGTCTCATTGGCATCTATACTTCAGCCTCAGATGGGTCAGGCTTTAAGTGGCAACCAGGAGTATTGACTGAGGCGATCCAACAAGGCAGATGGATTTTGATCGAGGATATTGATCGAGCTCCTGCTGAGGTGATGGGAGTTTTACGGCCTATACTTGAATCTGGTGAACTTTATCTGCCTAATCGCAAAGAAATCATCAAGCCACGGGATGGGTTTCGGGTATTCGCGACCTTGACCACGGACGGACGATCAGGAATCGTCGCCAATTCCAGAGGCTCTTGGTTGGTGAACGGCCGCATCTGGTGCATGGCGGCGGTTGAAATGTACGAGCCCAATGAGATTGAAACCCTGCTCAGCTCCAAATACACTGGAGCCGCGTCTTATATGTCAACCATTCTGGACGTGCACCAGGAAATCGAAAGAACGTACAAGACGGATGATCGTTTCAAGAGTCTTCAAGGTCGGCAACCTTCACTCAAAACCCTCCTCACATGGACGAGACGTGTACACAATAGGCTCCAAACCTCTGATCAGACCTCTGGAGCTACACTGGAAGCTACAAATATTGCGATTTTCAAGGACGCCATTGATTTTTACGCTGGATACATCAATGATCCCATCCTCCATGGTGTCGTTGCTAGCGCCATTGCTTCAAAGATGGGAATCTCCCCGCAGCGTATCCGCCATGTCCTCGAAGAAGAAGCTCTCTCTCTTTCAGAGACTGCAACAGCAATCAATATTGGTCGAGATGCTCTGAGAAAGGTCACAACCCGACGTCGAAACAATCGAACCTCTCCTTTTGCACTTACTGCTCAAGCCCAGAGAACCCTTGAGAGTATTTCGTCCGGCATCTCCTTCTCTGAGCCATGCCTCTTGGTTGGAGAGACGGGTGTCGGCAAAACCACTTTGGTCCAACATATTGCATCCCTCGTGGGCCAAAGACTCACGGTGGTGAACTTGTCTCAGCAGAGCGAGGCAAGTGACCTTCTGGGCGGCCTAAAGCCTGTAACAACTAGGTCTCTCATCATGCCAATCGTGGAGACATTCAATAATCTGTTCGAGGACACATTCTCGTCCAAACGTAACGAAAGCTTTCAGATGGCAATCACGAAAGCTATAACCAAGCAGAATTGGTCCCGATTACTCATACTTTGGCGGGAGGCTATACAGTTGGCTTCAAATTCCCTCAACCCATCTTCAGAGCCCTCCACCCCGGACGGGTCCTCTCATGCCAACAAGAAACGCAAGCTCGCAAAACCCAAACATGACGCTCTGCGTCAAAGATGGGCTAATTTCTCTGAAGATTTCAAGAGGATACAAACCCAGGTTGAGCATGGTGATAAGACGCACACTTTTGCATTTGCAGAAGGCCGTCTCATCAAAGCCGTCCGGGAGGGTGAATGGCTGTTGCTGGATGAAATCAATCTAGCAACCTCAGACACACTAGATTATATTGTTGGTCTTCTCCATAACGGTGACGATGAAAGACCAGGGCTACTTCTTGCCGAAGCTGGCAATGTTACATCTGTCACGGCGCATCCAAACTTCAGAGTTTTTGCCGCAATGAACCCGGCGACAGATGCGGGAAAAAAGGACCTTTCGCCTGGTCTCCGCTCACGTTTCACAGAGATATATGTCCATCCAGGAGACAGCAATCTGCAAGATCTGACCACTATCGTCCAAATCTATCTAGGAGCCCAACTTGACAGCGACAAACGAGCCGCACAAGATCTTGCCCGTGTCTATCTCGGTATCAGACAATTGAATCAGGAAAATCGCTTGACGGACGGGGCAGGTGACATGCCACATTTTAGCATCCGATCATTGGTTCGCACGTTGCTATATGTACAACAGCACGGTGCTAGTCATGGTCTCAGACGGGCAATGTATGAAGGATTTGCGATGAGCTTTTTCACAGTTCTAAGCAGAGCATCTGAGACTTTGGCCGTCCCCATCGTGGAGAAGTACCTACTGTCAAATGTGAAGAACAAGAAAGCATTCTGGAGCCAGCAGCCGAAACTTCCTCTCGGAGATGAGTTTGTAGCCTTCAGACATCATTTGGTCAAAAAAGGGCCGTCATCCCCTGATCTTCAACCCCACTACATCCGCACGGTGTCCGTGGAACGCAATCTACTCAACCTGGCGCGAGCGGCATCAATGCGACGATTTCCCATTCTTCTACAGGGTCCAACCTCTGCTGGCAAGACGAGCATGGTGGAATATCTGGCAAAGCTCTCTGGTAACAATTTCGTACGAGTCAACAACCACGAACACACAGACCTTCAAGAGTATTTGGGGAGCTATGCATCAGATTCAGATGGTAGACTTGTGTACAAGGAAGGTGTACTCGTTGATGCTCTTCGACAAGGTCATTGGATTGTGCTTGACGAATTGAATCTAGCACCAAGCGATGTGTTGGAAGCCCTCAACCGGTTACTCGACGACAACAGAGAGCTGCTGATTCCAGAAACTCAAGAAGTAGTTCGACCTCATCCAAACTTCATGCTTTTTGCAACTCAAAACCCTGCCGGCTTATATGGAGGCAGAAAGCGACTGTCTCGTGCTTTCCGAAACAGATTTCTAGAACTCCACTTCGACGACATTCCAGAAGACGAACTTGGAACGATCCTGGAAAAGAGGTCACAGATTCCACCTTCTTATTGTAAGGAGATCGTTGCTGTTTACAAGAAGCTCTCACTCCAGAGACAGTCGTCTCGACTATTTGAACAACGGAATAGCTTTGCCACTTTACGTGACTTGTTCCGCTGGGCAGCAAGACCGATTTCGGATCGACAGAGCCTGGCACAGCATGGCTATATGCTCCTCGCGGAACGTGTGCGAGACCCTGCAGAACGGATTGTCGTCAAAAGGTCGATTGAGGAGACCATGCGAGTGCGACTTGACGACTCAATCATATATGGCATAACGTCCATCCCAGAACAGAGTCGATCCAGTAAGCAAATCGTCTGGACCGCCGCGATGAGGAGATTGTTTGTCCTCGTATCCGAGGCGCTGAAAAATAAAGAGCCGGTCCTACTTGTTGGCGAGACTGGGTGTGGAAAGACACAAATCTGCCAAACCATCGCCGAAGCCTTCGGGGTCCCTCTCAATGTTTACAACGCGCATACGAATACCGAGACTGGCGACCTCATCGGCTCGCAAAGACCTATTCGCAATAGGACTGAAGTCGCGAAGGCAGTGATTGACGATTGGACATCACTCACTAAAACCAACCAACTTACCTCTGAAGGTGGAGACATTGATGTCGATCAGATTGTTGCCGCATTCGCAAACCTCAATAGATCAGACTATGATACAAACCTCTTTGATCGTTTGCGAACAAGTATCGGTACTTATCAATCACTATTCGCCTGGAGCGACGGCAGTTTGGTCAGATCCATGCGCAAGGGTGAACATTTTCTCCTCGACGAAATCTCTCTCGCCGATGACTCGGTCCTCGAACGCCTGAACAGTGTTCTGGAGCCATCACGGACCATTCTATTGGCCGAGAAAGGTTCCTTGGACAACCTGGTCATTGCTGACTCGTCCTTCCAATTTCTTGCCACAATGAACCCGGGCGGTGATTATGGAAAGCGCGAATTGTCGGCTGCTCTGCGGAATCGACTGACCGAGATATGGGTACCTCCGCTATCAAAGGAAGACGATATCCTACCAATTGTTCAGAACAAGCTACGGCCTAATCTCCAGCATTTTGCCAAAGCCATGATTCAATTTGCTATTTGGTTCCGTTCACACTTTTACAGCGCTACGTCTGATTCCATTCCTCTACGTGATCTGCTTGCGTGGGCAGAATTCATGAATCGGTCAAACGGCCTCCCCAATGACCATGGCTTTGTTCACGGGGCATTCCTCGTCTACATTGACTCGCTAGGGGCAAGTCCGTCAGGATTGACTTCATCCGAACACTCCACTTTGAAAGAATCTAGATTCAAGTCTATCGAATACCTCCAGAATCTCATTCAAGCCGATGTGTTTGGGCTTTCCAGCACAGTGCCAGAATTGAGGTTCACAAATGATCGCCTTCAAGTTGGTGCTTTCTCAATTCCGCGAATGGTCGATTCAGAGCAGACACCGGCAGAACTGGTGTTTGATGCTCCTACCACATTGCAAAACACCATGAGAATTGTACGTGCTCTGCAAATGAGTCGACCGATCCTTCTCGAAGGTAGCCCTGGAGTTGGGAAAACGGCCATTGTGACTGCCCTTGCCCACGCCACCGGGAAGCAGTTAACGCGTATCAACTTGTCCGACCAGACTGATCTGATGGACCTCTTTGGCGCGGATGCTCCTTCGGAGGCAGAACAATTGGGAAGATTCTCTTGGAGGAATGGACCTTTGCTTGACGCTATGCAGTCTGGAGGCTGGGTCCTTCTCGATGAAATGAACCTTGCTTCACAGTCCGTCTTGGAAGGTCTGAACTCTTGCCTAGATCATCGACAAGAAGCATACATCGCAGAACTGGACAAGTCGTTTTCATGCCACCCAGACTTCATACTGTTCGCTGCCCAAAACCCCCATCATCAAGGTGGAGGTCGTAAAGGACTTCCAGCATCCTTTGTCAACAGATTCACTGTCGTCTACGCTGACTCCTTTCAGCGAGATGATTTACTTAAAATTTCTCAACGAAGATTTCCCACCGTACCCATCGAAAGCATTGAAACGGTCATCAATACAGTCAGTGACGTTGAATCTGACATCAGTCGACTTTCGGTCTTTGGACCAGGTGGACCATGGGAGCTCAACCTACGAGATGTCAGTCGATGGCTCAGGCTGTGTGAGCAGTATCCAACAATCAGCCCAGCCTACCATGTTGGCTCAATAATTACAGACCGCTTTCGTACAACAACGCAGAAGACAGCGGTCGTGGAAGCAGCGTCACGAATTTCTGGTCCTCATGCCCCAGAGAGCTTCTACTACAACCTCACGTTCAATTCACTCCAAGTGGGTATAGCCCATATGCAGAGGGATCTGAGGTTCCAACATACCAAAGAGACACATACAATGTTGCCGCCTGCGCATCTTCCAGCTGCCAAATCTGCAATAACCGCCCTGAACAACAATTGGCCTATTGTTCTTACGGGTCCTCCAGGCTCCGGCAAAACATCGTTGATTCGTCATCTGGCTACTTTTGCAGGTGCTGAGCTGATTGAATTCGCCATGAACTCTGATGTAGATACGGTTGACTTGATTGGGGGCTTCGAGCAATTTGACGTTCGCCGCAGTATTGTCAAGCTACAAAAGGAGGTATCAACTATTCTGTCACAATCATTGGGCACTCTGCATCCTTTAGAGAAGTCCGAGTTGTATGAGCAGATCCTCAAATCGTGGTGGATCTTGATGTCAGAGGATGTCAGTATCGATCAGATCCAGGCTGTTCTTGCTACCTTGAGTCCTCACGTCCAGGGTCTGAGCTCCTTTGAAACTGCGCTTTCGGAAATTCTCAGCCAGAGCGAAATTTCTCAGTCCAAGTTCATCTGGAATGACGGCATCTTGGTCGACGCTGTCGAAAAGGGGTGGTGGCTTCTTCTCGACAATGCCAACTTGTGCAACCCTTCTGTGCTTGATCGACTCAATTCACTTCTTGAACCCAATGGTTTATTGGTTATCAGTGAACAGCACGGCGCTCTGAATGGCTGCCGGACAATTGAGCCTCATCCAAATTTCCGGATAATTCTGACTATGGATCCTCGCTATGGCGAGCTCTCCCGCGCAATGCGCAACCGATCGCTGGAGATAGCCATGCCGGTCAACGCTGCCGTCGGTCAAGATGTACATCAGCTCGCATATCCTGCAGCCTCGACAATAAGCCGCTTCAGGTATCTCACTGAAACTGGCTTCGACAGCATATCGCCTGATGTAGTTGATGTGTGTTTGGACAACTTATCCACAGCCGAGGTGGCCATCTTGGAATCTGGTTCAACAGTCCTGCCAGGCTTGGACGAGGCTAAGATGACAGCGATGCTTGAAGTCCAATCCATATCGGCAACACTGAAGCCTTTTGCTATCCAGTCATTTACATCGGATTACTCCTCGGACCAAATAGACTCGCCGTCTCAAATGGCTCAACTCATCACTCTCAATGAACCATATGTTCTAGCAATGCCACGAAGAGGACAACTCGTCGCGGCCAACTTATTCACGAGGGCCTGGTACATTAGACGACACATTTCATCCATTATGGCTAAAATGAGACTTGCTGTTACCAATGGGTTATCTGTCTCTGCAAATGCTCGAACAATGCTTCAGAAATCAGCCCTGGCTGCCGAAAACTCAAGTTCCAACACATCTGCTGCTACCTTTGCAGTGTTTGTTAAATCCGTCGTCTGTCATATTGAACGCCTGTTTCAAGCTCACCTGAACAGCGATATGGAGCCCTCTTTGCTTGATAGTGTTGCCCAAATCATCATCTTTGTGCAGCAGCTCATCAGACTTTTTGAGCACACCAATCTCGACTTCTCCATCCTTTCTGCTTACCTGCGCATTGGCAACCAGATATCTGGCACTTTGTCTACACAAGTCCCTAGTGCTGCCTCAGGTGATCTAGCTTTATCGTTCGACGAATCAGTCGAGATTCTTGGGCGCGGGACTGGATCATCATCAAAAGCAGGAATCTCGTTTCAGCTTCTCTGGGAGCCCTTGAAGCCCAAAACGGCAACGAATGGGGACCAGCTTTCAGCTCAACTTTGCCTCGAAGCCCTTTTACGACGTTTTGACGAAGTCTGTCGGTTTCTTCCACAATCGCGAAAGTCACTAGCAGTCATAAGGTCGAAACTTCTTGATACATACTTTTCAGTCCTAGATTCAGACCAATCCGAGGCTGCTTGTCAGGTTGTGGAGGATGCTGTATCTCAACTTGAGCTACAATCTCATCGTGGCTTCGCAGTCAGCGGCAAATTTGAAGAGACTTTTAATTTTATCTACCAGATGATGATGTTGCAGGACCATTCAGGCCTCGACCAAGATCTGAATGTGACAGCTTTGTTCAGCCCAGCTGGAAAGTTGCAGCCACTCAGTCTCGCTGAGCGAGGCTCACCCGCCAAATCTCTTGAACGCCTTGCTTCCATTGATCACGTCACTTTGTCAACTGATGGCTCCGTGGAGTTACAAGTCGTCCATCAGCTGATGACAATTCATGACCAGCCGTTGGGCATGCTGGAGCACGTGAAGGAAGAGTTGACACAGCTGGTGGACACCATGGCTTCTCGACGATTCGACTTTGAATCTGCCTTAACAGCCCTGAAAGAGGATCTTCGATCTGTTCTTGTTGTTATGCTGAAAGCACATTTCGACATGTTTTCTTCACGTGCAAAGCAGATACTCTCATCGTCCAGTGACCTGTTCAAGGACTTCAGTCTCATGTCACCAGATGAAACTGTACTCGGTGGACAAAGAGGCGAGAATTTCTACCAGGAGTATTCCAACCATCTTCACAAGGTTGTCTTGATGCTCAACGACGTGACACATTTTGGCGTCAAGCAGTTCAAACTTTCTCTTGTCCACTTTGCCATTTCTGGTCTCCGAATGATGGCACCTGAAAATGTCTTCGATCCTGCTCTACCAGCTACGCTCTCTGTTGAACTTCATGATAAAAGAGTCTCTGAGCTTCAGGATCGAATTGCGGCCCAGAGACACTTTCATCAACAAGCTTTTGGTCAAGATTCCAGTTTGGTCATCAGAATTCTTGAAGAAGAGCTTGCAAACATAGGTCGACGCCCACCGGTTCCATCTGTCTACAGACCCCAAACGTTGGGGTTGCATCAGGTGCGCGAGATCCTAGGCAGGATCACCCAAATCTTGTCTGAAAACATTAACGTGGATGAATGGCTCAGCCCCGACGCATATCAGCTGCATGGGCAAAATCTGGAGTCTATCATTGATCGACTCCACAAAGTCGACAGGGGCTTCGACGACTTTATGAAGCCTATTAGCTGGTTTGCTAGTTGTCTTCTTCTTGGAATCCAGATCACGGAACCCGAAGTCTTCAGGCCTGAAGCCAAGTCAAGCGTGCAAGAAATCATCTTGCATACCCCATTGATAAGCTCGAAACCAAATGATTTGCAGAGTTGGCCAGGTTCTGTCAAATCCACACTTGGAGATCCCATTAAGCTGCAATGGTTGCGACACGCTGGACTTTCGGCGAGCATCTATCCTTCATCTGGCCCAACCCAAGTGGCTATTGTGAAAAGACTAGTAAATGTCGTTGACCATTTCTATGCTCGGTGGAAGACTCAATTAACCAAGGATCAAGTAGATTCAGAAATTCAAGCTCGCTACTACGCATATCGTGGCGATGGAGACAATGACGAGGCTCTGCAAGCCCGCCATATGCTTGAACTCTTCCCTGATTTCGAGACTGATTCTGCGCAGGAGGACCGTTCAGAGCCAAAGTTTGAGAGCCGCGCCAGGAGCGTTCAACTTGCTCATGCACATCAATCATTTTACCAGCCACCAGAGGCACGCGAAAATGTCCAGCAGTATCTTCTTGAATCATTGGAGGCTCTTTCGAAGACCAATGCGAACGATCGACGATCACAGACAGTTTCTTTCTTTGAGATTCAGCCTGCAGTATCCTGGCTGATGGAAAAGAGGATGTCTGACCTTGATGGAAAGTCTCAATCCAATGCCCTCAACATCTACAAAGATTTCAGTACGAATGAGAGCACAAAACTCTTCACTTTGGTAAAGCAAGTGGAATCAAGATTCCGCACAATCGCAGAGAAATGGCCAGAGCATGCAGTTCCGATTGAGGTTCTGTCAATGTGTCAGACAATAATGCATTCAAACCTTTGCGAGCCCATTGCGAAGCTACTAGTCTCCACAGAGAAGTTATTTGAGATGGTGGCACAGTGGCAAAGCGTCGCCAGCAGAGAGTGGTCAGTTGCTGAATTGGTCGATCGACTGACCGCTCTCATCGTGAGTTGGAGGCGTCTTGAACTCCTCTCTTGGTCAAGGTTGTTGGATGAAGAAAGTAAGAGACACCAAGATGACGCCCAAGCATGGTATTTCATTGCGTATGAAGCCATCATCTACAACACGGTGAGAGTTACATCCGAATCGGACCTTCGACCCTATTGCATCGAACTTGCCCAAACTCTGGAACAGTTTCTCAAGACAACGACACGCGGTCAATACACTTCACGTCTCCAATTGCTGGACACGCTCTACAAAACGCTTCGAGATCTCACACATGACGACAAACACCTCCTGCCAGTGGCTCAATGTGTTGCCAATATCATCTATCACTTTCGACGATATGAAAGTAACATCGAGGAGCTGTTGAGATCTGGCCGCGCGGAAATCGAGAAGGCGCTCCATGAACAAATCCGACTCGCTAGCTGGAAAGACACCAATGTTACAGCTCTTCGTGAAAGTGCTCGACGATCTCATCTCAAGCTCTTCCGTATTGTCAAGAAGTACCGTGACCTTCTCAGTCAACCTGTTACAGTCTTTAAAGCACAAAACCTGGAAGAACCTCTTCAGGGATCTGACGACCAGGATCATGAACTCATCAATGCCAGCTCCAACATGGAAGTCGTCACACGTGCGGTGGCTGTTTGTGCCGAATCCATTCCAGACTGGACTATGAGGCCTGAACGGGTCACAAACACCATTGGTGCGGTCGCAAGCATACGGCGCCTATATCAATCTATTCGCGTGGAGTTTGAGCCCCGCTTTGAGCTTGCTTCTTTCCGAGAAGAGCTTGTTGCAGGTATCAAGGAACTGAGAAGTGAGAATCCTGCTTCTGCAACCGACGACAACGAAGCTGCAATCCGACACCTACAGGAAAGAAAGCGTCGCTTGTTCACTGAGACAATTAAAGCCGTCATGCAGATGGGAGTCAGGAGGAACTTGGCCACGTCTGAGCTAGAAAGACAATCTTCGGCTGCGCTCGTACTGGCCTGTTCGCCGTCAATGATCTCTCAGAAAGAGGCATTCCATGAACTTCTTGATGCCATGTCCACAGCAAGAGAAGCGACAACCGGTCACTCCGATGACCTTACAAGCGGAGAGATCCAGCGAAGCATGGGACTTCTGGAGGGGATACTCTTTATCACTCTTAGTCAGCGAAATGCTCTTTCGTCAGCCTTGCAACACATCTCACAATTATCTGGCATTGCCACTCAGCTGAAGAATATTGGAAATGTACCTTCCAATCTCGTTTCGTGTGGAAAGCTGTCTAGCTACCATCACGAAGCACTTGGCCGACATACTGCGTGGTTGGCTCAATGTTTAACCTTGTCTGTTCAAGTCCTTTCCTTCCAAGCACGACATTCAAATATCGAGATTACCAGTCTACAGCAGGACTTGCAGAAGTACAGTGAGGTATTTCGTTCCTTCAGTGAGGAACTCAATCGACTCCCAGATCTGCCCGATGGACTTTTAACAGAACTCGGCCGCAATACCCATGACAGATGCTTTGGAGAGCTAGCAGCGCTGAACGAGCTCCTCGTTAGGTGGCAAAAGCAGGAGCCTCGAATCGCAGCTGTCCTTGCCAAGTTAGTGCCTTGGACGGTGTCAATTGCCGAGATATCAGAGTCAACGCAGAATGGTGTTTCCTCTTTGGATCTACGGCAACTTGATAAAGACTTGAGAAATGCCATCGACCAGATATTTGTGACACTACAGGGACTTACAGACCTGCAGCAAGAGTTCCCATCCTCCATCGAGGACACCGCCTGGCTCTCCAAGTCTGACAAAGCTTTCTCACACCAGATGAGCGCGTTGCATGTCAAGACAATTCACAACGCCATCCAAGGAGTATTGAATAACCTGCACAAAGTCCAACCTCAAGACTTTAGAATAGGGATAGCCCTGGTTCAAGTCGCTACACCGATCATTGAGCAGTACTATGGCATTTGCGACCATATTCTACAGAGACAATCAGCTATCCATACAGAGACCTGCAAACTTGGCCTGCAACTCGCTAGGTCGTTCACCAGTCTGGCAAAAGACGGTTTTTGTCGTCCATCTAAAGCTTCCGATGGAGAAGAGCAATCAGGCAAGCTGGAAAGTGGCACTGGACTTGGCGATGGCGAAGGTGCCGAGGACATTAGTAAAGATGTTGGCGACGATGAAGATCTGTCAGAGCTTGCTCAGTCTGCGCAGAAAGAAGAGAAACAAGATGGTGAAATGGAGAATGCCGAGGATGCAGTTGATATGGGAACCGATGATCTAGAGGGACAGACTGGTGAACACGAAGAGGAGAAGTCCGATGACAACGACGATCAAGATCATTCTGATGAAGAGGAGGGTCAAGACATGGATGAGGAGACGGGTTCCGTGGACGATCTTGATCCCACGGCAGTCGACGAGAAATTGTGGGATGATATGAAAAAGGAGTCTGAATCGGAAAAAGAATTGAAGAACGACAAAGCCAAAGGCACAAAGTCGGATGATCAGACCGGTGCTGAAGGGGAGAAGGAAGAAGGAGATGAAATGGAAGGAGTTGAAGGAGAAGATGAGATTGAGGACGACGAGGGTGAAGGAGCCGAACGAGCCGAAGCTGAGAATATGGACCAACACCCAGAAGATCAACAAGCTTTGGACTTGCCTGAAGAGCTCGACTTTGTCGGAGATGAGGACACCAAGGACGACATCTCGGATGATGGGATGGAGGACCTCTCGGATGTTGAAGCTCCAGCAGATGAGACAGAGGAAGTGGAGGAGGTGGATGGAGACAAAACAAGCAAGCCTCTGGATGAATTGGGTCAAGATGAAGACGGCGCATCTGACAACGAAGGTTCAGATGGCGAAGCCTTGGACGATGAAGTGATGGAGGAACCTCCTGAAGAAAAGGAGGAGGAAGAAACTGGAGAGCTCGATCAACGTGAGAGCAATCTTCCGCAAGATGCCGATGAGCATGCTGGAGGCGGTGATTCTGGAGCCGCAAATGAAGCGGAAGACGATGTTCAACAAGACCAGAACACCGAGGGTGTGAACCAGTCAGAAAAGGAGATCGATCCACAACAAGCCCAACCTGGAAAGGCTGAAAATGAAGAACAAGGCGATACCGGCAAGGGGGCCACTGAACGAGGCGTTGGTCGCATGGACACGGTGGAGCAGCAGCAGAACGACGCTCTGCGAAAACTTGCAGATGTTCTCGACCAGTGGCACCAACGTCGAGAAATTCTTCCGGCGTCAGAGCCTCAGCAAACCAATGGAGATACTGAGAAGCCAGATCTTGACATGGCCGAAGCCGACCTGGAGCATATTGGTGATGATCAAGAGGCCGATGCACAAGCTCTTGGTGCTGCATCTGCTGAACAAGCTCGAAATCTCGATCAAGACAAGGCCATCGAAGATGATCAGTTGCCTGTGGACCAAGACACCGACATGATCGACGCAATGGAGCCCGAAGTACAGGACAACATTGCAGAGAGATTCAATCGACTTCAAGAGCAGCAACTGGGACTTCCTCAGGGCTTGGGTGCTCTCCTGCCTGAGCGACAGCCTCGAGATATGGAAGACGCTGAACACAAGGCGTCTGACACGGAAGCTCTCGAAGATGATGTGGCGTCTGATATCGAACACCTGGATATCAGTCAAGACCAAGCAGTAACCTCTCCTCCGATGAAGACGTCAGATGCTGTCCAACTATGGAACCATTGTTCGACCACGACACATCAATTCTCGCTCCTCCTGACCGAACAACTCCGGTTGATCCTGTCACCGACAACGGCAACCAAACTACGTGGCGACTTCCGAACTGGAAAACGACTTAACATCAAGCGCATCATCCCATACATCGCCTCAGGATACAAACGTGACAAGATCTGGATGCGACGATCAGTCCCAAGCAAGCGCAACTATCAAATCATGATCGCCGTAGACGACAGCAAATCCATGGCCGAATCCGGAGCGGACATGCTCGCATTTGAGACTCTCGCCTTACTCACCAAATCACTCAGCATGCTCGAAGCCGGCGAACTATGCGTCATTGGATTCGGCGACGAGGAACACGTTCGCGTAGCCCATTCCTTCGGCACACCTTTCTCACCCGCCGAGTCAGGAGTCCAAATCTTTCAGAGTTTCGGCTTCAATCAAAAAGGCACCAATGTCAAAAACATGGTCAAGGAAAGCATCCACCTATTCCGCGAAGCGAGGATCAAGGGCCACAGTTCCGGTCAAGATCTTTGGCAATTACAACTCATCGTCAGTGACGGTCACTGTTCGGATCATGCCGCTATTACAAGACTGGTTCGTCAGGCTCAAGAGGAAAAGATCATTATTGTCTTTGTCATTGTCGATGCAGGTGATGAGAGTATTCTGGATCTCAAGGAGGCGGTTTTCGAGCCTGATCCTGCCTTTGATGCTAGTGCGGGTGGGAAACCGGAAATGCGTGTCACCACTAGGAGATATCTGGAACATTTCCCTTTTCCTTATTATCTTGTGGTGAGGGATGTGAGAGATCTGCCTGGGGTTTTGGCAACGGCTTTGAAGGGTTGGTTTGGGAGTGTGGTTGATGTTCAGGTTTAGAGAATCAGCGATAGTCCCATAGGCGGCACTAGAATCTATCATGTACTAATAAGTAGTACCTTAGTAAGTCTAGGTACCTAGGATTTGAAACGTTGAAGAGAATTTCCATTAGCGAAGAGGCGTGGAGTCCGCTGTGCAAGTGATTCTTATAGATGGCATTTTTTCATTCTACACCCTTCACTGCCCAGATGGGCAGAAAGCCAAAGTATGACAACGTGGGCGTGGTCCTTCGTCGTCTCACGCGCAAGCTCTTACGCCGCTGCCCCTTGCTTCATGCAGCTCTACGGTATTTACCAATCACAATTGAACTATATATAGGCAGTATCTAGCAGAATTCAAGGGTGAAGTAATCGAATATGATAGCCTATGTGATAGGCGCCGCATTAGTCGCTACCTAGGTTGTTTGGCCAATTTGCGCTTTTGGCATGCCCGGATCCCCTGCAACGCCCCCTGAAGCCTGATATCACTTGAAAATTGACAATGTCTCTTCAGGGTGCACTTACAATATTCCCGTGTTACGTTCGTTGTGGGCCGTCGAAGCTCTTCACTAACCAACCAGGCCGGTATGCCTCTATGTGATCGATGCACAACCGCGATCCATCAACTTCGCCCTCAAGAGCAGTCCAACTGGCCAAAGGTGGTCCATTTGAGACACCCGGCCTCTCGAAATACAAACGCCCACAAATGTTGGATCTGTGCCCGCTTTAGTCGATGGCTACAAAAGAAATACCCCCTGGCGGTCAAAAGATGGCATCGACGGCCGTTACGAGTCTGGTACCGGGCCTTCGGGTGCATGGTCGTTGATGTACCCAACGAACCTCTACCCAACTTCTGCCTGCTCCTATCCCTTAGCCACCTGCCACCCACTCGTGCTGAGAATCAATTTGGTTGTGATTTAGAGTTGGCTTTGCTTCCCAAAAAAGGTACGATATGCCCTTTCACTTGGTACCCAGTATCGCGGCTTTCGTCCTGGGTGGCAGGAATGGCTAATATGAAGTTGCAAGTAGAATTCAATAAACATCCGGCCAGGGCATTTTCTGATGTTAGAAGCTTTGAGACTGATCTTCGTCTGGTCACAGGCTGGATTCAGGAATGTGCTCTGAATCACGAAAACTGTAAAAGAGGACAGAGGAGCTGGTATCCCACTCGATTGCTCCATTTTGAAAGCAAAGCCCAGAACGTCAAGCTTATCGTATCAAAAGAAAACCCTCCAAATGGACCGTACGTGACTTTGAGCCATCGTTGGGGCCAACACAAGTACGAGACGCTGAAGCCCTCTACAATGCAACGGCTGAAAAAGGGTATCGACGCCGTCACTCTGCCTCAAATATTCCAAGATGCCATTCAAATCGCCCAGGCCTTGGGCGTTCATTACCTTTGGATTGATGGCCTTTGTATTCAGCAAGGAGAAGATTATCGTTCAGACTGGGCACGTGAATCTCAGCAGATGGATCAAGTCTATTCGAATGCCTTCTTCAACATTTCCGCAACCTTATCCGAAGACGGTACTGAATCGCTGTTCCACCGAAGATCGTGGAGATCAATCATCCCGTCTCGCATACAAATCGATATGCAGGGTCGACTGGAGCAATATTATGTGCTCGACGGCGATATATGGAAGGACGAGGTCGACGAGGCCCCACTGAGCACCCGAGGCTGGGTATTCCAAGAGCGCATTCTGGCCCCACGAGTAATACACTTTGGGCCATCTCAAATCGGCTGGGAATGCAAAGAGTTAGAAGCCTTGGAAATGTTTCCCAACGGATTACCGCAAATGTGTGGTCTGTCCACAATGAGAAAAAGCGACATATTGCAAGATCCCCCGGCGGCAACCCAGGATTCAGGTAGTACTGACCTGGACGGTTTTGTTGACTTATGGCAGCAACTGGTGAGTGCGTACTCGAGATGCGCACTGAGTCAACCAGGTGACAAACTCGTTGCATTTTTGGGCATTGCAAAAAAGTTCATGCAATCGAGGACTGACACCTATATTGCAGGTATGTGGGAAAAGACCCTCACATACGATCTTGCTTGGAACAGAGCCACTTTGGACATCGAAGACTATCCACTCAGCAAAACATCTTGTCGTGCCCCGAGTTGGTCATGGGCATCGGTCGATGGCGAAATTGAGTTTCCGAAAATGCTAGACGGTGTACGGGATCACTTCGTCAGCGATATGCAGCTTTCGACCACTGTCGACAACAGCACACCTGCCGTCCGCCGCTCCAAGGTCCAGGCTCGAGGACTTTGTCTACCACTGAGACTCAAGTGGTCGAACAGAAAGATTTCCGGCGTTACCGTGGCGGGACTTCACTTTATGGCGGCCGACGAAGAAGACTCTGATCAAAAAATCGTGTTGGAAGACTCTACACGGGCGGCGGAAGCGGGCGGCGCAGTCGGACGTCTGCTCCTTTTGCCCTTGTTCACCACAACTCACCTCTTGGTCGGGCTGGTACTGATTAAAACCCGGGGAGTCAACGCGCATCTCCGGGTTGGTTCAGTTCAGTTGCGAATTATGGCAGAACCAGTTGGTGAGATTACTCCACCAAAGGATATGAAACGCGAGAGAGATGGAAACCGTTACTGGAGTGTCCCAGCATTGAAGTTAAGGCTACATATCCTTGGGAATCAGCGTCAGGTACGGAAAATCGAAATATTCTGACGCGTCTTGTTGGTGTATTCGAGGTAAGTACTTTAGGTACCTAAGTACCTACCTACTTAAGGTACTTATTCTCTACAACCTTTTAAAGAAGCAACACTTAGGATTGGGGCCTGTTGAGTCCAAGGAAATTGTGCTCATCGACGCGCTTTGGCTTGCTTCTTTACTTCCTCCTGTCTTCTGGCGCGATTGGGACGCCCTGGATGCCTTCGATAAAGAGATTTCCTGGTTTGGTGGTGGAGTTGGGGACCCTGGCGTTGAATTGTGTGGACCTTCTGGGCCTGTGTAGGTACTTTACTTATGTATCCATTTGTGCATCCTGAGGCATGCGACTTGTGTGCATCCATTCTAGTCAACAGCAATCAAGTCAGACTTTTCCATGACGAAATCAGACTTAAACGCTGCAACTTCAATCAGAGATGGCTCACCTCAACTAAGTCTACTCCTCTCCAGATGAAACAACTGGAATTGAAGTCCTTCATCGAAACCGTCTCTACGAAGATTACTAGGTACGTACCAAGTACCTACCTAGTAGTATAGTACTTCAGTGTCCTCAATTATAATATAGAGTCACGCTTAGACAACTAAGTACCTAAGTACCTAGGTAGGTACCCTAGGTAAGTAAGTACCTAGGTACCTAGGTACTACCTACATTGTGATAATCATCATGGTGGGTGGTACCGTCACTGCCACTGTCCTACGATCCCAGACTTGCAGCACCTTCCTAGTACAAGGGTACTCTAAGTACTTAGTACTTACGTAAGTTAGTACTTACTTAGGTTAGGTACTTACCTCACATAGGCACACAGGAACAGTTCTAGAGTCGTACCTGCCCGAAATTGGCAACAACGGCCCGACCGAAATGCAGCAGCAGAAACCGGAAGGAGCTACCAGAAGTCATCAGCGACATCAACGAATATTTTTTTCCATATTATGGCTTGAAGGTAATATGGTGCTGCATACATGGTATATCAGACAGGGAGTTTTAGTGACATGCCACGGCCTCATCTAAATCAAGGATAGCGCTGAGCATGGATGCACGGACGGTGGAGTAAAAGTGCAAGCTTACATAAGATGGTAAGGTACAACTTGAGAATTCTTACTATAGTATTGTCCTAGGTAAGTAGGTACTAGTAAGTACTGAGGTAACTTACTTAGTACCTCGTAAGTACCTAAGTACCAGTACTTAGGTAGGTACCTAAGTCAGGTACCTAGTAGGTACTCGATACCCTGGATCCTAGGACACAAGAAATCTTCAACCATCATTTCTCGTCAGAGCCTCCAGCCTGAGGAAGTGCCGCTTTAACCTGAGCTCCTCTAAGGGGGGCAGCGTGACGTAGTGAGACAATGGCTTTGAAGTCTACGATCTAGATCAACATGAATATAAAGTACTTAGGTAAGTAGGTACCTAGTATTCGATGTTCCACTGGTCTATATCTCTGGTACTCACAGAATATACCTAGTAAGTAGGTAGTACTTACTCTACTTACTTAGTTGATCCCCTTGCACAAAGTTCGTAAAAATCATAAACGTCGGTGACTGGGGAATCTTGCGACACCTTAAAGGTCGATACAACCCCGCCTTCCAAAAAGAACGTGTTGGTAAAGGCATAAGCGCCATCCATGGCAAATAGCTCGCAGATGTAAGCATCTATTATGACGTGAACATCATACACAGGTTGGGTGTTTGGGATCCACATGCAGACCTTGTCGTCAAACAGAGGATGGTCCCACGAGGAACCAGTTCGAATTCCACCTCGAGCCAAAGAGATGTACATGCCTTCGACTTCGACAAGAAAGTCGAGTCCGATTGAGCGGCCGCTAGGGTTTGCAATGTCCACTGTCGCCCTGACAGCGGGCGTCCCTGAACAAATGTTGAGTTTGAACTCGAATGAACCAGAGCCCTGTAGCTGCTTCTTGTATATGACTTGAGTGGAAGGGTAGGCCTTGGTCGAGCCGTTGGTATAAACCATGGTCATGTCATCATCGGTCGGCAACCGCACTTTTTCAAGGTCGATAGGCCGCGAAATGAGCGACAGAGACTTTGTAGTTGTATTCAGAGGAACCTGGCGGACGGTAAACTTGCGAGGGAGTGACATGGCGGACCGGTAACACTCAGCGGGGACCCGGTTGCAGTACTGCCAGTTGCTGGCCCATGCAATACCATATGCCGTGTCGTCTGGAGAGTTGGACCACGTTTGCGCCGCGTACCAATCTTTGCCCAGATCAGCTGTTCGCAGGTAGTTGTCGTCGCTGGTAAATCTGGTGCCATCAAATTCACCCAGGAAATATTGGGTGAAGCTTCCGCCCAGAGGTGCACCAGGGCCGATGCTTAAGAAAAGTACCCATTTCTTGCGTTGATTGTCGTTGTCGAACGGCACCTCCACCAAGTTGGGCATCTCATACTGATATCCACGCACACCAGAGCCTTCAAAATCGGACAAATGGTGCCAGTGGATGAGATCTGGGCTGCCGTAGAAGCCAACCTTGAACTCACGAGATATTGCAATCACCATTACCCACTGGTTGGACGGCGCATGCCACAACACCTTGGGATCACGGAACTCGGCCGAGCCTATGTCAAGTACTGGGTTGTGCTTGTACGGCGTGAATGTGTAGCCTTCGTCGGAGCTGAAGGCAACATTCTGCGTTTGGTGCCCTTCAGTTCGGAGTGTGTATAGGGCGACGATTCGATCATCAGGGCTAGTTGACTCGTCGAATTGCAACGAGGTGTTGTTGCGATCAATCACACAACAGCCGGACCATACTGATTCATGATCTGATGGTGCCTCAATGGCTTTCTTATGCCACCTCCAGCTCAATAGATCCGTCGACGTTGCGTGGCCCCATTCTGCATGATCGGCAACCAAGCTTCGGTTGTCCAGTTGGTAGTACAGATGCCAAATGCCTTTGCTATACACCAGTCCATTGGGATCGTTCATAAACCCCTGTTGTGGCGTAAAATGGAAGGCAGGTCGCCGTTCCTCGTGTTTCTTGACAAGCACGGTCATGTTCTGTCTGCTGTTGCTTGCCCGTTTCGTGTCTTCCAGTGCACATATACCTAAGTACCTTATCTACACCAGCTTTGGGCCGAGGGGCTTAAGGTGGGGCAAAGTATTAGGAGACCAAAGAAGTCAAGAAGAGTAGGAACGATGTGGCTCACATTCATGTACATAATACCAACCACGGACACGAGAAAGCATGTCTCGACCTCAGGAGACTATAGTTTCAATTATAAGCCCAGGGTTTTCAGGCCTTCTCCAATAATCGTAATGCTCGGCTTGCTGGGAATGCTCAAACTCGAGCTGGACAAGTGGCAGACCATTCTCCATATTTACTACGATCGCGCGCCCTCATGCCGAGTCATGATGAACATCTCTGGCGATGTTCTGCTTCCCATTGAACCTTGCTGAACGGCCGCGCACCAGCAGTCCGGGGATAATCGGTCAACTATGGGGCATGGCATTGCTAAAAAGACCCATGTTAGCCTCGCCAGACAGCTTGGGGAAAGCCAAAACAGATCCAGATCTAGCTTTTCCTTGATGGAAGTGTTAAGCGACAGAGTGGAGTACTAGCATGCATGAAAGATCGTCACTGGCGATGTTCTCCTTAGCCTCGGGGGCCGTCGGGACCCGCTCACTTCTTGAGGGCAGACCAGAACGCCAGCCACAAGTTGAAAGGTTCCAAGTTCTTTATTTGTCTCACACACACCACAAGGTTAGTAACTACATATGTACACATAAGAGAGTCTTGCTGGGGATGTTCGTCGGCCATACAAGTTGACGGAATATCACCCTCTAACCGGTCAAGACTACTAACCGTTTGGCATCAGTGGTAGCTGGCCACATTGGGATACCAAGCCGTCGACTTTAGGAGTGGCGTATACTTTTGTGCATAATAAGGCGCTTGTGCACTGACAGTCATCAATCTGGACAAGATACATACATACCTACTTACTTAGTAGCCATGTCACAGCCCAAGGTGGCGGTTTCGATGAACCCGCTGGACGTTCGCAATCCCAGTGTCGATGGTCCGCAGGGAGATGCTATCCCTTTCTTCCACGAGGGCAAGTACCACCTCTTCTACCTGGAGGCGCCAGCGCTCAAGTACGATCAGCCTGACCGCGGCCGCACACCTTGGCGGCATATTGTCAGCGACAATCTCGTCGACTGGCAGGATCTCGGGATTGCATTGCCACTCGGCACGGGCGACGACCCCGATATCGACGGCATTTGGACAGGTTCCCTCATTGCAGTCGATGGCGTGCTGCATGTCTTTTACACCGGTGGTCGACGTGTAGCGGACATCCCGCAGACAATCTGCCATGCGACGAGCACGGATGGCGTGGTCTTCAAGAAGAGTGCCTCGAATCCGATTCATGTCCCGCACAGCGACTGGTTCGAACAGCGAGACTGGCGTGATCCTTATGTGTTCTGGAATGAAGAGCACCAGCAATATTGGATGCTCATCACCTCGCGTGCGCGCGAGGGGCCTCCTGGACGCAGGGGTGTGATATCGTTGAGCACTTCTGACGATCTCATGAAATGGACCACCATGCGTGAACCTTTCTACGCGCCAGGCAGCACATACTCGATGGAGTGCCCGGAGGTGTTTCGTCTTGGGGGAAAGTGGCGCCTAGTCTTTTCCCGCTTCACTGAGTATGCCGCTACCGTCTACCGCGAGGCGGACGATCTGGCTGGCCCCTGGCGCACGCCGAAATATCCAGCATTCGACGGCCCCTACTGGTATGCCGCAAAGTCTCTGGAAGACTCGCAGGGACGCCGGATCGCATTTGGCTGGGTCCACGATCGGCGTGGCTTCGCAGAGGGAGGCGAATGGCTCTGGGGCGGGGACATGTGCCTGCCTCGCGAAATCTACGTCGGTGAAGATGATCGTTTGTGCGTCCGAATACCAAGCGAAGTCGACGCTCAACTGACGTCCCAACAACCACTCCTCATTCGGCACGCATCCGGTGGTACGACGACAGAATGGCAAGCCAACGTGGCTGGTGGCTTCTCACAAGCCGAAATCGAAACTGGCGCTCTACCGCGCAGCCTCACCCGGCTTTCGGTTGAAGTTGACATCCAGGATCTGGCCGGCGGTGTGGGTCTGGCGCTCTACACCAACCAGGAGCTTACAGACGGTTTGCTGCTTTTCTTCGACGCCAGCTCTGGGGTCATCAGCTTGGGTGGTCCGACAGGAGGCCAGGAAGACGATCGTCTGCCGGTGCCCGCTGTGACGAACCGGATTAAAGCTCGTTCCCACGGCAAGCTCCAAATCGACTTGTATCTACGTGGCGACGTGCTGGAAGTATTCGTTGATAGACAGGTCGCGCTGTCGTATCGCCAATATTTCAACCGGCCATTCACAGCAAAGCCATACGTCGAAGATGGAGTCGTCACATTTAAGGCAACACTGGCCACTCGGTAACAGGCTCTCAAGATAAAAAAGAGTGCCTGCTGTGTAATAAAAATCATTTCGTCCAAGGACGTGGAACAAAATGGCATGCATTTGGTCAAAGCTCGTGTAGGAAGCAATTTTGATGACTTTCAAACCACTTTGTTCAAGATACAAGGACTATTGTCACCATAGAGCTCAGTAGTCTAAATTATTGTTCCAAGGGAGGCCCCCTCCCCCTTGACTCCCGACTAGTTCGAGTTGATCCGACAATTATGCAAGTCGTGTAAGATGGTGGTGAAGTATCTAACACTTGGACTGGACCGGGCCATTGATTCGAGAAAAGCAAAAGCTTGTTGAATAGTAGAGTTCAGTTCCTCGGGTCTGTCATAAGCAAGTGGAGCTCTTTGGATCATGCGTACAATGGTCGCCGTCATGGCAAATATGCTCACGGCATGAGGCCAGGCTGTCGGCAGCTCCGAGAGTCGAACGCTGGTTCCACACAGCACCAGTTGGACATACGAGTCGATGGATGTTTTGAACACATCTCGATGCTCCTGAGTTGGACACTCCCCGGTCATGATGATCTCCATCATGCACGGCCAATACATAAGGATGGCTGTGGCGAAATACTGTGCTCTGATGATCGCTCGAGTGCTGTGCCTTGTATTGGTCACTGGCCACGTCGACTTGTCAAACGTGATGGACTGTGGCAGACAGAGATACCATTCATCCAGCTGCGATTGCAATTCCTTGGCCACGATCGAGGCAAATGGGGTCGTGCCCGTGGTGTGCGATTGTGAGTGATTGAACGTGTAGCATGTTCTGTCGATGATCTTTCTCACCCCAATCTCTGCCAGAAAATGAGGGTCTGACTCATCTATTTCAGACGAGTTTGATTCTGGAGATCCTGGCCAGGGGTACGGCTCTTCTACCAGGGAGGGAAACTTCATGTTGCTCGCATAGGAAAACAGTCCTGTGTTGGCAAAATAAAGCACACCGGCATACTCACTTTCCAGTATAAACAATGCCCAAAACGCTCTCGTCTCGTACTCCCCGAGATTATAAACGATGTCTCCCGATTCATCCACCGACTTGTTGACTGGTTGTATCTCCATCAGGTTTTGCATCTTGATGGAGCCTATGGAAAGGTATTCTTGAGCTTTCGTCGGCATAAGTTTGAGTCCGTAAAAAATGCAGAGCAATATGACGCATTGTATCGACCGTAATGAAACCTCCTCCAGAACACATCCAAGCATGGACAACGCTTGCGTGTGAAACTGCTCTGCCTGAAATGGTCCGATAGAATCATTCGCGTTCAACCCGCCGATAGCTAGCACCATGAGCAGTAAAAACAAGTCCGGACTTCCAGCGCATACGGTATTCTGCAAAAGGGGCAGTTTCTCGAAGATCTCTCTTTTGCTTAGAATCGGGAACCAGTTGTACGTGTGACGAAAGAACAAATGCCCCAACTCATGTGCACTATGACGGAAAACTGCCACCGATCCGCCGTTGTTGTATTCCAGAGCATGGTCCAACTCAAGAGAGCGGGCATTTGTTGACAAGTTGATGTCAGTGTGAAACACGATGGCCGCAAATTGATCATCCTTGATACTGAGAGAAGCAAACCTCGGGGGACGACTTTTCTCACGCGTCGATTCGGGCGCGATGTACAATGGCGACTGTGTCCCCAGCCCAAGGTGTTTTTCGATGGATGAAATCTTTGTCAGAATGGTCTCGATATTTGTCTCCACCGAAGGGCTTTGCGTAGGACCTTGCGGGGCCTCATATCTGCAGACACAGCCGTTATCCTGACAGAAGGAGCACTTGGGCTGAGCTCCATCGCATCTCGTCTTTCTGGCCCGACATACTGAGCAGGCCACTTTGCTCCGATTCTTGTTGTAGCTGGTCATTTCTTGGGTGCATCCGACGGGCCCCGACGACCAGACAACTTGGTGTAGAAGGTGGGTAGTGGGCCTTACAGGTCAAGTGATAGTCGAAACAAAAAAAGGTAACTTTGCTACTCCGGACACAAGGTCGTGTAGCAATTTCTATCGAATTGTCGGTGGCACAACGTGTTGGTCTGCGACATCCACTGCGCTAGACTCTGCGCGATGATATGACCAAGTAGCTAACAAGTGACACTCTCGTGACCCTCTGCTTTTCTGGCCTTTTTTCATCTCTTCCGGGGGTCAGCGGCCTAGACTGCCGATTGGTTCTCGGCGCCCTCAGAACTTCGCTCCTTGTGCGGAGTGCATTCCACATCGTCCAAGCCCTATGGGGATGACTGTGGGGGAGTAACTGTGAAAGTCTCAGCTGATTCATCACACGTACAATTTTAACTTCGTCCGCCACCAAGCTGGCTGGGTTGCCTCGGGGGAGCTCGGCCACGAGGGCGAAATTGAGGAGGTGGACGGGGAGGTCCACCGGGGGCCATCGGCCCGACGAGATTTTCTGTCGCTGAACTCAGTTTTGATACTGGAGAGTCTGGAGTTGCAAATGTTGCCCATGGGGTATTAAAATGCCATTCTTTCCCCGGATGAAGCTCTCCAGCTCCATAACGAGGAGCACATGAACGCAAAGCCTGCTGGTCACCTGGACGAAAGGCTTGCTGTCAACACTCAAGATCTATTTTCGACGATGGCTCATAACGGCAGTGAAATGAAGGGCGATAAGGAGAGCAAGCCAATTGATTATCAGGAAGAAATGGCCGAATTGCCACTAAAGGCCGACAACTGGACCAAGGTGACTGAGGATGCAAGGGAGGCGACGGCTGTGGAGCACAATACGACATTCTGGCAGGGAATCAAGCAGTATCGCAAAGCCGTGTTCTGGTCATTCATTGTCTCCATGACCATCATCATGGAAGGTTATGACATGGCCCTCCTCGGGAATATGTATGGCGTGGACGCATTCAAGATAGACTATGGCACATTCTCGGAAGGTTCCTACCAAATCTCGTCACCGTGGATGAACATGCTGTCCTATCTGCAGATGATCACAAACATCATTGCGGCACAGGTGGCGGGCTCTCTCTCTCAGCGGTACGGCTACCGACCATTGTTGCTAGTGGCCCTGGTGCTGATGGGCGGTGCCATCTTCGCTACATTCTTCGCACCAAATTTGCCTGTCTTACTGGTCGGTCAGATATTGTGTGGAATCCCCTGGGGCATTTTTGCGGTGCTTGCTCCAGCATACGCCTCAGAAGTTTGCCCCGTCGTTCTCCGCGGTTACTTGACGGCGTATCTCAACCTGTGCTGGGTAATTGGACAACTTATCAATGCCGGTGTCGTGTATGGCGTTCAAGATTACCCAGGCGAATGGTCTTACCGAATTCCCTTTGCGATTCAATGGGTGTGGGTACTTCCCTTGTTCTGTCTCATCTTCCTGGCCCCTGAATCTCCCTGGTGGTATGTCCGCAAAGGTCGCCTGGAAGATGCAGAGCGGTCTCTGCAGAGGCTCTCGCACGCATCGGAATCACACAATATCAAGCAGACGATAGCGATGATGTTGCACACGGATAATTTTGAAAAGGAGCAAGAATCTGGAACTGCAATCATCGACTGCTTCAAGGGATCGAACCTTCGACGAACCGAAATCGCATGTGCGGTTTACGCCATGCAGCCCATGACCGGCGGAGGACAGGTCCCATCCTCGTACTTCTTCCAACAGCTAGGGCTTTCGACCCGAGAATCTTTTGGAATGGGGCTCGGTGCCACTGGCGTTGCATTCTGCACAACCATCTTGGCCTGGGTCGTCCTCGGACTGACTGGGCGGCGGCGAATGCTTCTCAGTGGTATGACTGGCATGGTGATTGTGCTCTTGACAATCGGCTTTTTGGCTCTCGGTCCAGAGTCGAACGGCGCCATTGGTTGGGCGCAAGCGGGGCTTGCACTGCTCTTTAATGTCTTTTACAACCTTTCCGTGGGCACATTGGCATTTACGATCTTCAGTGAGGTCTCTTCGACCAGATTGCGCGGAAGAACTATAGCTGTGGCTAAGAATGTGAATGCTGCGAGCTCGATTGTCGTGGGAGTCGCAAGTCCATATTTCATCAATCCGCACAACCTCGACTGGAAGGGCAAAGTGGCGTTCTTTTGGGCAGGAATCAACGTGCTGTGGATGATTTGGGCTTATTTCCGTTTGCCTGAACTTAAGGGACGCACGTATGAGGAACTCGATATTCTCTTTGCCAGGGAGGTAAAAGCAAGAGACTTCAAAAAGGCTGTGGTGGATTTGGAAGCATGATGACAGGAGTTGAGAAGTCGTCACAATGCTCATTCACTGCTCTGGGAGCTCATTTCGGCCTGGTCTTGATGCAGAAACTTGATCTTGTAATTTGAGAACCAAGCTATAGTCTATCACTACAATTCACCTCTCTCTCCTGGTAGGACGAATTTCCTCTCCCTGGTCGCAAAATGACGACGATATCTCGCTGTCGCCACTCTTATTCGCGTCACGATCGCCATCTCGTTCAACTTCCTATCATTATCTTTCTAATAGTTTTTCTTGCTCCCATCTATGCCTTTAAACTAGGCTTTCTCGTTCCTAGTGTTCTCGTTCTGATTCTGTTTATCGTTACCACTGCTTTAGACTTTACCAAAGATGCTCGACACTCTCGTTAAGGATAGGCGAAAAGTGGATTATTACCCAAGTACTTTATTTAAAGACCGTTCAGGCTTAACAGTCCAGCGCAATATACTTATGCACTCTATATAGTACTTTCCCCCTTCGGAGTTTCATGGTTCCAGAATCCGACATCTGGCCAAGGAACAGTCATCGCAATGGGTGACACAAGTTCCATACTCCCGATTTTTGGTACCTTTTGATTTTGAATGATATAATTTTCGGCCCACTATTTCAGGCAGCGGTTGCCTTTCGGTCCAATCGTTTGGGCTTGAGGGTGTCTTTTGGATCGATTTTGGGATACTAGTGCATAACTTTGTAGGCCGTGCCCTATGAACCGTCCCCACCTTATTCAGCTTCAGGGTATATAATAAGCATTGATCTGGATGTTTCCTGAGGCAGGGGGGCGAATGAAATAAATCCATGTTCAAATAGGTTCTTACTGTCCTCAAATCATTCATCCGTGTACACCTTTCTTTTGGTCCAGAATTAAGCTGTTCTTCTCACCGAAATCAAGACCTCTCTTCTGGACAAATCAAAAATTCCAAGTACCTACTTTCCAACCTGCTGAGGTCCAAGCGACAATCACAATGGCCAAAAATGCAACTCCCACTCCTGTCACCAAGTCACGCACCTCTGAATCCAACCGCCTCCTGCTCATCGCTGGAATTTTTGCCACGATCTGGACCGGCTTTGGCATCAACGCACTATTACGACCAATGGCAGCATACTCGGTTTTCGAATTCCCCGTCCCCATAGCATCCGCCGACCAAGCCGTCATCGAGGCACTGATGCTGATTTACGGAGCGAGGGACCTGTTTATGGGCTTTGCAGTCTTGATAACCGCACTTTTGGGTAGTCGTCGTGCCTGTGGGTACATTGTTCTGGCTGGTGCTGCTGTCGCTTTTGTTGACGGTTGGGCTTGTCTTCGTGTCGTTGGTGATGGGCAGTGGAATCATTGGGGGTATGCGCCGGCGTTGGTCATTGTGGGAGCCTTGATGGCTGGGGTATTAGATTGATCCATTGATCGAGCAAAGGAGTGGGTGCTTTGGTATTCAAATGATCCAGATGCTACGTAAAGAAGCCAAGTGACTACCTAACTAAGTACTCCGTAGCGGGGGAATGCGCTGAGAATCTCCTTTCTCCGCCCAGCCTCGGCAGCAAGTCATGGTAGCATCACGAATTTTAAATCCTTTCTTTTGATTGTCCTCGAGCAGGAAGCGGACGTGACAAAGAAAAGAAGAGCGCTGGCAGCGTCGAGCGCCGGCCAGCGCACGGGCACGTGACTGGACCAGTCACCCAGTGTGACAGCCAACCGCCAGCCTTTTCCCTCACAACACGCCACAGGAACTCAATCTCTCAGGGTCTCTTCCTCTTCAGCAGGGATAGCCTTAAAAGATGTCTGAGTTTTCCCCGAATCAACCTATAATTCTCTCTGATCAACAGCCAGGTGGACGGTGGCCTCTGCAGCAGTTCACCACCCCTGAAAGATCACTCCCTACGTATTTTGAGGTGCCGAGCAAGAGGAATGTGATAACAATCAAGTCAGCTAACGGAGACATTGTCACCCCCAGAGACGAAGGATCTCGAGGGCCAACGCTGTCGGAGCGCCCTGAAACGACCGAAAGTGCTTCTGAAAATGATAAACCCAATGATAGAGTCTCTACGGAGTGGCCCGCGCAAACCAACAGAGGCCATCCAGCAACAAAGTTGAATATTTATGCACCAATTCATGTCCCTGATTGGCTTCTTGCCATCAATGAGTCAGTGGTAGCTTATGTGCCCTGTACACCTCTGCGTCATTTCGATGCAGATAAGTATGCCGCCGCCTTTGGAGCAGACATCCATGTTCAGCCTCGTGACAAATGGCCTCTCCCTCTGGGTCTCCTGATTCCCGACCGCCAGACTCCTGTCAAACCAGAACAATATCAAGACCGATTTATAGCTCTCCTGCGAGAAGAATTAGCAGCTCTGGACCAGCGGCTGTTTTACTATTCACTCTACAATCACCCTATTGTGATGCGGGACCCTCACCAGCTGCTCTTTGAAATCCATGTTCCTGGCTTGCGCGAAAACTCGCCTCGTGTCGATCTGGGTGATATCGTGCTTGTTCGGCCCATTCTTCTCAATGACCACCTGGTCGTGTTTAGCCAAAACAAGATGTGGCGAGAACATATGCAAGAAAAGGGACAATGCCACCCGGCCTTTGAAGGCAGAGAATATCGTGCGGTGGTATGGGGCCTTAACCGCGCCAAAGAAGCCGTTTTACTTCGCATTGAAAATGGAGGCAAGGTTCCTCAAACCGCCAACCTCAAATTCATCTTGCAAGTGCCCAAGACGATGCCACTGTTGTCCGCCGTCCAGTCCATCCACGCCGCCCTTGGCTCATCAGATACTACTACCTTGCGGTCCATGCTTTTCCCGCACAGATCGGACGCATGCATGCAGACAAAACTATCAGCAGCCTCATTCGACATAGAATGGCGAGATGACTCCCTCAACTTTGAGCAACAAAAGGCTGTCGCAGCCGTCGTTGCTGATAGATATGGGACGGTCCCATACCTCATATCAGGACCACCTGGCACGGGCAAAACAAAGACCATCGTGGAGATGGCCCTCCAGCTGGTTGCGAGAAATGAATCGGCCGTTCACCCGCACCTCCTCATCTGCGCACCATCCGATGCGGCTGCAGATACTCTCGCGCTTCGACTTTCGCTGTGGCTTGACCGAAATCAGTTGTTTCGACTCAATAGCTGGACTCGATCCTTTGCTGAAGTACCCGACAAACTCATTCTATATTCATATACCGATTCACACAGCCTTTTCAGTCTGCCACCGTTTGGCCAACTGATGTCGTATAGTATTGTAGTCACCACCTGTCGAGATGCCAACATACTCATTGAAGCACGTCTGACTAACAAAGATCTGGCCGAACTAGCCTTCAGCACCATGAGTGCGGTATCCCCCTCCACTGTAGAGGGTCTGACTACACCACTACTACACTGGACAGCTCTTCTTCTCGATGAAGCCGCCCAAGCTACCGAACCGGAATCTCTCATCCCGCTTTCAGTAGTTCTACCACTGGCGCGACTCCCAAAGTGTCAACTTGTGTGCCCACAGTTTGTGCTCGCGGGTGACGAATTCCAACTTGGCCCACGCCTGGAATCACACGCGCAGAGGACTGGTCTCGAAATCTCCCTCTTCCAACGCCTCTTCAATCTCCCCTTCTACGCCGATCACCCCCTCTCCATGGCCAACGGTCTTAAACCTCTCACTCGCAAGCTCCTCCCAATACCACGACCTGCCTTCACAAACCTTACGCGCAACTACCGCTCCCACTCAGCCATTCTTTCTGTCCCTTCCTCGCTCTTCTACTTCGACAACCTCATTCCAGAATTCACTCCCCTTTCCGCCATCACGACGTCATGGCCCGGCTGGCGCAAGCCCAACTGGCCGGTCCTCTTCATCCAGAACTCGGGCCCCGATGAAGTTGATGACATCCTTGCTGGTGATGGCACAGGTGTCGGCTCCCTATACAACAACGACGAGATCGGCATTGTGCTCACCCGAGTTCAGACCCTACTCAACCAAATACCCGATCTTCAACCCGAGGAAGTCATGATCATGTCTCCCTTCCGTGCCCAAGTGACGAGAATCAGAACAGCATTACGGAAAGAGGGGTTGGCCGCGGTGAATGTTGGTCCATTGGAAGCATTCCAGGGGTTGGAGAGCAGGATCGTCATGTTATGTACGACGCGTACGAGGCGCGGGCCTGAAGGCGACGAGGTCAAATTTGTCAGGATAGATCAAGAGCGTGGGTTGGGGGTGATTGATGAGCCCAAACGGTTTAACATGGCCATGACAAGGGCAATGGAGGGATTCATGGTTGTTGGCGATGCCAGCACCCTGGTTTGTACGGGTGATTCTTCCTGGCGGAACTTCATTGCGTTTTGTCTAAGGAATGGGCTGGTTGAGGGTGAGTTGGGTGAGATTGAGGAGCAGATCAAGGCATGGGATGTGAAGGAGGGAAGGTTGGAGCGTGCTTTGAGGCGGAAGGAGCTTGGTGTGGAGGAGAACGGCGGCGGCGTGGTGGGTTTGCGGCGGTTTGTAGAGAATGGGGAAGAGGAAGGAGAGATGATGCTGCCTGAGGGGTGACGAGATCGAAGACGGCGAGTGAGATTGAAGACCGACGTTACCGTCTATACATTATTTTCAGTTGGATGAATAGTGTTCGGTCTCCCAATCCAACCCCTTGGAACTTGAATGCAAGCAACTCCTTTGTGAGCCTTTGGTTTGGTGAGACGGTCCGAGACCTGGTTTTGACATTGACATTGACATTGGAGATCAATTCAGACTTGATTTGAGAGGCTCCTAGATACCTAGTACTTGATTTTATAGACAGAATGAGTGAGTGAGGCAGGAGAGGTTGAGATCTAAAGAGTGCCGCACGGTACTTCGAACTGTTACCTTTGACACCCCCTCATGCCCGCCATTTCCGATCTCATACTATGGCATCTCCTGCCTGATGGCTGTTTCTGTGATTCAGTAGAGACTGCTACAGCAAGCCTTCCGTGCTTGAACTCGTTGTTTCCAGAAAGAAGATCTCCAACGGGCGAACACAAGAGGCCCCAAGTTAATCTATTGTACTTAATCAGGTTAGGCACTTTTATTCGCCACATCTCCAAAAACTGATTTACTTTCCCACTACCAGAACCACAAAGTACCCATAGTACCCAACGAGTTGTTAAAATTCAAAATCAAAAATGCAAAAACAATCAACAGCCAGGATTCCCAAATGGTCACCCACTTTAGTACTAACTGACCGGCATATGGCTTAAGTATGGCTGAGCGGACGGGAAGCCCTGTATTCCATATCCTATGGTCGATTGCGAAAGCAAATCCGATGATTATGCTCAAGTATCTACATTTTGATTTTGACCCTAACAGGTTGATAGATACTTACCTACCTTCACCTACTAATATCCCGTTTCTACACTGAACGGTAACCGAAGCGGATGATGTACTTAAGGTAGTAAATATATGACATTCATCTTTTAGACCATTCTACCATGGTCATGGAAAAGACATAGAAGCCTTAGACAGGGCCGCCACAGACCATGTTGAAGAGGCCATGTAGCGTTATTGTTGAAAAAATAACACCCTGATCAAAGACGAGGTACGTACATAATGATGGTGGGATACTTATCCAGTAAGTAAGTATTCCCACATCCAGTAGAACTGTCCACTGGAACGCCTCGCCCATAATGCATCCATTATGATAAATGTCTCGTTCGTTGATGTCGTCGCGTCGTCAAAATCTTGCTCTTTTTGGAAGCGGGGTATCATGTTGAAATGAGATGCTTTTTCCTCCTTTTTCTCGCGAGTGCATCCTCCTGTTCTGTCGCCTGTTCCCTTTTGCCCAGGTCAAAAGCCTGGAAAGTGAAGCCAAACACCAGAGAATAAACCGGCCCAGTAACCCCGTTCACATGCTCCTCCTCATGGCCACGAAATATGAAAATGCTATAAAGGCCCGCTTAGAATCTCAATGCCATACTGTCACCACTGTTAAGCCGTAACTCCGTTGGGTTGAGACGATACTTTCGGTCCATCACCATTCACAGCGTGCCTTTGACGGCATCAGAGCTAGCTTGGCCGTTCACCAGCTCTTTGGAGTTGTTCGTCACGTCAACGACCTCGTCCTCAAAGACCTTGTCGATGTCTTGAGGTTCGAGTCCTTCGAAAATCTCGAAAATCTCGTGGGTCTCTCGGAAATTGTTGTTGACAATGTTGATTAGATAACATTCATCCATGATGGTTTCGATCAGCTTCCTGCTTCCAGACCCTGGTGCGTAACACTTGGACCAGTCCTGTCCAAGCCTGAATGCTTCATCCTTCCAGGCGAGGAATGATACCGTCTCGACAATTGTTGGCTGGACAATTTCTCGGTTGGGGAAGATACCCCACGTGACTGCGTTGGGCCCTTCATCCTTGGTATTGGTCAACAGTCGACCTTTCTGATTGACGGCGTAATAGGTCAAGTTCGGATGTGCCTCCAATCGCTCAATGACCTTGTCAATAATTGAAGGGAATGCCAACAACTCCAGATAGGCTTTCTGGTAGACCCAACCACCTGCTGGACCCCAGCCATGCACAGGATCGGAAGAGCTCACGCCATCGATGGCTGGTTGCGAATTGATGGTCAACAGACCATGCTTGTTGAGTTTCAGGAGGTCGGATTTGATGCTGTTGGCTTCAGCTGAGATTGCACCTTCGCTCCACGGAAGCCGGTCTAGACTGCCGTCGACGAACTTGGTAAACAAGACCGTAACATCACGAAGAGATTTAGGTCTTCCCCATAGCTTGATGTTAGCTTCGTTAGTGCCCTTCAGGCCAATACCGTAAGCATCCAATTCACCAAAGGCAGGAGATCTGCTGTCTCCCCAGCGTCCGTTGGGGAATTCGTCCCAGTCAGCTGTTCTAGCGACATAGGAAGTGTTCCGATTTCGCCAAAAGATGGGGCGGACAGTCTCGTCTCGGCGGTTGAGGCCGAGGGATTGCCTCCAAGGCAACGGCTTCTCCAGCGGAGTGCCCGACATGGAAGGAGTCAGAGAGAGCTCATCCAAGATCATTCGAGTCGATTGAGCCAGGTTCATGGTATAAAAGTGAAGATGCAAAATTCCGGCGTCAAGCAGTTTCTGACACATTGCTGCGACAAGATCCTTTCCCACCTCACGTACGGCTGAATCGTCGTTCTTGACGGGATCCAAAGCCTCCGACCAGGCGGGAGGAACATTGCATTTTGTCCAATCAGCTCGTCTTTTGAAAGATGCATAGGTTGAGATGGGCATGATGCCGGGAATAATGGGGACGTTGATGCCACTATCACGGCATTTTTGAGCCCAGTTTAGAAAAATGTCCACATCGTAGAACATTTGGGTAACGACGAATGTTGCGCCGGCATCGACCTTTTCCTTTAAATGTTTGACCAGGAGGTCGACGTCACGATGATCATCACAACCTTCGGCGTATCCAGCGACACCAATGTCGAAGTGATCGCCATACTTTGATCGAATGTACTTGACAAGATCCTTAGCATATTGAAAGCCGCCCTCTTTTGCCTCCCACTTCTCCTGGTCTCGAGGAGGATCACCGCGGAGGGCGAGGATGTTCGTGCAGCCAGATTTGAATGCATGTTCTAGGGCTTGGTCTATCTGAGACTTTTCCATGTCGGTGCAGGTGAGATGCATGCAAGTCTCCAAGCCATACTGGCTCTGAGCGGCATTGACCATTTCCAGCGTGAGCGTTGAGTGTCTACCTCCAGCGCCCCAGGTAATGTCGATGAAGGCAGGACCGAGGTCGTGCATGCGGTCCATTCGGTCATAGAGGTTTTGTACGCCCTGGGCGGTCTTGGGAGGGAAAAACTCAAAAGAATAGGTTGGTTTTTTCTTCTCATGAGCGAGAGCGAGTTTCTTTGAGATGTGCATATTGGCCGCTTAACAGGCGGACCTGATTTCCACCCGCGGAGAAGATGTTGAGGAAGGTGGAATTTGGGTCTGGGAGGGATCGAGAGGGAGACTTAATGGTTGTTTGAGGCTTGGAGAGATATTTGGTTACAAGGTGCAACTGCGACGTGCTACTTTGAAGGTTGTTTAGACGGTGTAACTAATGAGTGTGTCGGAGGTCGGAGTGAAGCCAATCAACCAAAGTAGCGTTTGCGAGCCCACCTGTCTGCCAGCTGCCGCGGCATTTGGATTATGTGAGGGTCAAGCAGTCATTGAAAGGGAAAGGAATGTCGAGGGTCGTGCAAAGAGAAGAATTGGATGTGGTGGGAAAGTGTAGAGTGAGCGATGGAGGGGTGGAGGGGAAATTGAGGCAAGAGAAAAATGAATGGAGATCTGAGGTCAGAGATCTGAGACTAAAGTAGAACTTTACGGAGTAAGTAGAACTGTAGTTGAGAGAAGAGATGTGGTGAGGGTCCTCGGTCCACTTTCTATTGGCGGGCTTCAGTAGGCCCAAGCGGTCAATAGTATAGTCGTATGTAAGAATCCAACAGGACACAGTAGAGAGAGAGAGCGTTGACAAAAAAGAGGCAGTGCGTATTTCAAAGTTGGGATAGTCGGTCAGGACAAGTACTATGGTCATACAAGCAACTTAGAGTGGTTGGATGCTGATGATGCTGGTTTCGAATCATGTTGGAGGGACGGAAAAATTCTTGCCAGCAGTGGAGTTTCAAGCACATGGAAGAGACAAGGGATTGACGGTGACTCTCGACGCCTAACTCTCTAATGATTGACGTGCCTGTAACAAGTGTACTTGCGGTAGACGAGCCTTAGTAATTGGCCCAAGGTCTCTACGTCAGGCCCTAAACACAGGGGACGCTTCCCTAAACCCATAGGGTGCTAGGCATCTTTGGCATGCCCGGGTCAATAATTGGTCAGGCACTCAGGCAAGGACGAATCATGCATGTTGGACAATTCTTGGCAGGCACAACTGTGCACCAAAAGCAAATCAAGATGGGCTTTTCGCTCACCGTCCACGATCAACACAATAGGCCTGGATGAGTAGCCCGAAGACCCCTCGGCCCATTGGCATGCCTGGACATCCTGGTACTTATTCCGTAGGTACCTTAGAAACACATGCGAACGCCTAGAGATTTTTAGGTACTTTTACCCAAAGTACAGTACTTCGGGCTCCCCACAGCCCAGTCCGGCGTCGATCCAGCCAACGTACCAAAATCAACCAGCCAATCTAAGTTAGACGACGCATTCGTCCCTTCCCCGCTACCCTCACAAAATTTTTTACCCCTCGTCGATATCGAGAAAAAGGCAACCAGCATTTAGAGATTACAGGATAGAGATTCGAGATTCGATTACTGCTGCTGTGTCAAGCTTGCTACTTCTCGCCTCGGAATTCCCTTACCTCATAACCCACAATCAATCATGGCGTCATCAACATCGTACAAAAGCACGCTACTCCCTCTTCTCCTCAAAGCATCAGCCCTATCATTTGGGACATACACACTCAAATCCGGACGGATATCACCATATTTCTTCACTTCATCACTCCTACACACAACCTCGCTCCTAGGAGCCCTTGCACGAGCATATGCCTCTGTGCTGAGCTCACCACCTTTTTCTCTTCCATTGGGCACTGAGGAAGCCGGGTCAGAAGCAGATGGGAAATTCTCTCCTCATTTTGATGTCCTCTTCGGCCCCGCGTATAAAGGGATCCCGCTGAGCGCGATTGTGGTGCGCGAGCTCGAATTCAGTGGTAAACAGTTCGAAGGTGTTTCGTACTCGTTCAATCGCAAGGAGGCTAAGGATCATGGTGAGGGAGGCACTATTGTCGGTGCTCCTTTGAAGGGGAAACGCGTCGTGGTTATTGACGACGTCATGACTGCTGGCACTGCCTTGCGTGAGGCTGTTTCTATCATCAAAGCCCAGGGTGGCGAGGTTGTTGGCGTCGTGCTGCTGTTGACACGACAGGAACGAGTCAGTGACGAGGAGCCCAGGAGTGCCATGAAGGTTGCGGAGGATGAATTGGGTGTTCCTGTCAGGGCGGTGCTGAAGTTCGAGGACTTGATCGAGGCTATCGAAGCTGGTCAACTGGAGAATGCGGGGCCAAAGGAACTGGAACAAATGAAGGTCTACCGCCAACAATACGGTAGTCGAGATTAAAGTCTGGCTCACCAGCAGACCGCTATCCATGTCCCATGTGAGATGGGAGCTCTTGATGCAAGCACAGCGGTCTAGATAGACACAGCGACAAGATTGTGGACAAGTATCATATGGCGTGAACCGCGCCTACGAAGGCATTTTGATTTTCTAATCATTCGTCAGACTTGGCTTTTCAATCGCCAGTCATCATCTCAATCCATTCTTCGTATCGATCTCGTAGAGTCATCAGTATTCACATCAGCTTCTTCGTCGCTCCACTCCAGTCAACACCCAAGCTCGCCACCAGAAATGTCAAAAATATCATTAACCACGTTGTGGGTATCATTCGAGAATCACCGAACTCCCATAGATTCCCTCCCCTGTCAGGAGAAACTTTTCCAAATACATCCAATTGACGATAAAATTAGCACAAAGCCTTCCCACGTCGAGAACCTGGGTGAGCACAAGACAGGAGTCGCATGCGAACCAGGTTCGATTGATGCCTCAAGCCAGTGCATGCAAACCTGAAAGCCCCAAGCCCTTCAAATCAGTTACTCCGTGTTTTGGGGGTATAGTTGTATCAATGATCGCCAAAGTTGGAGTGACGGTGTCACTGTCTCGTCGTACAACCTCCTCGTCCGAGCTAACACCAGATTCGGAAGTGTTGAATAGATCGTTGCAGAGCGCTTCAAAATCATTGATATCATCCGAGATTTCAGGTTCATGGTCCGCATCCGCAAATAGGCGGTCGGCCTCCGCATGCCATGACGATTTTTTAGTGACCAAGTTATTTTCGTTCATGAGACTACTCATCTCGGGTGAAGCTTGTGTGGACGATTCTTTCAATGGAGATGCTTTGCCTTCATTCAACGTGGAACCGCCATCCGAGTCCGAATGGAAGAAGGTCGACGTGGAGGGGGATGCGAGAGGAGGATGGGATGAGGCCTGAGATCCGCGGATAGACAAAATCACCAAGCTCTTTTCCATGGCGCCTAGAGTAGTCGAATCTGCTCTTTTTAGACCCACGTTCTCGTTGTTGTCACCTCCTTTGACGGGACTTGCTTCAATTGCTGGCAGGGAGAACAAACCTGAGACTGGCCGAGAAGAAGTCCGTCGGCTATTTCCCGTACTCTTCCGCTTGTTGGGATGTCTGCTTGGTGGAGAAGATGTCGAGGTCCTCGGTGTCGTGGCAGGATGAGATGAAGCGGTTGATTGCCAGGATCTAGTCCGAGTCGATCCAGATCCTCTTTTAGCAGAGCTCAGTCCACTCTCGACCGAGATGGACGAGGTTAGCGATGGAGTCATCTTTTTGGTTCGCAAGCTCTGGGCGGGGACGTCAGGCAAGGGTTGAGTAGGTGGTGTGTGGGCTTCAATGGCATTCAGGTAGTTTATTCTCATGTCGTGAACAATTCTTCGAATGTCCTCTCTGGGTGTAGCGTAGTCCTCGGCTAGATTTGTACGGGTCATGCAAGAAGATGATGCACGAGAAAGAATTGAATCCCTCGTGTTGGATGAGCCATCCGAATGAGCCACATCTAGGTAGCATAACGAATTATTGAATTCAGAGGACGGATTTCTCGGCGTGTCATCGAAAGAGTTGTCTTCGATGGGGCAGCCTTGTTCTGGTAACCTCATGGAGGTTGGATCGATCTTGTCTTGCTGATTTTGACCGTACAGAGACATGAGTCGGCCATACTCGGCTTTCCAGAGAGCTCGAAGGGTGGGAGTCTGATCCTCCTGTCGGCTCCGTAAGGATACAGTCGAAGCCACGGCTCGGGGAGAGAGGCGTGGAGACGGTGGAAAGGGACCATTTTGCATGGACACCGAATGGCGATACGAGTCGAGAGAAGGTCGAACAAGGGCAGAAGAGGAAAAGGAACGGTGGCTGGGCGAGTTGTTGCCGTATATTGGGAGACCGTTGCGTGGAAATTCGAGGTCATGCGTGTTGATCGAATGGGGTATGGATGACAAGGACGGGGAGGAAGACGGGCTAGCAGGGGAGTTTGGGGCAGTTGAGATGACTCTCAAGGCCGACGAATCCACAGAAGATTCGAGGGGAGGGGATGGACGAGAACTTCTCTTCTCTTTTCCAGGAAGAATGAAGTCGCCTTGACGGATCTCCTCCAACGTTCGTTCATAGTCCTGCTGGGTGACAAGAAGCTCGCCAGAGCTCAAACGGCGGCTCGCCTGGAGTTTGACAGGACCATTGCCTCGTTGAGGTTTCTCTCCGATCTCTGGTATGGGACCAGCGATGGTGGAATCGTAGGAGAAGGTGGGAACGTCTCTCGAGGGCGGGTGCCTGGACTTTGATGATGAAGGACGTCTGAGGGCGTGATTGAAAAAGGATGGCAGTCGGCCTTGGGAAGGAGACAGTTTCGAGGGAGGAGGAGGAGTGGGCAGCTCATCGTTGGTGAGTATCAAGGATTGAGGTTTGGTACGGCGCGGAGACCAGAATTTGCGAAGCCGCGATTCCATTATTCTGGTAGTGGTTGAGCATTGACCTGAGGGTGTCGCGTGTGAGCGTGGAGATCTGGGGTGAATGGCAGGTGCCGAAATGGATACTGGGGCACGGTTATGTAGTCCGAGCGTAATGTATATGAGGCTGAAGGTAGCGGTTGCGGGCAGGCAGGAGAAAGGACTTGTCTGGTATAGAATGAGGATGCGAGGACTACAGGTCTTGAAAGGTCAATCGTGCCCAAGCTCGACTCATTCTGGTCGCGAGTCTGAGAGCGAACGAGGGCTAGGGATCGGGGCGGTCATGTTGATGGAGAAAGATGGAGAGCAGGATTACGGATAGTGTTGACGTGAAAGACAAATCTCTGTTGATTAGCTGGCGAGGATCATGCTTGTAGGTATATGACAGGAGTCGGTTGGGATGTGCGGCAGGGGACAGGGGGAGGGATCGGGCTGAAGGCAATATGTGTAGAGTGTGCAAAGTCAAAGTTCGTGAGAAGTTGGTGGTGGAGGAAAACCAGGATGTGCGAACATTACGGAGTACTGTACGGAAGACGCAGGACGCATATCACACGAGGATGTGGGAACTTGGGAGAGGCAGGTAACAGGGGAGGTTGGGGCAATAATTGGTCGGTCGTGGCTGCCATTTCAATAACGTCGTGAAAAGAACCCCACAAGGCAGGAGCGAAGGGGGGTTTCCACACCGCGTTTAGTCTTTCCGGAAGCTGCGTGGCAGCGGATTGTGTCATGAGACAGAACCCAGTCCCGCGTGCCGTGCCTGTACCTGTTTTTCCGGGCAGTTGGTCAATGGCCACGACGACTTACTCCGTACCGTTGGTAAAGTTTGGGGGGCCGAGAGGCGTTGACGGGAGTAGCTGACGTCGTAACAGTATCCAAGTGAGAGATCCCACCAATCTGAACAGTCAACGCACTGCCTGGGGCCCGCAAACGCCCATCATCGAGGTACACCCGCAAAGTCAAGAGTGCGGAACTGTTTGAGATCGAGATTGGTGAGAATCATGTGAGGACCAGGGATTGGTCTGTATGTCTACGGAGTAAAGGGCCAAGTGGATTGGTGAGACTAGGTTTGGGGCAGGGCCATCAACGACGACGTTTGCCTCAATGTGTTATAGAAGGCTCAGAGTAAAGAGCTGAAGCTGGGTTATTGAATATCGGTATGGACTAGGAGTTGTCTGATCGAGGCTGCAGGCTATGGTACACACATGCGTACTGTAGGTCCAGCTTGCATTGTCGGCTCCCAAATCTACGACCATGCCTTAATGCACGTCAGGCGAGAATAGGCGAGAAACCCGGCTATCCTTAAAGGCCAAATACGAAAAGATTATTGGAAGAAGCAAAACAGTGGGCCGATGGCGGGCGCAAGAGGCCTTGTGGCGCACCCGGAATTGCCTAAGGGTCAACCTGCGACAATTGCGAACATGGCTGTACCGAACATGTGTCTCGTAGTTGTACACACGCGAGGACCTCAATATACGCGTACACAGTCTAGGTAAGGAAAGCATGTATGCAGACACTATCTAGATACCTACTATCCTTCTGATTGCCCTGTACCTCGATTTGCCGTCTTTGGGCGGCCGTAGTAGTCGATTCCCAGGGGTGAGTTTTTAGGCATGGAGATCACGCAGACGCAGATGCATAGAGTTGCGCCTTCCGCTACGGATACAATTTTTTGACTAAATTCACGTGGGCATCTCGGGCTTTCAACCCCAACAAACGGCAAGAATTGCCTGTCCCCAGCGTCACGGGACTCGGACGAACAATACGCGGACTGTTTGGTACTCTGTACTTGTAGACTTGACAGCAGCAATCTTCTGCTTCCATCCACAATTCATCTATGTTGCACAAAGGCCCAATGCTACAACAATTGATGGGCATGGGCACAAGCAATCCTATTCCGTATACACGCCTTATAATAATAGCAGCACCAAAAGAACACAGCATCTGTAGCTTGGCTACGTGTACAAGTACTCCGTAGGTGATTTGCATATGCAAGCCACGAATCGCTACTGGCTTCTGACCCACCAAGCCCACCCAGCCAGAATGCAGAGGCGGTCAGGCTATCAACGCCTTGCCCAAGCCATCCGTAAGCAAACGGTCAAATAGCAATCAGGGACGTTTTCTTTCATCGATCCAGACTTCAATATGCCGTCTACCACATGCAATAGTCATGGCAATGGCTGGCCCAGTGGGCTGGCTGATTATTTTCCCATAACACTGATCTGGCACGCCTCGCATTAAGTCGGCACTGACTTTCTGCGCAACATGACAGATCAGGAAACCCCGGTCTCATCGTTGTTTAGGGTGCTGCTGTACCTGAACTGTCAACCTGTCACCTTGGCTCCTAATAAATTCTGTGGACTCTAGATCAGTTGATAGAACGCAAGCCAGCAACAGTGCCTGACGGTTTGATGTCTCTCGTGCTGAAGACCAGCTTGCTACCAGCTGATGTCAGGAGCTTCAAGCCTATAGAATGACACATTTGGGCATGTTTCGCCCCAATGTAGTGTCTTCTTTTGGTTAACTCCCTACCCCTTTGCTCCACCTACAAGGCTACTAGATCGACATTGTATTCTCTCCATCGTTGCCATTCACGGTTCCCAGCTCTCTATCCGAACATGAGCATCTTCGGTCGCTGACGGGTGGGTCTCCAAGACCAACGCTAAATCTCGAGACCAGCTCGAAGATCTTGCTCCGTCTCCTTGGTATTACGAATCTGGTCCACGTCGTGCCTCGCTGTCATCGTTCAACTTCTGCCAAAGACGCTGAAATTCTCACAGCTTGACAAATATTGAGAATCAAGCAGCCCAGAATGAATATGAGGGAGCTGCCCGGACAGTTCAATTAACAATTCCGCCCCCACTGAAGTCCTGAAGTCTTTGTGGGCGATAGCACGCGGGAAATTTTCCACTCGACCATGTTTTGAATCCTCTACGTGTGTCTTGCCTCGCGAGAGACACATGACAATCTAACTGAAACAGACTGAATTAGCATCAGATAGAGACGAATCACGAGGGATCTAAGTCACTCTCACACAGAGAGGTATGGAAACAGACCAGGCCAACGCAGAGACTTCAAGTTAAAACCTGGAGTCGCCCCATTCTCAGTGAACACACCCTGAGTTGAGTTGGCCTCTCTCAGATCTTGCACAGCCGGCCATGTGAATGTATTTATTGTACCACCATACCTTCTCTGTGCACTACAAGGGCATGACGGGGGGTTCTCCTCCATTTCAATGCTGTTGGTAGTATGCTGCCAGCGCTGATACTCGAACTTGAGGTTGGAGAGGTGATGTGCGACCCTTCGAAATAGGGGTGCTCGCTGCAATGAAAATGTGCCATGCAAAATCCTGCATCGACTTGAACCCCGTGTCGCTCACTCGCCGAGAGACCCGTACCAAAGGAGAAGTGTCTAATTGGTGTCAGTGAGAACATCGCCTTTCGAGATGCTATTTTCGTCATTGAATGTCCTGCCCTGCTGTAGGTTCCATTCAGGAACGTCCTTGAATCCAGATAGATCTCTCCTTCCGCAGCCAGCGCTGTCCCACCCTCCTCGCGAAGCGCGTTTGACCTGCCAGGTTTCGCCTGTAAATGCTCCCCTTCGAGGTATCAGTCGATGGTGAAATGGCAGGACACGTTGGGTCCCTGGAGCGCAGCAAGACTATACCAGGGACCTTGAAAATGACATAGGATATGACGAAGACCACAGCCACGATGCTCAATCGATTCTATAACGGCTCAAAGATGAAGGTTCTACTATTATATAGAAAACCCAAACCTCAAGGAAAAGGTCAACGACGTCGAGCCAGAGGCGTGATTGAAGGAAATTGGGAAGTCATTTCCTCCAGGTCGGTCATGGAGCGCTATCGTATTCTAATAAAATCATGGAGAATACAAAGTGAGTCAGCTCCTCCTCCGTCTTCAAATCATCAGTGCGTTGATATTCTTGGTGAATAGCTTTCTGCCAACTGCCGCACCTACGACATGGTTTTCTTCACCATGAACACCAAACACGTGACCAGTATCCGCCTCAGTCACGTGTTACAACCAAATGTAAATGTAACATCAGCAGGCGCGGCGTGGGCCGATACTTGGACTGGTGAATTTCTCCGAGTGCAGATAGGCGCTCAAGGGTCCAGGCTCACCCTCGACATTCACGGGTTACAACAAAAATTGATAGTGGAAGTAACCCTCCAGTGTCACTTTGCCAATCAGCATAATCAATTGCTACCACTCCCACAACCACTACCACCCTCACAGACAAGCACTTAGCCGTAAGTAACATGACCAGCACAGAAGACTCTTTGCCACTACTCCCATTAATTCCCGAGATTGCATGTCTGTTGTTGCTGCTGCAAAAGTTCGCACTACATGATTCAGGCATGGGAGGTGGTGGTGTTGACTCGTCGGTATAACCATGTTGAAAAAAAGTATACTCTGTAGCAGTAGCACTCACTGTGTTGGGTACAGGGGCGTCTGGCTGCGTAGGTGGCTGGCACTCTGGTTAGGTAAGGCAAGGATGGCGACCGCGAGGCTTCTCTGTTCGCCCAGCCTAAGGAGCTTGTCCCAAGCATAGGGTCATAGCCTAGAACAGCCCCCTGTGCCTTTCATGACTCTAAGGGCTGCGGATCTACCGTCGCACTGGCAGTTGCGGGAACTTCTTTCTCCACCTTCCCTCCACCTCAACCTCCACCGTGCCTTCCCTCTTGCAGTGCACATCATCGACTGGGACTCTACATCTCAACCCTTGCAGACACTCTGTGACTCTCTTTCCAAGTACCACTTCCCTCCACCATTGTAGCACTCTTGACAACGGTGTGTCTGGGTGTAATTGTTTTCACCGACTACTGGTAATCACCCGAGCCCTTATTCTTACCCTCGAGCCCTTACGACATCCCCCAGTCATGTTATGCTACTGCCACTGCCACCGCTGGGAGTGACTACGACCGACTCCTCTGTCACTCTTCCTTTACCACTTCATCCACTCAGTTGACCTGACCATGTCACCGCAAATTCCTCCTGGTTCTCTCATACATTGACCTTCTCTCCTCCGGCCTGAAATCGGGTGTGCTTACTTGCACAAACAAAACCACATCACCATGACCTTCCTTTGTCCTCTCTTCACCTAAGATTCAGCTTTGTCCAACATTGATTGCCGCACCCCTCCTCCCCTCTCTCGACCGGGAGTGCCGCCGCAATGTCTCTTCTCGACTTCTTTCGCAGGATTCTGCGACACCTCGCCGCAATGCTCCTCTTCCCCTCGACTCTCAAAGCCATGCCACTTTCTCCAAAGTCTTCACATCCCTCCGTCACCGTCACCGAGACCACAGACTCACTACATTCCCTCGACTCGTTGAAAGATGAAATCATGCGCCTCTTCAGACAACCATGTACCATGCGAAGAATGATGTCCATGTCTTCGGCTCTCCGCATTCAATACAAAGCAAAAATGCAGGACAGCCAGGCATGTATGCTGCCTTCTTTCTGTCACTCTCTGCCTACTGGTCAAGAAAAGGGAACCTTCATCGCTCTCGATGTCGGTGGATCAACCTTTCGCATTGCCCTTGTGGAATTGCGTGGAAGACATGCCGAAGACGGCAGTCCTATGGTCATCAAGCACATCACATCCTTTAAAATCGATGACTCTATCCGCAGGCTACCTTCGACTCAATTCTTTGACTGGATGGCCAGCAATATTGACGGAATATTGCAGCTCGACAAAGACTTGTCTTCATCAGACCAAATCATACCCATGGGTCTTGCTTGGAGTTTTCCCGTCGAACAGACGAGTCACCGCGGTGGCAAAATTCAGGGAATGGGCAAGGGCTTTGCATGCCATGAAGACACACTGGGCAAGGATTTAGGCCAACTTCTGGAATCTGCCTGTACACGGCGACATCTCAAAGTTCGCGTGGATGCCATACTCAACGACTCTTCTGCCACCCTTCTCTCACAGGCTTACATCGACCCCGCCACCTCAATGGGTTTGATTCTCGGCACAGGAACCAACATTGCCGCGTACCTTCCCGTCGCCGCTATGGGAAGATCCAAGTTTGGTTCTCGTGACCCATCTTGGTTTCGCAAGGCTGAAAGAGTAATCACCAACACCGAAGTGTCCATGTTTGGAAAATCAATCTTACCAGAAACACGTTGGGACGAGATCCTGAATCAGCAACACCCCCTCCCGGATTTCCAGCCTCTGGAATACATGGTCAGCGGTCGCTATCTCGGAGAAATATTTCGATTGATCGTTGTCGAGGCTGTTGAGACTGGAGAGCTCTTCTCTGGTGTTCTACCCAAATCACTCCGTCAAAGCTATTCTCTGGACACTGAGTTGATGGTCAGGATTGAGGAGGACAGTTCACCTCACTTCGCACAATCCGCCTCCTTACTCAAGTCTACTTTCCAGCTGCCATGCTCGCCTTCTGAAAAGGAAATGTCATTCCTCAAAGTTGCCGCTGAGTCAATATCCTATCGGGCGTCAGCGTATATGGCAGTGGCTGTGCACGCTCTGTGGGCGCTCCAGAAGGATAGCGATATCAAACCCACCACAGCCCAGGGGACACCAAAGACGTCCGTCGCATGTAACGGGAGCGTCATTCTTCGGTATCCTGGGTTCAAGGATCGATCTGAAGCCTTCATAAAAGAGTTGATTGATATGGGGTCTACCGGTCGACCAGAATCTACTATTGAAGAGATTGTTCTCGAGCCCACAGATGAAGCTGTCGTACTTGGGGCCGCGGTAGCGGTTGCCCTCGCAGATGATCCCTGAACATTGCCAGTATCTGCATGGATGATGTACATGATACTCACATGCCTGAGATACACCTTACATTAACTGTGAAGGCCCTCCCACGGTGACCCAAACAGTAGCAAGTACAATCTGGGAATGATCACTCTATGTCTACTACATGGCTGGCACCAAGTTGCAAAACACCAAGTTGACGTAGGATCTTGAATGATATTCGAGATCAATGTGAGGACTCCAATGACAAGACTGCGGGGGCAGACAGTGCGAGCAGGTGTGAGATGGAGAACTGATGTCTGTCCTACTATCAAGCATCGCCTATGTCAGAGGAAATGTCTCTAACTTGCAAATATGCCCGTCGATTTGATGATGTGGCCAGCAATTTGCACGTCAGGAGTGACCCATTGGGAGCTGGATGGATTGAACGATCTCCTCAAGCTCTCTCGCAGTTGGGTCACGATGACAATGCTCCTCTCGACGAGTGGACACTATTTCCGTCTGCTCGGTAGCCACAGTCAGGTCACCTTCTTGAACCAATGATTTGAATGGATTATGTAGATGAAAGATACCCAAGAAGGGAAAAGGAATTTTGTGACATATCGCAACATATCGCGTGGTCAATTACGTATCTCTACGTCCCCACATACCGAGTCCTAGGTCGACTCTAGAGTTTTTATGTATGCTGCAATTGATCACAGCCTCCTTTATGGAGTATCTGGAATCACATGTGCTGAAGGAGAGCCCAACTACCTAAGCAAGGGAAGTCATGTACTTGTCTATTGGTTGGGTTGTTAATTACTACTTGTATAAGGTACCTAAGGTAGGTACCTATATCATTGACCCCTCGGCCATCTTCACCCACTGCACCACCCTGAATCAGCACCACTACCATTACCGGTCCCGGTGCCGACGCCGACAAAACCCTCACCCACCCTTCCCCACCACCAAACTGGGTTTAGGTACTGCTACGGGTATGGTGTCATGGATCCCCTCCCACACCAGTTTCTCCAAATCCTACGCAGTCGTGGCATTTTACAGCTTGGACGATGGAGAAAGCAAACCTCAGGCGATACAGAGGTGGGGATCGGCGGGTGGTGGCCGATGAAATTGAAAAACCCTAGTAAATACAAATAGTACTCAAGTAAAGTCACGACCTCACTTCAACTTCATAGAAAGGATATGATCGCCGATAAAATCTAGGAACGATCAATATCGCGTGTCTACAGTTCAGCGAACCTTTTGAAAAGTGTTTTGAGTCTATTTGGATACTGAGAGTCAAGCTTCATATCCGTCTCTCTATCTTCGACATCTTTTGTTCGTTGTTGCATTCTGCGTAAGCGCAGTTAAACACCAACATAAACATCAACACCAACACCATCGTTCAATATGGCCAGTCTTAAAGCAAATGCTCGCAAAGTGATTTGCATAGGAAGAAACTATGCGTGAGTTTCATCCATCTATCTCCTTCCCTGTGTCTGTGTCTGTGTCTGTGTCCGTCGGATTTCAAACACTTCCTTCCTTGCCTTACTCCTCCCCCCTCCACCACCTTCACAAGTACCTACCTACCTACCTACCAGGTACCTATCCCCAAGAGAAAAAAAACCCCTCCACTAACCAAAGCAACCCATTGAAAACCCCACAGCGACCACATCACCGAACTCAACTCGGCTCGGCCATCCCAACCATTCTTCTTCCTCAAACCCACGTCTTCGATCCTCCCACCGGGCAAAGGTCCCATCATCCGCCCTCGCGGAGTCGATCTGCACTACGAAGTCGAACTCGGGCTCGTCATCGGGCAAACCTCGCACCCGCTGAAAAATCTGTCTGCCAACGACTCGAAAATCCTTGATTGCATCCGCAGCTATTTCCTCAGCATCGACCTCACGGCGCGAAACGTGCAAAACGAAGCCAAGAAAAAGGGACTACCTTGGTCGATTGCAAAAGGGTTCGATACGTTTTTACCCATCAGTCAGGAAATTCCAAGGGATCGTATTGCTGATCCGCATGATGTGGAGATTTGGTTGAGTGTCAATGATGAGGTGAAGCAGAAGGATAATTCGAATTTGATGTTGTTCAATATTCCCAGGATTTTGAGTGATATTAGCAAGGTCATGACCTTGGAGGAGGGGGATTTGGTTTTGACGGGCACGCCTAAGGGGGTTGGGCCGATTAAGGGAGGGGATGTGGTCAAGTGTGGGTTATTGTCGGATGGGAGGGAGGTCGTCGAGGCGAATATGTTGTTGGATGTGGTGGATGCTGATGGAGATGATGGATATATCTTTAAGGAAACGTGAGCAACTAACTAAGGAAACAATCTCAACATCTCACATCACAACAACCTGTTTCTAGGATTTCGTGCTCAAACCCATGACGACGCGGGATCAACTGCCCATTGCACTGCAGTTTACCGCATTTCACTCTTCTAACATGTCATCGCCTGTCGTGGCCTACAGAACCTTTGCCAAGCCGTCATTCCTCGGTCGTTGTCGACAATATTGGGATCTCCGGCGGTGGTGGCTGGTCAAACGCTCGGGTATTGATTGCAATCTGCTTCACTGAGACTGCTACACGTCTCATTCTTTTCATACTCGGCAAGAGAACCTCACTGTCGCTGTCGTTCTCAAGATGGAGACTTGGTCCTCTCTTTCCAGAAACCAGCTTAGGGGATCGAACACTCACACCTTCTTCGGCAGGAGCCATACTTGAGTTTGGAGTCGCTGTGTCAATCTGGTGTCCATGGATTGTGTTTCGACTCAATGTCTCCGCTACGGAACTTTCTTCATTCTGTGTTGCAACATCCACCGCCTCTTTTTCTGCATCAACACCTGCACGTTCAAGGAGACGCTGGCTGCGACGTACTGGGCCGGTGTTGCGAAGTACCTTGCGCCGTATCACCTTTCGTGGGCTATTTTCCTTGATCACCGTCAGCAGACTTTGAGGGATTTCACTGACAGACTCAGCAGTCGCTGAATGGCTATCAAATGCTGGCTTTGGTCTTTTTGTTTCTGCCTCAAGCTGGGAACACGCAGCTCCGAATGCTGTTATGTTGTCCCACTTCCAACCAATCTTCTCGAGGAACTGCTGGCATTGCCTCCTCTGGACCTCTCGAAACATTCCATCCACGAATTGACGCATGATGGCATCTCCAAAGACAGAAGGTAGGTTGTCCAGCAGCCTTTGGGCTCTCTGGTGGTAAATTTCCCATGTTTCGAATCGCATTTGATGAAGGGTATTGATCTTTGCTAGTTCAGAAGGGTCTGCTGCTAACTCAGGCAACATAGTCAGTGGTGTCTCATTCGCTTTTGAATAGTGATGATGCCCTGCGTAGCTGCTTGTCTCCGCATTGGCATCCAGGTCCAGATCGTCAGGTATTGTGGTACTCTGTCGCGGAGGCTCACGAGAGTCAACCTCTTCTTCTTCTCCTTGACCACTCTGATCTCCTCGAAATTGTTCTTCCGGTTGTGAATTGCATACTTGGACCCCCTGGTCCCTCACGATGTTCTCCGTCTGGCCACGGACTATACTGAACAAGTCAATATATTGGGAGACTGGAGGATCTTCGATGCTGTCTAGGACACGACTGAGAGTGGGCGATAACGATCGAGAAACTGATCGGTGTCTTCTCAACTGTTGTTGTATTCTTGCAACCGCATCAATATCCGCTTTCTCCTCGAGGGCACTCGTCAAGACTCCGAGGGATGCTTTCAAAGATTCCATTTGACTCTGATGGTCCTCGGTGGTTCTCTGCATAGTCCTCGAGACCTTGTTGATTTGCTCATCGAAATGACTCTGTAGCTGCTCCTGGTCATGTCGCCATTCTTTGTAGAGTGTGCTCATAGAAGAGACTTGCTTCTGTAGACTCTCATTTGAGGCCTCAAGGCGAAGAATGTTGGCATTTTGAGCCCCTAGATCGACCTCATAACGCGAAGTGTTGGCCAGCAACTCCTGTAATTTCTCTTTCGTCTTGTTGCTGTCGTTTGTTAAAGACTTCACCTCATCTCTCAAGCTGTCGATGTGTTCCTCGCAACTCTGCAATCGACCATGGAGCAACACGTTTTCTCGACGGAGCTGGTGGGTATGCAACAACGTGGTGGCATAGCCCACTACATGTGTACGATCGAGCCCCATCGTTTTGTCCAACAGACGTGTTCTGGCGTTCATCTACAAAGGAGGACCGACATAGAGAACATCTTGGAAAAGTGGTGGGAATCATCCTGGCAAATTGGTGAGGAAGGTGCGTTCCACACCGAGGAAAGTACGAAAGTACGAAAGAATGAAAGAACGAAACCACAGGCAAAGAAGCACAATGGCTTTTTTTGAACAATTTGAATTTCTAACTGTCTATGGAAAAAAGCAGATTGCCATCATCCTTTCATGACACATGAGAATATCGTTGATTTCTTTTGTGCAGTTGGAAAATGGTAGCCAACTTTTGCCAGCGAGGACTAAAAGCAAAACGCCCGCGAAATCTGCCACATGCTTGACCACACCAGGGTCATCCATGTGGTATCACCGCGCTCGTATGCCCATTGCAATAGCAGGATAAGGTACCGTGAGATATGAAATTACAAGACTTTTTGCACGGCGGCATTCTTGAGCCAAGCAGTCGGAAAACTTGCGTCATCCCACTTTTCTCAAAGAACCTCGTACAAGTGCTGCGGCAACAAACGCCGTTTTCATGCAGGAAGGGAAACGACGTACGCCGCGCGGCGGACGTTGTCGCTTAGATCAAATCTGGCAAAGTTAGCATATGAATTCAGTCGACGAACTGGGGAGTGTTGCTTACCTGCAACGTTCATTGGCATCTCCTCGATTTGAGTGCTGTAGAACTGTTCGATTTCTCTCATCATTCGGACGTCATCGGCGGTGACAAAGTTGATGGCAACACCCTTTCGCCCGAAACGGCCACCACGACCGATACGATGGATGTAGTTCTCGCGGTTGGCGGGAAGATCGTAGTTGATGACGAGGGAGACTTGCTGGACATCGATACCACGGGCCAAGAGATCAGTGGCGATCAAGACACGGGATGATCCAGATCGGAACTCCTTCATGATAACATCACGCTGGGCTTGTTCCATGTCGCCGTGCATGGCAGAGACGGTGAAATCCCGAGCAGTGAGCTTGTCGGTGAGCCAGTCGACCTTTCTCCGAGTGTTGCAGAAGATGACGGCCTGGGTGATGGTGACGGTCTCGTACAGATCAGACAGGGTGTCCAACTTCCATTCTTCCTTTTCGACAGCAATGTAGAACTGCTTGATACCTTCGAGGGTCAATTCAGCCTTCTTGACCAAGATGCGGACAGGATCACGCATGAACTTGGTGGTAACCTCCAAGACATCCGCGGGCATGGTGGCGGAAAGCAGGACAACCTGGGTTGATTGAGGGAGCAGCTGGAAGATATCGTAGATTTGCTCGGTGAAACCTCGAGAAAGCATCTCATCGGCCTCATCGAGGATGAACATCTTCATGTTGTCGGTCTTGAGGACGCGTCGCTGGATCATATCTTGGACACGGCCAGGAGTGCCGACCACAACTTGAGGGCCGTCTTGAAGAGCCTTCATGTCCTCACGAACGTTGGTGCCACCAATGCAGGCATGGCATTCGACGTTCATGAAATCACCAATGGCAACAACGACCTTTTGAATCTGTTGAGCCAACTCACGAGTGGGGGCAAGGATGAGAGCCTGGCAGGCCTTGAGGTTGGGGTCGATCTTCTGGAGGCATGAGATGGAGAAGGTTGCAGTTTTGCCAGTACCGGACTGGGCCTGTGCAATGACATCAGAGCCTGCGAAAGATGATTAGCCAAAGAACGAAAAATAATGGTGTTGAGGGCAAAATTTACCTTTGATGACTGGCATGATAGCGCGTTGCTGAATAGCGGATGGGCGCTCGAAACCGTAGGCGTAGACACCTGAGAGTATAAGTTAGACATGTTTTTTGCGTCCAAAGTAGGGTTCAAGAAAAAGACATACCTCGAAGAAGCTCGGGTTTCAGGTTCATCGCATCGAAGGAATCGGTGATTTCATCGTAGTTGGATTCGATTTGTCCTGTTTGCGCCAAAAATTTGTTAGCACGGGTTATCAAAACTAGGCGAGGGGCATCAACTGCGTTTTCAGGGGCAGTTGAGAGGCTTCATATGAACCTAAGCAGGGAGAAAACGTACCCTCTGGGATCTCTTCGAGTCCTTTGTCCGCCATGATTGCGAAGTTTGGGCTGGTGATCACTGGCGACCTGGCCTGTGATCTGAGTGCGGTGGGGTTGAGTGGCGTGAAAAAAGACTTAGTCGCTCGCGGGGCGGCCAAGTCTTGCTGGTGCTGAAAGTTGTAAAAAGGCTAGTCAAAGGATCCTCGCTGTGAGAATCCAAATGTCTAGCTAAAGTGGTTGTAAAGTGGTTGTTGTTGATGTGTGAGATGGAAGAGAGAAAAGGACAAAAATTTTGGAAGTTGATGGCAGCGCCTGTCTTTGACTTTTATTCGAGTCTTGGCGCTGGGATGGCGCTAGTCAAGTTGCCTCGCTGCTGGTGCCACAGAAAATCCTCGCAACACCTGAACAACCTACAAACGTCCAGCCTTGTCGGGCAGATTCTGTCTTGTGGCGGAGCCTTTTACTGTTCGTACTACGCATTGTATAAGCACCCAAATTGTCGTCCCATGACAGCTGGCATTGCTATCCTACCCAACCATATTGCAGCAGAAATTCGCCAAAGTCACGTGCACCGGCTTCTCCGTCCTTCCAGGCCAGTCTGTGAAGGCCCAACATTTATCACAATTGACTAATGCCGTCAACTCCTTTTACAACGACTCAGACCAATGGCACGTTAGTTCAGCAGTCTATACCACCCAATGGCGTATTGGCTGGTGAGCTGGCAGAGGAGGAAAGCAATCAACATGATATTGCAAGACGGCACCCGCTAGGAGTTCGGCCCAGTGGGAATGCCCTCACTGCTGATCAGAATTCGTCTCGATATATGGGTCTTTTTGCGACGCTGCCTGATTCTCTTCTTCTGACGCTATTAGAATATCTTGACGCTTCGAGCCTTGTTCAGATTGGCGGGACCTGCCGTGCCCTGTTCGCATACAGTACCTTTGATCAGCTGTGGCGAGATATCATTGTCAATCAGGACCCTGCACCATTGCAACAAGACGATCTCAAGCGCACATTCGCATGGCGAGGCAGTTGGCGGGCATCTCAAAGGCAGCTCCCCACGGCGGATATTCCACGAGTGGACTGTTCCAATGTATTCTCGGACGCTCTGCATCGGCCATTCCTTTGTTCGCAGATACCCCTGTCGCCTTTCGTGTCTAACATCCCACATCAAAATAAAATTGCCCGATTAAATCATATGTCGGCCGATGTCTTCAATAGACAGTGGTCGGACCGGCCGTTCATCCTTACAGAGCCAGTCAAAAAGTGGCAAGTGTACCAGAACTGGGATACCGAAAAACTTCTGAACAAGTACGGTGATGTGGTCTTCCGTGCCGAGGCTGTCGACTGGCCACTCAGAACGTACATCGAGTACATGAATGGAACCGAGGACGAGAGCCCTCTCTACCTCTTCGATAGGAGCTTTGTTGAGAAGATGAAGCTCGAAGTGGGCAATGACGCAGATGCAGCGTTTGAGCCACCAGAATGCTTCCAAGAAGACCTCTTCATGCTGCTCAAGGAGCAGAGACCTGATCATCGCTGGCTAATCATTGGTCCAGAGCGGAGCGGCAGCACTTTTCATAAAGACCCAAATGCCACCAGTGCGTGGAATGCTGTGATACGGGGTTCAAAGTACTGGATCATGTTTCCCGCCTCAGTATTGCCACCTGGGGTGTATATGAGCGACGACCAAAGTGAAGTCACCTCACCTCTAAGCATTGCAGAATGGCTGCTGTCGTTTCACGCCGAGGCTCGACAAACACCAGGCTGCGTTGAAGGAATCTGTCAGGAGGGCGAGGTCTTGCATGTGCCATCCGGCTGGTGGCATCTCGTGGTCAACCTCGCACCATCAATTGCAATCACTCAGAATTTCGTCCCTCGATCTCATGTTGGTGCCGCCGTCCGGTTCCTACGATACAAAGCAAATCAAGTGTCAGGATTCAAAGATGATGTGACCGATCCTGGCTCTTTGTTTATGGAACGCCTCAAGGAATTCCAGCCTGAGATTGCCGCTTCTCTCGACGACTCGATCGAAAGAAAGAGGAAATGGGAAGAAGTAGTTGAAGCATCTGATCAAGACAATGGGCGTGCAAACGGTGGTTTCAGCTTTGGTTTTGACGATGACATTGAAGATGAAGATGGCTGAACTCTCTAATATGACATCTTGAAGCACCAATCTAGCTTTCTTCATCAGAGGCAGGCCCCATTTCCGGGCTCGTCGAGCAGAGAAATGCAGCAAGGGCTTTGTAAAGATCGACATGATATGTCGGAAAATCAATGACAAGCCACGCTCTTTGCTGAGGAGAGGTTGCGGCCAAACGTGATATAACCAACGAAGGCCCCCACCGCAACTGCCAACATGACCCAACCATTGTAGGTCATGAACAAGAGCCTGCGAATGCTTGAGCCATTGCGATCTAGAGCAGGGGGATGAAGGCTCACATTATAAAAAAGCTGTAAAACACCTGGACAGCATATAGTGCTCCCTTGATGATGACTCCTTTTCTTTCGGCGGTCGCCTTGGAATCTCTTCCTACGACGAGTAATGAGCGGGATTCGTTCAACTGCGCATCTTCGCCTTCAAAGGTCTCAGTGGTGAAACACTGTTTACGCTTGTGATGGTACACGTACTGGAAGAACCGCTGCTAAACGCACTCATCCGTGCCTCGTGGCTCTGCTCATATCTTCTGCTGACTTCTCGAATGGCCTCGTATCCGGCGGCGAGTAGGACGATGGCAAATAGGGAGACAATGAGCGAGAATGTGCCGGTGACATGCCACTGGCGGAAGACAATACATAGGTTTTCAGAGGACCAGGTGAACAACATCTGAACTGGTGAGCAGGGATCTCGGGCAGATGCATGCGCATGGGCATGCGCAGCGCATAGAGTGGTACCTACATTCATGGAGCATTTTGGGCCCATGTCCATATCGCCGTGACCGCCATGATCCATTCCGCTGTGATCCATCTTAAAGTCCCAGTATCTGGAGATTCAATATAAACGGCGAGAGAGGTTGTACACTCAATGGGCGTTGTGCGGGCGGTGGCAGATACTGTCTCCTGACGCGGTGTGAGGTTGAGCATGGGAGGCTGCGTATCACATGATTAAGGTCCGCCGGAATTGATACGGTCGACCAATCAGCACAAAATGAAAATATCAACCGCGCATTGACATTCAATCGCGATTTCCGTGGTTCTGACGGATCAACCACCTCCTTCACACATTCACGCTGTTGACCAAGGCTCTCCTAGGCCATTTCATGATGGGCGAGAATGTTCCGCCAGGCTCAGCAAATAAGCCAACAGCCAGCGCGGACCGGCCTGGCTTGCCGTACTACGAAAAGTTGAGAAGAGACTTGCGCGACACTCTCCAACGGAAACGTCTTCTTGATCGTAACCTGGTAAGAAAACCTACTTTTTGTACTGGCCTCTGGACTTATTGGACTCTAGGCGGCGACAGAAGATCAACTGTACCGACAAGAAACCACATACCTCGAAGAAACGTCGATCGCAGGCAACATTGTCAAGGGCTTTGACAACTACATCAAGGCGTCAGCAGTGTCGGCAACTGCAAACTCTGCTGGAGGAACAATATCCGGGAGCGCAGCTGGTGGTGGTGTAGGAGCAGGTCGTCGCAAGGCGGTCATCAACGACACCGATCGAATCTTCTCTCGAAGTTCAGTCTCATACATGCGTGACTCTGATTCTCCCAGCAGTTCGACAAGCACGCCCAATCACGCAGGAACACCCACAGGAAGTTTCACGGCTGACAAGGTTGACAAGAAGAAGAAAAAGGGTACGGCGAATGCAGCTGCACATGATGACGAAGGCGAAGGACGTTCGACCAAACGACAAAAGATCTCATTTGGTGGCCGTAAAGGTCATGATGATTGAGGAGCTCGCAAGGTGGACAACATCTCAAGATGTTGTAATCTCTCATACTGTGCTGAGTTGCACTGCTCCAGCGGCCGGTTACCTTTGGATGATCTTACACATACAGAATTGCAAGGGCTAGCTACGTGGCTCAGAATCATCCCACGGCAGAGATGAAGGGCCAAAGTGTCTAAAAATATCAACGCCGATTGAAAGGAAGGAGCGATAGATTTCCGGATGCAATGGAGGTCAGACTCCGAAAATCCATCATCAGACCATGCTGCAAAGGACGCGAAAGCGACAACTATGGCTTGCAGCGACAACGGCGCTGTAGCGTCTGAAGCCACGTGTCACTGCAGAAGAACCAAGCGAGCCCGAGTCTTGAGTGATCACAGACCGGTGATAGGAATATGTGTGAGGTACAGATCCAGGTCTCATCTACATACTGGCATCGATTGGTGACAGTGAACTGCACGTGGTGGCAATCAGAACGGGGAGTGGCAGAGTGGTTGGCCCAAAGAAGGTAGTCAGTCACCCTGGGTTGCTTATGTAAACTTGATCTGGTTGGGGCAATTGAGTTGCATCGATGATTCCCCATATTGGCTTTGTAACATCGATAACAAGGGTCAAAATCTCGAAGAGCACTAGAAAACAACTTGTCGAGACTACACTTGTGACTCTGTTTACTCCGTACACATCCTCTACTTTCATCCAGCGACCTACTCCATAGGGAGGGACTTGGGGGCGTGTAGGAGCCACGCGCCTTGACTGGTTCCCCAAACCCCGCGGTTGACGGGTACACGGGCAGCGGACTCCTCTCGGCCTCGGGCTACAACCTATAACGGCAAACCACATCAGAGTTTCATCAGAACGATGGTGCCTCGGTTATGTCAACATCCATTTCTTGATCTTGGGCTTGTTGGCATTCATTCCACAGTCAAGACGAAGCCTATACCTCAGATGTTCAGCAGGTTGACTTCTCGAAGTGTGAGACGCGTTTCTTGTACAAGCCTATCTTGTCACCGAACTTTCATTTCTCTCAGCTATCGTCTCAACGACACCATGCCGCGACTTTCGCCCGAATCTCAAGTATGTCGCGGACCCCACGTCATGATAAGACCATCTTCATCTAACCAAAGAATTAGAAAGCTCTGGATCGGTTGAGGAATTACACTTCTCCGCACACAGTATGGCCAGACATGCCTCTGTCAAGGAAAGCAGCTGTGCTCATCCTTCTCTTTGCCGATGAAAACGGAGGGCTGAGAGTCGTCATCACCATGCGTTCAAGCACTCTGAGCTCTTATTCTGGACAAGCTGCCTTGCCCGGCGGGAAGGCAGAAGAAGGAGAGACGGCATTTGAAGCGGCGAGAAGAGAGGCTTCTGAAGAAATTGGCTTGCCGAGACGTGATGCCTCTCTCCCACCGCCTTTCCGAGTCGAGCATCTTTGTGAAATGCCGACCAACCTCGCCAAAACTGAGCTAGTGGTTCGACCATGCATTGCATTTCTACACTCGTATGATCCTGAGACTGGTCTGGACGCAAATGTGGGTGAGAAGCTTCTCCCTAGGTTGGATGCCCGAGAGGTTGCTGCAGTCTTCTCCGCTCCTTTCAAGAATTTCCTCTACATGGAAGACCTCCCGGACCAGCCTGACCTACCTGGCAAACCTAGTGATTGGTACAAAGGTTCTTGGACAGACTGGCACCAAAGTAGGTGGAGAATGCACAATTTCTTCGTCCCTGTCACCAATCAAATTGTCACGAAGCCGAAACGAAATGAGGGGCAGAAGGTGGCCGCGAGTCACCTGGATAGATTGGCGCGGTATAGAGTGTTTGGCATGACTGCGAGAATCTTGACCGATGCCGCTCGATTCGCATACGACCAGGAACCTACCTTTGAACACAACAGCCATTTCGGTGACGAAGACATGATTATCCGGCTCCGTCGTATTGGACGATTGGGACATGTGAGAAAGCCAGGGGACGAGTTGACAAAAGAAGATTTGGCCAAAGCGGCCAACTTGTGAAGAATGCCCCGTGCAGATGGTTGGAATGTCCATGGAATGCCGCGCCCAGCAAACTAGATCAATTAATGATCGGCTCCAATCAAACCACACATGGTGTCAAATTCTTCATGTACTGGTCCAACAGCTCATTCGGGTTGCGGTGAATTGAGCGCACAACCAAGGATTGTGTGTCGCTGTCAGGGTGTGATGCAGCTGCAAGCGGTGCCCTTTGTCTGCTATTCCAGGATGCCGATCGCCGCAGAGAAAGAGGAATGGGTTAACTCGGGCACTTTGGTGTGGTTGCTCAGGTAGGCAAGTGACAAGACCTCAGAGCTCTCATCTCGAGAATTGTTGGGTTGTCTTGCACGGCTCAGGCTATCGCCTGAGATTGTGGTTGATGCTGCAATACCATGAGTTCACGGCCGACCTCAGCTCGGCGTCGGCAGACGACAACACCACCACCGTCGAAAGCGTTGCTGGAGTTGCAACGAAGGGGATTGGAGTTGGGAACACCATCACCACCTTTTAGTTTGCGAGTCCCTGGCAGTGACAAGTCTGCTAAATCGAGCTCGTCCGACTTGGACAAACCTTTGCCGCTGGAGCCATCTGAGTTGGGACGGAGATCCTCGAGTGTATACAGTACCGACACTACGATCACCAACATCATCCACATGTATGGTGGGTTCCGGGATCTTGATCTTGATCTAGATGATCGACTCGAGGCCCCTCGGTTAGCCCGGTTGCATCACCCACAGGCTTACAGAGACACCGTTGCGCCATTGCTAGCTAGGCGGCTCAGCCTCAGTCGAAGCCCTTCTCCGTATTCGCCATTCCCAGACCGAAAGCAAGCGAAAGCATCGGCATCTTCGCTCTCGTTAAGATCCCTTGGTCCTCCAAGACTTGCTCCAACCCTGGCGGAATTCTCCCACCGGCTCCAAGATCGCAAGGATGAGCTAGCTTTACCAGCAATCAGCATATTTGACATTCACCGGCAAGTTGCATTGGACCAACTATCAGCCCCCTCAGCGCAAATTTCTTCAGCTGAGCAGTCCATCCGCGTAGGACACACACCACCTCTTCCAGACGCCATGTCAGGAAGCGTTTCAGATATCACCGACGACGACCTCCTCCCATCACCTCCAGATCTGAGAAGTAGCAGCCCTCCCAGCCCAGTCTTCAGCTCTCCTTCACAATATGATCTCCTGCAACCACAAAGACCATCCGAGAGGCCACCGAGTCAGTTCACGGAGCAACGGTACAAAGAAAGACATTGGTCTGAAAATTGGTTAGTGGATGAGCACATGATCGATCCCTTTCCACAAGACATGTCTCGAACGGGCGCACTGGAGATTGCCAATAGCAGACAAAGTTCTATGGACCAAGCCAAAGAGCGAGCAATGTCGTACGCAACGTCCTACAATTCAGGGCTGGAACAAGGGAGACGGCCTTCCGGCAAATCTGCACGGCAAAGTCTCCAAGAAGGAGTCAGTGACCTGCTGAGGTCAGTGTCTCAGTCCGGCCGGGCGTGGAACGGCGCAGGAAGTCCATTGATGGAAGAAGAGATGCCTCGAGAACAGCAACTAGGTGCACTTGGTAATCCATATCAAATCTACGATGAGGAGATGTGGTCGAAAAAGAAAAAGAAGCCACGGGAAGAGCGAACGGACCCGAAGCGAGGCAAGTCGCTGGACCTAGCGACGGCATATCACAATGGACAAAGCCAAATCGTTCATGCAATGCAGAAATTCACGAGACGGGCATCGATGAAGCGCAAGAAGAAGTTGAAACAGAGTATCGTCATGGTTGGGCCAATGGCTACAAGGAATAGTGGAGGTGGAATTGTCCAGCAAATGCCTGCTAATGGTAAGATGGAATGGATTTGACGAGAGCATCATAGACTACATAGTTGGATTCAGTAGACGCAGCGTGAGAGAAATTTACGGCACCCATGCCCATTTGATTGCTAGTTTTTGAGGGCCTTCAATTGCTTTTGTATGGAGTTTCTTGGCTGCACCTGGTAGAAGTGGCTGTTTGCCTGGTAACCAAAAGTTTTGGTGATTGGGTGCCTGATGCAGCACCTGGAGCACTCCCGTGTGAAGTATTGGGGGAGCCTATTGGCGCCCGAGAGCCCCCCAAGTTGCCAGTTCTCAATGGAGTACTTACCTTATATGGTAGCCTCCGTTAATCGGTGCCAACCATGCTAAGCTAGTCAATTATTGGGAGTCTAAGCGCAAAGCTACGGCAAAGCTACCCCGCATAATTGGAGCAGCTGATGAAACATCGAAGTCACCGGACTGCAGGTGCAGGTCCTCACATCCCTTGGATTTGAGTATCACCACATCCAAGCCCTATAACATCCCTACTCATATTTGTACCTCCAGACACTACTCCGTTCTCCCTATCCTCATCCTTCTTCGCGTCCAACTTGTACACTAGCACAAAGCCCTTGTTTACAGTCTCTATCGCCAGCATGGGAGGCGAAACTACGGCTCGTGTTGAGTCGTCATACCCCAAGTTATCAAAGGGCCCCGTCGGTCAGCAGATCCAAAGCATCTACACAGACCGTCTGCGTCAGTTCACCTCGACTGGCCAATATGAAAAGCAAAACCTCCTTTCGTAAGGACTTCTCTTCTAAACCTCAAATACCCAGGCCATCCATGCACTAACCGCCCATTCTCCAGAAAGCTCTATCACAACATCGAGGACGACTCCAAATACGTCAAACTCTCCGTCTATTCTCCCCCCGACCTGTCACGCCCGACCTTCAAAGATGCCACTTCCCATACCTTCAGACCAACCCACCGTGGAGAGTCTTTCGGCCCATCATGGTCGACCCATTGGTTCAAGATCCAATTGACCATCCCTGAACGGATGCTCGATGGCGAACACCTCGAGTTCCACTGGGACGCTAATAACGAGGGAATGGTGTGGACTGAGGATGGAAACCCTTTACAAGGCCTCACAGGTGGCGGCGATCGCACCGAATGGATCTTGCCCCAAGAATGGAGAGACGGCAAGGAACACATCTTCTATATTGAAATGGCTTGTAATGGCATGTTTGGAAATGCCCCTGGTGGAGACAGCATACAGCCGCCCAACCCAAACAAATATTACCAGCTATGGAAAGCTCAGATTGTTGACGTCAATCTTGTCGCCCGTCAGCTGTATGTCGACTTTTGGATCATTGGCGATGCTGCAAGAGAGTTTCCCGGAGATAGCTGGGAAAAGCACGAGGCCTTGCAGGTTGCAAACCGCATTATCGATGCCTTTATCGCTGGCAATGGCTCCAACGATTCCATCCATGAGGGTCGCAAAATCGCAGAGTCCTACATCGGGAAAAACGTCGATTCCTCCAAAGTCTATGACTCGGACCAGAATATTCTTGTCTACGGCATTGGACATTGCCATATTGACACCTGCTGGCTTTGGCCATGGGCTGAGACCAAACGCAAAGTCGCCCGCAGTTGGTCCAATCAATGCGATCTGATGGATCGCTATCCGGAGCACCGGTTCGCCGTTAGTCAGGCCCAACAGTACAAGTGGCTCAAAGAAAATTATCCCTATGTTTTCGACAGGGTCAAGACCAAGGTCAAGGAAGGCCGATTCCATCCCATTGGCGGCAGTTGGGTCGAACACGATACCAATATGCCCAGCGGAGAGTCATTGGTTCGCCAATTTCTGTACGGACAGCGTTTCTACGAGAGCAACTTTGGTGATCGCTGCCAGACCTTCTGGCTCCCTGATACCTTTGGATACTCTGGTCAACTGCCTCAGATTTGCCGTCTTGCCGGCATGACCAGATTCTTCACCCAAAAGCTGAGCTGGAACAATATCAACAACTTCCCCCACACAACCTTCAACTGGGTCAGTCTCGATGGTAGCCAGGTCATCTGTCACATGGCTCCCAGTGAGACCTATACGGCTAATGCACACTTTGGTGATGTGCGCAGAAGTGTTACTCAGCACAAGAGCTTGAATCAAGACAACACTTCTCTCTTGGTTTTTGGCAAGGGGGATGGTGGCGGTGGTCCGACCCGCGAGATGCTTGAGAAACTGCGAAGATGCCGAGGGCTGAGCGACACGACTGGGTTACTGCCGCGCGTGCACATGGGAAAATCCGTCGATGACTTCTTTGCCGGACTAGAGAAGAAGATCGAGAATGGCACCAAATTGACCACGTGGTATGGAGAGCTGTACTTTGAACTCCACCGAGGAACATACACCACCCAGGCCAACAACAAACGAAACAACCGACACCAAGAAGTCATGCTTCACGATATTGAATACCTAGCCACCCTGGCCAGCTTGAAGAGTAAGAGCTACAGCTACCCCAAGAAAGAGATTGATGAGATTTGGGAAAATGTCTTGCTATGCCAATTCCATGACTGTCTCCCGGGAAGCTCGATCGAGATGTGTTATGATGACTCAAATGCGCTCTACGCACACAACGCTCAAATCGGAGATAAGATCAAAGAGGAGGCATTGACAGTCTTGGGGCTCTCGCAGCATGTCAAGGCCAATGCTGAGCTTGCCGCGATCAATACTGCTCCATGGCCTCGTTCAGAATTGGTCAAGATTCCCCAGGCTCAATCCACGTCGCAACAACAGTCGTATACCTTTGTTTCTGGCGGACCTGGCGTCATTAAGAGCCACGCTGCCTCTGCCATCCAGTCAACCGCATCCGTGACCGAAACCAAGAAAGGTGTATTTGCACTCAAGAACAGCCGATTCGAAGTCCAGGTCGAGGCCGGCGTTATCACGTCGTTGTATGACTTGAAGGCTCAGCGACAAGTTCTCGCCAAGGGCGGCAAGGCCAACCAGTTTGTGATTTTCGATGACAAGCCCCTGTATTGGCAAGCGTGGGATGTCGAAGTGTTCCACCTCGAATCGAGAAAGGAACTGGGCTCTGGTACCACCGAGATTGTCGAAACCGGCCCTTACCGTGTCAGCGTGGCGACGAAAACCCAGGTCAGCGATGACAGCTGGATTAGGACCGTGATCAGCCTGGACGCAACGGACAGTACAGGCGAGGCTGGTTACGTCATGGTTGAAGCCGAGGTCGAGTGGCATGAAACCATGAAATTCTTAAAGGTTGAATTTGAAGTGGATGTGTCGAATACGGAAGCGAGTTACGAAAGCCAGTACGGCATCATCCGCCGACCGACACATTACAATACTACGTAAGTTTGCATTGCGTTCTGGTGAAAGGACTTTATTGACTGGTGCTTAGCTGGGACATGGCCAAATTCGAGGTCTGCTGTCACAAGTTTGCTGACCTGTCCGAGGCCGACTACGGAGTGTCGATTTTGAACGAATCCAAGTATGGCTTCGCTACGATTGGCAACTTGCAACGGCTGTCGTTGCTACGTGCTCCCAAAGCGCCGGATGCACATGCGGACATGGGCCGACATCACATCAAATGGGCGATCCTCCCCCATCAGGGACCTCTCGGCGCGGAGACTGTCCGAGCGGCGTACAACTTCAATCACCCATTGGAATTGGTGTCGGTGGTGGACAACTCACCAGCCAAGGAAGTTTTCAACTCGATTAAACTGAGTGGGGGAAGTTCCCTAATTCTGGACACCATCAAACGGGGAGAAGACGACGAAGATGTTTCACGCGGAGAATTCAGCCCTCGAGCCGGGCAAAGTGTGATTCTACGAATCTACGAAAGTCTGGGAGGAAAGGCCCGTGGCAGCATTGAGACTACTCTACCTGTGAAAAAGGTGTACAGAACAAACGTACTGGAGGACGACGAAGAGGAATTGACAATCACTGGCAAGAGCAAGTCGACGATTGCGATTGAGTTGCGGGCGTTCGAAGTGGCAACGTTCCGTCTGCAACTCTAGGTTGAAAATAGGGGGAAGAAGAGTATGGTGGAATGTCATAATGACCAAGGAGCCCTGGAGGAAGTGCATGTTTGTACGAGCAGAGGAAAAGCAGGTTGCAGTAGCACGAGACTGGCGTCAGGTTAGTTGAGGGACATGCATTAGCACATACCAGGTCATGATCACATTCATGGCATTGGCATCTATCTCTCCGGGATTCTGGATGGTTGACCAGTGAGTAGGAGGACTTTAGGCATCGAAATCGAGTACGTATCCAACAAGGCGATGGACATGTTCTCTTCCAGCACTATTCTGTAGACTGGAGGTACTCTGTACTGTCCAATGGTCCAAGTTTCATAATACTTATGAATATCGTATACCACGTACTCTGAGTGTTCCGAACAAGCCAAGGCCAATCTGTAAGCATAAGCAATATCCTTTCGGTTGTGTCCAGGTGTGGCAATCTCGCTAAGATGCGAAACGAGTGAACGGGGGTAATGACGAAAGCCGGACTTTTAAAAAGTGAGATTTATGGCCAGGAGACGAGTGATTCGTGGAGAGAGTCGAAATTGTCAAGCCAGCATGTTGAAATCAAGCTACCACAGAGAACTGGCTACTGGATATTTGGGTAATCATGGTACGTAAAGTCCAAGTCAAGAGACCAAGATGGAAATGTCCTACAACAGTAGAGGTCCCTGGGTCCAGGAAGGGGTACCAGCGTGGTTCTAAGGCACATGTCCCAAGCCATGAGCGTCCCCGGCACTGTTTGATGCATGGGTTGCAACCCATGCAACTCAACCCACACAGCCGCGGCAGCTTATACCCAGAGATTCGGGCTCAACCCCTAACTTCGAACCCAAGGCTGCCTCGTGGTGGAATTGCGGGTGGGCGAGGGGACCCCCCGGAAACTCTCCCTTGCGTTTTGCTGGGTTAAAGGCATTTTTACATCCTTCTGGGTACCCACGGAGTAGTACTTTCTCGGGCACGTCTCTAATTTGACAAGTATCAAGATCCGTTCTTACACAAATCCAGGGTGTTTGTAGGATGTCTGCCAGTAGTTGGCTGGACTATTTATGACGCATTTGCCATATTCAGATGCCTTAGGTACCTAAGAGCATTGATCGGGGATTATATCCGCCAGGAGAAGCCCGAGGCGCCCGCAGCTTGTCACCTAGAAAGTCAACTGTAACCATGTTTTGACCACCAAAGACGCCTGAGGGCTCATTCCTATTCCCACTTCCACTCCCACCACTCCCTTTCCCTCTCCCACTCGTTCTCCCATGCCACCAGCACGGGCCAACCTCACACCCTTCCATCCATCTCGGGCCACATCTGTCAACCCAGCCCATAAACGTGTGAAACCCGCACCCTGGCCTTTAACAGGTCGATCGGCCCTCACATCCCAAGTTAGTCAGCGAGTGTGGCGATCCTCCGAGCCAACCTTTGCGCTTTATTGACTTCACACGTTTTTTGTTTACACGTCCCTTAGTATCTTCTTACCTGGGAACCCCTGTCCCTGTCTTCTCCCTCTCCCAAATCCACTCTGAATCCATGACTCGCGGACAAAGTGCTCTCATCAATTGCAAAGCCAACGTCCTGCGTGTCACCTTGTCAAAGTCCCTTTACAGTCAATTTGTACCTGTTGGGTGAACTTTGATCACTTTGTCACTGATTTCAACGTGCCCGCAGTCCTGTATTGGTTGCGCAGGCAGGCTGGCAACCAACCAGCGCTTCACACGATTCAATCAATCGTCTTCAACAACAAACGCAAACGACTGCACCGTCCTCATCAATTCATGTCCAATCTTCACTCAACGGCTTCCTTCAGTCATATCCTCTTTACTGCCGTTTGCACGCGCATTCTGTCCTCCGCCACACAACCCACCGATCTCTTCCTCTCCCATCTAAACCTAAACCTATCCCTCCTCGCCGCGAACCATCCTAATATTCACAATGTCGATTACTCGCGTCGGTGACAGTGTTATGGTCCCGGGGGACATGCACGGCGTCGTCAAGTTTATTGGCCCTGTTGCTGGAAAAAAAGGTACCTTTGCTGGTGTTCAATTGTCCAATGAATACGCCGCTCGTGGCAAAAATTCCGGTGATGTTGAGGGCAAATATTACTTCAGGACCACCATTCCAGGCTCAGGAATCTTTTTGCCTTTAGAGAAAGCAGTCAAGAAACCCGGCAGTTCAGGCAGTAGCAGCGGCCTGGGAATCAGAGCCAGCCCTGTTCCCGGCACACCTACGCGCTTGAGCAGTTTCAATCAAGGAGGACGCACCCCGGGCATTGCGAAACCCAGTTTCAGTCAATCTATCGGTCCTGGAGTCAGGGCTGGCGCTGCCAGTCCCGCCCTCAAACCTCCTACCAGGAGAGAGTCACTGCCACGCCCGACCAGTCCACTCCGCAAAGCCAACACTCCCACACCTAAGGCGTTGATCACGCCAAAGACCCGTGGAAGCGGCATTGGCATGGCCAAAAGTACCAATGGCGCCCTGGGACAATATACTAGACCAACCTCAAGGCCAACGAACGGCTTCAGCCAGAGTCTGCGCCAGAATAGTGCCGCGCCAGCGTATTCCAACGGAAGTCCCTCACTAGGTCCCGAGTCGAGTTTTGACGAAATGCCCGAGAACGAAGCAGATTCTACCCCGACCCCGACACCCAACGTCTCGAGAAGTGGTGATGGAGATGACCTACATTATCAAGGAAGGATTAAATTACTGACTGATGAACTCAACGATGCTAAACGCCAGCTGCGCGAACAAAATGCAAACTTTACCGAGATGGAACGAAGTTTTAATGAGTTACAGAAACTCCTACCAGACCTGGAAAAGACTGCCAACGGGCGCAGACGTAATCGTGGCGACGACGAAGACGACGAGGATCTGCCCAGAGATGTGGTCACATTGCGTGACCTGCTCCGAGAGAAAAACGATAAAATCAAAATGCTCACCTCAGAATTCGACAACAATCGTGCCGACTTCCGATCCACAATCGACACGCTCGAGATGGCAAGCTCGGAAACGGAACGAGTCTACGAGAAACGTGTCGACGAATTGCTCGAGGAAGTTCGCAATTTACAGGACAGGAGTGAGGATGTCGAGACCGTGGCTCAACAGCTTAAGCAGCTTGAAGAACTGGTCCAAGAGTTGGAAGAAGGTCTAGAGGATGCCAGGCGTGGAGAGGCCGAGGCAAGAGGAGAAGTGGAATTCCTCAGGGGTGAAGTTGAGCGATCCAGGTCCGAACTGCGACGAGAAAAGGAAAGGATCAAAACCGAGGAGCAGCTGAATGGCTATTCCAACAACTCTGCCAACCACAACTCTGGGATTCAAGAATTAGAATCCCAGTTGAACGCCAAAGATGATGAGATTCGGGGTCTCAAAGCCATCATCCAGAATCTCAACGATTCTCACAATACCTCACCCAAACTCAACGGCAATTCCACACGGAATAAAGATGCTCATGTAGAGTCATCATCCGACGACACAAGATTCGACATGCAGCAACAGATTCGCGACCTCGAAGCTCTCCTACAGCAGAAATCTTTACATGAAGAAGAGCTTGCTAATGAAGTCAAGCAACTCCGAAACAGTGTCACACTCTCTCGCTTTCCACTGCCAGGAAATGCCTTTGGCATGCGAACTGCAGCAATGTCACCCCCTGGCGGTCATTCACGAGACAACAGCCAAGATCTGGCACAGAAACATCTCTCTGCCGGTTCTCAACGGACTGTAGTGCTGGGCAGCCCCAAGGGTAAAAACATGCCACAAAGGCAAGGAAGCCAACGTGAGGAAACATGGCATGATGCCGCACAGTCCCATGGCGCCAGCCCCGTCAAAGGTCCTGCATCTCGCCATCTTGATTACAATGCCATCATCCCCGGCAATCACCGCAATGCATCTCATACTGATGGCTCCGATGATGGTGTTACAGATGGATCCGTTTCAAGTGCAACTCTCTGGTGTGAGATATGCGAGGAAAGTGGCCACGATATCTTGACCTGTTCAAACATGTTCGGGACGGGAAAAGCCAGTGATTCCAACCACCAGTCTGCATCAGGAAGCGGCAGTCTAGGACGAAAAGGAGGCCGTGAGGTCTTGAGAGACGTCAAAACGTTGTCGACAGATCATGTTCGAGACAGTGACAACGGAGACCATATGTCCCTTGACAGAGATCGGCCCGCACCCCTCGTCAGTCGTCGAAGCAACACATCACTTCCCAGCGCGTCTCCAAGTGAAGCACCGAATGCCTCATTACCGCCGCCTCCGCCTGGTCTATCCAAATCAACATCCAATGACGAGCCACCCACCGCGAACGGAGCTGCGAACGCCACCTCAGCAGCCTCCTCAGCTCCCATCGAAGGCACAGGGGATCAGGCGGGCATGCTGGCAGGTAAATCTTCTGGTGTCATTGACCCGGATAAATGGTGTGCCCTATGTGAACGTGATGGTCATGATAGCGTGGACTGTCCTTTGGAAGATGCTTTCTGAGTGTGATCATTTGGTCGATCGACAGACAAGACATGACATGATATGACAAGAAGGGAGGGAATTGTGTGACTGCCAACTGCATGCCACATAGTGGATGACAGACCATTGGGCTTTGCACATCGATTCCCAGTGGATTCGGACTGTCTTTGAACAGCAGTCTCTGACCGACATAGAGAAGTACGAAGGACGTACATACAGTACCTACTATCTTCGAATCCTTCCAGGCTTTCAGCACCATCACCGACCACAGAAGCAGAAGTAGAAGCACAATCACCACCGTCACAGCCCAAAGCTCGAAACCCGAAACCCGAAACCCGAAACTCGAAACTCTTGTCAACCAGAAACAGACAAGTGTTCAACTCTTCCTCCGGCAGGAACTTGCTTTGTTTACATATAGTTGGGACCCTCCACTCCCAACCATTGAACAATCTATTATTTATCATCTCCCTCAACCTTTCTTCTTTTCCCCTCTTGGAAATATGCCATGCCATGCCGAACGAACGAGTTTCTATTTTCCTTTCAACCCATACAACCCATATCAAATGGAATACAATGAACATGGAAAATGAAAAAATCGGATGAATGGGATAGAGAAAGATGGATATGGATCGGAGTCGAGTCATGAGGATCCGACCTGGAATGGACCGATGGATGGAATGATTGACCGATTGACAAAATGACAGACTTTGCGTCTTGTCTTGTCTTGTCTTACATGCTCACTCACCTCATTACACTACACTACTGATGTGTCGACTGGACCTATTTTTTGGTTCTTGATGGACGTGAGAAAAGGGTTAGTTGATTAATGGATAATAATCTAATTAATTGACTGGATGGGATGGGATGGACTGGAGTGGAAATGGTATCTGTGACCTTGATCATGACCATGACATTGCCAGATCTACTCTTGATGGGTAGTAGTATAGCAAAGTGGTTTGGTTTGGGGTTGCTTAAGGGGCGGAGGCTCTCTCTCTCTCTCTCTCTCTCTCTCTCTCTCTCTCTCTCTCTCTCTCTCTCTCTCTCTCTCTCTCTCTCTCTCTCTCTCTCTCCTTGGGTCTTACAGACCAGACCTCTTTTAACGAATGAGTCGAGATGACTGGGAATGGACCGGACCGGACAAATTGACTTACCATGATTTGGGTTGGTTTGGTTTGTCTTGTCTGTTGTAAGACCCATTTCGAGTCAACACAACGCAACGCAACACAACACACCTCAATGATAGGATAGGCGAGGCCAACCAGCAGAGGCAGGGGAATTATCATCATTATACCACTATCATCAACATCACCATTGTCATCTCTCTCCCATGCTTACCTACTTTTATTTCAATCACCATTCTTTTTTACTACATACTTACCTATAGTACTACGTTTGCTATATTTGTACATTATTACGCATAGCTACTAAGTAGGTCAGACTTGGTTTTGGATTCAGACCTACCTAGACAGGACTCAGACGCGCATCTGTAGCCGTTTCCATATCCATGTCCTGGGAATAAGGCATTAGCTAGCTAGATGATGAAAACTAGGTACTTGTCCTGTCTGTCCTGTCCTATGCCATGCATGTTGATGTACCCCGTTATGCTAAACCTTTAACCATCCTTCCATCCCCTTCCAGTCATGCCCATAACAAAATACACATACCTTTAACACATACACATGTATGAAGTCAACCAAGTCTCGCATGCCTGCCTGCCTGCCTGCCGGTCTTCATCCAGTACCACCTACCCACCCACTCACCCACCCACGCAGTCCAGTAATCCTTTATTCTGTAATCTGTCCGTGAAGAGGGGGGAAATTCTGATATCCCCTCGTGTCTTTGTGTATGTCTGCCCCATGGACATGGGGCATGAACAATAGTGATGATGATGATCTGAGCTTGTAGAAAACTAGCTCCCAAGTGGACAATTGACTTCAATATGAAACTCCATCCCAATGTAAAGTAAAAAAAAGATGCCCTTGTGCCCGATCCTGGTTTCTCAAAAAGGTGGACCTGTATTCTCCGTTTCGTGAAGAATGAAAAATGAACATGACCTCGCAAATCGGCAAGGTCGGCCGTAAACGCCGTGCTTATGGGTAATCGGTATGGGTATTTCCGAAACCGAAACCCTTCGTAATCAAAAGACTATCCTATCCCGAAAAATGCGTGGGATAATTATCCTCGGCTTCTTCTAGAGTCGAGGTGTTTGAGAGAAAAAGGGGGAAGGCGGGCGATGGGAGGTGGGATCGAGGATACCGATACCGATACCGATACCTCATACCTCGATGCTAACAACATCTTCCCCTTCGTTTGGCCTCTTCTGGGTCCCAGGTGCGGGTAAACCCATCAGAGTCACTACCACCAGGTAGGCCGACACTTGGCAGGCCTAACCAACTTCTCCTCTTGTCGCCGTAGCCGACTCTAAAACTGCCGGAATGGCCGTGTGGTCCGGCAAAGTAATCGTCGCCATGCTCAGACCGATAACCCGGGGTATCTTGGATACGGGCGTGATCGGCTGCGTCTCTTTGGTGTTTCTGGTCGATTAATTTCCTGGCAATGACTCGAAAGACTTCTTCGATGCCTTCGCCGTCTTTTGCGTTGACTTCATGACAACTGTCCCAGCCAATGTCCTGGTTCCAGAAACCAGAACTTCGTGTTGAGTCTGGGCTGTTGATGGCGGCCAAGTTGCCGGGTTTCATGCTCATTGGAGGGGTGGAACTGGTGCTTTGAGCAGCGGTGACTCCACCTAATTGTTCAGCCACATAGGCGATTGTTCTCTCAAAGGTGACTTGGCGACAAGATGGGTCTTCGGCCACCATGTCTGACTTTGTGCCCACCACGTGGATAATGGGCATGGCATCATCTCCAGCGGCGCAATTTTCCCTCATCTCAGCTAACCACGTCTTCATCTCCTCCCAACTGGCTTCATTGGTGATATCATAACACAATAAGCCTGCGTTGGCTCCTCGGTAGTATAGCCGGGAAATGCTTCGGAAGCGCTCTTGACCGGCAGTATCCCAGATCTGCAGCCGGACCGTGGTGGCCGTGTCGGGGTCTGTGATGCGTTTGGTCACAAAGGACGCACCAATGGTGGACTGGATATTCTTGGCCAACGGTGCATTAGGGTTGATGTATCTCGAGACCAGCGAGGTTTTCCCTACGCCTTGAGCACCCAGCACGACGAGCTTGGCCTCGATAGATGTGGCGGGGATCGGTTGGGGGGCAGTGGTAGTAACCATGGGGGGAGCGGTATTCATGGTGGAAATGAGGAGAAAGTATGAAAAATGTAGAAAGTAGGAAGGTGTTGGATCTTTTGAGATTCTGGTTGTGATTGTTATATTTTGATTCTATTTCATCTTGATGGCTGTGCAAGTGGAATGGAATGGACAACGGTCGCAGGTGGTCGCGAAAAGGCCAGCGGCGCAGTGTAATGTGAATCGGACGCCTGCGTTTGATGTGAGTCACCTGGAGATTGTGAGTGATGGAGGCGGGGTCCCGGTTAGTTATGAGCAGCTGTCGGGTTTGTCGCGTAGTCAAGAGTCAGCTCTATGGGCAAACGCACACGATTCCAACAAGAAGCCAAAGGACGACCAAAGAAGGGACAAGGAGACAGAAGACAGTGAAATAGAGAGATGAAGATGACGAAATGAAGAAAGACGTCGCAGTCGGCCGAATGGTCCGAGGAGTCGAGGGTGTGAAGAGATGATGCGATTGATTGTCGCAGGTGTGTGAAAAAGTTGGTGTTGAAAGTGATTGAAGCGAGTCGAGTCGAGGCAGACAGGCAGGTTGACCACCCCGGTCCAGGCAGTCCAGAGTTGCATACGATGATGCTCACGACATCACACCCAGGGGATTTGGTCCACTCCTTGGCGAGATTCCAGGCTTAATTACACTGCAAATGGCACCCAGATGGTTGTCACTTTAGGCCTGGTCCGGTGCATGGTCTCTTGGTAGGCTGAAAATAGCTGCACCAAGATTAGGCGAAGAGTCGAGTGTGGGATTTCGCTGACCCCGCGACCCTGGAGCCTGGGTACTCGGTGCCTACAGGCTACAGGCTATAGGCTGCAGGCTGCAGCATGCAGCACCTTGCTTTGCTCCCTCTTCTTCCCCCTCCAACATGCTGCAATCTCCAGACTCCCACACACACCGCAGCGTGTTGTCATCACAAGACCAGGACGCGAGTCTGATATACGGGTGTGAATGTGGGAACCAGGGTGTCAGACTCCAGATGACACACATCATGTTGAAGGCTGCAGCCAGTCATGGAACCAGTGTGGAAGCACGAGCATGTTGGTGATCAAGGATCAGTGAGCAGATAACAATGTCACGCGAGCCCCTCAAAGACCACTTTTGGACATGGTCAACATTAAAACAGAGGCTATGATGTAAGAGCTGACAGGTTTGTTTACACATCTCAGAGGAAGGGCCATGAGAATTAAATAATGAGCGATTTGACAGCTGCTGATGTCCCTGGTTCCATGTACGGAGTACGGAGTATATCTTGCATGCATGTTGTCCAGTGGAATGCCACCAATATGTTGGACACCTGGCACTACTCGAGCTGTTGGGGGCCAGAAGATGTGAGGAGGGGCAACAAATCCGGGGGCCTTCTCGGGGCTGTAGCTCTCAAAGCAAGTGCGTAACCTCGGAATTTCGGACTTGGGAGCACTTAATGAATTGCATGAGGTTTGGACCACGTGAGACTGGCCGTATTACCTACTAAGGTGACTAAGGTAAGTATGAAAAGCCATTTATCAATGTTGCTGTGCTGTTGTGCTACTGTGCAACTCGTTCGGACTTCTTGCGTCGGTAATGGTAGGCTATGGATAAGCCCGTGCGTAAGGGAGCATCACCGACGTGCGGAGGTACCTTAGGGGTTGCCCACAAAATTATTGGGCCTAGACTGCACCAGGCATAACTCGCACAAGAGTGACATAGCCATGGTAGGTACCCAGGTACCTAGGCATACTGGTAGTTGGCGTGGATGGGTACGTGGGCAGTACCTAAGGTAGGTAAGTACTAGGTACTAAGTCAGATCCAGAGAGACCCGCGAGTCAGAACCTCCACGGAGCGAAGCCCGTCATCATCTCTACACACAAAACCTCGATCTTGTCCCCGCGTCAACAAAGCCAACCTTTGAGAATCCCCACACACCGCAACCAAGCGCCCCATCATCATCCTCACGGCCAACTTCTTCCACCAATCCCGTTGAGATGGATGCTCATTACGCTACCTCCATGGATTTATTCCGAGGACAATCTCAAATTATTGATAGAGTCCCCCAGATACTTATAATTCTTTTTGCGGCTCTAATCATCATCGCCTTTGTGATAGTCTTCTTCCTTCCCTCATCTTCTCGAAATAGAGAGCCCATCGCTGACCTCGAACGCGACCAATTACTTCCATCGGAACCCTAGAACCCCCCCACGTCATGAATCGAGACAAAGGTGAAAACGGTAATGTCGGCGCTTTGACGGGCGACGAAGTGGCAAAACACAATTCGAGAGAATCATGTTGGGTTATTGTCCATGGAAAAGCGTACGATGTGACAGAGTTCCTCCCAGGTAGGTATCATTGACGAGTATCGCACGTCGATTGCCGCCAGCTAATCTATTGTCGCTTAGAACACCCTGGTGGTCCCAAGATCATCCTCAAGTATGCCGGTAAAGATGCGACTGACGAGTACGCGCCGATTCACCCTCCTGATACCCTAGACAAGTTCCTGCCAAAGGACAAGCACTTGGGACCTGTCAATATGGACACTGTTGAGCAGGAAGAGAAGGTAGAGAGCCCCGAGGAAAAGGCACGGCAAGAACGCATCAAGAACATGCCAATCCTGGAAGCATGCTACAACCTGATGGATTTCGAGACTGTCGCCCGGAATGTGATGAAGAAGCCTGCGTGGGCATACTATAGCTCCGGGGCCGATGATGAAATCACCATGCGAGAGAACCACAATGCCTTCCATAAAATCTGGTTTCGACCAAAGGTCCTGGTGGACGTGGAACAGGTGGATATCAGCACCACCATGTTGGGAACCAAGGTTGATATTCCCTTCTACGTCACCGCCACTGCGTTGGGCAAACTGGGCCATCCAGAAGGTGAAGTGGTTCTGACGCGAGGCGCCAAAAAGCACAATGTCATCCAGATGATCCCTACTCTGGCATCGTGCAGTTTTGATGAAATTGTTGACGCCAAAGAAGGTGACCAGGTCCAATGGCTGCAACTCTACGTCAACAAAGATCGAAAGATCACTGAAAAGATTGTCAAACATGCCGAAGCCAGAGGGTGCAAGGGTTTGTTCATCACCGTCGATGCTCCTCAGTTAGGCCGACGAGAAAAGGACATGCGCAGCAAGTTTGACGACACAGGATCCAACGTTCAGAACACCAGTGGCGAGAATGTGGACCGATCACAAGGTGCAGCGCGTGCGATTTCCAGCTTCATCGACCCATGTCTGAGCTGGAAGGACATCCCTTGGTTTTTGAGCATCACCAAAATGCCTATCATCTTGAAGGGTGTCCAACGAGTGGAGGATGTGCTCAAGGCGATCGACGTGGGTGTCCACGGAGTTGTTCTCTCCAACCACGGTGGTCGTCAGCTCGACTTTGCCCGATCGGGCGTCGAAGTCCTTGCTGAGGTGATGCCTGTCCTTCGAGAACGGGGACTGCAGGACAAGATTGAGATCTTCATTGATGGAGGTGTACGCAGAGCCACTGACATTATCAAGGCTCTCTGCCTGGGGGCCACTGGTGTTGGTATTGGACGACCTTTCCTATATGCCATGTCTGCATACGGCCTTCCAGGTGTGGACCGAGCGATGCAATTGCTCAAGGACGAAATGGTGATGAACATGAGGCTGATTGGAGCGTCCAAAGTGGAGGAGCTGACACCTGACATGGTGGATACAGCTGGCCTTAAGAGTCATACGGCGGTCGTGCCCCAGGACATTCTGGGTCAAAGAGCATATGACCCTCTGATCACACCCAACGACATGCTCAAGGCGAAGCTGTAATGATTGTCAAGACCATGCACATGGAAAAGAGTATATAGGGATATGTCTAGGGGCGTCTTTGAGTGATTGATGTAACGTACATATAGCAATCCATTGCCTCGGTGCTGAAATTTGAAGAGTACAGTACAGGTTCCTTAACAGGTCAGCATTCATGCCTGGGGATGATGCATCCAACCATCGACGACTCAGCAGGATAGAAGTATTCGCGTGACTCGAATGCCTATAAGGAACCTTTCAAATGGTTTTTACTCTCCAATCAAGTTCCTAGTCCTTTATGCAGTCGACAGTTTAATTCTCCGGGCACAAACAGTCTCTGCATTAAGGTCACTAGGAACTAAAGGATGCAGCCGGCACTTCTAGCGGCTTTTAAGCCTCGACTGATAAGCTCTCCAGTTAAACAAACACAAGCCATGGGTACTTTATGCACGCCGAGGATGCCCTGAATCCCCGCCTAAACCCCATCATTGGTTACTCAGCCCCCCAGAACTCTACCTACACGCTTCCGCCGGTCGCCGTGATCCCATCTCGCATGATGCAGAATCCACTCAATCATGGCTCGTGCCACTAAAATCCTGACACTCACGAGTCACCATCCACAATAATGCCACCACCCACCTTCACGTCCATTCATCCCATCCCATCCCATGTACACCCCATCTCACTTGACGCTATCCATATCCGAGTTATGAACAGCCTTACCAGACTCCCCCAACACATATTGTCCTGTGTTGCTCGAACCAGGTAGATTCACTTCTTTACAGACATGGCATTTATTCTCTCAAGTCGCACGTTCTCCCACTCACCCTCCGACGGTCGGCGCGACTGCTGATCCCTCCACCCCGCCACAGCCATATCCTGACCCTCCGCGTGAATCATGTTGTTGATACACCAGACTGGCTCTGTCAAGGTCGGCGAGGTCGTACGGTATGTCTGTATCTTCCCGCACTCTCCACTCCTCTGACCAACCCTTTCACATCTAGATACACAGTCACCTACACTCCCAGCCTTGACCGCATCCTCCCACCGCCTACCCACCTTCATGTCAAGATCAAGAACACCTCGGCCATCCCTCTGCGGGCTGCATATCTTCATGGCCCCTATACATTATACGTCTCCTGCTATCCCTCAACATTCGACCCGTACCAGAAATTCAACGATGTCAAGCTCCACGGTGCGCCCGAATATGAGCCCCAGCTCAAGGCTGGCGGTCAGTGGAATGCGACATTGACCGTCCCCGAATCCGTGAGAGAAGACACCAATCATAGCAACAGTTCCCGTTTCGACGGCTCCAAACCCTCCCGCAAGTCCTTTACCTGGATCATCGAGCTTGCTTCACAGGTCATCTTCTCTACGAGCGCAACCGTCCACTATGAAGTTCTCATTGGACGAGACGAAAAGTCGGTCGATCTTGGTTTCCATGGTGTTGTTGGATCCGGTCAAGGTGCCCCTGGAAAGCTGGAGGATCACCAGCAAAATCGTACCAACCCTACCGGTCAACCGAAAGGCGTCTTCTCCAAGGCCGTCAGATTGTCCATCGATGACACCAACAGCCTCTGGAACACTCCTCCGTTTCCCGAATTCAAGAAAGACGGCGACGTCAAGGTGCAGGAGGGACCGCAACATGGCGACAAACGAGACACTGACGCAAAGCCTGATGAAAAACAGCACAAGCAGCAGAAGATCCACCTCGTCCTGTTGACACATGGCCTCCACAGCAATCTCGGTGCCGACATGCTGTACATGAAGGAAAGTATCGACACTGCTGCGAAACAAGCCAGACTAGATTCCAAAAAGAGAAAAGCACAGATGCGTGCCGATCAGATGGCCAAGGCCAACAAGTCCTCAGCTAAAGCCCAAGGTCAAAGGTCGACATCTGCACCAGAGGTATTGCCGGGCGGGCTTGAGGACGAAGACACCGACGCAGATGAAGAGCAAGTCATTGTGCGAGGTTTCAACGGCAATGCAGTCCGAACAGAACGCGGCATTCAGTATCTGGGCAAGCGTCTCGCCAAGTACATCCTGTCCATCACGTACCCCGACCAGCCCTATCTACCAGTCAAAAGCTCAATCTCAAAGTCCATCACCAAGACCTTTACTGGTGCCAAACCCAATCTCCCGGAAGGAACGCATTTGACGCACAAAAACAGCAGCATTGTCAAGGATGAAAACCACAAAGATCACCATATGCCCTACAAGATCACCAGCATCTCCTTTGTCAGTCATTCCCTCGGAGGACTCATCCAGACTTATGCTATAGCATACATCCAAAAGCATTCTCCCGACTTTTTCGACTTGATTGAGCCTGTCAACTTTGTCGCCATGGCCACTCCTTTCCTAGGTCTGAGCAACGAGAACCCCATGTATGTCAAGTTTGCCCTGGATTTTGGCCTGGTAGGGAGAACCGGCCGAGATCTCGGACTGACCTGGAGAGCGCCGACTTTGGCCAAGAGTGGATGGGGTGCCGTCATCAGTGGACTCACGAGTGAATCACAAAATGCCCAAAAGGAGCCGGACCCTGGGGCAAAACCATTGCTTCGCATTCTCCCCACAGGCCCTGCTCATACTGCCTTGAAAAGATTCCGTAATCGAACCGTCTACTCCAACGTGGTCAATGATGGGATTGTGCCGTTGAGGACTTCATGTCTGCTCTTCCTAGACTGGAGAGGGTTGGGGCGGGTGGAGAAGGCTCGTCGAGAAAACGGCCTTGTCGGGACCATGGTAGGTTGGGGATGGGCCGAAATGACCGGTCAAAATGCAAGCGCGTCACGAAAAGGCTTGACTTGGAATGATCTTTTTGGTGAAAGTGGTGATGAAACGCCTCGCAGTGGCAAGGCCTCGCCTGACCCCGAATCCACTGTCCCAGCTGCAGAAGCCAGTCAAGCGTTTGACTCGTACGAAACAGCTCCAATTGAACGAGAGGGGGCTGAGGTAACGAAATCTGAAGCGACGGCGACGACGCAGGATAGTCCTGTGACGGGTGCCAGCCTTTGGTCAGGCTTGATGAGCCTACTGAAGCCGCAAGCCGGCCAGAAACCGGAACCAAAATCACCCACCAAAACACAACGCATTCTCCGACGTGGTCAAACCATGCACCATCATCATAGCAATCAATCTGATACCGAACGCTCGCGACACAACTCCTTTACAAGTGATGCAAGTCTAACTGAGGGCGGACGACCTTCTGGACTGGTTCGAGGGTCCTCGCTATACACGAACAATTCAGATGACGGGAACCTTGAAGCACCGCCAAAGACGACTTTTTTCGAAGCTGCAGGCGATGTGTTGAATCCCCCTCTGCCATCTCAAGACTTCATCCTCGATCCTGGCGCTAGACCGCGCACCATCTTCCATGATCGAGTTTACCATCCCCAGGACATTCCTCCTCCTCCAGCCAAGCGTCAACGCACCAACTTGCTACCTAGAAGGTCAGGGTCTCGAGATCCCAACACCTCCCAACAATCGCTTAATTCCACAGCAACTCTCGATCATGTACAATCAGAATCAAGCCTGTCTTCGGTAGGTAGACCGCAACCTGTCGGACAGATGAAGATTGAAGAAAAGATCGCGCGTGCGTATCATAAGGATTTATCTTGGCGCAAAGTCCTTGTGCGTCTAGAGCCTGATGCGCATAACAACATGATCGTCCGCCGCATGTTCGCCAACGCTTACGGTTGGCCCGTGGTGAAGCACATGTGTGACACCCATTTTGCCTACACGATAGCAGCACGCACAAGAGACGATGAAGAGGCAGCCGTGGAAAGGGCCGAAGCTTCTGATAAAGCCGTGCGACCAGACGGCGAAGAGGTCAAGGGACAAACAGATCAACCAACTTTGCAAGGGCTGGCAGTCAATTCTGACCAAATACCACATCGTGCTGATAGTGCAGATGATCTAGACCTGACGCCTGCCTCTCCTGCGGCTCTGGAAGGGATTCAAGAAGACTTGGAGCAACTCCATACACATTGGAAGGCAGAAAGCTCTCGTAAACGAACGGAGCGGACCGAATCCGAGAGTCGAGAGGCGCGGGACGACGTGTCAGAACTGGTCACCATGGTCAATGCGACTGGTATTACCTCAAGTGCAGCGGGCTATCCCAACACAAACTCGGGCAAGGCCGCGCTCTCAAGACTAGCCAGACAAGACAGCGCACGCTGGAGCGATCGTTTCTTTGAAGGCGACGAGGATGATTACACCGAAGATGATGACAGTATACTAGCCACAGAAATCGACAAGGCACGGGCCCGTGAAGAACTCCAAAAAGCGGGATCCACAGGAGGTGCTGAGCGAATGCAGGCACGCATTGCGGACGGATTGACTATCAGTCCACAAGTGACGAGACAGACTGCCACCATGGACAAGATGGGAAGTCCTTCAACACAGGGGTTCATACTTCCAGACTCAACACTGACGAGTGAGCCTGGAGAAATCGAACCTTTATCTCGAGATTCGGGCAAGGAGACGCCCGTATTGGAGGACCATTTGAATCCTGGCTCAGTGACTGCATTCAGCACCAACACTAATCCCTTGGGCCTGGCATTGAGCGAGAGGGCTAGTGAGGCGATTGCTCAGGGAGGAGATGGTGGTAAGGGTTCCAGCAGTGTAGCGGAACAAGTCGCAGAACAGATTGCCGCTGCACAGGCAGAGAAACAGTGAACTTGAGCGAGGGTTGTCTTGGTGACTCTCCATTCAGCTGCTCTCCTTGGTTGGGATACCCGTTTTCTGTACGATACGATGTGTAGATGACTACATTGTAAATGGACTCATATTACTTTGATGATCTACGATATAAACATAATATGCATGAATGATCTGCAAGCGTGTTCATCTATAATGGTTGATTTGGAGCAAATTCATCTACTTCACAGCATGCGCTGTGTGGGGGTGACGTACACGTGACTATCTTAGGTATCTGATGTGTGTAAATTGATATCCACGAGGCTGTCCTTCAAAGGGCAATTCGTGGGGCTAAGTACGAGGGAACGAAAACTGTTTCCCAGGGCTGGAAAGAATGAGGCCTTGAGAGTTTTCGGCACTTGATCTCATCACAGGGTAGTAGCTGATATATCATATATAGCTAACTTGAGGTACTTCTGTATCTATAGCGTACTTCCCTCGTTCGGACCCAAGCACTCCGTAGAAGTTCGAGGCAGGCAGGCTCGACGGTACGCATGTGTTGTCCTTCGCACCAAAGACACATGGAGGAAGAATAGCCACAATTGAAATCCACCCGACGAGGTTGGTGGACACCCAGTTGACAACATCTGCCCAGGTCAGTGGACGAATCTGAAATCCAATCGCTTGGAGCCTTCGTCCTTGGTGTTGTGGATATAGTCATTCTTCTCCTCTCCGGTCAACTTGCTCCAGGCCTCTTCACGCCGCTTGTTTCGCACAATGTAGTAGTACTTAACAAAGAAGAACAAGACGACGTTGAAGCAGCATATGCCTAACAAGATTTTGTTTCCACGAATGTAATACGGGCGATCCTCGTCACGGTAGATGTTGGATCCAACAATATTGCCCGCCTGCACAAACATGTTGTACAGTGCCGCCGACACCGCGCGTGTTCTCACCGTGTTGGAGTTTCGAGAGTTCCACGCCACCAGGATTGCATGACAGTATGGATAGGATAAGAGGCCGGTGAGCAACCCGTACCGAACCCAGTTGCTCGCCGACGCTCCCAGCGCCACTAGGGACACGAGGAAGGGGAAGATCCAGATGTTTGACGTCGCCGAAACCAGGGATCGCTCATTCACCCATTCGCTGATCCAGGAAATAATGAGGAGATTGATTCCAAACATGAATTGGGAGGGGATGGTGAGCAGATTGGCATTGAAAGTGCTGAAGCCCATCTGTCGCAAGATAAAGGCCAGATAGTTCGACGGCGGGCTGGGTGGGATGTAATTCGTCAGGCCAATGAGGTAAAGGGGCCACAGGTCAAAGTCCTTCAGACACTTCCAAAGACGGCGGAGTCCTACTGCTTGTCGGTTGTGCATGTCTCCCTTTGAGGGGTCGTCGCGGAGCAGTCGGTTCACCATGATTTTCTCTTCTCGCTCGCTGAACCATCCGTCCTTACCTCGGAACCAATGCTGGGTTTGGCACGGGCTTGGAGGCATCAGCAACCAGCTCAAGAGACCGACGATGGATGTCAGAACACCCTCGATCAGGAACAGCCATTGCCACCTAAGGTAGGTACCGATTAGTGTGCTGATATAAAAGTCAATGAGAAAGATGCCTTCGAAACTTACCCTGACCAGCCTCGAAGCCCTCGCATCTGCAGAATTCCCGCCGCCAACAAAGACCCGACGATGTTGCATGTGCTCAGAACCGTCCAAAACCAACTCAGGCGAATGGGAAGTTCTTTGGCCTTGTACCAGTATGTGATGTAGAGCACCGTGTCAGGCTATGACAAAATATCGTCAGCTTGCTCTCCCTCATACCGCTCCCGATAAACTTACGATGAAGCCTCCCATCAGGAGGCCCAACAAGCATCGGCACACGTAGTAGCCTGCTTTATTGGACAGCCCAGCCTGAGCCGCCGAGATGACACTCCAGGCAAAAATAATAAAGGGGATCCATCTGCGCACCCGGGGATCAGCTCGACAATTCACCGCATGCATGCAGAAAGAGGAATATATACCGATCAGGTCCTAGCTTCTTGGAAATCAAGCCAGATGGCAATTCTGCAGAGAGAAAAGACACCAGGAAGATAGTTTGGCCATAATTGAAATCATTAGTGTTCATGCCGAGCTCCGTGAGCATATTGTCAGAGATGGCTATCAAAAAGACTGGTCAGTCACGAGTTTTGCTTCGCTAACGAGGGCGAGGGTAGGCGGGGGGGTCCAGTTAGGATTCCCCAGGCTATTTTGTTTTTTGTGTTTTGTTTGGGTGGGCTTTACGGCTCAAGAAAAGATGCATACCTCGATTGATGTTCCGTCGATTAAGATCCAATGCCATGAACATAATCCAGCACCATGTCATAATGCGCCAATCGATCTACGAAACAAAATGTCAGCGTCATTTTCATGCGCCGGTGAGATTTATGGCGCTTCGTTTCAAACTGACCTTTCTCCTCAGGCGTTTCTCCTCGGTCGCGGACCAGGTGAAGGAAGGATCGAAGCGGTGTCTTCCCTCATATGTCGCCTTCTCGTACACGTTTCGCCAATACTCGGCAATCTTGGGCTCTGAGAAGATATGGTTGCTGTAGGAACCATAGTCGCCGTCAATGTCCTCGATGGAGCTGGCATCGTCGCTGCTCACTTCATTGGAGGGCAATTCCTTGGAGTCGGGAAGGTTGGTGCCGTTAAGTTCATCGGCAGCTTTATTAGCTGCCTGAGGAGGGAGTGCGGACATGGTTGTTGACTGGTCAAATATGCGCAGTCAGGTCTTCAGCTTGAATTTCTATATGTTAACAGGAAATAGTTCCGAAGACTGGACCTCCGCGGGCAACTAAGAAAGGTGCCCAAAACCTCTCCCTTTTCTACTCCAGCCTTTCCTAGCCATCAGCGAGCTTGGGATGAAGAGATTTTTTGGCAAATCACACCATCGCTCCAGTAGATCTCGCCAGTCCTGGGCATTGAATATCTCCACCTCGGGCATTGGATACAACCAACCCTTCGAATGAAAAGAGGATTCTGTTCCACCTCTCCAAAATCTCGGCGCATTGTTTGTTTCTGGCAGGTGTTCGTTGTGGTGTCTGAAGCCAAGACCGATATCAAACTCTCACAAGACGATAAGCAGGTAAGCAAGCATATCATAGGCGAGTGTTGTCGAGACTGGTTGCAGAGGAGCATCAACTCGTTATTTCTGCCAAGACTTGCGTGCTTTGGAGGCTGTACGGTTTTGGTGATGGCGCCTCAAGATCAGACGTCCAGACTCGCAAAGAAGTCATCGATGTTCTCTTTGGATCGAGGTGCATGCGCCACGAGTGACGAGAGTCCGATCTATTTGATTTCAACCAAGGACACTGGAATGATTGTGTAAAACACGTGGCATCTTTGCAGGTGTTGGGAGCGTCTATTATTTCGTTCATGTCACGTCGACTTGGCATCCTCGCTATACGACTTGGTTCGATGAGGTAACGATAAGCACAGGGTACTCAAACGTAGGAAACTGGTCTGCTGTGAAGTGCTGGGGGATGGAGTTGAGCGGCGGACGTCTCCCGTCTTTGTCAGATGATGGTCTTGCTGATGTTGACAAGGTGAAGGCTTAATGCTACCATACCCATTTTAGCGTGTCTTGATGTATATGATTAGCCACGGCCACAGCTTGAAGGTTGCTATTCTGATGATTTTATTAATCGTTATCGATTACTCTTTAAGTGACGTCTGATTGTGTGCGTCGAACGAATGATGCTTGGTATTCCATCACAGGATTGCCCAGATGACAATCTCAGGTGGTAGTTGGAGGAAAATGCGATCTCACGGCCACACTAGCAGACCAGATTAGCTTTCATCACGCAATTCTTGGGGCCACGGGCCCGAGGGGCCGACATCTTTACCTTCCAAGTACCTGCTTTAACCATCTACGTTAGGTTCAGTTGCCTCGAGCCTTCTAGACCAAGCCCGGTGTTCCCGGCGACCAACAACTCGTCCAAGAACCCGACTGTCGCAGCTCAGCCAGATTGGGCCTCCCGTACACTTTATTGAAGCCCTTTAGGGGGTTGCTCAGTAAGAGTAGCCAAAGGCTCCGTCAATGCTTAGGCTAGAGCGGTTTTCACTCACTCACTAAGACCAAAATGTAAATGGCATTGATGTTTGTCATTCTCGATTGACCCGGGTAGTTGAGCTAAGCTTAAGCGGCGGCTTGACCAGGCTGAGGAGCTCAACGCTGAGGCTGAGCCGAAACTGAGCCAGGTTGATGATGGAGGAGTAAAGGGGCAGGCCACCGTCCCACACAGCCTATGAACGCTGCCTGATATAATTCAGATTCCAGTCTAGTGACGAGGAAACTAATAAACATACTATACCCAGTCTATAGCCAACGCAATTACAGGGCCATGGCGAATCACAGTAAACAGAAGATTGATTTTCGAGTAAGGAGTAAGGAGTAAGGATTGATATGATACATGACAGTAGACGCACGACTCATGTCGAGTATGACCATACTAAGGTACCGTTTGATCGAGTATGACCGAACAGCAAGGTTCGACTTGTATAAAGATGTCCATGAGATCGGGCAGTACAACCTTTTCCTATCATACCAATCCATTGCCTGTCTGCTATCTCCATATCAAAGAATCAAAGAAGCCCTTCTTTCATCCACCACAGAACCAAAACAAAAGACGCTCAAAGACGAAGAAATTCAGAATACCACCACCGTCATCCTCCCCCATCACCACCACCATCACCAACATGTCCCAGCTCTCCGCTAAAACCCTCTCCCTAGCCTGTTTCCTCATCAGTTTGGTATCCCGTGCTGACGACGACGACTTCTCCATCGTCGAAAACCACATCCTCATTGAAAAAACCGTTGCTGCACTCAAAGGTCGCCTCGGTCTGGAATTAGTCGAAGTCGGAAATTCTTATTCCGGCCATGTTGCTCGAGGAGAGGTACTCCACGGTATGATTGAGGATGTCATCAAGGGGCGGTATCCTAACCATCATGTTATTACTCTATTGCAAGAGAGGGGGTTTGATGTCGAAGCGGAGATGTATGCTGAGATTGAGGGGTTGCAGGAGTTTTTGTAGAGTTTGAGCTCATTGCGCTGTGGGAGTTATATAGGGGATCCAACCAACCCCAAGTCATCTATAGAGCTATAGATCTGTTGCTTCGCTCTATAGTAGTTCTGCCGCTTGTTTTGGATTAGATCATGGTTTACATCAATCAGTCATGCGACTATCTGAGGTGATTTGTTCGGCAAGGGGCACGGTGTAGTAAGCAGCCACAACCATCTAGATTATCGACCAAAGACTTTGATCTCCCACGATCGACAGAGAAAGTACATGATCGGAGCGACAACTATAATAATGTAGTCGCTCACGTCTCCACCATAGGCTCCAATCTGCTTAGCAATGGGACCGACGAACTAAAGAGCCGCATACATGGTTAGATATCAGTCGTCGACTGCATGCACACACGAGGATTGGGTCTGTAATGGCAAATGAAAATCGACTTACCCAGGTTTGACACATGCCGAGGAAAGATAGGCCAATACAGGTCAGCAAGGTAGCGACGGCAGCCAGGCCTACAGGAGTGCGCTTCGAGTCTCGCCAGCCTTCGAGGTCGTAGCCACCAAGTCGCGGCCGGAAAACGTAATGTTCGACGAACAGGACCGAAGAAAAGCAAATGGTCCAGTACCCAAGGATGGGCAGTACGTTGCTGAGGACGTTCTCAAACACGTTCCGACCACCAAGTGCTAGGGCGAGGGTAATGACACCAAAGACCAGTACCCAGATGAATCTCGGGATTTCAATGAAGCGGCTGTGCATGACCTGGACCGCAAGTGCGCTGGAATAGAAAGTGGCTGCGAGGTTTGCCACTGTCACAGCGAGAGTCAGTCAGTACCTGTCACTTGTCTGCGAGAAGAAGGAGACCGAACTGGATGAACCAAAGTATCGGAAGGGAAGGGCTCTGACTTACATGCTGCAAAAGCGTAGAAGACGCCCACAAACCCCGAGAAACCCGACGGGTGCAACAAATCCAAAATGACTTGACCGATCCCACTAGTCTCGTAGACTTGGAGAAGATCGTTATTTGAGAAGATGGCGCCACCGATGTAGCAACCCAGGAGGGCGCCGAAGGTGGTGGGAATGAACATGCCCAGCCAGGTCAAGCCTGCCAGCTTCCACTTGTTGACGTCGGCGGGGAAGTGAACGTAGTAGTCACCCGCGCAGGAGCACCAGGCCACACATTGACCGAACATGATGGCGAAAAACGTCAGGGCGGAGCCAACGTAGTCGATGCCTTGAAGTTCATGGGTTGTGATGTCGGAGGGGAAGCGAGGAGCCGACTGACCCCACTGGACGAGCATGAGGATAAAGATCAGGATCCACGCCACGCTCTCGTAGTGGTGTAGGACATGGTAGCCCAAAAACGACACCACGAGGGCCAAAAGCACAACCAACACGATACCGAGCGAGATGTCCAGCGACCCGCCCGAGACGGCTCTTAAAAACTGGCCAGCCAGGATCGCCCCGATGACGGCGTAGCCGATATTGACGAAGACCGTGAGCGCGCCGCATATTTTGGAGCCCTGAATCCCAAATGCGTACCGCGAGACCGCCACCGCCCGGAGGCCTGTCTGTGGCACCAATGTGACCGTCCACGCCGGCACCAGACTTCCCATCGCATTTCCGATGCAGGTGATCATGATCGAGTCGGCCACCGATAATCCAAAGATCGGGCCCAACGCCCCGATGGTGATCATCCCTGGTGCCATCAAGAGGGAGAACCACAGGAGCATCATCTATAAGTAACATATGTCAGCTAATGGTAGCTCGTCGGGGATAGAGAGAGGAGGGGTAAATTCACGTTCAGAGTTCGTGGTGGCTTGCGTGCATCTTCAGGCAAGCGGTCGATCCCCATGGGTTCGAACTTGAGCCTCTTGTCGAGCCAGAGCTCCCAGGCCCTCATCTTCGCAAACACCGACTTCTTCTCCTGAAACGAGGACAACCCATGATCATAGCCACCATGGGTGTTGGTGTCGCTTGTTGAACCCTCGGTTTCGGCGGTTATGGTGGTGTCTTTGTCGTTCGTGTGACCGACCTCGAGATCCTTGCCTTCAGTCATGTTGTTTGTTGTTGATTGCGAAGGTAAGACAGGCGTGTGACTAGTTCGCCCTTCTAGTGAGATATAGAGCGAGTGTATTGGTGTATAGAGCGAGTACATTGGTCCACCACAAGTCCTGCACAGCGACTCTTGTATATATACATATCGGCTCCTTTGCCAATACGTCCGTTGAAATAGCAATACACCCAGCAGGGTCGGAAACGCCCGCTGCTCCCTTCCCCTCCTTCAGTCGAGAGATAGCTGCTATCTCCTACGTATCGTAAGGTAGGCTGGGCGCTAATTGGACATTGAGGTATCTGTACTGATTCCTCGAGACAACAAGATAAGACGTTCGAATCGATGCACGTCGTTTCCTGGTTTGGCCACAATTAACTCGGGAACAGCAAGATATGTTGTCGAACCCAGAAGTACCAGATTCCCCAGGACGCGAAGCTAACTTTAAGCCATATGTCCCCCGAACTTAGAGGTGGGATTTGCTTCCTAACCGGGACTAGCACTACAAGTGGGACGGGAGAAGACGTTCGCGATATCTCCGACCAATGAAGCCTCGTCGCTTAGCCTATGATCAAGAAACCTTCCAAAATCCCATGCGGTACCGAGAGTCTGGACGGTGGCTCCTTGTTGGTAGCCCAGAGTGTCTCCAGCGCACCGAGCGCATGCTTACTGTGTCGACACCCTGAAGAGAGCAGCAGCGACCGAAAGTGATCACGAAGCCATAGCTGGGTGGCATCGTCTTGCACGGAGTCCAAGCCAACCTGATACAGAGGCCAGGTCAGCATATGGCACCATTCGGTGGCTCTTGGAATGGCTTTCGCGTGGAAAACCACGTCCGAAACTAATCTGCTCCTCTCTGTATGCCTTGCGTCCAGATTGAAGAGGCCGTTGAGGAAGAGTAGGACACCAGAGCGAAATGCCTGCACCAAATGAACCCTGTTCTTGGTCTTTTGAGGCCGAGGCTGCCACTCTAACAGGCGGTGTTTTAGGCATAGCGCCTTTTGAGTTAGATCGTTGTCCGCACACATATCGTCTCTCTGGGCGGACCTGTACATGAGTGTGGCGGAGGCGATAATGTCGACAAGGAACAATGGACACGGAAGGACTTCAAAGCTCCACTCCTGATCTGGGGTCGGCGTCTTGAGATTCGTGTGCTTATAGAGTTCTGCTTGGGTAAAGATGGGTTCTCTGGAAGATGTGGTGGAACCCATGATATCAAGACTATAGTAGACAGTTAGACATGGAAGTCAGGAGGATCATTGTGAAACTCGGGTGGGGTGACTTACCACAGCAACCCCTGTTCGACAAAGCCCCCAGGGCTGAGTTCATTACTGGATGATTCCATCAAGTGCTTTGCCGCTCGTAGGTGGATATCAAGCTCAGTACAATATCCCAGGCACAACTGTAGACGAAAACGTCAGCTGGGGAGACAAACAGAGGGCTCAGCGACCCACATCAAGTTGAGCAAGGAGCTGGATAGCCGCGAGGTTGCCAGGAGCCTGAGACGGGATAGGGTCATGTAGCCTTTGGCGCAACAAGTTTATCGCCACGATGCGGAGGCGAAGACTCTGCTCAAACAGTCGGTCGTCACCGAGACGGGTGGAAAGGTGGCAACTGGCTTGGGAGGCCAGAGCGAACCGGACAGGGGGGACTGTCGAGGCCATAGGAACAATGTGCAAGAGATAGGGATTTTCTGACGGCTCGGCATCGAGAAAGAATCGAGAGCCGACATGCTGGGCATCTGCAAATTCACAATCAGCTTCGTGCGGAAAACGCATCTGGAATAAGGTAGCGAACCGTAATTGACCAAATCGCCCAGTCCATCTGGAATTGTGGCAGGATCAATCAGGTAGCCATCGTTGTAGCCACCATTATTATTAGGAAGGGATGTAGGAGAAATAACAAAACTTGAATCGCTGCCCTCAGAGGGAGACGGAGCCAACGCTCCTGGAGAAGGGTGAAGACAATGGCTTGTGAAACGATGGCCACCCACATCTTCCGCGGACACCAGGCTCGGGGATTGCGTATGACGCAAACGAGACAACTTTCGAGCTCGTGATTCTGGGAAGCTCTCACGACTCTTCCCGGCACATGACGGATTCGAAGACAAAGCTTCGGCCCATCGCCACACGTAGCCTTCGCACAAGACGCCCCGCACTTCACAACGATAACAACCTGGTAAGGTCTTGTCACACTTGCGCCGGCGTCGTCGACAGGTTATACATGCACTCCCATGCGTGCTCGTGCTCGTTGATCCGTCCATGGTGGAACTTTGCGATTTCTGAGATCTCCGGTCTCCGGTCTCCGGGACCCGGCAACCAGGTTGTGGAGTCCTCTGGGTGGTCATCAGCTAGACGAATGAATTTGACTACGGGTGCTTTCAGATGCCGATAGCAGTTAGCTATGGCGAAGAGGGTTCGAATAGTGAAATACAAACGAATTCGATCCTCATCAGCTTTCGAAGGAGATGTCGAGGTCCCTGATACTTGGCGCAGATCAAGGCGGGGCAGTGGAGACTTGGTTCTTATCGCTATTGTGGAGGCAGACCCGACGTTTTAGGCTCGGAACAGGGGTGCAATGACTGTAGTGGCTGTGGTGACCAAGTGATGTGTAGAGGAGAGAGTCTCCAGGTCGATAGAAGTTGTGATATCGTACCTAGTAAGTAGTATGCGTATCTGGCTGCTCCAATAGAGCAAGGTGCGCTCGTAGCTTCGCAACGTCTAGACCGGCAGGGGATGGGTCAAGGCTTAGCTCCGAACTCTCAGGTGGGATACGCTTCCAGACTGGGACTGATGTATATGCACTACTAGTTCATGCTCAGTCCTTATCTTCACCTGGGGTCAAGTTCTCAACTTGGATTGACCACCACGCCTCCACTCCGTGGTTCAACAAAAGAAGGGAAATTAGCAATAGTCACAGTCAACAGCCTCAGCAGCGGCGTGGAGATATGCGAGTCGCATGGGTATGCCATGCCTGTCCTGGTCTTGGTATATCTATACCAAGTGACGACGTCCCGTGGTGTGCCATAGCATATCCGGGGCTGGTTCATTCAATCCCATTCTCCTCTTCGATCTGGACTTCACTAGTATCCTTACACTACGTTGACAGAAGCTATGGCAGACTCACCATTCGTTCCTCAAGAGGTACTCGCACATTGGCACCACCAAATTCACACCATCAATGATCCTTTCATCAATGGACTGCCCAAGGTGGAACTTCACATGCACATCGAAGGCGCTTTGACGGCCGAACTGCGATGGAAGTTCTCGAAACGCAACGGGATCCCAGTGATCAACCATAAAGACAACACCGAGTTCTCGAGCATGCAAGAATTGAAAGACAGCTATCTGGCCACCGGCGACTGGGGCTTCTTTGAAGCGTACTATCATGGTCTCCAGGCGCTGCACACGGCTGAAGACTTTTACGAGCTGGCTATGGATTACTTTGAAAAAGCCGCCCAGATGAACATTCGTTATGCCGAAGTCTTCTTCGACCCCCAAGAACATACTTTCCGTGGCGTACCGTTCAATGTCTTCATGGATGCATTCGTCAAAGCGTCGAAAGACGCTGCCGACAATCTAAAGGTATGCAAAGTCACGCTGGGGGTTACACAAGGCTTCACTTTCCGCTTATCAGTACTAACGCAGAAATCAGGTGCAATCGAGCTGGATCATGTGCATCAACCGACAAAAGTCTCTAAAATCGGGTCTTGAGCATCTAGAAATGGCACTGCCATACCGGGACTCCATCGCCGGCATTGGCCTGGACGCACCCGAGCATGACAAGCCCGTCATGCTGTTCGAGGAACTGTGGATCCGAGCCTCTGACCTCGGCTTCAAGCTCACCTCTCACTGTGACACCGGACATAAAGACACCATTCTCAACATCACTTCCGTTGTTTGCGAGGCCAATCGAGGTCGAGGCCTCGATCGTTGCGACCATGGCCTCAGTGCCGCCCGGAGCCCAGAACTCGTGACGCAGATAGTGGACAAGAAGATTGGCATGACTCTTTGTCCCTGGGGATACATTCGTTGGGACTGCGACGAACACATCCTGGGCAAGATCCGCCTCTTGTATGACGCCGGTGCCATTGTGACCATCAACAGCGACGACCCGGGGTATATGGGCGATTGCTACCTTACCCACGCCCTTCTGCTCTGTCGGTATTTTGGTGACTTTAGCGAAGCCGATCTGGTCAAATTTCAGCTCAACGCGGTGGACATCAGCTGGGCAAATGAGCAGGTCAAACTTGCCTTGACGCGGGCTATCACGTCCTACGCAAAAGAAAAGCTCGATGCGGGTGTGCAAGCGTCAACGAATGGGGCGGCCCCGTTACGGAGTCCTATGTAGCCATCTCCATTGATAGCTACAATGTCTTTGTTGATTCTCTGAAAATATGATTCCGGTTACTGAACTCTTGCCTTTTGGATCTCTGCATTATCTCTGACTGGTGCTACCTGACTTCCGTGGCTCAAATGCAAATTCATCCATCCACTATCTCATGTTCTCACGCGCCAGACCTGATTCCATACGTAGCGTTCAACCTACTCCATAGATGTTCTTTGGCAGTCTGAGCTTTCGTAACGTGGTCAGCCCCGTATCCATAACCCGTTGTCTCACCCTCAGTTCCATCTACTGCCAGGCCTTGACTCTGCTTGTGCTCCTGCACCAGCCGACTGGGGACCGGCAGCAGCGTTGTCTCCTCTGCCGGCTGACAGAAATACGCGATCGAGTACCTAGGTTCGCCGTCTTTGGGTGCGCCCTTGGGGAAGATGACTCTGTGGACGGTGCTTTTGAGTAATCCGCCCGTCCAGTAGCTCAGCAAATCTCCAATGTTGACCAAGATGGGCGGGAACGTGTCGCTCCCATAGCCGCGAGGGATGACAGCCACCGGCGCCCAGCTGCCATCATCCTTCAAAATTTCCAGTCCTGGCTGGGAGGGACGTTGAAAGAGTAGAGTGATGGAGCCATAGTCCGAGTGCGCCCCGGCGCGAACGTCGACCTCTGGTTGATAATCGCTGCTGGCCTCCACAAAAGGGTAGTAGAGCATGCGGACGGCGGCTCCGCACTTTTTGGTCTCGTCGACGCTGCTGTGGCATTTGCTGAAGAACTCGGTGTCGGCAATTTCTAGACCGATCCCCAAAAGATCCAGAATTCGGCGGCATGTCTCTCGACACGCCACTTCGAATTCCCATAGCTCCTCCCTGTGATTCTCGAGAACTGAGGGCAGGTCCTGTTGAGGACGCCCCTGGTCGAACTCACCGATGTTGAACGCCTCCTTGTAGTCTCCCTTGGCTTGTGCTTTGGGGTCTAACGCTTCGACTTTCATGCCGGCCCAGCCCCGGTTATCGTTGATACGATACGGCTGTTTTTCCAGTGTGGACAAGTCGAAAAATTGTTTGGAGAGATCAAATTCTCGATCCACCAGATCCTGGGTGAGCTTGGTGCCGGTTGGATCTACATACAGAAATCCATGTCGAACCGCGGCTTCCAGGACCTGCTTGCCTGTTTCGGGAGTCAGGTTGGAGATGTTGATGATGGGGAGATTGACCGTTTCTGTCGCCGGGTCAGACATATTGAAGACGCAACCGATGGCTTGTAGTTTTCGCGGGTATAGCTATCCGGATAATTTGATACCCTGTAGTGTAATGGGACGAGAGGGGGAATAATAGCGTTTATCCTGCACCTAGGCGTTCCTATATGTGAGTTATACGTACTCGAGGGCCATGGAGGTTAGATTTCCCTGGGAACCTGGTCTAAACCTATCTTAGTATGCGACGGCGCTCTCCGACGCGCCCTTCTATCTCTTAGCGTACGAGCGATGCATAGTTGTAGATAATGTTATACGAAAAAGACTTAAACGGCATTAGATCCCGCGAAATAACACTAAAATCCACCCCAAGCCTAGAACTTTCGACGCATGGTTCTTAGAAGAGGGTGAGGGCATCAACTGGAGTCACCGAAGATGTCGTGGATGTCTTAGCGGAGATATGCGTCATTACATACATACGCACATATGCTTTGGTCATTGCTTTTCCTCAACAGATCTTCCTATCGCTATAATTTCCGTCCATAGATGTCATTGGATGGGTGAGGGGTGTTTCTTTTAGAGGCGGCGTCGCGTGGGTGAGGCCGAGGGGCCCCCAGTGACCTCAGCGTCGATAGACCTCCTCTTATTCCCCTCTATGCCAGGCATATATTCATATTCACAATGTCCCCGCAGCATCACAGACATTCGCACTCTGGGTAGTACTTCATGTCCTAAAAGTGACCAGTGACAAAAGTACAAGTAGTCATGGATCATAATTCCGAAGAATGTTCCGTCGCAGAAAGAACTTCCTCGGTCCAAGAATTGTGGTTCAAACTCCGATGTTGCCAACTCGTATTCCCACACGGGCCGGAAATCGCCATGATCGACAAAACCCTCGATCTCTGTCACAAGAAGCTATCACTGGCATGTAACATTGATCAACATCCAAAACTCGGCGGGAAAGATTGTTTCGTCACCAGTCTCACCAGTTTGAGAATCATCTTGACATCACATTCATCTGTATTTCATACATAATACATTCCTCACAGAATCACTAACTAGACAGTCAACATCAAGATGAGTCGCGTTTTTGGAACCTATCGCCAAAATGGCTACATCGTCCACAACCTCGAAGCCGCCATAAAATACTGGACGGAGAAAATGGGCGTAGGCCCTTTTTTCATAGCTCGGAATCTAGAACTTAAGAGCTTCACTTACTGCGACAGCCAGGAGATTCCCTCTCTTGACATTGCTCTCGCCAATTTCGGCGATGTTCAGATCGAACTGATCCAACCAAATGACAATGTTCCATCTCCACATCTCAATTTCTTGAAGACCAAAGGTCCTGGCTTGCACCACATCTCAGTCTGGTCGGAAGACTATGAAAACTTTATTGCAGATTTACAAAAACGAGGCTTCAATCGCGACTGCTCTGGTGTGGTAGGGAATGGTGTTCGGTTTAGTTATTTTGACAGTGCAAAGACAGAGGGGACAACTATGGAGGTGGCAGATTCTGCGACGCCTGGATTCAAGGAGGTGGCGGAGACGATTCGTATGGCGAGTGTGAATTGGGATGGAAGTGAACCGATTCGTGATCTCGCCTCACTACGGATCTTGTGATGCTGCAATGGAATGAGGTGGAATGGTACAGTGATTTCATATATCAGATCGGGCAGTCGAGATGGGGAAATTGACATCAAGATCTTGATGAAAGCCTGGTCTAGACTAGAGATCATAGTCATTCACCATGCTCTTGGAAGGAATAACTACAAGTATTATCAAATCAAAAGATTCTTGTCTAGTCAACGAAAGAGAGCGAGACTACGGAAACCAGAGAGAGAAAGGAAACGGGTCTTGTCCCAAGCACCTCGTGCCTTCTGAAGTCATACTATTCCTACTGTTTCTGCCAGTCAAGTTCTGCCAGTCTCAGTCAACCCAGAAGAGATAAGTGACTGGGGACGAGCTGGATCAATCCTTTCTGCGACACCCTCGCCACGCACATTCTCTCGTTCTGCTCCCAGGTACTTATACTGGATTCTCTCTCTTCCTGCATGAAATTTGACAGTCTCACACAACTTCATCACCACCATCTCCCTAGGCGGAGGCAGCCGATCTCTACACAATCAAAAGAAGTGTACGTATACATTGATACTTCACATCCATCCTTGCCATACTGATAAATATCGCTATCCAGACTCAACCCACCATGTCGTCCACAGCTCCGGTTACGGCCTTAGATCATCCTTTAATCTGGGTCTTGTTAGCAAAAGCTCAAAACTCCTCTTGTAACACTCAGGAGAAAGAAGTTACCCAAGCGATAGAAGACATCCAGCACCTTCTCGAGAATAGCTTAGGTCGAGACGTAACCCAACTCAAAGTTCGCGAAACTAGGGACAGGCTCGACCGGGAAGAGACAATGGCCAAGGCACTTTCTAACATGGAATACCTGGAGGCAACCATCAGTCATTTCTCACGTATCATTAGTCCTGAATCTCCAAGATCTGATGATAATGTCTCGACGGATCAAGCAGCCAATCTGAAAAGAAAATGGAAAATCCTTGAACAATCTGAGCACAAATGGGAAGAATTAGAAGATTGTCGCAAAAGATGCCGCGATGATTACAACCGTGAGATGAGATACCAGGACGAGTTGGCAAAAGCTACGCTCCCACAACAGCCCACTGTTACCGACCATGTCGATTGTATGACTCAGTCTAACAAGAACATTCAACCACAATCACATGTCGCTGAAGATCCTTCCGCCGTCTCAAGTCAAACCGAGAAAACTACACGCAGAAGTTATTATCAGTTTACCCCTCAAAGGGGCTCCTTCATGCAACATCGTTCATCTGGAAGAAGAAGAAGTGGCTTTATCTAGCCGTATCACGACAAGATGTTACACCGAGGTAGCTTGGGATATCAACAGAAGATCACAGACATGGCTGATATTGAGAATGCTTGAAAGCATGTAAATCGTCTTGGAGCATTCAACCACAACCAAGCTGGATCACAATCAGAATTAAGGAGCTACAGAATTCGGGATCACAAGAAAGCAGACCCATAGTTGAAAATCATCATTTTGCTGCAAATTCTGCCATGATCTCTTGATCATCGCTTCACCAGTCTGAACGCGTAGATCAATTTACTTCACTCACTGAGCACGTGAAAGCCAGAATATTTTTATATAAGAAACTAATTTTCCCTTTGTTCATTTCTCACTTGAACATGCTACAGAAGTCAAACCCCAGACGCGACACTCAGCCATCATGTCCTCTCCTCCCGATGACCAAGCCACGCCAGGGGCATTGGTTCATGAGCTACTCATCGCCATAGATCCTCATAACAAGAATGTCTTCTCTCACTTGATTCCATCCATCGTGTCTGACTTGTACCATCGAATCGAAGAATTGAGCAGCAAGTCGGTGGTTGAGACCAAGAAAGCCGAGGCGAGGAAGAAGCTGATGGCAAGATTTTACAATCACAAGAACAATTATGCAGAGAGAGAATCTGGCAAGAGATTGACGTCGACTGGTCAGACAGAGCTAGTTTCCAAGACTGACAACAGCAACCATGCCGTGAGCCGAAAAATACAGGAGCCGAAGCGAGAAAAAGAGAAAGAGAAACAGAAAGACACAGAAAGAGATGTTGATGTTGACATTGACCAAGTTTGCAGTAACCTTGATCGGAAGCATGGACATGGAAATGAATACGAACATGAACATGGCCATCCTCATTCCCATCCTCGAAAACGGAGGCCCGGAGTGTTCCATTACATTGACTACGACTACGACTACGACTATGATCCGGAGCCAGGCGAAGAAGGAAAGGGAAATATCCCCAAGAAACAACGCAGACAAGATCAGAACGGCAATGTCAAGGAGTCCACAAATTCGTTCTATCCTGTTGGAGGATTGGTCCATCGATTCAAAAGCAAGATGCAAGAAAAACCTGTCCCACTGCAGAATCACCACCATCTTCAGTCAATGCCAGTGTCGACGACAGAGACGGCAACGGCACAGACAAAAAAGTCAACAAGCTCGTCTAGCAATTCTCAACACAACCAATCGAACAAGCACGATCATCATGGCCATCAAAACGCAACTCCATCAACCCTACAAACCCCACCAAACGGGCTGACCAAACCCCGACCATATCTCTACCCATATCCCTACCTCAAATCCAACGTCTGGAAGAAACCAAAAGACGAAACCGATCCAACAATCTCTACAGCCTCTACAATCGCTGCTCCATCCTCCGCGATCCTACCACCACAATTCTACAAAAATCGTGTCTCAGCCGCATCTAAGATAAGCATTGGTAAACAGACAAAATACTCACCTACCGAAGACAAGGACAAGGAAAATAACAATACAAATGCAAGTGTTGTCCCTGTCATTGCTGCACCTAGTTCTACAGCAACTGTTACAATAATGACTCCTTCACCCGCGCCTCATGCGACCACAACAACAACAACGATTGAAGAGAAGATGGCAAAGACTGAGGAACTCGTTGAAGTCAGTCATCGCAGTTCAGGACGATATTTCAATTCCCTTCCAGATGAATTGGTTTTGGAAGCAAAACAATGGTGTGAGGAATGGGTGGGGAAGAAGGATGATTGTGGCAGCAAGGATAGTGCCAGTGGTGCCGGTGGTGAAGATGCAGATTGGGAATTCGCGTAATGTGAATTCACTGGAACTGAACATTGACATTGATAATAACATTGGATTTGAAGGCGGAGAGAGAGCATCACAGGGTCATTCATTGGTCTGAATGACTGGCATCTTGAGGCAGATCGGGACTTGTCCAAGTACCTAGATAGCAAGTAGGCAGCTCAGAGACTTCGATAGAGCACTTTTTGTTCTGGATAGGTACCTACCTTAGGTATGTATGATAGTGTGTGTTGTAGTCGAATCAACAATGAAATTGAGCAAAACAAAGCAGATTTCCAAGAGCTAAGGCTGGTCGTACCATACCCCTGGTGGTGTGCAGCCTTGTTTTCCGCTAATCTGATATGTCGGGAATAGACGAATATGATATCCTCGTAGACTACGCCTATTTGGATAAGTCAAATACGAACGCAAACCATTACGCACGTGATTGCTCTCGCTAAGTACTACTTTAATTTCATGCTTGTCAATCCTCCACGATTCAGCACACAGAATGGTCATGATCAAATTAGTTACTGAAAAGTACCACAATCAGTATGGACTAGAGAAAAACCCCCGAGGCTCCACTCCTGTCCCAATGCGTGGCTAGCTAAGTACGAGCAGTCGACTGTCTGGGGTATGGGTATTCATCAAGATCTCGTCCCATCTCGCATCACATCATGGATGAGATTCTTTCTGACCGGTTTACGTCATCGTCAGGTTTCCTTCAAACATGAAAATGTCTCTCTACCTGTGCAGTGGAAGTCCCCTCAAACTCAAGCAACGAGTGTCTTCTCAGCCATCTGACCTTCAGCTCCAACAATGGGACTGACGGGAGCAACGTCTGCGATTGTCTCATCGGAGAACTTGAGATCTTCTTCCAGATCGGTGGTATCTTGGACTTTGATCCAGATAACTGGTGCGGCGATGAGGAGTGATCCTGCGAGAAGACCCCAGTTGATGGCGAATTGAGTCATGTACGAAACCCCATTGGTGTCAAGAATGGGAGAGATGGCACCACCGGCAGATTGGATGCCCTTGTAAAAGCCGGTGAAATTGGCGAGCTTACGGGCGTTGTTGGTAAGAGAACCCATTAGCCTAGAATCTGTTAGTTGACATTCAAAAATAACAAGGATACGTGGGCATATATGCTTACCAGTATGAAGTGGTCTGCCAAACAGAGTCATAGAATCCGTAGAAGATGTACAGGAACATGGGTCCAATATAGTCGGAATCAGTCCAGTCACGTGGGACATAATCCTCAGCGTTGACCTCCGCGCGAGTATAACCTCTCTGGAAGGCGTAGCCACCACCCCAGATGACGAAGGTAAGGACGAAAAGAACGATGATAGCGAGTCTTGCCTTCATTGATCGAGACACTCTTTGGCTGTCGAGGGCAAAGCCAAAGATCCAGGCACCGATGATCTGAGAAATGTAGTACAAGACATTGTTCAGGGCACGGGTACGGATGTTAAAGTTAACCAAGTTGACGCCTTGGAAATGGTAGGTGTAGAACCAGTTGGAGGCGAAGAACATGGGGAACAGGAAGAAGATGTACCAATCGGTCCTCATGGTTTCCCATAGACCAAGGATTTCCGTCTTCCAGCTCGGGTTCTTCATCATGATGATTCTGGATCCATCATCTCGAACGACCAAGCGCGGGTTGCAGAGGAAACCGGCAAGGACGAATCCGGCAGCCATCAGGACAATAAAGACAATATAAGTGGCGTCATTGACTTGCCTGGACCTGGAATGAATGTTCTGAGCAAGGGGCACGAGACCGCCAATAACAGCTCCGAGGTTGAAAATCATCCAGAATGTGGCAATGTAACGGCCCTTGGACTTCTCCGGGGGATATGACAACATGATGGCACCCTGGGCACACCACAAGAGACCCGCGCAAACACCCAGGAGGGCACCAGCAAAGATCAAAAATCCCGCATTTCCATTATGGTTGTAGGACAAGATGGAGGCAATGTACAAGGCGTAGCCAAAGCCACCGATACCAAGGGTCAGTCGAAGGCCAATGGTGTTGGCGATACTGCCGGCGAAGAAGCCAACAACGGAGAAGGTGGAATAGATGGCCGTAGAGGCATTGTTAATGTCGTGAGCATTGACCAAGCCAGCGGCGCCCAGACCGTTGACTGCGTTGAACATGCCGGGGCACAAGAAGCAGACAAAGGCGACAAAGACAACCTGGAATTTTGGGCTTGCATAGGCTGGGATGGTGAAGAGGCCGAGATTCAACGACTTGTACATCCAAGGTTTACCCTTGGGGGCGCTCGAGTCGTCCACCACTTGGTGATCATAGTTGGGAGGGGTTTCGGAGCCAGCAGACCCAGATGCAGCCGTGGCCATCTTTTCAGGCTCGACTTGGGACATTTCTGCAGACGACCGACGACGTCGACGACGAGTGAGAGTTGTGAGAAAGAGAAGGAGGAAGAGTGAGAGGCTCTGATTATGGATGGATGGGTCGAGACCGCAAAACTACGTCGAGTAGGATTGGCGGATTGGCGACTGGAGGGTGCGGGTGCGGATGCGGATCTGAGTGGCTGGTGGACACCTTTGGGGACTTTGGATTTTTGGATTTCTGGTGGCGTAGGTGACTTTGACCAGGAAGCCAAGGGCTTTGGGGTCAATGGTTGGTGGCCTAGGGACCACTTGTCACGAATCACGAGTGATAAGTGACTTGGTAATAGGCGTTGGAGGGTGCGGAGGAGGTAACCAAGTAGAGTTTGGCTTCGGAGATCTAAGCAAAGCCAAGGGGTCAGAGAAGCCTGTAGAACAAAGCTGAGAAGCTGAGTTGCTTGTACTGGATTGGACTGGACTGTGTTTTGTCGAGTTGCCAGGTGAAAAAAGAGTTTTGGAAGATTTGGACGGGGGAGGGGTGCATACAAGTACCTCTCGAGTCATGCGCGTCAAAGACTCGGTGACTAGAGAACCAGAACACCAAGGACTGTTGGTGGTAACCAAGTCAAGTTGATGGATGGAGGGAATCTTCTGAAACCCCAGGCCTGGTCGCGTGGTTCAAGCCGCACTAGACTACCGTTACCACGCCGTGTACGCCGTTCATGAACAAGTATCAGCAGACATAAAGTCAAAGTTGGAGATAGCGAGAGATAGAGCAGTCACATCGTAACATGGCAAAATAGCAACAGCAGCATTGGATATCAGAGAGCGGGGATTATGGCATAGTACTAGGTAGATACCCTACTGACCAGTGACCACTACCACTACTGATCGGGTCTTTTCGACAGGTCGCCTACGGAGTGCATAACAATGAGAGCGTTACACGACCACAACTGGCCAGGTCCTGGTGGCACCTGAACCTGGTTGAAGCATGATTTGTCCCCCTGGACGTGGGTAGTAAGTAACCACACAGTTTGCAGGTTCTGATGGACAAAGGGGGGAGATATGCCTACATACAGTACCTAGGCACTTTGGTACGAGTACTACGGAGGACTGATGAGGGCGTAACGGGGGATCGACATGGCATGGTTGGAGCCAGGGTTTGGGTGCCATATCTTAGAGTGGCCAGTAGAGCAGGCTGTTTGCACTGATATGGCTGGGTCCACAGGTGCTCGGCATATCTGTCATGGGGGTGAGATGCCAAAGTTTAGAGGCTAACAGACAAGGTACAATACATTGGTTCTGGGGAAGGACAAGGTGGGAGATAGGATGACAGGGTCCTACGCATAGGCGGCGGGGGCCCCTGGTTGTTAGCCCGAGGGGCCTCCAGGTCACTTAATTGCCTTCCCCCGATCGCCTCCCGCCATCTCATCCAACAGTCACATGTAAGTCACGTGTGTGGGACTCGGTGACCGCACGATAGCAGCGTTGCAACCAATTCTTTGTCTCTCCGCCATGACGTTACACTCAAATAATTGTCCCATTGCTACCCTACCACCACCAACGTCTCATTCACTGACACGACATGACATTTGGCCGGCACCTCACCACTTCACCACTTCACCACCTCACAAACTCCTCCTCCATCGTGCCATTGTTGCATCCCTTTTCAAACATGAGGAGCAGTTGCTAGTACTGGAGTTGAGTTGGTTTGGCCTTGGATCGAATCATCACCGTCGCCAGTAGTAGCCCGACCTCTCTACTCTGTAATCAGCCCTTTGAGCAGACGCCAAACAACCTCCGTTTGTTTGACCCGCGGAACAACCCGTGGTGTTCTACCCTCAAAGGCACATTCCCATGTATCACCAATCTCCTCTTGCCGTCGTGTTGAACGTGCTCTTGGACTGTAACATGACAGGATCAACTCTATCCCCGGATACCTTCGCCTCGTGGGTACAGCCATGCTATGACTAACATCGCCTTTTTGTCCACAGGCTACCCAAATACTTCTCGCTCATTTCCGTCGAGTGCCGGCCGCTACAGCCCAACGATAGCCAGTCAAACTCGTTGCCGTAAACATTTGTCCAATGAGATTTATGACGTGACTTCGATCTACTAACTCATCTAAAATCCCATATTATCCCAAGCCGATTCTTTCATAAGGAAAAGTCTCTTCATTCTTGTAGCCTTATTCTACAGGCAATCGTCCCTTCCTTTATTAATAACATCTTTATCGTGCTCAAGATCATCAGCTTCTTCGTCATCACCCTCCTGCCGTCTGACAAAACGCACACAAAGACAAGACGCCACCATGGAGAAGCACGCTCCTCGTATCGTCAAGTTTACCAACGCCCAATTACTTCGCAACGGTCAACTTGTTCCGGGAGATTTGTGGGTGTCTTCCGAGACCGGCCGCATCATCAGCCCCCAATCCGCCTTCTACTCGTCCCACAAGACTGCCGATGAAACGATAGATTTGCGAGGCAAAATCCTGTCACCAGGCTTCATCGACGTTCAGATCAATGGCTCTCATAACTTTGACTTTTCCACCCCCGATCCTGACTTTGCCGAAAAGCTGCAAAGGACAAATCAGCAGATGATCAAGACTGGCCTGACCTCGTATGTTCCCACAGTCATCAGCACTCAACCTGAAGCCTATCACGCCGTCCTTCCACATCTGGGACCCTCGGGAGCCTACCGAGATCCCTCAAAAGGCAGTGAAAGTTTGGGAGCCCACATTGAAGGGCCCTTCTTGTCACCACTGAGAAATGGGATCCACAACAAGGAAGTTCTTCGCACTGCCAACTCCTGGTCAGATGTTGAAGAATGCTATGGTTCATCAAACCTTGACAATGTTCGATACATTACAGCTGCCCCTGAAAAGGGGGCAATGCTGAGTCTAATCCCCAAATTCGTGTCGAGGAAGATTGTGTTTTCGGTTGGACATTCGGATGCCACATTCGACCAGGCACAGGCAGCAATTGGAGCTGGTGCTTCTATGGTCACTCACCTTTTCAATGCTATGCGACCATTTGGGCATCGAGATCCTGGCATCTTCGGTCTCTTGGGTCAATCTCTTCCCTCCTCACCAGTCACCACCCCTAAGCAAAGTCAACCAGCCAGTGCTTCGTCATCGCCTCACGGCTCACCGCGGTCTTCTCGACGGACATCGCCGCGCTCGAGCTTGAGCATCAGTACCACTGTTTCAGATTTGGATGACGAAGCACGATTCAAACAGCCTTTCTTCGGCCTCATTGCTGACGGCATTCATTTGTCTGCACAAACTCTGAAGATTGCATATTCGGCCCACCCCGAAGGGGCTATCATAGTGACCGATGCCCAGAAGTTTGCAGGATGTCCAGACGGGGCGTACGAGTGGAGAGGAGAAGATAGGTTCATCAAGGAGGGTAAGCTTCTGCGGCTTGAGAGCAACGGGAGGATAGCTGGAAGTGTGGTGGACCTGATCGACTGTGTCAACAATTTCAAAAGATACACAGGGTGCGGATCGGCAAAAGCACTCGAGTGTGTCACGAGTACACCGGCCAAGATGTTGGGCAAGGATGTCGAGGAGAAGAAAGGCCGACTGGAGGTGGGCATGGATGCGGACCTTGTTGTTCTTGATGAGGGATTGGACGGGGAGTTGGCCGTGACACAGGTATGGAAGTTTGGGGTTCGGGTGGCATAACGGATGGAGCGGAGGCGCATTCCAAAAGCATAGGATTGATCAAGATTGCACATGAATCCCCGTTATTGCGTCTAGGGTTGGTGTTTGGTGGTTGCATGACACAGAATATTTGCATAGTTAATTTGGGTCCTTTGGATGAGTGATATGATAATGATTCAATCTAGACACATGTATACTAGAGATGAAGTTGAACGACTGGCTATCATACTGAGGAAGATGTGTGAATGTATTTTGGTAAAGTGATGAGAAGGATGAGATTGAGGTTGAAGATGATATTATAGATGCCAAGCCAGAGGTCACGTTACGCAGGCACACGGCACGTGCACACCTCACACCGCGCCACCAGACCTGCGCCTCTGTGGCACCCTGCATCGTCGTCCTGTTGTAGCCCGAGGCCCTCCTCCTCCAAATCCCTATTTCACCCGTTCCTGTGCCCTCCGACCTGTCCCACGGTCCCCTTGGTTAGTGCTACTGGGCATGTTCCGTTCCATATTCGTCTGGTAAGCCTTGTCAATATCATTTTGAATTCATCGAGTTCATCGTCATTCAACCGACCCTGAGATCGAGAAATTCGCGCACAGAAGCCATGACGATTCGCCCTGAGCCAATGTCGGTACACGTGGGGTGCGCCGCTTGCCACGATTCACCCAAAAGCAATGACAGAATCAGGTTTAGCTCGCCCCGCGTTTTTGTTGAGGCAACCTGGCGCAAGGTCCAGAACCTCGAAACGGTGAGAGCTCAAGGCCTTCTCTGGTGGCCAATTTCCATCGTCATCAACACTGTTGTCTTCATTGCTTCTTGTCAAAGTGTCTAGGCTGCGACTAACTACTGACTGCTTTTTTCATCTGACCCTCAAGCTGTATTTCGCCGCTATTCCGGACCTCCCGTCACCCTGAAAACCGCACAATTTCGTTGTGATGACGGTGAGGCGCAAATATACACCAGAGTAAGTCCAGCCTTGCATTCGCCGTCAACGTACTCTTGCTCAGGCTTGGTTCAGGGTTCTCTTGAGCGCTCCAAGGCGATCGGCAGCTATTCCCAGTCCAGATGGAAAGCTAGCCCTGTACACTCAATCCATATATTCATTTGAAACCCACACCAAGACCACAGAAATCCAGGTCCTAGACCTCGTTCACGGCCAGGCTGTCGTCATTAGTAAGGATCCCAAGGTCAGCGAGCCTAAATGGACCGGCCATGGTCACGAAATTGTTTGGTTGAGGGAATGCGATAATGGCAACACGAGTTTTGTCATCGCTGACGCAGCTCTTCCTGGCCGAGTCTATACGGCAGGCACTGTTCCAGGCCCAGTATCAGGTCTTAAACTGTTCACTGTCGAGGCTGGTAAGATTGCTATAGCTGTGGCAGCTTCTGCCAACCCAGATGGCAGTCTCTATAACCCCAAAGACGTCAAGAAGACTGTATCCTCCGCTCGAGTATACGATTCTCTCTTCGTACGCCACTGGGATTCCTACATCACCGAACAACGCAATGCTGTATTCACTGGTCTGCTCCAAAAATCGCAGCCAGTGGTTACTTCACGTCAAGGCCGCTATCATCTACTAGGCTTTACAAATGCTCTCATCGGAACTGCTCTCGAGTGCCCAATCCCTCCATTTGGAGGCACTGACCACTTCGACATCGGCGCTACCGGTCTGGTGCTAGTTTCCAAAGATCCTACTATTGACCCTGCTACGCACACCAAATGTGATGCCTATTTCATCGCAAAGAAACATGACTTGGACGCAACAGCTAGTTCCTTTCACAAAATACACGTCCCAGGCCTGAAAGGAGCTGCGTCGTCACCAGTCTTTTCACCCGATGGCCTGTCCTTTGCCTTTCTCAAGATGGCCACAGATGGCTATGAGAGCGACAAAAATCGAATCATTCTTGTTAATGGCCTTCAGAGTGGCGAACTGCAAGCCCAAGAGTTGTTGCATACTAGTGACATTACCGGTGGCTGGGATAGGTCGCCGAGTACAGTGAAATGGTCGGTTGACGGGAAGACTCTCTTTCTCGAGGCCGAGGAATTGGGAGTCGGTTCTTTGTTCGCTCTTGATCTTGACGTGGCTGCATCGGGAGCTACATTCTTACCTCGAAGACTGACTCGAGGAGGTTACATCATCGACTTTGCGCCCCTTGCGAGCAACTCCAATCTGTTGTTTGTCTCAAGCAACAGCCTCGTGGACAACAGTACTTACACCGTCATCGACCCGTCTGGTGAATCCCAGCCAGTAGTGGTCTCTTCACTTTCACGAGAAGGATCCTTGTTTGGTCTTTCGCCTGAACAGGTCTCATCCATCTGGTGGAAGGGAGCTAACGATCATCCCGTTCACGCTTGGATGATGCGACCTTCGTTCTTCAAATCCGACCAAAAATACCCCTTGGCGTACATGATTCACGGTGGGCCTCAAGGTGCGTGGAACGATCAATGGTCCACCCGCTGGAACCCAGCTGTGTTCGCCGAGCAAGGCTACGTAGTGATTTGTCCAAACCCAACAGGATCCACCGGCTACGGCCAAGCATTTACCGACGCAATCCGCAATGAATGGGGTGGGCTTCCCTACGAGGATCTGGTCAAAGGATTCGAGTATATCGAGTCGGAGCTTGACTATGTTGACACTAGCCGATCAGTGGCTCTCGGTGCCAGTTATGGGGGATATATGATGAATTGGATTCAGGGCCACGACCTAGGTCGCAAATTGAAAGCTATCGTCTGTCATGATGGCGTCTTCAGCATGACCGGCCAACTCGCCTCAGAGGAACAATACTTTCCTATCCATGATCTTGGTGGGCCTATCTGGGACCGACAAGATCTGTACGACAAATGGGATCCGAGCCGATTTACCAAAAACTGGGCGACGCCGCAGCTCGTAATCCATAACGAGCTGGACTACCGTCTCACGATAAGCGAAGGACTAAGTGCTTTCAACGTGCTGCAAATGAGGGGCGTCGAAAGTCGATTCCTTAGCTTTCCAGACGAGAATCACTGGGTTTTGAAGCCGGAGAACAGTCTGGTTTGGCATCTAGTGGTCATCAATTGGATCAACAAGTTTGTCGGCCTACCCAAGCTGGTCGATCGTCAAGGCAGGGACGGGTCTTCTTTCTGTCGCCAAGCACGACGGCGGAGAGGAACAAACATCGTCACGCGACTCGGAGCAGCAAAAATCGGCCAGTGAATGACGATGATCCCATGAGCAATGTGGCGCTTTGGAGGGTATTCATGATTTGAGTAGCGAGTTTGGCCATTTATCGACAGAGCATGTGCAGTACTGCCGTTTTGGAGAACATTGAGATCATAGCATTTATAGCATAATCACCCAAATTATTGAGAACAAATATCCTTCATCATGAAGCAGCATGATTCGATGCCAACTCCTCCCTCACCAACTCGGACAGGATCTTCCTATCCAGAGTCTTTCCACTCAACGGTCCTCCATCTTCCTTCAGCAGATGCTTCATGACCACTCCAGGTTTCACCGAGTCGCCCTCTGCCGCCTTTAGAGCAATAACCTCCGTTCTCACAATCTGTCTCATCTCAGCAGCGTCCATCATCTTAACACTCGCCGTATATTCGTCGATGATGGTGATTTCCGTCTCATTCTTGGCCGCCAAATCTTCACGATTGGCGGCCTTTGCCTCGTCGATAGCAGTCTGGGTGGCTGAACGGCGTTTTTTCAATAATGACAGGATTTGGAGGTCATTGGTAATAGGGGTGGAAGACGAGGCGGCTTGGTTAATTTCAGAGATGGTGCCTCGGAGAACAGATAGTCTGGAGAGGGCTAGTATCAGTGACGGTCCGGAACCGGAAGTTGTGGAAGGGTCTTTGCAAAACATACCTTGCAGTGTCTTTGGCACGCATGGCTGCCTTTAGGTCAGCCTTGAGCTTGGTCAGTAGTGATGGTGGTTCCGTGGAAGCAGTGGACGACCATCGCAGGCCGGATGCTGTTGCGCGAGTTGTGCACCGAGCACAGGTATACTTCTGCGTTGAGAACAACAGCCTTGTCGTTCGTGGAGAGGCCATGATGGTGGATATGGACGAGGAAGACTTCTCTAGCATTTGTCGGCCCTTGTGAAGCTTCGTTGTTACCGCTGGCGATGATGGGATATATTTTTCATGAAGCTGTTGATTCACCCCGGATTTGGCATGATATAATTATTCTGTTAATGAGCACTTAGCTTGTATTAGCTCATGCAGTGCCTGGGACTAAGCCTGAAGCGGGCGCAAGCACCACCTACAGATGACCATTAAACTAGTCCAATAATAGAATAGATTGCCGCTTAATTATTTAGCGTGTTTTTTTCAAAAGCGCATCTTGCATTTCCAGCCTCTGGTCGCTCCAAGGCCATGAATTTCTGGCAACTTTTAATTGTTCCAATATTATAAACACATCTCAGATCAACAGTGTTCTTCGGCCCATGTCGAGTCCGGTGTGACAACATAAGTCACTCGCTCCATCCTGTCCCCTTCACTCCATCCATTGCGCCGCGTCGCCGCTGAGAAACACTTTCATCTTTTGAGCGCCTTCCACCGTTCATGCATCTTTCATAAAATCTCCCACCTGCGTCCGTCCACGCGACATCTCTCACACCCATCATGGCCACCGTCGCAGTTCCACCTACTCCTGCGCGGCCTGTCCCCGGCGTCTATCCACAGACTCCTGCTCCACGCCCTCAAATCCCTGCACCGTCCTTCCAATCACCAGCTGCTTCCTTCCCCGGATCAAATCGTGCATTACAACTAGCCTCTCACTCCGGTCAAACTCCTTCGACGTCGACAGACCTCGCGACACAATCTACCGTGAGACAGCCTGAGCCTCTAGAACCTCTGCAGCGGGCAGCCAGGACCATCAATGAAGCACTCATCACTGAATCACGCTTCCCTGAAATTGACCATTACCTGAGCCAAGGTGCTTCCGGCGATTATGACATCCAGGCCTCTACAACGTGGGCCCCCTTCCAGAAGGCCGGCGTGTACAAGATTCCAGATGAAGTCTTCGAGCAATACCATAATGCCCAATTGTCGACCAGCATGGGTCTATTCGCAGACTTGAACCACGCTTGGACAACTATAGACAATGCGCTATACCTGTGGGATTACACTCAACCGAACCCGGAGCTTCTAGGCTTCGAAGGTCAACCTTATGGCATCACTGCTGTCGCTCTGGCTGTTCCTCGTCAGAAGGTCTTTTTGCCGAATATCAACCACGTCATCGTTGTGGCCACCACCGCCGACGTCTCCCTGCTGGGCTTGGGCGTGGACCCTAACGCAGGTGCTGGTGGAGGACTCTGTCTCTTTCAAACAGGAATGTCGGCTTCAGTCAAAGGTTTGGATATTACCGTCATTGCCAATTCGCCAAAGTCTGGGCGCATCTTCTTCGGCGGTCGTACCGAAAACGAAATTTACGAGTTGACCTATCAGCAGGAAGACCGGTGGTTTTCCAGCAAGTGCTCCAAGGTCTGTCATACCGCAGGTGCGGGCAAAGCTCTAGGTTTTGCCTTTAGCTCCTTCTCCGGGGCTACCAAGGAATATGTCGAGCAGATTGTGATTGACGACAGTCGAGATCTGCTCTATACTTTGTCTTCCTTGTCAAACATTCGAGTCTTTCGAATCAAGTCGGATGGTACCTTGACATTGTCCATCACCAAACCTGCTAGCTCCATCTATTCCAACATCGCACATCTCATCTCTCCCAATGAAACTCTGGTGCAAAGCATCAAAATCGTCTCCATCTCGGCCATCCCAGCCACTGAGGGTTCCCGGTACCACCTAGTCGCCATCACAGCAACAGGCTATCGAATATATCTCAGTGCTACAAGCTCGGGTTTATGGAACAACAGCACGGGGACCATTAACATGCAAGCTCAGCATGTCAAGGTCCCTCCTCAAGTGGGCGTTCCAGGCAGCGTACTCAGTGCGGCCGCTGCCAATCCACAACAAATCCAGAATTTCAACCAACCCATTAAAACCCTGACAAATACGAGGATAGCATCACGACTGGCGCCTGGGTACTTCTTCTGTTTTGTCGCTAGAGAACCCAATTCTCCTACAGACCAACTATTCATCTCCGCACCTGATGCCGCAAGATTGGCGCGACCACCCGAAGCCGGACAGCCAATCCGGACAGCAGAGTCCTCCATCTGGCTATCTCTTGGTAGCCGAACAGAAGATATTGGTGTCGTTGTGCCATACATCGCTCCCACTAACCAGCCAGCTGGTTTTGGCAACGACTTGGCTGTACAATTTGACAAACCAATTCCTGAAATTGCCATTTTGACCAATACTGGCATTCACATCATTCGACGGCGACGCCTGGTGGATATCTTCGCAGCGCTTGCCCGTGAGGGTGGCGGCGCTGAAGGGTTTCAGAACGAGGTCAACAACCTTGTCCGAGCATATGGTCGTACTGAGACACTGGCGACGGCATTGGCAGTTGCTTGTGGTCAGGGTATGGAAGTGGCTAAGGACCTCAATTCCATCCGAGTTAATGACCCAGAAGTACTGGATCTTGCAAGGAAGACTTTCATCGAATATGGAGGCAAGCCGAGTATCAACCAGAATTCTATCCCGGATAGATCAGTGCCACTTATTGATGCTGTCAAACCTTCTCCTCGCCACGCTGCGATTGCCTTATACCTATCACGGTTGCTGCGATCGACGTGGAAAACAGGCATTGCTGTCGAAGAGACGACGCCTGCGGGATACATGATTAGACCACGTGTTGAGATCAAAAAGCTGAGGGATGTGCAGGAAGCGCTTTCCTCTCTTCAGAGATTTTTCAAGACAAACAAGTCTTTCATCAGGGGTCTCAGTGGTCCAGATGACCTGTCGAGCACTGGAACTCAAGATGATGAGATTGCACTCAAGGGCGAGCATCGCGCTTTGCATTCACTGGTCAAGTTCACATCAGACACCATTGAGGGCCTATCATTTGTTCTGGTTCTCTTTGAAGAGAAAGTTGCAGAGATTGTTCCTCTTCTCCCGGAGGCATCTCGCCCACAGTTCCTTCAGTTGACGTTTGAAGAGTTGTTCACAACCAAGAAAGGATATGATCTCGCCAAAGAACTTGTCAAGGCTATTGTTAACCGCAATATTGCTAAGGGCTCAAATGTGGAGACGGTAGCCGAGGCGCTTCGTCGGAAATGTGGCAGCTTCTGTAGCGCAGACGATGTCATTATTTTCAAGGCACAAGAACAGTTGAAGAGAGCAGGCGAAGCGGGTGGAAACGCCGAACTTGCCAGGAATCTGCTGAATGAGAGTTTGAAGCTGTTTGAACAGGTTGCTCACAGTCTTCCGATGGAATACTTGCAATCTGCTGTTAGACAGTACACCGAACTGCAGTTCTACGCTGGCGCGATCCAGTTGGTTCTCAAGGTGGCACATGAGAAGGATAAGGCGAATGAAGCATTATCCTGGATGGCCGACGGTCGACCAAGTTCTGATGCCCGAGAGAACAAGTTTGCTGTACGGACTCAATGCTACAACCTCATTCATGATGTTGTCACTGCGGTGGACAGTATCAGCGATCGAGGCCCCAGCTTTGTGGACGGACGGCCGACTTTGATTGCCACCAAGAGAAACGAGGCTTACGATGTGATTAGTCGATCAAGAGATGAAGTTTTCCTCACCAACTTGTACGATTGGTACCTGCAACAGGGATGGTACGATAGGCTACTTGCCACCGATTCGCCATTCATCCCTACGTATCTACAACGCAAGTCGTCCGAGGATATCAACTATGCTGACTTGCTGTGGAAGTACCATGGACAAGTCGGACAGTTTGGAGAAGCGGCTAAGATTCAACTGGACCTGGCGAAGAGTAATTTTAAACTGTCACTGGAAAAGAGGATTGAATATCTGAGTCGGGCGAAGGCCAACGCATCGACACAAACACCTGGCGGCGGCAACCGAAGAACGAGGCAACAATTGCTCCAGGAGATTGCAACCCTATTGGATTCTGGGCTGATTCAGGACGAGATCTTACAGCGATTACGAGATGACCCCCGTCTCGTTCCTGAGAAGAGACAAGAAGTTCTTGCGCAAGTTGATGGAAAGATATTGTCGAATGACGACCTATTTAATAATTATGCCGACAACGCAGGGTACTATGACATCTGCTTGCTCATCTATGAGGTTGCGGACTATCGAGACTCATCACAGATCAAGCAGACATGGCAGCAGCTGTTGCAATCCGTGCACGACCGCACAGTTAAAGAGGATCAGATCCATCCATTCGAAGCTCTGACCGAAGAGATTCGAACGCTGGGAGCCAAGTTGAGACTCTCCGAAGCCACATTCCCCGTGCACATCCTCTTACCAATCTTGGAGAAATACTCCTACGAGCACCAACGGACAGTCGCACCAACCCACTGGGTGACGGACATTTTCTTGTCCCTTGAAACCCCCTACGAAAGACTCTTTGAGGTGTTAGAAGACATCTTCTTCGCCGGTGACGCCACCTACTCTGGTGGTCAACGGAAGATTATCGCACAGGAGATTGTTTACGTGGTGACGAAATGGTGGCATGATTCCGAGAGGGCCGGAGGTATCCTTTTCGGCAGTGAAGCAGGAGCCGTTCGAGTCAGTGAAACACTATCGGCTCTTTTGCAAGAGCATCGTAGTGCAGGACTTGACCCCGAGACAGTGCAGCATTGTCGGTCGCTGGTGGAACGACTCGCGCAACTTTTGGGGTGATTTTGGGTGGACTTTAGTCTCCGGATAGACAATCAGACGGTAATGAGGAAAAGTGAGGTTCTCCAGTTGGGACAGGACTGCTTCACTGGCTCAGGGTTTTGGCCGCATTTAGCGATCGATGATTTGTAGAGATCCGGCTCCTCAGGTTCATTTTGGTGGATGAATACAATGACCGTTGATTCCTGCATTGAGTTTATGGGTGAGGTATGGTGTTGTGATTGATCATGGATGGCCCATGATGGACTTGATGGACTTGATCCAGTTGCGAGGGCCAGTGAAATAGACGTACTGGTGGAAGAGGCAGTCAAAATGAAGGAATGCTTCCAAGTCTATCTCGAGATACGTTGAACAGACCAGCCGGGGTTCATGAGTAGCAATAATAATGATGGTAGGATTACACCAACGATGGCCACGTGACCAGTCCTTACTTTTTGACCCCTGATCCAATATCCAACATCCAACATCCAACATCATACTATCTTATTACTTACAGTACTTAGACTCGTATCCATTTCCAACACCCGACCTACCTAGGTACATAACAGCACGTCTTTTTGTTTCCATTACACGACCTGTACATCACCACTCGGACTCGCATTGACATTGAGCCTGACATAACAAAACATCTGAATTGTTCAGTCACTCATTGCCCACACCTCGCTAGTCCCATCATATCATATCATATCATATTATAATCATCTCCGTGATTAGACTTAAAAATGCCAGCCTCAGCCTCGCCACCACGACCTTTATCGAGTCGTAAACTCGATATTTTATACCTCGTCTTCTTCATGATACATATTCCTATCATTCTATGTAAGTCTAAATTGCGAGTTCTTTGCTTTTTTAAATGTCTGGGGAATTACTATCCATCCCCCTTTCCCTCTCCAATATCTCTCTCTAAACTAACCCTCACCCCCCTGCCACCTCCTAGTCGTCGACCTCGCATACTTCTACCCTCCGGCCTTAACCCCATCTATCTCGACCACACTACGAACATTCTACGTCGAGACATACGCCGATCGATTCTTCATTTCGCCTCCCGCGTGGTTCAAAGCATTTGGTGTTCTTGAGGGCGTGTATCACCTCCCCATCAGTATTTGGTTTCTCGGGGCGATTTGGAATGGTTAGTACCTACCTACCTACCTACTTGCGGACACAAAGGCCAGTGACTTGATGGCCTGATGAATACAATGAAATGATAGGTTTGCTAATGTTCCTCTTCCTCTTCTTCTGTATTCGAACAGATCACTCCCTCGTCCCGCTCCATCTCCTCATCTTTGGTCTTGAGACGGCGATTACCACGTTGACTTGTTTGATTGATACGGCCGAGTGGCATGCGTATAGTGAGGTGCAGAGAGGGAGGATTTATCAGTTGTATGCGCCGTATTTGGTTCTTGGTATGTGGATTGATTCGATATGGTTTCCGTCTTGTTGATTTTCCCGTCTTGGATTGGAATTTGTGTGAACGTGAGCTAACATGAGTACCTTTTTTTCCCTTGCCTCAAACAGCCTTGCTCATGGTCCTTGATGGTTTTATCAAGGTGAAACAACAGATTATGACGGGAGGTAGCTCCATCGCGGTTTCGACTGGTAAGAAGACGAAAGAATCTTGAAGTTTTCGACAAGGAATACAGGAGCAGCTGAGGAAGAAGAAGATCGGAGATCGAGGAATGACCAGAGAAAGACTTCCTTCAATTCCCTCACGTTACTGTGGGCGAGAACGATAGAAACATCACATCAAATCCAGACAAGATCCGCTGATATCAAAATTCTCTGCCTGGTTCTCTACATACAGTTCGACGGTCAATTATGCATGGTGACGGTAATGGAAAGTCCTGGACGCCATGCATTGCTCTGTGTATCCATTCCTCAGTCTGCCTCTCCATCCAAGCCTGTGGCGATCACGCTACTTCAGATTGTGGTGCTTCGCGAATCAAAACATTGCATCCAATGCCCCAATGGCTTGTCGATTGATTCCGACAGAGAAGGCTTTCCAATTAATACGTTCTTCAAAGTTGCCAATCTCGCCTCTCATTCCTCCGCGAGAGTCTGTCCCTCTCTCAGGCCCTCCACCTTCAACTCCTCACCCATTGCTCGTTGATAGATGTCCCTCACGTTCTCTGTGACAGTCTCAAAATGGCTAGAGGCATCGAAACTGTTGGAGATGAAAATATGGTCATTAACGCCGCTTTCAAGAGGTTGGTACAGGGGAATAGGTGGTCCTTGGAACTTCTCCTCGATTCGACCGAGTCGTTCCAAACCTGGTGCAAGTTCAAGGTGATGGTTGGCAGATGTTTCGGCAATGGTGGAGACGATGGCAATATAGTATCCTTTGGGGCACACATTGTGCGCCGAAGAAACAACCGCAATATAGATGTCGTGTTTTCGGCCAACTTGAGATTGTGGAATGATTAGCTGAAGAGAGTCGGCGTCGTTGGTCTTGTCGACGGGGTGGTTTAAGATGCAGATGGCTTTGAGAAGGTGACCGACCACTTGGACTTTCCCGGGGAAGTAAGAAGGATCGCCCAAGATCATTTTGGTTTTGGTCTCGAACTTCATGCCGTCGCCTTCTTCTCCTCGCTCTTTCATGGTAGCCTTGATGCCACTGATCTTTTTGCCATCATATAGAAATTCGTCTACCGAAGTGTTGAGCATGTAAGTCCCACCATAAATGGCGGAGAGACGGGCAAACCCTTGAGGCAGCTCGCCAAGACCGTAGAGGGGGTAGATGTAGGGAGACTTTCCGTATCGTGCCATCGAGTTGGCATACAGTCGGATCCGTTCGACCGTTTCTTTGGCTTGACCTGGCGTGTTGATGTATTCGTCTGTGGAATATAAAGCCATTGAGTGGCCGATAAAGTCTCTTGTGGTGGCCTCCAAACCAAACTTGTCATATACTTCTTTCATGCTGGCCCTGTTTATGTTGATGCCTACAACGGAATCAAAGTAAGTGCTTTGTCCAGAAGTTCCTCATAGGGTTTCACTGACCGCCGTGCGTAGCCGGATCCGAGTCTTCGAATGCACCAACCCATTCTAAGAATTTCTTTGCACGTCTCTTTTCAAAGAGTCCCATCAAAGGTGAACTGAGAGCTTCGGTCGCAGTAGAAGGGACTTTGGCGACGGTGGCGCGGGCTCCAGAACCCTGCTGGACGAAACTGCCGGCAATCTGCTTGAATTCGAGATAACGAGTCACATCGGTGGACACGAGGATGTTTGTGAGTTCGCCATTGGCCATCAATAGCTTTGGGACGAGATCAACGTTCCAGTCGTTGATTCTGCCATATTTTTTCCATGGTTCCTCGCCCTGTCGATAATTGCCGTATTTCTTGAAGAGCTATGGAGGAGGGGTTAGGATGTGGGGACAAGAAGGCGCAGGGACCGTAGTGGTTGGAGCGGGTGGTTCATCTTACAGCTTCGATGTTGACGGAGGCAGCTTCCCTGCAAGGATGTCAGCATGATCATGAGCATTTTGGATTGGGTGATTAATCGCATACCCCCCGTAGTGATCATTGCGGTCAATATGTAGGACTTTCTTGCCCTTGACTGATAAAACACTGGTTGGATAGTTAGGAGCAAGCCAGAGTGCATGTATATGCAGTATAGCTCACCCAGACAGCACACATTCCGTCAACCCTGCAGAGCATGTAAGTCAGAATGACGAGATATACAAACGGGGGCTGGGCAGCGGACCTGTGCCTAGGACAATAACATCGTACTCTGGAGCAATGTCGTCGGCCATGGTGGATGTAGATTGAAGGAGAGACTGTATATGGTATTAGATCTGGGTCAATGAGACTGTGGTACAGTATGCAGGCAAGATGTCAAGGATAAAAGGCGAATGTTGGGATTAGTGTTGAGACGAACTTGGGATAGAATCATGACATTGAAGTGTTCCCCATCACCGCCTTCCCCCGGCGGCTCCTCGCTCTTGCCTGTTGATCCTTCCCGAAGAGGTGAGGTCATATGCCAAGAACTCACTATACTATTAAAAGACTAGTGTGATATGACTCTCCTCGGCCCTTTGATCTTTGATACATACGGAGTACACGTGATACACCTGAAATCCTTCCATGGTTCTCATCCTCATTAAGCTCATGCTTCCTCGTCAACTATGATACTCCGTAAGACCTCCAGAAATCTTTGATCTAGTCTAAATGACATATTTCGCTTTCATGTTCATCTCAAGGCCACCAATCATTCAAATATTCGTGCCATATCATACAAGCATTTCATCAACCGTTTCACAAACTCGAGACGTGTCAGTAAGTGTTTGACCTGCTCGCGACTCGATAAGATGCACTCTGTCTGGGCCGGCGAATCCTAGCCAAGTACAGACAGACCAGGATCGCCACAGCCATTTGCTCTGCATGGGGAGTATTGAATTAATCTGTATTGGGCCATGTCATCTGTGATTCGTTCGTCGAATTCGTCATCATTCGCTTGGGCATCTGATTCTTTTCTTCTTCGTCGCGCTTGGAGTACGATTGCCTATCGATCATATGGCTCATCTTTGATCAAAAGGTGACCTTCTGGTTCGACAACCATTACTGGTCATGAATTGGCCAACAGCTTGGGTAGGCTTTCCAAACCAGCCATGAGCATGGAGACGATTGCAAAGGGCAGGTGGTCGATTTCGATATTAATGTGGAGTCGCATTCGGCAATCCCAGGACGTTAAAGTGGGATGAATCATCTCGATCGTCTGGGAAGGGGCCATGGGTCCATCTTCAGGAGCAACTGTCTCGATTGGATTCGTATTGTCTTCAGCAAGACCACATGTCTTCACATCATTGTCGAAGGCGACATTGTACTCGTTATGGTCATCGTATCTGGACGTTTAGGTGGTGGTCGATACTGCCTCCCTTCGAATCGAGTCATGTTGATTTCGCGAACTTCGCGCATATATGATATCTGATCTTCCTTGAATGCCCTTGTATGGTCCTTATACTCGTGAGGGTTGATCATTCGGTACAGCGCAGCTCCTCCAACTACCACAGCTGCTGCACCTAAGAGACAGAGAAGGATCACTGCCCAGGGGCTGAGTTCTGCCATTCTATGGCAGTTGGTGAATCAGGTGGCTAGGCGTAGGCTGCAGTTTTCGAACAAAAGAACGTGGTGGGAAGACTCGGGGGTTTTGCAAAGGGAGAAGACTAAACACCTACGGTCATATACATAACAGCCAGACCGGGAACGTGGATAGAAAGCATTCTGACAGTGGGGGCCTTGCGTCGTTCCATGCGGAGGTGGGTTTATTATTGTCTTACTCCGTATGTTCAATCAGACCCTATACGAGTCTTAGTCGGTCTAACTCGAGCGCATGGACGAGGGTCCTTGCCGAGACAGGAGTGAAGGCTGTCTCTTAATGTCTTAATCTTAGGGGTGCATCAGCCTCACAGACGCTTGACCAACATAACTTTGATGTACAATTCCCACTTGTGCCTGACGGACGCACTCCGTACGTAAATAGCTCCACTATTGGGTGCTCAGCCAACGCAGACACACACCAGAACTCACGACGCGTGAAGGTCCGGAGGGGCTGTGCTTAGGTTCCCTAATGTGAAGCCAGCGACTTGATTTGAAACTTCTGCAAAGAAACATAATCTAAGGTAATAAAGTTTATGCTCTGACAGCCGAACGAGCCGCTGTGATGTTGAATCGGATCGTCCTGTAGACCAGAAATCCACAAGGGGTTCCTCAGACTAAGAGTACTCCGTAATAGGAGCTGCCGTCTACGTATCACCATCGAACTAAACGACAAATAACTAGCAGGCTATCGGTTGATCGCTCGCATCACAGGGGTTAAGATCTTTAGTTTACCTGCCCACACTGTCGTGCTTGTCGAGAGAATGTGGTCTTCGCATATGGAAGAGTGGAGGTGTTGGTGGAGTAGAGACCTTTCCAGAACTCACAGACACATTATTGTGGATCAAGTTTCTCATGAACACAGACAAGGGCCACAGTTTTCAAGTGAAGCAAAAGGACGAACTGCATTTCCTGGATTATCGGTCGGGGACTTACCGTTGACACCAATTTTCAACCACCTGCATGCCGCCTCGGTGTCAGTACTCACGTCAAGTACCTGCGTTGCGTGACAGTAGAGAAAACCACAGCCAAGGGGCCTCGGGCCAACAAGCACATGAAGTTAGTGAAACAACTGTACTTAGGGACAGATCGGGTTGTTGCTAGATCTCGAATAGCGAAATAATTGTACGTAGGTATAGGTTTGGTAGGTTGTGATACTATGACTTGAGTCTCGCTAAAGCCACAATATCATGACAAAGCTCTCCGCGTCAATGGGATTGCTGTTACTATTTCTATCAGGGGGTTTCCGAGTCCTCTAGTCATGGACCGTCTTGTCACGTATCCAGATATGTTCACCCGAGTGTCAGGAAACAAGGAATTAATATTGTACAGGCAAAGATGACATTTGCCAAATCAAGGTCGAGGCTGTTCAATGGGTGCTTGATCGTATGAATCTTCAACCCATGATTCATTGTCCTCATCTTTCTCTCCGTCGCTGGAAAAGATCTCCTTCAGCGTCTCGTTGTGTAGCATCGTCTGCGCTTCTTCGAAAGCCATCTGTCGATCTGCAAGCACCTTTCGGATTCTGCTCATGGTTTTCTTGATCTGCAACGTCTCAATTAGCTTACATGCCAACGTGGAGTCGGTGACAAATATCAACAGTGCAAAGTTCATGATCAGATAACTTTCCAGTAAAATATTCTCATGGCTGCATGGTTTAAGCGTCCTTGCAGCAAACTCATATCGGCGAGTGAAAGGATGAGGTTCATCATTGTGAAGTTTAGGGATAGATTTCTCGAGGAACTGCTTACCTCTGCGATCCTCTCCTCGGCCTCAGCCTCGCCATACCCAGCCCTTCGGCGCACTCTCTCTCTTTCAAGTGTCAAGGTTTGATTCTTATGCTTGATGCAGACCCAGTAGAGCTTGTGTAAGTCTTCGAACGATTTTCGTGATAGCTCTTCCCGTGTCCAAGCACGACCTAAGTATCTGTTGTCAGCACGAAACACTGAGCGTTCGACCTGAATGACTGACCATGTTGGGCTGAGACATGTGGCTCAACCATCGACTTCTTGGTGCTGTCGAAGAATTGCCATAACCCATGGTTGGCTGTTCCTAGGTAGTCGGTCGGCTGAGCAACTCGCTCTCTAAATGCTGGTTCTGGCAACGCGAAATTCCATCGACCTTGTGTTGTCCGAGGTCCAGTCCGTCTGATAGCTGATTCGCCTCTTTTTTTATTGGCCTCACCGGACCTGCGGTTGCTTGAGGAGTGGGCGATTGAGGATGAGAAGGTTCTCGAGGATACCAGAGCTGGGAAAACAGTCTGGGTGGGCTTCAGGAAAGCTGGAGCGAGGAAGATTGGTATGCTGGAGACTTTGGCTGGGACCGCCGAGACGAACCGACCCGGTGCAGACATCTTGACGAAGCCTACAAACAGCTATGGGAAGATGAATGCTATACGCAGTAGAACTACTAAAGTCGAGAGTAATCCCAAACTCACATTTCAGAGATGAACGCCAAGCTTTTTAATAGAGACGCGGCTAACCTGCCATTTGTGGTTGGTTGATGGCTAGCCTAATTAGGAAACATCCAAACACGTCGACCACGATTGCGCTTTCCAATCGAGATATGAGGTGAACGTGTCAGGGCGACAGATTCTCGACATTGTGACCAATTGCCTGGAGAAAGTTGCACTGCGCATCTATCGGAGCGTGTGAGAGGCAAGATGAAGATCGTAGAACTTGTCATTGATGGGTAAGAACCTCCTATATCTGCTCACCAATGACCCCGACTGATCCTCGCAGCTTCAAGTCCTACAGCCAGCGCACTGTCATTTCAGGATGGGATCCTACCTTCAACGCGGTCACTGGACTCAATGGTTCGGGAAAATCCAACATCCTCGACTCGATCTGCTTTGTTCTCGGCATCACAAACATGTCTACCGTGCGAGCGCAAAATCTCCAAGATCTCATCTACAAACGTGGGCAGGCCGGTGTCACAAAGGCCAGCGTCACCATCGTCTTCGATAATGCCGACAAGCAGACCAGTCCTATAGGGTTCGAGGAGTATGCACAAATCAGCGTCACACGGCAAATTGTTATGGGCGGCACAAGCAAATATCTGATCAATGGACATCGTGCCCAACAAACCACCGTTCAAAACTTGTTCCAGAGCGTTGGCCTCAACATCAACAATCCAAACTTTATCATTATGCAGGGTCGTATCACAAAGGTTCTAAATATGAAAGCGGCCGAAATTCTCGCCATGATAGAAGAGGCCGCAGGGACACGGATGTTCGAGGATCGAAAGGAAAAGGCGCACAAAACTATGACCAAAAAAGAAATGAAGGTTTTGGAAATCGAGGGCTTGTTGAAAGAAGAAATCGAACCAAAACTTGACAAGCTGCGTGGCGAGAAGCGAGCGTGGCTTGACTATCAGAAGACGCAGAGTGAACTCGAACGCTTGACTCGAGTGGTGGTCGCTGCGGATTATGTTCGATCTGGAGAGAAGATGCGATCAGCCACCCAAGAACACGAGACGAAACGAGCCAAGGTTCAGCACCTGGAAGAAAATGCGGTCAAGCTGAAGCGCGAGATCGAAAACCTGGAAGAAGATGCGGAAAGAGTCAAATCAGTCCGTGAAAAGGAAATGCGGAAAGGAGGCCGCTTTCAAGAGCTCGAGAATAAGGTCAAGGAATACAGCCACGAACTTGTGCGTCTTGCCACAGTTCTTGATCTGAAGCAGTCCAGCATTGCTGAAGAAGAGCAAAGAAAGAAAGACGTCGCCAAGAACGTCAAGGCCCTAAAGGCGCAGGTGGGCGATAAGAGAAAGGCATTTGAGAACCTTCAGTCAAGATGGAACAGTGCCAAATCAGAGTCCGACTCACAAAACGCAGAGGTGGAGAAGAAGGAAGAGCTCTTGTCTACACTACAGACCGGAGTGGCGTCGCGCGAAGGTCAGGAAAGTGGCTATCAAGGTCAACTTCAAGAAGCTCGAAATCGCATGACATCGGCTGGCACTGAACAAGAGCAAGCCAAACTGAAAATTTCACATCTCGAGAAACGCATCAAGGAAGACGAGCCCAGGGCCAAGAAAGCCCGAGAGCAGAACGCGGGTTTACTCAGCGGACTCGAGACCCTGCGAAAGCAAGCGCAAAAGCTCGAGAGTGACTTGCAGAAGCTTGGATTTGAGCCGGGGCGTGAAGAAGCGATGCGTGAACGAGAGTCGACCTTACACAAAGACATTCGTCGCCTGAGACAACAAGTGGACGAGTTGAAGCGGAAAGTGGCAAATGTTGACTTTCACTTCAGCGACCCTTCGCCAAACTTTGACCGCTCCAAAGTCAAAGGTCTTGTTGCACAACTTTTCACCTTGGATAGAGAAAAGGCCAACGCCGGAACGGCTTTGGAGATTTGTGCAGGAGGACGGCTGTACAATGTCGTTGTTGACACTGCCGAAACTGGTACGCAGCTGCTGCAGAACGGGAAGCTCAAGAAGCGAGTCACCATCATTCCTCTTAACAAAATCTCCGCCTTCAAAGCGTCCGCGGAGAAAGTCGGGGCTGCTCAGCGAATAGCCCCTGGTAAGGTCGACCTTGCCTTATCACTCATCGGCTATGAACATGAAGTTTCTGCAGCGATGGATTATGTCTTTGGAACCACGTTGATCTGTCAAGATGCCGAAACTGCCAAACGGGTCACATTTGATCCGTCGGTTCGATTGAAGAGTGTGACCCTTGAGGGCGATGTCTATGATCCCTCAGGGACACTTTCCGGAGGTAGTTCGCCCAACTCAAGCGGTGTCCTGGTTATACTGGGCAAGCTCAACGAAGTGACTCGAGAGCTGCAGAGGCATGAGGCAGAGTTGGCACAGCTGCAGGACACGATGAAGAGCGAACAGGCCAAGCTTGCTAGCATCAAGTCTGTCAAGCACGAGTTGGATCTCAAGTCGCACGAGATTAAGCTCACCGAAGAGCAGATCTCGGGCAATTCCTCATCCTCGATTATTCAAGCGATTGAAGAGATGAGGGCATCAATTGCCCAGCTCAAAGAGGACATGGTCAATGCCAAAGCTCGTCAAGCCGAGGCAGCTAAAGATGTTCAACGGATCGAGAAAGACATGGAGGACTTCAGCAAGAACAAAGACAGCAAACTGAAGGAGCTTGAGAAGGCTCTGGCGGAGCTCAAGAAATCCCTCAGCAAGACGAGTGCTTCGATCAAGACGCTACAGAAAGAGGTCCAAGACGCCCGGATAGACTGTGAACAAGCAGAGAGCGATCTCAGTACAGCTGAAGAGCAAGTCGTTGAGGTGGATTCCTCCATTGCTGGACAAAAGGACGAAATGCAACAACTTCGAGAGGAAGAGGCAACAGTCAAGACGAATCACGACGTGGCTCAAGCGGAACTTGCTGATGAACAAGCGAAATTGACCGGCTTTGATGACGAATTGCGAGAACTAGAAAAAGCAAAATCGCGTAAAACGAAGCAGGTACAAGAGGAATCCCTGGAAGCACAAAAGCTCGGTCACGCCGTGGAGAAAGCGCAAAAGGACGCACAAGCAGCCGCGCAATTAGTATCAGCTCTGGAGAAAGAACACGACTGGATTGAAGACAACAAAGACCAATTTGGGCGAGCAGGAACACCATATGACTTCCAAGGCAAGAACCTGGCCGAGTCAAGAGCGACATTAAAGAACGTGACGGAGCGTTTCCAGGGCATGAAGAAGAAGATCAACCCCAAAGTCATGCCCATGATCGATAGTGTCGAGAAAAAGGAAACAAGCCTGAAAAACATGTTGCGGACGGTGGTACGTGACAAGAAGAAGATTGAAGAGACGATTGTGACACTGGACGAGTACAAGAAAGAGGCGCTCCTCAAGACATGGAGGCAGGTGACAGCCGACTTTGGCCAGATTTTCTCGGATCTCTTGCCGGGGAACAACACTGCCAAACTGGTACCGCTGGACGACAACATCGATCGCATCCAAGAAGGGTTGGAAGTCAAAGTATGTCTGGGCAAGGTGTGGAAACAGAGTCTGACTGAACTGTCGGGTGGACAAAGGTATGTCTCCCATTTGTTTCTACCGTTATATTCTCCCTCTCTCCCTCTCTCCCTCTCTCTCTCCCTTGCCTAATATTATCATATCATCCACTCCCACGTCCAATTCCAATTCCAGAAACCAACTAACCTCCTTGCCACCCACACAGATCTCTCATCGCACTATCCCTAATCCTCGCCCTCTTACAATTCAAACCCGCGCCTATGTACATTCTCGACGAAGTAGACGCGGCCTTGGATCTATCACATACGCAAAACATTGGCCGAATCATCAAAACACGGTTCAAGGGATCGCAATTCATTGTCGTCAGTTTGAAGGACGGTATGTTTCAGAACGCCAATAAAGTGTTCCGTACGCGCTTCAGTGAAGGTACCAGTGTGGTTAGTGTCATGACGCCAGGGGAATTGAAGGGATGATCTCTTGGAGAGAGAGACAGAGAGAGGCTCGTGAAGTTTTATGCTCATGTTTGGGTTATAATGGCTGATGGATAACTGCACTTTTGGGAGCGGCATTGATCTATATCCTAGAATGGGTTGGGATCAGGTTTGATGGGACGAATTGGGTTAAGGAGGTGTCGAGGCGTCAAGATGACTTCTGATGAAGGTTGTCATGATTTCAGAGCATAGCATTGTGAGTGGAGTTTAAGGATGCTCTACGACATGTCGGATGGAAAGGCTGGCTCGGGTGAGCTAGGAATGATTGATGTCCATGATTGAATGCATTTCGTGTTGGGTCTTTGGTGTTGATATCTCAGTTCATTACACATATACTCAAGAAGAAGAGAATGGTTGAATGTTGGCGAATGAAGCTACTAGGAACAAGTCTGGCAAACATATCATTTCATTCTATCTGCCTGTTTGTTTTGTCTATCCGTTGATGGATGGCCGTCACGTGACGTGATGTGATATAAGAAATGAAAAGCGTAAGATACATACAGGGAGACTTTGTCGGGTCCAGTCGAGTCGAGGTCAATCTACCCGAGTGAATTATCTGGAACCAGACTTTCATCTCTCAGTCATGTCTGACGACATCGTCCAAGGCCTCAGCAAAGTATTTCACATTGTGGGTGTTGAGACCAGCCATGCTGATACGACCGTTCTTGGTCATATAGACATGCCATTTCTCGCGAATAGCCAGGACTTGTTTCTCGGTGATGCCAGTGAAACTGAACATGCCGATTTGACTGGTGATGTGTTCCCAGTTTCCTGGGGTACCCAGTCTATCGAGCTCGGCTTTGAGGGCTTTTCGTTGTTGGATGATGCGACCGGACATGGTCTTCAGGTCTTCCTCCCACTCGGCGAAGAGGGCTGGGTCGTTCAGAACCAGACTGGCAATACGGGCGCCATAGGCTGGAGGGTTTGAGATCTCTGAACGTTGGAGAATGGCGAGTTGAGAGGCGACTCGTTTGGTGATGTCCTGAGCCTTATCGCCAGGGCCAGCGACAAAGTGGAAGGCACCTGCTCGTTCACCATAGAGACCAAAGTTCTTTGCGAACGACTGGGCGATGATCAATTCGAAGCCTTGCTCCACGAAGTAACGGATGGCCCAGTTATCCTGTGCGAGATTTCCCGAAGCGAAACCCTGGTATGCGCAATCGAAAAAGGGGAAGAGATTGCGTTCTCGGACAACTTGGGCGATTTGTTTCCATTCTTCTGGCGCCGGGTCAACACCAGTGGGATTATGGGCGCAGGCATGTAGGAGGACTATTGAACCTTCCTTGGCGGAGGACAAGGTGGAGAGGAGTCCCTGGCAGTCAAGGCCTTTGGTCTTTGCGGAGAAGTATGGGTAATTGGCGATTGGCAGGTGGACGTTGGTGAAGATCTGGTTGTGGTTGGCCCATGTGGGTGATGAGAGGTAGATAGTGGGAGTAGGTTTGGGCAGGAACTTGGAGAGGAACAGGCCACCCAGATGGACAGCGCCAGTGCCTGAGACGGTTTGTAATGAAGTGACCTATGAGGGTAGCATGTCAGTGAAGGTCAGGCGACGGGTGCAGGTTTCATACTCGTCCTTCCTTGATGGCGGGGCTATCTGAACCCAAGATCAACTTTTGGGCGGCGGCAGTGAACTCGGCGAGACCAGCGATGGGAAGATACTCGTGGTTCAAGTTGGGATCATTGCGAAGAAGGTCATCAGCCTGTGAGATGAGTGTCAGTGAGAGTAGCGAGTTGTCAGGAGATGATAGAATCGAGAGAAGTGGTATGACTGCAGGGAGAAAGATGCAAGTCGGTCAGAGGGATCACCCACCTTCTTGACCACGGGCAACACCCAGGGTTTCGCGTTGTTGTCACGATAGGCACCAATACCCAGATCGACTTTCTTGTCAGAAGTATCTTTTCGATAGGCAGCCATCAATCCGAAGAGAGGATCCTCAGGGGCTTGAGGAACAACATCCTCGGTGAAGATGGTGTCGGCGACGGAAGAACCCATGGTGTGACGTTGAATCTGAGTCAAACGGGCAGCCGTGTGTGATGGGGAAGATGAATGGACCGAGTTAGAGGAAGATGAGGAGGGAGACGATCGAAGGGAGGAGGAGGAAGATGGCTTTGGCGGTGAGGATGAGGACATGTCGAAAGACGAATGTTACGATTTTGTTTTTTGAGACTGGCCCGAATAGACAAGAGCGACTGCAGACTGCGCGAGTCAAGCGGGCGTGACTGATTTGCGCAAGTGTAGCAGGCCTGGACGTGTGGAGGAACGGAAGTGTGACTCGTTATGCAGGGTTCTTTAGCTGACGTCCCTAAGCCCGATCGAATTTCACCATCAAGGTTGAATCTTTTATCCGAAGAGCCGGTCAAGTTAAGAGGTTATTTGAGTATTGAATAATTATTAAGAGAATTGAATCGGAAGAAGATATATCCTTCCAAGAATCTACCTATAGCTAGAGAACCCTTGCATCATTTCACATGAACCGAATTCCCATCTGGATGTTCACCACGAGAACTTGGAAGTTCCGAGGTAAAAATGACTCCGAAGAAATATCGAGCAATTGAGCACCAAGCATGGGCGGGTGGATTGGTGGGTTGGTGGGTTGGTGGGTTACCTGGAAGTCGGGGTGATGGCCCCGAGGTGCCTGGGGGCGGCGCCTGGGGATGCCCCTCGGCCCCTCGTGCTACGCTAAGCCTCTGCCTGGCTTCCCGGTGGATCGCGTGTGAATCACTGGGGATTTCTGCTTACGGGGTCGGAACCTCCTTTAACCATCCGGCCTTCAATTGGTCCGTCGACTCGCCCGTGACATTATCGCTATATTGGGGCCCGAGGGATCTTACTTACCTAACTTAGTACTTAGCTCCCCAGCTTTGTCGCCTAACCTCACCCGCGCCACGGTTCATCCTGGATCGAGCTCTTTAATAAGGAGCGGCTAAGCTTCGGCAAGAAATCCTCTATGAGAGATTAGTGTCCTTGTCGTCGTTTCATCATCCCTATGCATGGAAAGAGCAACATATAGTACGAGATAGCTTCATTGTATCTCCAGAAGCACTATAGCAGCGTCAGGTCCTATGATATATCTCAAATGACCAGGTCCCAAACCACCAGAAAAGAGCACAGCCCAACGGTGGCATAAAACACCAGTCTCGCAGTGCTGGCCCTCTCACTCGCCCGTTGAAGCTCTTTGTTACCTTTGCGCACATTCTCATCTGTCGACGCAGCATCTTCCACCAACTGTCCGATCATCTCTCCCTGAACACTTAGATGACCGACCAGAGTTTGCTGTAGACTCCCAATTTCCATCAGGCTCTTCTCCACCTGTGTCACTTTGGCCAATTGATCATTAAAATGTTCAAAGATGCCCCGGTTCTCCTCTTCGAATAACTGCAGTTGCTCTGGAGTTAGCTCTTGCTCTCCACCTTGTGACGGGTCAAGAGCTGGATTATATTTGTCGTGTCCACGGAGATCCCGATTGCCCTGTCCTGTAAACTCCAGACTGCTTTTTACTCCCTTGTTCCTAGGGTCGTGAAGAATGCTCATCTGTTTATCTCGTTCTCGGTTCAGCCTCTGCTCCACCATCTCTTGCTGCACATTCAACGATTCTTTCAAACGGTTGCTCAGGTACCATAGCACCCCATCCCGGAATGTCTTCTGTGTCTTGACTTTTCCCTCCTCTGTGATCTGTTCGTCTGATTTCCCAGCGTCTGGCGTGTCGCCCTCTCCCGCTGCCCATCGCCAAATTGCCGAGTTTGGCTTTCCATATTTCTTCTCTAGAATCTTGGTCGATGTATCGTGCTGAATGTCAACAGCGCGGGAAATGTTTGTAATTTGACTATTAATTTCTCGGAGGACTGATGATGTCTCCCCATCGATCGCTTCTCGTTGTGTGTCTGTGAGGTGCTCTGGAACTGGGCCAGTTGGTACCAATGCCGACTTGATGGACTGTGGACGTCGAGATGGTCGGGGAGCCGGGGCGCTAGAAAGGTATGGTGTGCGAATAGCTCGAAGGTACGAAAGCAGGGTGGTAATCGATCGATTCTAGTAAAACACCACGTGAGACCTTGATAATTTCCTGAGAGCCGGGAACCACCCTACAATCTGATATGCCTCCTTCAAAAAAGAGTCGAGGACTGCGGTCGACGAGTATTCATCACCAGCGAGTGGTTTCGCAGAGTGTCGTTCGATCAGAATGGTGGAAAGCTGCGCCGACAAATCCGCCATTCTCTCAGACGCCAGTGGCTGTAACCGACCATGTACAAAAGGACAATGTCGACAGTCGCAGCCACTTGGATATGCCTCAAGTCAAATGTTGGAACTAAACTTGAGTCGCGGCAATATGTGGCCAGATATTGCAATATCGGAGTTGTAGTCCGCACGAAGTGATACGGAGGAGCATAAAGTTGGACATCTGCATATCAAACTCCCTTTTCTATTTCAGCCTTAGAAATGAGTAGGCATGTTCATTGACTCTCATTTCTATATTCATATCAGACATTATGTACTGTGTTGATAGCATTTACATCATGTGTCCGTTTTCCTTTACCGCAACCCAAACGCAACAATGGATAGGTGAGAGCCTAGGGAAGCTCAAGGCATTTTCCAACTAAGAGATGGCCCAATCCACTGTCGGCTCAAGCAACGCTGAGCCAATCACCAAATCGAAGGTTCGTTTTACAAATGGCTAATTAAATGATCAGGCCTGGGTTGTAGAGTGATTTTTATTTGTGCCTCTAGGGGTCATTGCAACACCATTGGCTAGAGTCACAATGTGTTGTGGAAATGTACCTAGGTGGCCTCGTCTGGAGTTTTCTAAGTCCAGACAGGCTATCAGATTGCCCTCGCAGATACAACGAACACCATATGGGCTGCACTGCCATTTGAAACCGACTCGTACGTGTAGCCAGTCCTGGTATCAGATGGGACTTGATTGAATGACAATGCCAAAAGCCTCGTACCAGGCAATATCTGTTTCCATCGGGGTCTCCTAGATGCTGTGCACGTCCGAGGACAGAAACCAGTTTACTCGAAATGAATAAGATCTCACCGGCTCCAGGAAAACCTCAACTGCCTTCTCCAACCTTCAGCGGAGCTCCGTGCCTGGGCTTGTCAAGCCAAACGTCGATTTCAGTCTTTGTCTCGACCATGATCGCTCTCACCTAGAATGCCAGACACCCGAGAACAGGTCTAGTCTTTCTTCATTTATCCTCGCCAAGATCACGGAGATTGCAAACATGAACATAAGGTATCCCTGTGCTCCTCAGCCTCGCCAAGCCTGGGAAGCGCTGTTCCACAGGTCAGTATGGTCCCGATGAACCCCCGGATGCTTATATGCCGACCTCCAAATGGCCACGAATATGAGGGAGGTAATGGTCAGTTGCCACAGAGAAGCTTGACCCACTGATTCTGAGAATCATTGTCAGAGCCTGTTGAGTCAGAAAGACACTTTGCTTAACCCCGGCCAAGAAGTAATACGTGGTCGATGCAAGGCTAGGTCACGTGTATTGGGGGGCGACCGGGGCAAAATCGGCTCACCTCCACATCACGGGCCACTAAGGAAGTATGTCTGAGATGGACGTCGGCTTTAGCAGCATCACAATCGACAAGCTGAAAGCGTTGAAGGCTGTCCTCTCAGCAGCGTTTCTTGGGTTGTGGACACCAGACAGCCCCTCATCATTGGAACAATTTTCCTGGAGGGTCGGATTTAGCAGGGTTCTGACGTTGTGGGGAAGCCCCAATACATACTCGACCAGTACGACCCAGCTTATATGATCCCTTCAGCATTTCCCGATATTCCCGTCGAGCATTATCCATCTCTCACCGGCTCAGGCCACGGAAAAAAGTGACCCACGGGGAATGCAACAAGCAACACGTGATACATCCAACCATCGCTGGCTGTGTATCATACAGCTACAGGAGCAATCATGACGGCGGAAGCTCGCCGTTCTTCACAAACAGAGTCTCCAGATCAGTCCACCGCGGCGCCCTCGTACAAGAGACGGCGGATCGCTCTAGCATGCACGTCGTGCAGAAATCGCAAGTCTCGTTGCAATGGAGTCAAACCCGCTTGCAGCCTTTGCGTTGAGCTAGGTTTCGAATGCATTTACCAACAACCAGCTGCTGCAAACGGCGTCAATACCACCGTCCCACAGCAGAATTCTAGTGGATATGATGAGAGACTCCGTGCCATTGAAGATACACTGCGCCTTCTGGTAGATCAGAATGAACCATCTGGACCCAAGCGAAGAGAATCCTACTTTCGTCGCGCCGAGGTCCTAGAGCAGGTCGAGCAGCAGCAGCAGCAGCGCCAGGTGACGGTCAACTCTGATGAGGATGTTGCGATCCTGGATGAAGATGACGATCAGCCTGCGAATGCTGGGGAAGACTCAGTCGACGGCATGGCCGCCATCACTGACCCAGAAGACAGAGAATCGCGATTCTTCGGCCCCTCATCCAATATTACCTTCTTACGCCATATCTCAGACGCCACTTCAACCACCTTAAAGGCTATAGGTCAATCGCGAACCTCAGAACCACCACTCGGACAGTCCCTTGTCTCAAGAGCCGCCTCGCCTGTCACGACATTGCTATCAGAAAAAAGCCCTGCCGTAAGAAGTCAGTATGTCAATATCAGATCTCTTCCGTCTGAATCTCGAGCACTCCATCTCATTCAACTATTCTTCTCCGACACTGGAATGCTCTTTCCATACATTCATGAGCAAGAAATCCTTCGAACATACTCCACCGCTCGGCGGAATCGCTTCGTTTCTGTGAGCCGGTCCTGGCTTTGCCTCCTAAATGTTATCTTTGCATTCGCCACCTATATCAGTGCCAGACCAGATCAGCCTGCGGAGAAGAATGCAGCAGAGTCAGAAGTTTTCATGGAAAGGGCACAAGCGCTTGCAGATGAGATTGAGTTGAAGTCAGCCAATCTGGAGAGTGGTAAGTCACAGCATCATGGATGGCCAAGCAGTGGCTGACAATGATAAGTGCAATGTTTCCTGTTGATGGCGCAGTATCGTCAAGGTACCCAGAGATCCGACAAGGCATGGATTCTTCACGGGAAAGCGGTGCGTGCCGCGCTACAGCTGGGCCTCCAATCCCGGTCGACCTTGGCCGGATTCAGTCCTGTCGAAGCAGAGATAAGGAAGAGAACGTGGTTTGCTTGCATGATACTCGATAGGTGGGCTTTATGAATATCGCATTCGGTGAGACGTCGCACTGACAGTGCGTTACAGGACTTTAAGCATGACCTTTGGCCGTCCCGCCACAATTCCAAATTCATACATGACCTTGGATCTACCTATCAACCAAAGCCTCGACAAGATCGCTATGGCTGCGCCTGCATCAGCTGGCCATAACGGGATTGAATCACCAGATACCGTTTGTCTCTTCACTGCAACCATGTATGTCTGAACCTGCCGTCTTCTGAAACATGACACTGACGTATTCAAGACAATTATACTACATCCTTGAAGATATAATGACCCAGTTGTATGGTTCAAACGTCGATACTGATCCACAGTTGACTATGCCTGTCATGTTGGAACGAACGCTATTGCTGGAACAGCGCATGGCAGAATGGAAGCGAAATCTACCGTACCAGCTACAGCGGAAACCATGGGTTGAGATCGCACCTGGCACAGTGGGTTCACCTGCAAGGGATCCAATCTCGGATCGACTCAGTGTGATCATCACACTACGATATCTCAACACACGTATCTTATTGCACCGACCGGTCCTGAGCACCTTTCTGCAGAGGAGGGCTCGACTCAGAGCAGATGGGGGAGCATTTGACGACGAGGACCATTTCTTCCGTGACCTTGGAGAACGGAGCATCAAAGCCTGTGAGCAGTCGGCTTCTGAGATTGTCGAGATTGTGCAAAGGACCAGTCGGCCTCCGGCTCTACTAGGTGCATGGTGGTTTTCGGCATACTACAGTGAGTATTATTGATGACACGTTTTGGAACGGTTGCTAATGGTGAGGAAGCATTCAATGCCGCACTCGTGATATTCAGCTGCATCTTGTTGGAAATCACTACTACCAACCGATGGACAGCCTCGGGACCTACCATCACGGTGGCTGAGCTGCTGGACACAGGCAGGATCATCGACATGATCACACACCTGCGGAGAGCCGCCGAGACACTACAACGATTTGGCGAGGGCATGAGATCTGCCAAACGGATCCGCAAAACATTGTTGAAACTGGTGCACATCTGCATGAATCTGGCGCAGAGTAACAACGAACAAGGAGCTGCCATATTATCAGCCCTATCAAGCAATTATGACGCCGAGATGGCCCAGCTACAGCAACAGATTGGTCTTGATCTTGCCAATTCAGGTGGAGGCATGGTACAAGGACCGATGATCACAGGGGATGGAATGATGTTGCCTCCTACGACGATGGACCCCTTTGCGACGTACGATGTTGGAATGCATCAGTACTGGTCTGAAAACACGATGGATTTGTTCAACGATTTGGTCGGTGTAGAAAGCGGATTGACGTCCCTCATGGCAGGTTAGACTATGAGTGTGGACATCTCCAGGGCAATCTAATGGCTAGGAAAAGTGACGTATATGCCTTTCTAGCTACTTTATAAAAAGTTCATGTATATCAACTGCTGCAATAAGCTATAGCAACAGTCTCTATGAACTAAATCCGGATGGCCCCTTTTGCGCAATCCGAACCACCGGAATGGCGCAAGATACTTAGACAAGAACATCACTGAATCAGTGTGGAGAGAATCTGGCTGAGGCTTTCCGTTCTATCCCCGGATCGGCTCCTGCCCTCACAACCCCCTCCAATGCCTCCTTCCCCTTATGGAACCGCACAACATGTGATTCGACTTTATTATCCCAACATTCTCGACTTCTTGCAATTCTAACAGAGCATTGGAACAATTTAGAACGTTGTTTACAAGGGCAAATCTCGTCAAAAATGGTCACATACGCCTGGAAGCGGCTCATCAGGTTCGAGTCCACCGACGGACGCACGCTGAGGGGCGAGCCGATCGTACCATCGGACGACTTTGACATTGGTACTGTCACGGAGAAAGATGGTTTGAAGGCCAAAGTCATCATTGGCGACGACATTTTCGACACGACAGGCAAGACTTTTGTCACAAATGAGGTCGTCGATGTCAAGAGGGTACTCGGACCGGTGGCGGCATCAGAGGTACCAATCCTGAGATGCGTGGGTTTGAATTATGCCAAGCACAGTGAGTCTCATTGTTGACAGAGGAGAGACGATGATTGTTCGGGGATCTGTTGTCTGTCACGATGAGACATGGCGCTGACACAAGGCACGTTTAGTCAAGGAAGCCGGGAGACAGCCACCACCATTTCCCTTCATCTTCTTCAAGCCAAATACGACCGTCATCGACCACGAGGCGTCGATAGTGATACCTAAGATCGCCCAGGACGATCAGGCAGATTATGAGGGTGAACTGGTTTGTGAAATCATTCCTTCAGCATGGCTCCTATACTAACAACTGCCTCTAGTGCATCGTCATTGGCAAAGACGCCAAGGATGTATCAGTGGACGAAGCACTCGAGTATGTCGGAGGATACACCGCTGGCAACGACGTCTCTTCACGAAAACTCCAGCGTAACGTCGAACTTGCTGGTCGAGTCCCTCAATGGGGATTCTCCAAGGGATTCGACACCTTTGCACCTTTGGGACCAGTACTTGTCTCGCCAGAAATCATCCCAGACCCGACAAAGCTGCATCTCAAGACTATCGTGGACGGTGAAGTCAGACAGGACGAGGGTGTTTCCGACTTACTGTTCGATTGTAAATACATCATCTCCTACTTGAGTCAGGGAACAACTTTGCAGAAGGGAAGCGTCATCATGACGGGAACGCCTGGAGGTAAGTGATCTTGTTTGATCCGACGTCTATGCTATAGGAATGTTGCATGGCTAACATTGCAATTCTTCGTGCACAGGTGTTGGCTCTGGTTTCAACCCAACGAAATACTTGAAGCCAGGTCAGGTTGTGGACGTGAATATCTCCAAGATTGGGACGCTACGAAACCCGGTTATCTATGCTTAGAGGATTCCGATCTCAGAAAATCCGCTGGTGTTTGTATATACCGGTTGGATAGTGCGTAAAACTGCATCGAGAAGAACTTTTGTCAAGACATTACGATAGAGAATCCAGTCCAGTAAAATGTTCTTTGGATAATGTCATACCTATTGCCCTGATCCATTGTAAATCCTGTCAGACAAAATGATTTTGACCATAACTCTTCGAACACTACCCCACTTCTGATTCCGTCAGACACGTCTATCAAATTCTTCAGCCTTCTCATGAATATCTTTCATTTATATTCCACGAATAGAACCAACTGCCACCTTCGCAACCCCGATATGGAAACAATGTCACAGAACCAGTTGTAAATAGGTGTTCATATCCGAACCATAATGTCTTTCTCATTTGGCTTCAGCGGCGACGACATCGAGGACGACGGCGAGGATGGACTTGTGGACGACATGTCCAAGCATCAGATCTCAGAGCACGCAACATCCAATGTTATCGCCACGCTTCAGCCCAAGAAGCATGCTTTGCAAGAAATGGTGAGTTTTAAACCTGTCTCCGAATGACCTGCCCCACAACATATTTCATGTTTGCTGGACAAACTTACCCCTCTCTCTGTGCTGGATCCGAAAGAAGAGCATTAGATCATTTGGTGGGAGGACCATGACATGAATGACTTTCTCAGCCTCCTTCATGCAAACCAATGGCACATGTGTTTCTCTTCATGAATGAGCATAAGCATGTGAATTTCTAACATACCCTTTCCCATAACTAGCTTCTCTCCATCCCATCTCAACTCTCATACAACACACTGAGAATACCAATACCACTCCCACCATCCTCAGCAACATCGGCATCAACCTCAACCTCAACACCATACATCTCTTCTCATCATGATAAGACCTCCCATTCATCACCTTCAATCCTCCGACGATCACTATTCGACATACGAGCACAACTCATGGCCGAAGCCGACATGGACCTGACCAACACTGAACCAACATCCCCATCGAATTCAACATGGACGACAAACCTCCTCTCCGGCCTTGAAAACGGCGATTTGACATCAGGAATCTACGAAGGTGGATTCAAGACCTGGGAATGTGCACTAGATTTAGCCGGTCTATGTTCAAGACTAGATATCTCCATAGAAGGGGGTTTGAACATCATCGAACTCGGTGCAGGAAGTGCCATCCCGTCGTTGGTCGTATTACAATCGATGCTAGCGATGGCACGGACGATAGACTCAAACAAGAAGGATGCGGCCGCGGCGCTTTCGCTCACTCTGTGCGACTACAACGAAGACGTTTTGAGATTAGCTACCGCGCCGAATTTGTTGCTGAACTATGCGCAGCAATGTCAGTTGGTTGATTCACTCTCTCCACCGACGTCGTCATCGTCGTCGTCGTCTTCGACGATTGCACAAGGCCAAGATCCCCTCGACGAAGGAGACCTCGACATGGACGACCTTGGCGAAGACTACATCTCTAGAGTTGAGACCGGTCTTAGAGATCGAAACATCTCGATCGACTTTATCTCGGGTGGATGGGGTCCGGAGTTTGTGGATCTGATCCTACCACCTCCCTCGACATCGACATCGACATCGACATCAACATCAGCCACCCCTCCATCGCCTTGCAGGAATCTACTGATTCTAGCCTCTGAGACCATTTATTCACCTTCTGCAACGGCGATTTTCGCTGATACTGTTATTCGTCTGCTGCGTCGGCATCGTGAATTATATCCGACGGGAAGTGCAAGAGCTTGGATTGCAGCGAAAAAAGTGTATTTTGGTGTCGGTGGTGGAGTTGATGATTTTAAGGATCAGGTTCAGAGTCTGGGTGGATGTGTTGCGGGTTTGACGGAGACGAGTGATACGGGCGTCGGGCGTGTGATTATCGAAGTTACGGTTGTAGAAGATTGAGCACCATGTCACATGTAGAGCATCATGGAATCCAAGTGATATATCTATCATTTTGTGGGATTCAAAGACACTTTCTTCCCGTCATATTAAATCATAAATTCCACACGCTCGATTGATCATTCATTCTATGTATTGCTTGATCTGGACGTCTCGACGCCATCAGTGCTCGGTGATGCTGTGCCAGTCATGTCATGTCACGACGGGCGATGCACCTACTTGCCTGACGGCAGCTCCGACGACTCTACGAAGAAGGAAAACCTAGAATACATATGCGCAATTTTGTCGGCATTGAACGGAAAACCAGTTCATACCGTCCAAACACCCGCGAGAACCTTTAGCAATATCAACTTGCGTCAGATAGCCACCCATGCACCCAAAGACCACACGCGGCATTGCTTGTCTAGCCACGGTTGCGCTGGCTAGGAGGCACGTACTTGCCGGTGGTTGAGGTTGTGGTTGGAGTAGGTCTTCTGGGGGCATCATCGCCGCTGGGAGGTCCTGGAGACCTGGCGTTGTCCCGAGAGTTGCTACGTCCTTCTCTCAGATGTGCCGGGACGTACTTGCCACCAGCGCCGCCAGCGCCGCCAGCGTTGGCTGGTGAGGTGGAGGCGTTGCGAACGGGCAGATCGCGAGGAGGCGCTTCACCACTGCGTGAGCCGGCACCCTCCCGCAAGTGAGGTGGAAGATACCCGCCAGGGCGACGTGGAGCTTGGGCTGGCTCTGGAGCTGGAGCTGGTGAGGCTTCCGGTGTGGCTGAAGATGATGCACCGCTGGCTGCTCCAGCATCTTTGGCAGCCATGCGGTCTCGCCAGCCACCGCCACCAGTCTTTCCAGCGAGAGCAAGACGAGGGGCAGTGCGTCCTTCTTGAGAGTCGGATCGGCTGTCCATGAATGGCGCTTCAGGTCGTCGTGTTGGGACCGGCCCGACGTCTCTTCGTGCGGCTCTTCTGGCTGCGGCTTCTTCTTCTCGTGCCATTTGCTTCTTGGCTGCCTCATCCCGCTCTGCTCGTTCGGCTTCGAGTCTCTGTCGTCGTTCCTCGGCAGCCCTCTTCCTCTCCTCTTCGAGTCGTGCCTTTTCTTCTTCCTCTCGTTGACGTCTCTCTTCTTCTTCACGGACACGTCGTTCCTCTTCCTCTGCGGCAGCACGCTGGCGGGCTTGCTCCTCATGGTAGGATCGAATACGCTTCCGCTTCTCTTCTTCGAACTCTCGCTCGGCTCGCTTTCGAAGTCGCTCAAACTCCGTGGCGCGTCGTTCTGTAATCTGGCCCTTGAAGGTGTCATAGGTTTTCACAAGTCGACTGAGACGATGCTTGAGAGCAAGACCTTCCTTGTGTTTGATCTGTGCCTCTTTGAGGGTGTGCGCGGTAGCCGCTTCGTAAGCTTTGATGTCGGCTTGTCGCTGCTTCTCGTAATCTTCGGTCTCGTATTTGAGTTCCTCCCGACGGAATGCTCGCTCGAGATGGTCGATTCGCTTGGCTGTCACACGAATCTTGTTGTCTTTTTCATTTTTGTCTTTCTCGAGTTGAGTGAGCTTGAGCATTCGAATGGCGTTCGAGTCGAGTTCATCAATGTTGAGCTCGTCCAAATCGATCTTCAAGCCACCCTTCAGCTCTTCCAACTGCTTCTCCATTTCTTGTCGACGGATGCGAGCCTGCTCATCCTTAAGACGTTTGATTTCACGGGCTTTGGTCTCATCTCGCAGACGCTGGGACTCGGCTTCAGCTTGCTGTTGGGCACGAATGCGACGACGGGTTTCCTCCTCTCGTTGTCGTTTCGAGAGTGCCTCGCTGAAGGCTTCTTTCTTCTTCTCGATGACGATTCGTCTTCTCAGAAGATCCTCGTGTTCCTGAGCAATGCCTGCCTCTGCACGAGCCAAGGCAGATTCTCTCGAAGCCAGGCGGGACTGGATGTATGAGGAGTCAACGTACATTGCAGTGACGTGGAGGGTCTTTGCAAGCCGTGTCAATTGAGATCGTGCGATTTCTGCAGGAGTGTTTTGAAGTCTCTGTACCGAGCCCGCATCGGTATCGGCGGAGCCAGTCGGCAAGACCTTGGTGGAGGAGAAAACATCGGAGTCGAAAGCCAGGATGCCTGAAACATGATCAAGGCGGATGGCAAGATCGCCCTTCTTGCAGCCATTCATGATAAACTTCTCGATCGCAGCCGGGCTCACCTCGAAAGGAGCGGGGAACTGAGCGAGTTTCGTGACAAATTTAAGGTCGACTGATTCATAGACTTGGGAGAGTTGCTGAAACAGTCGTGTAAGAATGACTTGTTGAAGGGGAAGCACATATTTCTCCATCTCAGGGTCGGCCCCAATCTTGGCTAGAATGGGCGAAATCTTTTTGCAGATTGAGAGTGGATGAAAGTCAACTTCGAGGATGTTGTAGAGATCTCTGATCTCTGGGCGGACTCTCTTGAGAAGACCTTTGCTGAGTGCATCCTTGAAGAGACCTGCTCTTGTTGGTGCAGTTTGCATGCTGAGGAGGTTGGTCAATCGCTGATTCTTATTCTTGCGAGCCTCATCAACATCAACAAGCGCGCCACGAGATCGAGATGTGCTGATGACGGGAATGGCCAAAGCAGAGAGTAGGACGAATGAAGCAGCTTTGGTCAGGCTTTCCTCACTGACTGCAGGATTGTCTCGCTTTGTACCTTGGCCGGCTGCCAGGGTGGCAGAAGATTGGCGGAGAAGGTTGTAGTACTTGTTGTAGGCGGCGGCATGGAAGAGGAAGTTGTCACTAACCAAGAAAATCTTGGTGAGTTTCTCGTAATAGTTTGCCATCATGATGTTCTTTGCAGGACGTTTGGACAGCGTCAAGAGCATGTGGATATCTTCAACACTGCGGAAGGCTTCTTGCCAAAGCTCGAGTTCGTCCGCAACATTGAGCTGTCGGAAGCGGGTGTCGAGGTGGCGCTGCAGAGTGTCTGGTTCGTTGAGGTTGATGGCATGCATCTGAGAAGAGTATTTCGCAGCATTCTGAACATGATTTCGGAGCAGTTCGCAGAGACGTCGAAATTCGGTCTTTCTGGTGTACTTGAGGCAGAAGTCAAAGGCTTGATGCGCTGTGCTCTGGTACATGACTTCCAGACGAGCATTGTTCTTGAGGATTTCGAGGACTGTGCGATATGTTTCCCACAGAAACTTCAACCAGGGTGTCACAATTGCTCGATCAGTGCGATCCTTGGACTGTTCTCCAGAGACAGTAGCCAGGAGAATGGTTTCTGGGGTTTCGGTGGCTTCGAGATCTTCGATGTTGAGGTTGGTGGAAGTTGCAGCGGCAGTTTCGATTGAAGATTGAACCTGATCGGCCTTTTCCTGCGCTTCTTGGACCTTTTGCTCGGCGAGTTCGATGAATTTTTTCAAGACCAACTGGAAAAGCCAGGTTAGCGATTGAAATGGCAGTCAAGGGCCAGAGACGCCAACAACATACCTCGATGGTTCCAACATTCGTGTTCTGCGCAATGTTCTTGTATTGATAGAGTCCATCCTTGGCCGATTTGCCCTTTCTGAGATCAACAGACAACTCGACGAAGAGAAGCATAACCGGCTCGAGAGAGGCAATAGGACTATTGCGGGAGCGCTTGGAGGTGACATGTTCGTGAAGGACATTGAGAGCGGCTGGTGATTGACCGACGGCGATGAGTTCTTGTGCTCGCTAGAGATGAGTCGTCAGTACTGAGAACGCAGGCAGACTCGAACACAGGGGAACACAGGAAGAGAATTTGGCTTACTCTGAGCACATTCTCAGGGCGGATATGCGGTGGAGGAGGCATCTTGAACGATCTGATCAGGACGTCAAGATGGCAGAGATGATCAATTTAATGATCCCTCGAGACTTTGATATAGTCTGTCCTAGGAATATGAAATTCAATAATTTGCCTAGTGACGACGTGATCAGGCGTGGTGGACAGTGTGAGGTTTGCAATTCTTAGGGTCTTGGCAACTAAGTTTGTGGTGTGGTACGGCCACACGTGCGTTTGGGCTCAGAACTCTCGCCGCTTTGACTTTCCGATCGGAAAACTAGAGTCACGTGATGAAGCTAGACGTGCTAGGCCGACTAAAGGTCGTTGGTCCGAGTCTCACTGGCAGATCTAGCCTCTAGGCCAGTTGCACTTCGGCAATGGCAGCGTTCCTATTCGGGTTGGGCCTCGCGGTATTGCTGGTAGTGCCCGGGGAGAGAACCCAAATGCCAGTAGTTTCTCCCCAAAGCACCCTAAATGTCTTAACTATGCAAGCTGCTCGGGACTTGGTCCAGGTAATTATTCCTCCGTCTTATGCAGCCCAGGCCCGTAGCTACCACTTTTCCCTTGCCTGTCCTTGTTCCTCCTCCTTATTCTCGCACCAAACGCACCATCCCCTGTCACCCGTCCAACTTTCCCTCCAGCCCTCTAAACGCACTTCGCGCACCAACCCTTCAGCCATCGATTCATAATCATCTTCTCGAATCATTCACGACAAGAGCAACAACTCGAAGTTCTGATTCCTAACGCCGCCATCATCTGATGTCCAGGCTGGCCTCCCACCTATCCAATCACCTCTTTGAACGGTGTTGACAGCCTCAGACGCAACCCAAGAAGTCCCCAAGCCTCAAACCAAGCCACAGTCTACCCCGTTGAACTCGACTTCCCAAGCTCATCCACCAAACCATCTCTAAGACCCCTGTGGCCCTCGAGCCGAGGGTCGAGGTTCTACTCCCTCTCTACATATAATTCTACAATCCTAAAACCATCAAAATGCCAGCAGCGTACGCGGTACGAGATGGCGGCGATGCCAAGAGCAAGAAACAATCAATGGCAGACCTCAAACTGCGTCGACTTCAAGAGTTAAATTCACGGCTGAAGGAAGACCTGGAAAGACCGAGAGTGAAAGTTGCTGAAGCTTCTATGAGGTGAGTGCGATACTCTGCGGTTGGCAGGCGCAGCGAGCAGAGACTAATCTAGACCTACAGTCTGATCAACTACTGCAATCAAACGCGAGATTATATGGTTCCCTCAGTTTGGGGGCAAGTCGACAGAAAGGAAGACCCTTATAACCCTCAAAGCGGTGGAAGCGAAGGATGCTGCACTGTCATGTGAAGACCTGCGAGCTTGCCAGCTTCGCAATCCTCCTATTCAACCAAGGCTTCCAGACGAGAGAAGCAGAAGATCAGCTTGGTGCTGACAACAAGCGCCCTAGCTCGAGACCTTGATATATGTTTTCGAAAAAAAGCATCTGGCGCAGATGGCGTTGATAGCGCACGCCGACAGAGGCGATGGCGAGAATGCATGGGAAGGATCACCAGCACTTTGCTTGTGCTTTGTCCAGGAGTGGGGAGCTTGATTCTACGAATTCGATAAGAAATATCGCGATAGGGTACTTTTGATGGATCATGAAAGGCTTGATATCTATACCTTTGTGCGAGACAATCTGAGCATCAACACGATGATCATATTGACAGGATCGTATCCTTTAATGTGTGTTTGCCTCTAACATTGCGCCGATCTCTGGCGCCATCCTGCTGGAACTGAAGCAGATATCCACACACAAGCTCAGAGCTCATCTACAACACCGTTTGCAACTGCTCTGACGCCTTGAAAGCACATGGGTTGCCGCTCGATTTACCGAGGGCATACAGAACTCGGGAGTCGACTGGCCCGGCTGCGAGCGCTACCAGTAAAATTAAAGTATGGCTTCCAGGGGCACCAAGCCCCAGCTTCCCTGGCTAAGGTCGCCCGAGAGATTGCGACTTATGGGCTTCGCTTAGGCATGTCTGGCATCCAACAGAATCAGCACCCGGTGTGTCGGGACCCCTCTTTGCTATTTTTGTCCAAGTTCGGGCCTCTAGCGGCCGCCGAGTCACCACCATGAAGTGCAAGAGAAATCAGCGTGACTTAAGGACCGAGAGAACCACACCGTCGCTTGGTGAGCAAGTAGATAACAAAATAGCCGACAGCATCAGAGGATATGAATCGTTTTAGCACTATTGATTCTACACCCATAGCTAGGTTCCTCGTATGCTTGATTTGATGAAATGCAAGTTTCTAGAAATAATCAATCTCAAAGACCTAAAGTACAAGAATAGCCGTGAGGTGGGTTGGTGGCATTCTGGCGGCGTGTCGATCCTTGGTTCGTGTTGCCTGTAATCAGGACCTGACCACTATACAGTCAATGCCAGTGGTCACTGCTAGGAATTCTCCGTATGGCTGTCGATCATGGCTCGCCAAAAAAGAAAACATCGGATAAGTATTCATTTTTGACTACAGACAACCTTTCTGGGGCCGTGAGTCTGCTGTAGTAGAATACTTCAGAACCGGGCAGACGACACTCAGACGACGGACGCCGCCGCAGTAGCCTGCAGGTGCCAGCCAGAAAAGGTGTCTGCGAGAAATATTTGGCAGCCAGAACGACCACCATTCCATCTTCTCCCACTCCCACGTCTCATTGCTACCAAGCCCATCAAGACTACCGCAGGTCGCTCTGTCATCTTGTTCCTGGAGAAGAGCATTTTAACATCGCCTGATAAACCTCGAAGATGGCTACGGAGGCTTCTTCACAGGTACCGATACCACGTATTGCCATCAGGTTCTGCACACAATGTAAATGGAATCTGAGGGCCGCATATGTAAGCTATTTCCAACTACCCTATGTTCCTAGTCTATCACTGCTTTCGCTTTGTTCCGGGCGGACCGGTTATTAGAATATAGTGGAGGTAATATCACGTTAGGTGAACCATGAAGATGGACGATGAGAATGAAGGCATGGGGCCAACCAGAGTCTGGTATCTACCTCCCTCTTGGTACCAACTGCTACCGTCTCACACCCACCTCTTTGAAATGTCCAGAACCCCCATCAGTAGTAGCATCCACTAACCAGACACTGTCTACCCAGTTCGCACAAGAACTACTTCAAACATTCAGCACCTCGATCGGCGAAGTCGCGCTGATTCCAGTGACTGGAGGTATCTTCACTGTCACAATCACACACGTTGTGCCAACCTCAGAACCAGCTGAATCATCATCCTCTTCTGTCGCTGTGACTGAGACACTGCTGTGGGATCGAAAGGCTGAGGGCGGGTTCCCCGAAACTAAAGAACTGAAGAACAGGGTGAGAAACGTGATTGAACCTGGCCGTGACTTAGGGCATATCGATCGGAGTTTGAAAAAGGGTCACAGTCAGGGCCAGAGCCAGGTCCAGGCTCAACAGGTCGATGCTGAGCCTGCGGAAAGTGAAATAGGCAAGGCCACAGAGACGAGTCCTGCGGTTCATGATAACGACCCGGGTAGAGGGGCGATTGGAGATGCACAGGCGAAATCAGGGAATGGTACTAAATGCGAGGACTGTCCATGAATTATGATGTATATCATCAGGAGATAAAAGCACGGTGTAATTTTCTTCTTTGATAGAGTACAAGATTACGTTTCTTCCGGCGGGTTTAATGAATATATTGCTCTTCCGCAAGGCAGACAATTTTAATAGTGCAATTCTTCCCGTCCTCACTGGTCGACTTTGTCGACTTGAGCGGCGCACGCCTAGAAGAAGGGCTGGCTAGTGTAGGTATATCATGATCTGTTAGATGTACTGTGTAATAATGTAGGTCGTTGCATGCTCTGATCTCCGGAAGCATATCTTCCCATTGATATGTCGACCGAGTGCGCAGCCTGGTCAACATGGCACCCATTCTGGACCCGGAGGGCTGGGGCATATACCATGGTTTATGTTGAGATGAATAGACGATGGCCATGGCGATCAAGTGATGGAATCCGTCAATATGAGCCGAGGCTCAGAGAGATGTAGAATGACATCCTGGTGCTATGGGTGCCAATATTCGCAAAACTTGTGGAGAATGTGCCGAATGGTTGAAACAACAGAGATGGCACGCAGCCAAAGGCGCGACAACACACCAATTTTTTCCGACTGTACTTGGCTAGATCATGATCCAGTCATGCCGCTGCATTCATTTCTTGCTTAGTTTCTTGGTCACATACTTCTTGACGCGCTTATCACTCATGATAAAGCCCGTCACAGCGGCTCCGAGGAATACATTGGCCGCGGCAGCACCACTCCCATCAGTGGCATGGTTCTGGCTGCTTGTAGCCTTAGATGATGAGCCCGGACCTGTTGCAAAGCCAAGTTCTCTGTAGACCGGTTGGGACCCAACCGAAGATGTCGTTGACGAAGTACTAGCAACATCAGATTTTGTGAGGGCTGCTTGATCCTCCTTCTCCCGAGCCAGCAATTCCCTCTCTTTCTTCCGTTCTTCTTCCATATCGACCCATTCATCAATAACATGCTGTTCAGGGAACATGCGGCGTTGAAAAGCAATCCAGATTGGCACGAGCAATCGATGTAGCTTTTCCTCCTCCTTCTTGGCTTCAGCGTCGAGTTTCTTGGTCCGTCCTGTCCAGTTTGCCTTGATCCGGCCAGACGAATGTGCGGCAGATGTCCGACACCATGGGTGAGCGAAACGTGACCCTAGAAAGACGGTTGTACATTCTCGATATGCTTCTCTAGTTCCGGGTTCCAATAAGGTGATGACCGCGGATTGCTCGCGAAATGTCTTTAGATCGTAGAAGAAGTCAGAATGTGAGGACTTATTGATCAAAAGGGCATCGAAGAACCGTGAATAGCAAGTTGGGGATTCGTTCAGTGATTGGATATATTCTAAATGAGTGTCAGAGATGGTGAGTTCTGGTTCCGGGTCGATTTGGAGTTGCGTCTGCCTCTCAGCGGTAGAGGTAGGCATGGTGTAGATGACAAAGTAATCGTACCATGTACGTAGAGTTTGGATAAGTCAACGTAAATGGATCACCAAGAATGCGTTGGAGAATTGCTGATCATTTGATATCCATCACCTTATCGTTGACGTCTCTCTGTTGGTGAGTCGTCTGCCAGTCACGTGTGCAGTGTTGGCACACCGGCCAGCTTGCAAGAACCAGCGAACCTTACAAGGCTGATGAGAAGACGGCCTTTAGATTAGCATCATGGACGAAGAGACAAGTCATCGACGAGAGAGAAGCAGAGTTGTCGTCGTGGGCGTAAAATTGACGCGTCGAGGCCAAGGCTTGAGATCAGCCTCGTCGCCCAGAATTCTCGCCAGTCATTGGTCACACAGACATCTACAAACCTTGACATCGAAAGGAGGACTTTTGTGAGGGCCTCGAACTGTGCTCCAGAATCCCCATGATTTCCCTAACTGGAAAGAAATGATCCAGCATGACTACTTCTGGATGAGACAGTTTGGGAAATGTTTGTAAAAGCACAGATTTAGGAAACGATCAAGTTGGCAGGGGTTTGCTACGAGGCGGTGGGTGATGGGTTATTCGTATCGACTTCCGGACCTGCGTAGGCGATGATTTTGAAGCTGCAGGGTTACCAGCTGGAAGCCACGAGGGTCCGGTGAACATGCAGGTATACAGTAATAGGAGACGATGATCTTTCTGATCCTGACGCGTCGCGCTTACAGGCAACACAGCAGACGGCATGAAGGAATATGCGGTGAGAAAGGGAGGAGGTCATGCGGAAGTCCACTGAGGAGGGGAAGGTGGGCTCTAGGCATGACCGCAGCTGGGAAGATTGATGAAACACATAAAACAGAAACCATGTCGGTCGATCACTGGAGTTTGGTCCCGTGCTTTATTACTGTCATCCCGTGTGAGACAACACGCAAGATTTGATAAACATGCCGAATTGGCGGTGAACTCGAAGTGTAGAGCAATGTGGAGGGTCTGAGATCACGCGTGCGCTCTCTTTTGGCAGGCTTCATGACTACGCAAAGGCACGAAACCATGGCGGAATGGATGATCCAAGTAAATCCAGAACCTAAAAGGGGATAACTGTTTATTATTGAGCCCTGCAGTAGATGGTTGAGGGTGTGTTGCAGTGAAAGGTGACAGTTTGACAGCTAAAGTCTGGCATACTATGGCACAGGTGCTGCGATACCCCATAACACCCCATCTCCAAATATCATAATTGTGGTGTTCAGTGGATGCTCTGGAATACGCCATGGGCTGGGCGTCGTCGATGTGGGTTCATCCCGCAGCCCGTAGCTAAAGAGGTTGGTCGATGATATTTAGTAATATGTTAAGTCAGGAATGTACTTTACATGTGATGAAACACAGTTGACTGGAGCGCTTGATGATCTGGTCCTGGATCGGCGCTGGGTTTTGCGTCGTCACAGGATAGGAAGGAGGGACTGGAGTAAGTACTCCGTAGTGTGGACTTTCCAGTGGCCGCAACTGTCCGGCGGCGCCGATGTGCTCTTGCCTCCTACCTGAGAGCTGCAACCCTGGGCCTACAGCCTGTAGCCGGTGAGCTTGCAGGGTGTAGGCACAAGTCCATAGGCAGAGTCCGCTGGTGTCTTTAGGTGGACCGGGTCGGTGTATGCGGGCAGTAGCTCCTAACATGGCGTGGGGTAGAAGGTGCGTTGGAGATTGGTGCACCAAACTTGCATGAGCCTCGGCCAGGCGCACTTTGTGATTGGTTCTTTATAAATCCCTCATACAAGAAGCAGTGTCCACCGCGGAGCTGGTACTCCATCTTCGACTGCGGCTCGCCACAAGCAGTTTAATCACATCGGCGGCGTCCAGATTGCCTGCAGCTTTGGTCGCTTAGCTCGCCCTTGGGTATCCCAAACGAGAAAGCAACCGACCTCCATCCTCAGTTCTCCATATCAACGATGCGAGGAGCTCTAGGCCTAGCATGAACTTGGGTCGTTGGCAACACGCAGACTGAACAATAGTAATAGGAATAGCTACGGAGAAGTGCATATGATAACACTAGCTTGCTGTGAGCTCCCTTGAGCGTGGAGAAGGCCACAGTCAATCAGAAGACCGTCAATGGACATCGAATTCATTGTGCGTTGGAGACTTTTCGAACTCTCCTCAGCTGAGACCCGAGGAGAACGAGGACCCATGGCACTGGGTTTCTAGATCTTGTCTACTAGGGATCCATCCAGCAGCACAGACACGCAAGTGTCAAGTTCCAGGAAATCATCATGAAACGTGGGCGTCAATCTTGATCTGCTCTACTCCGTACGCACAAACGCTCAGTGCGGTGGTCCAAGCTCTATGCAGAGTCCACCCGATGTAGTCAACCCTAGCGCGCAAACACATCCTTCAGATGTGATGCGTGCCCAGGCTTGAGAGTTCAGCTCGCTGGTCATTATTATTGGATGCTGCCAGAACTGTTGCAGAAATACAGGACCCAGGGAAGAGACAACATTCACGGTTTGTTTAGGTTTGAAGATACCCACAGTGGGCCTGGATCAGGAGGAGCGAGGAACGTCAGCGGGTCAGCACCTTCATCCTAGTCTGTTTGGACGCAATGTACCGTTGTGCTCACCACAACGTCGAATCCATGTTCGCTTTCCACCCTCAGGAATCGCTCTTATTCGGTTGCGTTTTCGCGTGCAAGCGGTCTAAAGGCACGAGATGACATGACTTGTGGGCAGGTGACGACCCGCGCGGGCCGTCAGGCACACGATGACAATAATGATTTCACTGCAGCGATGACGGTGTTGATACGAGCATCTCGCATTCATACTCAGCCCATATGCATTCGTTCCTCAGTGTTTCGTTTACCGTTGACCAAAGAAAGCCATCTCGGTATTAGCTGCAGGTGGTCGAGAAAGAGTTGTCACATCGATAACTTGTTCTATGACGTTCCCAGTGACAACAGGGTCCATGTCAGCTGACATTTAATTGCAGCATTATGACAGACATCTAGTCCCTGGCTGTGTAACCATGACTCGAATTGAGGGCAACAAGGTCAAGTTATGCCAATTGTGTGTGTAACCCATGACTGGAAGACCGCGGTGCTCAAGTGATCCAGGGCTAGAGGTCGTTTGGATGTCATTCTTGTCATTCTTGTCATGGCGTGCGCTTGCTCGGTGTCAATTGCTCGAAATCTGGGGTATTCTTGTGCGCACTCAGTCTCCTTGTCCTTTGTGACACAGAACCTCAAATATGACAGGGATATCCACTTGAAGGCAGCAATATCAGTATGTAAAATACATTAGTACATCTCCCAGACTTAAGGTATCCTGCGAAGATAAGAGGGTACCCCCTCTGCTGTGAGAATGAAGGCACCGGAGGGTTTCAAGGAAGCGATTCAAATCAAACCTTTGCCGACGAATACTTAGGTGGAGCCAGCATTGAGTGGCCATATCGACGCCATCCCCTCCCCAAGAACTTGGCCCATAAGCGACCAAAGTGAACTGCGAGGGTTGTTTCGGTATGCAATTGGCATCTGCCTATAGAAACACCTTGGACAGGGAAGGCGGGTCAATACGGAAGCCAAGGGTAACAGAGTCGCGGATTGTCCTGAGCATCGAAATGCCTGGACAACGCGATGAAATGACATAATAAGCCACCTAAATGGGAAGGATTATTGCGTAATGGACGCAGGAAAACTTGGACTGACCAGTCATAAATCTGTAAAAAAAACTTGGAGTTGACCTCTCCGCAAAAAGTTGGAGTTGTGTTTGTATTGGGCGTTGCTCCTCGATTGAGTTGACACCCGGGTGGTTGCACAGGGTACTCCCAAGTTACGAAATGTTGTTGGGAAAATCACGATGATCTCACAACGTGGCGGCCCAGGGCAAGGGAGGCCATATTAAGTGGGTTACGTGTTACTATTCGTATACATGTTGAGATCGGCATGAATTCTTGCTTGTCACAACTCAGAAATTACCACGGCAGGCGTGGGTACTTCTCCATCAGACACACTCACGGACTCCGGGCACCTAATTAATCACCCACAAGTTCTTCCTTCCGAGTCGTCGAAACACGTCATGATGGCATCTGTTCTCTCGATTCCACCATCTGATAGCGTTTTCCCGTGCGCATTGGTAGTAAGTCTTGGGCAACAGCCGTTGGTGAGTCTTGTAGATGGCGACGAGACTATAGACACACCGTCCAGTTCTTTAGCAGAGTCGTACCTATCCACTGATATGTCCATGTCAAACTTCAGAAGTACACGCGCATGAACGCAGGTTGAGTTCCAATAGTTCCCTAGACGAGTTTGGCCGCCAATAGCGCACAACCGGCTTGCTGCAGCCCTTACGGAGCTGCGTAGGGATCTAACCTCTATGCAGCTACCAAGAGGAGATTCTGTGAATTAGAAATGCTCTTTGACTCTCAACACGCAATGCCGTGTCTGACAACCGCCATAGCCACAGTGCTAATAAATCAAAGACTCAAGGCCGAACCAGCTTGCCGTGCTGCCGTGCCTGCGTATGACGATGAAGATACTACTGTAGAAGAGCACCTGAGCCTGTGCTCCAAAATTATCAACATTTGGCACCGAGAAATCGAATACGAGTCAGCCGGTTTTTGGCAATGTTCTAAGGGCCGGCAATTGTTGAAGGGTACCGACCGCGATCGACGGGCGAAAAACCCTGTAAATGTCAGGTCCAGGTGGCATAAGACTCTGGCGGTCATTTACAGGGCATAAAAGCCAAACCTACCTACCGAGCCACCGTGTGCCACCGTGCCCCCGTGCTGTGCAATGCTCCCTACGCTTAGGCTACAGGGTTTATTGCTGGAAGCCCAGAGTCCAACTCGACTACCAAATTAGCCTTCCCACGAATTGAATCGAGTTCATGTTGGGCCAGTCCCATCACGGCCAGTGGCGACTCCTGCTTCTGCCAGTCTGCCACCCACTGGCATCTTCTGTGTGATCACAAATCTCCCCCAACCCTAAACAGATTCTTGCACTGGCCGCATTTTCCCTCACGCTTCCGCTCTCCCACTCTTGAAGCTTGTCACGCCGCCCCTCAGAAGTCCACTCACTCCAAGCCCCCAAGCAGGACGAGCACCCACCCTCTTCACCGAAGCCCCCTCTCAACTCAGGACTTCGATATGTCATCCAGGTTGCAACCTGAGTGACTTGCCCTCGGCCCTCACAACTTTGAACCCACCCTGGCCCTTCTTCGCCTAACCTCTTCCCCTCCCACCAACAAACACTTCCCACTCGACACACACACACAAATTGCCTGCATAACCACCGCCTGCACCCGCTTTCGCCCTTCGCCTACCGCTTTCTTCCTATTACCACCTCACTTTTCTTCCTTCTACCCTTCTTCCCTTCTTCCATTCCACTCACTCTCAATCGCGTAAGCAGATTGCAGAGCCAGCACATTCTATCTGCCGACTGTTTGCCATCTTGACAACCTGCTTGGACTTCTAATACTCTCCCGACTGCGAGTCTTTCACATCGCTCAAACCCTCCCAACGCCACACTACTACGCGCGCTTCTGCCAGACCACCACTGCAGCTTCCTATTCTCCTTCTCACCTGAGCATCTGTTCTCAACCTTCAAGCACCCAATCATGTCTAGATACCTATTATAACATATCTGGGCCGATTCTGGGCCGGAACCCCCTAACTACCATAATCCCCTCAACTCAAGGGTGTAACTGCAGTTACTTCCCAACCGCACCACCTTAATCTCGGATCTGGTCAATATACATCTGGCAAGAACTGAGATATTGATCCATTCCCTGATCGTCTCTTTGCCTCGTTCGAGCTTCTCTCAGCGTACATGGCTCATCACCAGAAACATCCGAACGACACCCAACGTACGGACAGCACAATGCAGAGCCTATTCAAGATGTTCAACCTCTCCAATACTCCCACCGTTCCCCTCGACGAGGATGAACTCAGTGCCGAAGCCGACGAACCCCCAGACGATCAGATCTCCCCCTTGACCAATATCTCAAACGCTACGAAAAACCCCATGTATAGCAAAAGCATGGCTCCATCCCGACCGAATCCTCGCAGAGAATCTCTGTTGACCCGCGCTATCATGGCCGAGTCAAGACCGGAAGAGTCTGTACACCCCTCCCGCGGTCTCTCAACAACCTCCTCCCACAGCACCGCCAGTATGGCATCTACTGCGGAACTGACGAGCGACGGAGATGTCACGAGCCAGTCCCGTTCAGCAACCCCAAGCCCTCCGCCCCCTCCTGGTCGATTCCACAACCTCTTGAACATGAAGAAACTAGACACTCGCTCCTCAAAGGTTCTCATCGCCCCTGTCACAAAAGACGACAAGCCTGCTGTAGCAGATGTCGGCGAGGCCGCAATTGAGAAGACCCTGGGACGAAAGCGATGTATCATGTTTGCCTGCGGTGGTACAGACTCTGAACATAGCAAAGAAAACTTGGCATCCAAACCCAAACCTCCCGAACCCGAACCCGAACCGCCAAAACGGAAATGTGCTTTGACATTTGCCTGCCCCACACGAACTTCCTCATCCCAACGCGTCAAAAGCCCTGGCATGAAGCCCGCGAATAAGACCAAATCCAACCGGGCCCCCTCGCCTGTGCCCATGTCACATCCAAAGTCCAGCCAAGAATCTGTTGACCTTTCAGGTCGTTCAGCTGACACCGCAGTGGCTGTCCCAACACACAAGTCTGGCCATCATTCACCTCACCTTTCCTTTCACGAGTTTGGCAGTTCCCACGACGAGACTGATGCTTGGGTTGATCGACCTTCCACACACCGACAAAAGCTCACTCTTGACGATTGCATGAAGAAAGAAAATCACATCCGTCAACTTGGGAGAGATGCAGAAGAGGAAGCGGAAGAGGAAGAGCGCGAACAGGAGGAGCTCGACCTCGAGAACGACAACTACAATGACGATGATTTTGCTCCGTCGGAAGAAGGCTCAGATGATGGAAACGAGTCCGACGACGAAGGAGGATTTGCCAGCTCTGACGATGACAGTGACGGCGGATCCGAGTATCAGTTCTGGGCTCCGTCAACGACCACTGCCGCAACAAGTACCGATCATCTTCCCCTCAGCCATTTCAGTTCTCGTCAACGTTCCCAAGCCAGTTCCCTCGAGTCTTTGCCCAACCTCAGCAGCCCTAAGATGCACTCCATGGTGAGACCTCCTCATCTGCATGGACAACGTCGTCATTCTTCGTCCAAGGCGATACGTATGAGACCTGGAACTCCTGAGCTTCCCGACAGCACGGATTTTGTCTGTGGAACTCTGGACGAGGATCGACCCCTAGAGGCCGCTTACATCTCCTGCCGAGAACAGAGGAAGCGCTTGAAGCATATTCCAATTCCTCAAGATATCGATCCAAGCTTCCCTACCACCGACCCTGACGATAACGAAGAGGACGAAGACATGATCCAAGAGTCTCAATTCAGTTCTGAAGGGCCTCGCTGGCTAGCTGAGCAGTTCCGTGAGTTTGACGAAGAAACTCGAGGTCGTCGTGGCTCGCCTGCGATGCATTCCAACTCGCCCCCTTCGTCGACTCCATCGCTTCGCTTTGCTCATATGCCAAAGCCGACAGAACCTCGTCGAGGCTTGCATCGTTCGCCCCCACCAAGAAGACTGTTTGGTCATTCTCCGGCCCGTCTTCGATCACCTCCGCCAGCTCGTCTTCGATCTCCCAGAGGATCGCCCACTGGTGTCAATTTCAACATCCCCAATAGACTTGGGAATCGCGGCCTTGGGCAACGTCCGAACATGGAGCGAACTGCGTCACTTCCTGACACACCCAACCCTTTCTTCCGCAATTTCAAGATTGGAAGTCCATCAATCTCCAACATTGCCTCGGGAGCCGTCACACCATCCACGGAGGAGCCTCCACGGAGTGACTTGCATGTCAGAGGACCTGTCGACATTGTCATTGGTCTAGAGAAGAAACGACAAAAGCGCAAAGAAAAATTCTGGCGTCAGCATTGTCGCAAGGTTGCACGAGAGCAGGCTGGTCGTCGCCCGGCACCTGGACGTGGCGCGGAAAGAATGAAAGAACTTGGTTTGGAGTGTGCCGAACGAAACAAAGGCTACGGCCTTGGTCCCCAGACTCAATTGGTCCTCTCACTTTGAGATGCCAATCACATTTACGTCGTTTTGACGATTCAGTTCTACCACAGATTGTTCTCGTTTCAGTCTGTGCCCCAGTTTCTATCATGACCAAGTTGCGAGCAACTGGCCATGTTGACCAACCAGTATCACGAACTCTTACGATGACTTGGCTTATCTATGGTGATGGTGTCTGAAGCGGACACTTTGTCACCCTGTTTTTTGGCCAGAGCGCGTGGTGTTGTCCCTTTGTATTCAGAGCATAGCGATGGCGTTATTCAACAATTTAGCATCGCAGGCCATCAGCATGGTCTTTGAATAGTATAGTTAAAGTCGAGCAGTACTCGAATGAATATATCACGTTATATTTGATACTAGTCCTCACTCTTTCTCATACCAGCTGAAATCTTTCAGTTCACATGTTTCAGTAGACAGATTCCACCCCTCTGTCGTATCGTCTGGACAGTTTCTTGACATCTGGAGCCATAATTGCTTTCCTTCCAAAACTCGAGCAGCATGACTAATCACGTGATGATTCTGATCACGTGTATACTCTTGGCATAAATCACAGCCCATCACGTGTTGACGACTCATAGTCAGGCCAGACTCGAGTGATGAGTGCCTTTGTCTGAGTGCATCTCTTGCCCTTGTTTGCCCTGGCACACCAAGTTGTCAACCACTCACCGGCGTCGAGATCTGGCCTTCACGGTTGAACCGTCAACTCTAATAACCTTTCAACATTTCCGAAACCCTTTGGCTTCCAACTTTCTCACGGCCTTTGATCTTTCTTCTTCCCACTCAACGCAAACAGCAGACTAAAAAGTAGCCAACAACCTACACACGTCCTCCCCAACATGTGGATCATCAATTGGTGTAAGCGACCCTCTCTTCCACTCTTGGTTCGAACGCTGTGGCAATGAAGACAGTTTCACTGACAACCCTTCTCCTCCAGTCTATGATGTTCTTGCATCACTCGGTCTCCTCAATAAACATGCCAAACTTCTCTTCCTCGGTCTGGATAACGCAGGAAAAACAACTCTGTTGCACATGTTGAAGGTGGGTGATAACCTCTATGGCCACGAGACCGCGAAGTGCAATAAGACATTATGTACAATGCATGAAGGAGGAAGAGACCGGACTGTGGTAATCCAATTGTGAACATGTACTGACAGCAATATGAACAGAACGATCGAGTTGCTATCCTGCAACCCACCTTACATCCTAGTAGGGCTCCCACTTCCCTCGGCTTCCTTGAGGTCTAGTAGGCTGATGAGATACCACAGCATCTGAAGAGCTCGCTATTGGAAACAACAGATTTACAACGTTCGATTTGGGTGGTCACCAGCAAGGTTAGTATCGCTTTTAGCAAGATCTCTGAAGAGGCCGATCAAATACAAGTCAACTAACACCGAAACACAGCCCGCCGACTCTGGCGTGATTATTTCCCCGAAGTCTCCGGCATCGTGTTCCTGGTTGACGCAAAGGACCACGAGCGACTCCCAGAATCGAAGGCGGAGTTGGATGCATTGCTAGCAATGGAAGATTTGGCCAAGACACCTTTCCTCATCCTCGGCAACAAGATCGATCATCCCGATGCCGTTTCCGAAGACGAACTGCGACACCAATTGGGATTGTACCAGACGACGGGCAAGGGTAAAGTCCCATTGGAGGGTATCAGACCGATCGAGGTGTTTATGTGCAGTGTGGTCATGAGACAAGGTAGGTGAACTTGATTAATTCGCCGAGATCTTATCCACTACGCGACAACATGCTAATTTGAGATCTTTCTATACAGGATACGGCGAGGGTATCAGGTGGCTGTCACAATACGTCTAAGCATCAATCGAGCAATTCCCTCGAGCAACTCCCTTGCAAGCAACCTACTTAACCATATGCCATGAATGAGCTCCAGTCCATCACGTTGCATCTGCAAGAATCTGCACTTTCCCAGACATATAATTCTTGCCCCACACAGAGAAGAATTTTGTTCTGCATATTACACCATGCCTCACAGCTCCCCATCCCCCTTACTTCCTCCACCCACCCCCACCCCCAAACCCATACACCGGGCCCTGTCTAGAACACAATCCCTTCCAAACTTTGACCCAGAATAAGAGTTCAAGCAAGCAGGCGATGGCAGTGCCCGATGGCGATGACGACGACATCGCCATCGTCATCGTCCTGTTCCTCAAACAGTCCATATCATCAAGCAATGAGGATCGATGACGCTTGAGGACTCATGACATGAGCCATAGAATCTGTATGCTACTTAGAGCCTTTGTTTTCTCTCCAGTCTTCCCACAATGGGCTCCTGGACTGTCCTGTGATGCACGCAATCAATGTTGCAGTTTGAGTCCGTTGTGTCAAGAATTCATTATGCTCCAAGTGTTATCTGTCCGTCCATTTTTGTTTGATCTCCGTGTCTGCCTTGTTATCAAGCCATCGTTCTAATAGTCTTCTACGGAAACATCATTTTCCGATATCGAGACCCGGTCACTCGACTGTTCCCTCTGCATGGTTCTCTCAAGACCCAACAGTGAATGATATCAACTTGTACTTTCCACCTGGATTGATCTCCCCAAGATTACTACTTAGAGTGCTGCAGTAGCCATGCTACATACTTGATTGATGCTCTTCAATTAAACCCCGTCCTGCTCGTTAACTTCTTACGACGGGTGTAAAATGTATTCGGTCATGTAGGGGCCATTCATGGATGCGTTTACATGACATTGCTGAGGCGACACAGATGTGAGCACAAGGGATGTTTCGTACGGGGATCGCTCCATCATCTTTTATCGACAAGCCAATAGTATACTGTTCATGGATACTTGAAGCGAGATCTGGAAGCAAGACATGTACATCATCATCTCAAGCATGACTTCATTCTACTAATCTTGACAAGTGTGAGTAGTTTCGTGGCCCCCGGCTTCGGTGCCGCCCGGTATCCATCCTTGTCTTCTCATCGCATATCGTCCATCAAGCATTGAAACCATCATTTGCATGTCACAGGAGAGAAGTGGAGCCTCAATCATTGCACCTGGCCTCGTTTGCTCTCTCTCCTGACACAATAACACAGCATAAAGGCAGTTTAGTCAACTCGAACTAGTTTATCGCATTCAAAGATATTGCCATCTTCCTGGCGGCAGTCCGACCTCCCAACGCGACACCGTCCGAATCGATCATTTTGCAATTGAGAAAGGAGTGCTACCTGTCTCGCCGGGAACGGGTCCTTCCTGGGGTCGTACATGAGACTTAGTCAGAGCAGACGTGGGTGAGAGGCTGGTGTTGAAAATCATCAGCCAAGAAGAGTCTTGCTCCGTGGAAGAAAGTCGTCCACGTAGTGATGAGGTAGTATTAGTTGAAGCGTTGCAAAGACACAGCAAAATGAATACAATGCGAAGGCGCAGGTGGCGAATCGAGATGATCGGTAGTCAATGATCGACACTGGAGTATAAGCATATTGATCGATCGCAATATCATTTCGACGAGGAAGCTAGCGCGGAGCCCTATCTCCTTCCAAATCTGTTGTCACAACTTTGAATCAGCCCTAGCCGGGGTATAGCTTCACTATTTGGATTTGCGCGACGGAGTAGCAGGTTTGCTATTGCTCTTGGAGCCATACACGTACTTTTGTTTCTTCTCGGCGGGTTTGAGGATCTAGACACAAAAGGTTAGCAACGGATCGAGGCGGATTCACGTGGGGTGTAAGTACCTGGAAAGAGCATAGAAGACTTTCGTCGACACTCATCATGGCTCCTGCATTGTCGAACTCGCCACAGTAATTTGGCGCGCTGAACAAGGTGACCAGTTGTCGCTTGGAGAAGAATTCGTAGCCGTCCTCAACCACTTGATGTGCACGACAGATCAAGTCCATGTCATGTTTTTGCAGGAACCTCGAGACAACGTCTGGGCCAAAGGTGAATGAAACACCGCGGTCATTCTCGCTCCAACCGGTGATGTCCTTGTCCGGATCCGACCACAAGAGATCGCAGAGGAGGCCACAATCGGGGATCTATAACAAGTTAGTTCTCGCGGCACAATGCATGCAAGAGTTGAGACCCATGAGGGGCACGAAGAAAATGTATGGCTTACATCCGTGGGACGCATCACACGACGGATCTGTTCCATCGAGTTCAGATCGGGACTCAGACCGCCGTGCATGGTGAAGATCTTTTCATCAATGATGGCAGCGATAGGTAAGCAATTGAAGCAATCAGTAAATGTCTTCCATAGCTTGATGTTGTATCGGCGCTTGCACTCGTCGTAGAAGCCGTAGATCCTGTTGATGGAGGCACACTCGTGGTTTCCTCGAAGAATGAAGAAATTCTCGGGATATTTGATCTTGTAGGCTAGAAGCAGACAGATGGTCTCGAGGGACTGCTTGCCTCGGTCGACGTAGTCGCCGAGGAAAAGGTAATTGGCCTCAGGAGGGAAGCCGCCATATTCGAACAATCGAAGGAGATCGTAGTATTGGCCGTGAATATCACCGCAGATCTAAGCAACACTGTCAGTTTTGCGAACTGGGAGAAGCATATTGTGACTGGGGAGTCGGGCAGAAGAAAAGTCGTACCTTGATAGGAGCCTCCAGCTCAAGCAATATCGGCTGGGAGATGAAGATTTCGCGTGCCTTTGTGCACAAAAAACGAATTTCGTTCTCAAGGAGCTGTACTTGTTTCCCTGGTCTGCTTCCTCGGACTTCGAGAAGTCGATCGATAACGTTATCTAGGTCCACCTCGTTCTCGGCCATGGTGGGAGTGCCGTGCGTGGGGCACGAGGGAGGAGGTAGGCACCGACCAGATGCGGTCGGGCGGACTGGAGAACGAAAGTTCGATGTTGTCTAGTGATTGTAGCAGCGATGATTGACTGGTAGAAGAGGTTTAGGATCACTCTGGATAAAAATTTGGACGGTGCAGGTGGAGCTGACGCAAGACGGGAGGGATGGCGTGTCAGGGTCAAACACGTACCCCAAATGTAAAAAAGAGACCTTTTGAGCAGCCCAAGATTGGCCCAGGGACGAAAATATCGGGGAAGAGTATGGGCGAGTATGGAGACGAGTGAGCTGGATGGAATTGAGGATTGACAAAGGGAATGTTATCGGCGTTGAGGTCAAGGCGTTGGTGTGGTGAAACAACACAGGCTTAGGCAGGCTGAGGGATTTCCCGGCGCGATGGAGGGGTGCAGGGCAGGAGCAGTGGAAACCTTTGAGAGGACGGAAAGTTGAGTTGAGAAGTAAGGATGTCCGGCAGGTAGACAGATGGCAATGAAGCGATGCAGAGTAGAATCGATTGATTGTTAAGTCGCAGGGACAATGAACGACAAGGGAAACCTGAACTGCGGGATGGGATGGTGGATTTGCTATTTTCAATCCTAGCAGGCGGTGTTGTCTTGGCGTCCCTTGCTGATGGGCAAGTCGCCTGGCGAGCACTGCAACCCAGAATTCCAGCCCTGGGCGGAACTCTGTCTAGGCCTGGACGACGAACTGAAGTTGTGCAGCACAGTGCATACCTTTCTAATAACTACATGGTTAAACAGCTACGTATCTATTTCTTGCAGACGCATCATTTTGTTGCGTGTAGTTCATCTCCAATTCCACTATCACACAAGCACAGACTAGATACCGTGGCAGCGTTTTGGAGCAATAACTGGGATAAGGCAATTCTGGAACTTGACGGATGGCCGGGAAGCCGAGACGCGGGCGGGCGTGATCTGGAGAAGGCGCCATGGAGGGGGGATGAGAAAGAGTTGGTGAGCGCAACAAGGGGGGGTTTCCTTAGTGAGCGCAGAGGGGCTGAGGGGACATTTGGGGCACTACGGAGTTGAATTGTTGATCAGATTACGCGAGTTGGTGCACTTGTGACCTACCGACGCCCTCTCTGCCTTTTGCCGCCAACCCACTCGCCCCCTGGAAACCTCAACTAGTGGGCCACTGGCGCGACTTTAGTTCTGCGTCTGTGCTCCGACATCAGCATGATTTTCCAAGTCTGGCATAGTGACGAGGCTCTAAAACAGCTCCAGACCCTTTAGTCTCAGTGCTTATATATCCATTCTCGCCGCTTTTGATCATGTTCTGACATTGATTTCGTTCTTTTAATTCTATCACGATCAATTCAAAGAAGCACCTGGGGTATTTCAACACATACTGTCACCCTCACAGTAGCAACAACTCACTTCAACCCTCATATTAGAGGTACAGGTTCTTCTATACGGACTGCAACAAAGTCTACCTCCTCCAGAATCCCGCTCCAAAAGATGGCCTCATTGCTGAATAGCCCAGAAACTTCTTAGCTCTCTCGCTAAGTCCTTTTGCCACCTCATTCCGGACGTAGAAAGGATGCGCCTCTTCAGGTGTAAGTGCACAGGACGTCACCATGCACGAGAGAACACGGCGATTCTCGTTGGTAGACAGGTTCGCGCTACCTCTATGGAAGATTCTCCCACCAACTAGTAGACAATCTCCAGCCTCCAGCTCAATTTGGTTCACCTGATCATCTGGGGTTGTCCATAACTCAGCCTCTGGGTTTGCAAGAATCTCAGAGATGGGAAGTTTATGGCTGCCCTCAACGACGCCTGTGGCTCCATTGATCGCAGTGGTGCGAGTTGTGGCCACAAGAAAGTTGAGTACAAGCTCGGGGCTCTTCTGGTCATCAAGGCCCAGTAGAAGCCACCATAGGCCAGCATCTGGATGTAGCGGTCCATTTGCGCTTCCAGGACCAATTTCAATCATCTGCGCTGTGTTCAGCCAGTAGTCTCCAGTGAGTTCAAATGCCTTTGAACAAATGCCGTGGAGGACGTCATCATCCACGAGATTTTGCCAAGTTTTCGAATGGGACATCAGTTTGTCAACTCTCCGAGTATTGGCGCCGAAGACGGCGGCTTGCACGGCCTCGTCTTCCGGGATAGAACTTCCTTCTACCATTGAAGCCGACCTGCCAGGGGTTGTGCGTGACAGCACTTCGTCCATGTCGGCATTCAAGCCTCGTACCTGTCCTGGAGAGAATAAATTTTGGATCACCACGAATCCATCTTTCTTTAGTTCATCGACAATTTTGGAGGCTGGCTCCGTGCGAGCCAGTCGAGAATACCCTGCTTGGTGACATCGCTTGCAAAGGTCTCTATGGCCACGAAACTGAGTAGCACGCCGCGCTGGTGATTTTAATGCCAGCAATGCAAAGGACGACATGAGAATCAAAATGTAGATAGACGCAGCGTTGAAATGGTACATGTATTATATATCTTGAGCTTCTGACAGCATCCAAGGTCTAATTGACGAGAAGGCGAAGATGAAACTACGGCTCCGCAGCGAATAAATATATTCGCAAAGGAGCAGCATAAGGAGAACGCGTGAATATTTTCAGACAGCAGAGATCGAGATGTTGGTAGGTTCCAGTACGAGTACGAGGCAATACGAGTCGTGATAGCGGAGTTAGTTTGGCAGATGGCATTAGCGAGACAGACATTCCATATCAATAGTCGATTATTTAGAGGTTTTCGCTGATCTAGAAGAAAAGGAATCACGTGCAATGAAAGACGAGGTCCTGTCCCCAGATTATTTCTCAAAAGCGGCGTGCCAGATAGTACACAACTTCAAGGTAAACACATAGACGCCTTCCGGAGGCACAGATACGTCGATTTATAGTTACAGGTGACTCGGTAAGATACCTCATTGAGTCGCTTCCAGGTGAGTCCCCGGTTATTGGCCACTAAAGCCTGGAGAATCCTCTGGCGCTAAAAGCCACCTCTCAACAACAAGTCGGTGCCCACCGGACTTCGTTGTATTACTACCGTCCATATTTCTCGGATCTCTTCCCCTCTCTATCTCCCCCAATCCCACCTCTCCGCTTCAGCCTCATGACCATCGAGGTCACGTTACTTCCAGGAGCCTGACTTGAGCCTCATCAATTTCCGAGATAGGGGAAACGTGTACTGTGCTCGTACTCGTAAGCACTTCCGATGACGGCGCATTATAACACTTGTTAACCTGGCATGGCCTTGGATGGATATTCAGTGGTTCAAAGTAGAGAGTGATTAGAGATCTCTTTTCATCAGTCATTCATTCGCCATCTTGAGAAGCACTATGTACCAAAACTCTCGTCGTTCCATCGTTTTCATACTTCGTGCTTCATGCAACAAATTTTATCAAACCATGTCGCCGTGAAACCATGTAACCATGTCTCAAAGCACCTTCGCTATGCAGTAACAACAACAGACCTTCAATCTCTGTGGTCCGCGACAAGTCTCTGGTCCACCAGAGATACTTATTAACCTCCCCCTCCCATGCATGGGCACCTCTCCTGTAGAGCAAAAACGAGTGGGTATATGATGAATGCTTCATGCAAAAAAGTTCAGACAGCCGGGCTTCCCTAATCACAAAATTCAAAAGCACAAATGTCGCTCGAGAATGGGTCGACTGCATATCACCCTAGGGCGGCTCCTATCCCAGAGTCCGCCCGCCGCTGACAACAACTTGGTGCCCCGATCGGTGCAACGAGTTGTGTCCCAAGTTCTGCCCTTGATTGACTTCTATCAGATGGTTGTTATGCCAATTCTGATCACCAAGGGCACTGAGCCAATTACTGCCAAACTCCGCGCGGAGGGCTTCAATCTTGGCTCGGTAGTCATCCTGTTGGTCAAGGCGGTCAATCACGCCATTTGCAGGTGGTATTAAGGCTTCAAAAGCCTCGGGTGGAATTTCGTTTATTCCAGCACTGGGCTCGCTCTGACGGCGGCCCGGAGCTTTGGGGACTTGGTCTGTACGACCGCGAGGGACTGATGGTTCCACAACCACCGTCGCCGCTATGTCCTCAATCGGTATTCGGCCAGAGCTTTCGTCTTTGGCTAAATCGACGATCCTGCGACGAGGTGCCCGTTTACGTCGTGTTGATCCGGTCGAAGTTTCGACCGCCACGGTCGACGTGGGCCTCGCTTGTTCAGGTTGCTGTATAATGACAGGCGACTCATTAATTCGGATGACTGGCTGGTGCAACTGACGTTCAGTTTCAGGCACCCGTTCGACCAGCTGCTTGCGTTCCGAATACCCTGGTCCTGACTCGTCAATGATCATGTCATCGACGTACCCTGGGCTTCGGCGGAAGAGATTGAAAGTAGTAACACGGTAGTCGGAGGAGGTTTTTGTAAATGGGTTTCGCTTAACCCAAATCCGCTTCAAGTTGGGGATGCCAGTCAGCCGTGCCATCTCCATGGGATCTGTCAACAGGTTGTCTTGGACATTGAGCTGCTCCAGGGACAATAGTCGTTCGACTCCAGCAAGCGATCGCAGGCGATTGCCCTTGAAGTTTATCGTCAGGATCGCAGGCAGGGGAGATTTAGCTAGAGATTGGAGTGAGTTGATCATGCAGTTCGATAGATCCAGGGAGACGAGTCTTGTCAGACTTGCAACACCGTCAGGGATTTCGGTGAAAAGATTGGACGACAAGTTCAAGGATCGTAGCGTGGTTGCAACGGGTGCCAAACTTCTCGCCGAGATGGAGGTCAACGAGTTGTCCGCCAGGGAGAGATATTTTAGTCTTTGCCACTTTGAGGGTGGCAGGACATTCATCCCCATGAGATTGGGGGTGCTATCGCTACGATACGGCTGGATGGAATAGTCGCTGGAATTAGAACTTCCAGAGCCGGACCTCTTCACCTTGGTAGAATATGTGCGCACGTGTCTGTACGAACTGTTCGGTCGCGATGGGCTGGGGCGTTTGGGGGAGACGCTGCCAGACAATGGTTTTTCTTTCCCTAGAGACTCACTGTTGTCCTCAGTGTCCAGACTACCATCAGCAGGCGAGCCAGGATCTGAGTGCGACTGAGCATAGTCGGCCCTTGGAGTGGAGGGAACGGTCCACGATGACGTAGGTGTCGGAGACCCACGTCCGCCGCGAGTGGAGCGCCTGCGTCGTTTTTCAGCATCGTCCAGCACAATGTGCGTCAGTAGCTCGGTCGGATCCTCAAGGTTGGCGCGTTTGACGGTCAACAGCGTGAGTTGCTCGGCTAGGCGGTCCCAGCCGAAGAACTGACGAAAGTCGAGGTCGACGATATCAAGCTGTTGTAGATTCTTGAACGCAAACAATGGCACAGCCGTGTCAAAGGGAAACTCCTCATAGCCCTTGATCAACCGGGCTCGATGATCCGTGGTCAGTCGTAGCGACGGCAGCTTTGTGAATGCCGAGTAGAGGTAGGTCAGATCAGCTTGTGTAGCAGCTTTCGTCTTTTCGCTCTTGGTTGTCGAGCCTCCTAGCCCAATGGAAGACCAGAACGTGCTCATACCTGACATGACACTACGCATGCTGGAGACCGAATGAATTGAGTCCTTGTCGCTCCTACCTCTTGAAGGCTTGTGGGATTGAAGGAAGGAGACATAATTGGAAGAATGGTCATTGTTGAGGTTCTCCAGTCTGATGTTCATGGAGCCCACGACGATGTCTATGTCTTCCATCTTGGACAAGAGGAAGAACAAATGGTGGGGGGTCAATGTCAGGAGGGCGGCTTTTGCGGCATGTGATCGGAAGTTGAGGCCAGCAAATGAAAAGGCAGCTGCGAGTGCGCTGGAGGAGGTCAAGGACGTGGTGGCCGACATGCCCGAGGTCACACTGGAGGAGGGAGAAGCAGAAGAGGAAGAGGAGTTATTCAAGGAATTCTGCCGTCGGTGGACGGACAGCTGAAGGCTGTTGGCAAGAGCCTTTTCATGTTGGCGAATGAATTGTGCCAGTGACTACAAAGACAGAATCCTGGTCAGTATCATAGTGTCATCATCCAAGTGAATGCAGGACGCAATCGCATGTTTTGAGATTGTGAAGGTAAAATTTCTTACTCGAATGAAATGGTGCCCATCTTCAGTTTGGAGGCGATCCATTGCTGGTAACGACAGGAGACGGGACCTGGATGGAGTTGTGCAAGGGCAAATATAAAACCTTGGACAAAGGTCAAGGACAGGGAGTTGAAGTTATTTGACGCGACCCATTACCTAGCACAACGGTCAGTGAGGGATATGTAATCGCAGGTGTAGAGTACATACCCAACCCCGGAGGAGTCATGGTGACATGCAGAGGTAGATGTTGTCGATACAGGGTTCCCAGATGACGAGGTCGAGGATGTGAGAACGTTCAAGCAGTCTTGTAATATCGTAGAAGAGTCTTTCGGAAAGCCCACTTGGTTGAGCCGAGAAATCCACTCGGGAAATTGAGGGCAACAAGGTCAGGGTTAGAAAAAGTGCTTCGATATTGCCCGCTCCACGTTCAACGTAAGGAAAGTACAGTAAAGACAAGAACCACGTCACAGACAGTGTAAGCCTGAGCTGAAGGACCGTATAAGAGAGAATGAACAACGAGGATGGGAGCTCTGGCTCGCAAATACGACCAAGATAGAGGGGTGGTGGGTGCAGGGCGAGAAGGATAGTGGGAGATAAAGTCGAGGCGACGGCGAGAGGGTTCTCGAGTAGGTTTTCTTTAGTGGGATTGAAAGTGGATGGGCTTGTTATCAACGTTTAGATTGGACAGGGATTGGCAGGCGCAGGCGCAAGTGGTGCCAGTGGGCGGCGGCGGCGTCTTGATGTGCGCTACTAGCCTGGCCGTGGTGCCGTTTTGGGTTGTAACACTGTGGGCAGACTGGCAGAATAATAACAACAAGCCTAGGGAATCTGATAGTCTTGCGACGCCTGTGGGCTCGGCAATGATGGCCGCAATAATTCGAGTCGGACTACTCCATGCCTGGAGTGCTTATGCGTAGTTGGCTGATTAGTTTGCTTCGGTTTGGTGCAGGTGATCCTTGCCAAAGAATTGATGGCTGGTGTCCACACTGTTAGTGACTGGCTGAGCCTGTTGACGAGTCCTCCAAGAAGGACTGGCACCGGGAGAAGCGTATTTCAACTGGACGAGAGGCAGATGAACAAGTCAAAAGATGATACGGGGACGACCTGAGGTGGTGATGGTGGATGCAGCCTGGAGGTTGCGAAGCCTGAGCGAGGCTTTGAGGCTGACTCCTGTTTGCGCAACAGTCACAGCACCTAGAGTGACTCCGTTGTCTCGAACAGACGTCCGCGTGTTGAACCCTGGAGTGGGTGAGCGGACAGTCCTCGTATGCAGGGTCGAAAGTGCCAATATTCCGGTCTGTTGGCTGGGTCCGAGGGGAGAATTGTTGACGTCGCCAAAGGGAGGGGCAGTTTGGTGATCGACCCAGGGGCGGGGCGTTTTGCTTGCACCACCACACGTCAATCATATGGCAGTAGGGTGGCTGTTTGCACCCATAGGCTACACTGCATTGCCACCAGTGCTCAAAGGCGACCCTACACACCCAATAATGGACCTGTAAAGGGCCCCTCGGGCTCCTTCTAAGTACAGTATGTACTTGTTAGGAGGCATGTTCACTGCTCTGCAGATTCTCGTTTAGGGCCGCCTGGGCCTCTTAGGCAGTGATCAGGCCTTCCAGACGCTTTCTCGGCCGGGTTACGGTGGTCTTCTGGAAGGTGATGGCGCCTGGACGTCCTTATCACATCACGGCCAAAACGGCATCATTCTAGGTACCTATATAGGTACCACTCCTAATCACCGTCGCCGTGTTCAACGCCACAAGCTGACCTCTTATTCCTTGTTTGTCACCCCGCATTCCATCCACGATAGAGGCATTTCTCGAGTCTTGAGAACCCTAGGCGCGGTCTCACGCTGAACAGATGTCATGCCAGTAGAACATTGTTGTTTGTGGGATGTGGAGAGCTGATCGTTCCACCATGACCCTTCCTTCACTTACTACTCGTACGCATTGAACGCTATGCTTGGATTTGACTTTGCAGGACATCAAAACTATTCTCAGGCTCTCAGCCGTTGATCTTTCTAACGAAGGAGGGTGGCAAGCACCCACCCACACCCATTCTATCATGTCGTCCGCCGAGCCGCTCCAAGGAGGAAAGCTGCCGACAGGCTCGGCCCTCCCTTGCAAAAAGAGTTGTTCAAGGTTTCCCAGGACTTGAGGTAAAATTGATTCTGCCGTGCCTGCTAGCTACACATGCAGTCACGGCTTCCTCCTTCGCTCGACGCGCAATGCTTGGGCGGCCACCTGCCTAAGCCACGGCCATGTTGGTTCTGACAGTAATACATGACATTACGCCTGGGCCTTTCATCCACATCTGAAGACGGCGGAAGGCCCAAAGAGCGATCCAAGTCCGCAGGGCGTCCATGACGCGCTAAAGGCACCACATGACGATCGACTGGCCACTGCTTTTCACGTACTCCGTAAGTAGTGCAATCCCTGGCTTCAACATCGTTCAACCAGTGGTCCTCGGGTAGGTCGATGCAAGTCAGGCAAGGCCGTGCTTTGGGAAGCCGTACGGTGTGATCATCTTGCATACAGTAGTTACATGCCGTCATGCACTCTTCCGCCCATTGTGCTCGAGAAAGAAATTTGCCCCTCTCAATTTGGCTTGGACGGCGTGAGAAATCCGAAGCCTTTGACCTATGGATACATTAGACTTCCCTGGGCAATCCGCCGCTGGATGTGATGGTGTCAAACCCTGTGATAGAGCACATGTCGGGACAAGTTACGTGATATTCTGAAAAAAGTCCTTGCTCGTCGACACCGACCTTCTTTGGCGGCTGAATAATGCGAAGCGTCCTGCCCTGTACCCGGCCACTGAAATGGGATTTTGATATGACAAAGCGTACTACAGTACCTATACATTCATGAGACAAACTAGCAACTTCACTGCCTACCCATCAGTGAGGCGTAGTAGTGCTGCAAAGTAGATAGAGTCAAAGCCCCTCGGCCCCCATACGGCGGGGCAAAAATTGATGCACCCATAGCGGTTGACTACAGCCGCGACACACACAGAGCCTGCACGGAAATTTTGACACCCGCACCCAGACCATGTCCCCTACCGTCTGCGTATGCCATGTCTCTACTGCACACCCACCCACGCCAGTAGTGAGTGGTCCATGGACCCATGGTCGACTAGCACCCGATCGCCTGACAGCCAGTCGCCATCATGGATTCGTTTCATCTGCTGCGTCTGTACACCATCCACCACTGGCTAGGCTTTTGACCGCCTTTCTGAACATCTCGTGGATCATGCCTCCCTCGGTGCAAACAGCTTCGCGGGCCATCAGGATTGGTGCTCTCAATTACGATCCCAACCAGAGAATAGCCCAATCTAGAGCCCTTCTCGTGTCGGACGTCAAATAGGTCGTGTGAGGAATACGCTGTGCATCTCTTAGGAAGCATGTCGCTGACAGCATCTCGTGGACAGGTCCTAAGCCCCGGATCTGATTTGCCTCATCCTCTATCACGTATCTCACGGGGAAAAAACTGAAAGTCCACATTTGCTGACCTTGGAAGTTGGAACTGGGATTGCCTCGTGACCAGGCACGGCCCGGCCAACCTTGGGAGGCTGACGATTTTCTTTTGCATGTGATTGAACACCTGGAGATTCTTTGGATCTCCTTAGCTTGGGTCGTCCCAGGCGGGTTACCACTTGAAAATCGAGCCATCTCGAATTGAGAATGGCCACTACCAATCCTATATCCGGGTGCTTGGATCATTTGGCTCCAACTCCAATGTAGGTCTCGCTAGTTTGGATTTCAGTCGTCACTTGTGCTAGCCAGTCGTCAACTTTTCCAAAAATTCTCGGCTCTCCCCACGCCAACCTGTCACCTCAACTCGAGACTAGCCTACACTTGAGAGGTCTAACTCGAGATAGATATGCCGATGTCTGTGTAACACGGTGATCGGTTGTGTCGGTGCAGCCCCCAGGGTGTTCCGACATGGAGTCATCACCAACACCTCCTTGACCATGATTGGATTCTCCGTCCCTTGACTATTTAGGCCAACGTGACTCTGCTGGACGTCAAATGAGCGAGACGAAATACCCATGCTCAACGAGTCACAAGATGTGGCGGACATGTCTGTCATCACAAGCCACTGTCTTGTCGAGTTACACATGCGTGGTCTCGCACGTTAGAGCTGCTCAAGTCGCACGGTGGACTCTAGTCTCATGTCATACACGACGACGCTCTGTCGAGTTCATGTCTGGTAGTTAGAGATATCAACTCGTATCTCCTTTGAACTCTGTAGGATTACTTCGGCAATTAGTCGAAAGTTAAGTTACACCAATAAGTGGACAACGACATGTAGGTGCATGCACAGAATTTAGCCGCATATTAAGTGTATCATATCAAAATTGTCAAGTGTCCATTGCACCGAGCTACTTGACTTGCGTCTTCCCCTTGGCGCCACTAACCCCCACAGTGTGAACGGCCAATGCTGCTACAAGATTGTTCTCATTACATACTGAGATTCTTCTGATCGACAGTACTCTATTTCTGATGTTAAATGGAGGCCACGAAACGAAGAGGAATCACTGGGCATTGCGAGGACATACTGTAGGCGAGGAATCCCTCGAGTCGGGGTTGGTGGAACTATAACCTCCACCTCGAGTCGGCGGAGATCCTCTACTCCGTACTTACAGTAACTCCGTAGACCCTCGATTTATGCCGACAGCCGTTAAGGGTTCAAGGAATGATAGACGACAACGCTACCTGGTACGATATGCGCAAGACCCTATGGTATAAGCACTCAGGCTGGGTTTCCGGGCCATCCAGATGTGGTGTGGTCCAGTCACGGCACTTTGGTGCTGCTTCTGGTCTAGCAAGTACGAGGACCGCATACAGACAAACCCACAGTCATGGCATGGCACCCTCCCAGCATTCGATCCCGTAGCATTCCGACTTTTGCTTGGGATTTGCATAGAAAGTTGGCAGGAGAAATTGCATTGGTCCTCAAGTCAACTGTCTACCTCGGAAAAGACTTGCTCTCGTAGAGATCATTCTCTAGGCACAGTGCCAGATGTTCAAAGACAATTTCCCGTCTGCTGTTCGTGACTCGGCTATTCATGGTGGGTTTTCTGTCTCGTGGGGATGGAGGGGCATGGATGACGTACGCCAAATACAGTTGGGGAAACCAGTGGGGCAAGGAAGGAGCCGAGGGGCATACGGCCACGTCTAAGCGGCCACGTCTAAGCGGCCACGTCTAAGCAGACACGTCTACGGAGTACAGACCCTGGGGGGCTAGGACAACCAACTGCAACTGGCGACCATTCAAGCGATGCAGGGGTGCCTTTCGTAGGCATGTACTCCGTAGTGCATCGCTACATTTTCCAGTCTGAAGATTTGGAGCCAATAGGCCAAGTTAGAGGGGCCTCCAGTAACAGAGACTGGTAACTTAGACGCTGAGGAGTCTCACTCCGGATTATGCCTCAGCCTCGTCAGCCTTGTGCAACCACCTCTATAACGTCAATGGAACAATGAACCCTTTGGCTTCAGAAACTTGGATAAGAAGTTCTCAAACTCAACCGTGGATCATGTTTTCAATCCGAAGACTGTGCATAGGTCTCTCAAGTACATGTCTAGAATAACAAATAAATAGAATCTATCCCAAAGCGACCATGGCAGCTCTGGGTGACTCTATCTCTTTACTGATTCTGGTCAGGGCAAAATTTATTGACCGTTGACCCGGGTATTACTCTTTGTACATAATGAATTGATGAGCCGTTTGGAAAGACCAGCGACGTGGAAAGTAGCACTAGAAATTACCTCAAGATTCAATCGACAGAGTGGAGGTTGAGTACCTATGGGTAGGTACTACCTAGGCGTGGGAAGCCATGGTCAGCCACAGTCAGTCAAGCACCTATAGTAACACAAGTTAGGTAAGGATGATGGGTATGCCCGCCAGGAAGCCCGAAGTAGCAGACAAGTCCTGCTTCCTTAGTGCTTTAGGTGGCGTCGATGTCATCAGACTTGGAGTGGCGCATGAACGCCAAGGCTCTTCTCCGTGCCCAACAAAGATCATTAGCCTAGAAGCTGGCATCGAACCTTGATGATGTTATGCATCTAGAACACATCTCCTAACATCATGCCACCCTAAGTTAATGTATCCTTCTACAACTACATTAAAACACCTCATTGACTCAAATCTTTGATGACGAACCGTGCAAGTTAAAGAAGTCTGTCAAGAACGTTTGATGCATTCAAAATGCCAACCTTAGAAAATGGGAACAATCAATCAAATCCGGAGACAAAAACAAACTATGACCCTCACTTATTACCTGATTTCGACAAGGATTTCATAAGTTCCCAAGATCTAGAGAGCTTTGCAAAGGCTCTAACGGCCCCTACGACTGTCCCAGTCACCGCCTTGAACGACTGGAAGCCGATTCACCAGCGGATCAAGCGTGCTCGTGTTCGGCGCAAGCCACCTCAACGATCCAAAGACGAAACCAGGGAGGGCTTTGTTTATAGCATTCTTTACTACCCCTTGCTGTTTCTCGTATGTGGTTGGATTGTCTTCCTTTTCATCATTTACAACCTCACTCGTTTCTACATCTACCTCTACGAACACGTCTACACCTGGAGGGGCCGCCGCGAGACTCATCGTCGTCGACTGCAAAACGCCAACACCTACCAAGAGTGGCTGACCGCCGCTCATGATCTTGATGAATACCTCGGCAACAATGAGTGGAAGGAATCCGACACCTACAGCTACTACAACAATCACACCGTCGAGAGAGTGACGTCACAGCTGGTCGAGCTTCACAACAGAGCCCAGCAAGAACATGAAAATGGCAGAGATGGAGTAGGTGGCCTCCCAGCGTTGGACGAGCTCAGACTGCTCCTTGAGAGTTGCATCAAGAATAATTTTGTCGGGATCGAAAACCCTCGACTCTATAGCGAAACCTATATCGGAACAAAGCGGCTGATACAGTCATTTGTCGATCAAGTCGAAAGCAGCCTCAAGCTCGTCCTAGACAGTGATCGCATCTCAGAAAGCGACAAGACCGGTTTCTTTCGGCATCTTGATCTCAACTATGGGCGGTCTGCATTACTTCTTTCCGGCGGTGCCAGTTTCGCTTATTACCACTTTGGCGTCATCAAAGCCTTGCTTGACGCAGGCGAGCTTCCAGAAATCATCACTGGAACCTCAGGAGGTGCCCTGGTGGCTGCTCTAGTGGCCACCCGGACTGATGAAGAGCTCAAACAGCTTCTAATTCCTGCCCTTGCCTACCGCATTCGTGCGTGTCATGAGGGCTTTACGACATGGGTGAGGAGGTGGTGGAGGACAGGTGCCCGTTTCGACTCGCTTGATTGGGCAAAGCAGTGCTCTTGGTTCTGCTATGGCTCACTTACCTTTCGAGAGGCCTTTCAGCGAACTGGTCGGATCCTGAATGTCACCTGTGTGCCCTCGGATCCCCACTCTCCGACGCTCCTTAATAATCACATCACGAGTCCTGACTGTGTCATCTGGTCGGCTGTCTTAGCATCAGCCGCAGTCCCGGGCATATTGAATCCAATAGTCCTCATGAGGAAGACCAAAGACGGTCAGCTGGTCCCATACTCCTTTGGCAACAAGTGGAAAGATGGAAGCTTGAGAACAGACATACCCCTCAAGGCGCTCAACATTCACTTCAACGTCAACTTCTCTATCGTATCTCAAGTCAATCCCCACATAAACCTATTTTTTTTCTCCCCGAGAGGATCACCTGGTCGACCAGTCACTCATCGCAAAGGCCGAGGATGGCGTGGCGGCTTCCTTGGCTCGACGATAGAAACGTCCGTCAAGCTGGACTTGCAGAAGTATCTGAAAATCCTCCGACACCTCGAGCTGTTGCCCAGGCTGATGGGCCAAGATTGGAGCGAGATCTGGCTTCAAAGATTCTCCGGTACTGTAACCATTTGGCCAAAAACCATCATCAGCGACTTTTGGAACATTTTGAGCGATCCTAGCCCTCAAACACTAGACAGAATGCTCAAGGTCGGGGAGCGGAGTTGTTGGCCCAAGATCCGTTTCATTTCCAACCGGATGAAAGTCGAACGGGTCATCCTCGAAGGTTTGCGGCGGGCTGGTGTCGCTGACGAGGGACACCGCTTTATCAATCCGGCCCATGAACAGCAGGCACAGGAAGCATTACTCCGTGCGAGAAGGCAGACCAACAATAGCGTTTCCTCCACCGATGAAGAAGGCGTCGAAATTCTTGCACCATCGCCTCGACGGCCCAGCACCATTCTCGAAGAGCTCAGCCGTCAAGCATCGGTGCTATGGAATTCTGACAGCGAAGGGGAAGATGACGATGGCACGAGTGTAACGGATGATGAGAATCTCAGGGCTTCAGCCAGAAAACACGACCAGTGAGTGAAATAGAGTCAGGTTTCCCTCGACGTTTCAACCAAGACAAGTTTCAAGACTTCAGCGAAAAGTTCGAACGCTCATCGATGATGACATTGTATTAAATTCGTATCAATAGCCTAGCGTTAAATTGAAGATTATTGTTCAAGATCTATGATACGAGCAAAGAATGTGATTGATGGACCCCAACAAAGTAGGGTGGAAGGAAGTTCGTGGTCGTCGACGATCACGTGACTTACAAAAGGACCAGGGTGGCGCCCCATGCGGCCAACGACGGCAAGGGGAACCCATCGCGCAGAACCGAGATCTGACGTCGATCGTCTTGTTAATTATTTTTCTATCAACGCGACTTTCTACAGTTGTAAAGCCCTGAATAGCTACTTGATTCGGGCTCCGGGCGGATTGAATGGGTGTTGGTCATTGTCGCAAAGGTTTCCGGTACCAACTCCGCACATTTTTGAGCCCCAACAGTCCCGAGATCATTCATGTCGAGAAACTTGATTATTGTTGTTTTTGAATTCTCCTTTGCAAGGTGCTGAACTCGATGCCAAATTCGGTGAAATACGCGGCTGTGATTGGTGGGTATCGAAATAGGTGGGGCATAGTTTATCTTGGCGCTCATCCCCAGGCGCCAGAAGAGTCAAGGACTGAGGAAAACACGCAAGCTGGGGATCTTAATCATTGAATCGTCGTCGACCCATCCATCATATCACCATTTGCAGTCTATCCTCCTCATACGCCATCTCCCTCAATCACATGCAAAGATCCCTTCGCCACGCTCCCGCTCCCTCCTCCCTTACTCCTTGTGCCGAGATCTTTGGTCAGCGCTCGCGAGACGCGCCCCAAAGTCAGCTTCCTAGCCACCATCCGACGATCATCACCGTCTGATGATTTGAATCAAAGCACTCCATTAATAGGGACTTAGCAGCTCCCAACTGCAATTTTGATTGCCACACCTTAATCACCGAGTGCTCGTCCCAGACATCTTCGATTGCGCCATCCCCTACATCCACCCCAACCCGAATCCCTCTTATCACCATGCGCGGGCCTAAGCGAACCCTTGAGGAAATCATCGCCCAAGAAGATTCCGATGATGAAGACTATGATGACAGCAACACTGGCGCCACAAGATCACGATCTTCTAAATCCAAACGCGGCCGTGCTGCTCCGGCTAGGAAGAGGAGACGGCGCGAATATGGCTCTTCGGACATTGACAGTGATGACGAAGACCCTATATCCGACTCGGAGGACGAGTTTGCCGAGTCAGTCGAAGATCTTCAAGAGACCAATGAAAGAGGACGTCCTGTACGCGGAGCGGCCAAGAAAAGCCACAACTACATCGACAGTGATGACGATGAGGACGAACTCGCTTCCTCTTCGGATCAAGCTGACACTCCACCTCCCAAAAGGTCCGCACGACCGAAGTACATAGTCACTCTAAAGACTAAACCCAGACGATCTGCTCGGACTAGTAGTGGAAGCAATGGCAAGATGCCCTCTTCGACTGCTCATCCAAATGTGGGAACCAGGAGGAGCTCACGCCTGTCGCACGACGAGGATGAACCGGTCGTTGCGCTCACCAATTCCGGGAACCATGTCGAGATTGTGCGAGCTGGTTCACGCGAAGTCGAGCACATGCCAACCAGACCAACGAGAGGAGGCAAAGGACTTCTGTATCCTTCCAAGAGCACCATCAATGAAGAGAGCGAGTCATTTCCCAAGAGAGAAGAAGAAGAAGAAGACGAATTAGAGATAAAGGCATCTCAGCACGAGCTACTGGATAGCGATTTACCGGTCACCGGTGATGCTGAGGATGATACCGCCCACATGCAAATACCGCAACTTGTCTCCGACCTCGCCCAAGCTGCAGAAGCGTCCAGTGACGGTGAATTTCCAGAAATGGAGCCGTCTGGCCTCAATCCATCCCAACCGCCTGTCGCCGAAGAAGCAGACGCAGTCGTGGGAGAAGGCCACGACGTAGATGAAGACGATGAAGATGATGTGCAGCCCAGAGGTCGCATGACTCGAGCGTCGGAAAGGTCGAAGAATAATTCTTCACCAGTGGAAGAAGCCACGGAGAATCCCAGCAGACTTCGTGTCCGAAACCTTCGGAGCAGGAACAAGGACGGAACCTCCGGCAGCCGTCGACGGAAGGCTCAAGATGAAAGCAGCGACTTCGATCCAACTGAAGACCGGGAAAATGCAGATGAAATCTCTAGCTCCAGCGACTCTGATGCCTCACCACGGAAAAATGGCCGGAAAGATGGCGATTACGATAGCAGCAACAACGGCCGCCGGTCGACAAGGCTGCGCGGAAAGAACATATCTCGCCAGCGATCGGAAGCTGTCAGCGATCAACTTGAAGAACAAGAAGAGCTTGCCGAAGAACTTGCCGACCTCAAAAGAGGAGGACGAAAGCCACGACGACAGAGGGAGGAGGCCATCGTGTTCGAGCCACGAGGTCGTCGTACCGGAAAGAAACCCAATTATGATCTCTTGCGCGGTTTTGCTCCTATTGAAGACGAAGAGGAAGTTGCTGCGCCTTCTCCGTCACAAAGAACCCGAAAGACTGGTGGCGGTGCCTGGCAGAGAACCCTTTTCAATACATACGGGCCGTTTGGAGGCGGCGGAGGCGCTCCCCCTGTCCTTGGCGGCGGCGTCTCCGGTGCTCGAGCGCAAGGTGGAGTTGATTCTGACAGTAGCGACGACGAGGTCATGAAACAACCAAGACCTACAGGCGGCACTGTCGGCATGACCCCAACCGCGGCGACAGGCTTCAATCTCTTTCCTCAGAGTCTTAACGCAGACCCGGCACAAGCCGTTGGCGGCACCCCCGCCAACTTGGGCAAGATCAAAGACAAGCAAGTTTTGGCGGATGCAGATCCACTCGGAGTTGATCAGAATGTTAATTTTGACAGCGTTGGTGGGCTCCAAGGGCATATTGATCAGCTCAAAGAAATGGTGGCTCTTCCCTTGCTGTATCCTGAAATCTTCATGCGATTCAAAATCACTCCTCCACGAGGTGTCTTATTTCATGGTCCTCCAGGAACCGGCAAAACATTACTTGCCAGAGCCCTGGCCACCAGTGTGAGCTCACAAGGCCGCAAGGTCACCTTTTACATGCGCAAAGGTGCCGATGCCTTGAGCAAGTGGGTTGGTGAGGCCGAACGTCAACTGCGGCTCCTTTTCGAAGAGGCTAGGAAAACACAGCCTAGCATCATCTTCTTCGACGAGATTGATGGTCTTGCGCCTGTTCGCTCCAGTAAACAGGAGCAGATCCATGCATCGATCGTGTCCACGCTCCTTGCTTTGATGGACGGCATGGACGGTCGAGGACAAGTGATCGTGATTGGTGCCACCAATCGTCCAGACTCGATCGATCCTGCACTACGTCGACCCGGTAGATTTGACCGAGAATTTTATTTTCCCCTGCCAGGAACCGAGGCGAGACGTTCAATTCTCGACATACATACCAAAGGATGGGACCCGCCACTTGACCCTGCTGTCAAAGACGAACTGGCAGAGTTGACCAAGGGATATGGTGGTGCGGACTTGCGAGCTTTGTGTACCGAAGCGGCTTTGAATGCAGTGCAACGTCGATACCCGCAGATATACAGTTCGGTGGAGAAGCTCAAGATCGACCCTAAAACGATCGAGGTCATGCCCAAGGATTTCATGATTTCAATCAAGAAAATGACACCATCGTCAGAGAGATCCACATCATCTGGCGCATCTCCTCTCCCACCCAGTGTTGCTCCTTTGCTGAACGACCAGCTTGACGTGATCAGAAACATCTTGGCCGAAGTTCTGCCTCAGAAGAAGAGGCTGACTGCTTTGGAGGAGGCGCAATATGAAGATGTCGATCACGGTCGAGGTTTTGGGAAGGAGAAAATGCAGCAAGCCTTTGAGTCTTCACGAGTCTTTCGGCCTCGGCTACTCATACACGGCAGAGTAGGAATGGGTCAACATTATCTGGCAGCTGCTTTGCTCAACCATTTCGAAGGGTTACATGTGCAAGCCTTTGATTTGCCGACTCTGCTGAGTGATACCACAAGCTCTCCTGAAGCCACCATCATTCGTCTGTTTACAGAGGTGAAGATGCACAAACCAAGTGTCATCTACATCCCAAATGTGCAAGACTGGTATCATACAGTGGGGACTACCGTAATCTCAACCTTCCTAGGCTTACTGAGATCGATCAAGCCAACAGATCCTGTGCTGCTTCTTGGATTCGACGAAGGCGAACAAGAAGATCTCGATGAGAACATGCGACGCGAATTATTTGGTTTCTCCAAAAAGAACCAGCACCTACTTTCAGAGCCAAGTAACTCCCAACGATTTGACTTCTTTCAGCCTATCAAGGATTATATCCGTACAGCACCAAGCGACTTTCCCAACCCGGAAAATCGGAAAAAGAGGCAACTCGAAAAGCTTGATGTCGCACCACCGGAGGCTGAGAAGGGTCCGCCACCTTTGACCAAAGAAGAACTCAAAATGCAAAAGAAGAGAGATCGTCAGACGCTGAACATGCTGAAAATCCGTCTACAGCCAATCATGGATCAAATTCGAACCAAGTACAAGAAGTTCCGCACTGGCGTCATTGACGAGACTCAAATTCGATATCTGTTCGAAGAGGCTGACCCTGGCACTGTGACTTCAGACTTGCACCAGGAAATCCTTGCACAAGCATCATTCAGGCCTTTTGAGATTGGCCAGGACGCACATGGTGAACCTGGTTTAGTGGATCAGGCTAACAACGTTTTCTACTACAACTTGGATTCTGTCACTATTGAAAAGCGCCTTAGCAATGGGTATTACAAGCGGCCAAAAGACTTTCTGGCAGATATCAAACGCCTTGCGAAGGATGCAAAGGCCGCTGGAGACGAAGACAGACTTCTCAAAGCCAATGAATTACTGGCAAATGTCGAGGTGGACATTGGCTCACTCGAGTTGGGCGAGCCAGCGTTCAACGCTGAATGTGAACGAGTCTACGAGCGCGAGCTGGCGCGAGAAAAAGAAGCTCTGAAGCAAGCCCAGCTTGAAAGCGATAGAAACAAGGACATGCCACCACCACAAATAGTGTCAAATGTTGCGCACGGTAATTCTGGCCCTTCAACCACTGTTTCTACGGGACCGATCTTGCTGGGAGAGCCTATGGTTCGGCGCCATGACTTTGCAGAGCGCTTGGCTCCTACTGGCATCTCTATGGCCAATTCCAATGCCTCAATTGTAACCAACGGCATTCATCATGACAATGACACGAGGACGGCGGACTCGGCAAACGAGACTAACAACCATCCGGGTGTTGATGCTTCAGGTGACACCTATATGGGGGAAGCAGAGCCAGAGACCCAAACTTCTCAGGAGAGGAGCAATGAGACACAAAAAACCCAAACGACAAGCTCTTATGGCAACCGCGAATCAGCTCAACCTCGACCATTCCATTCATACACCGCACCATCACAGCATCTGATGAAGGAATCTGGCATGTCTTTGCCTCGTTCTCAGACTGGACCTTTTACACCCATGCCTCATGGCAGTGAAGTGGCTGAATTCCAGAACGATGCAAGCACGACGCAATCGACAAATGGAAAGAGGATATCTTCTGGAGATAAAGATGGCAGTAGTCCACCAGATTCAGGGCCAAACCTGTACGAGTATAATGAACGACGATCAGTCGCATCAGGAAGTCAGATCCCTGATACACAAGGTACGATCTCTCCTCCTCAATTGCGGCAATTTCCTCAATTCTTGGAGCTGACTCAGAGAGTAGATACTCCTCACTATCCCCCAGGCTCCCCAGGAAATCCCCCTGATGTTGCGCAACTACAACCCATACCTCAACATGTGACACCTCCAGGGCCAGACCGGCAATCTCAGCCACCAGTGCCACCATTTGCTACTGCGGCAGCAGAGACAAGCCCCGTACATCGGACAAATTCACATATCGCCGATTTACTCAACCCATCACCCCAGCCCAACTTGATTCAGGTTGAGGAGCGGAATGTGGATAACTTTCACCGGGAGATCAGCGACAAGACTAGTGGCCTGAGTGTGGAACAGCTCGAACAGGTCAATAGTGTGCTCATGGACACACTATGGAGGAGCAGAGGCGAATGGGATCGATCAAAGGTCCTGGTTCAAGTCAGTGATGCCTTCAACGAGGTCATGGCTGATATGCAAGAGTCGGGGCAGGACTTTGCACCCAGTAGTTGGGGACGAAGACCCCCAGCTTAGTTGGACCACGAGAGTTGGAACCTGGAAGTTGTTGGCCTATTTTTAGAAGGGCTGAACAGGACTTGCTACGTGGGGAAGACGGAATTACATTAGCAGATCTTGGGAACAAATATGAATGATGTTGTACAACTACGAGTAAGTTTTATTCACAATTTCTTTTGATGCCACGTGACATTCCCAGGTAGAGGAAAGAAGAGAGAAGAGAGAAAGATCATCTACAAATGCTCTTGCCTTTGCTTCAAGAGATGTCTTGTTCTTTCCCTTCAATTCCCACGAGAAGAAATGATGCGATGTCGTCGGTTTTCGATTTGCGACACTTTGACATTCACTTCAAAGCCAAACGCGAGATATTCCTGTCTCACTTGCTGCAAGATTTTGGTGTTATTGTCTGCTTTTCGACTCATGGCTACTCTACCCAAGACGACAACACTGTTCTGTGCGCTCTTCATCGTCTGTGGTTTGGCCTTGCCCTCGTTCTTCACATTGTCCCCCTACTCCCCAACAGTTGCACAATGCCCTTCAACGCCTCTTATTCGCAGTGCCATCGGCTTATCTGCTGGAGAGGCATTCTATCGATCTCGACGTGACAGGGTCACTCACAGAGCATTTCAACAGTTTGTCAGTCGACAAAACGAACAACTCTCGCTCGGCGATGGGTTTACTTACCATCGCCCACCTACCATTGCACTCGCCTCAAGTGGGGGGAAAATCAGAGCCCTTCTGTCCGGGGCTGGCGTGGTACAAGCAATGGACCTTCGAGACCCAGGAAGTGGCAATAGCAACCTCAAGGGATTGTACCAAGCTATGTCGTATCACGCCGGCGTTGACGGAGGGGCCTAGTTGGTCTCTGCCCTTGCTGGTAACAACAACCAAACTGTTTCCGACCTACATTTCAGTCTGTGGCAGAGATCGTTTCCCACAGCAACTCTTCTGCCTTCGCATATTCGTCCTGGTCGAGCGTATGCTGAAATTGCTCTGGATCTAGCGGCGAAGGAGCTCAATGGCTTTCAATCGACATTGGCCGACAGTCTTGGAGGTCTCCTGTCATTTCACTTATTCTATGACGTCCCAAGGATGCCTAGGACTTTGTCCGGTCTGTTGAGACAATCTATGTTCACTTCATTTGAAACGCCTTATCCGATCATCACAGCCCTCAAATCTGACCGAATCATCGATCACAAAGGCTGCGATCAGATCACCAATAGGTCACTACAGTTTGAATTTCATCCGTACGAGACAGGAACTTGGGAACCTGGGCATCGTGTGTTTGCGCAAACAGGCTTTCTGGGAACACCACTGGCGAACGGCATTCCCCTGACCCAGCCAACTTGTCTCAAAAGCTTTGACAACCTATCCTTGCTTCTGGCCATTTCAAGCAATGCTTTCTATCGCTTCTGCTCGGTTGTGCCAAATACAAACCTTCTGACGGGCGAGTGGGGTGATATGGAAAACGATCTGATCGGATTAATCGGCACACTTCACAAGCCAACTCACCTCGATGAGTATGGGCTCATTCCAAATCCGTTCTTCGACTCTAGTCTGGCTCCAGGTCTCTCTGCGGAGGAAACCTTTTACATGGTTGATGGAACATCTGCGGGAGAAAATGTTCCTTTATGGCCCTTGATCCAACCAGAGCGTAAGGTTGATGTCATTGTTGTCAATGATAATTCTGACGACACGGTGGATGGTTATCCAAATGGAGCATCACTATACAACACTTATCTTAGATCTCGGGAAATCGGCCTTGACACCATGCCAGCGATCCCATTACCTGAGACCATGCAGATGCTGGGCTTGAAAACGAGGCCCGTGTTTTTTGGCTGTCACGACTCCTCGGTAATTACTATTGTTTATCTGCCCAATCACGCGTATAACATCTCCAGCAACAAGAGTTCTTATGATTTGAGTTGGAGTGCGCAAGATGTTGTCGATGTGATTGCCAATGGAAGAAATGTTGCAACCAATGGTCAAGATCCTACGTGGCCACGATGTCTGACATGTGCCTTGCTCGTCAAGGTTAATCAAGGATTGCTGCCCTCGCACTGCTCAGCCTGCCTCCGTCAATATTGCTGGCCAAGAGATGATGGATTGCCAAATCCAGACCTTGCACCCATTTAGTAGGATTAGCATGATTGGAATCGAGCGAGGACCACCACATGCTTGTTGTGTGGCCTACAGTGAGCATCCTGACGTTGAACAACCCTGTGAATGTACCTGCTCGTCAAAGAGATGGCGCGAGTCGATGGCGATGGCAAGTCGATGGCGCACAAGATTTTGGTCCCACTAGGAAGAGAGACTCAAGGCTGAATGAGTACATGTGGATTTTATACAGGTGCTAACCCACTGCAAGTAAGGGCACTTGCTTTCATGTCTGGTAGTACATCCATAATGTAATGTCTATATTCTAGCATTCTGTTTTATTTTTGTCTAGCCGTGAGCATGATTTCTATCGTCTGTAGGCATTTCCGAACAGGGGCATGAAAGACGATTCATTGCCCCTGTAGCTCGCAATATCTCATGCGAGTCAACCATTGGGCTCTAATTCCAAACCAGCCACCAGGATGAAACGTTCCATCCCGCCATGGCCATCTGAAATTTTCGAAAATGCCATGAATCCAAATCACTTCGTCTTCTTACCCTCTCCCTTCCTCTTAGTTGCACCAACACTCCCATTCTCAGCCCTCGCCGGTGCAGATGAAGAAGATGAAGGCATTGATTTAGGTTTTGTGGGTAAAGCATAAAGCCCACCCCCGATAAACACCACAACCGCACCGACCAAAACCCCCGCTGGGAGCGTATTCCCAAACAACCAAATACTCAACACCAGACTGATGAGTTTTCTTACATTGAGAACCATACTCACGGTGAGAGAAGACGATTGTGCCGAGAGACGATTAACGCCGACAATGCAGAGGAGTTGAGTCGTGGCGTTGAGAAGGAGAAGGACCACTGGCCAGGGAATGGACAAGAGTGAAGATGAAGATGAAAGGGAGGAGGAGGAGGATGCAGAAGACGATAGAGCAGTCAAAGTGACGAGTTGACTTTGAAGTGATGAGAATTGCGTGGCGAAGAAAGGAAGCGAAAGACCGTGACTGTAGAATAGAGTTTCGAGCGTAATCGAGCCGGATCGTCCGTGTATGGCGTACATATTGTCGGTATAGACACCCATCATGGCGGAGAGAAGCAATGCCGAAGCCAACAGAGCGAAACCAGGGATCTGAGCCGACATGGAAGAAAGTAGTACTACCTCGTCGCTAGACGACGATACTACCATCCCCTCCCGCTGCTTCTCCTTCTCCAAAACCTGACTTTTACTCATCGCATCACTTATCGCCGCAACAACCACACCGGCAAAAAGTAAAAACACCGCCACCACTTTCTGCACGGGATATCTCTTCCCACCATACACCCTCCCCACTGCCATGGTGGTCACGGGCCCGGCTGAGCGTAGGATGATATGCAGTGGTATACTGATTCGATAGCCGAATGCCATGTTATTGAGGATATTGATCGCGAGGAAATAGGCTGTGTAGATGATCCATTTGCGTATGGGCACGGAACGGGGTTTGAGGTAGAGGTTTTTCCAACCGCGGTGGAGGGATAGGTGCGGTGGGAGGGTTGTGAGTGCGACGACGAGGAATTGTAAGGCGGTGATTAATGAGCCCGAGGAGGGGGACGTGGAGATTAGGGCTTCTAATGTGTAGACGTTGGAACAACACCCGCCGAAGATGAGGATTAGGGTCGGGGCCCAGATCAGAGTGATGGAGAAGGTTGACGAGGATGTGGAAGAGGATGGTGTCGTTGGTTTGACATGTCCATTGCTGTGGACGGCAGTTCCGTTGGAGTCTTTATATTCCTTCTCTTGTATTGACTCGGAATCTTGGTCCGTACCGTGTGGTAGTCGTCGACGGGCGGTGGAAGGCGAATTCACCGAAGAGTCCTTTTGAGCGACCGCCATGGTGGATTCCTGAGATTTGACTTTCATTCTTGCTGTTACCGAATTGTTCGGTCTTCCATAGTAGGAAGAATGATAGACGTCCGAGTTATGGTGCTCAGACGTATGCCGACATTGTTACACGAGCCTTATTGTCCGGATTGTGCTACATGTAAGGCAAAAGCAAGGGGGTGGATTTGCGAAAGTATAGGAACGAGGCACGCGAGGTTGATGTTGGAGTGAAGGATGGCAGGTTTGCCGATCTGTGATAATCATAATTATTACTCCGTATGTTATTAATATTGATAATGCACCTTTCTCGGGTTTGTCTTGTCCCCCTCAAAATGTTCAGCCTTGCATCCGCCTCAGTAATCTACCAGTACTTACATTGACATCAAACATTCACTACACCCTACCCACCCCATCAACCTATACCATGCTCAACGCATATCATTAACGCCGTCTAGAAAAAATACTTTTCGCTCTATGGACGGAACGGATATTCCACTTCCGCAACCGCGACCGCGACCGCGTCCCGACGACAGACACATCCATCTGTGTTCGCCAAAAACACTCGCTGAATTCGTAGCAATGCATTACACATCTGCCGCCTCTCTCCCAGTGAACTTTTTGTTACTCAACAACCGGGTCTTGCCAACCACCCACCCAACAATCTGATCCAATTACATCATTTTGCCGCCTGCAAACTCACTCCAGCTTCGCACCTCAGGCGGGATGCCCTCCTTGCGTGGGAGTTTGGCGTTCATGCATTGCGCAAAAAGAAGTGCGGTCTGTACATAGTGAGTTAGTCATTGGTCAGGAAGTACTCGGGTGTCTCTCTTACCTTAGGTTCCATAAATAGAGGGACACCAAAATCCACAGCATTTCGTCTCATCACATAATCTTCATCCAACAAGGTCTTGCCTCGGGTTTTGGCAATGTTGAACACGCCACGGATATCGTATTTCTGGAAAACTCCTCGGAGCTTGTTCTTGTCGGTCTTGGGGAACTCAATCACTTCGATATGTGCTCCAGTCTGCTCCAGATGCTTCTTGATCTCTGGGCTGGCAGCATAGAAATTGTAGCCTAGTGGCTGGAGATTTTCGACAATCTTGTAAAGCTCGGGAAGCTCAGTCGAACCGCCGAGAAGTATTCCCTCACCTGGTTCGGGCATGCGGAAATTCATGGTTGATTGCAAGGATGCCCAGTATGCTTCGATGAGATCCTTTCCGAAGCAAGCAATTTCACCAGTGCTGCTCATCTCAACTCCCAAGAATGGATCAGCACCAGCGAGACGGGTCCACGAGAATTGTGGAACCTTGGTGGCGAGATAATCCCGTTTCACAGCCATGAGGTCCTGTGGTTCAGGAACCTCTTGTCCAGCCAAGGCTTTGGTGGCAGTGTCAATAAAGTTCACACCGAGAACCTTGCTGACAAAAGGGAAAGATCGCGAGGCACGCAAGTTGCACTCGATAACCTTAAGAGCGGGTTCTTCACCAGGAACATCGGCTTTGATAATCTGCATGTTGAAAGGACCAGTGATCTTCCAAGCGACGGCAACCTTCTCAGCAATCTCCTTGACTCGATCCATGATGCTCTGGTCAAGATTGGCAGGAGGGAGCACCAATGTTGCATCTCCAGAGTGAACACCAGCAGCCTCCACGTGTTCTGAGACGGCGTGAAGAATCAGTTTGCCATTATTGGCAACGGCATCGACATCGATCTCCTGAGCACCTTCGATGAATTTTGTGATGACGACGGGATGGTCGGGTGAAACAGCTGAAGCGGATTCCAACTTGTCCTTCAGCTCATCTTGGCTGTAGATAACGGACATGGCGGCACCGGAGAGAACGTATGATGGACGAACAAGGACAGGGTAGCCAACAGACTCAGCGAACGTCGCAGCATCAGCCACCGAAGTGAGTTCCTTCCAGGCCGGCTGGTCAACGCCGATGGAATCGAGGATGCTTGAGAATTTGTGGCGATCTTCAGCTCTGTCGATATCTTTGGGGTCTGTACCAAGGATCTTTGCACCGCCTTCCTCTTGAAGTCGCAGCGCGATGTTTTGAGGAAGTTGTCCACCTGTGCTCACAACGATTCCGCTTCCAGCTTCCAGCTCGTAAATGTCCATAACTCGTTCGTATGACAATTCCTCGAAGTAAAGCTTGTCGGCCACATCACTGTCGGTGCTGAGAGTTTCTGGATTGAACTTTTGATGATATTAGCATGATAGAACATGAAAAGAACGTGCAGAAGCAGAAAAGATCAAAAGGAAATAGAAGAATGAGAAGTTGAAAGAGTGCCATCCTTGAGAGTCCAGATGAAGTGATGGTAGTGATGCTGAGACAAGGACACTAAGAATCGACTGGGTGGCACGGTCGTTGGAGGAGGTGGTCTCCTCACTTGCAACAACAATCAATTCACTTGACTGAGCGCGATGCTCCAGGATCCCGGGTGAACAACAACTTGTCCAAAACTGGCGACAGTCTCCACGTCACGTTCGGTGGACTCGTGCCGAGTCAAAGGAATTCGAAGTGTCCAGAGGGTTCGTCCAGGGCCAAACTCATCCAAAGAAGCAATACCGCAAAACATAGAAAACATCAAAGGGCAACCCGCGAACTTACGTTAATCATGACCGTCTTGTTGCCCATGTTTCGTAGAGAAACTGCAGCATTTACCGCACACCAATCGAACTCGACAGATGATCCAATTCTGTAGACACCGGAACCAAGAATGATCATACCATGGTCATCGAAGGTCACATCATGTGAAGAAGCATTGTAGGTGGTGTACAGATAATTGGTGTCGGCTGGGAATTCGGCGGCAAGGGTATCGATCTTCTTTACCCATGGTCGAATGCCGAATTTCTGGCGACGAGTTCGCACCTCGCCCTCGGTTGAGTTGACATACGAAGCAATCTGCTTGTCAGAGAAGCCTTGCTTTTTGGCTTTGAGCATGAGTTCGTGCTTGATTCCAGAGAGAGATCCGATTTCCTGGATTTCGACCATTGTGTCCTTGAGGTTCTGTAGCTTATGAAGGAACCATTTGTCGATCTTTGTCAAGTCGTGAATTTTGTCAACAGAGTAATTTTCATGAATCATGGCCTGACCAACAGCGAGCCATCGTCGGTCTGTTGGGTTTCGCAGAGTATCATCCAGGTCGTCGAACTTGTCGCCCTGGAAGCCGACATACCTAGGGTCAACCTGACGAATAGCCTTCTGGAAGGACTCCTCAAAAGTCCTTCCAATGGCCATGACTTCGCCCACAGACTTCATGGCACTGCCAATATCGCGCTTGACGTGTTGAAATTTGGAGAGATCCCATCGAGGAATTTTGACGACAATGTAATCCAAACTGGGCTCAAAGTTGGCAGTGGTAGTCTTGGTCACAGCGTTAGGCAGCTCAGGAAGTGTATGTCCAAGCCCGATTTTAGCAGCTGTGTAAGCCAAAGGATAGCCAGTAGCTTTGGACGCAAGGGCCGAGGATCGAGAGAGACGAGCATTGACTTCAATAACACGGTAGTCGAGACCATCGGGCTGTAGGGCGTATTGCACATTGCATTCACCAACAACACCAAGATGTCGGACAATCTTGATAGCCGCTGTACGGAGCATGTGATATTCCTCATCGCTCAAGGTCTGACTTGGAGCAACCACAATACTGTCACCAGTATGGATTCCCAACGGGTCAAAGTTCTCCATGTTGCAAACGGTGATGCAGTTGTCTTCAGCGTCACGGACGACTTCGTATTCGACCTCTTTCCATCCCTTGAGCGACTTCTCGACCAGAATCTGGGGAGAGAGCGACAAGGATTGGGATGACAGATTGCTCAGCTCTTCTGGATTTGCGGCGAAGCCAGAACCCAAGCCTCCGAGAGCGTATGCCGAACGAACGATGATGGGGTAGCCGACAGATTCGGCAGCTTTGAGGGCTTCTTCGACTGAGCCAACTGCAATCGACTGAGCAATGGGAATGTTGATCTCGTTCAAAGCCTTGGCGAAAAGGTCACGATCCTCGCTGGTCTCGAGTGTTTTGATGGGAGTACCGAGGACCTTGACTCCGTATCGCTCGAAAAGGCCCATTCGGTTCATCTGAACACCAAGATTGAGACCAGTTTGACCACCAAAGGTGAGAAGAATGCCATCAGGCTTTTCTCGCTCAATCACGTAGGAGACATATTCGGGAGTAACAGGGAGGTAGTAGACTTCGTCAGCGAGCTTGTGATCGGTCTGAATAGTCGCGATGTTGGGATTGACGAGGACAGAGGCGACACCGGATTCCTTGAGGGCCTTCAGAGCTTGGGCACCTGGGTGACTGTTAGTTACTCGATCGATTTCGCAATTGCTTGCTCAATGACTGTCTGTGGTCATGGAGGGCGGGCAGCCAGCTAGGAGAGTGCTGGGTGTATCTTACCGGAATAATCGAATTCACCAGCCTGTCCAATACTCAACCCACCACTGCCAATAACCAGCACTTTCTTGACATCAACGAGGTTCTTGCCAGGCTCAATGACTCCACTTTCGAGATATGACTCGGCTCGAGGAGCTTCCTGAACAGCGGCATATCGTTTTGTCGACCGGGTGAATTTCCTGGCCTGTTGCCATGCCGGGGTCTTGAAGGTGACTAGATGCTGTCTATGAGCAAGAGGGAGGGCACGGGTGGAGAAAGATCGGAGAGAAGATTGAGGCTTTGGGAGAGATTGTCGCAGAGCGAAGCGGGAGGCTTGGTGGAGAGCTCGGGTGGAAGCAGCCATGATGAGAAGGGAGCTCTGGGCTGACCGGCTCTTGAAGATGAGGACCAAGCAAAAGAACGACTGAGCCGTGCTCAGGACACGGATTGGCGAGCCAGTGAGTTGTGGAAGGGAGTTTGGTAGATCAAGATGTAAAGAGGGTTGGAGTCACAAGTTTTTGGACGAGAAAAAGAGGTTGCGGGCGGAGAAAAAAGTCAGACGCACGCAAGCAAAGCAGCAAACCAGTATGCATCACAGCGGCGCCAGAACCAGGTACAAGCCTACATGGCTAGCTTTGGGGGGGAGAGTAGACGGCGTGGTGCCCTGACAATCGAACCTATTGGGGGATCGCTATGGGCCTGGAAGACCAGATCGGGGGCGCCACTGGCCCTCAGCAGCCCTCTTAGGCTGGCGGTGAGGGACCAAAGAGATGGAATTTTCTCCACGAAGATGCGGGAACCAATCGATAAGCTCGGATAAGTGCAAAATTGTCAAAAATCCAAAGGGTGCACGCGCCCATGATGGGTTTTTTGCTCTGCTGCTGATCGGCATCCACCTCCTCATCAAAGACATAGCGTAGCATATTCATTTGTTGAGATGAGTGGTTGGTGATTGGGAGTTGATACAGCTAAACGCATGATCGGCTGTCGTTGTCGATGAAATAATCACCTACAAGAGACTCACGCACAAATATAGTCCAGGTCTATTGGGTGACGACTCATGCACTCTCTGTGCTGGGCAAAATCTCTATCATAGAACGAGTACAGCCCGATCAGAAGTTAAAGAGAACAATCTTCAACCATCGTGGACCCGCCTACATGGCTGGAAACCTACCCTACTGCAAATCTACCTATCATTTCCTTGCCTCCAGGCAAAGTCCCGTGTTTGGACTCGCGACGAGAGCACGAAAAGGTCTTGGGGGGAATTGGCAGAAAACAAGGAAGGATTCAAGCATTCGTTGTAATCTAACCATTTTGAGACACCGCCTTGGCTCTGCCGCACTCACGCATTTACGATGAGTTGACTCACTGGAGATTAAAACATGTTCTCAATGTTGCAGAAGACGAGCTACTTTGTTGTGTCCGAATCTACCAGATCGCTTGAGAGCAGATAGCTAGACGCTTGCACTTTTTGTAAATTTAGTCTTCTCTGATCTCCACATCCAGACTTGGGTCCTGAATACCCTACGAGGCCATCAGAGCATCCCACTGTCAAGATCTCGCTCCTGCTGGAATACCATTGGCTCATCCAGAATCTTTCAACCATCGATCTTGGTGTAATTTGCTGGGAACAATCCCTGTCGGCCGTTGTATTCCCCGTGCCACCAATCTTCGTCGGGGAATGTCTGAGTCCATGTAGTCAGCGAGACTATCTTCTCACTTGCAAACTATTTCACTTACCACGTTGGTGATGGTCGCATTTTCGGGGAATGACAACTCGTTGTCCTCCCCGGCCTCGTAATCGTAGAGTGCAGTTGCCGTTGCTCCTTTGGCAGCGGCAGCTGCAGCTGCAGGTGGGCTGGGAGATCTCACAGCCGCTGGAGCGACATGGGCTCCTGCATCATCTTCATTCTCGAGAAGAGTAAGGTAATTGCTGGGTACAAGTCCAGTCTGCTAATTGTCAGTACTCCCTACTAATGACTGTCGCATGCACCACGTCAACATACCTCTCCAGCTTCGTTCTTGACCAGCCACCAATCCGGGTCGATTTTCTGGATATCAGTAACGAGTTCGCCTGGACCTAGTTAGTACTTGTCGGAAAATTGCACAACGAGCTCATTACCTTCGCGTAGTGAGACCTCATTGTCCTCCGCTGCTTCATATTCGTACTCGGCTCTTGCCCTCTCGCCTCCGGCCGGTGGTGGAGCGGCTGCTGGGGCAGATTGTGCAGCCTGCTGTCCAAGATTGGCCGCCAGTGCTGTTTGTGCCGCTGCCCTGCCCAAGTCTCGATTATTGGACGGTTCATCGTCAGATTCTTCGCCACCAGCTGTTGCCACGGCCCGTGCCAGTGACTGCGTCGGTAAGGCCTGTGGCGGTGATTCCAGTTCTTCGTGGGCGTCAACAACTGGGGCAGTCGCACTGATAGGTACGGCAACCCGAATTGGTGAAGATGGTCGCATCTCTGGAGTTGGTGGAGTCGGGCTGCGAGGTTGTGGTGGTGGTGTGGGCATGCGCTGCGTCTCGACTTCCTCCTCATCATATTGCGCTGCCGGTGCAGATAATCCAGGGATTGGTATCCCCCGGTTGGGTTTATTGCTGGTGTCCGGCTCAGGGGCCGGTGGTGGACCGCGGTCAAAGGCTCCAGAAGGAGCAGGAGCACCCATGGGAGCCGCACCACTGAATCGCTCTCGGATCGAGCTGATGCCGCCGCTTGGAGAGGATGGAGCTTCTTCCGCATCTGCTTGACTTGTGCGGTCTCCAGTAACCTGCTGTCCGATGCTTGATCGACCGGTGTGGGTGGTGGCGACAGGAGCCCACGACTTCCCAGTGTAACCACTCTTCCATTCTCCTCCACTCTTTTGAGAAGACATCGGGGGCTGTCCTGTGAAGCCGCTGGGAGACACTGGCATGGGTAGGTCTGCTGATCCGCTTAGTCCTCGCTCGCGAGCTTTCTTCTCTGCCCAAAGCTGCGCGGGTGTCTTGCCACTCGAGTCAGCAAATGACCGACCGGCTGCACCAACAGGAGTCGGGACGCTAGGCTTTGAGTCGAACCCACCCGGAGTGGGTGCTTTGGTGCCTGTAAAGCTGCCACCGCCAAATTTGTTGGCAACCTTAGGCTTGGGAAGCGACGTTAAGCGCTCTGGGCCTTGTGAGAATGCTGCTGAGCGCTCAGCAAGCGATTTGGGAGCATCAGTAGGCTCGTCCGAGGCGCCAGTGGAAGCAGCCGATACTGGCGCTGGGCGGGAGAAACTGGGCGCATCGTCGGGCTTCTGAGCCTTGGCTCGAATTGCAGCGATATCAACCTTACCAACCGGTTCATATGCACCCTTGACAATCTCTGGGCGCTCATCTCGAGTATTCCCAGACGCCTGTGCCTGTCTCCGAATGGCTGCAATGTCCACTTTGCCAACGGGTTGATAGGCTCCTTTGACGACGTCGGGCCGATCATCAGATGTACTGGAGCTGAAGGCCGATGGTGCCGGCTTTTGAGATGTCAAATCTCTCATGTTGACCTTGGTAGGCTGGTAGGCAGGCTGAACCTTTTCCAACTGTGACCGAGTGACTGGAGGGGCATCCTCTCCCCATCCATCCTCATCTACGTTGACATCTTTCTTGGCTGGTAGACTGCGTGCAGCAGGACTGTACCCGCCCAGCGTCCCGCTACTCTGGGTTGGGGTGAAGACCGGTTTCGAAGCAAGTGCTGGTTTAGTGGCGGCGGGAGGTGGGGGACCAGTAGAGCTGGAGGAGTACTTTGAACCGGAAGCATCGGCAACTTTCTGAATGATGCCATCGGGGGTGAGGTCGCGGTCGGACCTGGCTGTGATTTGGACATGGTAGCCATGAAGCAATTTAGCGACTGCCGTCAGGTGGCTTGTAAAGTAACCCTTTGTCCGTTCAGGAACGCCTTCACCACACCAGGCAATTAGGGCACTCTTGGGGAGGCCCGAATTGGAATCCTTGACCCTGACAAACGCAAATTGAATTCGGCCATCGGAGAACTCATCCACCAGGTCTACCAACTCGCCCTCGCCAGTAGTCTGAACCTTCAATACGCTCTCTTTATTGCCTGAGTCCTGTTGAAAGGCATTGGCTAGAGGAGCCGAGACTGAGAAGACTGCCCATTGACCATATGTGGGAGAGGCGGCGGCAGGACCGGAAGGAGGAGGGGCATTGACTATGGACTGGTAGCTCTTGGTGATTGATGGGCCGTTGGTAGAGAGGTTGAGGGATGCCATGTTTTGATGGCGAAGGAAAGGGTGGGGGGTTGCAGGAGCTCTATCCTAAGAAAGACCCGGTCAGTTATAGAACAAGACGAAATGAAGCCTCCTGCAATGGATCAATAACGAGCGACCTGGAAATGATTCGGTGGCTTATTAGGATAGAAAGCAGGAGGAAGGTCAAGTTGCTGATGTGTAGTCAAGTGCTGAGCCATGGCGCTTACCAGGTGGTTTCCCGGTTGCCTACTGCGGGCACGTAATAAGTCCTGTCGCACCTGGAAAACCGTGCGGGGCGGGGGCGGTGTTGGTGGAAGAGAGGTAAACAGACACAACTCCTCCTTGGTAGAGGGACAGAACGGTGCAGCAGGAGTAATGTAAATAGTGTTCTAGGAGATAGTCTACCAGTGGCAACTTTTTAGACAATCATGACAAGTCCTGGTAGAGACGCCCAAAGACCTTGTTGCTAAGGACTGGGTGGTAGTTCAACTACTTACTGCGTAGGTACTCGTAATTGCCCCAGGCGGTCTGCACCCTATGGAGGAGGTGTGGCTCTTTGGCTCCGGTTTCAACTGGCAACGATGATGAAGGCCAAGACTCAGAAGGATTTGTCACGTGGTTTGATCGGACTCTTTGAAGTTCCGGCGGGGCAGGCAGCCTGTGACTGGCTGATTGATGAACAGGCACGACAGGGAAGGAGCCAGGGAAACACACAGAGCAGGAGACCAGAAGACCAGGACAGCAGGAGTGAGTCGTGACCCTGACTCGCGCCTGCGCTCCGCCTCCGCCTGCAACTTCCTCAACATACTCCACCCACCTCCACCGCATTTTCTGGCGATCTCTCCAACTTCATCCAACCTTCACTCGAACCACTCCCATCAACCTGCGACTCACACTGTAATCAACATTTCGCACATCCTGCCTCTGCGGGATTCGACACTCCTCGTCCAACGGCTCTCGCTGGTACTTCGTTCATCCTTTCCAGCCCAAAATTTCTGATCCGCCTTACCCAGGATCCGCCTGCTTAGGCTACACGTCCCTCCCTTTTTGCCTTGTTGGATTTGCCCGCCTCTAGGCCTTCCGGACAAGATTGTTGCGAACCTCTATCCATTGGGACATGTCCAGCGGAAATATCTAAAGATTCTGTCACATCGCACATGAACTCGTCCCTTCCAGCCTGAGTCGCGCAACCCATGCGGTGACTTGGCCTCATTGTGCATCCACGCACCTTGATTTGGTTTACGCATCCATTTCCTTATTCTACTGCTCTGTGGATCACAGAAGCATACCCTCGACATGTTTTCAGTCTTGCTTCCCTTGAAAACAGACCTGTTGACACATCAGATTTCTCATGCTGCTTGCTGATACTCTGGTGGTTTAGCCTGTCCTGTTTTCAAGCCCTTTTCTTTTCAAATCTCTCCATCTGTCCCGCCATTTGCACATGAAGTTTCCATCGCTCTCTGACGGGAGCCCCGTCGCTTTGGGCAAGAGGAAACGGCAGTCGACTTCTCCAGGACTGGCTTCTAGCGTCCCAGATAATCATGCTTGGCAAAATACTGACCTGTCGCGCCTTGCCAACTTAGACCCTGATGTTGGCAAACGCCCCAGGCTTTCTGGCCCAGATTTCTCTCAAGATGTCACTTCCGGACAGAGGTCCACCGCACTGTTATCAGATCTCCCCCCAGAGATCTGGCAGCACATCTTTTGTCACGTTGATCCAGTTGCCCTTGGCCGATTGATGCGTGTCAATCGTTTGTTTCGCTCGCTGCTTGATCCTGCAGTCCCTTTGCCTGAGCCGTCCGGTGTAGACAAGGCTATCGGCCTGCGCCTACGAAAGCAAGACCTGGTCTGGGCTATCTCGCGCAAGACCTTTTTGTCGGGGTTTCCAAGACCCTTGGAAGGAATGACTGAGCTGGCTATGTGGAGGCTTGTTCGCGGTACGACGTGTTACTTTTGTAATGCATCCTCGCTACGCCCTCCTCCCTCTGCTTCACATTCTCCATGGAATGCTGGCCCAGGCAAAGATTCCGTCCGGACCATATGGCCCTTTCGAGTTCGTGCTTGTACCTCGTGCCTGAAGCCTCGACTTATCAAGGTGCGTAGACGTCGACCAATATGGCAAGAAGCCTCTATTGACCAACTCAGGATACAACTCTCCTCATGTCATCATCGGCAGCATCCACTCTCCGTTCTGGTTTGCCTTTCGCCATCTTTACGTCTGATTGGGACTACGTTCTTGGAACAAGCCTTCAGAACGCGGACCCACCATCCAATCTCCAACTTATAAAGTACTTTTTCCTGCATCAAGTTGATGAACTCCAGAACCAGCTGCAATACGTTCAGACTCTGGGGTCAGCTGCAAGTGAAGAGTGGTTCAAGGGCCTTGAAGACCGTGGGTCTCATCTCAATTCCGATGCTGCCCGATTCGAGCAGTGCGAGCTCCAAGGAACGTTCACAAGACTTCCCCAGTCGAAAACTCGGATAAATCTCCCCTCAAGGACTGGTTTCGACGCAGCGCAAGACCAGCTCTCCGAGACTGTACCTACCCAGAAGCAGATACCCGTAGCATCGTCGGGTCACACTGACACCAGACCTCTTGTTACTGCAACGACTCCAGGTAAGCAACCTCTGACTCTTGCCAGCCTTGGTAACCTTGCATTTGTCGAGAGGCACAACCTAGTCATGGGTTGTGAGAATGTTCGCACTGATTCCGGAATAGATAGGATGGATGTCACTTCATTGGAGTCTGTGATGAACCCTTCTCTGCAACCTCACCCTACGATTCCGCAACACCCCAACTCTGCGGCCGATCTGTCTTCACTGCCAGTTCCTCGCAACCGCCACGGACGCTCACTTCAGGAAGCCGAACAGGCAAAGGCTGAGCGCAGAACAGAGATCGAACGTCGGTGCCAAGCAATGATACCTCCGATCTTACAGTCCACTCTTCCCTTCATGGATGCATTCCAAGCAGCAATCAAGATCGCCCGACCCCTCACAGAGGATGATTGGAAAATTCTGGAGCCGCGACTACTATCTCAACGAATCGCTGCCCAACACAAAGAAGCGATGCAAGTCACTCCATCAGGCAGTGCCGACGCACAACTTCGACAGCAGCAATTGGAAGAAGAGCAGCGGGTAGCTCAAGAAAACGAAACCAACATGTGGTCCGAGCTCAACGTTTCAAGCCGAGACAAGATCACTAGATATGCCCAAAAGTTCATCCAGCAGACCTGGTCCGGTGGCAAAGGCGTGACCAAAGCAACTAGTAGTACGTTTGCTGCAGAGGTTCTATGCCATGTCCGGCAACGCTTCGATGACGAGATCGCGGAGGAAGACAAAATGTTGGCCATGAAAGGGACCGCATTTCCGCACACCCCCGAGTCTCTTGCTAATCGCAGGTTGACTCTAGAAGACATGAAATGGACCTTTGAAGAGTTTGTGAAGCCACATACCGACAAGTATGGAAAGGACGTCTTTCTTTGCCGTGACTGCGACGACAGCCAGAAGTTGTTTCCATTCGAGGGTATCATCCAGCACTATGCCGCCAAACATACGAACAACTTCAGTCGCGGCAAGGCCGTTGTGTATTGGAAGGCGGACTGGCCATCCGAGCCTCCCTTTGACCCTAGTCCGAACATACCCTGGGTTCAAAATCCTAGCGACAGTCTAATGCATCCACGAGCTAACATGATCCCCACGACCAGAGCACGGACGGCGCCAAAATCATCTGCACCTCGATCCATCAGCAGCCAGGAGACGATCTCCAATGAACTGGTTTGGATGATCCAAGATGTATGGCATCTGACCGAAGGAGTCTGGAATCTTCCACACAGCTTGCGGCTGTACGTCGTGATCCAAATCACTGGCAAGCGTTTTTCTCAGAGGTTCAATGAAGATCTTGGATTTCATTCTTTCTTCCACTGCGTCCAAAGTCGACCAGAGCTGTATCTTATCCACACTTTGTCAGGACTTCATTGCAAGCTCTGCGTCCCTCAGCCTGACTTACCAATGTCCCAAATACCCCCCTCACAGAACTTTGGGCTGTCACTTACCGACTTACTGATGCACTTTCAAAAGACCCACATCGATATGGATGCCTCTAGCTCGGGCAATGGTTACGGCTTGGTCTCACCTCCATGGACCATGAGTTCTGCTTCAGGGAGGCTAGACTGGAAGCGGGACATGGTCTTGCTTCCACATGGAAACGAAATTCAGGACATTCTTCGTTCGCCATCAACAGATCCCATGAAACTGCAACTCATCAGCGAAGCATTAAGTTCACCTGCCTACGCATCGACTATTGTTGCTGGCCCGCGATCAGTTCTCTCGTCGTCCGAAAAGCGAACCCTACCACCCCGCCATGCGAACTATGAAGAACACCCGCGAGCTGTTCCCAGTCGAGCGCCTTTAGCATTTCTTCCTCACGAGCCTACTGGCGCTCCGTCCGCTCTATCTGCTCCGTCCTTGCACCCATCGGAGGATGAGTATGATCCTCATCGGCCGGCCACCCAGCCTCGCCTGTATAAAAGACGGCCTCCATCGGGATCAGGTCGTGTATATCAAATTGCAGGACATGGTGCCGTTGAAACAAGCTCTCTAATTGAAAAGATCGGCACCTCCCCTCGCGGGTGGTTGAGCACGCATGACAACCCATATTATCGCGATGAAAAGGGCCCAACCTCCAACGATGGATTTGTAACTGACTTCAGGCGTTGGCGAACACCACCGGCGGCGCATGGCCGTCCAAGAAGCAGACCGTTTGATGGGGAGAGTCAGCTGATGCATGGATCGACAGAAAGAGCTGCAGCGAGCGTACCCAGAGGATCGCCACGCGTCAGTGGTGCTGGAGCTGGTATAAGTACGGCGGCAGTGGAATTCTTGAACAATTTCGATAAGATGCCAGTGAGGGGCTCGGAAGAGCTCGTGAGGAGTATCAATGGCCCGACCGTCCGCTATCTCGAAGGTGACGATCGCAGACCAGAAGCACGAATTATGGGAGCAGCGCACGAGACAAACAGTGTGGCCCAAGAGGGTAACATCGCCCACGAAGGTTACGTGTACGCCAGATCACTAACTCCGTCCTTGCCGATTCGACCACGCGAAGTATATCGACGGCTACCATCGAATCATGGCCGTTTGGAAGGCCCATTGCAGCCAGGCATGTCACACGAGGATAGCGCTTTCGATCGACAGGGCACGGCCCTCACTGGGTCGTACGGGTCAGACCTTCCCGAGCGAATTCATCGGATCGAGCGACAAGAGCGACGGATATACCCGATCGCTGGTCGGTACTTCGAGCTTGTGGAAGAGGAGACGCATCCTGAGGGAGAGAGACAAGAGATGCGAGAGTCGCGATTTGCGGCAGTTGATACAAATCCTCGAGCCTGGTACGATGACCAAGGGCAAGCGATTGCAAGTGGCAGAGAACTTGCTGTTGGGCCTGAATATGGATCGAGATCGTCTGGCCATGAGCGCTATGAGCCAAACCAGGACCATGTGCGGTATGTGACACAGAACGGAAGACCGGTGGTCGGAGGAATCTACCATGGCGATGCTGTGTACTCGCCAGCGCATCAAGAGCCAAGGATAACATTTCCGGAATATGAGGAGATACAGTACTTGCGTTCCTCCTCTTTCGAGACTAGTCAGCCTGTACGGGTTCACAACGGCAACTACGCAGGGCACGAGGAAACGTTCATGGTTAATGAACAACGTCACCCTGCGTCACAAGGGTAAAATCATGGCAAGGATGGACTTCATGGACACGCATAAGAATTACTGACTCCAGAAGGATCTGGAGATGCATACAGGCCGACTTTGGTCTGCCCGGAAAGGACTCTACTCCAAGGATTATCTGAGGAAAGTAAAGGGCTGCCAGTGTGATATTTTGATTGCAGTTTTTCACTTTTCTTGCTTAGGAATTAGCGTAGGATGATACCCCATTTTGCGATGGCTGAAATGACATGAGATTACTATATGAAGCTTCTAATTGACTATTTCCTACGCAATGCACACAAGGGTTAAGAATAACGTTGACAACATGAAGGGGTCGATGCTGATGTACCCAAGAGACAATCGACGCGAAATTCGGTTCACAATGATGCTTGCTTGATGATGCAGAAAAAGAACCCTGCCCAGGTGAATTGAGTTGAATTTCGGATCATGTGTTGTGCGATGAGGCGCGACGCGCGATGCGTTGACGCTACACGGCTGGGATGCGTGGCTGCCCAATGTGAGGCGCCGGCGGCCGCCGCCTGACGCTATCTTATGCTAGGTAAGGTATGCAATGCAGCACCTGATGCCATGCACGTAGCATTGGCATCGATATCGCGTGGGAGTTCACTTCTACATACTGACTTTTGCTGGCCTGATCCAACAAATTTGGGGGTGGGAAATCGGCATCGCATACTACCAGGTAGGTAGTAGGTAACTAAGTAGATCCATGTCAGAAATAATGTTCGCTTTTTACATGCCCATGGCCATCCATGCCGGGCAACGATCTCGATCTCGACCTCGCTTGCTTCATGATGTGTTGTGTTGTCTTGGATTATGGATTTTCCAAGTCTTGAAGTTTTGTGCAAAGCAAAAATCAATCGAACGATCGGAGATTATGTACCTAGGTATGCTAGGTATGTTGGTATGGGAGAAATAGTAGCAGGGTTGTCGGTTGTACGAGACGGAGAACGGGAAATTCCTGTTGAGTTACCCTCGGGTTTTCGGACTGTTCACACTCGATCAATCATCTGTTGCACTGCCTGCACTGGGACAAGAACGGTGAGGTTCAGGAAGGTAGGGGGTATGTGGTGGTATGGAGTTTTGCATGTGTTGGGCTGGTTTGAAAGTTGAACGACAACAACAGGCAGACACGTGCAACATGCATGGAAGACAAGAGGAACAAGCAGGAAGTCGGACTCGGGGAATTTGAGGTGTTACAGAGTAGAAAGGGGCGTGTTTCCTTCAGGAAATGATATGGGATAATTTTGGCGTCTTCGTGTAGAGGGAAAGGATCAGGGAGGGAGAAAAATGAGGAAGAATCAAGGGAGTCCTTGCGAGGTTGGGACTGTCTTTCCGTAGGAGAGAGGCAGTTGCCAGCCCACAGGTGCACTCCTGCCACATATCATAGTTGTGCTTGCCTCCTCGGACGATTATTACGTTAACATGTTCCCACGAAAGGAACAGCTGACGTCGAGGCATGCGTTGACTCTCGAGTTTGTGCAGGTGCGTGGTGTGAAATGTCTGCCTCGCCTGCGCCAATACCATTTCTCCCACTCCATCTCATCCAGTGGCAGTCAAACATGTTCGCTTCAGTCGAATTCAGAGTCTTGATTGGTGTTGATCCTCGCATCAATTTCCCTTCATGTGACCCGTGACTTCAGTATTGGTCTGTTGGGTCAGTAGTTGGTCCACATCGTGAGGAAATCAAATTTTGTATCCCAAGGTAAGTAGCTACTTGATTTCCCGATTTCCAGGACAGAAAAAACCAGATCACAGCCGGCTCAAGCTTTTTCAGTGTGAACCTCGGATGGCCAGCCCAGTTGATACATCAACTGTCACATACCTAGGCTTTGCATGAGGCGGTGAGGTGATCGGGGTTCACCGCGATTCCCGTTCTTGAAAGTCAAAGTCAGTAATGTCTTGCCTTGGTTTGGGCCGAGAGTATCCAACGTCGTCATGCAGGGCTAAGCATTGTCGGTGCGAGGATCACGAGGTTGCAAAGGAAGCGAGTTAGAGAGATGTTTGTTGTGAACAAGGAAGAACCACGACTGCCAACTGTTGGTGGCTTGCAGGTCCCAGTAACTTGGGACATGTGAGGCTGTGCAGGGATGTGACTGCTGCAACTGCTGAACCCGCTGCAGGCGAGGGAAGTGAGGCTGATAACAACAGTTCAGATGCGTGTTGTTTTCTTCGCCCACCAAGGACGGAGTAAGTCTGTATGCGTACTGAACAATTAGGTTACAGTATTGAGCCAAGGTGGGATTGCGTGTGACTGGTGTGCCAAAGGCGGCTACGGCTCGGCATTCACGTTAGAGGCGCTAGAGAGCCAAGTCGAAAATAGCGTTTTAGCTTGGCCAGGGCAACATACTGAGGGGGTCCAATGCCGCTACAAGGTCAGGTGTCGGATCCAGCCTCCTAATTTTTCACGGTACGACTTGAGAGCAATGCTTAAAGTAGCAAGTGACTAAGAGGTTCCCTCCCACCTTCTCCACCGTCGCCCCATTCTACCACTCATCTTTCTCCTCTCTTCTCTTCTCGCATCTGTTTCTCGCACTCACTGCACCCTGCACACTGCCAACTGCACAGCACTCTGCACTCTGCACACCGTTGGGCTGCCACAGTCCTAAATTGATACTCACTTTGCTGACTTACCTATCGGATTCGGTCGCCGTCGGTCCCCCATCTTCCGTTTCTTAGCTCCAGCTCACTTTGTGCAAGACATCAAGCTGCTACCTTGCGACCAACCAACCGTCCGCCGACACATCCATTCCATCGTCGCAGGCAAGCGTACCAGACCCGTAATCAAGCTCGTTACTTCCGCAACCACCTCCGCCGCCCACTCCCTCGCGACTGCCACTTGTACAGCTACAACCTCACACCCAATCAACAACTCGTGCGCGCATTAGTCGTCCGACTCAAAGCAAACCTTCTCACTCCTCTTGTTGGTCCCAAACGTCCAACCGACGCAGTCTCATCTCGTCTTGCATTGGTAAATGTATGTTGCTCTTAGTTGCATTCACCCCGTCCGCCTGCCGTCATCGCTGCCCGCAACACCCATACGCATACACCGGCACCCTACCATTCTTTGTGCGCCAAACTCCACCTCTCGCCCTCTCTTGACCACCGACCACTCTCTGGAAAGCGACACGCAGCCAGTCAACTGAGACGCCTGCTCCCGTCATCTCCATTTCCTGCAGCTGTCCGTCCCGACCCTCGTCCTCGCTCCGTCCCTGTACCTCTGATCGCTCCTGTCGACCCCTCGCCGCATCGCCGCATCGCGCCTCCATCAGCCACCACCCGTGCCAAATCGCCAAATCGCCATCATTCATGCTTCCTCCTGCTGCCATTCACTGTCATTGATCCCACCGCTCTTGTACTGACCCGGTCTCTCTTAGCCTGCCGAGTCCGCCTCACCGCGACCCTCGACCGCTTCATTCAGTGCCACCTCGACCGATCAGGGACCGACCCCTTGACCAGGGTGCATCTCTTGGGCACCAATTTGCGCGGCGTCACAGCTAGACCTATCCTCTGACCAGCGACACTTGCGTCGCTATCCACTGACGCAGCCCAGTGTCAGGCACCTAGGCACTGTACGTTGCCCTACCGGCCCCGTGTGTGTGACCACGTCACTGCCAGCCAAACATTTGCCCGCCCTGCAATCCGCCCGCTGCGGCTATCCTCGAACTACATCATGTCCCCCTCCCCACCCAAAGAGCCTGATGTCGAACAAAGTGCACAATCTGGCGAAGAACAGGAACAGATGGACCGCGACGCAGAAGGCGCACCAGGCACCGGCATTGGTGAATTTGAAGTCAAAGAGCAAGACAGATGGCTTCCCATTGCCAACGGTCAGTCCCTCCCTCTCCCTCCTCCGCCCCTTACAATCTCCTGTTGCTTCACAAACACCCTTTGCGACCGCCGCCCGCGTCCAACCAACGTGCAGTTTGTTTCTGATCACCGCGGTGGAATTTGATTTGTTCAACCCTTGCGTTACAACCATGCCACCTTGCCGCGCCTCGGCGAGGTTGCCGGGTCCATGTGCGAATCCGAGTGTGCGACGCTGCACCAGGATTTAGACCAGCCCGTTCTCATTCGTTGCCGTCCGCGGCTGCTTCTTCTCCTTCGTCAGCCATGACTTGCATCGCATCTCGCTTCTTCCCTGTCTGGCCTCGTCGCTGTCCACTCAGAAGCCTGCTCTCCACCACAACCCATTCGGTCCTTGGACGTCATGTCTTCAGACACGGTGCCCAGCAGCAGCAGCAGCTCTCGTCCACGACAACACCTTGCCCGCCCGCAGCCCACGTCTACGTCCACGTCCTCGTCTTTTGCTGCCACGTCTGATGCTAACATACGTAACTTTGCTCCAGTGGCCCGCATCATGAAAACCGCTCTTCCCGAAAACGCCAAAATCGCAAAGGAAGCCAAGGAATGCATGCAGGAATGTGTGAGCGAGTTCATCTCCTTCATCACCAGCGAAGGTACGTGGCGAGGCTGGCCCGTCGAGAAGAAGAGCGCCGGCGCCTGTTGACTAACGTTGCACAGCATCCGAAAAGTGCCAGCAGGAGAAGCGCAAGACGGTGAATGGCGAAGACATCTTGTTCGCCATGACCTCGCTCGGCTTCGAAAACTATGCGGAAGCGCTCAAGATCTACCTTTCCAAGTATCGCGAAGTGAGTTTGGACTTGTCCCCCTCCCCTCCCCTTCCGTCTCCTTTGTCATCTCGACGGGGATCATTATTCTGAACCATTGAACTGATTGGGATGAGACCCAATCCACAAGGGGCGAGAACCAGAACAGACCTACCAGCAGCGGCTACGGGGGCCCCGTCGGGGGCGGCCAGAGCAATGCCGGGGGAAGTGGCGGCGCCGCCTACGGGGCTGGCCAATCCGAGACATCCAACGACTTACTGAGCGGCGACCACGATGCCACCAGTGCATACGGATACCCCGGCGCCGTGGCCACGGGACACAACGGCATCTCGAGCGACAATTACTAGTTTGGCGCCACGTGTCGGAGACGGGCAAAACCGCAGTGGCGCAGCAAACCACCAGGGTGCGCTACTTGCCCCGTCCCAGAGCACGGTCGACGACGGCATTGTTGGGGTGGACGGGAGAAGAGGAAAGAGACGACGAAGAGGCGAGTTGTAGCGCATCGAGGGGCCCCAGCGCGGAAGAAATGTCAGGTCGGCTGTCGAGTGGATCAACGCCGTTGTAAATGAATACATGGGAGACTCGGGAACAAGACTGGGACGGATGGGAATGGCGGCTGTCTTAATACTGGAGAACGCGATCTGATGCATTCTGGAAAAGCAAGGGCTCATTGGCTAAGACGGGCAAGAGTAGGGCATGGTTCGCGCTGATGAACAGGAACTAGGGAGACAACTAACGTGTTGAGGTTGCTGTTAAGAGAGCCATTCGACTAAAATTGCAGCGAGTGTGGGGAGGAGATGGAGCCAACGCCAGCACGTGACTATAGCGAGCTGGGGATTTATGAGTAGGTAGTCAAAGATATACATGCAAGGTACTAGGAGCGGACAAGTGATAGTCGGGACTGGGACATGCGAGACCTGCTTCCAGACACCGGACATGAGGCAGGGGTAGATAGCATATCTGTGGCTGACAGCTGCATCAAATGGATACGACCAGTTCCAGACTTTGACATGCATACATTATGAGAACAAGAGCCGAAGATACTGTCTGGATGTGACAGGCTGGCCATGTTCGTATAACCAAGTTGATGAGTAGCGTAGAAGATACGTCGTGCTTATGGGATATGTCGTAGTCTAAGGTATTTAAAAAACGGAGACGGTGTGTGTCTGACATCTCGACTGGGCATGATGGCGGAAATTTCCCGAATGCGCGTTGAGGCCAAAATTAAAGTATGAGGGGGCGGAATACAATGAAGCAAGTACCTGGTACTGCATTTACGATCGTACAGTTAAAGGAAATACCATACAGCAACAGTCAAGTTCCAGTGTACCGTACCTATCTGCCTACCTCGACAGAGAGGTACCTGTACCACAGTACAGTACCTGACCTGGTCCGCCGGCGCGCGGCCATTCGCGTTCAGTCCCACCAATCAAAACTCTCAGACCCCGGGGTCACATGACACTTGTGCCTCGATAGCCGGCGATAGCCTCGTCTGTGCTTGAGTGAGCTGCCGTCGCAAAGCGAAATGAGTTTCAATTGGCCTTGAATTCTCCGACGTGCCATCATATGTGGGCTTTGCTTTGGTGGCAATCAAATGAGAATGTGTCTTTCAAAGTTTCTAAGTAGATTGATTGCATTACTGCAGTGTGGACATTGCAAGGGCGTGCCGCGTATCTACAAACAAATGCTTCTCGCCTGATATACCTATCGATGCTATCATTTACATAATCGCTCCAATCCGGGTTTATTTACTGAAAAGGTCTGCTTCATGTGAGGTCATTTTTGACGCCCTTTTCATCACAAGCCTCGAGTTAATCTTTGCCTTTGTGTAAAAAAAAACTCTTGATTCGTCTCCACGAGGCCCAGTATATAGGCCTCCACGGGTCTTGCCACCATTGCCTTATAGTGTGCATGTGATCCGTTTTGTTACTATATTCCATTCTACGGCCATTCCTCTCCCTTGTCTCATTTACATCGCTCTGCCATAGAGGTGTTGTTTATTTCGAATCAAGATTAACCCGACTAGCATCGTCTCATCATCGCTATCACTATCACCATGGCCCCCCATGCAGATGTTGAACCAGTCACCGACACATCCAGTGTAGTCGTTCCGGATCCAGTCCTGGTCAAGGGGGAGGTATCTCCCAGGTTCGGCATCGACGATGTCTTCCCCCTTCGTCAAAAAAACCCACCTCTATCCACCATTGTCGCTTCCTTTTCATCCGCCCACATGTTCAAGAGCAAGAACTCGGCGAACAGACCCGCGGCAAAACGATGGGATCATCGAATTTCCACAGAGAGTAAACTTCGTCAGGCCTCTTCTCTCAAAGGAGCAATGAAGTATTTCAACAAAGACACCATTTCGCTGTGTGGTGGACTGCCATCACCTGAGTATTTCCCATTCCATCAAGTCAGCGCAAAAACCCCTGTCGCTCCTCATTTTGCCCAGGACCAAGTATCTGAGGCTGCGACTTTCTCCTCGGGAAAATACGACACCAAGACCGACGATGCCATGTATGACCTGCATATTGCTCTCAATTATGGTCAATCTATGGGACCTGGTGCCTTGATGCGTTTTGTGACCGAGCACACCGAAATTGTCCATGACCCTCCTTACTCTGACTGGGACATCTGTATGACGGCCGGGAGTACATCCGCATTGGACATCTCACTACGCATGTTTGTCGAAAAGGGTCACTATGTCATCACTGAAGAATATAGCTTCAGTTCTGCCATCGAAACTATTCTGCCCATGGGCGCCAAGCTGCTGGGCATCAAGATGGATGCCGACGGTATGCTTCCAGACCACCTCGACGACCTCCTCTCCAACTGGGATCCACAAGAACGTCAAGCTCCAAAGCCTTTTGTCGTCTACACCGTTCCCACTGGCCAGAATCCCACTGCAAGCACTCAGTCGCTCCAAAGAAGAAAGGCTCTCTACGCCATTGCCGAAAAGCACGACCTGTTCATTCTTGAAGATGAACCCTACTATTTCCTCCAAATGGATCCTTACGTCCAAGGCCATGTCCACACCACGGCCAGACCATTCAAACCCGCCCCGGTCAAAGAATTTCTCCAAAATCTGACCCCTTCATACCTTAGCCTCGACACCTCAGGTCGTGTGCTCCGACTCGATTCATTCTCCAAAATCATCGCACCAGGCTCCCGCTGTGGCTGGGTTACGGGTTCCAGCCAGGTCATCGAAAGATTTCTACGCCACAGTGAAGTGAGCGCCCAGACCCCATCAGGCTTTGCCCTCGTCACATTGTACAACCTCTTGGAAGTGAACTGGGGACACAAAGGCTTCCTCGAATGGCTCATGTACATTCGAAGTGAATACACCCGACGCAGAGACGTCATTGTCAACGCTTGCGATCGCTATCTTCCGTCCCAGGTCGCCAGCTGGACTCCTCCAAAGGCCGGTATGTTTCACTGGATCAAACTGGATGTGACCAAACACCCCCTTTACACTGAAAAGGGTTTCACCGTCGACGAGATTCTCGATATTGAACATCGTGTCTTTGAAACCCTTGCCCACCAGGGAACTCTGTGTGCTAAGGGCTCATGGTTCAGAGCTCAGAGGAAGACTGACACCGAGCTGTTCATCCGCCTGACCTTTGCCGCCGCCTCTGAAGAGCAGATGATCCAGGCTGTGGAGAAGATTGGAGGTGGTTTGAGGGTTGAATTTGGGTTGCCAGCCCAGTCAGCTATGAATGGTCATGCCAAGTGAATGGTGTTTGTCTGGTGTGAGGGGCCCAAGGCGCCGTTTGTCTTTCTTTGAATGCCCTTGAATGCAGGGTCTGAACTGCTCTGAAGCGTGGGCCCGGCATGCTACATGGTTCAGGGGTCTAGCAACTGGAAGGACATTGTTTATCTTGCCGCTTATGTGTCATTCATGCATTTTCATGCATCGATACGATAATTCTTGGTTTATAGTCATTTTGTGGGTTCGCACGGCGCTGGGGGAGCATTGCATCACGGACACTAGAAGTGGTCGGGAGACTTATCGACAAGTTAGGCCTGTTCATTGAAATGTATATAGCAACATAGCAGTAAATTCTGTACTCAGAAAATACATACCTACTAGGTAGTACCTAGGTACCTAGGTACTGTACCTTATCCACATTCACATCTTTTGAAAAATCATGCCTTGACGACATTAAACCCCTTCCACCCATCCAAGGCATCTCTCGTGACTTGATTATAGGCATCCACACCATTCAAATACAACAACTGCTCTCTCGGCTTACCGGGGATATTATCACCCATATACCAACTCCTCGCTTCAGGATAAAGAGTCAATTTATTGACCTCCTGAATATCATTCCTCCACTTCTCAGCCGCCTCAAACTTTGCATCGATATACTTGATCTTCTGCTCTCGCATCGCACGGATCGCATCGGCGATCCAATCGATCTGAATCTCGATGATCGGAGGACCATTACTCAGACTTGTCGGTGCCTGAGGTGAATAGACCATGAACAAGTTCGGCAACTTGTCGATCGTCAAACCCAGATAGGTATATGTACCGGTCTTCCACTTCTGAGCCAGCGACTTGCCGTCAATATCGGTCAAACCCAAATCAATCAGGGAACCCGTTACTGAATCGTAACCGGTAGCCAGAATGATAATGTCGAAATCATATTCCCGATCGCCGAATTTAATCCCCGATTCCGTGAATTCCTCAATGGGCGTCTTATTCAAATCCACCACCGTGACATTGTCCCGATCGATCATCTCGTAATAATCCTGCTCCAGACTCGGTCTCTTGGTTCCAAACCAATGCCTCTGTTCCAACGGAGCCATAATCTCCTTCTTCACCGGATCTCGAATCCTGGCGCGTACTTTCTCCGCCCAAAACCGATAGAATTCACGGTTCGCGTCCTTATCCGTCAGGAATTCGCGGTAGTTGGAAATAAGAAACGAAAACCCGCCTCGTTGCCATAATTCTTCGAAATACGCGAGTCGTTCTGCCGGTGAAGCTTCGAAGAAGGTCTTGGTCGCGGGATTATAAGGAAATCCTGATCGGCAGTCTTTGGCGGATTGGAGCATTGATTGGTAGAAACCTTTGGCGTGTTCTTGTTCTTCTTTGCTCAGTTTGCGCTGGTGCATTGGGAGAGCGACGTTGGGTGTGCGCACGCATGCGAATAGTTGACAGTCTTTTCGGGCGAGGGTCTGGACGATTTGGACGCCGGTGGCGCCGGAGCCGATGACGCAGACTTTTTTGCCCGTCACGTCGAGGTCGTCCGGGTAGAGTGCGCTGTGGATTAGTTGGCCTTTGTAGTGGGATAGGTTCTTGAAGTCCGGGAAGTGCTTCTTATATGAACTGCCGGTGCAGGACACGAGATATTTGCATGTTGCTTCGCTGCCGTCTTCGGTCTGCACGTGCCATTTACCTTGGTCGGTGTTGTATTGGGCGGATGTGACGATGGTGTTGAAGACGGCGTCTTTGCTGAGGTTGAGGGTCTGGTCAATGTGTTTGAAGTATTTTCGTAGTTCCTCGTGTCCGGGGAAGCGTTCTGTGAAGGTCCAATTCTTGTAGACTTCGGGGATTGAGAGCGAGTAATATGGTGTTTCGCTATCGACCCGTGCGCCGGGATATCGGTTCCAGTACCAGGTTCCTCCAAAGTCGGCGCCGGCTTCGAACAGCTTGACGGAGAGACCTAGCTTGCGTAGCTGATGGAGTCCGTACATTCCGCCAAACCCTCCTCCGATGATCAAGATATCAACGTCGACATTTCGAGATTGACTCTCACCGTTCACTTGTTTGTGAGTTCCGTTGATGCCGTTGGCCGTCGAGTGGTTCGACGTGTTAAAGTCTTGTGTTCTGTTAGGCAAGGCCGCCATTTTGGCCAAGATGACGCCTGGATGGTGAACAAGACAAATTCTACTCAAGAAATTTGATCAAACCTTGTGTCTGAGTTCCATATGAATCGAGAACAACATGGCATCCAGGGGTGTGCTTTTACTTTGTACCCATGCCCATCTTCCGCTGGCCGTCACAGCCGGAGACGGCAATGCAATTAGCCTAGGCAGCTTGCGTGATTCATCACTTTTCTCACTTGTCAACACAGTGAAAGGTTCGGTCACGTAGCCAAATTATACGAGTCAGGGTCGCCAGCGGGGTTAGATACCTCGGGTCAAGTCCCCTCGTTCCTCTCCGCTCGTGCGGTCCATTGGGTCTAGCCGAAAGAACCATGACAGCAGCTTTGTGGGAGCCGAGGCGTTGCATACCTTTACAAGGTTTTATCTTACCTAACATTGGGATAAAATTTGGACCCTAGGTTAGGATGGGTTGGGATAGGATCAAGTTGGGACAGATGCGTTGCTGGTTAGAGAGACAAAGCTGGGGCGCACACGCCCTCTCTTTTATGTAAGCACAACAAGCTGCGAGGCTGAGAACGCATAGCACCGATATGACAACTGCAGTACTAGGCGCTAAGTACTCTGTAGGTACTTATCAGGTACCCCATATCCATCAAATCACCACCAACCGGTCTTGGATTAGCTGCAAAAGGCCTGAGGGGGCAACCCTAAAGGCCAGATGCCCTGGGCCCTTGGGTTTCCACAGGTCGCCCAATAGTAACGGCCGCTCCACCCATCGGATTGCTGTCTTCGATTCTCGAAAGAAATAGAGCCAAGGTTTAAAAGAAAAGCTCATAGAAATTGAAAAAAGTTAATCTCACGGGATCGTAGATAATGATGTTTCATTTCGGACCATCGACCATTGGCACGATAATTGATTGTCTGTGTTGTACTTATTAGTCGTCTCTACTCACTCCTATATTCGCCTACAGTGATTGTCGATTTAGCGTATCAAAGGCGCCCGTCCAATTTATCACTCAGGTTGGGAAAATCCATGCGAGGCTAGGGCTGATCTGATAGGCGTGTTCTGGACAGGTTTGGGGGTATTTCGTCCACGCTTCGCCCTGTGCTCACTGTACATCCAATCCAATACATGAATCCCAATGTCAATCCGATAAGCGAGTCGCGTGGCCATTTATGTACTTGCTGAAGATACAGGCTGGCTGGCTGGCCACTATTGGCAACAGGCAACTCTTCGCACTTGGCCCCTGCTGTTGCGCTGGACAGCACAGGACTCCCTAAGTCCGCCAAAGTTCCATCTTCCTTGGCGAGTCTGATGTGGCTGAGCCTATCATGAAGCCAGCTGGTGCCGGGGGACGACTAAACCCTGACATGGCTGCTCCAGAACTGTCTGGCCGCTGCCGATCCAATTGTCATGGCCAAACGTAATCGCTCCATCACCATCTCGTGGTGTGGTGCCACGACGGTCTCAGGGAAAAGAATGACCATGTAAAACGGCTGAGGATAGCTATGTTATATTATGTGGGCATGCTGAGATGATTAGAGGCTCGGCTTCAACATAATCAAATATGATGCGATGAGCATATCAATTTACAAGGTCGACAAGGAATCTCGCATCGATGCCCTGATGGTACGAGCCAGTTGCTCGACGTACAATTTGATAAGGGGAGCCGCCAGCCTCCGCAGAAACCGCTGCTGGATGACGCCTAATCAGCAACGAGGCCCTTAGAGAGTTATGGCATAGTAAGCACTGTCCGGGGTAGCTTTTGGTGTAGCTCCGTACAGCCAAACAAAGCAAGTTCAGCCTCAAGAGCCGACTCGTCGGACTGCTAGTGTGTTGTGTCGCCGCTCTCCGATATGCGACTTGGTACGCAGGGTCAGAAGAAGCAATTCAACCATTGACCTTGCCGAACACTATCAGTGGAGTGGGGATGCCAAAAGCCTTCTATCCCATCCCCCAGAGCTATCGTCTTAAATCTGGTCGTATTAGGGCAAGCGGAAGCCGCCTTTCGTCTTGGCTGTGACCCGTTGTGTCCAATCGTATCCAGTATGATCCTCCACCACACTGATGGCCCTTATCATACTGCTTGAATTGTCTTTGGATCACCATCTACGGAGTATGATCGTGATCTAGCCAGGCGTGTCGCTTTCGTACCATGAGATCACTTATTAAGGACCCTGAGTTCCCTCATCTGTCGAGCTGGAATATCCTCCTCGTCGACTCAGCTCAGTCTATTGACACAGTCAGTCTACTCGACTTCGACTTGCTCTGAATCCCAACCTGCCGCCGCCATGGGTTTCAATTTCAACGAGAAAATTCACAATGCCAATGTGGCAATCGCCAAATCCTTCGTCGGACGGCGATTCCATTTGGAAGGGTCGGGCCACCGTCGCGAACGAAAGGGATCATTCTTCTTTACAGAAATCCGTGCTGGTCTAGCCACCTTTTTCGCAATGGCATATATTATTTCGGTCAACGCCACCATCGTCTCTGATTCTGGTGGAACTTGCGTCTGTCCGCCTGACAGCCCCGATCTCTGCCTTTCCGACTCCGATTACATGCTCTGCGTCGCCGAAGTCAAGCGCGATTTGGTTACCGCTACCGCCGCAATTGCTGCTCTCACCACTTTCTGCATGGGTCTCTTCGCAAATATGCCTATTGCTCTGGCTCCGGGTATGGGTCTTAACGCTTACTTCGCATACACTGTCGTCGGCTTCCACGGATCAGGCTTGGTGCCCTATCAAGTTGCAGTCACCGCCGTTTTCGTCGAAGGTTGGGTCTTCGTTGCTCTCACAATCTTTGGTTTGCGACAATGGTTGGCTCGTGCTATTCCCAAGTCCATCAAACTCGCTACCGGTGTGGGTATTGGCCTGTATCTGACCTTGATCGGTTTGACTTATAGCGCTGGTATTGGTGCCGTCACCGGAGCCACTGCTGTTCCCCTCGAGCTGGCTGGCTGCAAACCTGAATTCAGAGACGAATCGGGTATCTGCCCCCCTGGCGAACGAATGCGCAACCCTACCATGTGGCTTGGTATCTTCTGCGGTGGTTTCATCACCGTCTTCTTGATGATGTTCCGTGTCAAGGGTGCCATCATCTTTGGTATCTTGCTCGTTAGTATCATCTCCTGGCCCCGTGGAACTCCGGTTTCCTACTTCACATATACTCCCCTTGGAGACGACAATTTCGACTTTTTCAAGCAAGTCGTCACATTCCATCCCATCGGACGGGTTTTGGCCGTTCAGGAGTGGAATGTTTCCGAGTATGGTGGTCAATTTGGCCTTGCCTTTATCACCTTCCTCTACGTCGATATCTTGGGTGAGTCATCATTCAGTTTTCTTCCCGCCCGTTCCTCCATATACTAATTTCATGCCATAGATTGCACGGGTACACTATACTCCATGGCTCGATTTGCTGGCGCCATCGATGAAAGGACTCAAGATTTCGAAGGTTCTGCTGTGGCCTACATGGTTGATGCAATTGGTGTCTCCATCGGTTCACTTTTCGGCACGCCTCCAGTCACCGCATTCATCGAATCTGGTGCTGGTATTTCCGAAGGTGGCAAGACCGGAATCACTGCCATGGTCAGCGGCCTCTGCTTTTTCATCGCCATCTTCTTCGCTCCTATCTTCGCCTCAATTCCTCCCTATGCCACTGGTACCACCTTGATCATTGTTGGATCTCTGATGTAAGTTCTGCCAACCACTCACTCTCCTTCAGACCTTCTCAGGCTAATAATTATTCCAACAGGGCCAAATCTGCGGCAGACATTAACTGGCGTTACATGGGAGATGCCATCCCGGCCTTCCTTACCATTACCATCATGCCCTTCACATACTCGATCGCCTACGGCCTGATTGCCGGCATCGTCTCTTACATTGTCATCAACACCGGAATCTGGCTAATTGAACTTGCTACCGGCGGCCGACTCAAACCTGCCGACAAGGAAGAAAAGGACTTCTGGACTTACAAGATCGAAGGTGGTATCTTGCCTGGATGGCTCACCAGAGCTGCCAAGGGCAAGAAGGACTTCTGGAGACCCTACGAAGATGTCGAGCACAACACCGGCCCCATTGGAACCCACCTTGATGGACAAGAAGCTAAGAACGATTTTGACAAGGGCCCAGAGACCCCAGCTACTGTCATCAAGGACCGAGAGGATTCGTCTTCCGACGGAGAGAAGGCCAAGCCAAACTAGGATGCTATCAATGGTAATACTGTGTCAAACGAACATCCGGTCGGATTTTGGCAAAATAGCTCTAATTGACAAGAGAAAGATAAAGATAGCCTTGCCAGTGCGTGATAGAGCATGATCAATCATTGCATAAAGCAAGGTTGGATTTCAAACATTCATTCCATAGTCTCAAGTCATTAACTCAATCTATCTTCATACTTCGTACATTTCAGTGGCCTTGCGACCTAACTCTAATGGTTATTACTAGGGATGTTATATCGACATAATTAGCATAAAAGTCCTGGAGACTTTTCCGCATATGTCGGTTCATCTCCCACACTTCGCATGGCTTTTTGGCCAATCAGCCCGGGCAGTAAATGGTACTTGCGCATAGAAGCCAATACCATTTCCACCTGTTGAGAAGTCCCCACCCATCGGCAAAGATGCTAGGCCAGTGATTCCACATCCTTGTTGGTGCGATTTGCGATAGATCTCCGATCCATACGAACCCGCCTGCATCAAAGCTTTGTTTGATCATAGATCATATCTTGACGTTATCTTTCGCCAACAAGGCTTCATTTTCGAATGCTGATCGTGGTCTGACATCTTTACCCCGCCGATCTTCCACCGGCACATGATACAAGCCACGATTTTTGTCTGCCATCACCTAATAAACGGATATCACAGTCAATGCTTGTCCAATGCCGCTAAAAGGTGTGAATCACGTCCTTTGAATTCATCGACATCATATCTCCATGGCGACCGTCGTCCTGAAGCCCTGGGTCCTGTCCAGAAGGGTCGACGGGAATGATATTTGAAAACAGCCTCGTCATAGGCGTCTGGTATTGGTCGATTTCAAAGTCTTGAATGTGATCCCAAAAATTCACCTGCGGCCATTGAAGATCACCAGGGCTGCCGACACTGCTGAAGCTCGGAGTTGGTAGGTCATTGACACCAATATTCACTGCTTGATTTGGTGATTCCTGACTATCGCGAGTGGAGCTCGTCATTCTGCGGCGTTTGCGAAACTTCGGGTCTAAAGCTGAAAAGTGTTTGATCATCATTCGATCGTCAGAGGCGGATGACTGGGATTTCTCTGTGATGTCGTCTGCCAATACATCGATCAACCCTGTGAAATGTCAGTCAGTCAGTCATGACAAGCTGCGAATGTTCGGGTCAAGTTCCATACGAAGTGATGCAGATCCAAGTTTCCAGTAACTTGCAAAATGTTTGATGAGTAACCTGGATAGGTCCGTGCAACGAGTCTTAGCTGGATGATTATCTTCCAGAACAACGTCTCTTGTGTTGATCAGCGCACAACACATCTATAGGGAGAATTGTGAGTATGGTATACTGTATGGAGGAGCCACAGGATCGAGGTACTTACAGTTGGATGAATAAGAGGAATATACTCCTGAGGCCAAATTTGGGCTAAAGTGACAAGCATAGAGTGGAAGCGCTTCCCGAAAGCGGTGGGATCACTGGCAAAAGAAGATAGACTATTTCTGTGGGTCTTGTGGCATGCCACTTGCTGAAGAAGAGTCTCGCAGCTGTCTCTTGTCAGTGAAAAGAAAATATCAGACAAGAAAGTTATGGGATACATACGCCATAATCATTAGATGCGTCGACAAGATCCAATGACATTCTGCGAAATTGCTGTCGTCAAAATGTAACTGTTTCAATTGAAAACTCGCCGGCATTGCCATTTTGAAACAACCAAGTGCACTTTCCAGCTCTGCCACTTGCTCTGGCGATGTATTTGAGGGCCGACGTGCCGCGTCGGCAACAGAAGAAGACAATTGGTTGCTCATTAGGAACCAAGCCCGGGCTGGTTGAGTGGTTGAATGCTGGAGGCTCTTCCAGATTTGAGAAGGATGAAGGAGTAGCACTGATGATTTTGTTGGTACGCCCTTGAACCAGAGCTCATCAGAAACTGGGAGCAGGACTCTCATAGACTGTCGATCGAGTCCGAACGGATGACTTGAGACGGTGCATAGGAACGTGTCGAGGTCGGAAATAGCCCACCATACCCTTCGCAGCTCCTCTTTGCAGACCCAGGCTTCTGACTCATCGAAATCATCATTTTCGACAGTTCCATCTTCGCAAATTTGTTCGTCATCAAGGTCGTTCAGCGCTAAGTTATACGCGAAGCGAACACAGACGCTTAACAAGACGGCCCCGGATGCCATTTGTCCTGCAGTGAGGCAATGAGAAGCGAGGATCACACAGGCTTTAAGCAGCTCGGTAGAGGCTTCTTCGACTTTCCTAATGATGGGATCTTTGAGGATAGCAGCACGCTCGGCAAAGGCAATACCGCGCGTGACAGGATCTATACCGTCAAAGCATGGTGCCTTAGAGAACCTAGCAGACAAAGAGAACATGGATAAGATCATAATAATGTGGTCGGTTGGAAGGCTCTGGGGCTCCACCAGACGGTCTTGTTGATTATGGCGGCGAATGTATCGATTGAAAAACGATGGACGATGCATTATTGGTAGCCAGGGCTGAATTTTGTCGAAGAAAATGTGGATTCTAATAGAGTCAGGGGCTGAACGTGGTGTGATGTGGAAAGGTGATCTTACAGGTCAAGAGCGGCTGTATCTGGAATACCCCAACTCTGGTGCTGATCTTCAGTCTGATGGAGATTTTCTGGATGCAAATGTCTGCCAGGATGTGATGCTGGTCGAGCTTGCTCAGCAGGAGTGATGTTGTTAGATGTCACCCGGGCGGGCCTATTGTGGACAACGATCTGGTCTTGCATAACGACATCCGTGTCCTGATTCGAGGAGTGTCGTGCGCTGAGACTGTCGCTCAATGTGTCCGCTGTATGTTTGTCAGCATGGAACTCTCCACGTCTCGACCTTGGACAGGGACATGACTGACTTGTTATTGAGACATGGGAACCCTCATCATTGACAAAGGCATCGAGCAGGTCGAAATTCCGCGATGCGGCTGTAAATCAGCGCGAGTTCTTGGTCCGCTGAAGACAGGACTTACTATGACTGATTGATGTACGGCGTGTGGTACTTGAATCCTTGTGCTTGGTAATGTTCTTTTTGGTGCCGGGTCTATTGGTGGAGTGATTCAGTCGGACTCGAAACGTGCATCGCGCCCCGATTCTCTGGCAAAGACCACAGACCGGGCGTTTCATATCACCTGAAGGCGCAAATTAACATAAGATGATCTTATCGAAGCAGAAATCCGTTAACCTCACACTTTGTTTTCTTCCGGTGACATGACTCGCAGGCCCGGTTAATTGTTGGTGAATGCACCGAGTCTGCCTCATAAGGACGAGGGTCTTGCCCCATTTATGATTTTGGCCGCTACCGGGCGGGTGACTGGGGTAGTATATCTAGTTAATTGAACGATGAGTGAGAACTGATGATGTTCACCGGAGTGTAGTGAGGACCAAGTGCTTTTTCCCGATTAAAAGGAAAGCTACAGACTAAGCCCCGTGGCCCCCGTCTTCCAGACTTCCAGGCCGGGTGCTTTGCGGGGGTGGAGCACTCGTCTTGGATAACCCAATCAACAGTCAATGCTATTACCGAACCTGGTCTAGGCCAAAGAGTTGGGGCTGGAAGCCATGTCATCGTTATTGAAAGAGTCGTGGCGATAACATTGAAGCCGTGAAGCAGTGATGGTGTTGAGGTTTGTCAAAAATCCCTCGTTATGTCATGCCTTTTCCCACAAACCCTTCTCATTCAAGTATATATGCGTATAGCTATTATAGGTAGTCTCATTCGCTTGGCTATGCTAATTGGAGCTCTCTCTTCCAGTTTCCTCGACTACGTGGTCAACATGACCAACTTGTCTTTGACATAGCAAGCGTTCTCTTCTGCGGGCGGTGTGTATTAAATAGTGTACACAGGTCTCGACTGCTTCAGGTTCCTTTGTACGGGGCTTCAAGAGGTCCCATGGGTTCTCCAGCCGCAGAAGTATCTATAAATTGGTCATTGCCGACATTGCCGTGATCCCGTGGCGAGAATCCCAATTGAGAACCCCGCGATCTACACCCATTCGCAAAGGCATGGGCCTTTACGGCCGAGAATGTTGACAACATCTCTGCAGCAGCGCATGGTCTTACTGTTTTTCATGTTTACCAACATGTTAGTAGTAATTATGGTGATCTGATCAGCGTGGCGTTGCTATTCCCTCAGTTTTGTTGTCTACGGCCATCTCTCTATATAGGTATTATTTCTTTGGAATAGAGCGATATCTGGGTTCCATTTAATGGCTGGCTTAGTGGGCTGGCCCCCCTGAGAGATATTCATCTAATTGGCATCACTATGCACTCATTGAATATTGAATCCTTTAGTAACTCAAGAAATCCCGCTCCATCTACCACATTATTTGTGGGCTAGAGTCCATGCTGTCGAACATTCTCTGGTGAATAGAGTCCGTTCAGTTCTCTCTCTAGTTCGAGCAACAGAGTATAGATACCATGTATCGAAGAAGTTCAGGCAGAGCCAAACCCAGGACCCGCGTTAGGATCGAAGATGGCAATGACTTTTCCTACCAGAAATTCCTCAACACCGAATCTGCTGTTGTTTTTCCCCCAACCGCTGCCTTTAACCCCTCCCAGTGGTACAGGGGACTCCTCCCAAAGGGTCATACCATTAATTGTGATCAACCCAGCCTCTATTTCCTGTGCAACACGAAGTCCCTCCAACGTATCGTTCGTGTGTACTGCTGCGGTGAGACCGTATGAAGTGTCGTTAGCGACCTTGATTGCTTCATCTTTGTCTGCGACAATATGAATAGAAGCCGAGGGTCCAAAGGTCTCAAAGTTGTAGACCGGGTTGTTAGAGTCCACGTTGGTGATGAAAGTTGGCTCTAAGGATGAACCAGTATCTCCGTTCTCCTGATTGCTTCCTATTACCAATGTTGCACCTGCATTCTGGGCATCAGCAATCGCCTTTTTAGCCTTTTGAGCCATGGCTTTAGTAACTGCGAAGCCGGCATTGCCTTTCAGGGTGCCGACCACCTCCTTGAGAATCTTAATGAAGTCGTCCGCGACCTCCTTTTCGACAATGATCTTGTCCGTTGACATGCAGACCTGGCCGTGGTGCATAATCGCGCCCTGGACGCTAAATGTTGCAGCCCTCTGGAGGTCAGCGTCTTTAAGGACGATCATAGGGTTTTTGCCGCCAAGTTCCATCAATACTGGCTTGAGGTATTTCATCGCGACCTGGCCGATGATTTTACCAACTGTCGCGCTCCCAATAAACTCAATCTTTCGGACAGCCGGACTGGCGATGATTGTTTCGGTGACTTCCGCAGCGTCCTCACGTCGAACTTGTAATTGGCTGAGTGCAGCCTGCGGCACTCCCGCGTCAAGAAATGCCTGAACGACGCCTGAGTGTGTCCTAGGAGAGAGCTCAGAAGCCTTGAAGACTATCGTGCAGCCCGCAGCGAGCGGTGCAGCAAGTGTCCTTGAGGAGAGAATGATGCTCCCATTCCATGGTGCTATGCTTAGGACCACTCCAATAGCTTGTTTGAAGACGAGGGAAAAGGAACCCTTGGTCTCAGGAGGAGGGACAAGCCCTGTACAGGCAACGCTAATACTGGCTGCTATTTCTCGAATACCTTTAGCAGCAAGGATGACGTTGAACTTTGCCCACTGCTCCGGGCAGGAAGTTTCGTCGATTTGATAACGGGCAAGTTCTTCCACTCGACTTTCCAGGATGTCTGCGGCCTTCATCAAGATGGCGCGCCTGTCCTGATAAGGAGTCTGGCTCCAGGCCTTCAATGCCCCTGCCGCTGAATCGACAGCGGCCTTCGCGAGCTGGGGTGTAGCAGACTGTGCATAGTGCACAACCTTTTGTTGCGCTGATGAGGTGACCTCGATTAGGCGGGTAGGGTCAAATGCGGTGGCTTCGCCGCCAACCAGGCAGGGGATGACATCGAGTCCTTCGTGTTGGTGCAGTTTTGGCGCCATATTTGAAAAGATGGTCTTCTGAATGACAGATTTGACACGCAGGGACCCAGAGTATTTCAAGGGGTGATAGTTGTATATCCTGTCTGTGGATAGGCGGCAATCACGGATATATGTTGATGAGGCCTCCCAGTATACTTGGGCGGACAACTGAAATGTCCGCCAAAACCGAGTCAAACCGAATAATCATTACATGATACTTACCCTACCACTCCGTGTTGAAGAAAGTAAATGCTCTTGTGCATATTCTGTCCTCGTTGCATGTTAAGGCCTCCAGAGCGATATCCAAACGACATTCGGTGAAGAGTGTGGCGACATATATCGACGGAGTTATCAACTTCTTGGCGCCAGCCGACCACACCACAAAGAATTCCCACAGACGGGTGGTAAGGAGAAAAAGTAGACGAAAATGGGCCTCATAACGCGAGCAATTGTCATGCGAGAAGCGGGCAAGCCACCTGAGATCGAAGCAATTGAACTGGAGCAACCCCGACCTGACGAAGCAATTGTCGAACTTCAAGCAGTTGGGATTTGCCATGCTGACCTTGCTGTGATCCATGGAAAGATCCCAGTACCCTTCCCCGTCGTGTTGGGTCATGAAGGTATGTCTTGATTCTCTCGGTTTTCCTTTTGGGACAGGCTTTGACAAATAGCAATAGGGGCGGGTATCGTGCGCGAAGTCGGAGCCGAAATTACACATGTAAAACCTGGTGACAAAGTTATCCTTACTGTCAACACCTGCGGAGAATGCTTCTATTGCAATAGCAGACTCCCGACCTATTGCGAAGATACTTTCGCACGCACGTGGAGCGGGCGCAGACCAGACCAGACCACAACCTTGAAAGATGGCAGCGGGAAACCAATTCAGGGCAATTTCTTTGGACAGAGCTCGTTTTCAAGACTTGCCCTCGTAAACAAGAGCACGCTCATTAAAGTGCCGCAACAGACAGACCTCAAACTATTTGCACCCCTCGGTTGCGGCGTTCAGACTGGCTCAGGCGTCATATTCAACACTCTCAATCTCCAACCGGGCGACTCTATTGCAATCTCTGGTTGCGGTGCAGTAGGACTGAGTGGAGTCATGGCGGCGAAAGAGCGTGGTGCCAGTATTATCATAGCAGTCGACCTTAACAACGAACGCTTGGCCATAGCAAAGAAGCTGGGAGCGACTCACGCGGTGAACAGCAGGGATGGCGACACGGTGAAGCAGATTAATGAGATCTGCCCACTGCCTGCAGGGGTAAAGTACACATTTGACACGAGTGCAGTTCCCAAAGTTATAGAGTCGATGATCGCTATCACTGGACGAAAAGGTAAGATAGTGGTTGTGGGCGCGACACCTTTCGATCAGAAAATTAGCATTCAGCCGTTAGAGTTCCTCAATATGGGCAAACATTTCATAGGAAGTGTTCTGGGAGACAGTTATCCTCCTGAGGTGAGTCTGGCCACGTCTATTCATCCGAGTGCTACCGCCACTGACATACTATGCTAGGCGATTCCTCATCTCATCGAGCTTCATTCAAAGGGGTCGTTCCCATTGGATCAAATCGTCAAGTACTACAAGTTTGAGAATTTTCAACAGGCATTTGATGACATGCTCGGTGGACCAGCCATTAAGCCAGTCCTTGTTTTTGATGACGGGGATGGTTTGAATTAGCTAGAAGGCTCTCGATGTCAAATACAACGCAGAGGCGAAGAAGAGATCACATTTCTCATCAAAGGTGTCAAAGGTGGAACCTATTGTATTAAGATATCAAGTTATTACCAGTCCAGATTGGCTGTACGAGGAGTAAGGCGTACTGACGTTAAATCTATGTTTGATCAAAAGTCATGAGAAGCAGCTTCGTAACTTCCGAGAATCAGTAATAGTCAGTTGAGACTAGCTTGATCTAAATCTATATATCTGCTATGGCTTGCATATCAAACCTGAATTGACAGCGCTGCTTTTTGACTTGTTTTCACACGATCCTTAGGTTACAAGATATGGTTCATATGTCCTGTGGTATTTCCTTGACTCATGCTGACGAGGAAAAGCGTGGAAACAGCTTCAATGCATTGCCCCAATTTATTGCCTGATGCAATTCCGGATCCAAGTTCTCCTTGTCAAAGTCCTCTATAAAGCTTCTGATGCCCTTGGGAGGCCCATATGGATAATCACTGCCATACATGATGTGGTCAGGCTTAGTGAATTGGAGAAGGAGCTCCACGTTCATTCTTGTCGAGGATAGGGCCAGGTCAAAGTAGAAAGATCCAATGTCCTCGAGAATCTCTTCCGGTGACTTTGGCGAGAGACCTAGTTGGCCGATTAAAGCGACACGTTTGGCGATATAGGGCAGAGTTCCACCAGCGTGCGAAAGAATGATCTTGGTATTCTTGAGAGAACGGACCCGGTTTGAAACCACCAAGTCTACTGCTGTCCTGGTTGTTTCGTGAGGATAGTCGGTGATAGGTTGTGGTAAATTGGGCGCGACAAGATGAGTGTCTACAGGATGGGTTGGATGGATCAGGACCACAGCTGCACGGTCATCTAAAGCTTTCCAGATGGGGATGAACGCTTCGTGTCCCAGATACATGTTAGTCTTGCTGTATCGTGTCATCAAGATGACACCGTCGGCTTTCAATTCGTCGTATGCATACTCGATCTCAGCAACCGCAGCATCCACGTTGATTAGATCGGGGAGAGAGGCAAAGAATCCATATTTGGCAGGGTTCTTGTCCCTCAAGGCAGCCAAGTATTCGTTTGTTTGACGTGCCAGTTGAATGGAGCCGGCTGGTCCAGCTATTGGAGCTCCTGGTGAGGTCAAAGAGAATATCGTAACAGCAATGTTCAAAGTGCTAGAAAACTCATCGTCCGCCTCGATGGTCCATTTGGGAGTATGGGAACCGGACGGATCGCCACCAGCATCTTGCAGCGCCTGTGAAAGTCAGGAACCTCGAGGCCTGATAAGGAAGTGCTCAAAATGTTCTTACCTTCAAGTAGAATTCTGGTACAAAATGATGGTGAACATCAATACGTTTTCGTGCGCCTGGTGCCATCTTCCTTGTGGCTACTGATTTTCAGCGAGATTGCTTTTGGAAGTCGTGTTATGAAATCCGCAGTGATGGATTCAAACAAAATTGGCTCTCTTAATGCATCAGCAGATGTACATGACATGGACCCAGATCATTCTAACATTCTATTTGCTTTCGTGGAGTATAGGTTAACCCCGCGTTAGGCAACGGCGATCTCTGTGGATGACCTAGCATTTCTCCGGAATGACCGAAATCTCCAGCGTGTCCACACAGTCACCTTGACTATAGTAACTGCCCAATCGATGTTATACAAACCTGAACGGTAAACTGTTTGACGTAGAAGAACACGTAGTTTCACGAATGATAGGGGAACACATAGTTGAAGCAGTAAGAAGACGAGCCCACGCCCTATGATCTTACCAAGAGAGGTGCTATCGATAACCCCAATATAGACAGAAGTTGATATCTCCTGCGCGAGTAGAGATCAAGAAGCTATGGGTACAGGGCTCGAAATAGATGCTCTTTTTGGAGGGCTATACTCATCTCTAGGCTGGGGGGTGGCAAATGCTCTATAATGCCAAGACCGGCAAAACTGAGAATGGGGAACGGAAATCACGGAGATTTTGGACAGGCGACGACAGTAGCCAAGTGCTGATGTAAAGTTCCTTCTATCGAAATGTATTCAATTCGGAGAATCTAGAGGCTTTGTAGTCGTTCGGATTTCAATGCCCTACTGTTCTCGTAGCCGCTCGGTGCAGCACCTGGTGAATGCAGTCAAGCATATCGGCCCATTGGCAAGCAGACTTTCAGATTATGAACCACTCATTCTATCCCCCGCTTACTGAATACATGGAGAGAAAAGAGATGCTGACATGTTCGTTGTCGTTGTGAGGCGTGGACGCGTTGATTCCTGGTCAGGGGAGAAAGCCTCGTCCCACTCCTTTTAAGAGGACACGACGACGTGGCGTGCAGTGGCAGCTTGCGCCGACGGATATGCTAGGGCGGAGTATTTATGCAGAAGACATACCAATTTTGTTTACCGAGTTTCAAAATTTTGTGCTGTTTGCACCATTTGCGATGTTTGCGATCTTGTGGCCTGAGCAGCGGAACCTGGTCTTCCGGACCTTCACCGCCTGCAAGGGACTGTCCAGTGGCACAACTCTGGCACGCCACTGGTCAGCCCACCTCTTGGAGATTTGCATCTGAGATTTCTCGGATCTTGTTGAGCCCCAGCAGGACATCAGGCCGTCTTGCTCAGGGCCCCTTTCTCCCCGAGTGATGCCACCCACGTCTGCGTCCAATAAAACCTCTGCCGTCGAATTGGCTTCAATCTACCATTGTTCCTAGATCCAGGATACCTCACATTCATAACAAAAAGTTGACATCCTAGATTCAACTTTCATTCTGCCTGCAATCGTTTTCACTTCTCGACTTTCTACCCTATATTGTTTTGGTACCCCACTACGTACTTCCGCCACTCCCTCTACAATCTCCCTCGACCCTTGAGGCACGACACGAGTGAAACACCGCCTTCAAGATGCTGTATGAGATTCTCCGTCCGTCGTCGCCCGATCTTCAGGCTAACATGTCTGCTGCAGGAACTCGACAGTTGCCTCGCCGGTGACCTACACAGACTACTTTAACGACATTTCTCAATATAACGTCCACCTCAACGTCTTCGAACGGGCCTGGATGGCATGGTACGCTTACATGCAGAACGATGTTCTCGCCACCGGCATCATGTCTTTCACCCTACACGAACTTATTTATTTTGGCCGCGCCTTGCCGTTTATTATCATGGACAAGATCCCTTACTTCCGAAGATATAAGATTCAAGCTGTAAGTCACCACACATTGGCACCGGATGTGGAGGACCCGAGACTGACTCCCGCTTGCTGCAGCAAAAAATGCCTACATTGTCAGAACAATGGGCCTGCGCTCGACTTGTCCTCCTCTCCCACTTCACTGTCGAGCTTCCCCAGATCTGGCTGTTCCACCCCATGGCCCAATACACTGGCCTGTCAACCACGGTTCCTTTCCCTTCTTGGGTCACTATGGCATGGCAGATTTCCTTGTTCTTTGTCCTGGAAGATGCTTGGCACTACTGGTTACATCGCGCCCTACATACCCCTCGCCTCTACAAGATGATTCACAAGCTGCATCACCAGTACAGCGCCCCCTTTGGCCTCGCTGCCGAATATGCATCGCCTCTGGAAACCATGATTCTTGCATTCGGAAGCGTCGGCATTCCCATTGTGTTCTGTGCCATTACCAAGAATCTGCACATTGTCACCATGTATATCTGGATCGTTCTCCGTCTGTTTCAAGCCATCGATGCACACTCCGGCTATGAGTTCCCGTGGAGTCTGCACCACTTCCTTCCCTTCTGGGCTGGAGCCGACCACCACGATGTCCACCATGAAAAGTTCTTGGGAAATTATGCCAGCTCATTCAGATGGTGGGATGCTGCCTTGGACACCGATATTGGAAGCTCTTGCGGCAACGCCAAGAAACGCGCTGCCAACGCAAAGCTCGAAAAATCGCAGTGATGAACAAACAGAAGCATTAGTATTCTGCGGACGGAGCCCTCGACCGCCTCTGTCGTACATAAATGGTCGAAGCATTGGACAATGTTGCATGGAGCGTTACATGGCGTTGGATGGTCGGACATGATAGATTGGACAGGGGAGTTTGGTGGCTGGGCTGTCGTTCACTCGAAGCTTGTACACTGGATTTGTCGTCAAGATACTGTTACATACTGTAATCATACAATTATTACCCTTCCGTCTTTGACGTGCTGCGCTTTTGGCAGCCTTAAGTCCCTACTGTATGCAGGTCTTTCAAGGTGATTTAGAGGAGCCTACGCCATCGGCTTTGACCGAGGTGTCTGGCGTTGTGGGCATGTCTTTGGTGCCACAAGCACAGCTATCGAGCGCTTCAACAATGGCAGCCATGTTCAGAGCCAGTAATCTATTTTGCTCTTGGAGAATGTCATCTTTCACCGTGTCCTGTTCTTTTGGGAGACCTTCAAGCTTCAGAGGGACCAGAGACCTATCAATCCTGGCGGCCAACCTGGTGTCACGCACACTTAAACCTCGTGGTTGGTGTGTGGTGCAGGTGATGGTCATGCAAAATGGATGGTCGGATGTGGCACCCAGAGCCAGGTGGGGATGATGGTCCATTTCATCAGCAACAGTCTTGACGAGCTGGACGGCACGATCTCGGTCTTGCTGGGATTTGAATTCGAAGTGCCGAGTGATGCTGGCGCCTTCGGGAAAATCCAGCTGCCATGATGGGCTGCTGAATTGTGTAGGGGCATCTTCCTGTTCTCCCAGGAGATCCATCAAGCCAACCTCGAGGCGATCGAGTCGAGCTTTGGGAGTTGGCGAGATTGGCTGGGTTCTTGCAGCTCCTTCAGATGAGAACAGCTGTGCTTTCTTGCGGTCGGCTGTGATTACCACTCGCTCGACCACGAAGTTAGATGTGTGTCGCATTGTTCCAGGGACTGAAACGGAAGGGTTTGAGAGGAAGGACGCATGGTTTCTCTGGCGTGGGAGGACTCGGCAGTCAATGATGATGGCCGTTCGGAGGGATAGAACCTGGCATGGTCGTAAGAACATCTTTCGAAGCCACCGCCATGTATGACTGTGATGTGATGTTGATTGTGGTTGTGGTTGGTCTGGATGGGATAGGTCCAAAGATGTGTGTCCAAGCCCCAGATGGCCTGCGGTCACGACCTCGATGACGACCTTTGCAGCATCAATTGGATAGCCTTCTGGGGCCTTGGGGGCTCCCATTGGGTGACGCTCGCCCATAAGGTACCCGTAGCCTTCAACAATCGGGGGGCCGAGAGCCCAGAACTCCGACGTCTTAGACTTGGCATCAGGGCGCAGGAAGGAATTACTTGAGCCTCTCTGCCACTATACCAACTATACCTAAGGTACCCTAGTCAATAATGATTCTTCACCTCTACATCCATGATCCTCCCTCTCTCAACGGTTTTCTCTGGCTCTAGACCTGGTCCATGCAAGTTATTAATATTCATGGCATCATTCTTCAGACGTGGGCCATAAGCTTGTACTAACGCTTAGTGTATCTGCCCCATGGCTATACCATGACAATCCGGTAGGTCCTTGGTCTCACACACTACGAGCAGACGTGCCGTCGACCATCAATTTCTTGTCTAACCAAGTCAAAACACTCTTCACCTTTCGAGGTAACCATGGAAGGTGGTTGATGAAGTTTACTCCCTCCATCCAGGAGTCGGTCTCCGAACCAGAAATGGGTTGTATGGCGTTCTGATTGCGAATCCGCCCTGCCTTAAATATCTGAAACGAGGACTCCCTACAAGGGCAACCTTGGCTCACTCGACGTTTGAGGAGCTTCGCCTCAGACCAACCACAACTCGAGGGATTCGCTAAGAAGGAGCTCATCAGCCCCCAGGGGAAGCCTGACTGAGGCTTGTAACTCAACGACATGTTGTACAAGCCTCGATCAAACCTGGGTGCACGTCTAGATTTCAGTTTTTGCCTGGGAGTTCAAGTGCTGAGTTTGCATCCTGCCATGGTATGAAACCGTGCAACAACCCTCTTGAACGGCATGATTTGAATATCGGCCCCAGCCGATCTGATCTTCACTTCTGCTCGTGTTGGTTTTCCTGTTCCCTTCACCTTTCTGGATCATCTTTACAACGTTATTGTTATCTGCTTCTCGTGGGCTGGAATTAGAGTACCTCTCAAATTGAGGCTCTGGGTTGGCCATTGTTTACCACCACCCCGCCTCATGCCCAAGACGTGATGCGTTTTCTTAATCTCCGAATTGCTCTAATTCTTTTCTTGACACAATGCACGATCGTGTCGTCAGCCCCACAGAGGTTCGCTGAGAGAATCAAAAGTGCTGCGAGCGTTGCGAGCTTGGAGAGCGCAGCAGCAGCCACAGCAACAGGATCGAGCAGCCAGACAGCTACGGTGACGAGTAATGCCGGCGCGGCCTCGACGACACTTTCAAATGGCAGCTCATCAAATCCAACAACGGGGGCAAATGCTACTCCGACCCAAGCAGCCACCACAAGCACCAACGGCAACTCAGCTGAGTGCTCTGATACACCCGACATATCATGTGGTGGGGAATCATCGAATGGCGATGGGAGCACAGGCTCGAATAGCGGAAATGGATCTGGAAGCGGCAACAATGGCTCAGGCTCAGGTTCCAATTCCGACACAGCAGCACAAAATCAAAGCAACTCTTCCGGTCTCTCCACTGGCCAACTCGCCGCCGTCATCACCCTCCCCATTCTAGCCTTCCTAGCCATCGTCATCTGCCTATTCTTCTTCTGCCGGCAACGATGGTCCAAGTGGCGACAGGCACGAGCCGAAAAAGGCGCGTATCGTCGCACTCTCGACGATACTGTCATGTCACAAACAGACGATGGTAAGCAGAAGTTGACTGGACCTCGCTTCAGGGAGAATCTCATGCGACCATTATCATTTGGCTTCTCACAACCCGCCGACCAAAGCATCCGGCGGAAACCACTCAATTGGGATGCCAACAACATCGGCACCACCAATGGATTTAGCTCGATTGGCATGGCGGTCCCCATGCCAGAAAATGGCGACGAGTCCGAACGAAGGCATCTACGAAATCAAAGCGAGGTCTCTGAGCCCGCCGTACCGGAGCCTAGCTCTACGGGAGATGGAGATGGCCGAACCAAAAGTCTCGGTCAGCGCAGTGCTGTTAGTGCAATGAGTACTGAGGAAGAAGTCACAAGAGTTGATGCTACTCAGCCTCCGTCATGAAGATTGTCTGGACGGTAGCATTGATTACAAAAACGTGCTTGTGTCTCATCTTACAGCGAGGTGTTTGAAGGAGTTTGAGTTTGAGTTTGAGTTATTGGACCAGCGATGTGATGTGATGTGCATTTATTGAATGATGGAGAGGGAAGGGCTAGACAGCTCTAGCCATACCATACCCATACCCATACCCATATCAATAGTCACTCTTTATTAGGTATTATTGACCATGATGGATACATATTGAATTATCCCATGGTGTGGAAGCGAGAGATGATATTCCTCGCGAGGATCAAAAAAGGTAGTCGAGGCAACGAGAGCGTCTTAAAATATATCAATACATTATTAAATTTCTTAAAATTGGCAAAGATCATATGTTCAGGTCATGTTGGTGTCGTTCAGGCCGGAACTTGAAATTGAGAAGCATCCACGGCATCTTAGCTTCAGCCAACCAGAAGAGCCATTGACGACATGCATGAAGATCTTGGTCCATAACGTGAGATTTTGTGACTTGAAATCTCTAGATTCTGGGATGTTGTGCCACCATCCAGTAATCAATAAGTAGGAGATTGAATTTGAGTGGGATTGCCTTCTCTTCGCCAATCCTTAACTTGCTACTTACTGTTTCCTCGTCTCAAACCTCAACGCACAAAGACAACCTGGCCTCATTCGCTCGAACTTTTTGAGTTTTATTTTATATTCAATCGACATCCCTCAACTGGTTATATTCAAGTCCCAACATCACAAATCCAAAAATGTCCAACCCCGAAATCTCCCTCCCCGAACTCCGGGACACACTCATTTCCATCGCATTGGAAGCCGGCAGGCTAATCACGTCCGCCACGCCATCCACCACCTCATCCCTCACCAAGAAAAACACCGCTGATCTGGTCACCGAAACCGACCGAGCGGTTGAAAGCTTCATCTCTACAAAACTCAAATCTCTGTACCCATCCTTTTCCTTCCTCGGCGAGGAAACCTACCAACCAGGCCAAAACCTCGGCCCCGAACCAACATTCGTAGTCGATCCTATCGACGGAACCACCAACTTTGTCCATCGATGGGGATATGTCTCTGTAAGTCTGGGCGTTGCTATCGATCGTGTCCCTGTGGTGGGTGTGGTATATAACCCCTTCCAGGGGAAATTATACCATGGTGTTAAAGGGCAGGGGAGTTATCTCCGTGACCAGACCGTTCAGACTGGGGAAGGGGAGAGGAAATTACCGTTGAAGCCCCTGGAGCCGCTGGAAGGGTTAGATGAAGCGCTTGTTGCGATTGAATGGGGATCTGATCGGTCCGGTGCGAATTGGAAGACGAAGACCGATACGTGGGATAATTTGGGGAGGGCGAAGAGTGAAGGTGGAGCGATGGTGCATAGTGCGAGAGCGTTGGGGTCGGCGGCGCTCAATCTATGTGCTGTGGCAGAAGGGTCGATTGATGCGTATTGGGAGGGTGGGTGTTGGGCGTGGGATGTTTGTGCTGGATGGGTTGTTCTGGCGGAGGCCGGGGGTGTTATTGTGGATGGAAATCCGGGCACTTGGGAAATTCCGGTTGATCACAGGAAATATCTTGCGGTCAAGGGGGCGACGACTGGGCAGAAGGAGTTTGTGGAAGAGTTTTGGGGACATGTCAAAGGGACGATGACTTATGATCATTGATCGATTCCAAGGCCATTGGCTATCTATGGAAGGGAGGGGAAATGATAGATCTTCCTGTCTACTTAGGGTTCGGAGATGAATATATGCATATAGACACGATATAGATCAATCAACCACTTAGACTACAACGCATGGAGAATAGTGTTGAAGAACATGATGATCCCAAGTTGGAATCAGAGACTCTATCTTGATCTTTAGCAATCCACCCGAGTCTAATCTGTCGGTGGCGCTTCACTGCTGTTCTTTTTCAAGAGGTATTGTTACATATGCAATGGCCGCTCTCAGAAACAGGCACCCAGAAACTGTAGAATTTACTTCCAGAGTTTGCCCAATGACACCTCCTTGTCATCATGCTTGTTGAGGACCTTGGCTGTCGCCAGGTCGAAATCCTCCTGCGTCACGTGCACTCTGCGTTCTCTCAAAGCAAACATACCAGCCTCAGTGCACACACCCTTCAATTCGGCGCCTGAGCAGCCATTCATCTTCTCGGCGATCTTCTTCAAATCAATTCCACGTGTCAGGTTCATGCTCCGAGAGTGAATGCGGAGAATATCAGCTCGGGCTTCGACTGTTGGTGGAGGGAATTCAATCTTTCGGTCAATGCGACCTGGTCGGAGAAGGGCAGGGTCCAGAATGTCGAGACGATTCGTAGCCATGATGACCTTGATGTTCTTGGTCGGTTCGAACCCATCCAGCTGGTTCAACAACTCCAACATTGTTCTTTGAACTTCAGAATCTCCGCCACTGCTTCCCTCGACACGGCTGGAGCCTATACTGTCGATTTCGTCCATAAAGATGATACTTGGCGCATGTTCGCGAGCCATGACGAAGAGTTCTCGTACCATTCTGCTTCCCTCACCAATGTATTTCTGTACCAGTTCGGAACCTGACACTCGAATGAATTTACAGTCGGCGTGATGGGCGACCGCTCGCGCGAGAAGTGTTTTTCCTGTCCCAGGAGGCCCGTAGAGTAAAACGCCTTTGGGTTGAGCGATTCCCAACGATTCAAAGAGTTCAGGGTGGTTCAGACCCAGCTCAATAACTTCCTTGATCTCCTTGATCTGCTGATCGAGACCACCAATCATGTCGTATGTGCTGTCAGGGACCTTTTCAACCATCATGAGTGATACCAAAGGGTCGACGGATGAAGGCAACATTTTCTCGAGCTTGTAGGAATCGGAAAGGAGGGAGACACGTTTGCCGACGGTCAATTTGGTAATGTCCACACTATCAGCAATGTCGACAACTAGAGCACTGTGTCAGCATGAGTTGATGGAGGTATGTCTATCTCAACACCGTACCGTATTTGCCTTCCGGATGGACCTTGACCAGGACTTTCTTGGTGCCCATGACTTTGACCACTTCTCCTACATAGGAACCCGGTTGTTGCAGGAGTCCCAACTCCTCTCGTAGTAGTCGTACTCTTGAATTGTAATCATTGCGTTGTGCTTCTAATCTCCGCAGAACGGCTTGACCTTGGATGATTTCGAGTTTTAATGATTCGATCTTGTTGTGGTAGAAGTTATCGAGCGCCATGGTGGCGGTTGTGAGAGTGAGAGGGGGGAGAGGTGTCGAGGCAGGCTTGTGAGGTCGGAGGAGAGCTGAGGTCAAGATGAATCAATGGAGATTGGGAGTTGCGAGGTTGAAGGCGACAGATGGTTGTGGAACTCTGACACAGACGCAGACAGATGCAAATGGTTACTCTGTACATTACGGGACGCGCCTCACATGGGAGCCTCCCTGCGAGGCAAGCATGATTACATAAGAATATGGGTCTAACCGTAAACGTCGGCGTCTAGGGCGGCTGGGGCGGCTACTAAGCGCAGTAATATACGGAGGAGTAGAAACCGTATCGCTGGCAAACCTCAAGTGAATAATTACTTCAGTATGGTGTCATCTGCCTGCAACCAAAGAGTCATGCGCTGGGTGATGCAGTCCGTGGGGTTTCCAGATGATCACTTTCTACATATGTACGTGGTTTATTTCTGATCAAGACAAGGGTGTGGTGGGTATGATCAGTTGACCGCCTATTCTAAACAGGATGGTTCAGAATGGAGGACGACTGGATGGATTCTATTTAGGCAGAGGCAGCAAAACCGTTGCCCCCGCCAGAAGCTGGGTTGACACCAAACCAAGCCTAAGCGTACCGTATGGTGGTTGCAGACTGGGGGTTCTGGGGCAGTTCATGCGTACCTAAGGTGGGCACGCCATGCCTAAGAAAGTGGCTTCACTGGCCCCGGGGAAGAGTCAACCCGTTGCTGCCCAGAGGTCACAACGACTTAGTGGTGGAGCCACCTATTGTTGGCCCCTCGGCCCAAGATGCCTTGCTATTCCTTGTCTTTCCACCAGACTTTGGTACCAGGTGAGCAGAACCGGGACCCGCGGTCGCCGTGGCACGGGCTCCAAGACTGATGAGATGCGTCAACCCCAGAAAAACAATTTGGATCACAGACTACAATAGTCATCTGCCATCTAATTGATCACTAATGACGCGGTCTTTGTCGTGTAAACTGAAGGATCAACGGTATGATGGGCTATCTCGGTCATTTTGACAGTCTCTCCGAGTTGCATAAGGGTGGGACATCGTGGATACCTACGAGTTGCGAGATAAACTTAGGGTACACGGTAGCACTGCCGGTCGGTCAATTCTTCCGCCGTGGGTGGAACATGTACGTCTTTTATCTTAGCTTCCTTTTGCTGCATACTTGCGTCGTCAAAGTTCTGCCAGTTGGCTCCAAAGTGTATTTGATTTGTTATTCGCACGTGCATGTTTCCGACCTCCAGAGTCGAAGAGAAACGAGGCAGTCAAGAGAGACGTGGAGAAACGGATCTCTCCCAGCAAAACACTAAACACGAACACCTCCAGCTGAACGCTGCTTTTTTAGCTTCTCGTATCACATCCATTCTCTTCCGAGTCGTCTTCAAGTTGTCAGTAGTGCCACAGTCAGCTCGATCGCAGCTCGATATCACTCGGCCGTTGTACAAGGCCATCGCTCGCTTCCCACCTCCTCTGCAGATCCTAGTCCTTGCATATTACCTTTTTCCCTGCCGACCTCATCATCTGATCACCCATCTCCACGGCCGTCTCATGTGGTGCAACAACAAGCCTGCAACAGGCCTCAAATCTACCGGGTTGCACAGTCCAAAGGTTCACAACCTGGCGACATCAGTTCATCCTTGACCTGCAGTTCATTCTCCTTGAAAAGACAGTGAACTTTCACGACCATGCCTTCCGATGATGCTCCCCCAAGGAGCCCTCGGCCAAACCTCACTTCCAATTCTCAGAGCACCAGCACCTCTCCAAGGCCGACCCAGCCCTCGATGCGTGATCCCAACGAATCCGATCTCAATGCTGCAGACCAAGGTCCCTCCATTCGACGCGACTATGGTATGGCTCCTCTAAATTTCTATCCTTCTGTCCCCGTTGCTGCTAATCTCGCACTAGCCAGTATCAACACCTCTGCTCCATCCGCCCACCGCCCGAGAAGCGCACCTCGCCCCGAATCGCCCACCCAAAGACCAGATCGTTTGGAATCAGGGTCTCACCTACAATCCCCGCAGCCTACCCGCGCAAGACGTCCTAACACCATGAGAAGAATATCAACTGCCAGGAAGAAGTTACCCCACCGCGGTGAACACTTCTCTGTCGATGATGATCCATCTGAGATCGATGACGATCGCCCACCTCAAACTCCCAGAGAAGCCTCCATTCCTTCCCTTTCTCGCAAAGAATCTACCGTCCGCCGTCGAACCCAAGCTGTTGTCAACACTCTCCCTCGTGTCGACTCGGCCGAAGAGGACGAGGCTGCGGAACAAATCCCAGATCTAGATCCCGCCGATCTTGAAACAGAAGCAGACAATTCTGATATCCTAGAACAAGGCGACCTTCAGGACATGGAAGACGCAGACCTTAGTGATGCTGAAAGTTTCACTCTCAAGGATCGACAGTTGGCCATTAATGAAACCCATCCCTTTGGTATCAGAATATGGAAGCCTGCCTTGTACAAGAAAAATCGCTCGGTGGAGAAGACGGCCGAGGAAGATATCCATTCCTCACCAAGCCAAATTGTGAGCCGTTGGCTCTGGGTCTTCAATTGTCTCTGGACTGTTATCTTCGGCTGGTGGCTAGCTCTCGCTGCCTTCATCGCCGCCGTCGTATGCTTCTTAGTCGCCTTCGAGCCAAGTGCCGCTGCCTATGGTAATGTCTTCTGGTCACTAGGCGGTTACTTATTCTGGCCTTTTGGTAAATTCGTCAAACTGGAACAGGACGAGAACTATGTCGACGAGGACGAGGGAGAAGGCCGAAGCATCAGTGAATATGAAAGATGGCAAAGTGGAGACCTTGAATATGGTCGCTTGATGTTTGGCCCAACTATGACGCACACAGGTTCCATTGTCGGCAGACACAGAAACAGCATCGATTCCGCTAGTGAGACCGACAGTCTACTTGATCGAGGAGGTCGAGCGGACAGGTCAGACACTGCCGCCAGCTCACGCGCCAAACGACGACTCTTTGGCCGTGGCCAGTGGACTTTGGGAAGAGTCATCTTCTTCGTCTTCTTTTATTTCAATGTTGCTCCTCTCATGCTGATGGTATCCATGGTCTGCTGGTTCATGGTCTTTTGGATCCCCATGGGCAGGGTTTTGCTCATTCTCCTCTATCACCTTCGGAAGCGGCCCTTGTCTTTAACGTTCCATCGAGACGTTTCCTATGCTAGGAGCTCTACCACGCCCTCGTCAATTGTTCTGTGCACCTATCGAGCAGTCGGGCTCAAATACTGGAAGTACACAATTGACGGCACCAATATCTTTCTCATAAACTTCTTGGCAGTGGTTGTGTTTGTCATCCTCGACAGCTTCATCTTGAAAGGTGCTCTCAAGCTTGACATTTGGCTCACGAGTCCGGCCCTCCTCTTCACCTTGGGTCTCGTCTCCATCATCCCTCTTGCCTACTTTATCGGACAAGCTGTGGCATCTATTTCAGCCCAGTCATCGATGGGCATGGGAGCTGCAGTGAATGCCTTCTTCTCAACCGTGGTCGAAGTCTACCTTTACTGCATAGCCCTCCAAGAAGGCAAGGGGGCATTGGTGGAGGGTAGTATCATTGGGAGTATATTTGCGGGCATTCTTCTCCTACCTGGACTCTCCATGTGCTTTGGCGCAATCAAGCGAAAGACACAGAGATTCAATGTCAAATCTGCCGCAGCCACCTCAACCATGCTTCTCTTCGCTGTTATTGCCGCATTCGGACCAACCTTGTTCTACAAGATATACGGTAGCCATGAATTGATTTGCAAGAGCTGTTCGGTGGACAGGGACTCTGAGGCCAGTCGAGACTGCAGGCAATGCTATTTTCGTCAAGTTCCCGCCATTACTGATGACTTCTTCATCAAGGCAGTGAGACCATATTGCTGGATTGCCGCTGTCCTGCTATTCTCGTCCTACATCATCGGCCTCCTATTCACCCTCCGAACGCATGCAGCTGTCATCTGGAGCACTGAGGGGGAGGAGAAGCGACCCCACCCAGTGCCAACTACAGCAGAAATAAGCCCTACAGACACTCGACATCACAGTGCGTTGAATTCACAGGTGCTCCCAGCTGCGCATGGGTCTTATGTTTCAAGGCCGGCCATTCGAGAGTCGCAGTTGTATAAGAGAATACTGGGGCAATCTCTGCGATCGGCTGGCTTTCCTGAGGAAGGAGAAGGAGTCGCCGAGCACGAAGCTACAACCTCATCTAAAGCAAAACCACGGCATACAGCATCCGAGTCCCACTACAACGGCGAGTTGCCTCATGTAGTGCCCCCGAAATCTAGCCACGGTTCTGATCAAGCCGGTAGTCCCATGCTTCGACCGGTAGTGCCTGGCCTTTCAGAAGAAGACAACAAGAATCTCGTGCGACATGTGGCTGAAATGGCGGCCACCGCAGCCGCAGTTGCCGCCAGGGACGCAGTGCATAATCCTAGATCTACCTCATACCAGACTACACATGCTTATAAGGCTGATACTGCCAAAATCCCGCGCCCTGGGGCTACCCGCAGCAATACTGTGGGTGACATGTTGGTAAGGCGACCCACAGAACAGCCATTGCCTGGCGCAGCAGAAGGAGGAGGACACGACGCTCCGAACTGGTCTCGAGCCAAATCATCTATTATACTCCTCGTGGCAACAGTGGCTTATGCAATTGTCGCCGAGGTGCTTGTTGACACTGTTGATGTTGTACTCGACTCGGTCGAAATTGATGAAAAGTTTCTCGGAATCACGCTGTTTGCCCTGGTTCCCAACACAACCGAGTTCCTGAATGCCATTTCTTTTGCCATGAATGGCAATATTGCTCTCAGCATGGAGATTGGATCCGCATATGCGTTGCAAGTGTGCTTACTCCAGATCCCCGCGGTGGTACTATTCTCTGCTGTCAGTGGCCAGTTTGTGGACCCGGCGGATCTTATCGACCACACATTCAACCTGATATTTCCCCAATGGGACATGGTCACGGTGATTTTGTGCGTGTTTCTACTCAGTTATATGTCGGGAGAAGGCAAGAGCAACTATTTCAAGGGTAGCATTTTGGTCATGACATACTTGGTTGTGGTGTTGGGTTTCTTCTTCAGCGGCTACACCACCATGACCATTATGGGAGGTGACCCTAATGATACACTTGCCATCATGTCGAGTATGGCGTGGCAACACAACACTGTTGGAGGCCCCGCGCCAGCCAGATCGATTAGCAGAAGAGAGCTTTGAAAGGGGGATTGCAAGAGAATGGTTGTTGGGCGCATGGATATGGCTGCATTTTATTTGATTACTGGCGTGCAGTATACAGCAGGGACGTCCCGGGCTTGGAGAGACCTAGACCATGGTCACCCTAGCAAGATCCTATCCTACACCGCTTCTCTGACTAGCATTAATCCATCGACATTGTTAAACGGTTCATTTCTCGTATAAATTAATGATTGGGGGTGGGAGGCGGAGTGGGATTTTTTCCTCGTTGGGGTTAGTGCTGTATTTGATACCCGCGCTTAATTGGCCCGCCAAACCTTTTTGGGACGACGACTCATCATTTTGTCTGGTGCCAATAGAACACGCCATCCCATCGTGATGCGTTGGTGGTGGCATTGAATCATCCCTCTCAACACCTGATCTGCTCATCAGGGTGGCCTTTTCTCTTTCTTTTTTTCATCAGCACCGATCGGGATCTTGTCTGTGGTCTTGTGGTTTTGGCGTTTCACTACAATCCCTCGGATTCTATCCATCCATCCACAGTGTCATTTCATCCTTTCCCCCCTGTCCCAGCGCTTTGGAGAGATATGTTTATCGAAGACATATTGGACTCCGCCGCTGTACCAATTTCATTGTTTGATCTGCTGTCCAACTCGATCGTTCTGGACCAGACAGTTCCATATCTGCCATGTTCTAGCCTTTTTGCTCTTGCAAGAACCTGCCACTCTATCCGCGACCTACTGTTCTCGACGCCATCGGTATTCCGCTCGGTCGACCTGTCACGTTGCCGCGGTGCGTATATCAATCCAGAGTTGCTGACGAGGATCGACTCTGGCGGAAACTCGTGGCGGGCTGAACGCATAGACGAGCATCTAACCGAAGACGAATTCTATGCTGGACCACTTCGGGGCGTGTTGTGGAAGTTGGGGCGCATGCATGTATTGCAGCGAGTTCACACTCTGATCCTTGATGGCTTGGCCTCTGTCACTCAGGATTTGGTCAGCGACCTTGTGTCAGATCCCCAGTACGCCGTCACCATCCTGAGCATCCGACGATGTCTTAATGTCAACCCATCAAAGCTCCAACAATTGCTCCGTCACATCTGTCGGCCCACTAGACCTACTGGCACTCCTCGCCTCAAAGGTCTTTACTACTTCACTCAGCCTTCGTCATCACTCAAGTTAACAGACGTGGATGGCCCAACGACAAGAGGGGTGACGCTGTCCGAAGGTGCTCAACTTGGCGCCTCCCCCACCCGCGGTCATGTCAACCCCGACACCATCGACCCATGGTATACAGCAGCAGGACAGGTCATATCCATTGGCCATGGAGAACGTACCTCGTGGGAGGAGACATTGCAAACCTGCCATGGAATCATCAGCTTTGATGCTGTGCTGTGCACGCACATGCATGCGGATATGGAACCAGTTCTACACGCTGCATCTCGTGATTTTCTGATGCAAAACAAGCCGGGCATTGCTCCAATGGCCACAATTTCCCTTGGGCCGTCCGGATGTGCCAGTTGCGGACGACACCCACGAGGTGGACCCGTTTGGGGTGAAAGTGACGTGCACGAATTTCCACTGATTTGGCCCCCGCCTGCATCAGGAAGGCTCGTCGATGCCGTACGACCGCCTCTACGAATGGCTTCGGATGGGAGACAGTTAAAGCAGCATTTGACTGTGTCGTGCACCTGGTGTCTCACTAATCGTCACTGCGACAACTGCCATCGGTGGTGGTGCAGTGACTGTTACAATCCAGGTCGAACGAAGAAGCTTGAGGATCTGGAACAATTAAGTCAGGCTGGCTTGAGCTATCTCCCAAGCCTGGAGGAACTTTGCACCGGAGTGGGGGAAGACCATGGTGACCGGATCAAGGTATTTAATGGCCTTTGCGTTGAAAATTGTCTGGTGAGCGAATGGATGGCTGGAGCTGGCGGAGGCGGCATGTGGGGGTGACAGACAACGAGTTGAGGAAGACGGATGAGATCCAGGGACATGAGAGAAAACTGGCCTTGGAGATTTCGATCCAATCTCAAGCTTCCCACAGGACTGCCATCCAACGAGCCCGCCGCTGACCACTTCGTCGCACACCATCAATTTTGTCCTGTGTCCATCCATTGACCATTGTGTCCAGCAGAAACTCAAACTATCCCCCGGTCAAGCCGCCGTGATGCGCCACTGCTTCGACTGTGGTCGCGTCTGTAGTGAGTGCGCACCTCTCAGCGCCCGGACGTGCATTCGATGCAAGAGCAGTTATTGTGTCCTTCATAACACAGGCTGCGACGATAAAACCGTATGTGCAAATTGTTACCACCGCTTCCACTACGAGGAGAGATGGCTCCGCAAGAGAGGACGACTGATGATGGTTGACTTGATCTAGTGTGACTGGTGTATGCATGGTGGACGAAGAACCAGGGAGCTGTATTGATGATGGCTTTTCAAGGAATTTGATCATCGCCATCACTTGACTTGACTCGACTCTTTTAGCATCTACCGGATCAGCTTGCAACTGGACTCGAGTGAGCCTCTATCTGCGCACAAGTCCCTCCTGGACTCTCATCTTCAAGGCTCTCCGTTCATTCGAACCTACTACTCGATGACTCTCAACTCCAATCTCAGCCAGGTGCTGTTTCTATCTAATCCTAACCACCTACTCTTGACGAAGCCTGATGCGAGCGACAAACTCTATTTAATTCTAATATCTAAGGGGTTGATATTTTCCAGTGTGTTTTGGCATGTTGGGCGTTGGTGGACTGGGAACTATGATGGTGTGTTGTTAAGCAAGCTCTTTTGTATTTTGGGAGTATATCTATCACAATGACGGTGCGGAGGATTGGGCTGGAGAGACCACAGCAAAATGTATCTTCGCTATTGACGCCGATCTATACACAAGTTTGATGGCATGTGAGAGAATTTGGACTTGCTGGATTGTCACCGAGAAACTGACGATCAAGGCTAGAATTCAAAAGGTTGGCAAGAAAATGAGAGAATCTGGGCAGAGAGAAGCAGATTAGCGAGGTCAATATTAGCAATAGATCCAGATGCTCCGGGGTACGCCCTGGGCGGTAGGCTTTAACCGTCCACGGCTATCCTCGCGTCACTCTGGCGCCTTTGGACGTTGCTTTTTAACCAAGGATGACCCCAATGAGCGCACCTGGCGGGGGCAACGGGGGCCAGGGTCCAGGCTTCCTACCAACCAGAATGGCTGCCATGCTGCCCCTCGGCCGCCTCAATGCTTATGGAGTCACCAGAAACAAGCTTGGAGATCCCTTTGTGGCATGACGTAGTCTACAGTACGTAAACCTGGCACTTTGTGACGCCAAAGGAGAAAAGTACGACGACATGATGCATGTGTTCTCTCTTCTACCTGGGTAACAAAGTGGTCAGAGGGAGCTGAAGACGCATTGTCGTCGTTGTCGTGATATTCCATCATTAATTCCTCCATCATTCCATCACTTCCTCCTCCTTTAAACCCCCTCTATCTCCACGGACACGGGTCGTGTCGACACACCGTCCCATCTGATCTTCAGCCCCTGCCTTGACTGCGCCTGACAGAGTTGACCGCCTACTGCGTTGCCCTCGCCAACATCAGCACCCAAGTCCATCATGGCTGCCAAAGTGCTGCAGACCAACTTTGATGTGGACTATGTCGTCACCTATCGCATGTGTGACGGTGAGTCGTCGATGACTTGGACTTGATGGGCATCCACTGACTTTCTCGCGTCCAGACAAAGCAAAGGGCATTGCTCAATTCCAGAAGCTCATTCGAGTCCTCAACCAAGTAGGCTTGACCACCGAGGTCCGCAGAGGTGATGAGACCTCGCTGCTCATATTTCTGAAAGCCGCCGACGAAAAGATCTTGGCCGATGTCGTCTATCGCTCTAGAATTAGGGATTGGCTCCATGGCATCCGTCAAATCCAACCTGTCTCTGATACTGCCCGAGCCTTGACTGCTGAGCCATTGACTCAAGCTGAACGATATCGCCAAATCCACCACATGATCACTTGTTCCCCTGAAGATGGCGGCGCAGGCATAACTCCACAATATGGCGAGTGGGAACAAGTCGAGGCTATCTTCCCGCTTCACGACCATGTTAAGAACAAGAGATGGTTGACTGAGTTCTCCCGCAAGACCTTCCTGACACCTGAGGACTTGGATGAGATTCGAGACACGATGGGCGAAAAGGTACTATTGTTTGGTCCTGACTTGTGACTAATCCTCTCACTGACCGGTTTCAGATTGCCTATTACTATGCCTTTATCCAGTCCTACTTTACCTTTATGACCTTCCCCGCAGCATTTGGATTCTCCTGCTGGGTATTACTGGGAAAATTCTCCCCTGTCTACGCCATCGTCAATGGCCTATGGACGGTTGTGTTTGTCGAGTACTGGAAACGCCAGGAACAAGAGTTGGCCATAAACTGGGGAGTCAAAAACGTGTCTGCCATTGAGGGCAAGAGGAAAGAGTTTGTGCCTGAGAAGACGGCGACTGACCCCATCACGGGCGAGAAGATTGCCTTTTTCCCGGCAAAGAAACGCCTGCAGAGACAGCTGCTCCAGATCCCACTGGCCTTGCTGTGCGTGGTTGCTCTTGGAGTGGTGATCTGTACCTGCTACGCCATTGAGATATTCATCTCAGAGATCTACGATGGTCCTCTGAAGTCGATCCTGGTCTTCCTCCCAACCATCATTCTCACTTTGGCGGTCCCCACCATCAGCTCACACCTCACCCAATTCGCCGAGCTGCTCACCAGCTTTGAGAACTATGAGACTCAAGAGGCCCACGACAAGGCCATGGTGTCCAAGGTGTTTGTGATCAACTTTATCACATCATACACAGCTATCTTCTTGACATCGTTTGTCTATGTCCCCTTTGCGACACTCCTTGTGCCGTATCTTGACATCTTCAGCCTGACGGCCAAGCCCTTTGTCAACGACGAGAAGCAAGTCGAGATTCCATCGCCGGCAACCTTCACCATCAATCCGAATCGGCTGCGAGACCAGATGATTTACTTTGCCGTTACCGCTCAAATTGTCAACTTTGGCATGGAGACAATTGTGCCGCTTTTGACTCAGAAAGGCACCAAGAAATACAAGGAAATGCAGTCTTCCAGGGCAGAGAAAAGTGCGGGTGCGGCACCTTCGATTTCCGCATCTGACCCTCCCGAGGAGAAGGAATTTCTTACTCGTGTCCGTGAGGAAGCAGCCCTGCCAGAATACGATGTTACGACGGATCTTCGCGAGATGTGCATCCAGTTTGGCTATCTCTCTTTATTCTCTGTCATCTGGCCACTGACACCAGTGTGCTATTTCATCAACAACTGGATCGAGATCCGAGGCGACACATTCAAGTTGACAGTCGAGTCTCGGCGCCCGACTCCCGAGCGCGCCGACTCAATTGGACCATGGCTGGACAGTCTTGAATTTTTGGCATGGCTTGGAAGTATCACGTCAGCAGCACTGGTCTACATGTTCAACGGCGGGAATGGACCGGACGGGAAGCCACACGCCATCAAGCTTTGGGCTCTGTTGTTGAGTGTCTTCCTGTCTGAACACATCTTTTTGGTAGTGCGGGTGCTGGTTCGCACGGCCATCTCGAAATTGGATTCGGCGGCACAGCGCAAGGAACGTAGTGAACGGTTCATGGTTCGCAAGAAATACCTTGAAGATGCTGGATTGGCTGACGCCATCAAACCGTTGGCATCCGCTCCCAACAGCCCGCTGGTTGATTCAGATGGTGCGCAGGCATTCAGTAATATCACCAGAGAGAGTCTGGAGGAGGATGCAAGACAAGATTCGCTGCAAGACTCAGACCCATCTGGTCGGTTTTGGAAGAGGCAGCGGAGTGGGAGAGAATCGGAACAGGTTGGCTTGGGATTGATTGACTTGATGGATCTGGGATCACGGGACAAGAAGAAACAGTGAAGAGGAACCGGCGACATCTTGGAAGCGTCTGGGGACTGAGTTTATGACGGCGATACGAGAACACGACACGACACCATGCGGCGGGGCGTTTAAGCTGGGGCTTGGAGAATCTGGAGAAATGGCAACGTGGTTTCGTTCTGCCTTTGTAGCACAGGGGCCACAGGGCGATTTATAACAACAGGTGTAGTCAGTCTTTGGTGCAGTACAGTCCTATAGGTATACGCCGATGACAATTGAGTCGTATGGGTTTCCAAAGGCAATGTCTGGGGATCATGATAGTCCAGCTTCCAAGTGATCTAGACTCCATGCTTATGGAATTGTTCAATTGTCAATATAATTGCAATCAAAATAAAACTGGCATGGCGTGGTTATGCTACCGTTCAGCCCAGCGTCATGAGTCAGGGGTGTCTATATATTTTGGACAGACAGACACGCTAAGTAGACGCCTCGAGATCTTGGAGAAATTCTGAAATTGCATGCATGATGATGGCCGAGGGCACGCGATGAAACTCCCCCTGTGGCCCCCTCGGCCCAAACCTAAACCACCCCCCCGGCTGGTTCCAGACAGGCCGAAAAGGAGGTGGAGAGGGGGAGAGCCCGGCGCGTTAAGTGTCTAATAATAATGAAAATCCGTTTCATCTCCAGTCGATCAGCCAATTTTCTCACACTCATGGCAGCAGAAAAGCGTCACTGCCTCGGGTGCAAGTTGAAGATGGGTTGCACCTGCTCAAACTGATGACTGGCTTTCTAGTTTTTGTTCTGTTCTGTGGAAGGAGCGTAGTCAGCCTCGTTCGCATCAATTGCATCCATCCGCCATCCATCCGCCATCCATCCACCATCCATCCATACCGTATATCCACTCATCAGGCCATCGTCCCTATTAGGCCCTCGGCCCAAGGCGCGCCAACTACTTAACCTAAACTTAGTAACCACGCGTGCCATGGCTGCCAATCTCACCTCGACCCAAGAAATGGGATCAAGGCTTCTAGGGTCCAAACCTCGATCCATCATCATTCCCATGGTCGACATGACAGATGATGGCGATTATGTTTCTTCGTCTGCGATGCCTCTTCCAACTCTTCAAAGTATGATGCTGGCGGCTCCCCCCTGGCTTCGTCGCCAGAGCTCCACGATGGGGGTCCTGGTCGGATTTCTTCCTAGCTTCGTCGCCGATTACATAAACCACAAGCCTCGCAAAGCTTCTTCAGATACCAAAATCTCCGCCCTCGATGGCCTGAGAGGCATCTGCTGCCTCATGGTCTTGCATATGCATTGGACTTTTGCCGTCACCGATAGCAACGAGGGTGGCTCTGCAGCCGTTAACACCCAGTTCTTGTTCCACCGGCCATTTTTCTACCTGTTGTGGGCCGGTACCAGTCATGTCTACATCTTCTTCGTCATGAGTGGTTATGTCCTGTCGGTGAAATGTCTGAACATGATTCATCAAGGACTGTCAATTCACAAGGTCATCACCTCGGCCGTCTTTAGGAGAGCGATTCGAATCTTTTTGCCGCCCATTGCTCTCCTTTTCATCTATCTCCTGGCCATCAGGGCGCATATCTTTGACAGGGGTATCCAGGTCTTCAACGAGAATCGATGGTTTGGCGAGCAACAAATTCGATATTTTGAGAACCCTCCTCAATATCTCGACAGCTTTTCTGCTCAGTTCTGGGATGTTCTGGGCGCTGTTCATAATTTGGTGGATCCGTCAACTCACTTTGGCAACTTACCTGAGTATGGTAACTACGACACTCACCTGTGGACGATGCCTGTCGAATTCTATTGTTCCATGACCCTCTTCGTGGTCTTATTGGCGACCTGCCAGCTGAAGACTCGGTATCGCGTGTCTCTGCATGGTGCCTTGGTCTTGTTCTGCTGGCTGACAAAGCACACCAACCACGGCCTCTTTTTTGCAGGTTTGTTCATCGCCGAAATGGACATCCTGGCCAAGAAGTCCTCAGATCCTAAATTTCAACTCCCTACTTCTCTCGATACCCAAGACTCCATTTTCCACAGGCTCCAATGGGGGTCCCCGGAAATATGGCCCTATCTTTGTGTCTCAAACATCATCTCCGTGGTGGCTTTCATTGGAGGCCTCTATATCTTGTCAATGCCCCTTCTATGGGCGGATGAGACCCCAGGATACACTCAGCTGTTGTCATATATGCCATCATTGATGGGCATGGAGCATCGCATGGAATCGCTGCGAGCCTTGGGCGCCGTGCTCGCTGTGTGGCCAATCACCTATGCCTCCGCCACAAGTGCTCCAGGTTCCACTCCAATCATCCGCTTCTTCCTAGCCAACCCAGTCTCCAAATATCTCGGACAGATTTCGTTTGCCCTGTATCTAGTCCATGGCTTCGTAATCCGCAGCCTCGGATACAGCATCTTACCTTCGATTTACAATATGGTTATTCGCGACCCAGAGCGTCGTACAGCGCTAGCAGTCCAGCGCTACCCCCAGGGTAACATTCCTGCCCCGTCACGTTTGACACCTGGCGAGCTGGGAACCATTTGGGTCTTGGGCTACCTCATCGTTCTCCCTGCCTGTGTGTGGGCGGCTGATTTGTTTTATCGTTTCATTGACGTCAAGAGTGTCAGCCTTGGCAGATGGATTGAACAGAAGATGACAAAAGATGAGCCAGCACCTCGAAGTGGGCCGTTGATCGTGGTCGAAGACAAGATTTACTGAATCCCAGATTGTCGGACACATTCGTCCACCCAAGTCACCGGACCAATGGGAGACTTTGATTTTGACAAGGCTGTGGCGTGTGATTGGCCAACCGCCACAAAATCTCCGAAACACCTTCGTTCAGTTCAGCCTTTCGGAAATTTTACCAGTTCACCATTGTCGGCGAGATCATCAGAGTTGTCGTCTATATATACAGCCTCCAGGAACACTCGGCGTGCGTGGAATTAACATCATCCTACATTTACGACAGTTGCTCAAGCAAAATTGAACAAGCAGTTAATTTGTTAACCACGTACCTCAACGAAGCATTCATCTCTACAACATGTCGACTATTCCTTGGCTACTATATACATATGCCTGGATGCCATACCCACGGCGCATCTCAATCTACCTTCGAGAGAAAAACATTCCAGAATCTCTGATTCGCATCATTGATTGTTGTGATCCAGCAACTGAAGGCATGCTGAGGGAAGAAAATCTACCCGCCAAACCAGCCGGCAGTCTCCCAATTCTGGCCATTCCAAATCACGGTGGCGCGGATGGACACTCGGACAAGGGATACACCTATATTCGTCAATCTGTCGCCATAATCAAGTACATTGACGAGCACTGCGACCAAGGCATATTAGGATTTCCAAAGTCAGAATACTCTATGACGGGGGAAAGTGCGATAGAGAGAGCAAGAATTGCCGAGATTTGTGCCCTAGCAGATGATTGTTTGACGGGGTGGAACTCAGTTCGCACGTTCGGCTCTGCAGCTGGTGCACTGAAGGATCCTGCAGCATCCAGGCAAATGATGACATGGGTCAAGAGATCACTGCAGACGATTGAGCAATGGTGGAACGATCGTGACATGCAACTCCTGCGCACGGGAGGCGTGGGGCAGGTCAATTTGGGAGACATTCTGCTCTTCCAATTCCTGCAATTCACCAAGGAAGATTACGGTGTGGACATGACCAAAGGGACCAACACCGTGATCAAGGATGCGTACGATCGAGAGATATTGGATGACTACCCCAAGCTTGCCGAGTTTTACGAGGCTTTTGGGGGTCGTGACAGCGCTATTCTCGATGGAGACCGCGGCGACATGGCGCCAGAAAGCGCATCCAAAGTAATGAAGACCTGGTGGGAAGGAAGCTTGGCAGAGAGCGCGGCATTGCCTGTATAGAGTACCAGCTTTCCAAAAGCATCAAGTTGGAGCAGATAATTCAGATCGTACCCGTCTCATTTATAGATGATCCAGTGTATATTGCAGTCGAGAGAAGAGCTGCTCCGTACATTCAGAAAAGTAATCCCAGACAGAGGCACTCACCCAAAAAGGGGGAGTCCTCCGAAGGGATTCAAGCTAGTCCAATTTAGGTTAGAACACCTTCTCTTTTGGACTTGAGGCAGCCTCGTCCTAGTAAATGGGGAATATGAGCATCATATCACAACCTAATGTGACTCTATTCAACATCTCGACCGCCCTTCATATTGGTGTCCTGAAAACTTTCCATAGCAGTTGTGTTGTCTGTTCGGCTGGCGGATCAATTGTGTTGCAGGCAACAATAATGAGATAAAGTTGCCGACCACTGTTATGCAAAACCTTTTGCCAGATTCCAAAGCAACGACTTCATTTGACAATAGGACAAGTCGTGGGGGACACAGTCAAAGGGTCCCAATTTTCAACGATGAATTTCAACATGCCGACTTGGTGATCCGTGGACGACCACCCAATGTCCAGGTCGATGCCTCGTCTGCATCTCTGGGATCCAGCTCGTTTCACCACGGCTTCTCCATTGATAGAGTTTCCTCACAATGGACAAGATCAACCTGGTCTACTGCCGGGCAACATGGCCGCATCCAAGAGATCGATGACGAAGACGAAGGCGAACCCGAGATCAAAGACGAGGTCGAGGGTCAAGTCCACGAGGTTACTCCTCTGATCTACCTTGACGAGTGGCAGAGCGATCCTTTCTCAGCCCTCCCTTCTGATTTACCGAAACATGTTCTGGCCGAACAGATGCACCAATGTAAATTACACCACAGTATCACTTGAATTTGGGAATGAACCTCCACTGACAATCATGATATTGATAGCCAAAACATGTCTACTGGAGATGGTCACCAACCGTTCAGCGGATTCGTACGGTCCGCACTTTGCTGGCAATATCCTCAATCTCGCTGTCAACAATACCACTTTACTGTACGCCATGATGTATGCGGGGATGATGTTTGCCCGCACTGCAAGCAATCAAACGACACCTACGGTCTTGGAACTTCAATTCGGTACTCGCGCCATTCAGATGCTCAGTCAACAGCTCAGGTCTCCCGTGACTGCTGCCACTGAGGCTAATGTCTGGGCCGTGGTGGCTCTGGGCTATTGCGACAACTTTATTTCATTGAGGCCTGGCAGGCTTCCGCGGCAGTCGTTCCTGAAGGAGCTTCAATCTCTGCATATCTACGGCAGGATGACGGTCAACCTCGCACATATCCAGGGTTTGAATCAGCTGATTCAACTCCTGGGCGGGCTCGATAAGATCCGCACGCCTGGGATTGCTCAAGTGATTTCCTTGTAAGTTCGATACCATGCTTTAGACCACTCGTGCTCTGTTGACCAGTTTCCTCACTTTAGTGCGGACTTATTCGAATCGACCCGCTACCTTTTACGGCCAGGTCTGCCTTGCATCTTTCATACTCGGACATTCATAGTTAATGATCGTCTCTCGGTAAGTTCGCAAGAGAGAAGATGGGCTGAAAAGGCGTTGGGACCACTGGGATCCTCCTTCCGAGAAATATGGGGTACTTCTTCGCCGTTACCGGTTCAAAAACTCTGCGAAGTCATCCGAGACGCATGCGATTTTACCATTGTTGTGGAAAACTATGTTGAAGGGAGATGGGTTCCGAGACTGCCTGCCGAGCTCACCGATCAACGAAACTATGTCCATCACAAGCTGATGAGCCTGGACAGCGAAACCGAAATCGCTGAACGCGGAGAGTGGTTGCACGATCAACATTATGAACCTTGTCGACTGGCCTGCATCGCCTACAGCTTTCTGGTCATTTTCCCATTCCCTCCCATCTTTGGGTTATTTGAGAGACTAGGAAGTCGACTTCAGAAGTCCATTATGAGCAGTTCGCTCAGGTTGGAGGAACTTGGTCGCACACGAAAGGAGCTTCATCTCTGGATTGTGGTCATGGGAGCTATCATATGCACCGGACTACCTGAACGAGCCTTCTACATCCGAGAACTTTCTCAGACCTTGAAACTGTTGAAGGTGAGCTCCTTTGACAGTCTGGTTCGCATCTTGCAGACGTTTCTGTGGCATCCCAAGACCAGCAATTACGATGCAATGGACCTCTGGCGGGCATTGAAGCTCGACGTCTGATAGGGTCGTCAATATTGATATGGACGATATATTTCCAACAAGAATGAGGAAAGAACGAACGACACGAACGACATTCCCTCGTTATTGCCTCATATCACCGTCATGCAGCGCACCTTCCACGTTGACACGGACCAAAACCGCCAAGAATCTCGAAATCGATATTAGCCCAATCAAGGAATTACAAGCGACGGTCAAGCCATCTTCGCCAAGCACTTTTGGCAACTTCCTCAGATCGGCCATCGTCATAGAAGGCGACTGACAATCTTGACGAATAATCTCGAATTCTCCTCGACGTCGCTTCTGGATGATATTGTTGTCGTCGATATATCAATAATTGCCCCTCTCTACGAGGCTCATGGTTTCCTTACGGCACGGCTATCTCTAGCCGTATCGTGGACCATGCCTCGGCCGATCTCCCAACGAGAAATCGACCTCGATCGCAAAAGTACTTTGGTGCTTGGGATCCAACCTCGACCCCAGTGTTGATAGATTTCATTGAAATATGTAAGGACCCGATGGTCTCCTTGGATACTTGGTTGCTTGGTCCCCCTCTTAGCCTGGATCCTCACTTACCAGCGAAACACCTAGGCCTCAAAAGATCCAATTCGTGACCGGGTACCCCCAAAGTCAAAAGGAAAAATCGGAATCTCGCAATTTAGTCAAAGCCAATGCCTCGAGGATCCGATGGAGGCAGGGCGATGTTCATACTTCCATCAGCACCACGCCTGTACAACCCCCCTCAAACCGACCTTTGGATTTTGTCGGTGAGCTCGATCTTCAAGGAGAGCCGTCACAGAGGAAACCATCCACCGCTCTTCAACCCTCGCAAAACACCCCTACCCTAGAGATTGGTCAAGAGTTTCTCTCGGCTCATGATCCAACCCGTTTACAGCCAGGGTCTGGGTTACCCGTTCCTGAGATTCCCCGGCCTCTCAGCATCTCTTTTTCTTATGTTCATCTCCCATTACAAAGTCAATCACCTTTGGCGAACCGCGGGACCGATGTGATTCTCGCTAAAGGTCAGTCGCTTTACATTGCCGCTCGCTTGATCGCTCTATGTCCTGTATGAACAATATTGACTCGGTGACGTACCTCCAGTGTACGAAGATCTTCATCAGATGTTCCCAGCAGACTCTTCCGGCAGAAGTCACATAGCAACAACGTGGTTCGAGACCATTATTGCCGATCCTGGACTCCTTCATGCCAGCTTGTATGCTGCCTTGGTCCGAAACAAAGTAACCAAACACCTCCTTATCGACCGAGAGGAGCTTAAAATCGCCGTTTGCCAGTCCGAAAGTGTCCAAGCTATCAATTCCAGGTTGTCAGACCCCAAACCCGGCGTTGCCTGTGGTGACCTTAATATTCAATCTGTTTTCAATCTTGCATTCAACTGCCTGCGGAGCCAGGACAGTGGCGCGGACAGCTCCTCGAGTCAATCCCAATTCACCCGTCCAGCTCAAGGCCCTCTCGGTTCATTGAAAATGATTGATGTTTACGGCGGTCGCATTGAGACAATGCCAGTACATTGCCATGGCCTAAACAGGATGATTTCTGTCCGTGGTGGACTTCACAAGCTCGAATTGCCGGGACTGGCGTCACAGATATCTTAGTGAGTGATAGTAAATGGCTTGAGTTGGCATCGACTACCCACTAACGAATATTTGCAGTAATGATCTGATTGTAGCTTCCCGTCGGCTCGAGCGGCCCTCGCTGCATTTCGTCGCTGGTCTCAATTTCGACATGGCTATGTCGCTGTCAGCGCTCCGTCGAGTTGACCGCCCACTCCGTCAACTGGGCCACGGGTTTCGCATTCTAAAAACGCTCCGTCCCGACACTTCAGACAGACTGTTAACATGTCTCCACCATCTCAGCCTATATACTCTTGGCATGGATGACTATCTAGCCGTACGCCCCGAAGCGCAATCACTGATAGTCATCGCGGATCAACGAAATTATGTCCAACACAACCTCATGACCAAAATACCTAATTCAAAATCACCTGACACCCACGACAATGATGAAGATCATCTTCTTACCCTCTGCCATCTAGCCGCCACCATCTACAGTTTTCTCTGCATCTTCCCAATTCCCGCCGCTCCATTTCATTCCCTCGCAACACGAATCAGAACGATCCTTGGATATGCCAGATTAGCTCGCGAATTCGCTGAAGCGCCTGAACTTATGCTGTGGATCTCTATCATGGGAGCACTAGCGTCAATCGGCAGTCCGACAGGAGATCGTGCTTGGTTCGTCGCAGCTCTTGACCGTGGCTTCAGAAGGTTGAAGCTCGAGTCATGGGACGAACTGCGCGCCCTCTTGTTGCGCTTTCTCTGGTTTCCCAGTACCAATGATTACGACGGTGGTGTCTTATGGGAGGAAGTCGAGGCTTCCGATCCATTCGATTTTGGACCGCCCAGCCAGATCAGTGCTGGAGGTGTCGGCTGAGGAAATTCGGTGTCTTGGTTTCATTTTTATTACATCGAAAGACCTCTATGGGTTAACTGATCTCGTTCTCAGTGGACTGGAGCACACTCATTGCTTCAAGACCAGGCACAAGCAATACCCGTCACGGTTTCTGCTCCTCAATGAGATCACGAAGAGCCATCCAAGCTCTAACTCTATAAATCAGGACCGTCATGGAAATATCGTGCGGCCATTGGCCTGCCACCCATATATAATTCCAGCATGATTGTGAGGAGTAAGGCATGCTATGTCCAAGGGGTATGGACAAGAAAGAAATATCCGCAATTGCTCGCTCGTTTAGTGAGACAAGGAGGATGGCAGAGTAGATGAGCTGCCCACGTGAGGGAAGCGTCCCAATTATATAGCGAAGGAGAGGACGGTGCCGATAACTCCTATACCGTGTTGGCTGCATCGTGGTAGTAGAGCCAGGCGCCATGATCGCATCTGATTATGGATTTGAATGAATGAATGAACGAACAAATGAATTAATGGATACATATTTACTATATACACTCTTCTGCGATCGTCTACTTGACTCTGTTCTGCTCTGCTCTGATCTGATCTGATCTGATGTATTGTTCCTAAGTATCAGTCAACCATCTCCTACATATGTATTAATCCCTGGTCGCCAGGTCAAAATTGTCCAGATTACCAGGACTGGCAGATCGCTACGACAGTGACAATTATGGTTATGCCTTTTACTCTTACATCATTTTATAACGTTCATATATAGAACAGGAGATGTTATGGTAGAAAATCTTTTTTTTAAAGAATCTTTGTCATCAGTCATAATCATTATATGCCGTAGAACGTATATACAGGCTGAAAAGGTTTGTTGTACAAGAATAGTGGTCCATCGTCAATCTCTGATGATGCCTTGCCTCAGATGGGACATCGAAGCCAATCTCAATGTTTGGTTGTTGAAGGGTATTTATTCAAAGCCAATTGTGAATGGCCGAATGTTCGTGAATCCCGGCATATTTGAGATTCTCCTTGATGTCCGCCAGATCGCATGCGTCGCAGATCTGGATGGGACTAGGGAGAAAGTAGAGATCATCAGAATTTGAAATGTCGTTTCTGAGAAGATACATCTGACAGCATATTGGTGATGAGGTTGGTGGCTCAGAGGCCGGTGGTCTCTGGGTGTGAGATGAGTAGGAGCTACTAGCTCTGTCGCATTCTGAGAGGTGGTCGCAATCTGAGAGGTCGACAACTAGACTGATGCGATGGACTTCGACCAGGGGTGGTGGACTTAGTTCTTTATCTGAAGGCGGTTGTTCGCTGGCCTGTTTGCAAGCGGTAGCGTGGGTTTGGTAGAGATCGGACCAGCGTTTATTGCAAGCTGACTCTTCTTCATTCGATTTCTCCGTGGTCTTCTTGCGATGTCGTAGTTTCTCAAAACTGGTGAGAGACAATCTGAAGGATTTTGGGCGATGCATTTTTTGACGATGAGATAGAAGTGAACTTCACACGAAAGCTAGAAGAAGGGAAGCATAAACTACGGGGACATTGGGGTCTCAAACCTGGATAGATATAGTTCAGAGCAGAGCGAGTCGCGTGCTCTGGGCATTCGTAAGTTCTCTGAAACTTGTGTAATCTGGCTTGCATCGAGCTGGAAGAAGCCGTCCGTCGATTCATGGAATGCCCGTGCTTTTTGTCATGCCACGCGAGCTGCCTACTTGAGTTAAACGGACGGGCGGCAGGCAAGCATAACTTTCGACTTTCTTCGGGATGAAAGGGAGAAAATCCCACGGACCTTTTCACCACGTGTTTGACACAACCCGAAGAGATGGTTCAGGTGGATGTACTCCGTAAATGAGATCATTCTCGGCAGAAGGATGGTTGTTTGGGTTAGATGTGTTTGACGCACAGGGCACATTTCTTCAGCCTGGGATGCGGAATATTGAAGTTATATGGGCGCACGGTCGCAAAAGTTGAGCAGGCACGGCAGGATGAGAGAGATCCACGAGATCTCAAGCATTGGCCACGTAATTCGTCGATCTCCAAGGTATTTATCATCGAGAGAAAAAGTGTTCCTGGATTCTCGGCATCGCACACAATCGATATGGAGAATTGCATCTGTCTCCCGATTTCCAAGCAACGTCGGATATCGGGTGCGTCGATGCCGAGAAATGTCTTTGCGTAGATCCCCGATGCATTATACACTGTTTCCACAAAGGTGTTCTGTCCGTGTCTGGATTGATGTGGATTGCCAGCCTGGTGGGAACTCATCTATCTAAATAATAATAAGTCCTTCGTAGTCCGTAGTGTATTTTCCGAAGCGACCTTGGCAAGGATTGTGAAATGAAGAATCTTTCACATTCCATCGCACCTTCCCTGCCGTTTGCTTGTTCCCTTCCTTCCTTATATGCCTCGTTCTGAATAGGAAGTGACGGTTTAATTGTCATCCGGAAGGCGCTACCCGACTGACCCAGTATGCGACTGACTATCACCTCAACAAGCTGGTTTTCGCTTCAATTATGTAGCATTATTCCAATCCTGAAAATGATCCATACAAAGAAGACGGTAACTTTTGAATGCTATACTAGTTCCGTATTTTTTTGGGTCCGAATATAGCTTCCTCGGACGATTCTATGCACCGAAGCGACTAAGAGCTCTCTCGCTGCTTCTTCTGCTCAATCGTCTTCACTTCACTGTCTCGTGGGTCTCTTATTTCTTGACTTGGATTTCCTTTTCTTCTAGACTCTTTGATTGCGGCCTGTTCAGAAGCGGCTGGTTTGTTGCTGTGGAAAATATAGTAGCCCGGGATGAGCGCAATTGCAGCAAGCCCAGCAAGACTGCATGTGGTTAGCTACCTAGCTTGACTTAGGTGACCATCTAGATCGCCACCATCAGGTGACTCACAATAGCGGTCTACTCTCCTTGCCAGATTGAGGACCAGTTGATCTCGAATGGTCGACCTGCTCTGCGTATGATCTTGTCACTGTAGGTTTCTGGGTTCTGATGATGACAGAGGATGCTCTGGAGAGTGGTCCTCCGAGAGAGTGGCTTTGATGGGCGAGAATTGTGGACATTGCAAAGGAGTATGGATATCGTGTATGCATCACGGTTCGAGTGTTGGTTCCTAATCAATTAGACAATGGAGAACAGACTGTGTTTAGTGTCATCTTAGAAGAACAATGTTTTCTATGAATCTTTCAAGAACGGTCGCGTCATGATCTTATTCCTTACATCATGATTTTATATGACGTGGTCGAGGGAGTTCAGTATCCGGCCCAGTGAATACCTAGGAGTGGTTGGCTGAAAAGGGTCGCCACATGACATTTCATCAGTCCGTGAATTACTTATGTCAAGGCATCCTTCCATCCAATGTCTGGCTTCTAGTCATGGAGCTCATGTTTATGGAGATGTGAAGATGTGAAGATTCTTAAGTCCGAATGTATCCTACCCCTCAAAGGCTCCCATCTTCCCCGCACAGTTTACGGAGTACTTTTTGTCCAGGTTAGCATCTTGTCCTCCAACAGGTATGGATATAAGTACTAGGTAGGCATCGATATACCGAGATCTAAAGATAAGTACGTCCCATACTCGTACCCTGCTGTGTCATTTTTCGCAACTCCATCACCTGGCGCTAGACTAGCAGACAAAGATTCTTCAAAGCGAAGGTTGCTTCAAACAAGCGTCACAATCCCATCATCAAAATGAGGGCTCAAGTCTTGTCAGCCTTCAATGAACCCTACGTGTTCCAAGATGATTTACCAACACCCAAAGACATCCCCAAAGATGACATATTGGTAAGAGTCCTCGCTGCCTCCTACTGCCACACCGACACAGTCTACTCCACAGGCGTCATGCCACCAGCAACACTCCCCCGAGTCGGCTGTCACGAGTTCACTGGCGAAGTTGTGGCTCATGGCTCCGGTGTCCCACCTAGTCTCCTCCAGACCCTCAAAGTCGGCACCAAAGTTGGTGTTCCCGTTCGTTCCTATCACCCTTGCGGACACTGTCTAGAGTGCCTGAACTCCGAGGACGATGATGTCCAAGGCTATAGTGTCATTTGTCCTAAAGCACATCGACTTGGTATCTCGATCGATGGTGGATTCCAAGACTACGTCTGTGTCGATGCCCGCCAGGTCCAAGTCATCCCGGAGCCTTTGACTGCACTTGAGACAGCGCCGCTCATGTGTGCTGGCTTGACTATTTTCGCCGCCCTGCAACGAATTCAGGTCGAGTGCCGACAGAGGGGCCGACCGTGTGACAAGATTGCAATTATCGGGGCGGGCGGGGGTCTTGGTCATCTAGGTGTGCAATTTGCCGTCAAGATGGGCTTTTCGTCCATCATAGCGACCGATGCGTCCGATGGTGCTATGAAGGTTGTCCGGCGCGTCTGTGATGGGTTTAGTACTTCTGAAAAGGAAAGGGTTTTTGTGGTAGACGCCCGTACGACAGATCCCGCTGAGTTGTTGGAGACTTACTTCCCTCATGAGGATGCGTCTCTTGCCATTGAGAATGGCGTGGATGCAGTCATCGTTCTCCCAGAGACGCAAAAGGCCTTTGACTATTCAATGAAGATTCTCCGCAGACATGGAACATGTTGTATCGTCAGCTTCCCTTCTGGATTTCAAATGGATCCTAACGATCTCATCTTCCGTGACATCAAGATCATTGGAAGTTTGATCGGGACGAGGAAGCAGATGAAAGAGATGATGCAATTGGCGGCAGATACGGGTGTCCGCGCCCAAATCAAATCATTTGCCTTGGAAGATCTCAACACACTGGTGGATGAATACCATAAAGGCAACGGTGGGAAATTGGTCATTGATATGACCTTGAACAAGGACCAGTGAAGAGAACACCCTTCAGTCGCAATAATATCAGACATACAACAAACATAAGTTCGACACACATCCGGTATCCTGGATCTTGGACCAGACTCATCTGCCTCTGAAGCAAAGACGGTCATGGACTACGACGGATCAACATCTCTACCAAAACAGAGGAAAGGAAGGCTAGACAGGTTTTATGAACTCGTGATGTTTCGTTTCACTTCATTAACTCATGTTCCACAATAAGGTGGAATCGCTTTTGGCACTTTTGCCGGACCATTTGAACTATGCAGCAACCAGCAACCAGCAACCAGCAGCCGATCAACACCACTTCCATGTCACCGACCAATTTATGCTCAAGATCCAACCGAGACGCCTTCGCAAAATTCATGGCAGCTCGTGAAAACTTTCACTTTTTTTTTGGTGAGAAACGCCGCCCCGTAACAAACAACAATCTCCCCTCGATAAGCACGCCCCAAGGCATTAAACCTCGTGAAGATAACGAGGGATATGTGCAAAGTTTCTTTGTACCCATTCGCAAAACTCGGGAAAAGGCAGGGTGATTTGATGCCCAATAGTATCGCTTCGCATCGCATGAAAATCATCGACTGATGTATGATTGGGTATCGTAACTTTTGGAGAAACGAAAGCAGGGGAAAGGAAGATGATGGACGATGAGAAAGTCGTGTGTCGTGACCTCAAATCATTAAACATCATCACGCAAGCAATGTTGCTCGAATGCACCAAACAATGCATCGTCAATTCGGGAAGGTGTAGGAGGTGCAGAACGCTCAAACTCGAAGATGTCTTCATCCAGAGTGGCAGCAGGAGCAGCAGATGCAGTGGCAGCTGTGGTATCAACACCCAGGGTGGACAGACGTAGAGGCGAATTGGGATATTCACCCGCAGGGTACTCGTAGGTGTTGCCGCCGTAATAAATCTGGTTGCCCAACATAGTGACTGAGCCAGAAAGGAGACCATCGCCCTGGAAATTGTCGTCAAAGTCCAGATCGCCAGCTTCCGGATCGTAGGTGCCATAGTATAGAATGTCCTCTTGCTTGGCAGGTCCGCCAATAAGCGAAGCCAGGGTGGATGTTTTCTTCACTCCCTTGTCCTTGCGCGGCTTGCGTTTCTTGGGTACTTCTCCTTCGAGTGAGGTGCTGGTAGCCTTGCGTTTCTTGTCGCGGGTCTTCCGCTTGCTCTCTAGACCGAGATGAGCAGTGCGGATGTGTTCTTCTAGACTGGCTTTGCTTGTAAAAGAACGTGCGCAGCCTTTAACCACGACGTCTTGATCGCCGTCTTCGTCCAAAATTGTCATCTCTGTCTCACCACAGACAAAATCGCGGCGATTCTCATGTACTGTCTTGATGTGGACATTGAGGTTGCCTTTCTTGGTGAATGCTTTACCACATCCAATATGGTCGCACACGAACGAAGGGTTGATGACTGGTCCATCCGGTGGAAGAACACCATGCAGAAGTTCCAAATGGCGGGTCAATTCCTTGTTGGTGGTGAATGATGTGGGACATTGAGGACAAGTTGGTGGATGCACGATCTTGAGATGTGCCTGGAACTCTCCATAAGTAGAGAATCCCGCAACCTGTTGGTGGCTAGGGTCCAAGTCACCGCTAGCCAACAAGGCCTGATTGTGCTCCTGGCACTCGATGCATGAAAACCTTGAAGGATCATGCTTAGCTCTTTGATGAGCACGTAGATTCTCGGCGGTGTCATATGCTTTTTCACAAGGTTGACCAGTGACAGAATCAGCTTCCTGACAAGGGAAGGGTCTGATGTTGTGATGAACAGACAAGATGTGTCGATCTAAAGTGCCTTGCTTCCGGAACTCTTGACCGCAGTCTGCATAATCACACCGAAACTTCTGCCCCTCATGAGTATCAATGTGTCTGCGGAGGCGGGTCGCGGTGGTGAAGCTTTTGTCACAACCCTCGTAATCACACTTGTGGTCACGGATTTTCTGATGTTGGCTTTTGACATGGTGCTTCAGGTGGCTGTCCCGGAGGAAGGATTTGGTGCAGGGAAAGTAGGAGCACTTGAAGGGCCGTTCATTTGTGTGAGATCGAATGTGTTCTTTGAGACGAGCCTGGCGGTTGAATGCCTTCTCACAATTTTCGTATGGACACTTCAGATTCTTGGGTCGGGACAGCCTAGAGCTGCTACCGGAAAGGGGTGTCGTTGCAGGTGTGGAGGAGGCTTGTGGGTGGGTGTCGAAGTCATCGTCGTCAGAGTCCGCTGCCGCAAGATCGTAGTCGTCGCAGAGATCAAAGTCCTCGTCCTCGTCGTCCGAAGCTGCCTGCACTCTGGGTTTCGGCATGGCAGCGGCCAACGACGCCGCTAATGGCTGAGGAATAGCACTGAACAAGCGTCTCAATCGCAGTTAACTGGGAAGATTTGTCTGCAGAAGGGACAAACTTGAACTGTGATTTCTTGGACAACCAATGACAGTGAGTGGGGTTGGGCGTTTCGGCAGATTTTCATACTGTAGTGATTACGGACTTGCGGGATGTGCGGTTGGCCCAGGTCTCCGCTGACAGAACAATTTTCTTGTTCGCCGGGGACTGTGAGGATAGGGATTGCATGAGGTGGTGATTGATTCGTCCAGGTTTAGCCAAGATCTGTCCACTTTTTTTTTAAAAGACACTCCGTCCATTGGTGATCACGTGAATTTTGATGCCAAGAGTTTTCTTGAGTTCTAAAGAAAATCACGTGATTATGATTCCCGCATTTGTGACTTGGGGGAATTTGAACTCACCGGTCGCGGAGTCAGAAAAGTTTTGAATTCACTGGTTGTTGACAATATCATTGCGCGCATACGACTGTGTTGAGACATTGCCTGCACTGTCTTCCAATCCACTCGTTTCTACACACATCTAAAACAACAGGTTGTGACCTTGAGTCAAGATCTAATCGGACACCTCTGCAACAAAACTTCACATACCCTCCAAGTCACGTCTTGATCATGTCTGACTACGGCGATGAGGGCGGGTACGTCTCCATTGACACACGCTTTTGCTGCGTCTGTCTATGACTCCCGGAGAGATGGCTAACATAGTCTGACAGCTACGGTAACGATGAGCCGGATGACACCTTTTACGAACCCGAAGAAGACGTTCAAGATTTTGCCCCCGATGCCGAAGTAGATGAGGATGCGATCGAGGCCAACCGCAATGCCGAAGATGGCGATGATGATCGAGTTGTTGTTTCCGGCGATCCCAACCAGGTTCAAAAACCCTCCAGCGACGCAGACAAGAAAATCCCCGACGATAAGCGAACCACCACTCCATACATGTCAAAGTACGAGCGGGCGAGGGTTCTAGGAACAAGAGCGTTGCAGATCAGGTATATACCATTTTCTTGAGCCGCTGGCTACTGAACAAGATCTTTCTGACATAATCAGCATGAACGCACCTGTCCTTGTCGACCTCGAGGGAGAGACCGATCCTCTTCAAATTGCGATCAAAGAGTTGAACCAGAAGAAGATTCCCCTTGTCATTCGACGTTATCTTCCTGACGGATGGTGGGTTCTTCGTCATGCTCTTAGTGGTCTATACTTGTCTAACTTGGCTCAGGTACGAAGATTGGACATGTGAAGAACTGCTATGAAACCTCGTAGGGTTCGTTACCGCACTCCCAGCGTCTCTCGAACTGTTCGACCAAGCTCCCAATGCACTTCGCTCGCTCTTCGCTCGCTCTTTCGGCCTACAAGAAGCCGCGACTGGTGGTGGCGGTGGCGATGGCGGCCGTTTCCATGTGATTTTTCGTGCCAATCCCTCGTTATAACCTGGTGTCGACTGCCGCCACGAAGACTAGAGCCTCCTTTGAGTATATGCGAAACCTTACCGGGGAACACCTCCTCCAGAATTGGTTATTCCTACTTCGCGACGGTCCTTGGCCACGAGGTCGCCACCGCCGACCCGGAGAAAGCTCACAATGAGGCCTGTCAATCAAGAGGACTCTATGGTTTCACGTCTTCAAGAGCGTCTCCTCAGTATTCGCGCAGCGATCATCGTCCTCATCCACAGGCCGTGCATCTCTAGCGATGAAGTCCAACCTTGCACAAATGCCGTGATGAAAACGTTCGGCAGCCGGTTGTATCATCATCATAGAAAGGATCACGAGTCACGGGGGGATTACCGAGGCGGTCGGGGTCTGTGATAGGAGTCGTGCATTGTGCGAGGATTGGTTCCAGTCCATCCTCGACAAGAGGGGATTCTTCCGCAGTTGCAGAAATTAGGTTTTCAATGCATATCTCTATATCACAATGGCATCGGAATCATGTAACACGAGTGCACTTCATACGTATGTCAGCTTGATTGAGGATACCGTAGTCTACAAGTCTACTCATACCTGCAAACCTCTCTTGCTACTTGAATACAACGCAAGTGGGCCGGGCTGGATGTCTCTGAACCATTGACATCAGCAGTCTAAACTAGCGAAACAGCAATGACGTTGGATCAGCAAGTCTCGATGCAGTTGAGAGGTGAATTGATAACTTTGAACGAGATGCTTTAGTTTCATTTGATTTGATTTCATTGATCCTGCTAACCTACTTGATTGCATAGTGACTAATCGAAGTAGAAGACAGGAAAGAGGTAGTCATTCCCAAGGCGTGACTTGTGTTTCTCAGGAAACAAGATACTTTTTCGTTTTGTGTTTGTGTTCGCCTTCATGACCGATCCACCGCGAGTCAAGTCAAGTCAAGTCGCCGCGGAAGGAAAGACCCATTTTGAGGCATTTGAGGACATACGGCAGGCAGGCAGCAATGGCAAACATCCAGCTTTCTAAACATGACCAACCAACCCCTTCTTTCATGGCATACCACAGAATACCGCTCTAGTTCATTTGTCTGACCAAAGCATTGATGTTCTCCTCACGGTTACCCAAGTCACCACCCTCGATGTAGTGCTTGAATTTGCGGGTACGGAAGCCACCGGTGGGGTTGGACAGCTTGAAGGGCCACAGGAAGTTCGCAGCCTGCTTGAAGTTGGGGCCAACGGTGAAGATCTCGTGGATCAAATCCTCCACACCGACGATACCGTACTTGCCAAGAGTATCTTCGATGATCTGGTTGTCGGTCAAGGCAATGCGTTGCTTGTCGACCTTGCCGTATCCACGCTTGTAGATGAGTTCGCGCACGGTCTTCAGGTTGGGGTAGCCGTAGGCGATGTAGGGGTTGACGATGGTCAACATCTCTTGGGTGGCCTTGGTCAACTTGATGAAGACGCCGTTGTTGATCTGGAGGAGACGGAGGAGTTGGAGAATCTTGCGAGGCTTGGGGGCAATCTTGTTGATACTGCAAAACTTTTGTTAGTTTTTCCTTCTTTGCAATCGGTTTTGCTCGACAGGAGAGACACTTACCCCTTGATTCTGATGACGAAGACAAGCTTGGGGGTCTCGTCAACGAACAGGGTGCCTTGCTGTCGGCTCACGCGAGCAAGTCTGATCTTCTCGCGCTCCGCATCACGGTATTCCTTGACGTATGACTCGGCACGCTTGAAGAGAACTTCACGCTTCTTCTTGTTGTCCTATAGTACTTCCGTCAGTCAAAATGCTCACAAGAGTTCGCAAGTCTGGAGGATGGGTTGTGGAATTTGAACGCTCAGCCCCGAAAGATGGTTAACAAAGCGACAACATCGACCTGGGTCTAGCCGCGAAGTGTGGTATTTATCATCACCGTAAAACAGAAAAAAGAATGTGTGCGAATATGGAGAATGTGTAAACTTACAGCCTTGCGCTTTTCGATGGCAGAGCTGCGCTCGGCTCTGGCCTTCTCCTGGCTCTTTCTCTTCTTCAACAAGGTCTCAGGCACGAGGACCTGGTCCTGGGTTGGGACAGATCTGTAAGGGGGATGGTGATCAGTATGGTCTCGTGGGTGTGTGAAAAATGAATCGCCGAGTTGGAACTGCAGCTATGGCGCGGCATTCTCAAACTGGTGACTGGGTGTAACTCGACGAAATGAATTTAATCAGTGAGACTATTGATCACAGTAGCTCTGGCATTTCTGCTCAGAGCATCGTTGACAATTTTGTCTCATCTGACAAGGCCTCGACAAGATGTCAAGATATTTTGCGCTCTTCGATATTTCCCAGGGTGACAACCGTGGTACTCATCTTCATGAGCTCAATGGTTTTCAAGGAAGATGATGTGATTCTTCTATCCTCAATGCCCCAAGTCCTTCCACCACAACTGTGATTTCTCATGTTCTCTGGTGTAGGCCATCGGGAGGATCGAGCTGGCGCAGCTCAGGCGAACCAGCGATTTTGCGGACCATATCTGCCGTTCCCATAATCAGCAGACAAAGACATATACTTACGATTTAACGACTGGCTTGGTCATCTTGACTTGGTGTCGCTGGTTGAGGATTTGGCGTGGAGAAGAAAGGGAGGATGTGCGGTGAGGTTTGATCGAAATTCTGATTCTGGGAGGGAAAATCGACGAGACTGCGCTGAGTTGTGGGTGAGCTAGATCAAAAGTGGAAAAGCGTTGTGAAATCTTGGCGTTCAAAATCACATGACCATATCTCGCGCCGGGTGTTGATAGAAAGGTTTACGGGTTACGTGTGTATAGGCAGACAGATATCAGTTTCTTTCCGTCTTATTAGCCACACCCTGCAGATGAAAGAGACATAGTCATGTCAACTCGGCGGGGCGTCGGGTTAGGCGCCTTCACACAACGCAATGCTACCGCACAACAATATGCCGCTCATGGTTCCAATCTCAAATCTGCCAATGCGGCGTCGCTCCAAGCCCAGCTGGAGGTCTTCCAATCTCTTCTACACAACTTTGCTCTAGAACATGCTGCGACTATCAAGTCGAATCCCACATTCCGCGCAGAGTTTGCTCGCATGTGCAATGCCATCGGAGTAGACCCGCTTGCTGGCAGCAATATCAAAGGCAAAAAGACCGATTCTCTCTGGGCCAAGGTACTGGGGCACGATGTCAATGACTTCTACTTTTCGGTTGCTGTACGTGTCGTTGAGCTGTGCCAGTCAACACGTGCTGAGAATGGTGGGCTTTTGGGATTGCAGGAATGCTGTGAGAGTGTGAGCAAGGGCAAAGCCATTGGTGGTGGCCTGCAGGTCTCTGAGGACGACATCGAGCAGGCAGTCAAATCACTGGAACCGCTTGGATCTGGATTTGTGATCCTGACGATTGCTAGCAAGAGATTCATACGTTCGGTGCCAAAGGAGCTGAACACCGATCAGTCTACGGTCCTGGAAGTTCTGCAATTGCTTGGGAACGTTTCGGTCTCGCTGCTTCAGCTCAACCTGAACTGGGAAAGAGCCCGCTCTGAGACTGTTCTACAGGACCTGTTGGCAGATTCTCTCGTTTGGGTCGATTACCAGTGTCGTGAGCCAGAGTACTGGTCACCACAAGGGCTGGTTGATGAAGCTTATTGAGATGGGTCCAACCATCTGCGAGCAGAAGTGGCCAACACTCTTCTTGCCGCACCAAAGATCTATCTATGTGGGGAGTGAGCGCTTATACTCTTCTTTCAGAACCCATCGCCCTCGACCACGGCTGCCCTTCTCCAGCTTTGCAAGCAGCTTCAAAGTCTCTTTGAATTCCGCAGTGGCTTGTGGAGTTGTACAGAACCGATTGAAATGGTCAATCAGCATTTGCGTGTGTACAGCTCCGCCATGGGCTGTCAGATAGTCACGAATCAGACGGCCAAATTCTTTCCCCTGAGGTTGACCTGGGGTGCTGGACCTAGACCCTGTCGCTGCAGAGCCAGAAGAGCGTGCGGGGCTCGACGTACGAGGAGTCAAATCATGTGCCGCGTTTGCCTGGCGCTGCTGCAGATTCGTCAAGAGACTCGATGACTGAAACCCGCCACCTCGCGACCTGGAATTTGAGCTGAATGCCCGCTGGGCAGTGGTTTCTTGTGGTCTGCCAGATACGCCAAATTGGCCCGTCCAGGTTGGAGTTCCAATGGGCACAGTGCGAGCGACTTCACCCGCACGTCTGAGCTCCCTTGCTGCTTCCGCAGCTACTTTACGAGCCTCTTGCTCAACGAGCACAGGGTCTGCGGCAACCTTCTTGGGCGTCTTACCGTCGATGATGGCGTCGTGCTCGACAGCGGAGTGAATGCCTGAACGGGCGAATATACCTTCCATCATTCTGGCTTCTGAGTTTGCTGCGCCCTCCTGATTTGCATTCTTCTCCTCTTCGGCTTCGCCGGCGAATTGCTCAATCGAAGACACTCCGGGCAATGCTTCTATATTACCATCTTGCTGAAGAGAAGGCGAGTTCTTTTGGTCGTCATTTTTTGTTGATGATGTTTGAGGTTTGGAGTTTGACTTGTACTGAACCTCTGCGCCTCTGAAAAGAGCGCTCGTCTCGGTTGGGTCGCCCTCGTCACCCAAACCAAACAAATCATGTAAATCGTTAAGATGGAAGGTTTGCCGCTGTTTCGGGTCCTTAAGGATTTTGTTAGTGAGGAATTGCTTGAAGATCTGTCGATGGTAGATCTTTTCTTCTATCGTGCCAGCCGTCATCAAACGATAAATAGTCACTTCCCTCTTCTGACCGAGACGCCATGCTCGTTCACGGGCTTGCAAATCTGTCGAAGGGTTCCAGTCAGGATCGTATATAATCACTCTATCGGCGCCAGTCAAATTGATGCCTAGACCACCGACTTTGGTGGTGAGCAAGAAGACATGCAGACGAGGATCGGTGTTGAATTCATCCACCATAGTTTGCCGCTGTGGGATTGGAGTGTTTCCATCCATCCTCCTGTACTTGAAGCCTGAAAGGGATTGTACGTATTTCTCCAGAATGTCCAGCATGATTCTATGCTGAGCGAAAAGGAGTGTCTTGTGGCCAGTCTCCTTCCACAACTCCAGGAGCGACCCAACGACTTGCATTTTGCCCGACTTTTCAGGTTTGCCATAATCATAGCCTGGTTTGATGGATAAGCGCTTGTGATCAGTGAGGTCCGGGTGATTGCAAATCTTGCGAAGAATATCCACTCCATACAAGACCTGCCTTTTCCCTCTCATGATGGCATCCATATCTGCAGAGTTGATGAAGCGACTGTATTCGGCCCGCTGCAACTTTGATAGTTTGCAGAACAGCACTTGTTCGCTTTTTTTGGGCAAGTCTGAAGCAACGTCGATTTTGAAACGTTGAAGGAGATAAGGACTGATGGCATCCTTAAGGGTTTCGGCGCATTTAAATGCGGTCTGCACCTGAAGGTTCGAGGCGTTGGCGTAGCCCCCTTGACGAATGGGGATCTCAAATTGATTGCGGAAATTAACCAGCGTACCAAGTCGCATCGGAAAGACGAAGTCGAACAGTGACCACAGTTCGATAAGATTGTTCTGCATCGGCGTCCCAGACAGGATGATCCGGTTTGGTGTACGTAATTCCTTGCAATATATGGTGATGGCAGTGTTGGGGTTTCTGATCTTGTGTCCCTCATCGAGAATGGCATACTGCCAGTCGACAGGGATTAGTAACGGGGCATAGGTCTGTAGACCAGTATATGTGGTCACTAGAACACCTCCGCTTTCTAGAACTGGCTGTAGCAGCTTCCTAGCCGACTTCTGGGCAGGTGTCAGTGGTTTGTCGCGGCGACTGGGATCCCACATCATGTCCATGAGCCTGTCTTCTTGAGTAGATTCACTGCGTAAATTGAGCATACCGCTTCCGGAAGAATGCAGAATTGTGACACGAAATGGAGGCCACCACTTGTGAAACTCGTTGACCCATTGCTTCATGACTGTCGCGGGACAGACAACAATGAGAGGTTTGTTCAATTTCTTGCTGTAGTGTAAGCCAGCTAGAAATGAGATGATTTGGATGGTTTTACCCAAACCCATCTCATCGCCAACTATGCCGCCAACTTGCTGTGTATACAGCTCGTGAAGCCACTGGACACCCGTCTTTTGGTAATCGAACAAACTTGGGTAGATATCGCCGGGGATCTTGTAGCCGTCGGCAAAGACAGTGTCTGCGACTTCAGGGTGCGGGAGGTACGGTTCTTCTGCGATTTGAGCAGAAATGTCTTCAGATTCCTCTTCCGATTCTCCTCCAAGCGCATCTCCATTTTTAGATGCCTGTAGTCGAGCCCGGTGTCGTCTTTTGGCCCATCTCTGGAGGCGCGACTGGTAGAGTGATTCAGTACCATCATCGAGACCGCGAAGATCTTCTATCTCGTCGTCTGTGTGTCTGAGACTTGACCGACCTTTTCTCTTCTGTCTACCGCTTGTCGTAGGAAGGTCTTCGTCTTCACTTTCGCCTGCACCAGAACTGGAATCATTGCTGAGACTGCCCTCGTCATAGGAAGAATCTTCATTTTTGACAGCTGCATCTTGTCTTGATTGAACTCGACGCTTCTTGAGCGGTCGATTAGAGTCCAGATTTTCGTCAGTGTCAAGATCGACAAAAGAGGAAGCAAACCCTGGCTGTCGGAGATGTCGATGAGACATGCTCTTGGAAGCTAAGTCGGCTTCTTCTGCTTGTACGAGGTCGGTCTCATCCTCGGCGTCAAACAAAGCACCTTGTAGGGTCGCAGAAGACTCTCCATGCGATGATAACCCGAACTTGCTGAAAGGGGTTATTTTGCCGGTCCTGATAAGAAAATCTCGTTGCGATTCATTAGGGAGTCGACCAGAGGTTTGCTCGGGGCCATTGACGGCGGAGGCGTTTGCCTCGCGCGCGGCTATTCTCTCTTCGATCTCTGAGATGTCATTGTTGAGATCGTTGATCTGGGATTCCATTCGACTTATTTCAACATGGAGTTTGGCACGTTGGGTAGTACCAATAGGTTGGGAAATGGTCTCGCGGGTTTTACGGATCTGGTTTTCGAGCTTCTGCTTCTGGGCCTTGCTTTTGTCTAATCGTTGCTGATCTCTCTGATTTGCTTGTTTCGTGAGCATCTTGTCGGCCTCAAGGCCAATGTTGCGTTCTAGATCATCTTGATCGCGCACAAGGGCGTTTAGATTCTTCAATCGATCGGCCTCGAGTGTAGCAGCAGCCGGTGGGCTTCCATTGTGATTAGCCCCCATCGATTGGTCATGGCTGCCATCAATACTAGGATTAGACATTGTGAATCCTGTGAAATGGTCGAGTTTAGATAATTTTTGAGGATGAATACTGCGTGTCACGAGGCCGTCATCATGACCCCCGAGAACAGAACCACTTTATCGCTGCTTAATTAGGGGCAATCAAGAACGAGAAGCGGTAAAACTCTGTATCAAAGCGAGTAAAGTGAAGGCAACACAAAAGAGAAGCAGATATGTTGCGAAGATACAAAGAGGTGGCGACTGGATGCGTGGCAAACATCGATGAATCGAAGAAGCAAGAATGTCAGACGCTCGAAGACTCAGAAATTTTTGTTTGTGAGACTCGAGTCACTGCATCGCCCTGCCACAGGAGGATGATGGATTCGACAGGGAACCTCACTCTTTGAGTAGTGGCAATGTTCTTTGTCGCATGTATGGATGATTTCTCTCTTTTCAACGAGTACTTGCGTCAGAGGCCCTTGCACTTCGTCGAGGCTGATTGGGCCAACGGATGACCTAAGTGGTCCATTATTAGGCTGCCATGGCGGTCACAGGCAGGAACAGGAGGTCTTCACACGGCACCAACACTTCGCAGTAGATGATAGATACTTGGCACCAAACACTCCGCTGTAGCTGCCATCGGTGCCAGGTGCCTAGAAATGCCAGCAGAAATGCCAGGAACTCTCTCCTCTTGCCTGTTTGCACACGACGCTTCCTCGTTCGCGCCTTCCGTTGTTCTTCCTTATAATTACAGGCAGGAGATAACAGAGATCCTTCCAGCTGATTGCCACTGTGGCTTCTCACTTCTGACAAAGCCATCCAAATATTTCAAAATCAATGAAGACTGCAAACCCCATTAGTGAGCAACAATGACACATCTCTATGCCTGCCATGGCTCAAGAATCGGAGCCAAAGCCGGTTTAAACTAGGGACATGAGATAGCCGCCGTCTGGTGCCACCCATTTGACAAACCCACGAGTAGTATACACGCAAATGCCGTAGTTCTTAACACCTGCAGTCTTGATTGTTCCCTTGTCCTACTTTTCAGGTCGGCAATCAATTTTGGTTCACAAGATACGTAACTCGAACAGTCCGTAGCCCCCGCGGCCCCTCGGGCCCCATTCTCTGTCCAGCCAGGCATGCCAGGGGATTACCGCCAGCACCAAGTACTCCGTAGCCTCGATATACAGTCTTGTCCAAGAAGTAATTATGGGACATGGTAAGCAGAGACTGATGAATACAAAAAAAAGGTGAGTCTGATCCTCCAATTCTCGGCGGTTCATTTGTTCCTTAAGACTCAAGCAATCCAACGCGTGGCCACAAACCTCTTGGGTTGTGGTTGCTAATCCCAAACCACTCAGTCCGTAAACCTTGAAAGAGGGACTGCCAGGACTGCCACTCCGCCTGGTCATCCAACCAACTGCTTGTTCCATGTCTGAAGGGCAGATTGTTAATTGTTCAGTGCTGACAACCACCAAATACTGCGAAACACTCACTCCCTGAACATCGACTCACTAGCACTGCTCTTCACTACCCAGTTCAATGTTGACTCCATGACTCCTCGTTCCTCAAATCTACCACCACTCTGAAATAATCCCATTCCTGCTTGACCATTAAATTTGTTTGTCCTCGAACAACATCTTTCACCCTTCGCAATCTTTTTAATTCGTCGTTTGGGCCTTGAGCTTTGTACTTGTACCTCTTTTATTTCGGGCACCCGTTTCATTGGGCTAGTTTTCACTTCCACCGCCCACAGCCCCCCCAACCCTCTTCGCCCTTGGGTGTTGATCTACTTACCGTCTGTCATCTCTCCACCACCAACCCGACACCAGCTGTCACCACTGCCCAAGCTCGTTGCGCGCCCACCACTTCGTCACTTCACCCTATTCTTCCATTCTTTTTCCTCCTCCCAACACCTTCTCGACTTCTCGACTTCTCGACTCCTGGCCTTCTCTTTTCAACATCCAACGTCAACATCATGGCCGAATGTTGAGCCTCTTGGTCGCTTTTACCATGACTGTCATTCTACCCTTGTTCCTCCAGTCTTTGTCGACTGCGCTTACCGGAACTCTCCAGCCGCTCAATCAACCCCTCTAAACCACCAAAAACACCCTCACATTCTCTATCCTTCAGACCATTCGCAGATAGTCTCGAATCTTTACACCAGAATCTTGTCCCATACTGGATTGGCCGGTGCCACAGTCCATGAACAACGACATCGCCTAGACGCAGGCTAAGCAGCCTCAGCTCAACCCACCACGACTACCACCACCACCCACATACTCCCACATCCACCGTTGGCGCGCCTCGTCCCTCCAACTCACCCCCTTCGCCCTTCCTTTTCTCGATATGTCTCTAAACTCGGCCCCGCCCACTCAGGCACACGCCTACGATCCTCAGAACGAGGTTGATGTTCCCATGGAAGACGCCGATCCATACAACAGGTCAAAATACCCCCCACGCCCCATGCATCAACATCGTCTTTCTACACAATACATTCCTGAAGCTTCCTCTGCTGCTCAGCGCTATTCTCCCATGAACGTCCAACCTGGATCCTCTGCATATGCCTCCAGCCCAAAGGCAACAGCCTCGAACAACTTCTCCTACCTCAATCAGACTCCTTCCTCGAGACACTCTCCCACTCGTTCCACCAGCTACCAGAGCGATGCATATGGGGAACCTCCCACCCCGACCCGTTATCCTTCCAACTATGCTGCGGGTATCCAGAACAATGAGCTCAGCCCTGATGCGTATTATCCCTCCAACACCCCCAACACAAGACCGCCGCCATTGTCTAGGCAATCTTCCCAAGCTCGTGGTTTGGGTCCTGTACCCCGATTTCAAAAGGTCAAGACAATGCAGGATCTCACACCTCGAATCAATGCACAGCCTCAATTTCGACGGGCGAACCCCGAGGGTGGCTTCATCAGCCCCCTGCAGGCCCTGACTTCTTACCTTCCCGCAACATATCGGATATGTAACCCAAGCTTCAAATACGAGTCGTCTCGAAACCCGAGGCGAGTTCTGACCAAGCCGAGCAAGGGCACAAAGAACGATGGCTACGATAACGACGATAGCGACTATATTCTCTACGTCAACGACATCCTAGGCAGCGAGGAGGCCGGCCACAAGAACCGTTATCTCATCCTCGATGTGCTTGGCCAAGGCACATTTGGCCAGGTTGTCAAGTGTCAGAATCTTAGAACTCAAGAGGTGGTCGCGGTCAAGGTTATCAAAAATCGAACCGCATACTTCAACCAAAGTATGATGGAAGTTTCTGTTCTAGACCTGTTGAATCAAAAACTCGACAAGAATGACGACCATCATCTCCTCAGGTTGAAGGATACCTTCATACACCGCCAGCATCTCTGTCTCGTCTTTGAGCTGTTGAGTGTCAACTTGTACGAGTTGATCAAGCAAAACCAGTTCAGAGGCCTCAGCACGACCCTCGTCCGTGTCTTTGCCCAGCAGCTGCTGAATGGCCTGACACTGTTGAACAAAGCTCGCTTGATTCATTGCGATCTGAAGCCAGAAAATATCCTGTTGAAGAATCTCGAGAGCCCCATCATCAAAATCATTGATTTTGGTTCTGCTTGCGACGAAAGGCAAACTGTCTATACCTATATTCAGTCCCGCTTTTATCGCTCCCCAGAAGTCCTTCTTGGACTGCCGTACTCCTCTGCAATCGACATGTGGTCCTTGGGCTGCATTGTGGTTGAACTCTTTCTCGGCTTACCTCTCTTCCCTGGCTCTTCCGAATACAACCAAGTATCACGCATAGTTGAGATGCTGGGCATGCCTCCAACGTGGATGTTGGAAATGGGCAAACAATCCGGAGAGTTTTTTGAAAAGACAAATGATGAGTTCGGCCGTCGAACCTATCGATTGAAGAGTATGGAGCAGTATTCTCGCGAGCACAACGTCAAAGAGCAGCCCAGTAAAAAGTACTTTCAAGCGACCACTCTACCAGAAATCATCCGAAGCTATTCTATGCCACGGAAGAATATGAAACCGGCCGAAATCGAGCGAGGTATGTTCCCCCACCACGCCCACCACCCACCGTTCCCGTAACTAATGACGTGCAGAAATGAATAATCGCGTTGCATTTATCGATTTTGTTCGAGGACTCCTTACGACCAATCCACTTGAGAGATGGTCTCCTCAACAGGCCAAACTGCATCCTTTCATCACACAACAGAAGTTTACCCAGCCATTCGTACCCCCAATGAACCTCAAATCGCCTTCTTCGAGCAAGACACCCGCACCTGGTGTTCAACAACAGCAACAAGCCGAAGCTCTGAGCAAACAAAGGGCTGCTCAAGCGGCACAGGCGCAAGCTCAGGCTGCTCAGGCGCATGCACAGGCACAGGCACAGGCACAGGCACAAGCACAAAATGCAGCCCAGAACGCGTACGCAATGCAAATGACTCCATACCCACAATCGCAACCTCCCATGTATAACACCATGTACCAAGGGCATCAACAAGGTGCCCCGCCTCCATATCCAGCTCACAACGCAAATTACGCTCCGCCGATGGGTATGATGGCCCAACAAAACCCCCAGATGAATCCAGCGCATTACGGCCACCAACAGAACCTATACGCGCAAGCTACTCAGAGGGCAGGGCGACAACGTGCTTCTACCATGGATCAACAGCAGGCAGGAATTCCTGCAGCGATCCAACGTGTTGCAAGTCATCTTGACCCCAATGCTCCAATCAGGCTGCAGCCCAGCCCGGCATATTATCCACCACCCGCTGATGGCTATGTTGACTCCCCATCTTCGACTCGACGGCGAGGAAGTCGGAACCAAAGGAATCGTGACTTCATAAGAACTCTGGAAGACGGGGCAATGGGGGACACTTTCATGAACAAGGCGCAATGGCACTGAACGTTCGAGGGGTTTCTGATCATGCATTGTAAGAAATACCGCTCCCGCATCACAGTGTGTCCATCCTACCTTGACACCAGAAGGCGTCGGTTGATGATGATGACGACGATGGTCGAAGGGTCGGCCTGCTGGTTTGACTACACATAACCTGGGCCCCAAAGTGGGATCGGTTCAACCTGATGGCTTTTATAAGTCAAGTTGTCGCGGAGGTACGGCTTCCCAAGGGCAGAGGCTACGAGCCTATCACGGCTTCGGTATTATTAGCCTCTACACTGGAGAAAATTGGCATGCTGACTGCGAGCATTGCAGCCTACTTTTGCGGCTCGTGCCACTGGATTCTGCCTTCATCCGCGTGCGGTCACGAGACATGTACCTGACACCATTTGGGAAAGCTAGCACTCTCGGAACATTACCAGTTGGGACAACAGAAAGAGAGCTGTACAAGTCCGACTAAGTGGAACTTGTCCGGTACTAGTCCAAGTCTCTCAGGTTTCTGTTTCCTGCCGAGTCCCGTTACCGAAGTAGTATATCATAGAACTCAATCAGGACAAATTTTGACGCACTCTACAGGTGGGCAGTGGTTCCCATCGGGGACATAATTTCCCGCTCTATTATTGAATCAATGCACGCCCATAGATCTAACAGACAGCTTGACTGCCCACAGAAATATCCTTGACTCTATCTGTACATCACTGTGAAACACGTTATCAGCACTGAAAACGTTAAAAAGGCTGCAGTGGGAAATCCGGTCACGTGATGACAAGTCTTGGCGATGACTGGCACACGAAAAGTGCAGGAGGCGCAGAGTCACACAATTTTGTTGCCGCAGCCCAGACTCTTTTCGACCACCGGTCAACCACATCACCTTTCCGCCAACTGGCTTCGACTCTCCCACAAAGTCAGCCAACATGTCTTCACGATTCTTTCACGGCGGAGATAGCGACAGCGAGAGCAGCTCCTCCGAAGAGGAAGAGCTCTACAGCCACAGCGAAGAAGAATCCGAGGAGGAATCCGAAGAGGAAGAAGAAGACTCTGAGGAAGAATCTTCTTCTGACGATGAAGGACAAGGAGTCGGTGCGAGTCGTTTCTTGAAACCCTCGGGCGGTGCGGCCGACGATAGCGACGACAGTGAGGATGATGACAGAGAACGAGTCGTCAAGAGTGCAAAGGATAAAAGATTCGAAGAATTGGAGGGCACCATTAAACTGATCGAGAATGCCGAAAAGATCAACGATTGGGCCGTTGTTTCAACAGGTTTGCATCGCCTCATCCCGCGATATACAGTATTCTAACCATCTCTCTCTCCAGAATTCGACAAGATGAATCGACAAGTCGTTAAAGTCCTGCAGCAAGGCACCACCCCCAAAGTCTACATCAAGATCATTGCCGACCTCGAGGACCTGATCAACGAAACCAACGACAAGCAGAAGACCGGCGGCAAGAAAATGAACCCCATCAACGCCAAAGGATTCAACGCCATGAAACAAAAGATTAAGAAGAACAACAAAGACTATGCCACAGAAATCGACAAATACCGAGATGACAAGGATGCATACATGGAGTCAGAGGACGAGGACGACCACCAAGAAATTGTCGAGAAGCCCCGCAAGAGCAAAGTGCAACGGTTGGATGCCCTTGAAGCGTCAATTGATGAGGAAGGCTTCGCCACGGTTGGCAGAGGTGGAAAAACCCTGGTCTATACTCCCGAGAGCATCCTGAAGCACTTGAGATCCATTGTCGAATCCCGTGGCAAGAAGAACACCGACCGAACCGAGCAGATCCGGATTATGGAAAGACTTCTCGAAGTTGCGGTCAGCCCTTATCAGAGAATCCGGGTTTTGTTGACTTTGATTTCTACACGGTTTGATGTGACTGCATCGTCCGTCCAGGCTTATATGTCACAAGAGTCATGGCGAGCTGCAGAGCGTGAACTTTCTGCCTTGCTCGAGACTTTGGAGGCAGAGCCCAGCTGGATCGTTGTTGAAGGTGCCGATGAGTGGGAGGATGATGACAAGACGCCCAGCGTCGAAAAGGGAGAGATCTTCAAGATTCCTGGCAGTGTTGTCTCATTAGTTGAACGACTCGACGACGAATTGGCACGATCACTGCAACAAACCGACCCCCACACAGCCGAATACATCGAGCGACTTGGTGACGAACAATCCCTATATGCTGGCATTCTCCGAACCCTCATCTACATTGAAACTATCAACAAGAAACTCGAGAAGTCGGAGAGTCGGCAAGATAATGTTAATCGGGTCACCATCCGTCGCCTCGAACATGTCTACTTCAAACCTACTTTGGTGGTCAAGATCCTCGAAGAGAAAGCGTGGGCTGCGTTACCGCCGGCACTCAACTCAGAATTGACACCTCGAGGTCAGTACACCGAAGTTTCCGAGCTGGTCCAGAAACTCTGCAACCATCTGTTTGAAAACAGCGAAGGCATCATCCGGGCTCGTGCCATGCTGTGCCAGATTTATTTCCTCGCACTCCAAGACGAATACTACCGGGCTCGTGATCTCGCACTGATGAGCCATCTGACCGAGAACATCTCATCCTTTGACGTCAGCACACAAATCCTATTCAACCGAACGCTCGTCCAGATCGGACTGTGTGCGTTCCGCGCCGGTCTGTGCTACGAAGCCCAAGGAGTTCTTCAAGAAATCTGCGGTTCTGGCCGACAGAAGGAACTCCTAGCTCAAGGCGTCATCATGCAAAGATACTCCACCGTGACACCTGAGCAAGAACGCTTGGAACGACAACGCCAACTTCCATTCCACATGCACATCAACCTTGAACTTCTCGAGTGCGTCTATCTGACATGCAGCATGCTTCTTGAAATTCCTCTACTGGCACAAACAGGATCATCGCCAGACGTGCGCAAGCGAGTCATCTCCAAGACGTTCCGACGAATGCTCGAGTACACGGAGCGACAAGTATTCCAAGGTCCACCAGAGAACACACGGGACCATGTGATGCAAGCAGCCAAGGCGCTGGCGCAAGGCGATTGGAAGAAGACTCAAGAGCTGATCTCCAAGATTGCCATCTGGGACCTACTGGGATCAGACAAGGACAAAGTCAAGGAGATGCTGTCTGCACAAATCCAAGAAGAAGGTCTACGGACATACCTGTTCACATACGCGCCATACTACGACACACTGTCCATCACAACCCTGGCCAGCATGTTTGAACTCGACGCAAAGACCATCTCAGCCATCGTCTCCAAGATGATTTCACACGAGGAACTTGCCGCCGCACTTGACCAGGTCAACGACGCCATCGTCTTCCGCAAGGGCGTCGAGCTGTCCCGTCTGCAGAGCCAGGCCATCACGCTAAGTGAAAAGGCGATGGGTATTCTCGAATCCAACGAAAAGGTCCTAGAGACCAGAACTGCCGGTATGGTCAATGCCTTCCAACGCGATCAAGGCGGTCGAGGCGGTCGAGGCGGTCGTGGTCGTACTGGTGGCGGTCCGGCTGGTCTGCCTAGAGGTCAGCCCGGTCAGAGGAGACAACCTGGTGGTCAACAGTTCAGTGGTGGTGCTTTAGGCAATGCCATCAAGACTTAGTTACTAGTGGGAGAGAAATGGGGAATGGGATATGTGCATGTAGTTGGCCACCTTTTTTTTCTTCTCCTTGATCTCGTCCATTCATTATGAAGATGAAGACGAACATGCATTCAAGGAGAATGGGGCCTTGGGCTTTTGTTTGTAGAATGGCAGACAGACAGACAGACAAATGACTTGTATGAGTTCGAAAAGGAATTCACATGATGTTTTGATCTTTGATTTGAATGTGGGGAACTTGAATTGCTTCTCCCTGCTCCCTGTGTATTGAGTGGTTTGATGAACGACGGAGACGCCCTCTGCTTGTTAACTCACTTCGACTAATACTACTTGGTACAAGTCACACATTGTGACCTTCATCTGAACCATGACATGAATAAACGATAGAGTGGCTTCTCTTATTTAGATCAACCAATGTTTCATACTTGATTTATATCAACAATAAAGATAAACGCCAGGCCTGGAGGGAGGTAAAAATCCCAATCGAAACCTCGATGCCTGGAGACGCCGAAAAACATCCAAGACATCCCACAGACAGGTCTTTATACACACATGTTTAGACCATGATCATCAGCATCATCAGCAGCAGCATCACAGGACATCCATCCTCATGAGACCAATTTCTTCCATCCATCCATCCATCCCCTCTCTGAGTACGGGGTTTGCTTTTCACTTGTCTTCGGGCTCACGCCATGCCATGCCATGCCATGCCATGATGGTCCCATCAAGGCCGAACACATACCAACACGGAGCCCTAGCCAGCTAAACTCTCTAAGCCGGACTTTCATAATGTCCCAACCTCGTGGTATCCTCGGCGCCCGCAATCAACCAATTCCTCCTTGCAATCCACCTCCTGACACTATCACCCGCGGCGCGTCCAAAGACCACACACTCCAACAACGAACTACCACCCAACCGATTTCCACCATGTAAGCCACCTGTAATCTCGCCTGCGGCCCACAAGCCCTGAATCGGGCGTTGTTTCTCATCCAAAACCTCGGCATCGGAATTAAAGGCCACACCGCCCATGGTGTAATGCACGACTGGTGTCACTGTACCAACATACAAGACCGACGAAGCGTCTGGGTTCCTGAGTGTCCAGTTTCCAAAGGTCGTGCGTCCAAGCGGATCGGGGGTTTCTTGTGATGCGATTGACGAGTATGATTTCAGGGTATTGAGTAAGGGGGTGTATGAAGAAGTAGTAGAAGTAGTAGTTGAATGGGATTCAAACGTGGTGTTTGAGTGGCTTCGTTCTTGTTGTAATTCGGCCTCGAGCTCTCCGACGGTGGTTTTCTTCATCAGACCTTTCCACATGTAAAAATCGACGTGGCTTTGAACGGATTCGTAGGTGGTTTGGTCGAGAACGAGTTTAACGTCCCATTGTCGAAGTAAGACGGTGTTTTCGTCCGCTTCTTCCGAGGATTGAGGTTCCACGTCTTCGAGGTCTTGTACTCGTTCCGTCACGACTTTGCGGGTTTGAAGTTCGTCGACGAATCGTTTTCCGGATTTGGAGATTAAGATGCCGCCTTCGCCGCGGAGGGCTTCGGCGGCGAGGAATTTCGTGGGGCGGAAGCGTGCCGCTGGGTCGACGAACCCGGTGGGGTGGATTTGCACTTGGTCCATATCGCGAAGTTGGGCGCCGATTTGGCGGAGCAGGCGGGCTGAGCCGGGCATGGCGTCGTTGGTGCTGGGTAGGGTGGCGAGGTCGGGTCGGTAGAGGTGTAGTAGGCCTCGATTGTCGCCGGCGAATCCGCCAGCTGCGAAGATCACGGGCCCGCTGACAAGTTCTTTGTTTTTGTTGGGTGGTGCTGGCACGCCAGAGGAGGAGGGGTCATGTTTGTGTTCGACTTCGACCCCGACGACAACGCCGTCGGTACCTCTTCGGATCACGGAGGTGACGTTGGTGTTTGTTTCGATGGTGGCGAGTTTGCTTTCTTGGATTTGTTTGAGCAATGCTGTGACGATTGCTCGGCCTGGTGGTGTGCTGCCCGCGCCGCGATGTGTGCGAGCGAATGAATGGCCTCCCAAACGGGTGACGTGGCTGAGGTCGACGCCGATTTCGTCGGTGAGCCAAGTGATGGCGCTGGCGGAGCTGGTGGTCAATGTAGCAATCAAGTCGTCTCTTTGTTCGTAGAAGGACTTGTGCAAGAGTTCTGGACCCACGGAATTGGTGGTGTCATTATAAAAGGCACTGATCGAATCAGTCTTTTCGCCTGAGCGGCCTGTGGGTTGAAATCGAGTAGGAACGCCGTTGATGCCACTGGAGGCCTTGATACTGTTTCCGCCAAGATGAGCTTGACGTTCGATAATGTGAACGGGAATGTTGTGGGAGACGAGCTCGCTGGCGGCGGAGAGAGCAGCGAGTCCTGATCCAACAATGACGACTGGTTCGGTGGTTAGATCGTGGGAGTAGGAGGTCATTCGACTGAAAGTCTGAGGCCGTGCAGCAGTAGCCATTGATTGCGCAGAGGGAGCTCTGGACGAAAAGGCACTGATACTCGCGGTACTGAGGGAGAGGGTCGACATCTTGACGAGTAAGTCAATGTTGCGAGTGGTATGGGGTAACAACGAGATGTAGCGTAACGACACCATCGGGTATAAGTGTACATGCAAACGTGGGAGAAAATGAGTGAGAAAAAAGATGTCGAGCAACCTACCTGACAGTGGAACGTCACCTGCACCACTATTTGTTTATTACTCTGCTCACCTCACCTTTCATGCGCGACTCGGCATTTGGTCGCGTGAAAGGGTCAGTGGTCTGCTCACCTGGTGGACAAGCGGAGTTGTCCAATGGCTTTGACGTTCTTATTGAGGTATTATCAAACTGCTCCGTGGAGGGGACGGCGGAGAGAGTGGGCTCAGGCACAGATTGTGGGTCGAGATGGCAGATGCCGGAGAGGGAGGGTCAGATCATGTAATGATGGAAGCGAGAAAGAAACATGTTCGGGTAGAATATGCGGGTTTCTTCACGAGTATTTGAGCCCCGACCTCGCTGTTGGAAGCGGTGGATTGTGTTTGGCCGTCACGCCACTTCTCGGATGGACGCTTATGGGAATCCATCACTCCACCTTGGCTGAGACCGCCGCTTCTCGTTCTCGACCACTTTTGCATGGCCTGTGACCGAGAAATATCCAGAGTCTGGAGTGACAAGGTCTTAGAGAGTAAACTCCGGGGTAGAATCTGATCTGATGTGAATTGTGTAGAAGAGATAGATCATGAAGGTGGGAGAAGAGAGATGAAGTGATGGGAGAATGTCATTGGTTGACGAGGCCCGCGAGGTTGACCAATCATATTGCACAAGGCTGTGACGTATAGATTTGGCCGGATTATCTCCGTCTCGCTTGATATTCTACAATGTCTAGAAGGCTTTTAATGTCTCAGATAGGATGGCAGCGGCCTTGAAAGTGCAGATACATCAAAGACTCTTCTATATTGACGCCAAATCACCACAGCTTTCAATGCTAGCCCATCGGGTGGCGCCATCATATATTTCGTTCAGCTCATTCATTCTTCTTATGTGACACTGTATCTGCTCTCCGCTGCTCTGCTCTGCTCTGATCTACACAACATCAAACGTGCAAAACCATGTGTGCCAAGAAGATCAACGTCAAAGGCAGATACCCTGCCCGGGGCGTCGGTGTTCAACTCGCCATCGATGGCAATATCATGACCGCTTCTTGACCTCCGTCGCCCAGCCTTGAATGTCATCACCCTTGGATCCCACGGGAATGTCGACCGAAATATTCTCCATTCCTTTGGTGCCCATCATAAATTCAGAATTACTCATTCCACCCGCATTGGCGCGGGCTTCGGGCGCCAACTCCAGCATAGGGCTGAGAAACGCGCTGGTTTTCTGGGCCTCCTCGGGGGAGAAGTGATACTTCTCCCGCAGAACATCCGGCAATGCCCAGTGTCGTAATCGATGGATATTTCGTAATTCACCTTTTCTGTTGAAGATTTCTTGAGACCACTTGCCAGCAAAACATAACGATTTGGGGAAAGGTCCAAGGAGTTCGATGATCTGTGCAATGTGGTCATCATCTTTGCCATACTTGGTTCCCGATTGAGGATCGAAAAGATAGTCTCCGGTAATCAATTCAAACACCTGGTTGAAGTTAGCCTTGGAGGATACTCTCGCGTCTCGTGAATCCGACGACTTACCATGCATGCCATACTCCAAACATCTGTGCTCGCACCCCACTTCGCGCCAAGGATGACCTCTGGGGATCGATATTGCCGAGTTTGGATGTCATTGGTAAAGTGATGGCCAACCCAACAGGCGTTGCCCAAATCTGCAATCTTGACTGAAATGATCTCGCCCAGGGGATCATCCTGCTTCTTCGCCGCCTTGACCACCTTTTCAGCCTCAGTAGGCTTTTTGCTGTCCAAAGACACGCCGGCCAGGTCTTTCTCTATGGGATCTGTGGTGCCCTCACGGCTTTTCGCCGAAGCCGACTCGTCACTCGACTGCTTCGACCGAAGTTTCAGTTGCTCGACCATGGACAAGCCCTCGCTCTGTGACTTGTTTGTGGCCTCACTCAATACTTGATTCAGACTACTAGGCTGGTGGATATGCGGGTTCCCGATTTTGTCCAAGCCGGTGAAGCTCGCGTTGAGCGGACTGGGGAGGGGTTGACTGCCTGTGATCAGAGTTCGTCTTCTTCGACGGCCATTCCTATTGTCATCTTTTGACGATTCTTTGTCGTCCTTGACAAAAGCCTTGACAATTTGTTCAACGTCTCCAATCTCGATAAGGACGTTCTCTGGTTTCAGATCGGTGTGGATAATGCCACATTCTCGATGAAGATAATCGAGGCCAAGCAAAACTTGTTTTGTGATTTGCTTAACCAAAGGCGTGGGAATGCCTCGATGGTTCCACCTTTTGATCAAACCAAGAAGGTTTTCTCCCAAGACCTCAAAGACCATACAGACGTGGAGGCCGTTGGGACCTTCGTGTTGGAAAGAATCGAGAAGGCTCACAACGTATCTTCGGCCAGGATGATCCGGGTTGGCTTGGACAACTTTTTTCAGCAATTTGATTTCATCAAGAGCGGTTTCGGTGTAATGCGCGGCGGAGCGGACGACTTTGAGGGCGACATGTTTGCCGTTGGTAGTGTCTTTGGAAAGCCAGACGGTTGAAAAATGGCCCCAGCCCAACTTTCTTACAACAACATATCTGCCGTTGCAGTAGGTTTCACCAACATGAACTGGATGGTAACCACCTTTGCAATAATCTTCCGAGTCTTCTTCATCGGCGGTGGTTTCGGCAGGGTCTTCTTCGGAGGTGGAGGAGGAAGGAGATCTGTCAAGACGTGAGTTATGTGAAGGATTTTTGTTGTGCGATAAAGGAGACTCCATGGCTCTGGCGAATGACGGATGATCAGTTTTTGGGATGTTAGGGTCAAAATGCGGACAGAATGATGCGATCACGATTCAGGCGGTGGGGGGTTGGTGGGATGGTCAAGGGTCAATGCGTACGATGCGATGGCACAGAATAAGCAGCAGGATAGACTTACTCAGGATCATTTTGAGTGGGAGAGGCATGTAGATTTGATGAAGAATTTTCGGATGTTATGATGGGTTTGAGATTGTCGCCTTTCCTCCTCTTCTTTTGGCCATTGCCGTTGGCGGCGAGGGCGGCGGTGGTCGCAACCTTTTTTGCCTGTGAGATGGCGGCCTTTTTGAGGTCGGTGCCGTTCATCATGGCGAAGGCGGCGGCGTTGGCGGCCAACAGTGTGGGGGATTTGGTGAGGACTGGTCCCTTTGCAGGGCCAGCTTCGGACCTGGGAGGAATTGTGAAAGTGGTGGTGGAGGAGGAACGCTTTGGATAAGAAGTTTGGAGGACCTTGTGTAGGTCGGGCGCGGGCGCAGGCGCAGGTTACGGCAGCAGCTGGGCCGCAGTCGAGCGCAGTCGAGCTGGCCTGGGCTGGGCTGGGTGGGATCTGCAATGGATGCAATGGATGCAATGGACACGGGGGACAGTGTCAAGGGCCCAAGGGGGATGGCGGAAGCGTGGTCAAGGGCTAAGGATAGGCAATCAGAGTGAGAGTGATGGTGGCAGGGCATCCAAGGACTAGGGAGGCACGAAATGGTACCAATGGTGACGGTTGGACTTTGGTGGACTTTGGTGGACTGGCTAAGAAGTGAGGTGCGTGTGCGTGGGTGCGCCGCCTGGGAGCGCCTGCGAATGATGGTGGGTGGGGTGCAACTGACGGGGCAGGGAATCTGCAGGACTTGGACTTGGAAGGCCAACTGGAAATGTGATGATGTTGGAGACTCGTGCTTGTGAATGGACAGTGATGAGATGGACTCGGTTGATTTAATGTCAGACAAGAAACACAGGACTTCTTGATCTTCGTAGGTCGTAGCGCAACAAGTCTGAGAGGATGTGTTCTGGTTGTGTGGTGTCGTGTTGTTCTCCACAGAAAGACAATGACTTGTGGGCTTTTACAAGGTCAAAAGTCGGACGCTTCTGGCTCTTCTGGCTGGTCTTGGGCGCTTGAGATTGTTCGGCCGCCGGCGTCAATCATGGACGGCTCGGCAACTGTGATGTGAGAGGGCAGAGCGTGGTGCAAAAGATTGAATGTGATTCGTGCAAGTGATGATTGGGGCATCCAACCAGTGTTGCAGTTGGCGGCTAACTCTGGGACTGGAGCATTGAAATAAAAGGTAATTAAGATGTTGGAAAGGACCTGAAAAGGATATGGGAAGATAGATGGATGAGTGATGGAGAATTGGTAGTGTTTGGCACTTCTTCAGATGAGTCGAAGCGGTGTATCCGGCACAGAAGTTTAGCCAAAGTATGGCATGTAAGAGGTGAGCTCGTTGGAAGGAGCTCTGCCCAATTGCCCAATTTGTTTTTGGGTGATGCAAAGAGATGGATGATAAATACTACGAAACGACTGTTGTGTCAAAAAGCAAAAGATGGTTTATGTCTACCAAAGCTACGGGTTGCAAACAAAGTCGGGTCGGAGAGTCTGTCTGAGCAAACGCCTCGAGGCGGGAGAAAGAGTGGGCGGCGGATTGCGGACATGGCTTGAAACCAAAGAGTCAAAGACCACGAATGACACAATGGCTGATGATTTCTGTCGAGGAGAGGCCAATGCTCAGTGCTCAGGCAAACACTACATGCGTTTTCTGATTCTTGGTGTTGAGTGGCCAGTACGATAATGTGAATAATCAACCTGGACGCTGAGTCCGGCTCTGATAACTTGGTTGGGATACGAGCGAAGATGCAGTCAAGATCAGGCATGAATCCCCGGAACCTCGCCTTTCTCTCGCCTACAACAGAATTCATTTGCGTTGGTGGTAAACGACATCAGGACGATCGATCGAACATTCTCAAGCTCGACAAAAGCATGACGATCTTGCAAGGTGGGATGAATCGAGTCTCAAGCTCTGATAGAGATACGAGAGTCTTGACTGCCCCGCCACAATCCGATCGATTCAATTCACTAACTTTGTATGACGCCACTACTGATTTATCCCACCGATGAAGAGCAGGAGAACCGCCCAAGAGTCTTTGTGATCGGGTTGCCCAGAGAGCCTAGGTAGGTACCTACCTAAAATAATTGCCCGCACCGTGTCGCCTGAGAAGCTTGATTTTCATTGAAGGAAGAATGGTGATAGGGGAGTTATTGGAGGGGAATGGGGGCCGAGGGCCCAAAGATGGGTCCCTTCTTGGTAACCTGCCTACTATACAAGCAATCCTTAGGCCAAAATGAGAGACTCTTCGGCCTTGGTCGCAATCATCATTTGGGCGATGTGGGAGCGTCTCGGCGTCCTCTTCAGGCTTCTCCATCACACCTCGACAGAACTTGATTAGCGTCGCCTCCAGCCGCTAAACACGACCCTTTTAGGCATGACGTTGGTGTGGGAGGATAAAAGTATAACTGTCCGACACGCAAACATTTTGAACCGCGCATCAAGCAGGAGAAAGGTCGAGGTTGTGTGTTTTTTTGATAGCCAACGACATGAGTTGCGACCCTCGACACCATCACCGGAACGTCCTCCCCTATGCTGTCCAACTTATTAACTAAACCTCCTCATCATCATGGCCATCCTCTCACCCCCCGACTCTCCATTCTCACCCCCCTCGTCCCTCTACACCTTCATCTACCACCCTCTCACCAGCTTCGTAACCTTCATCCACTACCTCGCTCTCTACCTTCGAGGCGCACCATATATAGCACCCAAAAACAAAATCCCCATAAGAGTAGTCTGCCTATCCGACAGCCACTCCAAAGTCCCTCGCTATGCCATTCCAGGAGGCGATCTGCTAATCCACGCGGGTGATCTCACCAATACCGGCTCTCTCGCCTCCATCCAACAAACAATCGACTGGTTGAAAACACTTCAAAAACCCTGGCACGGGTCAGCAGACGGATTTCGTCATATTGTGGTTATTGCTGGTAATCATGACAGTTACTTTGACGAACGAAGCCGAAGTGCCCATGATACACGATATTCGAAACGACAACTCGATTGGGGCAGGATTCATTACTTGCAACACTCGTCCATTACGCTACCGTTTCCTGACGGGCGGTCTTTGAAGGTTTATGGAGCTCCGCAGATTCCAAAGGTTGGGGGAAAGGAACATGCGTTCCAATATCCACGGGGACAAGATGCGTGGACGGACACGGTTCCCGACGATGTCGATGTGCTGATTACGCATAATCCACCAAAGTGGCATCTTGACTTGGCTGCGAATGGCGGGTTGGGCGATGAATTTGAATTGGCGGAAGCGTGGCGTGTCAAACCTACGTTGCATGTCTTTGGACATGTTCATTCAGGGCATGGAAAGGAGGCGGTCTGGTGGGATGAGGGTCAGAAAACTTATGAAGATTTTCTGGCCAGTGCGTACCAGAAGCCTGCGGGTACTGTGGCGAGCCATCGTCTGCCTTTGACCGAGTTGTTTGACATTCCACTCTGGGTGCTGGCGGTCAAGTCTATGGTTGCGGATATGCGTGGTATCCTATGGACACGTCTTTGGGGTGGTGCTAGACATGGTGGATATATGGTCAACGGGGCCTTAACTTATCAGACGACTGAAAAGTTGCTCAATAAGCCGCAGGTTGTTATGCTGTAAAAATATGTGTAGATAGATAGCTCTTGCATGGACATGTACATTCTAGACGTCTCTGGAGCGAGCTCATATGTAGGCCCAACGGCGCAATCCCGCACGATACTACTTCGTCTTTTCTACTGTTAGTCGTCTACAAAGTAAGGAAACGAGTTTTTGAATAGGCTACAATTGAATTTTGGCAAAACTTTCGCTGATGGGAAATGGCTAGGAAACGTAACAACGTCCGACAAGCCTGGCCACCTCATACTCCTACTCCTGCCTGTCCTGTGTGTGTGCTGCCCAGCCATATCCATCCCACAGACTCGTTGAGATATTATCCAATCCAAACCGACCAGTCCCTGGCGGAATTGCAAAACTGCACATTTATCAGGATCTGACAGATCGATGACACAGGTTGAGACATTTTTTCAAAGTGTCAGATGACTCCGATCAAATCCCTTCCCTAAACACACTTTTCCGCGTACTGATCGGACTGGTATTTCCGTCTCCACTGTCGTTGGTGTCGAGGCTGGGGTTGCCTTTGCTGTGGCCGGCTCCTTCATGTGGTCTGGGACTGAGGCTCCTCAGACTGGGTGCTTCATTCTGATCGCCAAATGGGTTCATTCCTCTTGAGCTTGGACGGCCACGGTCGTTGTAGCCGCTGCCGGCGCCGAGGTAGTCTCCTCCACCGCCGGCTCCAGCTCTGCCACTACTACCACCGCCGTAAGGCTCATTGTGTAGTCCTGGTGTGGGCGCAAGACCTAATTCCTGTTCCTCGTAGCCGCTATACCCGGCTCTATCGCCATATGGGTCTTCATTGCCAACTCTTGTGTCCCAGGCGTCGTCCTCCAACCTCCGGCCAGTCCGTCCACCAGCGCCACCGAATCCGCCGCCACCGCCGCCACTTCCGTCGAGCGGACCTGCTTCTTCATATGCGCCGCGGGCAGTGCGCCTGTTGGTCAACTTGCCGAATTGCTCGCGAATCCATTCTAGTGGGTTGGTCGACCGAGGAGCGGGATAGTTCGAGGCGCCTTCTTGTGGCATGAATGGGACGTACGTTTTCCATGATTTGAATGATGGTGCCGTCCGGCCATCCCGGCGCGCATTGATCTGATTGTATGCAACCCAGCTGACGACGGCGAAGACCAGGAGGAGGAAGAGAAGGAAGAAGAAGAGACCTAGGCGGGTTAGCATAGGTTGAATGATATGGTGTGGATCGTGAAGGATCTTGAAGCGATGAGTGACGTACCCCAGCCGCGCATGCTTGCGATGTAGAATGTGTTGGTGAGATGGAGAAATTACAGTGAGATATTGAAGAGGGTCGCTGATGCAGGTATTGGGCTTGCGCAAGTAGATGACTTTTGTAGTTTTGTCGTTTGTATGTCAGTTCCAAGTCGTGCTAAGATGTTCAGCTGAAACTGCGGGCGGCGGCAGGACACTCAGGCTCAGGTGAGCATGGTCGCCGACGACTCCAAATTCGGAAGCCTGTGAGTGGATTGAAACCTGGGTTGGTGCAGGGAACTCTGAGCTTTGGATATACACTGTGGTATGTCAAATCGACGTTCGACGAGTTGTGTGGATATACAACAAATCAGAATTGTTACAAGAATCTGTTGTGCAAAGGAGTTGGCAAAGAAACTTGGGGAGGTTGGCGGAATGTCATGAAAGCTGAAGTTGGTGTGGTGCGGTGCGTACAGGTCAGCATCAACTCCGCTTACAGCAAAAGGCGCCCGAGTTTAGAGCTGGGGGGAAGAGTTCTGGATGGGCATTCATATGGCATTATTGCTGGCTACGGACTATGTCATATTTTAGGCTCCAAAAATGGTCCAGGTCAGTGGTTGGAGAACCAGGCTAGCGCCTGACTAACAGCCGTGCACTAACAAGTTAGGAAGCCCGTACGGGGTCCGTTACTGCTCTCGCTCGGGCTCTAGTGCCTATTACATGCCTAAAAATGTCGTGGGGACCAGCAGGTGGTCGAGATCATTTCCAGAGTGGACAGGGCGAAGAACACGTGATATATCTTACATGAGAGTCGAGGTGGTCATGCTGAATTTGGTCTCGAGGCTCTTGTTTCAAGTACCAACTTCGACAATCTAGTCTATATCATTGCCCACTCGGGAGTTCGTCTAGTACAATCATCTCTATCGGCATCATCAAAAGCACCTCCAAGGTGCATATCTAACAAACAAGGTCCACCACCTTTCCTGCTTCAATACCAGTGCCAGAGAGCCTCTTGACTTCCATCCAACCACCTTCTTCAATTGCAATGATCTTACCGTCGACGCAGACCATTCTCCATAATTCGTCATCTTCCTCAAACTCGATGCGCATGCTATCGATCTCTCGATAGCTAAGCTTGCTATCGTTGGCGTGGGCACCAGCTTGATACGCGAGACCCAAGATGCGCATAATCTCACTCACCGGTTCCGGACCAATGTGTAAGAGACGAAGTGAACCATCGAGCGGCTTGCTGTGTGGTGAGATTTGGAAATGCTCTTCGAGATTCGAGACCATGATGGACAAGAGATAGGCGTGTTCTGATCCTGGAATCTGCACCCATTCTCCCCCGGCTTTCCTCCACTTGATCTTTCCCTTGTAGATGTGGAGGTCCTTGGCCAGTTCTTGTGCTGCCATCTGGAACCTTTCCAGGCCATGTTTGCGGTATTCAGCCGTGTCACTCATGGCTACAAGGCTAGCGTGGAGGCCCCAACTGGCAACGACCGCTCCATATACCACGATGTCCTGGCCTTGAGTAGAGGTGATTATCTCCCTGCTCTGACCTTCATTGGTGACCAGGCGTGAACCTTGACTGAGAGAGACTTGAAAAGCAGGCAGTGCTTTAGGAGATCCCTTCAACAGAACCCCTAGAGGGTCTTGTGCGACTTTGGAGCTCCATGCAAGGGCATTTGCCGTGCCCATTGGGACCAGTGCTACCACGGGAGTGGTGTAACCTGCCCTTGTTTGGTGGTCATTCTTCCTTCGGAGTAATTCGGTGTTCAGGGTATTCACAATATCAATGATCCCGCCATCTCCCGATAAGAGGATCAAGGTCTGCTTGACACCCTGTGTTGCATTGGGAAGAATGAGTGATTTGGTCAGCTCAATGATGGTCTGGGCCGACTTTGTGGTATGCGTGGCGTATTGGAGTTTGTGGTCGTCCAGCCATGGCTTCAGCGTCTCATCGTAATACTCCTGGGCTTTTTGCCGGCCTGAGAGGATGGACACGATGACATGAATTTCATGGTCAGGCTGCAGATGAGGAGGCAGGACACGAGTCACCTCAATACCCATGACGGATAAGATGTGCTGAGATCCTCTAGGGCTGCAATCATGCGGCGATGGCTTGTGTTACCACTGACATGGATGTCACTCTACCCGAGCAGAGTGATGCCGTGGTCCAGAAATGGAACTCGAGAAATGATTGGGCCTAATTCCGTACCCAAAACCAGAAAACTCAGTATGAGGAGCCAATAACGTCGTTGACGTTTAGGCTGTCAAGAGTTGATATCTTCTGAGAGGACTTGACGGCCTCACCACTTTTTTAGAGCAGGTGAATCTTGGACGTCTTCTTCATAAAGTTGTGTCAAGGGGGATCAAAGCTCCATAATGCCTAATCTTTGTGAAAATCAATGCTCACAGAATCAGGGCAATGTCGACATTATTCAGACATGACAGGTACTGCACGCGTACACCTGAAAATGAGGCTGACCACAGGTGATGATCCAGGCAGTCGAGTTTGGCAGACTGGCAGCCTGGGAGCCTGGCCTTGGATAGTGAGCAATAGGCAAGTAGTGGGCAGGTACGGAGTAGTGGGCAACCGTGGGGCCGAGGGGCTACGGTCGAGGGATCCCCTCGTCCTTCTTCTGGGACCCTGTGGCCCCTCGGGCGTCATCAATGCCCCCTCGGCCTCCTTCCCATGGCTGATTTGTGGCGCTTGTGGCGCATGATTGCCGAAATCGTGGTGACGCCTTCACCTCATATCGAGGCAGTCGCAGTAGGAATCCCGACGATGCAGGTGCAGTTGCAGTCGTGTTACAACTGCAGGCACGACTCCCTCCCACTCAAGTTGACTCATCTCAACTCGACTCGACTCTCTTCGTCTCGATTCATCTCATCACATCATCTTCTCTCTCAAAGTAACACCCTTTTGTCCATCAGGAACTACATGAGTTTGCTTCTCAGTCGTTGAGTGGCACTAGTAGTGGAGACGTCTTTCGCCTCCATCCTCCTCCCACCCCGCATTCAGACAATCACCATCCTCTGTCCACTGCAGCTGAAGGATCACCACTGAACATAAGGTGACATCTCCTAGGTCTGTACCATGTTGCTCGATGGTGTATCCAGTACCTTCCTTCTTCTCTAGCGCTGACAGCGATAAGCCCCAGAGAAGGACGCATCAGTAGGACCGAGCCCCTTAATAGCCTGCTCTATTGCAACGTCTTCGATCCTCCTCGGCGCGCCTTATACCAAGATCCTAAGATCTCATCCCCAGCGCCTCCTACCGACCCACCAAGTATTTGTCAATTCTTTCGCCTGACTAAACTTTCACAGACATTGGTCATCCTCCCCTTCATAATGGCATAACATGACCATTGCCAGTCCATACAACTTTGCCCTTAAGCAAACATCAAGCCAGATTTAACTCTGCCGACTCGCCGTGGAGATAGTTCGGTACATTCTTCGGTACATTCGGTACACACTTGATAAGCCTCTTTTTGTGTTGGACCCTAGATCCACCACCCCAGAACGACTACTCCGCAACAGGCTTTTATGAACGAGCGGTCCTCATTTCACCGGAATAGCAAGCGTCAATTTCAAGCCTCTTGACAGGTCACATCCATCCTTCCCCGCATTTTCAACTCGAACTCGACACTCAAGGTTCGAGTCGACTCAGATCTCCCCCTCGTGTACCTTCTTTGCCTACCCGTGCCAACCCTTGTCCGTCATTATGTCTCCATCGCTTGTGACACGTACTTCGACCTGGCCGAGTCTGTCCCAGCTCGGTCCACGGGCAGAACATGCTTTCTCCCTGGATCCTCCTTTTGGGGGCCGCGGAACCCAAGAATTGGCCAGCTCAGCCATTCGATTCTGACTGGCATATATAAACCCTACTCCCGTCTCTCTTGGTTCGTCCTTGGTGCGACAAGTCCATTCAGACACCCAACCTTTGGCACAGCCCTCCAGTATCGACTTAGACAACCGTACTCGCACTCATCATGGCTACCACCAACGGCGTCAATGGTGCCAATGGTGTCAATGGTGTCAATGGCACTCACAAGACCGCTCATGTTTCCGTCGACGAATTTGTCCAGCAAAGTTACGATTACCTCATCGTCGGTGGTGGCACAGCCGGCCTCACAGTCGCTGCCCGTCTCACCGAGAACCCAGATGTCACTGTTGGCGTGATAGAGGCTGGCAAGAACCGTTTGGGAGATCCTCTCGTCGATACTCCCGCCCTCTTTACACAAATGCTGGGCAACAAGGAGTATGATTGGGCATACGACACTGTTCCTCAGGTCGGTTACCCAGCCCTTTTGCTTTCCTGTCTGACATAAAGTGTAGGCTGGAAATCGCAACAGAATCCATCAAATACCCCGTGGTCGTGCCCTTGGTGGCTCCTCTGCAATCAACTACATGATGTATGTGGCCCACTCAAGACATAGTCCTCGTGTGATTAGCCCTGCTGGACACTAATCCTCCATCCCAGGTACGTGCGAGGCTCTGACCAAGACTATGACGATTGGGCTGCCTTGGCCGATGACCCATCCTGGTCTGCAAAGGCTATGAAACAATACATGCGCAAGCATCAGACCTTGGAGCCCATCGACGAGAGAATCACCGATCGCACTACTATGCCATTTGTGGGAGAAAATCACGGCACCAGTGGACCGGTCCGAACGAGCTTTAATGACTCCAAACTTCCCATCGAAGATGACATTGTCAAGGCCGCCGATCATGCCGCTGGTTTTGATAAAAAGCCCATTGACCCTTGGAGCGGTGACCATATTGGCTTCTACAACACTCTGGGCTCCATCGTTCGCACTGGTCCAAACAAAGGCAAACGAAGCTATGCTGCCCGAGGATACTATCAGGCCAATGAGAATCGCCCCAATCTCAAGGTAATCACCGAGTCCCTAGTTTCCAGAGTCATCCTTGACAATGACATCGCCACTGGCGTCGAGTTCGTGTCAGCCGGCCAGAAGTACACAGTCAAGGCCAAGCGCGAAGTCATCGTCTCTGGAGGCGCAATCAATTCCCCTCAGATTCTCGAGCTCTCTGGCATTGGTGATCCGGAGATTCTGAAAGCCGCAGGCGTTGATGTCAAAGTCAATCTCCCCACGGTTGGCACTAACTATCAAGACCATGTAGTCGGCGCTACGGTCTACCAGCTTGCCCCTGGCCAGATGTCCGGCGAAGCCGTCTATATTCCTGAAGTCATGGCTGCAGCCCAAAAGGCTCTGATCGAAGAGCAGGGTGGTCCTCTCACCAGCATCCAGTCCGTCCAGGGCTTTTTCCCCATAAAAATCTTCCTCGAAGATGGAGAACTCGATGAGATCATCAAATCCATCCAGGACACCAAACCGGAGACCGAGTTTCAAAAGAAACAATGGGAACAGGTCATCTCACACTTGAAGAGCGACAAATCGGCCAACTTCCAGATGGTTTTCATCAGTGTCACAGGAGACCTCGAAAACGGAACCGCAGACCAGTCAAAACTTTGGCCACCACCGTCGAGCCCTGACCAGCCACATGGTATCACCTTTGCTCTTTGCCTCCAGTACCCTGTCGCCCGTGGAACCATCCACATTAAATCCGCCGACCCGACTGTGTATCCAACTATCAACCCTAACTACCTCAATCACCCCGCCGATATCGCTGTGATGGGAGCAGCTTACAAGTTCGCTGAGAAGCTGTGCGCAGCCCCTGTTCTAGAAGGCAAGATCGGCAAGCGTGTCCATCCTCCACCGGAACAATACCCATTGAATACCGTTGCCGAGCGCCGTAAGGCCGCAGAGGCATACTGTATCGGAGAGTATCACAGCTGTGGCAGCTGCGCTATGGGAAGCACCGTGGATAGTCACTTACGCGTGTATGGTGTCAAGAACCTCCGCGTCATTGATGCTAGTGTCTTTGCGAATAATGTCAGTGGCAACATTGTGAGCAGCGTCTATGCCTTGGCAGAGAAGGGTGCAGATCTCATCAAGCAGGATTGGGACTATGCAGCCCTAAACAAGGTGGCCAAGTGAAACGATTTCTGTCTTATTCCTTTACGCTAGCAGTTGGTGCGCAATCAAAGTCTGTTGGTGTCTGTTCTCGATTCTGTGATTATACGTATGGTCATTTAGCAATAAACTCCATCCGCCGTGTCAAATCAGATACCTTTCCAGGCTCGAAGGCCTATACACTGATAATGTTTCCTGAAACTTCAGTCACAGTCTGTTTGCCCGGGACGCCATCCTTTTCGTCCGTTAGCATGTCACGCGTGACAATTTTGTCCCTCCCTTGATACTCTTCGCCACAGGCCTTTGTAGGTCTTTGGTCAAAGTAATAGTATGCTGTGTCTCCACCATTGACCTCAACACCGGTCAAACCATTCCTCATCAAATCCACGAATCGATTTCCAGACCAGTATTTGAGATTATAATCTTCCCACCGGATACGATCCATGACTTGACGGAAGTGTAGCACCGAACCGGGATATTGAAGAGCTTTGCCCTATTGAGCAGTTAGTCAGCCTGTATCAAAACGCATAGGGCTGACCGGAGTTCGGCTTCTTGATAGATAAGGTCAGCTCTCGCCATTCAGGTACGGGACTTACATTCTTAGTATTTGATTTATACCATGACCGGCCTGTGGAACGCATCGTCAGATTAGAACATTGTTCCCAGAAACGTGAAAAGATTCTGGTAGTCTCATTTGGTTGGTGGTCGGGTTCAGCTTACAAGGCGTCTCCCAAACGGTCCGCTTATTGAATTCACGCTGGTACGCATCGAACTCTTCCCAAGCCTCTTGCTTAAGCGACATAGACTTGATCCCTTCTTCTGACATACGCTTCGCCGCTCGAAGCATATAATCCACACCCAAGTCCAAAGCTGGAATGAGACTGCCGTGTGCAAAGACGGAATTGGCGGCTAAACTCATGAACATATTGGGGAATCCACTAGATGTAAACATAATGTTCTCTCGTTAGCTTGCGTTTGGTTACCAGCAACCTTGGGGGTTCATTTGTCTTGTCTTGACTTGTTTTTACTTACCTGTAACATCTTCCCATATAACATGGTGGACCATCCTCTTGAACCCATCCATCACCTAATTTCTTGCCATTTTCTCCGATAATGTCAAAATGTGGTTTCAAACTAGCGTCGAAGCCGGTGGCGCAGATGATCAAGTCGAATTCGTATTCTTTGCCACTGCTAACTTTGAGACCCGTTTCTGTCAGTTCGGTGATTTCGTTCATTTCGATGCTGACGTTGGGTTTTTGGAGGCCGGCTAGGTAGCCTTCGCCGGGTCTGCAGGACGGGAACAAACCACCTTTGTTAGTCTTGAAATGAAGAATGGGGCCGAGGCGAGGGTAGATTCGGGTAAGTAAGTAGTGTACGTACGTGATTCTTCGACATCCAACAGCCCAATCTGGAATCAATTTCTTTCTCAACTCCGGATCCATATCTTTCAAACCCTCTTCCATCATCTGTTTGACCAGCTCATGTCTCTGTTTCTGCAACTCCGAGTTGGCGTTTGTAAAGTTATAAGCCAGATTGAATTCCTCTTCCATCTGTTTCCGATATTTGAAATATGCCTCTGGATCCTTCCTCCACAGCGCGCGTTGCTCGTCTGGATATTTGAAGTTCGCTCCGTCACCAGTCGGAGTATGTTCTGCCGCAAAGCCAGGGGTGATCCAAGTCGGTGACCGTATAAACGTCGTCAAATGTTTGACGTCAGGTTGAATCGCCGGTAGGATTTGAATCCCCGTCGACCCGTTTCCTAAAAGAGCGACGTTCTTTCCTGTATAGTCGTAAGATGTGTCCCATTGAGCTGCGTGGATTAGTTTCCCTTTGTATCGGTCAATGCCTGGAATGTCGGGCCAGTTCCAGTCGGTGGTGAAACCGGAGCCGTTGAAGAAGATATGTGCGGTATCGTGGATGATTTGGCCGTTTTTTTCAATCACAAAGTGCCATTGGCCGTCTTCCTCGTTCCAGGTCGCGGATTTTACCTTGGAGTTGAAGGACATTACGTCTCGTAGCTCGAATCCGTCGACCACAGAGTCACAGTATTTTCCAATCTCCTCGCCTCCGCTGTAGAAATGCGACCAGTTGGGATTGGGTGCGAAGGTGAGTGCGTAATTGGCTGCTGGGACCTAATATGTAATCAAGGAAAAGTTAGAGTTCTGTGATCCTTAACCAATACTTAGACCTGTCGTGATATGGATATGCAAACAAAGGGTTGCGAGAGCCATCTAGGAGGTTGGGTCCGGTACGTACATCGCAAGCCACACCTGGATATTTCCACTGTTTCCAAGTTCCACCAGCTTCAGGAAGTCTCTGTATATACCGAGTCAGTATGCTTGTTAAAAATACAATGGTATTGTCACCACCAACCTCGTAGATCTGAACATCACAGTATTCGTCAGTCATCTTATGCTCATGTTTAGCCTTATAGGCCAAGATGATTCCTGAGAGGCCCGCTCCAATTCCCACGATTCGAAGCCTCTTGGGCTGGTAGAGGTAATGGTCCTCATCGATGACGAGTTTTGGACGTACGGTTCCTCCGTTCGGGGAGGCCCCGTTTGTGGTATTCTCAACGGTCATTTTGCTTGCGTCAATGAAGGTCTGGTCTGTCTGGTCGGGGAGAGTGCTGTGAAGTCTATTGTATGTATCGACTCCCTTGAAGCCGGTTATGTACTACAGTACATATGAACGCCTCGGTAACCGCGGCCCGCTCAACCGCGTCGTAAATTCACCATCATGTGTGGATTTCAGTCGGATATCTCTGACTTGCCTGAATAGTGTCTCCTTGGTCGGTCTTGCCCATTTATCTGCGCCTATTAGAAGCTACATGTTCATTATCCCTGCAACTGACAATAAACCTATGACAGCTAGACTATCGTCAGAGATATCCTCTACCTATGGGAATATTCATCCATCGGTTAGTAATGTTTGTAATTCTAACGCAATATCCATACTGTCAACCGTGTTCTTCGGGTGGGTCCGGGGGAGTCAGGCGCCCCAATAGGCACCTCTCACCCCCGTGGGCCTTACCCGAGCCCTCCGTATCTCTCCAACAGGCGGGGTACATGGTACTCGGAATGCCGAAACCTCGGCCCACTCTATCCCTGTTCACCTAACCCCGCCTGACACAGTCCCCCTGACAGCGCGGAAAAGATAACGTTGCAATTATGCATCCTGCAAGCATTTACAATAAACTGAGCGAAATGCGCGTCGAATTGCCATAGATGAATGGCCTGAATGCGAGGTTGATCGCTGAAATGCATGAGAGTCGCTGGAAGAAGTCTAGATACTCGAGGTACTTTTGGCAAAATTAGGAGCATATGCTGTAATTGCCATCTCAATACATGACTAATAAGATGTGAATACTCCGTACGAGGATGTTGAACAAAACATCACTGCAAGTCCCTGGCCTCCTTTATGACACAATCCTGTATACGTCTTTGTTTCTCACTGCTAAAAAAACATTCGACGCTACGAGGTTTTCACGGCTTCGCAGAATTAGTAGATAACCCAACATCTCCGGCGTGACAAATATTGTCTGACTAATTGAGGCAACTCTATATCAGATCGTCTGATCGTCCAGATGTCAGCAATAAGACGTTCTCATCGGCCCATTCCCTTCACGTTAGCATTTTCAGCAAAGTGCATCTCGTTTACGGAGATTTTGTTCGAAAGTTTCCTGTCGAGTCGACATTCCCAGAGGGCCCCAACATTATAATTCGCAATGAAAAGGTTGCGTACGAGCAGATAGGAAGGAAGGAGCCATACTGGGAGCTGTATCCTCCGCATCGTACTTCTCTCGAAACAGAGACCTATTGTTCTTTCTGTAACTTGGGAGCATAGGCATATCAAGAAGTCGAACGTCTTTTCAGACAGAAGATTTTTCCGGACGTGATGGAGGTATTCTAAGGGTGTACCATTCGCGGATGTTGGGAAGGGAGATTCACGTCAGCTGAGGAAATACTCGCGTCGTTTGAAGAGGTATCAGCAACGTCTAGTATAGGAGAAAACAATCATTCTACCACATATAAATGATTGTTTCGGTTCGCTCGATGGTAGGTTCTGTACCACATGACGCCCCTGACTCGCCTAAGTCCATCATAGAAAACTGGCGTTGATAGAATAAGCATGATGACATTTATAGACAATAGTCATGGAAGTGCATCTTGAGCGATGTTCACTTTTTAGAACTTTCGAGAGATCTGTCCTTTCAATGTATCAACGCAAGCGTATATCACTCAGGCGCTGCAGATTGTAGAGTACCTAAAGTTTTGGCTAATGGGCGGAATGTCCCTCTCCCCACGTCTCCACCCGCCTACCCGCGCAAATAGGCTATTCGAGGCGGGGATAGCCTATTTGATATGCATACCAAAGGTATGTAAGGGTGGATCCTCACACTAAAACCCGACGTTATACCTTTTGGTGACTGTTATGAAGTTTGAGCATTCTCGCTCTTCACTGCTAATATTCCCTGTAAGGTGAAATACTAGGTTCTACATGAATCGGGGGAATGCACTTCCATTTTATCAAGCTCACGGTGCTCAGCTCCACGAATAATACATAAAAAATGCTAATGGGCCTGGGCCTCGAAAGTAAAACTCAGAGGAAGGAACATGTCCTTGTGCCATGATTGTAGCACCCATTGAGGATCAGGCGTCATGTTGTATAGTCACGTATCTTGACTTGATATCACCCACTTGATCAATTCACGCTTCTAAAGACTGGCTACTCAAGCAGGACACTGTCACTTCAACAACTACTGTATGCTTTGGAAGTGTGGCATCGCTGAGAGCTTTCTGCGATCACACCTGTCTCCCGACTTCCCAGATACTATGCCACTTCGGATAATACACGGCTTCCGGGCCGTGGCCGTCCTACACAACAATACTATTTCAAGTCGGAATTCATACCACAGCTAAAGTTGTCATTGAGGAATAATTCCGTGCTATAGGCTTGAATGTTTGCATTTGAGAGGCGTCACTGACTCGCTGCAGATAGGAGCTGGTGGAAGTGGAGCTATCGCTGATTCGCTGGTTCTGGCACTTGTCCGAAAGTAGTTATGACCCTCTCGCTCGATTTGGTCACCCGATGGCTCCCACGAACTATCCCAGGAACCACATCGGCCTCAAAGTGACCCGAATATATCGTCCACGTCGTGATGATGGTGGGAATGCTATGATTCGGACTAAAGACTCGGCCGACCCTTCAGAGTAGACAGCCATTTGATAAATGTATGTTTCCGAGTGTGCACTCTGCTTTCTCTAGCTTCACGTTCCATCTCTCCAGTGGCTATCACTACCTCTATACCTCCAGGTACACATCATCTCCTAGACTTCTCTTGACTCAACGACCTCATTGCCTGACTTTGTCTGAGAGTCTTCTTCCCATATCTCCTTTGAATTTGGCGGCTGGCCGGCAATAATGCCGAATGGAGGCTCTTCGTCTGCGTTGAAGGTCGAGTAATAGTCGTATGCATCCACCTTACCGAGCTCAGGTGGTGGGCAGAAATGATTAATCGCATAGTATATAGCACCTGTGCCTAGATAGCCTGCTGGGTAGCTCTTTGTTGAAAACAATCAGTTCACGTGACCTTAGAAAACACCCTTTTGCGAGGCCCATACCATGTAGAACAAATGTGACCAGCCTGACGAGACTTGGATCGAAGGAGTGATGCTGTTGACAAAGCCGGGGACAAACCATGGGAAGCCAAGGCAAAAGGCTAGAGGCGCTCGCCTGTATACATAGTTAGCATGAATGTCGAAGGTTATGGTTACGAGGACTGGGAGCAAGTTACCAATTGAAGCCGTGGAAGAACCAGTAAGAAGAAGACTGGTTGGGAGTATACAAGTCTCTCAAGGCTAATCGTTGTCTTCGCACAAGGTAGTAGTCGCAGTGAAAGAGCCCGGCTAGGTTTGAAGTCAGGCAAGAAATCCGTGGTCATACATCAAAGAACTCACTAAGTGGCGCCAGAAACACAGCATATGACCCCATCACTGTGACGAACTTGTTGCTAGAATTCGCTCTGCATCGGCTAGTCAGTATTTGTCCGAAACTATGCAAGACGTACTTCTTACAGTTGCCATGGCTGTATCACTATAGCATCTCATTAGTTCGATGTTCCCTTTCAGGAGGGTGTGTAATTTGACTCACAAACTCCGATAATAGAGACAACCCAAGCCCCACGCCGAAGATTGAGGAATTTAGGCAAAACCCCTGACAGGTCGACTAAAGTTCTGTGTTAGACGAGACATTTCCTTGCAGCGCCTGGAAAAACTTACTTCCGCCTGCGATGGCCGCACCCGTCACCGTGATCAGAAATGAGGATGCCACAAGAGGGAGGGAGGCGAAGAAAACTACAGCTCTTGTTGCCGGTGACCCATGGAGTTGGATCTGAGAGAGCAAAATGGCCGGATTCCATAAAAGTCCAGCCTCTGGGTAGAGAGCTGCGCCACAGGATGCGCAAAGGACTCCCATAGTGGTCTGAATCACGGTTAGCCCCTGAAAGATGCCAAAACTCCGATGTACCCACCACAAACGTGTTCCCCAGAGCCACGCCCAAGGCCTGGGGGATTCGCTGAGCATTGGTGGTCTTTGCATAACGACCCCAGTCCGCGTAGCCGATGATGCCGGTAGCCACACTAGATATGATGGTGTTGAAGGTCCGGACGGCCATCCAAGCCAATTGAGAGCCTCTGACCGGTTCGACCCCGGTTAAGACTGCGCTGGAGCGGAAAAGGGGTCCGGGTCCTCCGACTTCGTGCAGCATCCAAGCCATCATTGAGATGGAGAAGATAAACATGGAGCATGAGGTGACAACAGCTGGCCAGTGAAATTTCTCCGGTCTGACCAGAACAGCAATAAAACAAAAGAATGTAAAGATGAACCAGGCAACAAAGTCGTTGGTCTGCATGGGTACGGACGCTGGAAATGTGTTCTTCATGGTGTAAAATGATGGCCACAATGCACCGATCATGGTTTTGACGCCTGTGCTAGAGTTAGTCAAGCGGAGAACATCCTAGTCCAGATGCTACTGTCTCAACTTACACAAGCCACCTAGCCAGGTTTCGATGGAGTACCACGTGATATTGAGCACGACACGGTTAATCACAGGAAAAGCTGAACCATGCATTCCCCAGACAGCTCTGCTGACAACAGGAAAATTGACGTGCCAACGACCTCCCCTGTGATGCCAAAAGTTGGGACTTTAGCCTGGCATCTTCTGTGTGGTTAGGCGTTCCAGGATTTCACTTACATTTCCGACCCAACCGCGGTAAGAATTCCCACGGTAGCAAAGCCAAATATAACTGTGACGATGCATTGCCACGCATTCTAATTCCATGAGTCAACAGTTCTGCTGCCTCGAATGAGCGAGAGCAAACTCACGAGTCCGAGAATGAGAAGACTTGAACCAAGCGACCAAAGGATAGGTATTATCCCCACACTGCATTGGTAGCAGAAGAACGTCAGGCCAGTCCATGTGCGGCGATGTGGTGGCAGAGGCCGAACCTGTCCGCTGTCAGTGTATCGGTATACTTGATCGGGTGGTCATACTGACGTCCTCATTGTACCATGCAGAGACTATTTCGCCATGCTCGTCTCTGAGAGCCAGCGTATTGATTACTGTCGAGCGTTTGCCCATCCTTGCTTGTTCTGGCCTTTAATCGGAGACGATTCTGCGGTATGGGCTCAGACTTCCATGGTCTGCTCTGGAATCGCACTGATATATCTCGAATCTCTAGCACGAGACATAGATTTGGTCAATACCTTCTCGATCGCACCAAAGGACACACAGTGGGGCAAGCTGGGTTGATGCCGTCAACATGACTGGTCCCTTGTTATCAGACTCGACTTAGTCTGGAGTTGGTTAGCTCTCGGTCTCGGTTAGCTGATAGGCTAGGTCACCGAGGCCGGCCGAGACCTTATCTGGGGGCTCTTGGACCCTCGATTTCCCACCATCATGGCACAATGGAACAATGGCAGGAAATTTTTGAGCACTCGACCAGCTATGGTACGAGATGATTTAAGCATGGTTACTATAAGATACTGTGAAACAGTTGAATGAGCCTGTTCCTTTCGTGGAACAGCAAGAGAAAGCCAGAAAAAGAGCCTCCAGACTTTCGAAGTCGACTAGAATTTGGAATCAATTACATAACGAGGTGGTGCTTGGGACGGGCACCACAGGCAGTCCTCTTCCTTAGCCTCCAGGCCCAATTCCATAGTATTTCCTAACAACCTTTGACAAACCATCCTGAAAACTTCCCACTCTCCCGCTTGTAGAGTTGAACCATATGACAGCATAAAAGAACAACCTCCAATAATTGAACAGTTCATTCACTTCGCTGAATGCGTTTTAGGTAATTTGGAAGGCCATGCCTGGTGACTGATCCTCGATTCCTACATCCTCGTTGCTCTTCATCAAACTATGGATCAATGGGCTATAAGCCACGCTGCTAGTCTGCCTGCAGTGCCTTTGAGTCGGAGGAAGAATGCGTAAGCTAATCTTGCCGCTATGATGAAATATTCAATTCAATTTCGTCTGACTGCTCGCTCTCTAGCTGCCGTCGGTGCCATACCAAGAAGATTAAATGTGAAGGGAGTACGTCTGTTGTCGTTGCAGTTGCAGAATTTATGATTCCGAATTGACCATTGCAGATCGCCCATGCCGAAACTGCGCTCTGAGTTCCTCACTTTGCGTCTTTCCAACAAACCCTGCTCCCTCATATCCCGGTCAGCTATCGTTGGCCCGAGACCCAGGTGTTGGGACGCCATCTACCTATCATCTGGGGAAGAGATACGCAGAGGAAGATACTCGCTCACCAAAAGCAAGACGACTTGTTATTAGCACAGCTTACAGCCGTACCACCCGATGTCGAGGAGAATATCTCGGAGATCCATCGTATCAATCATTCGCCGAGACGATAATTGCTCACATTGAATTCCGCGAGTCGTCCATTCGAATGCAAAACAGAATCCCAGCAATTGCTGGTTCTCAACAGGATCGATTACTAGGTAATCAGGTTGCGCCCCATGTGTATGATATCAAGAGGAGATACCAGTACGTTCGCATAGCACACACTCCTCGATCCAGCCAAGTTACACTGAGGCTCCCACCAAAGGACTACACCATGAGCCTCCTAACTGTAATGGAAGAACAAAACGATTTCCTCGGATATTGTCTTTTCGGGCGCTCCTTGAGACAGAGAATCATCGACATGTACAACTTCCCTACCAGACCAGAGAACAAGGATCGGATATGGCTTTGTAAGCTCTTGTGTCTGATTGCAATTGGGGAGATAAACCATCGGGAAGGAACTCGGCCCGACTCAGCTACGCACCCAAATAGGTGGGTAGGCTCCGAACCCAGAGATCAACCGACTAGCGTTCAGCCTCCAGGCCTTGATTACTTCCAAGATGCTGTCGATCTGCTTCCAAAGATGGACGAGGAGCCTACGCTGGAATACGCCGAAGTTCTTTGTCTTTTCGCGTACTACTCATACGCTTTGAACCGCCAGAGCGAGGCATACAGGCAAATCGGTCTGGCGCTTCGTACATGCCTTGTCATGGGCATCCATCACAGTCTGGCGGGAAAATCCACGTTTCCACATTCCAGCACCAAGTCCGTGGCTACTGCTCTAGAACGCGAGCGAGTAAATCGCCTTTGGTGGACAGTCTACATCCTGAATAAGTACGACAAGTGACAAAATCTCCACCTTCATGCAATTGAAACTGATTACTTGCCATTATAGACTGTTCAGCTCGAAAGCTGGCCTTCCTCTGGGGATATCGGATTCTGATATTACAGCTGAACCTCCTGGTACAATCTCACTCACCGAGGAAGAAGATGCCGAGTTATACCCATGCCGAACGTTTGTAATTAACGCAGAACTGGTGAATCTTCGACACGAGATGACGACATCATTATATGAGTATTTGAGGATACACGATGTTGCAGACGACGAGTTGACTGATCCCAAAGGTGGCCCATTGGTATGCAAGGTTCTCGAGTATCATTCTAAACTCGTCTACTGGGAACATAACCTACCAGAAGATCTGAAGATATGCATTCATCGAGACGGCAAGGTGTCAGGTCTGACAAGGAGAATTGCTACCCTCTATCTTTGCTACTATCAGGTACGACATGTATCGCCCTTGTTGGTTTTGAGGCACGACCGAGGCAATTGATCTATCTGTTTTTTCTAGGTTGCCACCGTCGTGCTCCGACCCGTCTTTGACCTTGTATTCAACCAGCTTCTGGCCAAGCTCAGTGAGCAGACAGGAAGCAATCACGGCCTCGAAGAGGCGGATCTATGCTTGCCCTTGTCCCAGCAAGTTCAGAGGGTGTGCGAGCAAACTGTGGCTGATGCGTGCAACATGATGAAGGTTTTAACGTGGCTGTCCGATGAGGATATGATCAGTATGCTACAAAGCTGGTATTAACCATCGGAACACATGTTGACCATATTTATAGCATCTTATAATTACTGGGACTGCAATCATGCCTTCTCGTCGGCCGTTACAATTCTCATGGCCGAGTTGATGGAAAGAATCGTGAATGAGTCCAAGATCCGACCGGTCCCACTGTTTCACGTCAACAAAGATGCCACGCGGACGTCATTGGATCGCGCGACAAAGCTGCTTGAGTTTCAGGAAAGGCTGGGCAATATCCCAGCGATAGAGTGCATGCAACTACTGCGTGATCTGCGGCTCAAGGTGGATGGGTTCTTGCAGGTATTGCAGGCGACGAAAACATCAACTCCATCAAGCTCGACGAGGGACGATGGCGCCGCTGGATTCGAGCTTGATCTTTCTCGAATCAACTCTAACCAGAGCTCGTCTCCCGCTGAGCGTGATCAAGGACCTCTGGTGATTCAACTGGCAGACAGTCCGCCTCGACCTAACACTTTCATTACGTCAACATCCACTGTTCCAACATACGATTTCAACCCGTCGCCCTTATCCACGGCGCTCATCATGAACAAGGATCTGAACATTGATTCGAATGTGCATCCTTTTGGGAATCTTTCTTCGGATTTTACAAGTTCTTTGTGGGACAGTCACGCTAGCCATTTTGAGATATGGAATGATTTTGAGGATCCTTTGGTGGGAGAGTGAATGTGACATTTTTATATAATGAATTCGTATACCTTTTTATCTCGCTGCACTTGACGAATTTCGGGTTCATCCAAGTCCAGCCTTTGTACCAAACTCAGATAGCACACTTTCTGTCTCCACATATGTGCCCAATGGTTCATATGGAATATCGTAACCAAAAGCCGACGTCCCGCCACATCTTAGAGCCTCTGCGGTATCGGTCCACCGAGGAGAACATGCAATCCCCAGGACAGTGACAAGAACTCCGTACCTATACTCAGGAACTCCTAGTGCACGTCCAGACTGAGCATCGAGGACCGCAATGAGATCCGGCACCGTGGCGATATACCGCTCCCTGCCATCATCTGAGGTGTGCTGGGCGTAAATATTTTCGTTCTTGAAAGGGATCTTCAACGTCCCGCCTGTGGCGACAGGGGTGGAAGTGCTGTGTGAAGTCTCTTGCTCTGAGATCGAGAGCTGCTGAATCACAATCTCTCCGTAAGTATGCCCCTTGTAGAGTCGTCGCTCGACAGAAACTATCTTCCCTCGGAAAAGCACTTTCGCACTACTAGGTCCCCCAATCTCTTCGATGATGTCTTCGGCAACTCTGGTCACGGTGTTGTTTGCTTGAGCACGTGCTATGCATCGTCCGATACGCCAGGCCAACGATAGAGTGTTTGTGATGCCGTACTTCACAACTCGGTCCGCGGTCGTCGGTTTAGCTGCCAGTCCAGCCATGGAGCCCATCTCGGCACAAGAAGCCCGGACTCCTCGGTCGACGATTTCGTCATCCGCTGCTTTGGTCATGATGACGCTAGTCCCAGATCCAGATGCTAGCACGCACGGTACTAATTGTCCAGGTTCGTGGGTGGAGATGGACGTTTGCCAGATGGTGGGATATGCTCGACCTGTACACAAAATAAACTCGTCAGCAAGTTAAGTGAGCAAGTGGAAAAAGGCGACACAATACCCATCCAGTCTGCATCAACGACAGGTTTGTCATAATATTTAGACGATCCAATCAGTAGTTGCTGTAGACCATTGCCACCACCGATCTCCAGTGCCATTACTGCGTCAAAGGACTCCATCTTGAGGTATTCCATTAGCTCGTCGACTGCCTGTACATTCTCCGTTCCAGCCAATCTTTCAACGGACACGGCTGGCGAACCCATATAGCCTCCCCCTAGAGACAGCTTCAGTTAGAAAGAAGATCGACTCGTAGATTGAGACTTACAGCTAACAACGGCATCAGGTGGCAATGTCCTTGGATCAATGATGCGGACCACATGGCCTCGTTTTAGCTGATTCCGAATCTGCAAGCAGTGGCTTGAGGGAGAGCCTCCTCCAGCACAGCCCAAGACATAGCATCCATCAGCGAGAAAGCAGACATCAAGTTCCGTTAGCACCCATTCGAGACGACCACTACGGTCATCTTCCACGACCTTGGGAGAATATGAATCAATGTCGATGGACAAAGGATCTTCCGCCTCGACGACTTCATCCTTCTGCACGTCTGCAAAGCAGACCTCCTCCCGACCTAAAGACTCTTCCTCGTCCTCTAGAGGTTGATTCTTTGTGTGATCCGGTGTCCGGAGATCACCCACCACTTTTGCAATGATACGCACTTGGTTCGCCGTATATTGTACAGGAATCACTTCCATCTCAGCGAGAGTGACAGTATTGACATCAGCTCCGGCGTCCACTGCACGGGTCACAGCTTCCAGCCGTGCATTTTCCTTCAGCTCATTGACACTTTTTGTTGACATGTCTTGTATCATATCCACATATCCACCAACCTTTGCGACTGCAGCACCAACAGCATTTGCTACCGATGAGTACGGAGGCGACACGAGTTGAGATACGCCTTCGAGACGGTCTGGCATAATGATGGATCCGCCTCCCACGACCATGACCGCTAAAGGATCAGGAGAAGTCTTCATCAAGTCAATGACTCTTTCCAACTTGTCTTTCATGATCGCACGCGACTCGGTGATGATAGCATGAGATATCTCCGTAGCTAACAAGGAGTCGCCAATTTTGGCTCCGCAGGCTACGGCAACGTCGGTTGCGGTGAGTATATCGCCACCGAATACTCGAGCCATGGAAGTGAGCTGATGACCAACAGACTCAGGACCGACGGTGACCTTGCCTCTGTCATCGCACTTGATGATTGACCCACCACCCAGGCCAATCGATTCGACGTGTGGCATGCTGAAGTTGACCTTGATGCCAGCAATGTTCACATAGGCCGATGCTTGACGTGGGAACCCTGAAGGAAGAAGCACTCCAACGTCGCTTGTTGTTCCACCAATATCCAGAACAATCATGGAAGCCTTGTTCGATCCCCCTTTGAGCTGGTGTGAACCCAGATATGCCGCCCCCCTGATTGAATTCGTGGCCCCTGAAGAAAATGTGCGGATCGGAACTTCGGCCGCAGCAGAAGCACTGATGACGGTGCCATCATTTTGAGTGAGAAATAGAGCACAGTCTAAGCCCAATCGCCGTATTGACGCTCTAAATGCTCGAATGGTGCGCCTAGCAAATCGTAGGATCGACGCGTTGAGTATAGAAGCGTTCTCGCGCTCTAGTAAACCTAAAGTCGAGATTTCTGACGAACAAACAACGTCCACTCCAGGTAAATACTTCAATATCATGTCTCGGACAACTTGCTCTTGTCTGAAATGTTGGTCCAGCGGAGAGAAAACCCCAGATATCACGATTGACCCGATGCCTAGCGCTCTAATCCGTTCACATTCTTTATATACTTGTGATTCCACGATTGGCGCCTCTTGAGAACCGTCGATATTAAGACCGCCATCGACAAAGCTATGGTAACCATTCATGATTCTTCTCAATGCCGGAGGGAAGTCGGAGAAGGGTGGAATGTCCTTAGTGAAGCTCTTTGAGAGACGGATCACAGCTACCCTGGATAGTCGACGGGGATCTTGCTCGACAACGGCATTGATGAAATGTGTCGTGCCTATAGTCACACAAGCGATTTGCGACTTGTCCATATTCGCTTGGTCCAAGATATTGCGTAAAGCTGTTTCGATACCGTCGCTGACATTTGGACCCGTCGTTGCTGTTTTACAGAATGCGAGAACTCCCCTGTTGGGAGCTGCTGTGGCACTGATATCCAGCAATACAGCGTCGGTGTTTGTTCCACCAACGTCGACGCCGATGCGAAGAGGCTTCTCAAGAACAATGCTTCCCATGTTTGACACGTGGTCATTCGCTTTGGGGATCAGTGTAGAAGCTGAAGACAAGAAAGGTGTGGTCTGGCACGCAATCACCCTCATTAGCACACGAAACAATTTGTTAGATCTTTCCACGAATGAATCATCAAGTCACAGAGCTGATACACCCCAGTAATCTTCATTCACAGAAAGCTCAGGTCCAAGCCTATCTCTCCGGTTAATCCGGTCTGCATCGGTGAGGTTGGCCACTGCCGCTATCTGTTCACCTCTGGTTAGCCAGAACGTAGACAATTCGGGATCGGCGACCCCGGGCCGCAGACCGAGCCACCGGAGAAGCGAAAGATGAGAATGTAAGAAAAGGGTGTTCACACGTATCGTAAGACAATTGATTTGTGGAGGCAATTTTATCTATGCACTCCGGTGTGGAGAATACCATGTCCGGGGACAGATAGGCGACTCGGCCCGTCGCCGAACGAATCACATCAACAGACGTCTGAGCTCTTACAGAGGTGTTGATCAAGAGGTATGGCTACGTTCCTAACGAGTATATACAGCCAAAGCGTGAAGCCAGGAGGTTCCTCTTATCAGTATCTGTCAATGATATTCCTCCCTTGAAATTTAACATACTAATTAACACGAAAAGGACATGTGATGTTTGTCACGGGTAAGTGAACCCATACTCCAGGAGCCGTATACTTCGTTGAAGCTCACACTATACCTCTACTTAGCATCTTTCGTTGGTGTCACCACCTTGGTGTGCGCCATATTCTTCGCCCTCGTCCGACCGCTTATGATCTACTTGTGGGACTCGAAGGACCTGCGCCGGTTCCCTTCTGCTTCAGCTTGGTGTATTCCAGGATGGGCGGGATGGTCGAATTTTTGGCTTGCAAGAGCAATAGCTAAACAAGCCAAATCACAATCTGTTCTTGACGCGCACGAAAAGTATGGGCCAATCGTTCGTATCCAGCCAGATCATCTTTCATTCAGCGATGGAGAGGCGGCCAAGACCATCTACGGATTTCAGTCGAGAATGCCCAAGGGCAGTTTCTACGAGTCGATTGGGGATGAGGACGCTCATGGTCGTATCCAGAAGAATCTCGTGACCACAGATGACAGAGAAGAACATCAGCGCAAGAGAAAATATGTTTCGAATGCCTTCGCGCTCAAGAACATCCTCGCCTTGGAGCCCGTCATCAGTCGCCGTCTGGGTGTTTTAATCAAGTGTCTTGACAGCCAGAGAGAGGCATTGCAGGCTGACAACGGGAAACTTGACTTGTACAAATGGATCAACTATTTCTTGTTCGATACATCTGCGGAGTTGACTTTCGGTGAAACTCTTGGACTCTGCGATAAGGGGAACGATGCTCTGGAAACCCTTCCATTCGACGGCTCTCCTGGTTCCCAGGTCGAAGGAATCGAGACTTTCCAATCAGCCGGCTCCTATGTGGCTATGTTCTCACCATGGCCATCTCTGGCGCAAAAGCTCAGGAAACTCACCAGCTGGCACAGGGACGCCAGCAAGGGAAAGAAATTCGCCGAAGCAGTGCATGGCTACTTACAACAGCGTCTCAAACGAGGAGACACGCCAGAATTTCGAGATTTTGTGTCATATCTCCTGCAGGACAGTCATCAAAAGCCCAGGGATCTAGAGTACGCGGAATTGCTAGGAGAGACATTTGTCATCTTTGGATCTGCGATCGATCTTGTGGCGACAGTGGCGACGAATGCTATGTATCACTTGATCAAGAACCCCGAATGTATGCGGAAACTACGGGAGGAGCTTGATGGTGCTTTGGGAGACACGCTTGTCCCCACGAACGATCAGATCTGTCGTCTGCCATACTTGAGAGCGGCGTTTGATGAGGCAACAAGAGATCGACCGCCCATCGCCCATGGTCTTGCTCGGACCGTTCCGGAAGGAGGAGCAACTATTTCAGGACACTTCATCGAAGGTTCGTTTCGTTCGCTCCCCAAAAATCCCCTATCCTATCATATCTTCGTATCAATTTCTCACCGCAGTATAGCTGGTACCACCGTGTCAGTCTCCGCCTTTGCGCTGCACCATAATGCCTCGATATTTCCAGAGCCATGGGCGTTTCGGCCGGAGCGATGGCTGGACGCAAACGCAGACCCTTTGTGGAAGGAATGCCTAGTGCCATTCTCTCTCGGTCCACGTGCTTGTACAGGGCGCAACTTGACTTTTACACTGATTCCTCTTCTCATGGCAACTCTTGTCCGGCGGTATGACTTTGAGTTGCCCTCGCCAGACTGGGAGATGAAGTGGCGAGAACCCCTTAACATGAACCCTATCTCGCTACCGGTCAAGATGAAGATCAGAGATCTCAAGGCAAACGAAACAAAGGGAAATGATTCTTGAGATGATGGCACATCATGTATTAATGCATCTTTGTATGCATTGTAGGGTGCCTATTCATGGGACTGTCGCATAGCGAGGGTAAGAGAGGCCATTCCGATATCCTGTAGAGCCGGTGCTCCCGTCAGAAGTCTAAGTAGGGCATTACAACCAGCTGAGATTCTCATAGTAGCCAAGTCACCAACTCTCACTTGCAGATAGAAGAGAAATCCCTTCCTCATGATGCTAATAAAAGGCTTCATGTTTCACTTGAGAGTTCAGGCGGGCTGACTGTCTATACGGCGCTTTCCATCGATCCTTCGCGTCCGCTTATCGCAATGACACATCTTTCGGTTCACAGTGGCTGTGCAAATAGCAGACGAGAGGTCGGAGAATTTTCGTCGCGAGGATGTGATATGAAAATGCAAACACCCTTTAGCTGGCTCTGTGGGCACACAATGTGGCTGATGTACGGAGCATTCCTCTTTCGGATCAAGGTAGATGCCAAGGCCAATTCTCGAAACAGCTAGACATTTTTGATATAACTATGCTCCACTCGAGAGGCGCAGTTATGGTGAAACCTTTAACTTGTATTTGGCGTTCTCTAGGCCGAAGGATCTATCGTCTGTTCGATTTGCTGAGGCCGTCAATCTTTAGGAAATCGGAAGCTCGGTGATTTCGTGCCAAGGTCTTTCCGCAGAACCTATGAACTCCCTCGATGTTACTGTTTGAGCCTTTCAAATTCGACTCTAAAGGTCACGGAACTTCTTGGAGTTGTGTATGAGATTAGACTCTTGCCAGCAAGGCGTAATGCAGTGGCGGGAATGAAGTGATTTCAAACTCTTCTAGCGCATGCATTTTCCAGAGCATAGTCGTGATATCGAGGCAGAAGATCGGTTTTCTCGGTTTTGCCTTGGGTGCCAAATGTAAAATGAACAGCAAGGGCATCGGTGTCCACGGCGACACTTCTACCCAGTCTCTTGGGCAGATTCACAGTGATCCACTCCTCATCGACCGTGTCCATTGGTAGGTTGTCGAGGATGTCGTCGGCCATGACCACTATGAAGTTGATGCTCAGGCGGCGATAATCAGTGATCCAGGCCTTGCCCATCTTGTACGCGTCGAGTCGGTCTTCCGCCAAGTTCTCAAGGAAGGAATAATGTTCCTGTGCGGCAATGGCCCATGATTTGAGACCAGTGCCCCAGGTGTCATATTGGATGTCAACAATGGGAGTGCGGTGGATGTCCGAGTCATTGTGCAGACGTAGCCAGCGATGACCGTCGTAGGGGGGGTCTTGAAATGAGTCGAAGAAGTAATCCTTGGGTCCGGACCAGAGTGGATACTTGGTGTACTGCCACGGCTTTCGTGCGTTGAGCTTGGGGAGCGAATCTATCAACGGCGGCTCGTAGACGTCGAACTCGGGTAAATAGGGCCGGCTAGCTCCCATGTGGTGATGAACCCAGCCCATCAAGGGAGAATTGACCACGTTGGCGCTGACGGTCAGATATTCGGGGTGTTGCATCTTCATGGTTACGATGCGTGGGATGGTGTCATCGGCAAACCACACAACGTCGTCGTCGATCTTGATATAGAGATTTCCCGGCTCCAATTTGGCCCAGGCATGACCATAGCCCTCGTAGCCGACACCTTTGAGTTCGATGGCTTTATATCGGGGCGACGAAGCCAATATTTCGTTGAGATAGGCGATATCAGATTTCCGGGCGGTGTTCCGGACCCAGTGGATTTCGTCGAGCCAGCCACCGTTGTCGACCAGATTGCGCTGCCAAAAGTCAGTTGGAGATTTCGTGAAGGGTAATGTAGGAAGAGTAGGACCTCTAAGAAACATCGCAGGATCTCGACGCGACTCCTCCGGCCGAAAAAGATGAAACCAATGATCTTGATACCAGCAGGTTTGACAAAGTCCTTGACCTGAAGATCTGTGGAATAGCCAGTGTGGCTGTCTGGAGAAGGGAAGGAGAGCTGGCCATAGTAGTTTTGACGATAGTGGGTGACAAAGGACACGACCAGGCCAATGAAGGCAAAAGAGGTCAGGATGATGAGCCAGCGACGCCTTGACCTGAAGCCATCGGAATGAAGAATCGGTCCTGCCATATGATGATGGGCAGGGAATGACTGCAGTTCCTGAAGGCAGCAAGTCGAGGTCGCGACACGAACTGACAGAAGAAGAAGTCACACTGTTGCTGTCACTGCATGGCGGCTGGTGGGGTTTTCTGGGGCAAAGAATGTGGCGTTCAAACCAAGGCTGGGAATTCCAAGGTAGCAGACATACAGTCTTGAGGCTTAGAGAAGGGGAAAGTAGATTAGGGACATTGTGAGGAAAAGGTGAGGTGGAAAGAAAGACACGAGGCTAGGTGAAGTACAAAAGTCAATTCAATAGAGGCGCGAAGAGGCACGGAGTAGGTGAGTGATAAGTAAGAAAATGCTTGAAGCGAGTGACGATGGCGACGCGAGAGGCTAGTCGGTGCTTGATGAGTACGAGTAGTTGCGACTCACTACGGAGTACTACTGGAACATGAGGGTGGCGCTGCTGGCTTGGTTGGGGTCAAAGATCATTTGCAACGGGCACAACGGGTTAGGTTAGAAAAGTCTCAGTGAAGATTCACAGAGGGCGAGAGGCAGATGCGGCCAGATCCCTGGTTGGCGGCTTGGTATGGGACAATCCCATTAGATTGAGTAGGAAATCTGGTGATGGAACCGGCATCTCAAGAAGTGGCTCTCCACGCCAAGGGACGATCCATCAGCCGACAAGAAGGTGAACAGCAACAATATCATTGGACTAGAGGGCCCGCGACGGCCTGGACTGACGGGGTGGTAGCTCGAGTCTAGGGCGTTTGACGAGCTAGTCAGGCCAAAGTCGCACTTGATCCAGTAATAGCCGATGCATGATGCAGCCGAAGCAGAAAAACACGAGAGAAAAGAATTGAGAGCTGCATCTCATCGTTTTCAGAATGATTGACGATAACGAAAACGAACGAGAACGAGAACGAATGTGAGATCAGACAGAGAGAAGATTGGAGCAAAAGCGACGGGGCAAGGCAAATCAAGTCAGTCCAGACATCGCGATGACTTGCAACTTCCCACTTTTACAACTAACAAGAACTGAAGCAATCGCAAAGGGATAGTTCTAACTGCTTTTGGTACTAGTGGCTCTTAGCCAGCCAGGGCAACCGTCGCACTTCGGGTCTGGGTTGAGTCGGAGCTCAAAAGATATTTGAAGCAGGCCACTGTGGATTTCGTATTGATTACGGATTGCGTGATATAAAAGTCAAAGAAATGTCCAAAATACGATGGCCAGTAGATTTTGAGGACGGTTCAAGTCAAGAAAGAAGGTTGATATGTTTGTAATTAAAGTGCTGACTACGTAAAATCTAGCACCTACCTATTGTGCAGTGCGCGACTGCCTAGGTCGACATCTTTACGTGGTTTCTTTCTTGAATTGAGTCAACGGAGCAACCAACTGTAGCAGCCCAGGCCACTCAAAATCATTATTAGTCTTGACTCAAGGTCCAAAGAGGGACCAGCGCCTGTCCACGCCGCCTTATCTACCTAACGGAGTTCTCCTCGGCGCCGTGGCGACAAGGTTTCCAGATTTGCGAATTAGCAAATTACACTTCATCAATTACATGGTTGAGTGGCCCGAGGGCCCCAAGTCAGAGTGCGGAGTGCCCGAGTACCTGTATCAGTCCCCGTTACGGCACACATCCACCCTTACACCAGGACATGGTTAATGTTGTGATGGACTATGGCATCATATTTTTCAGGTTTGAATCCTTCGATCTTGTTCATGGAAGAGATCTCATCGGATCATGTGGGGCAACTGGATCACTAATGCAGCCTGCAGATCTGAAGTCAATCATTGCCTCAACCTCTACCGTGTCTTCTCCCATCAACAATGACGAAAGTTGGTGGTAGAATATGGCAAGTCCTTTTTGGAAAGAACCAAACATTCCAGCTCATTCCAGTTTTGGAAAGCTCCATAAGTCATTTCTCCTCCCGTTGCGTAGGCAGTTAGACTCAGCTTTCTTCCCCAGGCACTCTGGCACAGCCGTTAAGCCTTTACCCCTAGTCGACGCTAGAAGGCCCCAAGACCTACGGATAAATTTCAAGGAAAGGTATGCTTGGCAACTCTCGTTATCGTTAGGTGCAGTTTGTCTGCGCCAAGTGTACCTGGCCAAACGTTGTGAAACTAGGTCGCTTGTTTCCCACGAGTACGGAGTACTGATACTTCAGTACCTACCTGACCTCCTACAGTCTACCTTAGACATCAATAGTATCTTCTTTCCTACCAGACACAATATCATGTCAAACAACATCAAATACCTACTTATCCATCTCAAGCGTTTGCTTCTATGATCTTGCCGCATCCGACTGCTATTCCATACCAGTCCCAGCATTGGCCAGGCTTTCTTTGTCATGTCAAACGCCCTCTTCATCTGAGCTTTCTATCCCCACTCAGTTGAAATGATGATGCTCAGCGTAACAATCATCTCCGCTACCCCTACTCGTTCTTCTCTTCTCTCTGCTTCTTCTGCAGTACAACATGATCTTGATCTGCAACCCGATCGCAATCATGCGAAACACCTCGATATCAACTTCGCTTGGACAATACCCGTCTTGACCATGCCACCCTGAACTACACTTCATTGCACTCCACGGAGATTGATCCGTTGCACTGCCGCATCTTCAACAAGACGCTCTTTGTCTGTACCACCAGCCCATTTTCCATCCTCATGCAAACAGCTCGACTCTCCATGCCCTTTTTTTCCTTTGTCCCAGTTGCTATTTCAGGACAATGAGTCTTCCTAACGCAGCTCAGAATGCCTCTTTTGAAAGATATAACCCTCCTGAATCTGCCAGATACCCACGTTTCTCATCACGTTCATACTCAGTCACCAACCCCCCTCCACGCCATCTCTAACCCCAAACACTTCAATCCCAAGTCTTCCGTGAGAACTTCACCATGCACTCTTTTCTCATTTTTTGGGTCGGCCTTTTGGCCATGGTACTTGGGATCAATGCATCACCCAATGGCGCTGGGCCTCACCCAGGCCATGGCGGAACATCCTGCACTGAGAGTGGTGCCACGCTCACTCAGCCATCTTCTTCCAACACGGTCGATGGCAATATCCCTATTGACTCGGTCACTAGCTCAACCACGCTAACAAGCACCATTACATCGACTACCACCGTCACCATCACCATTACCGACTCCAGTTCGTCTTGTGACTTGACTGACGCCACCACCGGCATCCCTATCACTGCTTCACCTACTCTTTCCTATGCCAACACCACCGTGGCTCTCAACACCACGACCTCGACCGTCCACCTTACCAATGTCACCAGCAACAATATTGCTGCACCGACGGCCAACGTCACAGCGCCCAACGCGACTGTCAGTCCTATTATCAGTGGCTTCAAAGGTGCTGCCACCCACATTTCCTCTCATTCAGCTGCTGCAGTCTTGGGCTTTGTTGTCATGCTTCTTATGACGACGTTATAGACGTAAAGGGCAGGACTAGATCAGACGGTGTGAATTTACAGATATTGTTTACCATGTGTCACATGTTTCTCTTTCAATTCCTGTTGGGGGAGCTAGCTCCTCGGAACAGTACCCTGGTGGTCATTTTCACATGGCACTTGACTTATTTTAGTTGAATCATACAAGCAAGCAATTGTCTTGACATTGCAAACATGTGATCTTCTTCATTCTACGTACCTTCAATCCAATCGCGTGGTCATGACGCTGATGCCTCAAAAAGATCAAGGAGCGGGTATGCTGAATCATCACAGCCGTGCTGACCAAGTCGGAGTTTTGACGGAAGTGGAGGATGTCCTGTCATCAACACGTGATTATCAAAGTCCAATACATAGAATGGGTCAAGTATGAGGGTTGGCTCAAGCACCAACCTCCCTAGATAGCTCCCTATAGAGTCATGTACCTACCTACCTACCTACCTCCACATAGGCCGAGGGGGCCGAGGGGCCTACTTAGGTAGGCATGGTACCTCACCACCATATCACTTCACCATCGTACCAACTATAGGTGTTCTCCAGTGCCTGTGTAACAATTCCCGGATTCTCTGTGCTCCCCTCCCGCACGCTATTGACCAGGTCCTCAACCCCCAAACTCCCCCATAGGCCCATCTGGTCCAGAGCTCCCTCGCCAACGCCCCTCATACGTAATCGGTGATTCTGCAATCATCACCTTACCCCTCCATCCACAACAACCACCGTTGGTTAAATTCTTCTCAGCGACCACCTCAGCTCCAGCAATTTTGGCCTCGAGGTCACCGCATCTCAGATCATCCTCTGTTACTTCTTTTCTTTCCCCATAAGCTCATCCTAATCATCTGTCTTCTCCTAATTCAGTACGTTACTTCAGCACCTCTCCCTAAGATTTTCTGGTGAGTACCACATCGTGAAACCCCCCTCCTTCCACCCTCCGAACACAGCCGCGACCGCTCCTGTTTCAATCCCCTACCCTCCTCTCCACTGTCACCACTGTCCTTATATCTTCCTTTTCCTCTTTCCCATTCTAACCTCTTCCTTTACAGAGAAGCTAGCCTTACCACTTGACCACCTTTCCCATCCTATTCACCATGCCTGACTTCGCCCAAGCCACCGACCTGAAAGCATGGGCTGCCCTCGTGGAGCATCACAACACTGTTGGCCGCAACATTGTGCTCCGAGAGGTCTTTGAGAGTGATCCCCAGCGTTTCGAAAAGTTCAAGAGAGTCTTCAAGAACTCGGCCGACAACACCGATATCCTTTTCGATTTCTCCAAGAACTTCATCACCGAAGAAACACTTGACCTACTGGTCAACCTTGCAAAAGAGGCTGGTCTCGAGGAGAAGCGAGACGCTCTCTTCGCCGGTGACAAAGTCAACTTCACCGAACACAGAGCCGTCTACCACCCTGCCCTTCGAAATGTCACAAACCAGCCCATGGCCGTCGATGGCAAGAGTGTCGTTGAGGAAACCAATTCCGTTCTCGACCACATGAAAGAATTCACACAGCAAGTCCGCAGCGGAGAGTGGAAAGGCTACACTGGCAAGAAGCTGACCACGATCATCAACATTGGTATTGGAGGCTCTGATCTGTAAGTCTCGCAAATGCCCGTCTTCAACCCATGTCCACACACTGACCCCTCACAAGTGGCCCTGTCATGGTTTCAGAAGCCCTCAAGGCCTACGGAGACCGAAACATGACTCTGCATTTCGTCTCAAACATTGATGGCACTCACATCGTCGAGGCTCTCAAGAACTCCGACCCCGAGACCACTCTCTTCCTCATTGCCTCCAAGACCTTCACCACCGCTGAGACCATCACCAATGCCAACACTGCAAAGAAATGGTTCCTGCAGTCCGCAAAGCAAGAAGATATTGCCAAACACTTCGTTGCCTTGTCCACCAACGCCGAAGAAGTTTCCAAATTCGGAATCGACACCAAGAACATGTTTGGCTTCGAAAGCTGGGTCGGAGGTCGATATTCCGTTTGGTCCGCCATCGGTCTGTCTGTTGCCCTCTACATCGGTTATGACAACTTCCACCAATTCCTTGCTGGCGCTCACGCCGTCGATGACCACTTCAAGAAGACACCTCTCAAGGACAACATTCCAGTCATTGGCGGTCTTCTCAGCATCTGGTATTCCGACTTCTTTGGTGCTCAAACCCATCTCGTCGCACCCTTTGATCAATACCTTCACCGCTTCCCCGCATATCTGCAGCAGCTTACCATGGAGTCCAATGGCAAGGCCGTCACCCGCACCGGTGATTACGTCAAGTACACCACCGGCGCCATCTTCTTTGGCGAACCTGCCACCAATGCCCAACATTCCTTCTTCCAGCTGCTTCATCAAGGCACCAAGCTGATCCCCACCGACTTCATCCTGGCTGTCAAATCCCATAATCCCGTCGAGAACAACCTGCACCAGATCTTGTTGGCATCCAATTTCTTTGCCCAGGCCGAGGCTCTGGCAATTGGCAAGACTCCTGACGAAGTCAAGGCCGAGGGTGCCCCAGATGAGCTCGTGGCCCACAAGACCTTCCTAGGCAACCGACCTACCACCAACATTCTGGCTGATCAGATCACCCCCGCCACTCTCGGCGCTCTCATCGCATACTACGAATGGTTGGTTTTCACCGAAGGTGTCGTCTGGAACATCAACAGCTTTGATCAATGGGGTGTGGAACTCGGAAAGGTCTTGGCCAAGAAGATCCAGAAAGAATTGGAGACCGAGGGAGCTGGCAGTGCACATGATGCCTCTACTGCTGGCTTGATCGCGGCCTTCAAAGCCAAGGCCGGTCTGAAATAGATCATGGACCGTCCACGAACTCTTGTTAAACGCCTCGCCTGTCAGATGGCTTGTACCACAGAACGTCCTGTCTGACCAGGCCCTGGGTGAAATACCTCGAGGCTTGATAGGCCCGAATGAAACATGACCAAATCAAGTTGAAAAGCGTATCAATCGATTTTTCTACAATTAATAGTTGTGGTGCATGATGACAGCAAACCGAGTTTGACGTGCGGGACGGATCTTCATTTGGTGTAGACCATGATCTATTTACATCTGGAATCCTTTCGTATCCCATCGTCTTATCTGATCAACCCGTCTGTAGACTTCAATTGTATTGATACTCCGAGCCAGTCGAAGCCCCTACCCAATTCAAATCTACACAAATATATGGACAAATATGTATGTGAATAGCTCTTCCATTCCTCACCCAAGCCTCAATCCTCCACCTCTTCAGTCCCAGCCTCTGTGAATCGGCGGCATGGGCACCGCAAACACACTTCCATCAGCCTGAATTACCAGCGAAGTACTGGCAATTCTGCAGTCGAAATGCCCCATAATATTCTCCCCCATCAGACACGCATTTCGTGAGCTCAGAGCGATATCCTTGTAGACATCATCGAACGCCAACAGCCGGGGAGTGATGTTTGTCGGTGTACTGCCACTGTTCGCCCCAATTCCCGGCAAGATGATCATGGCAGTAAGACTGCTCCCAGCCCCCAGCAGAGCCATGCCACCCAAAAGCGTCAGAGCCTTCAATCCAGGAGCAAGCGTCGCCGCATACGTCGCATCAACAGCCAAATAAACAGCCAAAGTACGCGCCGCAAACCCCAGTTTCGTCAATCCCACAAAAGTCAACGCAATAGTCACGGTCCCAAGAACAGCATCAATCGCCACCCTCACAGGATCAGCCTTCCCACCGGGCCCAATATCAATGACTAGCGGACTCGTCAACGGATCCTTGACAATCTGCCAATGATCATCCCACGGATCATACAACTTCAAGTCCGTCGTGGTGGGACCCGCCGAAATACTGAAATACTTCCAAGCATCAAAAGCCCAACAATCGGTATTACCACTGACTTCAGTCTCAAATACTCCAAATGAAGTAGATTGGTTGAATTCCGCTGCTGGTAAGGTGACTATTCCGTCGTAGAAATTATGTCGACGGGATCCGAGGTTGTCAATACCAAAGAGTGCTTTGTACGTGGCAAGGTAGTTGATCATGTCTTGAGGTAGTTCTTTTTCGCTGTATTGGGATCGTAGGTGCGTGCTGGTGCTGGCCCAGGTTTGATAGTAGTAGGTCAGGGAACTGGGATTGAAAGAGCCTTTCATGCATTGTGGTGCATATTTGAGATCGATGGTTGCTGGGTAGGGTGAGAAGTTGATGATTAATAAGGGGACTTGTAGGCCAGCGAGGGAGAGGGGGATGAAGAGGAGGAGGAGATGGAGATGTGGTGGAATCAGTTTCATCATGGAGGTGGTAACACAATTCAATTCAGGCCAGAGAGTGAGTGCGTGCCGGGTTCATGGACTTCATCTTGCTTGCTTGTCTGATGTACATATATATACACATCCTGACATCTACATCATGTCCATACAGAGATTTGACTTGACTTCACAACGAAGAAAGAGCTTACCTCCCGGGCAACACGTCGCAATGGCCATGTCCGTGGCTGTTCCCCAGGCACATAACTTTCTTTTCACCTCCCTCGAGACGACAGCCTGAATACATACTCTCCTGCCATCAGTTCTCGCGTCGAGACAGACTTAGCAAAGGGCCATAAGCTTTCATCTCCTGGCCATCCAGAGTGTATACTGAAGGGGAAATCTCGCATTGGCCCGTGTCACGTCCGATCTATTGGCGTGTGCTCAACATCCAGGCCCTCTACACGGTCCGTCCTCAAGGTAAGAGATCCTAAGGTTTGAATAGCACCAAACGTTATAATTAAGCTTATGTGGTCAATGACCCCGACCATGGACCATGTGGGGGTTGGGATAGGGTCTGTGGCTTGGTTCATGGTGCTGATTCATAGTATAAGTCGTTCCAGAACAACGCTTTGCGGCCATTGCGTTGGCTCTCTCCAGAGGCTGGGCAACTGTGTTGATGGACAGCCTCTCCCTTTTCACTTCCCAAGGTCATGGCTCCAACAAGGTTGAACACCTATACAGAACATACAACTCGCGCATAGTCGTGTCATTGTAAGGTTCCCTCGCCATCTTTCTTTCTCAACCAGCCATCAATCATGGCTTACAGTGCGGTTGTGTGTTTGCCTATATAGATGGCAATGGAGGAAGTGATTGACAAGACAGACTCATCAATCCTCATACCTACTGAGTAAGTGAATCTCCTCGGACTTGAAACAGAACAACTACACACCCGTGTCTCTCACTCATCATCATCTCCATCATGCCAAACTTTCCATCATTTCTTATGCTTCAAAGCTTTGCCTTGGTACTTAGTATTCCAATCCTCGTTGAATCACGGCCTACCAATGATAACACCAACCTCAACAATAACCTTTCATCATCTCCCCCCTCCTCTTCGAGTCAATCATGGCAAGACTGGTCCAATTCACCATCTTCGCCCTCTTCAAACCCATCTCCACCTTCACCCACAGCCCCCTGGCCCATACCCAACAACTCCACCACTGGAAACACCAACTCCACGAACACCACCAACCCAAGTTACACCAACACCCCCGTGACAATCTCAGATCTATTCCACATTCCCGACCTCAGCACCTTCGACTTCAACACCACCAGTCCCGAACCCTATAACCCCAACGAACCAGATCCACAAGGCAAATTTACGAGTCGAATCGACCTGGACGAGAGCGATATTCCCGCCTTCATCACATTAATAACAACAAACACGACACAGCAGCAATCTACCGCCGCTCTAGTCGAAAACATCAATGAAGTCCTCACGAATGTTGACCTCGATCCATCAAATAGCGTGCTTGCGGATATGCTATTACATGCTATCAATCTCACGAACGGACAAGGACAAGGACAAAAGCGGGATATTGATAATGCCACCATCACATTACGCGAATTAAGTCTCTTTCTCGAATCTTGTTTCCTTGACTTCGACTCCTGTCTATTCTGGGACGATCAAACCAAGGAAATCGTGGACGCCACGTTCGCCATGGCGGAGACTGGCCTGTGGAGTCTTAAAAGTGATAACCAGAGTGTTTGGCCTTCTATTGCACAGTGGGTTATTGATTCAGGAGTTGATCTTCTCGTTGGGGATCGTCGACTGACGAATGACATGGTTGTTCCGGTGAGTCTAGTTCCGGGAGGAGGTGTTTCGGCGGCGTGGCCGGCGGAGGTGCCGGGGGTGAGGAGTAAGTACCTAAGGTAGGTTGGTCTTTCTCTTTGAAAGAGCTTTCGATGGAAGGGGGTTTGAAGTGGGTGAACGAGGGAGGGGTTTGTTATATTGTATCGGGATATGGATGTTAAACTGTCATGGTCCAATGATTCACGATTTGTTTATTTCCTCGGCTTTCTGAGGAGTCAAGATCCAATGTCACCACGGTGGATCCCTGGTATGTTATGGGACTTCATTATAGTATATAGATATGGGCCTATAGATGTCCTAGAATCAAAAGAAAATATCACTATCAAGTTCTATTGATTGGTTGTATCCCACTACTTACGGAGTAGTAGCCATGTGCTTCTACTAAAACCATCACCAAAGTACCTAGTACTGATTATATTGAAAAGAGATTGAAGAAAGAGCCTAGAGATAAGGGGCAAAAGGAATACACATTTGTACATATGGCTAATACTATGAAGCATGCAGTTGCTCTGACCTAGGCCCGAGACGGCCCATTTATCATGCGGACAGGCAATTGGTAGCTGATTTTGCGAAGCAGGCTTCTGAACTTCGAGTTTGAGTATAAAACATAAAAACAATAGAATAAAGAGACGTCTTCCTCGGCTGTGAATTCTCCAAGACGTACACACTCTTCGGACGTGGTTGTCTTCTTGTCCTAGCGCAAACCCGATAACGGGGAGGGAATTCTATCAAATTCGCCGACTAACAATAGGCGATGGAACTTTGCCATTTGCGTGGCTTGGTGGTCTTACACTGGTGGGTAGGCCGATGATCATAGAGCTGGTCTTGACTTGTGGTCTTGGAGCCAAGGGCTTGGGTTCCAATGCGGCAATTGACTCGGCACTGGGAGATACAACGACTGTCGATCCAGAAATCCGTTGACTTCCACGTGGTGAGGTCGAATCAAAGGACGAGGTCGATGCTCGAATAGCAAGCGGAAGTGGTGGTAGTGATGGCCTGCCGCTCGAAGTGCTCTTTGCTGGCGATGTTTCCCTGCCACGGTCTCTTGTCTGTCGAGTATATGCGCTTGATGAATTACGACTCCATCGAGAGTTGGCTGGCAAAGGAGGTCGCAACTCAGCCGGGAACGGTAGGGGTGAATACGGTGCATTCGAGATGCTTTCTGATGGAGTGATGGATTTTCTGATTCGTGGGATATAGTACTGGCTCCGGGGAGTAGCAGGTGCTGATGGCGGTTCGTATGGAATTGTGAAGTGTGCAGTATCTGGGGTCTGTGGAGAGTCTAGGGCCGGGGAAGGGAGATATTGAACCTCGGAGCGGGGAGGGTCTGGGATTTCTGCTGGCTTAAAGGTGGTTTGAGGTAGAGGTGCAGTAGGTGGCATATACGGGAGGTTGAAAACAGCAGTACGTGGAGACTCAGAATTAGGTCCTGTCAGACTTTCGTCAAGGCCAAGTCCCGAGCCAAATCCTTTTGGCCAAGGTACTACCGGAAGAGCGCTGACTCTGTGAACGGAGGTAGCCAAAGAAGTTCGCGCCGATTCCATCAAGCGTTCGTCGGAGGTTCTAAAGTCTGACGTATAGCGCTCCGATTTCCGCAAGGCAGTGGATTGGCCCAAGTACTTTCCGTCCTTATCATCCCATGGGGTGATTTCCTTGGCATTGATTTTCAACAAGGACTCTGCTCTATCCGAGAATGGATTGTTGGGGTCCTCCTCAGAGCGCGTGGTTTTGACAGATTGATGCCTAGCGGGAACTGGAGGTAAAGCAGACGAAATAAGGGGGAGGGATTTGGATGTCGTCTCTTTCTCCGGCTTGGTAGCTGATACCATGGTGAAATCTGGGGAAGTAGATCTATTGGACGTGTTGTGGAATCTGCCCATCATCTTTCTGACAAGATCGCCGGAAGGAGAATTCTTGTACTGTTCGAGAGCATCATCTTGTCCTAGTGAGCCTGAGCCTTTCTCGATTGTCTCAAGATTGTTTTCTTCTCCACGTTGTCGTCTTCTTCTTACACGGTCGATACCTCTTCTCAAGGGGACGCAATACCGGTACAGTACAAATGCCACGATAGCAGTTGAGACGACAGCAAGCACTGACCCAAGAGCTATGGCTGTATTGTGATTCTGTCTTGAAGAGGCCACGACATCTGAGGTATCCGGGGCACTGGCAATTCCTGTGGCAGATGCAGGTGAGGTGAAGCTGTCGGCAGCGCCGAAACTTGCGATTGTAGGATTTTGGGGGTCTGAGAGCATCGAAGTAGAAGAGGGTTGTGAGGCTGCTATTGACTCTTGTGGATCAGGACGAGGAGGAGGTGTGGAGGCAAATGGATTTGGAACATCGTCGTCGTCTGAATCGGAGTCACTGTCGTCTGAAGTGTCATCCGAAGTGTCATCCGAAGTGTCATCATCACTATCAGAAGTATCTGGTTGTGGTGCTTGTCTGGGTTTTATTTTGTATTTTCTGAATCGATACGACTCTGGGGATAGGGATGTCTCTGACCCAGCAAACCGTCTTGAGCGAAGGCTTCGATCCAGGGGGTCGTTTATCGCCATTGGGTGTCTTTGGCAAAGCCTATACCTGGGCTGAGGATGCCGCCAACGGGTGGAATGTCGTTTCTAACTCAATGATCGTATCGTCGTGCTTGAAGGAAACAGAGGGCCAGCCTCAACACAAGAAAAGCGAAGCATAGGAGGAGCAATCTGGGGAAACGTCGACCAGCGTACCTAGAGTAAGAAGGAAGATAGAATAGAATGGAGAAGTGGTACCAACAAGTTGATGAAAGTGGATAGGAGGGGACGCACGGGGTGACCTACATCCGTACCTACCTTGAGCTCTGCTGGTTTTCGATGAGGGAAATGCTGAGGGAAGCCACCAGGTCAAGTTGCCATGGGATAGCGTCTAGTTCGGGCCTTGGGTGGTGACTGGTCGACACAGGGGTGGTTTCAAGAAGGTAGATCGGGCCTATCGGTCCATCTGGAGAGAGATGGAATTGAGTCTGAGACGTCGCGGGGGGGGGGCTCCATGGCAGATCGATAGCGATATTCGTGTTTAAGCATATGAAATCGAAATCTTGCCTCGAGTCTCAAGGGAGATGTGAAACGTGGAATGTTGGAGGGGCACAGGGGGTGCTCCACCGTGCACGGGGTGTGATGGGCTGCCGAGCCCCTCGGCCACCAAACTGCAGTTGGTCACGCAGAAGAGGTCTGTCAGTGTCAAAGACTCGGCAGAACTAGTTGGGTTCTCAAGTGAGGCATAATCGACGCTTCAAAGTCGTCGTTGTAGCGAAATTGGTCGACGTCCTTGAAGGCGCAGTTTCAATGATGTCGTCGAGTGCAGATGCGCCGAGGAAGGAGGGAAGGAGGGAAGGTCGCCCCTTGTTTCACGTGCCTTTCACGTGATTGCCCATTCTTGTCATTCTTGCCATTCTTGCCATTCTGACTGCGGCCGCAATCGGAGCATTGATTTTCCGCTGGACAACAGGAGAAATGTAATGCCGGTGCCGAGAACACGTCAGCCTGGGTCTGGACGAGGAAGGTACGGACAAAAGTCCTTTAGTCCTTTTAGAAGTTCAATCCCAGCAACTCGAGTTTTCTTCAACAAGTCAAATCACTCAAACTGCAAGTCTTCTCATCCAACTCAATTCAGACTTTCTTACAGAACAAGGAGTCAGCTGCCAGGACCACACGGCAATCGAATCTAGGCGGGTCTATAGCAATATATATTTTGCTTCAATGGCGCCAAACGTGGAGGCATATCCACAACCCCTCCACGTTTACCAAGGCCGCACACGGTTCCTCCCGTACTGCGACTCTTCTCACACATGTCACGCCACCACACCCAACCAGGGCCAACTCCCTCAAGGTCACATTCTTGGGGGCTATGACCATGGCTTATCTTCGCCGTTGCCTCTGCAAGTACTCCGTCCTGCCCATGGCTCCGTACTGGCTTGCAGCCTGATTGCCGAGGTTCCGCGACCTGTACGTGAACCTTGTAAGCGAGGGCTTCTCGATGGGTCTTCTGGTTCTCCAACTCCAACGCCTCCGAGATTCGTTCCGCCGCCAGAAACTCAAGTGCTTGGAGCAGGTAAGCAAAAAGGCGCAATTCATCGTGCCAAGAGGCCCGAGGGCCTTCTGAATCGGTGACTCCTCGTGCTCCTCTTCTTGGGAAAGCGGCTAGAGTTCATTTCTTTCTTCGTCCCTTAGATTCTTTTTGCGTCTTCTTCTTCTAACTTGTACAGCAGCAAATCTTTATCTGATCAGATTCCTTCATTGCCACCACCGTCCGCACCTCTGTCCTTTTCTTTTTAGCAATTGTCCTCTCAGACACAATCCTTTCATACAGGTCATATCCTATTCATCCAATTTGACACCCCACTCCTACAGCAAAGATGCAAATCGCACGCAGATTCTCCATTACAAACTTCGCCATCGCGACTTCAGCACTCGCCTTTCAAGTCTTTGTTCTGTATCCGTGGCACAACAAACTCGACCAAGAATTCAAGGAACTCAAGGAGGAGAACATCCGGCTGTTGCAAAAGGTAGAAGTCGGCCGTTCTGAACAGCTCAAGGAAATCAGGGAAGCATTCACTCGTGCGAGAGCGACCTAGAAAAGAACAATTAAAACGCCACATGAACGTTTGATGTGCCTTGTAGCAGGCTGTCGATGGTGGGCAGAAGGAAAAGTCTGCCAAAAATTCATCTCACGGTTCGTCGACACAGCACTGTTCGGCCGATTTGAACGACCATGGAAAAACGATGATCACACGAAATCCCAACGAATCCTGCCACGTCGATTCCCTCTCTATCCCTCGAGATCATTTCAATCGTCCCCGAAACCCATCCACCCTATGGAAGTCGTCTTCTAGTTGATTCGCCATACCGGACTCCTCAGCTGTGACACCCGACTCCCACCCCCACCTCCGACCCAAAGACTGCATCCGCATCTGCACCAGTCTCATTACCGAGAAGCCACCACCCTGTTCGCATAGACAGCGTTCGCATAGACAGAGACGAACCTACAGCTACATTGTCCTCAATTCGGGAGGACATTGTGACCTATCGACCATCGATGCAAGAAATATAGACCCCGGCAAAAATTCGGACTCCCGCTTTTAGCGAATCAGCCCCCATCAACAGGCTTTCTCACCAACTCTATAGAAGTCCGATTTTATTCCAGAATGAATCGGTCATACTATACACTAGATCTAGATCTATCATATCTATGCTCTTTTACACCAATATTTATTGTCAATCCACAACAATACCCTCTTATGTACTCCGGTATCCAGCAATATTTAATACCCACCTTGCGGTCCGCTTAAGCACAGCCAGTCTTCAGCCGCGAGGCCGGTGTGAAGTCTGAAATTCCTACACTGAAATCCCTTCCCTTTGCATATTGAACCTCAGCTCATACATGTGTTTCTTACTCTTTCGAACGAGCGACTTGCACGTCTGTAGAAATTGCCGACCCAGGCACCGGCGCAGGCACCATATCCCCTCCGGCTGTCTCGGGCTGAGGATTGGCGAGAATGTCACCTGCACCGCCCGTATCTTTTGCATCCTTCTTATTCCGGACATCTCCGTCCGTCCGGTTGCCTTCATCTGCGCGAGCTTCCTTGGCTTGTTCACTTTGCAACATGCTCGCCCTTCTTTCTGCCTCCTCTTCGTGTTTTTGACTTACGTTGACCGCCAAAAACGTCTTGGGCAATTGCACCGTGTTAAACTTGGCCTTCAATGTAGAAATGACTTCCTTCCAGTCCTGATGATTCGTCAATGATCGTCTCGGTGCCGTGCCAATAGCGTGCTTAGAGTCGAGAGACACATCGAGAGGGTCAACTGTGTGGCAGCCAGGCGAGATGGATATCCTGATCGAGTATGTTGACTCGGCTGTATCGGCGTCTTTGGCCTCGTACAGCTCGAAGCATATCTGCGAAAGATAATCGAGCTCAGGGATGGTGGACCGTTTGATCTTGGTGTGGATACCACCCTCCATAATGCAGTTGAGCAGCGTATAGATGTGAGATTCCTTGGTGAAGTAGACAAACGACTTTGCGTCCCCTGAAGCCTGAAGCTCTTCCAGGTCGTCAACGATTTCTCGCAGCAAAGGGAGTGAAGTCAAAAGGCCAATCTCCAACTTTTCGTGGTCGCTGATCCCATATTCTTGAGGGCCAATGTAGTCGAAGAGGATTTTGCTGTACCGAAACAACTCCCTCAGTCTACCAAGGCGTTGGTCTTGCTTGGATCTGCTGTCTCCGGATCCACTGAAAAGCTTGAAATAGGATGCCCCTTGTTCGTAAAGCATCAAAGGAGGCGTGGAAGGCGGATGCCGGAGAATAGATTGTCTGCGGAGACCTATTTTGTGTGCAAAGCGGTGTCGCTCAGTTGAGCTACTGGTCAGAGATGATACACTCTCATGTCGGGCGTTACTCGCTTGCACAGAGCCCTCCTCTTGCTTCTCCGACTCGGGCGAGACGTTGGAAGACAGCGAATTCTCCTCTTTTGCCAGTTCATCGAGGAGTGACTGACTGGGGGTGAAGACCCATTCGAGAAATTGCTTGTTGTGGAGCGCATCGTACTTCATTGTGTCGTACAACTCAGATATTTTGCTTGGATCCGCCTTTTCAGTGTCGCAGAATTCGGTGAAGAGCTTTTCCCAGCGTTCTCTGAACAGCTCGGCATCCTCGCCTGTGCACCACCTAGATTGTATCGACGCCACAGTGACAAGATCCTTGTTCTGCTGTGCTCCTTCCTTTGTTTCACCCGATCCGTTGATAGCAGCAAGAGATGCGGCAGCTCCGCCAGCGAGCTTCTTGAAATTATGCCGCATGACCCGGCGATGGAACTTTAGCAGATCAATGACAGTTTGCATGACAATGACTGGCTCTGGAACATCCTTGGGCCAGGCAAATTCCTCGGGAACGCTGCCCTCGCGAAGAAGATGCTTAAGCTTCTTTTTAACTTTGTCCATCAGATCTTTGGCCGCATTGGAATCATCGAGCAAATCTTTCCTGACGGTTATGAAATCCTCGGGGATGTCTTGTCGATCCAAGAATGCCGCGGCCCATATTTGGGCGCTTGTTTTGACACGTTTTTCGGAGCTGGTGAATATGCGAACATCCTCCAGAACTTCCTTGTTTAACAGTTTGAAGTCATCCCGCATATTGCTTCCGAGATCCTGAGATTGGTATCGCGCTGAATGCGTCGGCTCCCCACCCCATTTCATCACCAGTTGCAGCTTATCCAGAATCAAGTCATTTTCGGCGGCGGAAAAGCGAGAAAAGGTGACGCCTGAAATAGAGTCGCTCCTCGTTTGAAGACGATGCATGTCCTTGGGGTCCGATGCAAGTCCCGCGGGTTCGAGGTTGGGAGATTCTAACGCCCCAGTCTCTCCTGCATCAATACTGTTTGAATTGGCCAACATTTCATCAGGTCGTCTCTTGCGAAACATTGGCTTGATCTGCACCTTTGTACCTGGTTGGCCGCCTTTCTTGGCAAGGGCATTGCGTAGATTCTTCAATTTGACGGGATCTTCGAGGTTTTCCTTCTGGGCAATCTTGACAGCGGCTTCAACGCTCGCAAGAGCGGCCTCGCCTTTGAGGAGGACCTCCTCATGGTGGCCTTTGAGCAAGTCGGCAAACACTTGAGAGTGAGCGGTAAACTTCAACTTTTGCTTCGGCGTTCGATCGGCATGTCTAACAACAGTGACCACACCTTTGAGTTTCCATGAATGTTTAGACATGGGCAACGGTGCTTCCGCCTCAGTCTGCTTGGGGACTGGAACGGGATTCGCTGAAGCCATCGCTGTGTTGGTGGTTGTCACGATAGGAGGGGGAAGCTCCCTCTCTGTAAGTGGTGGTGGCATGTTTGAGGTGGAAGACTTCTCGATAGTTGGCGGTGAACTGAGTGGGGTCGTCATAGCGGTCCCCTTGGGAGAGCCTGTAGTAGAATTGGAATGGCGTGAAGATTGCGAAATGCCATGGGAGAGTTTCGTCATACTGGGGCTCTTGAGAATCGTCTTGAGTGCCGATCGGTGGGAGTGATTGTTGCTCTGTCGGGGCATCATGTCGCTTGAAGGACTTCCAGAAGCCTCGTCAGTCACCGCTGAACCCGTATCGGTCTTGTACTTTTCGGAGATGAAGATGCCCTTGAGGATACGCGCACAATCATTATAATAGTCTTCATTGTCTTTGACGAAGCTCCACCCATTGACGTCGATGATGAAACTGGAAGTGCCAGTTCGCAACAAGTCAAAGCCACAAATGCGTTGGCCAAAAGCCCGGGCAACTTTGGAAGCCATCTCCTTCTCGGCGTCGCTCAGTTTGGTGACATATCGCAGCTCCTTGCCATGAGTGTTGCGCCTGACTAGGCCATCAACGACGGGTGATTTTCTCGTCTCCGCATGGCAATAATTGAAACCAACAGTATAGGCCTTGACATCTTCGGCATTCTCGGTCTTAAGGAATTGCTCGTAGATATAACTGCTGTTCTCCTCGGTGAGACATCTCGGGACGGTCAAATTTGGATCGTACTCGGAAGATTTGTTGCCGATCTTGCGGAAAAGTCGGCGAGCACCGCCATCTTGGCTTTTAGGAAAGTAAATGATGACATTGTGGTCCTCGCCGTTGACAGGTTTCTCGACAAATGGCTTTCTGATGATCTTGCCATCAAGCACCAGAGTATCGCCATCGTCGACGAGGGAGACCTTGCGTGTTACCGGACTACCTCCACCCGTGCCGTCGGCAGGGCCCTCGAGGACGACGCCCGTCAAATTCTTGACATGTTGTGCAAGTTCAGCAGACTCTAACTTTGGTCCACCATCACGATTGACTTCGACTCGTTTTGGCGTGGGGATGAGCATCTGGTCGAGGATTTTCAAGCAAAGGCGTCGATCCCAAAGCACCTTTTGCATGGAGAGGTCATTGACGACGAAGGGTTTCCGCAGTTTTACGTAAGCGATGGCTTTGTCAAGTGGGAATCCATCAGAGAAGAAGGAAATCAGAAAGTCGCTAGGAGTGGTGAGAAATATGTCCATACTGCATGGGAGAACATTGGGGTACGTACCAGATGGGCCAATTTTCGACGTCTGTTTGCAGGAGAAGGGAATTAGTCGTCATAAGGAGGTGTAACAGTGAGCGACTTACCCTCGTCGAGAATAGCCTTATCGCCAAAAACGATAACTTCGAAATCTCCATCTCCTTGGAGGCGGGTGAGGATTTGGCGGCTGGGACGACTTCTTGCCTTGACATCGAGAGCACAAACACCAATTTTGCCGAGGGAGAGCCTGTCGGAATTGATGCTTTCGTTCTTGGACGAACCAGTGGTGCTCAGCCTCCTGCTGGTGGATATGGAACGTGGGTTAGCCGTCCTCGGGGCCCTGTTTGGGAGAGCGGATTCGGAAGTTTCCGACTTATTGTTTGGAACAACAGGTTGAGTGGCAGTGGCGGAAGGGTCAGTTTTCTGGGGCTGCTGCATAGAAGTAGTATGCGATGTGGCCGTTGACACTATATCCAATTGATTAGGTATGCATAGATCTAAGGATGAAGGCGAGAGCACGGGCAGACCTGGAGTTGGCGAAGTGGAAGTAGAGGATGCAGTGGTGACCACGGTAGCGTCGAAAGCAGTGGTGGAGACCTGAGCGGTGGGTGTAGCACCGTAGGAGATTCTATCATCAAAGCTTTTGACCGAAGCCGGAGGACTTCTAGGGATATCTTCTGACTTGCGTTGAGTGCGAATCGAGGACAAGGAAGTGGACAACCTCCTGTCGACGGAAGGTTTAGCAGAAGGTGGAGGCATGCTTATGCTGGAACGATCGGCAGAGGCTCTTGTGGTTTCGGCATGAGAGGCCTTTCGAATGTCAGAGGTTTTGATAGAGCCTGTGGCTAACAGAGAGTGGGTCGAAGTAGTTCTTCCAGGCCCACGAGGCGGTTGCTTCGAGGAAGTGGTGGAAGAGCCTGCCGAGTGGACGGCCGTTAGTGAGGCGGAATCGTCAAGATCGTTGTCAGACGTATTGGTGGGAATCCGCCGAAGGGGGGGTTGAGAAAAAGACTGAGAATCCATGTTCGAATGGAGACTCAACCTTGAAAAGCTGACGACGTCGGTCCTTGACGTGATTCCCGGAAAGGACAAGGGATTAAGCGATTGACGTGGTACCCCGGTCCAATGGCCGGAGGATGTGGAGTAGAAGCTTGATCTATGAGCCGGAAGGGGACTAGATAGAACGAGTGACGATAGGAAATGAGGCCATTAATTGAAATGGAGAAGAAGAGGAAGATGGTCTATTTGGGATTGATGGGCACTGTTAGCATTGAGTTGGTTAGAGACATGATAACGCAGGTAGAGATGGGAGAAGTCGATGAAAGAATGAAGCTTGGATGAGGGAACAATCTGGCCAAATCTTGGAACTCAAAATGGGCAGGAGCACAAACGACATTGGAGCAAGCGGCGACTCACCAACACACGCCACAGTGCTGTCTGCTTATGAAGGGCAAGTGCTGCCAACACCAATTCCACCAATTGGAAGGACAGAAAGACCCAGAAATCAACCACAGGGACGTCGGTCGAAGGTGGATATGGAGGGGTATGAATTTATCGGATTTGGCAAATGTGTGCATATATGCGTGCAGTAGTAGACGTATGGAGGCTGCTTTTCACGTGCACTGAAGCCCAGACTGAACAGTAAAGGGAGGAGAGAGATGGCAGTGGGAGGGAAATGTGGCTGTCCCTGGAGCGCCACATGTCCCTCCAAAAGACGTCACTTCCCCCAAAATCTAATCCATTCAAATAGGAAGCTTTGCCGAGCAAAAAATATTTTGGTAACGACAAAGAGACACCATACATCCGAGAAGGGTCTGTCTATACACGCCCTTTCAGAGGCAGAAATACCACCATGAATCTCATTGTATGACCTTTCCAAAGGTCTCCAGTTCTTCCATGGACGATATTGTCGAGTTTCCCGCTGCAAAGCGACAGCGGCGAGTAGAAGATGACAATACTGCTATTGCTGAAGCCACCGATATATCTCCCAGACAATCCCCTTCTTCCTCACGTTTATTTGCTCCTTTCCGGGTAAGTTTGTTGTTTCATCGATCCTGTATGCTCCAATCTGACTGTCCTCGAGACCCTCGGTCTAGTTTCTCCCACAAATGTCCCCTTCACCTCAGTACCCTTGGGCAAAACTACCTTTCAAATCACGACTTGCGTTGGTAACAGCCTTCACACGTACGACTTACGCAGAGGTCTGAACCTGGTCTTTCTAAGCCGTCCGAGCTGTCCCAAACCGATCACCGCCACCTACGCATATCGTGACCGAGTTTTCGTCGCTTGGGGTGGTTTGCAATCGAACGAGCCTCGAGGGCTGTGGATCTTCAAGAGGGGACATTTGGTTGCAGAGCTTGACACTCGAGTAACTGCCCAACAATCCATCCAACAGATCTTGGTCTTTGGCTCTTGGGTCATAGGTTGTGGTTCAGAGGCTATAGAAGTATGGAAATCCGATTCCTACGAACATTACACCACCATTCTTCCAACTGGCCGTACAACAGCTCAACATGCTCGCAATGTCTTTTCAGGCTTGATTTGCACTTTGCCCACCTTTCTCAACAAAATTTTTGTCGGCAGACATGATGGTATGGTAGAGATTTACAATGTCAGCACCGGTAAATTGGTCCATTCCATAATATCTCCGTCGGCCACCTCTGGATCTGTCACTGCCCTAAGTCCCGCGTTGGCACTAGGCCTAGTTGCTATAGCGTACTCCGATGGCACCCTCCGAATTTTCGATGTCGAAGCAGACGAGCCAGTGCTCAGTCTACAACAAAAGAATACCACAAAACCTGTGACCTCAATCACTTTCCGCAGTGACGGTTTGGGTGCTGGCGAAGACGGACGCGTCGACGGAGTCATGGCCACGGCAAGTGTCGAGAGCGGGGATGTCGCTTTGTGGGATCTCAATCGTGGCGGACGGTTGACTGGTGTCTTGCGTGGCGCCCACGAAACCTCCAATGCGGCTTCCAGAACCGGTGTCACCAAAATTGAATTTCTTCCGGGGCAGCCAGTCCTGATATCCTCTGGAAGAGACAATGCATTGCGATCGTGGACCTTTGACCAGATGCCATTTTCTCCAATCCCCCGAATACTCCACTCGCGAAGCGGTCATGCTTCCACTATAACTACCCTCAAATTTCTTCCCGCCGCATCCGATGGATCTGACGCTGCGGGCAAATGGCTTTTGTCTGCAGCACACGATCGTAGTCTTTGGGGATTCAGTCTGCGCAAAGACGGTCAGAACACGGAGTTGAGCCAGGGCGCAGTCAAAGCAAAGGCTCGAAAGACAGGTGCCAGCGCTGATGACGGGCCTGGAGTCGAGAGCTTCAAGGCACCTCCCATCATCGATATCGCATGCTCTCTTAACAGAGATGGAGGCATGGGCTCTGTTAGTGGACCGATATGGACCAACTCCAAGGGTTCCAACGCAGAAGAGTCGAGCATGACTGGGTGGGAGAGCGTCGTAACTGCACACGCGGACGATCGCTTTGCTCGAACCTGGTCTTGGGGTCGAAAACAGGCTGGAAGGTGGGCTTTCGAGACAAGTGATCGCCAACCCGTCACAAGTGTTGCTGTGACCACTTGCGGAACTTTCGCCATCATTGGTTCTGCTTCTGGGGCGATAGACATGTACAACCTGCAGTCTGGTGCTCATCGGCAGCGATATCCACCAAAGTTAACTCCTGCTCAGGCCAAACAACTAAAATCTACGAACGGCCAGGTGAATCAAGTCTCAATTCCTGCCAGAGGACATACAGATGCCATCACGGGCATCATCACCGACAACCTCAATCGAGTCATGGTATCGACCAGTTCAGACTGCACCATGATATTCTGGGATTTCTCGACGGGCAGAATTCTGCAAAAGATATCCTTTGACTCGGTCGTTCCAACTGCGATCCGGTACAATCCCGTATCAGGGCTTCTTGCCCTATCGTGCGATGATCTCTGCATCCGCATCATCGACATCGAGACTCGAAAGACTGTACGTGAACTCTGGGGTTGTAGAGGACAGATCTATGATTTCTGCTTCTCACACGACGGGCACTGGGTTGTGACATGTTCGATGGACTCGGTCGTACGAGTATTTGACCTCTCCACCGGACATCTCATTGATGCCTTCAAGATCGAAACGTGCACCAGCGCTGCATTCTCAAGTACAGGAGAATTCCTGGCGACCGCCCACACGGGAAGTACTGGCATCAACATCTGGTCCAATAAGGCGTTATTCACTCATATCACGACCAAACAAATTGACCCAGTCGATGGAATTATAGACCTCAGCGACACTGCACAGTTCCAAGCAGCAAGTCAATTAGCCATAGCAAGCGGCCCTGAGGAGACCGACCAGCCTTACGACGGAGAAGCGATGACCTCAGATACTGACCAACTCGATAGAAGCCTTCTCACACTATCTCTGGTACCCCAAAGTCGATGGCAGACGCTACTCAACCTGGAAAGTATCCGCCAACGAAACAAGCCCATCCAACCGCCAGAAAAACCCAAAGCAGCGCCATTCTTCCTAGGATCCACCCTCACCAACGGACAAGCCAACACCAAAGCACTCACAGAAGACTCAACTGTTGACGACAGCGAGCGATCGCGAATTTCTCGACTAGCGCTGACCAGCCAAAGCAACGGCCAGTCACAACTCACCACACTCCTCTCAAACTTCGACACAACCGTCAACCACGACCCTAAGTCCATCTGCGACTACATGGCCAGCCTACCCCCATCGGCCGCCGACCTGGAAATTCGCTCTTTGAGCATCGATGAAATGCCTATTTTCATCCACGCTCTGACTGAGCAACTACATCTCCGCAAATCCTTTGAACTGGTCAATACCTGGATGAGTGTTTTCCTTAAGCTACACGGCGACATCATCAGTGAAGTCGACGACGTCAATGACGCGGTCTTGTCGTGGCGAAAGGCAATGGAAGCCGAAGAGAAGAGATTAGCCCAATTGGTTGGATATACAAAGGGAGTGGTAGAATTTCTGAGGAGTGCTAGATAGAGTTGGCATCTATCCATCTATAGTGATCAGAAATCACAATCATATTGTGGCTCTCCGACATGAAATCAACCGAGGTATACTGCCGCTCGTCTTCGATAGCGTCGTCGCCGCCCAGACTGATATCACTCACTCCCTCACCCCCTTCCCCCCAAGAAAAACCCATACCATTCTATTTTATCTCCTTCACCTCACAGGAATGGTTTTCCCAGCCCCCGAACTACCTTAAGTAGTAGCAATGACCGACCCCCTTCCCATCCTCCTTACCAATCCAAATCCGCCGTCCCAATCGTCTCCAAATCACCTCTAATCTCCCAGACACTACCGCCCGCCTTATCGGCACTATTGACCCTCTGTTGAGTACTAGTTTCCCACCAACGACGAACCAGGTTTCCATCGATGATTCCACGCCCACCCACACCATCAGTCTCGATTTGTCGATACGCACGCGGATTCAAACTGCAGGGATGGAAATCGAGAGACGTGAGCAGGATGTTCTGTAGATTCGATAGACGGCGGTAAGTCGATTCAGGTACTGGTGTCAGAAGACTCATGGAACCGGATTGGGTGGTCAGAAGGATGCGATGTCGCGATGAGGGTGAGGATGAGGATGAGGTGGGGTTGGTGGGTGATGTTGCGTCGAGAGACATGGATGAAGATGAGGAAGAGGAGGATGCAGACGACGCGATTGACGCGTTGGAACCACGACGCGCTCGGTTTCGTCGTGTCTTTGTGGATGCTGGTGTCGGTGGTGGGAGCAGCGTCATGGCTGTCGGACAGTCGCCTGTATTGAAGGTGCTGCGGATGAGAAGTCGGGCTCCACGTTCGGTCTTGGGATCTTCCGGATCATATTGCAGGACGCGTAATTGACCGTCGTTGTCGACGCTGATGATGTAGAGTTGTCGCCCATCCGGCAGGAAGTCGGCAGTCATGACTTCGGGGTTCTCAAAGTCGCGACTGAGGATTTGCAACTTGTAAGGCTCTTCGGAATATCCCACGAGCCAGAGTCCCGAGAATGCGTCGCCCAGGATACAAAGTCCCGTCCCACGCAACTCTTTGGCAACGGAGACGTAATATCGCATATCCAGGAACGCGACCGGCAAGACCGACATGTCCTCCTTCAACCCACGAACCATACATTTTTGGCCCTGTGCGGCGAGAACGAAGCCTTGAGCTCCAACGTCTGAGATTGCCGATACCGCGCCTCGCACGTCTTCTTGAGTGATGAGTTTCAATTTCAGGTCTGATTCTGGAATGTCGGGGTCTGGCACGACGTCGACAACGTCGAAAATGTACAGATTGCCTCGAGTTGTTACATTTTCTCCTTTGACGACCGCCGTACCCACGACTATCAGATCTTTGCGCTCGTGTGTCTCTTCGGAGATTTCGAGGTTCAGACACTTAACACACAGTATCCTCTCCGAGGTGTCGAAAGTATACCTGCTGATGATCGAGTGAGTGGCGGGGCTCATCAATTTGAGAGAGCTCTGCAGCATTGTTGGGAGGAATGTGGTCGTCTCTTTTTGCCACTCTTGGTGCCATTCATCGTCTTGGGGAAGCTGGAACTCTGTCGGAGCGTTTGTCGCCAATATGTATGAGTGAGTGCGCTCAAAATATGAAATGAAGCTGATGTCTTCTTGGAGTGGTACACGTTGGATAGCCCAGTCGGAGAGACCAACCAGGGTTGTCGGTGGTATCTGGGCAAAGCAGACACTACCGTTCTCTCCAACAAAGACAAACCCAGTGTCGGAAGGTCCGTCTGATATGTTGCTCACTGCGTTAATGCGTTCAGAACCAAGGTTGTACATGTGAGGCGCTGTCGAAGCATGCTTGAGGATTGCGGACGGCGTCGAACCTGGCACGAACACCCATGAGAACCCAGTCGGATTGCCGAGACTATTCATCGACGGCCTCGATAACGGCTTTTCTGAATCACCTTGCCCCTCAGCATATGGGACAGTCCAGGTACCGACCTTCTTGAACTTGTAGCTGCCCACGACGTCCGGAACAGCAAAAGGTTGGTATAGGATAACATCGCCAACAGTGTTGCGAGCGATCAAGTATGGCTGCCGGCAGGTCGCATCCCCTATATCAGCCAAGGTCATCTCAGAGAGATAGTCTTTGTTCCTCCAGTGCTTAGGGATTTGCAGGTCTTGCATCAGATAAGTCGGAAAGAATGACAGGCTGGCGCACTGGAATATCTGGAAATTCAAGTTGGGCAAAGACAACAATTGGAAGTTTCCTTCTGTTGTAAGAATGGCCAGTACGGGGCCGCTCTCCGAGGCATCTGGGTAGAATCTGGACGACTGGAAGAAGTCGGATTCATCTTGGTAGAGAATGGCAGCTAGCAAACTCTGCACGGCGAGGTCTTCTGGAAGCTCGATTTCATCCAATTCACCAGCCTTGTCTGCCTTGAGGAGGCTCATAGCGCCATCCTCCTTGACGATGGCCAAGTATGGGTCAGCGAAGCTCACTTTGACGGCCTTGGAAACTTGTCTTTCGTCTTCATCAACAATGGGATAGATCTGTGAGAGACCGAATTCTATAGTTTGTTAGACCGCATCACATGGGTAGGAAGATGACATTGCTTACCCGCGTCGTAGACTCTGACCTCGCTGGACAAGACCTGAACAGTATGGTTTGTCATGTCCAACTTGCCCACAAATATCGTAGCCCCAGCAGATCCATCAAACTCGGAACCCGGTCTAGGTTGATATTCCCCATCGACTGATTGGAGGAGTGACGATTTCCCCTCTGCATTGTTGCCCTGTGCATTACTGGGGCTCTGGGAGACGATCATCAGGTCATCTGTGGGAAGCGGCCCGCCGGCCACTCGCGCTTTCGTCTTGGAGTGCGAGCTGAAGCTCCAGACCTTGGTGGTTTGCGGAAAAGACAGTTTCTTGGAGATATCGAGGTCTAGCTCTTTGCAAATAAAGGCAACACCACCTGCTCGACCCCGGCCATACGAGGCAACCAACCGCTTTCGTGCTTGCGTCAGATCTTCAGAGGTTGAATCATCCTCTTCGCTGCGTTTCCGCTTGCCCAGAAGTCCGAAAGTAGTATCATTGATAGGCGCAATTGAACACAGTTGATCGAGAACGCGGAATTGAGGACCGCCAGAGACAGCAACATCACCTGGGGCAGCGCCATTGACACGATCGACAGGGTCCGCATATAAGTCATCCTCGTCTTCTGAATCAACATCATCTTCATCATCCACGTCGTTTTCAGTACCGTTGCCCTGGGTGTGGGCGCGAGATAAAGTTCGCTTCAGCTGTGAAGCCTTCTTAGAAGTTGCCAAGACGATTGAATCAGACTCCTCGCTCCCAATGAAAAGGTTGCCCTGACCAATGTTCGCAGTACAGGAAGCTGGACCGAGGGACAGGGTGGACGCGTAATCGTCGTCAATTCTGCGAATGTTCATGCTGGACAATGAACGACCGTCCATCCGGAAAGATAGAAGGGCAATTTCTCCAGTTTGGAGAAAAATAAGCATGTCACCGCTAGGATTTCCAAGATGCTCGATTTGACAACCCTCTAGTTTCAGTCGAAGGTCGGATTGGTCCGTCATAGAGAAGGCAGAGGCGTCGCGAGCGAACTCGTTGACAGCGATTGCGCTTGATTTGCCGCCCTGGTCGACGTGGATTAACTCATTTCCTCCGACCAATAATGCACCACCGACGGGAAGGGGCAAAGGAATGACCTTTTGAACGTCGTTGGGGAGTTTTTGGACGGATTGGAGAGCGGTGGAAGCCTTCTGCTCGAGATCCAAGGCGTAGACAGCATAAATGGTGACATCTTTGCGCTCTGCTACCATGTTGGATGACCGAGCGGCGGATGAGTACAATATGCCAATGGTAGGGTCGCGATATTCGTGGAGGAAGGCAAGGTCGATAGGGTGCAAGAGGCCTGGATCTAGTGCAGTGGTTGGCAAGACAAAGGAAGGGTAATAGGGTGTATCAATGTTGGTGCCATTGTGCGACTTGGGAGCCTGCTCATCCTTGGGTGCCAATTCTTCACCGTCATGTGTATCGTCGTAGTCATCGTCCATGGCTAGATCATCGGAGGTCTGGTGGAAGGGCACAATGGCGAGGTTGTTGACACCAAAGTTGAAAGCGGCACATCTACTGCTAGGGTCGACTGTGAGATGACTGACACAGTGACCGAGGTCGATTTGCCATGGAGCAGTTTGCAGAGTATCTTGCTCATAGTAATGTATTGACAAGGTAGTTATACTATGCAGCGTCGGATCCCATTCAATCAGACTCAATTTAGCATCACGGAGGGCTACCAGAACGGCATCCCCTCCACTCCTAGATGTTTGGAGCTTTAATCTGCCTAGCTGGGTGATAGTTCCTGGGAGATTGTATTCGGCGATCAAAACCAATTTCGCGTCCTGTCCACCAGAGACCTGCTTCTGGGAGAAGACTTGCAACAAGGAGGTGCGGGCTACAAGTAGGTTGCTTGCGTCCTGTGAGGTGAACGCAACCGCAAGAGCGGCGGTGACGCCCTGGGGCGGAAGCAGTTCGGCATAAGCTTGCATCTCATTGATGTCGTCGAGTTGGATTCTGGTGAAAGATGTCCGAGGCTGGGGAGACGTCGAAAGTGTATGGGTGTTTCAAATGGACAAGAGAGGAGACAGGTCTAATGATCACAACATGTCGAACATATTTCTGCTTCGCTGACCTTGCGAGAAACTCAAGTGATAAGACGCTAGAGGGTGCAGGGTCGTGTCAAGTCTTGTGCATGGACAAGCGAATGTTTTGTTTCTTGGTCGTGGAATCTGAGGGTGATTCTGGATTGATATTGCCAAGGGATATATCTTGGCATCACGTGACTTCCTGATGTGTGGCACGTGCGCGTTCTTGCAGTTCTTGCAGTTGTTACAGTTGTTTATGGGGACTAATCCTATCTGGGTTAGATCAATCCGGCTCCTCATGCGAGATGACGATTGACTGACTTTCGAGTTTCCCGGTTCATGTTGTTGATCACTCGTGTCCCTTTCTTCTGTTCATCCCATGATGTATGCCTGGTTTGTTGGTTTTCAAAACTTCCTCATGCTCCTTCTTCTTCATCCTTTACTGTAATCTGATCACTGATTGTCGAAAATCAACGGAATTTCATAGCGACGACTCCAATTGATCGAATCATTCAGTCCTCTCAACACATGGACGACGAGCCTCGGTGACCTCAACACAACTACACCTACAGCGTCTCGTTCAAGTCGCGCACCACGTTTCCCACCCGCCCATCATGCTTCTTCTTCCAAGTGGGCTCCCCGAGCCCAGTGTCCATACCATGGCTTCTGTCGGCTATGTCCAAGTGGCCCTCATCTGGGTTGTTTACGCCATCGCAGTTGTCCTCCTCCTCTCCATCGCTTCGCTATTCGTCTACCTCTACCAAACACACCGAGAACGGTCCATATTGGTCACAACCGTCTGCATCTTCACCATCACTGCCCTCCTAGCCACCGTTTTACTCCTCCCCGTCGATGTTGCTCTGGTCTCCAGTACTACTAGCTCCAGAACAGGTCAACGCAAAGATTGGGCCTCCCAAGATAAAGTGGACGACATAACATTTACTCTGCGAGTGGTGTATTACTTCCTTTACTCGCTTGATGCCGTTTTGTGTCTCGTTGTCATTCCATTCACCTATTTCTGGTATGAGGAATACGATGAAGTCGCTCAAGAGGAGGGTTCACAAACTTTTGGCTCCCGGTTCTGGGGAGCTTTGAAATTCACGTTGGCTTTTGTCTTTCTCGTCGTTGCCATTTTCCTTGTCGGATTCTTCATTCCAAGAGCCTCGAACCATGAAGGGGCGCACTTCGATCTCGATTTCTTCAAGAGATTGCTGGCCGAGAACCGAGGTGAAAAAGCACTGACTTTTGCCCTGGGCATCCTCATAACACTTGGCATTGTTCTCTATTGCTTCTACACTGCTGCAGGCCTGGCTTTATTGCCTCTGACCCTCATCAAATCTGCTCCAGCTATATCAGCTCCTGCTCTGACAGAATCCACTGCTGCCCAGCTTGAGAATAATCAGGAAAGGCAACGGCAATTAGAGGGTCGAGCTCAGGGAAATCCTGATGGTCTATCTTCCAAAGACCAGCGTGAACTCGATGCATTGGTCCGAGAGGAACGCACCCTGCGACGGCACCAGCGACTGGCCGCTGAAGCATCTGGTCGAGACCGAAATATCTTCTGGAAGATTTGGCTCAAGTTGGAGGCTATTTTCCGACCAATTAAGCTCCTTCTAGGAATGCTTTTGGTGCTGGTGGTACTCTTGGTCTTTGTCAGTATGCTCATTACCGGGATTGACAAGGCTAAGAATTCCATCTGCAAACGACACTGCGGCTATCTCCTTGGGCACATCAACATCTTTCAGCCCGTCAACTGGATCCTGGTCAAGTCGGCCAAGGTCTTTCCTGTCGACTATGTCATATTTCTGCTACTCGTCCTCTTATTCTTCAGCGCCTCAGTCATCGGCATCGCAACCATTGGAATCCGCATTTTATGGATCACGATCTTCCGGATTCGAAAGGCTCATACTTCACCCCAAGCCTTACTCATTGCTACGGTTCTACTGACGTTAATGACTTTGGCGATTAATTATTCTATCGCCATGCTCGTCGCGCCCCAATACGCAACTTTTGGGCCACAAACATTCTGCGATCATCCTCCCAAACATCCTGGCGAACAGCCCGACTGCACGAATCACCTGCAGCACATTATCCCATGTACTGAAAACACCGACAATCCTGCAGCAAGGAATGTCTGTACTCCTTCTGTTGTTTCGACCTTTTTGAACCGAGTCACGGTCAACTATCCATTTTTTGGAATTGTCGACTTCTGGGCACAATTTGTGTTTCTGGGCATCTTCCTTATGGCGTTCATCTTACTTCTTTTCAGAACCCCCAAGTTATCCGACACAGATGCTGACGAGGATGAGCTGGAAGAGGAAGAGGAAGGACTTCTTGCAAGCACCGGGCGACGCTTTGGGGCAACATGGCAAGATATCACGGGCCGCACCAGCCATGGCGGCAGGAACGGTGGTGCACAAGGCCGTGGGACGCGTGATGTGGTAGATGATTGATGCTAGGGCAAGGAGTGCGAAAATGATGGGGCCAGGATGAGAGGCATAATTTGTCACTCTGTTTAAGCGGGCATATGAGAGGCATCGACTTTGACCAACAAAATGTGGAGCCTCAGCACTCAGGCGTCAGGGGATTCCTTCGAAGTGCAGATTGTAACAGCAGGACATCTAGCGAAGGGCGAAAGGACTCGTTGTATCCAGGTTCTCTACGTGGTCCTCTGATGCTTATTACTTGACGTATATGACATGTTGAATTAATACACGAAAATTGATTCTCTAGGCCGCTCCGAAAATGCGTTCTCTAGGTAGTTTATTATCATCACTAACACCAAAGGTTTCTTCATTCGAGGGCATCATGATGAAGTTCGATTTAGTTCTGGTCGTACGGAAGTACTGGTATATGATACATGATGTCTTGGCGTGTTTGTCTGGCCGGCGATGTACGGTGAAGGAAGAGATGACTTGCGCAGTCTTGGCTCAGGGCGTCCCTCCGCCCCCTCCGCCCCCCTTTGGATATCAAACAGCACAAAGGCGAGGGAAGGTGCAGCCAACGCGCCAGCCATCCATGGTCCTGAAGAATAAAAATCATGCAGGAGCGAGTGACCCTTTTTGTTTCCCTCTAACAGACATCCAGCAATGACTTCTGAGTTCTCGTTCTCTCATTGTACAGAGTATCATCAAGGTAATACGCTTTGGTTGCATTGAACGATACCGATACCACATGATGAATAGGCAACAACATCATTATTGATTGTTTCACTTCTTGTTGCATATAGTCGCCGGCCTCATGGTCTGACAACATCACCCAAGCATGAGGAGTCGCTTTTGAGCAATCGCTTCATATGCGGAGGACAAGAGTTACATTGCTAGATGAACAGTGAAGTTAAACCGCGCGTTGCTGAGTTCAGAGCTGAAGGCTGCCACTATCGTTTCTTTGGCAATAGCGGTGACAAGACCTCGTATGTGTATTGAGCACATCTCAGCGACCAGAGAAAGTGATCCAAGGGTCAGAAATATCCGACCCAGCGCCTCTTACAAGAGCAATTACATCATGAAGCGCGACTTGACTGCCTCACGATGGGCGAGTCCCGAGGTTCGGAAAGAACGACAATATCAACTCCGATCTCAGTCAGCGTCGCCATACAAGGATCTGCCGCAATTTCCTCAAGGCACTTCCAACGGTCCATCTACTGTCCCACAGAAGGCGTCGTCTATCCTGAGCCGACCCGCCATCGGAAAATGGAACGAACCTGGATCACGATCCTCTCAGTCACTGAGCAGCGCCCAGCGACAGTATCAAACCCGCCTCACCGAGCTACATCGATTTCGCCGGCTATTCAGACGCCTGAGATGGAAATCAAACAGCCTGGCTCATTGGTCACACCGCGCCCTCAACCTCACACAACAGCATGCACAAGAGCAAGATACCACATATAACCACCGTTCTGAAATCCCAAACCCTTTGTACCACGGCCCGGTGGCGTCACTTGGACACTATCATTTTACAATCGACCCCATTGATGCGGAACGACAATTCAAGATTGACTTTTATGAGTTCTATGCACTTTTGGAGCGTGGACTGGTATGTCTCTTTGGAGTTTGGGGAATCGTCATCACAGCATCACAGCATGATGAGGATGATGCAGCAATTTCACTCACTGGGGCTACATCACGCAACATAATCGGTAACTCCAGGGCTTTTCACGGAGCGGAACATCGATTTCACGCCAATGTCCTTGCTGCATTGGACAACCAAGCTAATCCTCTTTATGACATTCTCGGCACAGGAGATGCACGAGAGTACATTGGTGTTGCTAAGGAGTTCCGAAACAAATGGAAAGATGTCGAGCAGAAGCCTGACGACTCATTTGGAGCCAGTGGCAGGGCTGAAGAAGAGCTGGACCCAACCAAGGTTAAGCGGTATGAGAAGGTGTTGAAAGATCTACAATTGGAGCCACTGCTTGGGACTGTATTGTCTGGTTTGGAGCAAGCAGGTCGAAAAGCAGAGGCTGAGATTGAAAGACTGGGCCAAATCCTAGGAGATGGCGCAGCAGGAAGAGACGGACTCGGTCCAGCTTATGAGGACGGGGATTCTGACTTGATGGACTATGCGCCTTTTGAGGTTGGAGGATACGAGAGAATGGACTACGACATGGAGTTATGACCAGTACCAACAAGCGGCGACGATATTCTTGGAGAGGCATAACTTGAGCACATCAAGTTTTTATCCACGTTCTTTCAATGCTGTAGCATAGAATGCATAGAAATGATACCACGTGATTGCAATGTTCCCCTCCTCGCCCCCTCCGTGGTCCCTCGCTCTTCGTATCTCTCTCCACCGGGGCCACCCGGACGACCGAGGGGCACATTCCAGGCCTTGTACTTGCGTTGATTCAGGCACGCCTACTGTATGTTGAAGCTTGCCATTGGGTCCCTCTAACGGTTCCTCTAACCGTGTCTTAGGAGATGAACTTATTTATTTACCAGCATGAGCTGCAGGGTTGGTACAGCTGTGTGATCGGCAGCATTCGGGTAACAGGCGAAAACAACCCCGCCAACTCGACGTCAGACATGGAATCAAGCGGGTAAAAGACATCCAATTCGGCCCCAGGCCTTGTGATGGCGAGATTCGAACTAGTTGAAACCACCAAGCCTTTTCTTATGGAGATCTCTTCATGCTTCTGGTCTTTCCTATGGAAGGACAATAACAATCGGTGCTCCACCAGGGAACAGCTCGGACGCTCGTACAGGCCATCATAGCCTCCACGGAGCCCCAGAGACCCAAAGACCCAGAGATACCTCGGGACAAAACTCTGACGGCATTTGCGTGGTTCGGGCCAAGGCTGGCGAATCAATTCGTCCATGGTGGGCGTTTTCAACTTCACATCACAAGGCATCCAAGCTTGTAGCTTTCTACACTGTGGTTTTGGTTGCCTTTCCTCAAGCTTCACTACTCATCTGCTGTTGTCACTTCACCTCATATTACCTCTGTCTTTGATCAAGCTCAATCCGCTCTGGTCGTAACTCTTGGACAGTCTACAGAGTCAGCCACCTGAGAAGTGAATACAAACATTAACACAATCACTACGCACAAAATTCACATTCAGTGACTTATTAAGGGCTTTCTATTTCAGTGATATTGCCTATTTCAACCCTCCAATTTCCCTCTTTCTCGGAATCTACTCTACGATTTCTTGTCTATCAGCTTCAGCAGCACCGACCAGCCCAGCTTGCAAGTCTCTGCCCCTCCCTGCACCCAGGAACCTCACCATCGTTCTCTCTCTTGATTTCCGGACCTTTCAACACAGCCGATAGCAACTATGTCTGAAACACAAGCACCCACTCACCCCGACATGATCAAAGTCATCCGAAAACCCGGATCGTTTGCCTCGTACTCGGTCTCAGCCGCCACCCTACCACCTGGAGCACTGATGGCACGACTGGCATCACCACCATTGACCGTGACCAAACAAAAACGATGGTCCAGCGTGCAAATCTCCGAAGCCCTGCACATTGAGCTGAATTGCGACTGGCTGTACGTGAACCACGGCTGCGACCCCAGCGTCGAGTTCCACGTCTTGTCCGACGCCGACGAGCCCGTGATTGAGATCCGCGTGGCCGCTCGCCGCGACAAGGACGGCAAAACCATTGGCATCACCGAGGGTGAAGTCATCACTTTCTTCTATCCCAGCACCGAGTGGGACATGGATCAGCCATTTGACTGCATCTGCGGCACTTCACGTTGTCTCGGCAGAATCGCGGGAGCTAGATACCTGACCCCAGAACAAGCCAGGGGCTATTTTCTCAACACTCACATTGAGAACTTGAGAAGTGTCCCGTATTCCACCAACAAGCCTACTTCGCCATAAATCCACTGGACTCGAACTCACTGTCTCGGAACACCGCCACTGCAACAGCGTAGCGAAAGGGCAAGACAACGTTTCGTCCTCTGCTTTGCAATGAATTCATGCCGATAGATGTCTAGTATCTGTTCGGCTCCAAACAACCAAAAGACTTGCATAAACAAGAAAAAGGGTTCATTAAATCCAGGAAATGATAAAATGTCACTGGATAGAAAAGTTCAAGTAGGGCTTGCTTCAAATCCGCTTCCAAATTCGTCTCATGTCAGATCATGACCAAATGCAAAATAAAATGACCATTCATCCTGTCGATACATGGGTTCTCTTTGCGCTGAAAAATGAAATTTGTAGAACAGTAGGAATAAAACTCGGTCGGAGACAGCTGCTGTTGAGGCTCTCACGGGCCTAATTCAGATGAAGGACACCGTCTCAGCGATACGAGTGAGAGCGGCGAGCAGTTCTGTATCTTTAACAGTGAGAGCTTGCTCACTGGAAGGCTTGATCCCGAAGGGCTTGACCTCTGGAACACAGACGGTTCCCTGGGCTGGCAAAACACCAGTCTGGAAATACGATCTGACCGCTTTGGCAGTGCACAAGCTCGGGGCAGTTATCGAACAATGACCCTCAGAGTCCTGCTGCAAGACCACCGAGCCTGGAAAGTGTTCACTCATACGATGAGCGTTCCACAACGGCGTGACCGTGTCGTAGGTGTTGCCGATCCACAAGATAGGATGAGAGGTATTGCCTGCAACAGGCCCTGCGAACCGCCACTTGGCAAGCTTGCGCCAACCCGCACAGTCGAGTCGTGTCTGTGCCCAAAAGTCTCCCATGCTGGCGCTCTGGTGCTGCAATTGCTCCCAGTAGACGCGGAACTCGTCCTCGGTGAAACTGCCTATGCCTTCGGCGTCGGTGCACAAAACCGCTCTGGTGGCCTCCATCTCGCTCCATCCCGGTGATGTACATGCTTCAGAGAATGGGCCGTCGGCGATACATTCGCTCGATCGGCATGCCGGCGTCCGATTCTTCTCTTTGTAGTCGGCAAATACGCTGCCGGTGCCGTTGGTGATGTCTTGTAGTAGTTCTGCCATGACGGCTCCGAAGATGACGGGTTGGTATAACGCGTTCTTGACGATCATCTTAAGATCGCTCCAAGTGATAATTTCGGGTCCTCGCCGTTGGTCGCCGACCACCGACAGTGGATCGTCCCAGATGTCACGTAGCAGTTTTTCATATGCAGCTTGGATTGCCTGGGGACCTCCTGTGCGCCAGAATCGGCATTGTTCAGGTCCGGCTTCGTCACAGTAGATGAACAGTTTCTCCAGAATATGGTCCGTATCTCGCAAGTTGCTCGTCCATGGCCCGTGGTAGTAATCTTCTGCATTCACTACGCCGTCCAGTGCGACTCGCTCAATTCGTTCAGGATACATGGCTGCGAATGTCGATCCGAGTAATGTGCCGTATGAAAATCCCCAGTAGAGAAGTTTCTCCTGACCTTTGTTCCAACGTGTGCGTGCAATGATTTGACTGTCCGCGTGACATTTGTGCGCCGTGTTGTACGCTCGCTGTGCCTGTTGGCCCTGCTTTTCTCTCCACTGACCATGACGCTCGATGATCTCGGCCATATCAGCGGCCACGGGCGTGGTGTTGACGTGTTCGAGAAGGGTTTGATTTGACCCGTCAAGTCGGCTGGAACAGCCGTCCGCTAATGCTCTTGCACGCCGCCAGGCTATCCTTAGTGAAGCGCCTGAGCTTCCAAGGATACCTTCAGCTTCACTTTGCAGATTCCAAACTTGCCGGGCAAAATTGTCCTGGAAACAAGACAACACGGGTGTGCTGTGATTGACGCCTCGTGGGTCGAAACCAATGATGTCAAAGTATTTGTCCGAGTCATGCGATTCGTTGGGTGTCCGGTCCGAGTCGACGACTTGCTGGATCAACTCGCCGTGATAAAGAACCTTGGCTACTCCCGAGCCACCTGGACCACCTGGGTTGACAAGGATGGCTCCCCCGTAACGAGGATCGCTCACGTGGACCTTAGCTGGCTGTCGAATGATGGCGATGGCGATTTTGTTGTCGGGGGTGTCGGTGCCATTGTAATCCATAGGCAACTCAAGACGAGCGCACTGGAATTTGTCGTAGCATTCATGGTACTCGAGCTCTTGGGAAGGCGAGATATCTGGCCATTGAAAGGGAGAGCTTCCCTTTATCGCGTCGTTTCTCAAGGGTGTGCTGGCTTCTCGAAGAATATTCACCCAGACCCTCAGTTGATAGGTGACAAGAACGAACATCAATGTCAGACACACCAGACGCGTCCTTGAAGGTCTGGTGGTTTTCTTGGTTTCGGACTCTGCCTTCCATGGCCGATCTCCTTGCTTGAGGTCCATTGCCAAAGCACAGTCACCCTGGGGTCGTCGTCCTTGTCTTTTTCCCACACTCTCACCCTCAGCTGTCCAGCAAAATGAAGACTGTCTGCATATGGTTAAAAGGGTCAGAAAAGATGACTGTTCTCTTCCTCGGTGTACCAAGCCAGCTCGGCCCCGTTATCGCGTTGCTAATTCTGATAACGCGTGACCGATGGCGGAGAGATCTTGATTGGCTATTTCTAGCCTGGCAGGGGGTTGTGCCGAGACATCGTTCTCTTTTGCTACTCCATCTTTGTGGTTTCTGGCCTTCGGTGTGGATCTGGATACTTGTATCATACTACGGAGTACTGACAATGTTTGATCCCAAAGTGCTAGTTAAACGATCGTCACCTGATGGCGTATGATACTTGTTGCACGTGGATTAATCCTGGCCTGGGTCGGCCCTTTCCAGTTGAGAACTTGGCTGGACAGGCTTCTCAGGTCCCTGAACTGAATTTGCAACTCAACATCTTTTGACATCATCTACTTGACTGTCTCATGTACGTCCTCTTTCAATTTACATTAAGTCTGAGTCGGGTTCAAATCATACCATGGTCGGCTGTTACATTTGCAACTCGTCTGTAATAGTGAGTTGTTGATTGGCATTGCGATTAACAAGCGAGAAGACCCTCCTCTAAACGCAACCAATAAAAGCAAGGTGAGATTGACTTAATCTAGCGGGCATGATCGTCTCGCCCTTCACTTTCAACCCTAGTTTTGTTGCAATGTCACCCTGCTTGCATCCATTCCGAATACCGACCACCTCCTGAGCCTATGAGAAATGTCCAAAGTGATAGTCGATCCTCTCATTCACGGTTAAACTTGTCCTTGATCAGGATCCATGACTAGGTCTGCATTATCTAGATGACCATGAACGACTACGCCAATCTGGAGGTGAAGCATGGCGAACGACGCCTGCCCTCCGCACTAGGACTCATGATCCTCACCGTCGAAAGTGCTGTTATCAGGTCCCTGTCGCAGGTCGTGGGCAAGAGGAGATAAGGGTTTTTCACTATACATAAGGGTGAATACATTCCCTTCCCTACCTCGAGTTCCCTCATATTCGAATCCCGACAATTATGGCCCCAGCAGATGAGGTCCAGAGTGCAATCTCCCCCGCTCCGGCGGTGGGCGATGCTAAAATTCGTTCAGAAACCGCCAGCAACGTCAATGCAGAAAACGACCTAGAGCTTGCCAAAACTGGGGCGATCGTGGCGGACCAAGATCTGAGCATGGGAACAGCCAAGGTGCAGGCGATGCAATTGGTCTGGGGCAAACATGGACGTCTGATCATCTGGCTAGGCCTCTCCATGATGCTCATCGTCTTTCAATTTGACAATGTACTTCTGTACAACTTTCGCAACTACGCCGCTTCCAATTTCAACAATCTCGCAGGTCTGTCGACACTCGGAGTCGTGGGCAGCATCGTCTTTGCCGTGGCAAAACCACCAATCGCCAAAATCTCCAATCTGGGGCGAGCAGAATCATACATTTTCTGTATCACCTGTTATCTCCTAGGTTACATTCTCTGTGCTAGCAGCAACACCTTCGGAGTCTACGCCGGAGGATTTGTCTTTGCCAACATCGGTCAGACTGGCGTCAATATCTTGAACGACATCATTATATCCGACATTACCAGTATGAGAGCAAGAGGTCTCGGTATCGCACTGAGTTTCTTCCCTTTCCTCATCGTCCCTTGGATTTCAGCTTTCATGGTCGAGAATATCGTCCGGCCTGGCGGCATTGGATGGCGTTGGGGCATTGGTACGTTTCCACCCTAACCTGATCTCCATCGATTTCGAGTATGCGAGTCTAACTCCACATAGGAATGTTTGCAATCATCCTGCCCGGAGCAGCGAGTGCTCTGATCGGCCCATTGCTCTTCTATCAACGCAAAGCCAAGAAGAAGGGAGTGTTGATCACCCAGAAGATCACTATCTACGACTTCTGCTCCCAAATCGATCTGGGCGGATCTTTCTTGCTCGCAGCTGGCTTGGCCATGTTCCTCCTTCCCTTCACCATTGCTGGCGCGACTACTGCAAAGTGGGGACAAGGTCATATCATCGCCCTGATCGTGGTTGGATTCGTTACACTGGCTGGGTTGGTTGCTTACGAACATTTCTTCGCAACCCATCCCATCCTCCCGGCTCGGTATTTCAAGAATCTCACCATTGTGCTATGCTGTGCCATGGGATTTCTCGATGTCTTTGGATTTGCGTCAACGCACACGTATCTCTATCCCTGGGCGGTCGTTGTCCATGTAAGTGTCCACCTCAATACACATTCGCTGTCACTTAGTTCCCATCCATTTAGGAGGCTGATTACATTCACTGACATGTTCCTTCTAGAATATGAGCGCTCGAGACGCAACGTTCCTCAACTACACCAATGGAGTGTGGCAATGTCTGTGTGCAATCGTTGCGGGATTTATCATGTTCAAGACGCGACGGTACAAGTGGCTTGCGGTAATAGGAGCAGTTATCAAAATGATCGGGTATGGCTTGATGGTGCGACTTCGTGGTGCCAACAACAGCTGGGCCGAGATCTTCATCGTTCAGTCGATTCAGGGCATGTAAGTTGAGCACTCAAACCTCTAGACACGGTCCATGAGGACCCCTCAATGTCTGGACCTGTCTCTTCAGTGGAAGCGTTCCAATGTTTACTAACCATCTCTTCGTCGCCGCAACGTAGTGGAGCTGGATTCCTGGAAATGATCATCCTCGTCGCCGCACAAGTTGTTGTGTCGCACATGGAGATGCCACAAGTGACTGCACTAGTCCTATTGTCGACATCTATCGGCGCTTCCGTGGGCAATACCGTCGCTGGCGCCATCTACTCCGGCAGCTTCCAAGATCGTCTACGATATCACCTTGGTGGGTCGACGACCGATGAGATCGTCGATTCCGTGTATCAATCGATCACGAGCGCGGGTATCCCCCCGACCGATTCGATGGAACGTACCGCCGTCAATCGCGCATACTCGGATGTCCTTCGTCAAATCACCTATGGAGCTGTCGCTACCTCGGCAGCGTGTATCGTGCTGGCGGTCTTGGTGCCGAATCTGCGTTTGAGAGAGGATCAGAATCCCTTGACTGGTGATCCGGGTGCAAGTGAGACGCTTGTCGGGGAGGAAACAAGGGAGAATAATCAGACGTCACCCCATATGGGGCCTGAGACAGTCGATGCTCGTCCTACGAAGATTTGAAATCGATTCGGGTCGATCCGATCCGGTCCGATCGCGGCATTTCTTCAGTGGCAGATACATACATATGTACACGAGATCATCACAAGAAGACTTTATGAACGAGACAGGAGAACGAGTACGAACTCTTCGGAGGAGTCTCAACAATGTTTTGATCTACCTACATTTCAATCCTTAGGTACCTCTTAGAAATCCTAGACTCATCCATATCTCTATCTCTATCTCATCACAATCTCGACTTGTCCCCCTTGATCAAAGCCTCGCCCTGAGTGGCTTCAATAGTACTCCAACTCCACCATTTCTCCCTCAATCTCTGACTGACTCTGGTATTTGGATCGACAGGCCCTTGTTGTGCCAGATAGTCGCAGACTGCACTGTCGGCATCACCTTCGGCGTCGTAGGCATACACCCCGGGAATTCCGTCGGCATAGCCCCAAATATTCCACGATCGGTACGACGGCGGTGGAGGGACGGGATGTACGGGGTTTAGATGCGGTCCGGCGGCTTCAACGCGTGACGCGGTATCCCGAGCTTGAAGATCGGATCCAGAAAGGAATGCGATTTCGCCTGTGAATATGGTTAGATACATGTACATGTACGTGTGACTTGTCCAGTCTCATTGTTTTTGGAGGGCCGAGACTTACCGTTGGTAAAAGAAGCCTGCTGTTTCGTCCAAGCTCTAACCATTCTCGTCTTTTCATAGATATTCACCGCCTCGATGAGTGAAAGAATACCTCTTCCAACTTCGGCGATGACTTTCCCCAAGAAAGCACCGTCTTCCATGCTAGTAGCGGCGCCCTGAGCCATATGGTTGACCATGCTGTGAGCAGCATCGCCCATAAGAACGATGTTCTTGTCGGAATTGGTCCAACTTGTCATTGGCCCGGTCTGCAACAACGGCCAGCGCTTGGATTCATTGATGAGAGCGACAATCTTACGAACGGTAGGTTCATATCCGGAAAAGGAGTCGCGGAGCTCATCGATCCTAGCGTCTTCGGCATCAACCACGACATGGCCATCACGCGTATGGTGCGACAGAACCATATTGAAGTCGCGTCCGGCCGTCATGGGATACGAGATCAGATAACTGCCAGGGGCCATCCATACGTCGATGTTATTGCCTAGCAATTCTCGGGCTTCGGGGATTTTGGCAAATACTTCGTCGTATGGAATGACGGCGCGATACGCGGCATTCATGGTCAAGGCTGTGGGTTTGACGGCGGGGAACAGACGGGTTCGAATCGTTGACCTGAGACCATCGGCGCCGACGAGGAAGTCAAATTCAAAGGACTGTCCCTTTTCTGTCTTGACCGTAACTTTGGGTCCCCATGGTCCCGTTGCAGACGATGACGACTCGATGCTGTGCACACGGGCACCGGTGACCAAATTGACGCCGTGTCTTCGAGCGCCTTCGGCGAGGCCGGCCAGGAGCTGGTCTCGTCGCACCACCCACCAGGGAAACCCGAAGTTCTTGACGATGGATTTGAAGTCGGAGAAACCGACGATGGAACCGTCGGGTCCGCGCATGTTGATGCGGTCGCACTGCACGAGGTCGTCGCCAATGATCTCGCTGACGCCATAACGGACGAGAAGCCGTGCCACGTTCGGTGTCATCTGGATGCCTGCCCCGATTTCACCTAGCTCTGGAGCGGCTTCAAGGACCGTCACCTGTGAGCCTCCTCGAGCCAGAGCGATGGCAGCTGTTAGCCCTCCGATCCCGCCGCCGCATACCCCGACGTTCACTCGTCCCCGTTGTCGACTCATCCTGGAGATGGAAGAT